TCGTCCGGAAAACGTATGAAAGTTCATTTTTTTTCTCGCATTGTTTAAAATAACGCGCAAATGTAGCTGGGAAAAATTTCAAGGAAAACCAAATTTAGTACAAAAGCACATTTATTCGCAAACAGTTTAAACATTATTAGTTAAATTGAAAAGTCAAATTGTATTTATTTTTGGCCATATTTGTTTTTTTCTAAAACACCATAATCGTGCCAGATACGAAAAATGCAAAAGTCTAAGGATCGAGTGATTGCTGATGGGGTGTTTTCATCATGATAACCCACCAACTCCGGACCAATTAGACATTTTGAACGAGAACGCGTCGCATTTACATACCCCCTCGTTGTATTGCTGCAGACATTCCGCGGGTTTCGCGGCCGCCTATCGTTTGTACACGAAATTTCGCAATGGAAAATTAGCCGAAAAAGAAATTTACATAAATTCAGACAAAATTTTTTTTTCAGCAACACATACTATTGTTATTTAAAGATGTCGATGCGTAGTATTTGTAAGAGCGTACGATTTTCATTTAAAAAAATAGCAAAAGTATTGCGAAATTTCGTGTACAAACGATAGGCGGCCGCGAAACCCGCAAAGTGTCTGCAGCAATACAATGAGGGGGTATGTAAACGCGACGCGTTCTCGTTCGAAATGTCTAATTGGTCCGGAGTTGGTGGGTTATCAGATTGAAACACCCCATCAGCAATCACTCGACCCTTAGTTTTTTGCATTTTTTGAATCAAAATTTTCCGGGCTTGTTGTTTTGAAGCCGAACTGTTCTCGACCAATTCCGGGTCGGTTTGTAACCGACCGAAGTTGGTTTAAAATCTTTTGGAAACGAAGAAAATACCTCAGAAAAGTTTTTCATAAATACTTTAAGAGAGTTTTTTTTTAACAACAAAAACAGTGTCAGAAATATAATAAGAAAATTTTGATGCGAAAAATGCAAAAGTCTAAGGGTCGATTGAATGCTGATGAGGTGTTTTCATTCTAATAACCCACCCACCGATCAGTGGTAGAATGCTCCTCGGGGCAAACGATTTGCTCCAGTTCGGACGTGAGACTGCTCCCGTTCGAATGTAAAACTGCTCTCGCTCGACGTCGGAGGGGGCACAGTTTCACGTCCGAACGGGGACAATTCACGTCCGAATGGGAGCAGTCTCACGCCCGAACCGATGTGAGACAGCTATCAAACTGCGAAAAATTAGTTGCGAATTGGGATTAGATTTATTTAAATCAAGTATTTAAATAAAATAATAGATATCAAACGAAAAAATATTAATTATTTATCTTGGCCCACGGCATGAGACTTAATACTTATATTTTGTCCGTATATCTAGACATTTAGTTTTGCGCCAACACCTCTCCTTCAATTTTTGGCACTTTGTAATTTTCCGCAATTTTGCGACAATTAAATACAATTAATAAATGTCTTAAACCTTCTTACAACAGGAAGGAGATACAAATTCTTCTTCTCCATGACTCTTGACATTTCATCCACTTGCGAAGCTTCCTAGGTCTTCGCATTATGAGAAGCTGGGTCTTAGGTTGAAGCAGTTAGCAGCTTGCAGTTTCATTCTGTAAAACAAGAGTTAATTGATGAGCATCCATATTTTATAACACTTACTCAATATTTAATTACAAAAAAACCAGTCGGTCCTCCAGTAAGCATATAGCAAACTCATCCTGTATCGCATTCAGCATCAGAAATCAGCATCGCAGCTTGCCATCTCATTTCTAAATTATAAGTGTTTAAAAGATAATAGAATTGCGAAAAACGACGAGAAATAATGCGCAAATTTAAAATCAATTTCTATTCACTTATCGAACCTTTACCGTTATAACAAAACTTTAAAAGTTCTCCTAATTTAACATCATTTTTGCATTTAAAACCATCCAAAAACGTGTTTCCGGCTTTTAATGGCAAAAATCAATACAAATGTGTCTGAAAACTACTTTTTTCTTAGAAAAGACAATGAAAATGCCCAAAAGTTTCAGTTAAAAATTTAGGATAACAAAAAGACGCGAAAGTTTAATAAAAAACAGAAACGTTCCACTAAAATACGAGCGAAGTGATCGCAAACTACTCACAATTTGCTCCAAACTGGTAGCAGACGCGCGTAGAAGAGGTGTGCCGCAGCATTGCAAAACCGTGCGCCGCTTTGCACAATGCGGCCACGCCTCACAATTTTCGAAATTCGTTTTCAAAGTTTTTGTTATTTTGCTTTTTCTCAATGGGTTTTCAAAATTTTTTCGTGATTTTTTTTCAAAAATTGAAGAAAAATTTTGTCCAACATCTATTTCGAATTTTTCTTATGTCTTTTCGTAACTGAGGAAGTATTCTCAATGCCTATATTCTATTAAATTAAAAGGCCTATATTTTATACCAAATATCTATGTTACAGATGTTCTCATCCAAGGTTTTGGACAAGAATCCACAAATGACTGCAAAGCGAAGGCACTTTCGCAGGGTGAGAAGTTAGCGATAATCTTCTGTAGGATATGGAAGCAGCGGAAGTGAGCTTTTGAAGTGATCAATTTTATAGTAAAAGTTTTTAATTTATTTTCAGAGTGTCAATCTCAATGATCTTTATATTCATCATCAAATTTCGAGTTCATCATTGTATAACCAAATCGGAGCCGTAACAAGGCAAACGCTGCTGAAAGTAATTTTGTGAAATGTATGCTACACATACATACATATAATATTCAAATAGATGACATCGCCGCGTTTTTTGATTTGGCAACAATCGAGCCGAAAATCAAAGTGCCCAGCCGAATCACATTTGAAAATGTTGCCGGAAAAAATATTGCTCATATGTTAGAATGTAAGAATGTATTTCTTCTTGAAAACCAGCTTTCATTTATTGTAAAATTTACACTGCAGAATTTCTCTTACCATTCTTCTTTTTAGACGCGCTCGGTTTGTTCGTTCCCGACGAGTATCGATTTGCATCAATATCTGACGGGAATCTACTTTCGTCGAAGTTAGATTTTTGTAATATCATTAAATATTCAGTTATTTAAAATTTTTTCATCAGCTGGCAACGACAGATGAGAAGAGAAGTGAAGAGCTAATAAGAAGACAAATGTTAAGGCTCAAGATCATCCCCGAAATTACAGCAGATTTTGACATACAATTTGTAAGACGATTAAAATAGATCTTAAATAATTAAATTTTCAGAACATATCTGCGCGAGATGCATCTCGACAAAGAGAGCAAAGAGCTAGTTTGTTGCAGAGTTTTGAAACTTTTAGAATAGATGAATGTGGCCATATAACGTGGAAACATTGGAAAGCAATGCTTTGCGGAAAAGACAAAACAGCGCTGGAGTCGTTTGAGTATGTTTTTGACTATTTTGCGATCAAATTATTTATTTTCTTATCTATGAAATTTCGTAATTAAGCAGTATTCACAAAATAAAAAATTTTCAGAAAAGAACTCTTCAATTAACTGCCATTTCGCTTCCGCTCCGTTTATTTACCCTAATTTTCATTAAATGTTCTGTTTTTGTTTTTTTTGTTGAAATTGTGCAAAATTCACGGGGAGTTTAGAAGCGACGAAGGACTCGTAAAACATTACGTAAGAGAATTAATTCTTTAACAGATGATTGTTTTTTTCGTAATTGATTGTCAAAAAGGAAAAAGAATTGCATCGACCGGGAATCGAACCCGGGCCGCCCGCGTGGCAGGCGAGCATTCTATCACTGATCGGTGGGCGGGTTATTAGATTGAAAACACCCCATCAGCATTCACTCGACCTTTAGACTTTTGCATTTTTCGCATCAAAATTTTCTTATTACACTTCTGATACTGTTTTTGTTGTTCAAAGAAAAAAAGTATCTTAAAGTATTTATGAAAAACTTTTCTGAGGTATTTTCTTCGTTTCCAAAAGATTTTTAACCAACTTCGGTCGGTTACAAACCGACCAGGAATTGGTCGAGAACAGTTCGGTTTCAAAACAACAAGCCCAGAAAATTTTGATTCAAAAAATGCAAAAAACTAAGGGTCGTGTGATTGCTGATGGGGTGTTTCAATCTGATAACCCACCAACTCCGGACCAATTAGACATTCCGAACGAGAACGCCTCGCGTTTACATACCCCCTCGTTGTACTGCTGCAGACACTCCGCGGGTTTCGCGGCCGCCTATCGTTTGTACACGAAATTTCGCAATACTTTTGCTATTTTTTTTTAAAGATAATCGTACGCTCTTCCAAATACTACGCATCGACATCTGTAAATAACAATAGTATGTGTAAAGCGGAAAAAAAATTTTGTCTGAATTTATGTAAATTTCTTTTTCGGCTAATTTTCTAAATTTCGTGTACAAACGATAGCTGGCCGCGAAACCCGCGGAGTGTCTGCAGCAGTACAACGAGGGGGTTTGTAAACGCGACGCGTTCTCGTTCGAAATGTCTAATTGGTCCGGAGTTGGTGGGTTATCATGATGAAAACACCCCATCAGCAATCACTCGACCCCTAGACTTTTGCATTTTTTGAATCAAAATTTTCCGGGCTTGTTGTTTTGAAGCCGAACTATCTACGACCAATTCCGGGTCAGTTTGTAACCGACCGAGGTTGGTTAATTATCTATTGGAAACGAAGAAAACACCTCAGAAAAGTTTTTCATAAATGATTAATCTATGAAGCCCCCAACAGAACAATTTCAACAATTTCGATAAATGATTGATCAAAATAAAAGAATTGCATCGACCGGGAATCGAACCCGGGCCGCCCGCGTGGCAGGCGAGCATTCTACCACTGAACCACCGATGCTCGAACGTCTTTCTCTTTATCGCCATATGCATTCCAGGAAGAGGCGATGAATTATGAGAGACGCCTGACGACGAGAGGAAAAATGGGAGAGGCTTCGCGCAGCGCAAAAATCTAATTTCTTGAACTGTTCCGATGGAAATCCGCGATAAATATCGAAAAAACCATAAAATGACGTCTTCCAAATTCACCAAAGACTCCACAGGTGACTCCATACTCCATTCAATAAATGAAGCGCCTCGATCTCCAAGGCCTCAGAGGTCTTTCAATTCTCGCAGTACTACTATTCCATTATTTCGGCGACACATTCCCAAATGGATACATTGGAGTCGACATGTAATTATTCAATTATAATTGGTGTACTTAATTAGGGCAATTAAGGTTATTCGTGTTGTCCGGCTACCTGATGACAATGATATTGGGCTCATCGAAATCGCTGGATTCGGCGTCGAACCAACAATTCTACTATCGCCGAATCAAACGAATCGTGCCGCTCTTCATGTTCACCATATTTGGTGCAACGCTTCTCGTCTTTCTATTATTCCCGCCAACGTTCATCTCGATCAATTGCGATTCGGCGTTCACTTCAATGTTTCTCTTCAAGAATGTCGCCGAGTCGCTCGCCTATTTTCAAAAGGTCTCGCCAAAATGGAGTAGATCAAAATAAAAACCAATTGCAGATGAGTCAAGCCAACGATCTATTCGTCCATTTATGGTCGATATGTGTCGCTGCTCAATTCTACCTCCTCTATCCGCTTCTACTCCTTACTTTGAACCGATTCCCCAACTACCGCATCCATTCGCTGATCGCCATCATCATTCTGAGTTTTCGACACCACGCCACCTCAGACCCAATAACCTCATTTTATTGGTAAGTCAAAACCATGGTGATTAAAGGCGCATACCGTAATCCAGCGTGTTCGCGCGTCTATGGCAATTCGCGTTTGGCGCCCTCTCATTCTACACCGCCGAATGTTTCGATGAGATCGTTGCGCGCCCAAAACGCGAATTCCTTCTACTCGATCAAGGTACCACAATTGCATGGTCCCAAATCGAATCCATAACTCATCAGATTACGATATCGACGAGATCGAGGACCTTGAAGTGAACCTCGAGAAGCGCGAGAAGACCAACTCGCCAATTGAGCACAACCAATGGCAATTCAATATTCTGGTGACCGCCACCATCTCATGCCTGCTAATCCTATCAGCCTACCCAAAAGCGTTGGAGCCAATCGCATTGAGAATGGTATGAAGAGAGAGAGGGACCATTGAAAAATACCCTAGTCCAATTTCAGATGGTCACCGTGATCACTGGCACCCTGATTGTCGCCGGCAAGTTCGTCGAGTGTCATCCATTGGATAACAAGTGAGCCGATTCGAATGGTGCGCCAATCTCGCGTTTTCAGATTGCTCGTCTATCTCGGCGACATCTCCTATTGCCTCTATTTGGTGCACTGGCCCGTATTTGTGTACGCCAAACACAATTTCGACGAGCGTTTTTTGATCTACGCGAGTTTCGCGCTAATCTCCATCATTCTCTCGTCTCTTCTCGTCGAGACCCTCGAGACATTCCACCGTAGGCTTCCGACGACTACCGCGTTGGCGCTTCTCATCGGCGTACTGTACCTAGCAACACTTACTGTAATCCACAATCAAGGTCAGATTTTTCGGTTGTCACAACGGCGTACTATCGCATAATTCAGATGCGCTTCGTCAAACCGTCAAATACTCGATTCAATGAAGACGACGTGAGACTCTCGAAGTATTTGGAGCGTGACGTCGAGAAGCTCGACTTCTCCGATATCAGTCGAGGTTTGATTTCGTTGGCTTCGAGAAACCGACTCGACGATTCCAGACAACGCCGTCATTCTCAACAAGAAATGGGCTCGCGATGAGGCCGACTCGAATCGTCCGCCCAATTGCGAGCCGAGTACGTCAGAGCACGGCTACTGCGAGTTCGAGGCGTCGCGTCTCAACGGCGATTTGACGACGCTTATCATCGGCAATAGTTTCGCGCCAAATCTCGCCGATTTGATCTACAAAATTGCTGGCGATTTTTCGAAGAAAATCGTCAAATTTAGTGCGCCAGGTGACCAAAAAAAATTGGTTTTTTTATTGTTGAAATATTGCCAATTTCAGATTGCGCGGTTCTCACAATCAACGAGCCGAATTGCCGACCGGTGTATGAGCAATTCATCAAAATTGCGAACACCACGAAACCCGATGTGATGTTCATTCTCGACAAGTGGGTCCCAAACGAAACAAAAAAAAAAGGCAAACGAGTCGATTCGAATTTTCAGCAATTCGAAGCTAACGCGCCCCATTGCCACCGACGATTTTGTGATGGTCGAGGCGCAAAACACGTTGCGAATTTACGAGGAAATCGTCTCTCGACGAATCTATCACCTCGACGCCATGTGCGCTCCATTGCGACCGACGCTCGCCGAATTCGCGCGGCTCCTTGAAAACGGCCACCAACTGACGCAGGAGGATTTCGTCATCGACTATCGATTCAGTTTAGGACAGCTGCGTGTCAAAGAGCTCGTCAAACGGTATTCTCAATTCTGACCCATTGAAGTCTTTCTTAAAGGGGGTGGAGGAGGGCGTAACCTTTAAAATTAAATCATTGAGACTAGATAAAAATCGACAATTCTACGTTAACTTGTGCATTGTCGTCAAATAAAATGCACAAGTCCGCAATTGTCTGAATTTCGCCTTTTTTCAAAAAAAAAGAACCAAAAATTCTCGAAAATTGAAATTGTCGTCAAATCAAATGCGTTAGGTGTAAACACGCGATGAGATCATTTTTGACAAAAAATGAAAATGACATTGTACATTCTATTTGACGGCAATCTAGCTTCAATGATAAAAAATTGAAAGGTTACCCCCTTTAAAATTCAAACCAAATTTCTAGGTGTCGAACGTGTGATGTCATTCGTGTTCACGATGCGCTCAACGATAAGAGTTTCGACGAGGCGACGAGTCTCGCATACTTCTATGATGGCGGCCATTTGACGCCGATGGCGAAGAAAATTATTTGGCCCCTGTTTCGAAACCTCACCGCCGATTTTCGGAACATGTCAATGATTGCTGGCTAATTATTGTAGTAAAAAACAATTTGCATTAACTAATTTAAGCTATTTCTTAATGATGATTAGACACATAAAATGATTATCATAACATTATTCAAAAATGAAGAAAATAACCTGGACGTGTTTATTCCAGAGCTGCTCGGAACTCGATTTCACCGAAAACGAAAAACGGAACTCCGTTCAGCTTTGGTTTGTTCGCTTGCGCCTTGGAGAGACTATGTACAATCGAGAGAGATCGAGAGAGAGAGAGAGAGGGCAACCCTTCGCGCCCCGGGCGGGATCGAACCCACGATCTCCACAGTTATAAATTCAAAAACTTTGCCACTGCGCTATTGCGCCACTCTTCAACGCAGCTATAATTTGATAACAACTGCCACACATCGTCACTTATTTGCGGACGTCAACGCCTAGTTAATAAATTGCGAAATTTCGTATTTTAGTTTGCTCTAAATTATTAATATAATAATATTGGTCACAAAATATTCATGATATATTTTATGAAAAAAAAAACCGTGTTGTTATAAAACGAGCCCGCCTTTACTATGAATTTATCTAGAATATCAAATTCGAAACGAAGAGCGCACAACAAATAAATTAGGCGTCAATCGGCAATATCTAACTCAGAAAAATAGATACTAACTATAATATACAACAAATAATATATAGTAATGAAATACTAGCGTAATAACACAAGAAGATAAAACATTTATTTAAAAAAAAAACTCAAAACTGTAAATGCGCGTCAACTCACGTGTGTGTGTGTGTGTGCATACACCGCACTGCGTACCGTATACCATCAAAATTATTTTTTCGTGTTTTTGGCTGCTCATAACAAAGTCTTCCTTTTTCATATTTGTCACATTTTTCTCATCTTCAACAATATTTTAAATTTCAAAATTTAAAAAATATATTTTATACACTTTTGAAGAAAAATGTTTCAACAGGTCCAATAAAAGTAAATACAAAAAAAAGAATGGAAATCAATAACCTAATTTTTCCATAAATAATCTAAACCCATAGAATTCTTTATTCAAATAAAATAGTGACCCGAAAGAGGACATTCGACCATCAGCTCCATATACAGGCTCGAAGATAACCCACTAATTATATATGTATAATTAGAGGCTAGTATTCAAAATCATTTGCGATCCGTTGAAATTCGGGATAAATCATTTGTTTCGCCATCGGCGTCAAGTGTCCGCCGTTGAAAAAATAGCCGAGCTTCGTTTTTTCGTCAAAACACTTTTCCGAGTGCGCATCGTAAAAATACGGACTGATGTTGATGAGCTCGCATTTCAAGCATCTATTAAAAAAAACAATTGGCTTTCAATTGGAGTCTGAAAAAAAACCAAACCTCTTGACAAGCTCTCTCAGCCGCCTCCGTCCATTCTTGTAGGACATGTCGACGACGAAATCGTTCTGCTTCACACTTTCGCCCGCCTCGAGCCTCTCGGCGTATTTCGACAAATTCGGCGATTTCGGTATCGTCACCGAGTCCAACAAATAGATCCTCTTTTTGATCATCGTCTCATAGATTCGCAACGTTTTCAGCGCTTCCTGATACACACGATCTTCAGTGATATTGCCGGAAAGCGGCGAAATCAGTTGGTCGTGCCTGAAATTTCGACTTTCAATTAAATCACTTTTTTTAGCGTACAGGGGAGAAAATTCATTTTAATTTTTTTTTTTCGCGAAATTGCTAGCTTTTTTCATTGAAATTCCAATCACATATCGCTCTTTCATTTTTTTTTTAAATATACAAGCTGCATAAAATTATCGATTCTCAAAATAATTTACTAAAAACAAATCACCAGAAAAGAGCAGTTTGCAATATAAGATGTAGAGACACTGGGAAAATGAGAGAGTGGGCGAGACGACGAGGCGGCAGACTAGAGAGCGCACAGAACGAAGAGACGACACGCCGGCGTGCAATCGGGCGATAGCCAGCGAAGAGGCGGCCGCGGCCGAAGTCCACTGAAAAAATAGTTTTGAGAACATTTGGAACGGAGAGACGCAGGCAGCAAAACAAATACATTAAAAAAAAATTTTTTTTTGAATTAAAAAAAAATAATTTTAAAAAAATGTTGAAGAAATATGCTCGCGAAGTATTTGTCTAGAAAAAAAATCGACGATTTCGTAAAAAAAAAGAAAAATATTTTGAAGGACTAGTTTTTTGCTGGCCGCCAATTTGCCGGCCAAAACTCACATGAATTCGAGAGAATTCGCCTCGAATTTGAAAATCGCCACAAAGAAATAATTGAAAAACATTTGTCTCGAAAAAAAATCGACGAATTCGTAAAAAAAAAAGAAAAATATTTTGAAGGACTAGTTTTTTGCTGGCCGCCAATTTGCCGGCCAAAACTCACATGAATTCGAGAGAATTCGCCTCGAATTTGAAAATCGCCACAAAGAAATAATTGAAAAAACATTTGTCTCGAAAAAAAATCGACGAATTCGCAAAAAAATATTTTGGGGACTAGTTTTTTGATGGCCGGCAATTTCTCGGCCAAAACTCGTGAGAAATCAAAAATGTTTTGAAAAAAATTGCCTCAAAGAAATATTGAAAAAGCATTTGTCTAGAAAAAAGAAGAATATTTAGGGAGGGGGGGGGGACTAGTTTTTCGCTGGCCGGCAATTTTCTCGGCCAATCCCCCCAAAAAAAAATCAACGACTCACAAGAATTGCTGAATTTCAGCATTCGTCTCGAATATTTCCCAAACGATTTGTACACCAAATCGCCAATATTCGCCGTATAGCTATTCCCAATCACATACGTCAATAATGTGCCTTTCAGTGTCGAATTCTGAAAACCCCCATTTTTTTTTAAATTCGGGTTTTTAATTAGAAAATTGCCGTCACCTGAAATTCGCAAAATCCGTGCTCGGTGCGATTCGGAAAACAATTGGGCAATATCAACATTTTCGGCTCATCTTTCGCCCATTTCTTCATCAATATTATCGCCTTTTCTGGAAAATTCGACGTGAAGCACAAATTGGGCGCGCGAGAAGCGGTCTCGCAACGAACCGACACTTATATTCGCGAATTTGTTCGTCTCGAAATCGGCGTTGTCGAATTCGCGCACTTTCGCCTCCATCTCGCCGTACCTCCACTGATTCAAATTGTCGGCGATGGCGTCTTCAAAATTTTGTTTTCTTTTTTTTTTTGGAAAATTGAATCACCCTGATTGATGATCAAAAATGCTGTTGAGGCGTACAGCGAAATGATGAGAATCGCGATCGCCGGTTTCGCCAAACTCAAATAGAATCTCTCATAGGTCTCCGAGATGAGAATCGCCAAAATTATCGAGAATGTCACGGCGAATGTGAACACTGGCAAACCATTTGGGCATTCAATAATCGATTGACGACGCCTACCTCGATGATCATCGGGATACGTGAATTTGACATAGACGTATAAGGGCCAATGCACCAAATAGAGGGCGTATGAGATATCGCCAAAATAGACCAGGTGTCTGGAAATTGCCCCCTTAATTACTCCTAGTTAATTAGCAATTAATTACCGATTATTCAATGGGTTTTGATCTACAAGGGTTCCCGCAGTGATTATGACAGCCGTCAGGAGTGTGCACGTCTGGAATTGGCGCTTAATCGAATTTCAGCAAGTGACTTACAATCCGCAAAATTTTCGATGGCAATTCTTCGGGAAAGAATGATAATATGAGAAGAAGTATTAGAGAAATGTACAAAGCGGTTTGGAATGGCAGGCGTGGAAGAGATGGTCCGCGGAGTTTCGGGCTCGCTTGCTCAATATCCAAGTCATCGTCGTCATGGTCATCTGAAGATCAACTAGGTTTCTCGATACACACAGATGAACCTCGCACCTTGATCCAATAGTAAGAACTCATTTTTCGGATTCACATCAAGCTCTTTGAAGTATTCGCTGATGTTGAACGCGAACGAGCCGGCGACGAATTGCCAAATTCGGCAGAAAACGCTGGAAGCGATGCGATGCGCCTTTAAACTCAAACGATCGGATACCTGTTGAACGAGGTGTCGGAATCGGCGAGAAGATGGTAGGCGAGACTCGCGATGAATACCGTACTCGCATACAGGATACGGTAGTCGTGGCATTTGGAGGCGACGAGGAGCAGAAGAGGCGCGTGCACGTAGAATTGCATTTCGACGGACAACGACCAGGTATGTGTGAAGATGTCGTCGGCTTGATTCAACTGAGCCCACATAATTAGTTAATTAGGGAGCCAATTAAGGGGGGGGGGTGCAATTCTAGATGTATACCATTTTGAAATACTCATTTCGATCCGAATGTCGCGCCAAATTTCGATAGAGAAACATTGAAGTGAACGCCGAATCGCAATTGATCGAGATGAACGTTGGCGGGAATAATAGAAAGACGAGAAGCGTTGCACCAAATATGGTGAACATGAAGAGCGGCACGATTCGTTTGATTCGGCGATAGTAGAATTGTTGGATCGACGCCGAATCCAGCGATTTCGATGAGCCCAATATCATTGTCATCAGGTAGCCGGACAACACGAAAAACCTTAATTGCCCTAATTAAGTACACCAATTATAATTGAATAATTACATGTCGACTCCAATGTATCCATTTGGGAATGTGTCGCCGAAATAATGGAATAGTAGTACTGCGAGAATTGCGATTCCACGAATTCCTTGGAGATCGAGCCGCTTCATTCCTGCAAATGAATGAATTGAGAAGAAAAGAGCGCGCGTTGGTGGTGTTCTATTGTCACCATGGTGATTGGTGAACAAAAGCGACGAGCAAAAAAAATGAAAGAAAGATTTTGTGTCGACATTCCCAAATTGAAGGCAATTTCGGGTCCGAATTTGAATTAGCGGTCAAAATTTTTCGTGCATGGCAAGAGGCGCTTAAATTTTTATTGTCATCATCATAGCATATGGTAAAAGCTGTTTGCGTAATGAGAGACTGTGAATAATCGAGAATGTGTGCGACAACGAGAAGGAGAACACTTCGCGCCCCGGGCGGGATCGAACCCACGATCTCCACAGTTACGAGTCCAAAACGATTACCACTGCGCTATTGCGCCACTCTGACCAGCGTATATAATTTGATGACAAGTGCTACCGCCTTTCGCAGCTTAATCACAGCAAAATATTGTCGACGCGTAAACGCCTCATTCAAATTATAAGGTCTCACAGCGAATTGCCTTCAAATTGTCGTCACGATATTCATTTATTAGTTTCAATTTCCTCAATCGATCCCACACAATTTCCGAGGGCGAAAAAAATGACTAATCGTGGACCATCGCACTTTTTTACAACATGCAAATTTGGCGTCGAATAAAATGCACAAGTCCGCAACACATTAACAAACTGACCTGAATAGATATTTGAGTTGGAAGAAATAAAAATGGTTTGATCGAATTTGTATAAATGATGATGTCGCGTGTCGACATGAACCGAACACACAGAATTATCCGTCGTGCCACGCGTGTGCATTTTATTTGACGACAATATTTAGAATTTAAATGATTTGGCCCCACAAGCAGAACGTTTCGCTGCGAGACCTTGTTGTTCTGACGCGACGCGAACCGCAACGCGTCTGGCGACATTGAATATTTACGATACTATAAAAATAAATTCAAAAATTTCTCAAAAAGACGAAAACCAGTCAACCAATTCCTTATTTATTCAAATTGAAAGTGAAGCTCGGGAAAAAAATTTGCTATGGTCCACAATTTTTCAGCTTGCTCAGTTTTTTTTTGCGGTGGCAAAAATCACAATTTGATTTTTTAAAGCTATAAGCAACAATAAAACAAATTTATAACAAGGATATTTAAATATTATTACAATTTGAGTGCAAGAATGTTTGGCGAAACGAGGCAACGAACCCAAAACAATTTCCTGACAGCTCACACACATTCCAACACAGGCAAAACGCGACGGATGAAATCCGGGCGAATCACGGTCCGTTATTGACCGTTCCAGCGTGTCGCTGACGTACCGGACACGGACGTCTTAGCGTATCCGGGAACGGACCGTGATTCGCCCGGTGGCGTTTTTCACATGCTTTTTTTCTTCCGTTCGTATAATAATCAAAATTAAAATTGAAATCATATAGACAGCATTATTATAAAAGTTTTATTTAAGAAAAATCGAAAAAAAAAAATTATTTACGAATCGCAATCGCTATATTCGTTTTGAATTTAATCGTATTCGATTGTAAAATGATTAATTCGTATTCGATACGAAAGAGTCAATTTTTTGTTTCACAATCAAATACATTAAAATTCGAAATGAATACACCGAGTTTCGCACCAAATACGAGTACATTCGGGTTTTTCCAAAGAGTAATCGAGTACCACAAATTTCAAACTTAATTTTCGATCAAGTTTGTATCCGAAATTTGTTGTATTCGATTCGAATCGAATTACTAGAACAAAAATAATTCTAAAAACAAAAAAAAAAAATATTTGCACATTCCATTTGCACACGCGTGTTCTACCTGGATTGGAACATTTCCATTAACTCTTCGATTTTGGCGGTTTTTCCGCGTCGTTTATCATCGCTGAAACACAGTATATAGCATATATATAACATTCGCGTTGCTCACTTACATGAAGTTTCTTGTCATTTCTCGTATATGAGAAACGACGACGGTTTCTTCCCACCCTTCACTTTTTACTATAACTATTAGAAACACAACATTTAAAAACAATCAAATCAATAAGATAGGTGGTGAATAGGGTACAATTCTGTCTCAATCAAAAACAAAACCGGCATAGCGAGGGACTTGCATTTCATTAACGAAGCACCACGGCCACGGCCTTACAATCGCCGGTCGATGCCATGCGCGTGTCGTTTTGTCTCTCAATGGTGGACATAGCTGCCATTTACTTGAACAAAGTATGCAGTATTTCCATCTCGCACATATGCTCCCAGGCCCTTCAAATCTTCTATTTGTACTAGCTCGCGAATTCCAGAAAATTGTCCATGCAAAAATCCTCTGAACAGCTTCACTTGATTGAGGAGGTTCCAAGCGTAAGTATTTGCTGGGCGTTCCAAATCCAGGGCCAACTTTTTAAGAACTTCGTCACGACAGCTTAAATTGGCAGGATGAATCGATTCGGCCAGAATGACTTTTCGATCGACTGAGATACAAACGGATATGAAGCGGTAACACCCATATTCGCCTGACGCACTGCTCGCAAAGAAAATGTCGTTGCTGGTCTTTGGTGTTGTATAGGCCGACTGCAGACGACCACACTTTAAATGCAGCTCCCCAAAATGATCTCCGATATGTGCATATGCGAGATCGTTAGTGTGGCTCAGTGCCACTGGCTTTTTCCATATGACCTCGGTGGGTCTCATTTCTGGGGTAGCTGCCAAAAATGAGGCAATGGTCTCGCTGGGGCCAGTTTTCCTTCTTTTTATCAGCTCGCGCCTCACTCCAATATGCAGCATAACTCTGAACATAGTAATTAATATTAGCAATTGTTTCAATTAAGTATTTTTAATATACCGTTTGGCGGCAGATTCTTCGAAGCTATTTGTTGCCTGCGCATTAAATCCTTTCAGTGCAAACTTGTAAAAGTGCTCGTAAGCAAAAGTTGACAGTGGAGCAATATTTCCAAACTGCCTAATGACATGAGGCAGATGGCAAACAAGCTCCTAAACGATATTACTTTCAATGATAAGCTTGAATTATAAGTTTTCTTACATGAGTCTTGGTCGTCATATATGCGCTTGATGCTTTTGATAAGAAATAACGTGCTACAGCTGTGAGATGCACGTAAAAACTTTCGTTTTTGTCAGCATTGCTATATAGTTGGTTCGTGATCAACATTAGAGCTATTATAATCAATCGAGCAGATGGTGTAATAGTTGGGCACACAAATGCGGCAAGTCCGAAGTTTAATCTGAAGAACTGCAAATGTGAATTCATTATTCAGGTGGATTTTGAACCCATTTACATTCAGTTTGTCTGTCCCATTTCTCATTTCCTTCGTTTTAAATTCCATTGGAATAACAGCCATTTTGCAATAATCGGAATATCCATCGATGTTCTTAAACAAATCTGAACGAGCTTTGGCGTTTGGGTTCAAGCATTCTAAAAAAATTTCCTAACGTAAATTTTTAAGCAAATCTTCAACCTGTCATTATTGTTTGAAATACGCCCTCGCTGCCGTTGTGCAGCAAGTCCACGATGGTGTGAAATGGATAACAATAATCCAAAATTTTGGGCATAACATTGCCAAACCCGTTTCTTGCGTTTCTTGCATTCTCTTCGGTTTCTTTTTCATTCCGAGCGGTGTACCCCATAGACACGGTTTTGTATCTGGTTCCTGCACATGAGCCGAAGAAACAAGTTCCTTCGGAATTGCACGCGCGCATTCCAAATAAGGCTCGCTTTGCCTGAAACGGTTATGTGTCCATGGTATATTGGTAGAGTTAAATGTATTATTAAGTTTTGTGGATCTTATAAACTAAGAATTTACTCACGGGCTGGTCACCGCTCCACGAAATAATACTGAAATCGAACTGTTTTCCGAATAAAACACGGGTTTTTCCTTCTACATCAGCGTAGATATATGGTAATAGGGTGTTCCAGAAATGTGTCGACGGATTCATATCTCCAACAGCAATTCCATGGAGTACCAAATTGTGAGCCTTTTGCATCTCGCCTGTTGGTATGTCGATAAGCATGAACGTTACCGGCCACAGCTTTTTCCTAAATTGTTCATTTATAATGACAACTTTTAAAATTGTTACTTCGTATTGCCAGTCAATGACACACCGTCAATACTACCAATAATTGAAAAATGAAGTTCCGTGTCCGTATCCATCTGGGACACTTTTGAAACATACTCTCCATTCAGATTGTGATGCTTGTTTGTCCCATTTTTTATTTCGCTTCTTATCCGATGAATATCTGTCCAGTACTCCTCCACTATCTCCGAGAGTTGCTGAATTCCTCCAATTCTAACATATTTAATTATAGTTCCACAACTGAAAACCCAAACAATAGATAAAAAGTGCCCAACGTCTATACCATTTTGCGAACATATTATTTGTTTCTTTCCCACAACTATTGCACACATAGTGCGCGTTATAAATAGTCATATTGTTCTTCCATAGCTGGAAGCTTTGCCGACGGAATGTTAAATCTTTATGAGAAGAAAGGAATCTCTTGAAATCTGTAATTGCCTCTTTACTTCTTCGTAATTTTTTCCTATTTACCCGCATCGGTACTTCGAGCTATGCACGCTGAAGTTACGAATGTCAAAACTTCGTCCGACACATTCGCTAAATACTGCGCCAAGTCTATTCGAAAATGGCGATTAGTATTAAGACAAATTACCTACCGCTGTGGGGACAATCTTCTGAAGATTTCTCATCGTTTTCCTCAACATCGTTTTCCTCAACATCGTTTTCCTCAACTTCGTCACAATTCACATCCCATTGAAACATTTCTTCCTCTTCATCGATGTCTATATTGAGCGACTCAGAAAGTTGAACATCAATCGGTTCAGATAAGTTTTCTTCACTTGAAGAAGATACTTCTCTTGATCCTATTGTAGTAAAAGAGAGTATAGCAAATAGTTATGCAATTTTAACATACTTTTTGTTGGTAAAGATGGTAGAAATCTTCGATATGACCGTCCCATGACTGAAATCGTAGTCTTTATCAAAACTTGAACGAAAATTGGGAAATTTTTGTATTTATTTAAATGACCTAATGACCCATTTACAATCTGAAAAAACAATTTCAAAGGAACACTATTCATTTTTCAACTACAATGGAATAAAACAGTAACTTTTCCAAATAATGATACGGTATTGGAACCGTTAAACAAGTCGAGTAAACCTCAAACTTGGGTAATTAAACCTTCATTATTGAACGAAAACGAACAAAATGTTAACAAAGCGATACAAACTAATAACAAACTTGATGATACTAAATATGGTGGATGGTGGGCTTGGGGAAACAACTTAATAAACTGAAATAATACGACTAAAAGCATAAGTAATTGACTAAATCGGTGTTTACGATTGGGGACTTGCATTTAAATAAAGGTGAACTTCGGCCGCGGCCCTCTTTTTGCTGGACATTGCCCGATGGCATGATGGCGTGCGTCTCTTCATTTCGCACTCTCTCTCTCGCCCACCGCCTCATCGTCTCGCCCACTCTCCCATTTCCACATTATCTCTACATTACAAAACAACGAATATAAATATGGAGCGGAACAGTTAGAACGCATAACGGTGAATCGACAGCAGCGAACTTAGACACATCGATCTTAGGAAAGGAAGTCTCGAGCCGTGCTATGGTTACCGCATCGGTATCGGGCAACCTGCAACAAGAAAATTTAATTATCAGCCATCGGTCGCCACAGCTTCCAGTGAAGCCGTTATATTAAATATTAATTAACTTTTGTGTCGTAACGTTTCAGCCAGGAAGTGTCGATCAGTAAATAGTCCTTTGTTTGTCGGTGACATTTTCACTCGAAAAAAATTGTCACGTAATTGGTCCGTTTTTTGTCTGTGATGCCTTTCAAAGAAATATTTCGTCCGTACTTAATCCGTTTTTTAGCCGTGGCGTTTCATACTGAAAATCAAGATCCGTAATTAACACGTTTTAAAAACGTGGCCAATAAATCTCCGGACTTTGTCCGTTTTTTGTCCGTGATGCCTTTCAAAGAAATTTTTGGTCCGTACTTGGCCCGTTTTTTTAGCCGTGGCGTTTTATCCTGAAAATCAAGATCCGTAATTAACACGTTTTAAAAACGTGGCCTATAAATCTCCGGACTTTGTCCGTTTTTTTACCGCGGCGTTTTTCAAAGAAATTTTTGGTCCGTACTTGGCCCGTTTTTTAGCCGTGACGTTCAAATATCCGGACTTCGCCCGGACTTCATCCGTCGCGTTTTGCCTGTGAATGAACCATCGCTGCTCGCAGTGTCCCGAGCCATCCGCGCCGTATAAGCGCAAGAAGTCGTAGTGAGCGAATAATTCAATGCACATCGAAGAAAAAAGAACAATGCTTCAAAATATGGAACTTCGGACCCACCATTTTTGGGTTTTTTGAGAAACTTTTCTAAAGAAAACGGCCTAGAATATTATTTTCCAGCAAAATTAAAGAAATTTCACCATGATATGCAAACAAAACCTAATGTCAAACAATGCGGCATATAATTATATGCGGGTATTAAAAATAAATTGTCGTCCGACATGAGGTTTGATGGAATGCAATGAAAGCCAGAAAGAATGCAAATATTTGCGTGCGCCTTTAATATTGTATACTATAATTTCAGATATGGTTGATACGCAGCCAAAATCAATTTTTTTCCGCAATTCCAATTTTTTCAAACTCGACAAATTGAGTTGGGTCTCGATTTTTTCCTATGACACATTTCAATACATCAAAATTTGAAACAGTAAAAAACAATATGTGTGACGTACTCAATTTCAGAGTGTGCGAGGCGACCTCAACAACGCTAATCCTCTCAAAACCACTACAAATTTAGTACAATGGAATAATCTATTCATAAATGTTAAGGACCATTAAATTCAAAGTGTTCATGACAAACCATCGACACAATTCTCATCGCCTTGGGCAATGAAAAGAACATAATAGACGAAAAATATGATAAACACCATCGGCGACATGAATCGACAAATCGAGTCCAATCGATGGTAGAGCCGATTGATTCGATAGGCTTCCGCCTCGAAATTGCACCGTTCGAGCTCGTTGGCGGCTCGCTGAGCGTTTTTCGTCATCGCCCTCGATCGTTTGATCAGCGCCAGAACGGCCAGCGATTCGAGAAGCGACAACACCGTGAACGATTTCATCGCGGCGAACCACACGTCAATCGACGTCAGATACGACGTGCGGATCTCTTTGTCGCCTTTCTCCATTTGGACGAGCGTCAGAAGGACCTAGATGAGAAGCGCTGAAGCGAATTGCATTCGTGTCGTTGAGTACCGTTATCGGGGTGATGATTCGCACGTCCTCATAGTTGTATGGAACGTAGGGGGCCACCCAGGCGAACATCATCGCCAATGTTGATGGCACGTACCTGAAAATTGGATTCAAATTATGGGAGGCGCGATTTCATGTCCAGATTTTATGCGCGAAGGGCAATGTGTCTCGGTGGCATAGTGGATAGTCCTTATGCCGCGGCACATTTTGCCGCGGGTTCGACACCCCGCCACTCCAAACCAATTTTTGCCAGTTTTCCTAGACATTGGCTCACTTCTCCACAACAAATCTGGCGCTGTCCCTCTCTAATGATAGCACAATTCGAAGGCACGAGCCGTTGACGAGTTTTCCCGACGTCTCGCAATCATCATCGGTGGCGATTTTGGTGATGTGCAATTCGGGAAGTGTGATTTTCGATTGGAATCGAATCGGACTCGAGTGCCAATGGAATTTGACGAATTGGTCCGAGTAGGCAACTGAAACCCATCCAATCGTCATGATGATTTCGATGCGAACTCACTCACTCGAACTGATTTTGAGATCGCACGTCTGACGATCGTGCGGATACAAGCAGAACGACATGAAGCACGAGCACACCGACGAGACGCGCATCGTGTAGGTGACGAGACCGTCGGGCGTGATGCGCATTCGATAATTGGGAAACGAGACATAGTGGAAGTAGGAGAATTTCGAGTTGACGATATACGGATCGGGCTTCCAGATCTGCTCGATGATCGCCTTCTCGCGAATCCGTATCGGCTTCGTGTAATTGTTGGCGAGTCTAGAAGAGCAAGATGTTGGGTTGGTCGCCGGCGAGACGCAAACCTCACATCGATCCACGAGAATTCCATTTCGACGTCGGTCGAGTACTCCATCAGCTCGCTGTCGAAATTGGCGAGATAGAGGAAATTGAACGAGACGGCCACGTGGACTGGAATATCTGAACGAAGAGGGAGGTCTCGAAACGAAAAACACTCGAATGCACCTTTAAACGCCTGCGGCACACTCGTATTATCATAGTTGACACTTTTGAGCACCGGCAAAATGTAGCTGCTGCCGTAGTCGCGATGCTCGTTGGCGACGCGCTGCTCGAGAAGCGTGACGTTCGCCAACCGCTCGCGCCACACGCCCATCACACCATCGTCGACACGCACCGACATCTGCTCGCGTTCGAGGAATCGCGGATCCAACGCATCGATCACGTCGACATTGTATTCGCGCGCTTCCGGAATCAATATGATCGTGTCGTTGTTGAGCGTCGTCGGCACGTCGACGCCCTCAGCGGCAATCAACGTCTCCTTCGAATCGCCGCCGCCGTCATGACGGAATTTATCGCCGGGAATCTCCTCGAGCGATTCGTCCCTCTTCGTGAAGACGACTCGATTCACGGCGCGAACTTGAAGACTGATGAACGGCGCCTGAAATCCGATGCCTGGTTCAGAATCGCCGATCAATCTGCCCTACCTGTTTGGTTGCATTTTTGGAGCGCATGAATGGAAATCGCTCGTAGATGCTTGTCGAATTCACATCTCAAATAGTCGAGCTCAATTTTTTTTTGGGAAAATGGGTCTCGCAACGAGCTTCCAAAAAATATTTATAAATATTGGCCTTTAAAAAATGTATAGTAATCATAGCTCGCAAAAAAAAATCGTGTATGTCCGTAAAACACACACACGCAAAATTGCACATATTTCAATTTCTAGCGATTTCAACTCATGTTTTCTTTTTTCCCCACACAAAAAAATTAAAATTTGTTTGAAAAAACATTTTTAAGCGAAAAATGCCGAAAAAAAATCGCATGTCGATTGTGGCCTTGAAATTTGGCGGCCCCCAAAATCTAGTCCATCAGAAAATCGAGGTAGATCAAATTTTTGGGGGAAAAACTCTTACCATTGGCACCAATCGTCGATAACCGAAACAAAATGAAGAAGAAGAAGAAGGCGGCCATAGAAAAAATTTTGTCGATGTGATTTGATTAACCATCACCCGAAGGAGAGAGAGAGAATTGAGACAAAGAGGCGACCAAGGGAAACCAGTTCGAAAAATGGAATTGTTCAATTCGTTATTTATTTTATTTTTTTTTTTGGATCACAGCAAATTGAATAGAAGGGGGGGGGGAAGTGGTCGACTAACCTAATCACTGGACAATTGAGAGGTTGGCAATTTGACAACAAAAAAATGATTGATGAAAGAGAAATTTTTGGGGGGCGACCCGTAGAGATGGAGCAATTAATTCCGACTAATTATAACATGAGTTGAGCGGCGATGAGCGCGACGATCATTGATGTCAGATGGCAGTAGGCGTTGGAGGCGTCGTCGTCTGCAAATTGGGCAATTCACCCCAAGTCCCACCAAAAAGCCACCCACCACCATCGTCTTCATTATGTATCACATACATAATCGGCGTCGAGTCTTCGGAGAACGTGCGCGCCGCGAATTTCGGGCTCGTCTCCGACGGCAGCACCTCGAATTTCACCTTCATCTTCTTCGTCGCGCACAGCCCATCCTTTTTGCGATCGATGCCGTCGAGTGAGCCGTCGGAGGTGCCTAGACATTATATTAATCTATTATTATCATCATTGGGCTTCCTACTAATCATATAGTAATTTTTGCCGGCCTCAAACTCGAAGCCACCGGGCGTCGGCGTGAACGAGCGGAACACCATGTTGACGGCGATCGGCGTCGTCTCGTTGTCGCACGCAGCGACGAGACGCGGATTCTGAAGGTAGCAATGCGTGTACTCCTCCTCGGAAACCTGCAAGCATGTCGGCAGATTGAGAACCTGCAAGCGTGTCGGCAGCAACTTGCCATATAGATATACGAATACTCATAGTTGGCCGATTTGGCGGGACATCGAATTGTGACGCGATCGCCGATTCGCACGCTCATCACATGCTCGGTGTTCGATATCTCGAATCTACAATCATTCAGTTTTGAATCGGGACCGAATTCCATCTCGCGCTCACATGTGATTCGTGCTGTTCCAATAAATGTCGGGAATTTTGCGCGCATCGATCGACGCCAATAATTGCGCGGCGGCAATCACAATGTGCAGCCACCACCTCATCCGAAATCCAAGCGTTCTTTTTACACCATGTGCGATTGGTCCTGCAACGATTTAAAGGCGCATGAGGAGAGAAATGGAAAAAAAAGCGAAGAGAGTGAAAGAAATGGGAAAAACGAACGATTAGTAGAGTGATCCGTCTTATCAAAATCGAAAATTTCTCGTTTTTTTTTATGATTCATTAAACGGCGGCCCCCATCGAAACTTTGCCTCCTGTCCGATTTTTTTTGAGCATTTTGAGGACCCTCTTGACCTATAGCCTATGTTTGCCACAATGGTGTAGGGGAGGGTGGTGGAACGCGGCGGCACCCGCCACCAACAAGAACAACAACAAAAAACGTGGAGGGTGGGGATTCCAATTAAAAGATACCAATCTACGGAGAAAGAAAAACAAAATGTAAAATTGGGCAATTTTCGACGAGCACAAAATGTGCGGTGAGGTTGGGACCCATAAAAACAGCCGAAGAGGAAAATTGAAAACGAGGGGGGGGGGTGCGAAAAAAAAAACTTCGGTTTTGGTATGCGGCTCGCCATCGACAAATTGGATGTGTGCGCATGCGTGCATTTTTTTTTCCTCCTCCTTCCTTCTCGACGCCACCCACCCAACCACCACCCTTTGGTGCAAATTGCGCCACCGTTTTCGCGACGCCAAGATTATGCAACAACAATGTGTCAATTGCAGCTGCTACACACAATGGATACTTGAAACATTCGACATATTATTGCGTTTTGAAGATGTTCCGATTCGAGCTTATTAATTGCGGATTAAAGGCGCATGAAGCGGAAATTTTAAAGGCGCATCGCGTCTTTGATGAAACCAATGAATCAATTTGAAAATTGAAAATCTCGAAAATTCCTAAATTTGAAATGGCGTATCTATAACGTTTAAAGGCGCATTGCTTCTATGTCGAAACCAATTAATCAATTTGAAAATTCAAGTGGAATATCTGTGAAGTTTAAAGGCACATAGGTTTGCAATTTAAAGGCACACAGCTTCTTGGTTTAAAGGCATACATCAATCTGCAAATTAAAGATTCCTAAATTTAAATTTCTGAAGTTTAAAGGCGCATAGATTTGAAAATTAAAAATCCCAAAAATTCCTTAATTTAAAATGGCATATCTATAACGTTTAACGTTTAAAGGCGCATAGCTTTGAAAATTAAAAATCCAAAAAATTCCTTAATTTAAATTGGCATACCTACGAATGTTAAAGGCGCATAGGGGTGCAATTTGAAAGCGCGAAATAAGTAGCAAAAAGTAGAAAAATTTAAAGGTGATTTGAGGAATGAAAGGGCGGGGTCTCGAAACGACGTTTCGAAAATTTCCAGAAAGACAAAGATTAAAGGGGGCTGAGAGCTTCAGAAGTATGATGCTTATTTTTGACTGAAAAATTCTCTCTTTCCTCGAGTGCATTTTTCAATCAACGAGTCCGGAAAAGGGAGGGGGGTTAATAGAAAAAAACACACACATACATACATACATGGCACTTTGCGAGTGAGGTGAGAACAACGAAAAAAGAAAAAGGGAGAAGCAAATTTTCCATATATCGATGCACTTGAACCAGTCCTCCACATAAGAAGATGAAGAAGGAAATATTTTGCGTTTCACCTATTTATCTAACTTAAGCCTCCCCCCCCCGCCCCATATATGGTATGTGTAAGGGTAAAACGTTGGTGGGTGTCTTTGTTCACCGAACCGGATCGCATCGCATCGGTTTTCATAATAAATCTTTCGTGATTGGATTACGGTAGATGTCATTTGCCGTCATCTGAAAATCGTCAGGATTTCACGAAACAACACAAGTAAGGATTGTGAAAAGGCAAACGGTGAGGATTGGCCAAAAAAAGCTTTTGGTTGTTCGACTATTCAATTAATTCATCAAAATTGGTTTTTTTTTGGGTGAAGGGTGTCAAACGAAGGCAATTAATGGGTCTCATAATCAATTGTTTCCGTGATTAAGATGTGAAAAGCAGATGCTGCGCTGTGTGTGGCACTTGTTATCAAATTATAGTTGCCCGAGCGAGTGGCGCAATAGCGCAGTGGCCAAATTTTGGATTCGTACGCGTTAAGATCGTGGGTTCGATCCCGCTCTGGCGCAAAATGTTTTTTTCAGTCTACCCCACTTTACACTCGTTCTCTTGATTGGTTTAAAATTAAACGTGTGCAAAATTGCGTCGGTGTGTAAACAGACAACAACAAAACTTGAATATTGAGCGTTTCTTCTAAATCCAAATTAAACTTCACTATATACATCAAAATGAAAAGAATTTTGTTATTTGCAAAAAAAAAATTGTAAAAATGCAGATTTTTGGGTGGCAAGTCGGCGAAACTCAAATTTTTTCAAAATCGACTTGGGAGCGAATTGACGGAATACCGGATCATGGCGGGCCGGCCGGCGGCGACGGCCAAGTGTCAAATGACACGCTGCCAAAAAATTGAGTGGTTCCGGTCTTCCCGAAGAAAAAAAAAATCAGAAAAAGCAACAACAAAAAAAAAGAACATAAATACTAGACACTTGTGAATGAGAGAGAGAGAGGGGTGTCGACTTGTAATACAAGAATGTTTGACATGTGTTTTCGTTGCGGGGCCCACCCGAGACCGCAATTCATTGAGCCCCGCATTACAATTTCAAAGTTGTATGAATTCTCGACGACTCATCATCGCGGGGTCGGCAGAGACGAAGAAGAGAGCAAAAAAGAAATTAATAAACAAACAAAAATGAATTATATTGATTGGCAAAATTCTCAATCAGCGATGTTCGATTCGGCAAACAATGGGTCAAAATCGAGCATTTCTGATCCACAGTAACCAAAGCCCCAAATTTTTTGAAGGCCAACAAAAAAAATTGAATTTTCATTATTTTTTGCTTCCAATATAATAAAAAATAATAAATGGAAATTATGGCCGGATTTTGAGCAAACTACACGAAATCGCCGAGAGGTAGATCAAAACTTTATTGTTGTGCAAATTTCTTAGTAGCACAGATTTTTGGAGGAAATCTGGCCAGCGTCGCGCGCGCGCGCTGATGGATGAATAGACTGAGATTGCGTGCGTGTGTGTGTTGGTCCGCTAATGAGCCAGAACGGACCCCCCGACAAATATGGGATGGATTTGTCGTCGTCGTCGTCAAATTTTACTATGATCTTGCCGAATTGCAATTGGAGAATTCACAATTTTTCAAAATTGGGGGTGCAGCGCTGCGAGACCCCTCCCCCCCCCTATTATGCGCCTTTAAATTATTGAAAAGGAAAATTGAAATTTTCAAGCGTTTTGAACCAACATAAGAAATTGTTGCGCAATTTTGAGGGTCGGCGAAATACACGCGAAAAATTTTACCCCCGCAAATTTTGGATTTGCAAAAAAGTCGCCAAAAACGAATTGACCAAACAAGGCAATTGGGGGGGGAACTTGGTGGTGAGACAAGCAAACACACAAGAACGAAGAATAGCCATACACAATTAATAATAAGCAATCGTAGGCGAATAATTGGTTGTCTGCCACAAAATCCGCATTCAATTGTGTGCGATTTGGTACATAATTGCGCTCACACCTAAACCAACCAGCAATCGGATTTAATTAACTCGAGAGCACACCACCACCACCACCGGCTGGTCTCTTGTCGTTTATTGATTCGATTAGACCGAACCCATCTGACACACAAATCGAACATGGTGGTCAATCAACTACAACAACAACACCTAATTATCAATTTGGGCGATTCTCGACGTTTCAAGTGGAAACGAGAAGTTCACCTCATCTATAATTAGGACAGTTTAAAGGGGGGAGTGGAAACCGGAACATCTCAGCTTTACCTGAAATTCGATATTTTGAAAAAATATAAATTGAGAGGGGGGCCCGGGGAACATCATCAAGTACATATTGCGGTGTGTTTGAAAATGAGGAAACACTTGAGTCAATGTGTTTATATGTCATTTCGGCCCCCCCCCCTGTCCCGCAACAAGGTCATTTTTATGTATATTCGATGGGTGGGGTCTCGACGCGAAAATGTTCCGGATCCAAGGCGGCTGGCGGGTGTGTCACTAAGGAGTCCCTCCAACTAGAAAAACAACTAGTAAATGATATATGAGGGGTCACGCGGCCGCCGGCCCCCGCGTTCGGTCTCGTCTCGTCTCTCGCAGCCGTCGAGTCCTCATTTTACTATATTAGGTATCGGATATATATACTTGATCGATGCGTTATGATAGCGGATTGGATTGCGCAATCGGACAACTTGCACGGTCTCGCCGACTAGTTGGGGGGTTGTAGTTGATTGGTGAGGGATATTCGAGGGCATTGCACCAAAAGACACGGTTTTGGCGCTTTTTTTTGTAATTGCTGTATGGAAAATATAAAATTAATATTTGGGTCTCGAAGCAAAGAGCGAACAAGGTGGGTGCGTTTTTACTGTCCGCCTGGTGGAATTTTCTCTGTTTTTGACCCAAATATGAAATTATTGTCTAAATTCCGGCTACCTGCGGCCCCCATCTCTCGTATCACCAGAGTCTAGCGCGTGCTCCATCGCGCAATATTGTGTGAGTGGAAAGTGTCCGCGCTCTCGCGCTTTTTGCCCGGGTTCGATCCCTCCAAACTGCACGACTTTTTGCATATTCTATTTATCTCTAATAATCCAATTCTTCAAATTTTTATTGTGAAAAAAAACCATCATCGACCCAATAAGTTCAAAAATTGATCTTCCGACCATCAAAAGGGATTTGTAAATAATAAATTCCAATTTGGTGCGACATTGGCTAAAATTCCGACGACAGACAGTAAAAATACTTCCCACATCGGAAAATTATCTTTTTTTTTTCTGTAATAATATAGAAAATCAAACTGATAATTCGATATGTACATATATATAATGGAAAAAAGGAGAACGAGATTATTGTAGAAGACAGGTGTGAAGAAGGAATCACAAACAAACTGACAAGGCCGGCGCGCCAATTTTGACAGCTCAATGAAAATGGCCGACTGTCTGATAACTAATGGACGAAACCGCACCAGGGGGGGGTCCACGGGAAAACAATACACGCGACGGCAGAATTTCAAGGCCAGCGCACTTTTGCAAAAAAAAAAACACACACACACTCATATAACCCGGGTGGGAACCGAACCGGACTGCTGCTGCTGGGGGCCGCGTCCAATTAGCCTAACAACACCCCCCTTCAATTCACGTCTTGCGGTAAATACTTTAAGCTGATCGATCATAATTGGAAGTGACGAGAAAATGAAGGCGCTTCGGAATCCGGATTTTGAGAAATCGACTTGAAAAAAAAACATATCTCTTTATTTATTTTTTGTTTGATGGTACTGTAGGCGCGCGCGCGCGCACGCGCACGCAAAATTGCACACATTTTATTTCTCTAGCGCGCTAATTCGCAATGGGCAGGCGTTTATGGGGGGACCGTTATCAAAACCCGCGAATCTCTACCGTAGCCGAGAGATTGGCGACGAGAATCGAAGTGAAGCGTGTAATCGACGACGCAATATTGTTATCGATATGTCGGAATCGAACGCTGTCGTCGTCGTCAAAACAAGAAATTGACAGGGGCAAGCATGAAAGGGCACAACAGACGGCAAGGAGCCAATTCACCTACACCTGGTGCCCGAATAATTGGCGCTGGCGCTACAACCAAATCATGGCGATGGTGGCTGACTGCAGCATAGTATAGCTAACTATACGGTATATGGTTGAATGAACTATTGAATGCTTTCACTAATTCAATCGCGCCGCAACAAAAAAATTCGATGACGACGAGGAAAAGGCGAACGATGAGACAGAGCTAATAAAATGATCTTCCCCACGTTTGGAACCGGGTTGATCGTAAATCTACAACACGACACCCTCCAACCAATCGTGAGATCACACAATTCGGTCGCAAAACAAAAATAATCAAGAGGCGAAAGTGGAAAAGGCCCCAAAATGCGGTACAACGACGACCTCTTTTTGCAATTCCAATTATGCAACTGAATTTATGATGATGAGCGCCGAAAATTGTTCAAATATGCATTTTATGACCGGAATGCGTAATTGCCGATGCGCTCGAATGCTCCATTAATGCCCAATATTCTTCAACATTTTTAGGCGATGCAAAAAGTTTGAATTTCTAAATACGTATTGGCGCCGCCCGTGAATTTACACCATCACGCCAAAACTTTTAATCCAATTTTCCATATTTCAATATTGCGAAACAAAAACCACATTATTCAACAGTGAAATTAAATAATTATTTAAAGGCGCATAGCACAAATAAAAATGGGATGGGTCTTGTGGCGATCAAGACTAAATAATTTCTAATCTAAAAAATTACTAATTAAATCTAGGCCAACTTTATTATGCGATATTCTTATTATTTGCAGTTTTTTTGATATCCAAATCGCTTACGCATGACCAGTAAAACGCAGGAGCTCTTACAAAGTACGAATGGGCTTTCAATTAAGAAGTGATGAGGTCCAAGCAAACCAAAAATAAAATAAACGATAGTGTATTAATTCGTTGGCACTTTGTATTTCAGCTCGCCGCTAGCAATCCGCCTCTTCAGCTCCGTCCACAACAGCTCGCGCTCTTTGTTCGCCTTCTTCAGCACACTTCCATTCTCGATCGCGCGCCGACTCAAATACGGCAGCACCTCGTCAACCGGACCGTACGGTAGATATTTGTAAACCGAGTAGCCGGCTTGTCCGAGCGAGAACGACACCTGATCGCACATTCCGTACAATTGCGCCATACACATGACGCGTTCCGATGGCGCGATGCAGCGCTCCTTCATCAAATTCACCGCAAATCTGAAAGATCCTCAATCAGGCACTACTCTAGTCGCTCATTTTCTCACTTGACCGTCTCCTCGTTATGACTCGCTATCATCACCGACACATTCGTTTTGCCTCGTCTCGCCACCTCATCGGCAATTCGCGTCAGGCAAGCCTCATACATTCGCGTCGTCGCTTCAAAGTCCGGATTCACCGGATCCTCATAACCGACAGCAGCCGCTCGTTTCCTCTCTTGCTCCATATAAGCACCGCGGACAAGTTTCGCCCCAAAATGCCATCCCTCTCGTCGAGCGACCTTCAAAAATGCTAATTTGCATTTTCAAATAGGTTATGGGGGGGGGGAAATCCCAAATGCGGGAAGCCATAATTTACCTGCATGTCAGCTTCAATAGCTTGCAATGTGCCTTTAAGATAGGCTTGATATGTGTTGAACACATTTCCACGCGCCTTATTGTATCTTTTCATCATTTCGATGGTGATTTTCGAGATCGCCGGTTGAAGGTAAGTCTGCTCAGCATCCACCATAATTCGAACATTCTTCGATATCGCATACTCGGCAACATCCAGCGTTCTTCTCACCATATTTCGAAACTAAAAATCGTGGCTCCCAAAAAAAGAAAAGAAGACAAAAAAGATCACCTCTTGCTCTTCCGACTCGCTCAAATTTTGAATGAGCGGCTCCAATTCGCCGGTCTTGATGTTCAACACCTGGAACAGTTGGCCGAGACGAACGTGATCGTCGAGAATGTGATTCCATCCGTGCAAATCGACAACGCCGTCGGCGTCAAAATCGACTTTGCGAAAAAAATCGCGCGCCGACGCCGAGTCGGTCTTCACGCCGAGCTCTTTGAGCTTCTCGACAAATTGTTGCTCGTTGAGTCGAGCGTCTTGCACTTTGTCCTGTCCGGTGAGCGCCTTGAAGAAATTCTGCGTCTGCACAATGGCTTCTAAACAAAACAGACACCGTCGAATCAGAAGGCGACCATCACATACCCGACAACTTCAACAACAATTGGGGCCGTCCAAGTGCCGTGATTTTCACGGCCACGAATCCCTCGCCGCCGGTGACCGTCGCCACCGAATCAATCGATCGTTTAAAGATGTCGCGATTCGCGTCGCACTGCTCTTCGCCCTCATAGAAATACGTTCTGATAATTACCAAGTAACGACTTGTCGACACAATTTCACCACGCACCTGGCACCTGAGACGCCTTCACGACGATCGCCAAACTGCTCCTGCACGGTGTAGCGATGTCGTGTCGCTTCAGCGGTGGCCGCATCGATAGCCGGATTCAAATCCTAGAAAAATGATTGGATAAAACGCGAAAATCACATACGAGCGGGTTAAAACAAGACATTTTTCTTTCAAAAATTGAACAAATACGAAAAACTCTATACATTTGTGATAATCGTTCTTCCTCCGTTCGTCTGCAAAAAATTTTCCCTAATTTCGGTTAGTAATGACTGGATTAGAGTTTCAAACAAAAAAAAAAACAATAGAAGAATGAATTTCTACCTCCGGCACAACTTTGGCCGTCGAAGCGCCGGCCACCGTCTTATTCGACGCTTCCTGAGTGGTAATGTCGGCTTCAACCGAATAATCGAGAATCGATTTCACGCCAAATTGGCGCAATTTCGCCACCACCGGTCCCACTTCGCTTTCCGTCTCACCGGCTACAAAATGACCATAGAACGTGTTTTTTAGCACTTTTTTGAACAAATTTTTGCCGAGCACTCGACGCATAGTCGCAAGAATCGCCTGATTATTGTCGACGAGCGGCTTGATGCCGCATAAGCGGAGAACGACGAGCGCGCGCACAAGCTCGGTGTTCGATTTGCTCTGAAAAAATGTTTTGAGGACGAATGTGAAATTTCCAAATTAAATATCGATTCTTTTTTTACAAAAAATCACGCGAAAATCAAGCAGTTAAAAACATTTAGCATTTCTTAACAAAAAAAAGGTGTTTTAAAAAGCGAAATTCGACGCGAATTCAAATTTGAAAAAAAAAATCAAATTCAATAATTTTGTGCAATAGAGCGCACTTGCAATTTTTGCTAACCGCCCACCTTAAAGGCTTCCTTTGTGTTTTTAAACGACAAATCCAATCGATTATAGCATTCGTCGATCTCCTTCTTCAATTCCGCCGTTGGCGGCGTCGAGCTCGCCGCCGTCGTCGAATTCCAGCGAGACACTGCAAAACATATAAAAATCGACGACAGTTGATGGTTATGATGCTCACGGCTCGTCGGCAAACGATAAAGAAGAACTGCGTGCCTTCCATTCATGGCAGCCGCTCGCATCACCTACAACCCAATAATTGTTCGATCCACGGCGAGACGATTGCGAAAAAATGAGAGAGTGAAGAAAAATGAAAATAGAAACGTGGTCGGAGGGCAGCGAAAAAAAATTTCTTCTTCTTCTTTTTCGCGTGGCTCTTCAACCGCCCCTGACGAAATAGTGCGCGTTGGGCGAGAGACGCCGACGCGTCTGCTCGGAGAGCACTCTGGTTTCAAAAATTGCAAAATTCAAAGTGTCAGGTGTGCTGCGGACATGGTGAGAAGCACGTAACTAGCAAAAAAAAAGAATGACGACATTTTCTTTTTTTTGAGGATGAAAAAATGAATGAAACTTGTAATTTTTGGGGATTCTCGCGCGATTCGATTCAATTTGAAACTCCCAAGGGAATTCAATTCAACATAATTGGTTTCACACCATATAACGAACGCTTGAATCGAAGGTACGTGGTTGACGAGAACAAAAAAAACACAAAATAACCGCGTGGTTCTCGATGAGAAACGAGTTGGAGAAAGAGCCGAATGGCAAAAGCGAGGAAACGCCAATGAAACAGAGGGCGCAGGAAGCCAACAAAAATATGTACACTTTTTTTTTTGTGTGTTTGGCGCATGTCTTATTTTTTGCCAAAATATCGTTGTGGTGCCGTCGCCCTTTGGAGAAGAGTCACCGTCAACAAATGATTGAAACATTTGATATCCGGTGGCCTTTATTTTAAATTAAATGTCGGCACCCTTTTGATCAGGTCTACAGTATGATAAAGTCTCGAAAATTCCGAAATGTTCGGGTCTTGTGGCGAAAAATTACACTTTTCTGGATTCTTCGTTTCCAAAAACCAAATCTCAAAAATCAGTAGTCGTGAAATGATGGTCCCCGTTTAAAATCTTTAAAAATTCATATATGTCATGCGGATTTTAAGGGGATAGCATGCGGAATTGAACTTTGGACTATTGGCTTTATCAAATCATTTTTTATTGTAAATTTTGATTCGATCTTATCGCCGGAAAAAAATGCGTGGGCGAGCCCAAAAGTGATCCACTATAAGAGGAGGAGATGATCCAAAAAACCAGCATTCATCTCGAAATGCTTTGGATCGTCGTTTTGCTCTTCGCCGCCGCCTATGTAACTCAAACTATAATCATGCGTCATTTCAATGTCTCAAATTTAGGCCCAATATGGTGTTCCACAACAGCCACCACAATATGCTTATCCACCATTTGTCATTGATAGTGCGATTTAATTTTTTTCGATTTTTTCCAAAGGCTAATTTTTGATGTTTAGACTACGTTTGCTCGGCGGATGTCAGCTATCCGGTGTTCAACGCGCATCGCGGAAGGAAATGTAAAAAATTTGGGACCTTTCAACACACAATTTCTAATTTTTGTCAGATAGAGGATCAAAACAGAACTTCTGCTTAGACACCTATCGCGATGGAGGATGCGAGACTTGCTGTCGAATGGCCGCCCGTATTGAAGGAACCAATATTGATGAGGTGATTATTTATGATTTAAATTATAATCAATACTTAATTATACCTTTATAAGGCCGACATCCTTGGGTTAACCATTGTCCGCAACAAGAAGTCCATTTGCATTTGCTGTGCTCCGAATAATGCCGGTGGCGATGCGGCGACTTATGGGACGCAGACGGTTGCCGATCCTGCTGCAAATACTAATATGGAGAACAACGCCTCAATTGGATATTAATTGAATGTATTTGCGATTTCAAATTAATAATTACGAACATTTTATTTCTGTATTTGATTTTTATATTGAAAACAATAAAAAAAATCAAGAACTTCCACAACTTTGAAATGGTTTTGCGTAAATTAAAATGCAAGTCCGTAGAATTCATGCGACGTGATTGCACATCATGTTCATATAAAAAATAACGAATTTGGCCAACGAAAATTGTAACTGGATTAATTTTGAACAAGTCGTCAGTTTTATAGCGAAATCTGCATTTTTTTTTTAAAATATAGACGACTTATTTAGTAAACTTTGCCATTACAGTTATTGAATTTTCACATTTTCGACGAAAATGATTAAAATTTGATGAACCCGGTAGAACCCAAGCCAGTATTTTTCATAAAAATTTATCTATTTTTTGGATTTTTTTTTTCACCAAAACTTGCTTTTTAAAAATGAATTCTCGGAATTTTTGATAAAAATGTTTTTTTCTAAAATTCCAAAAATTAGTCTTCTTCATTATTATCTTTGAAACATCCTTCACATCCCAGTTTGTCTCAAATTTGCGACTGCAACGAGAAAAAACCGGCGAGTTTCAAAAATTGTGAGAGTTGCGCTGCGTCTCTGAATATTGCACACTGCCTCGCTGCAGTGTCTCGCAACGACGAGCCACATCCAACCGCCTGTTACAGTACACCCTCTCGTCACCGCTATTTTAGTTTTCCTTTCTTTTTTTGGGTTTTCGTTGTTTTTTACCAACAAAAACGATTAAACAAGCTAATTTTGTTGAGAAATTAATATATTGTGCTATTTTTATAAGTTCAAATATTTTTTGAAAGTTTTCTTCTCTTAGAATTGAGATTTTCTTCGATATTGAATGTCGCGCGTTTAAATTGTTTTAAAAATCGATATTTGCAGGGTTAACCGATTTCACTATGGCCAAGTCGAAGAACCATACCAATCACAACCAGAGTAAGTCGCTTTTTATTTATATTATGCGAATTTCATTTATTTAAAAAATATATATTTATATTATGCGAATTTCATTTATTTAAAAAAACATTTTGTTCGGGTTGAAAGCTTATTGTCGATGGACGCTCAGAAACTTATTGTCATTTTACGTTTTAAATTTTGTTTTAACATTGCGTCGAAAACTAAAAAAAAACCTTTAATATTTTTAATCTGGATTAATTGACAAAATTTAGACTTAATAAATAATCAGAAAGTCGTGTCGTAGAAATAGCGAGTTTCGGTAGCGAAAATTACGGCAAAATGAGAAAGCGATTGGAAGAAATGCAGAAATTTTGTACCGAAACTACTCGACGATTTTCCGAGTGTTAATACTATTGGCATCGCGCGACTGCCGAAGATTGGCTAAAATCCAAAAAAATTGTACATGTTCTTGGTGTAAAACTAAAAGTGGAGACTTACAGGCTAAGGTTATGTTTAAGGTGCACACCTTACATTTTTTGGAATTTAGCCAAATCTCCGAAGTCACGTGACGTTGATAGTTTATGACATCCATCAGCAAGATTTAATGATATTTTCAAATATTGAACGTCATTTAAAATTTAAATGACTGTACTTGTTAATATTTTCATTCATTTATTTTCCTTATTGCAGACAAGAAGGCTCACCGCAATGGTATCAAGAAGCCGAAGAGACACGTCTTCCTCTCCATGAAGGGTGTCGACCCAAAGTTCTTGAAGAACCTCCGCTTCGCCAGAAAGAATAACAAGCGTCACATTAACAAGGCTGTCGAATCCAAGGCCTAAGTGGACATTGTTAATTGTTATAAATCTTACAAGTTTGATATGTGTTATTTTTAAAAAAATGGTAATACTCCAAACAAATAACTAACATAAGAATGCCACACACGCACACACGATAATATCGAAAACAATCAGATGAAAGAAGACGTTCTTGTCAGAAAGTTGCTAGCCGATGGAGAAGGAACAGGAGAAGAGCGCAGGTTCCTGCAATTGATGTCGTTTTTCCGAGATGTGAAAAAATCGGAAAATGATCCTAAAACTGCAGAGGCTATAAAAATGCTTAAGAACGTAGGGGGTTTTGTCTTCAAAGAAAAAAAAAACAATTCTCTGAAGTTCAGCTAGATTCGTTAGTATTGTCGGCTCAGAAAAGTATTCAAATTGCCGAGATGAATCGGCAACAAGCCGCCGAATTTGAAGAAGTTGTCAAAGAAGTTGAAGCCGAGGTTGAGACCTCATTGATTATATATTTCAAATTTCAAGACAATTTTAAGATTGAAAAGCGAGTAGACTCGATTGAAGACGCGAAGAAGGAGTTAGCCGCAGCTCGAATTGTCAAAAAGTTGGAAATTGTGAAATTTTGTCAAAATTCATTTGAAAATTTCCAGAAATCGACAAGAATACTTGAAAAGTGTCAAATCGATCGAACAATTTCCAACAAGAGAGGAAACGTCGCGGTGGGGTGAAATTTTTAGAAAATTTTGATAATTTGTATTTTGTTTCGATTTTTCAGAAGATTGATCGAGATTCGCGATGAGTTTGAAAGGCAACATGAAAGGCAGAGGATATTAGAGGCTAAGGTGTGCATTTTCAACCGACAAATAGAAAAAATATCGAAATCAGCGGATGATTTAAATTGTTTTTGCAAATTAGCTAAGAATTCTTATATTTCTTCCAAACTAGGATCAAAAATTAATTTTTTTTCGCTTTTTCTTGACATTCAAATTTTTGCCGGCAATTCGACACGCCAATTTCCATTTTTGATTTACGTTTTCGAAAATCCCGTCGAAACACGCGTTTTTTATTGCAGATTAGCGAGCGACGCAACCAAATGCTGGCGCTCAACATCGTCCTGTACAACTTCAACCGGTTCATTCAAGGTTTCGCCGCGATTTTGCAGAAATCACAATCTTCCTGCATGCAACGCCTATTTTTTTTCAGCCGACGATGAGGATCTTGAAACTGAGATGGACGACGATGGCGCAAAAGAGCGAGATAGTCAAAATCGCGACGATGAACAGCATTCGTCGAAAGACGTCAAATCAAGAGCGGCTTCAATCGAGCATTAATGATCTCTCTTCAATCTGTGAATAAGATTTTCAATTTTTTGACTGAAAATGAACATTGACATATCGAAAATTGTTGGGAGAATGACGCAATTGAAATTAGCATAATTCACTTGAAGTGCACTTTTGGATGGTTTTTTTTTGCAATAGATTTGGGTATAAATTATGGAAAATAATAATTTTACGCGTCAGATTCGATGCTATACGCAATGCGTACAAGGCGCCTCATTTGACGACATTACTATTTTCTAGCAAATTCTTCGTTAAAAATTTCTCTGATTTTTTGTATTTCAATCGCAAAAAAACGAACACTCTGAGTGGATTTACGGTGTGTTCGATTATTAGTAGTACTGTAGCCGAATTACCTACTGTTTAAATTCAAATTTGAATTGTCGTTTCAAAAAAATGCGGTGGTCCACAATTATTCGTTTCTGTTTTTGGTGACAATGATATTCGTTTAATTTTTTGCTCATTTTTTTCGCGTTTCAGGTTTCATTTATCAATATTATTCTTGAATTCGCCAAAAATTGACGATATTTCGATTGGTGACCTAAAAAACTGTCAATGTTCACGCTTCATAGGCAATTTGGTTAATTGCCGTCATAATTATAACTCTCTCTCTCTCTCTCCCCAAAAAATAGGCGAAACCTGATTTTAGACACATGAAAGAGATTATATTTACATTTATGTATGTTACCGAATGTCGCGACAATGAACACTTGAAGAGTATCATTTGATAGCGACCCCCCCCCATAGTGCGGCCAAGTTATTGTGGTTGCCAGGAGCACAGCTGACGTCGACTCTCACCGGCACAAAAAAATCATTGGTAAGAATATTACAATCATTCCAATTGTTTCACAATATTTTCAGTTTCCAGGTTTTCGATTCTCATCGCGACGATCGGAAATTTCTTGAAAATGAAAAATTTCATCACGGCTGGCCGCCGGTACTCTTATCATTTGGGGAAGGAAAAAATTGTTGCGATACACAATTTTGCGTCGAAGCATCCCCCACCCTCCATAGACACACACTCACAGGGTGTAGAATACGGCAAAAGTGTATGAGTGTGTTTCACCTTCTCGTTCTTTCTTTCTCTCTCTCTCTCTCTCTATCTCTGTCTTTCTTCTGCCCGCATCGTACAGTAACAAACATACATACGCACTCACTCAAAATTCACCGCCATGCAATTAAATATAGCCAACTAGGAGGAGCGGGCAGGGTCGGCCCGGTCCGGCCCGGCCCCCGAGAGCCAATTTTAATGGAGTCGATGGCGGGCTGCTGCAGCCGCTGCTTGTCGCTCTCTCGTCGAGCACCCTCTATGATTGGCGTGCTCTCTCGCCGCGACACGGCGCGAACCTTGCGAATCGCGCGCAAGCGAGGGAGGAAGAACGAAAACGAAATCTTTCTATGTGTGTCTATATGTGTGTGTGTGTGTTGTGTGAATGAATGTGTTTTTCCATACCGCCTCCTGTCCCGTCCCGGGGTCCCCACTCCTTCCCGCGCCGGTTTTCGACGAGATTGTTTCTCCCCTCCCCCCCTTCCAAAAAAAAAAATGCGAACTTTCGCTTTTTCTGAGATAAGCGTTTCTAGCAGCCTCAATTCAATGTTGGTGTGCATTGTCGTTTTTTTTTGCACTTTTTTCCCACCTGTCTTTTTCCTTAATTTATAATACAACATATGGAACCTTTCGGAATTGATTGAAGCGATGCAACGCGACAAAAAATCGTCCTTTATAAACCTTTGATGTAAGAAAAAATTTGCGGTTTAATTATCAGGTAGACCGGAACACCTGTTCTCCCATTTCCCAATGTCTTCTTAGCACCTCGTTGAGCACCGTCGGGGGGAACAATAGATCTGTCGACGGGGGGCGGAGAGCTGGACGAGCGCTCGACGCACATCCTCTGTTTATAGTGTGGCGCGTGAACATCGTGCCCCGTCGCATTCACCTCGCAATTTATTTTTGATTTTCGTGTGTTTGCATAACTTCCATGTTTTTTTTTGTATTTCTTTTGGCTGATGATGTTGTCTTGTCCCTTGCGGCTTCTTCCAAAAAAAAAGAGCCGCCGTCTAGTTGTTAGTCGCTTGGCCAAACCCTAGAGACATTCTCCTCGTCTTCTTCTTCTTCTTGTGGCGGAGCACAAAACAATCAGATAAGTTGGGCTCTTGAGTAATGTGCCATCTTCTCCTCTTCTTTTTTTTTGCTGAAGAGACGCGTAGGTGCTCAATGATCATCACACGCGGAAATTATTGTAAATTTCAAAGGGGGAGAGAGAGAGAGAGTGTGTGGCTTAGCATCTGGTTAACTCGGTGCCATCGTAAAATGAAATTTTTTGGCAAGTTTCAAAAAATTACGCCTATTAAGCCTGCATTATTCAAAAATTGTTCAAATTATGTCGATCAATTAGCATCGTTCACACCACTAATATCCTCTCTCCCTCTGTCTCTCGCGCTCTCGTCGAGTAGCCACGCCCACTCGGATTGTTCATCATCATCATCATCGGTGGAATCGCTCTCGCGTTGTCTATCGAGTCGCTCGTTCGATCGGCGGCCGTCTCTTGGTGTTGTTGTCGGGGCCGTCCGGTTCTTGGGTTCGGATACGCATCGCTTATCGATTATTAGTGTTTGCGCGCGCGCACGCGCGTGCGCAACACTCTCCCGTCTGCTCTCACCCCTCATCATCTCTCCTTATAAATCTCTGGATGGGTGTGGTGATGGGGGGAGGAGAGGCCGACGATGATAACCGAGGCGGGAGAGCAGCCGTCGTCGAATCACTCTGCGTCTCTCACCACCCGCGTTCATTCGGGTCTCCCGCACGCCCGCCATTGTTGTATTGATTTTGACATTCGTCGTGTGTGTCTTTTCGGCCGAAGTGAGCGCGCGCGCGCTCGTCCTCCTCTCCACCCGCCCGCACGCACGCACGCATCTTCATCGTCGTCGTCTTCCTTCTCCTCCACCACCACCTCCTCCTCCTCTCCTTTGCCTCTACCAATTTTCTCTCTATATGTTTCGCTTTTCGCATTTACTATTTTTTTTATTACGAAAACGTTTCTATTTTTTTTTCTGCCGCGGGCACAACTCGCTCGACATACATTCACATTAGAATATTTCAGGCGATCGAACAACCGTTTGAAGCATATGGGAAGTGGAGAGTGGTGTTGCTGCAGAGATTGAGATCAGGTAGATTTCGCTTTTTCTTCTTTCGATATCCTTTTTGAATGGTTTTTTTTGTAGAACAAACACCTTTCCAAATATGGCGTTTGACATGAACACAATGAGCAGTTTGTTCGCCGCGCAGCCGCCGCCGCCACCGCAACAACAACCGCAACAACAACAACAGCAGCAGGCGGGCGTGCCGGCGGTGCCGCCGCCGCAAAACCTGTGGGCACTTCAGCAGCAGTTCGGCGCCGCTGGTCAAATCGGCGTTGGCAATCTCGGCGGAATGCTGAGCCAGTTTCCGGCGCACAACATGGCCAATCAGCTGATTCTTGGTGGTGGCGGTGGCGTTCCGCAACAACAGCAGCAGGCTCAGCAGCAAATGTCGCAGGCGCCGATCGCCGAGCCGCCTAAAGCCGACACAATTCAGGGCATCGGGGTTCTCACGTGGCTCTCAGCCAAAGCGGGTCTCATCACGTGTAAGGACAAAATGGTCATCTCGTTTCAGCTCAAGGATTTCTGTGATCAAGTGAGTTTCTGCTTTTTTGTGTGTGTGCGTGCGTGTGCGAATTTTTCGCGCTCAGCCAGGTGCAAATTTTGGTTAATTTGAACGCGCACTCTTTTATATATATGCTCTATTCTCAAATATTTAATAATTCACCTGCTGCAGATGCTCAACGACCTAACATCTGTTCTCCGCGTCGGTTTTACGCTGTCGTTCCAAGCGGCGCTCAACGAGACGAGCGAGTACACGGCGACGTTGGTTCAGCCGATTTATGGCGCCGAAGCCGATCTTGTGTTCCACAACTCGCCGGAAGTCGATCTTGAGCCGACGAACTCGGCGGCGCCCAACTCGAAAGACGCCTATTCGGTGTCGATTGAGGCGCGCGCGATTCCCGCGCTGTTGGCGATCTTCCAGCGTCATGGACTTCAGCAGATTCAGCTCAGCAGTTTGCACTCGCAAATGTCGAATTGCGGTGACGATGAGCTGTTCCGCTACGTTGGCACGTCGTCATTGAAGCGTCGTCAGTTCGTCGAGCGGCGCACCCATATCTTCCGCCTCCAAAATGACGACTCCATTATTCTTCAGGTGAGAGATTTGTTGCATACCGGATTTTAATGAGTCCCTCCGGTTACAGTATCCATCGGTGTACGTTGCCGTCTATAAATGCGCGTCGTTTTTGCTTCGTCGTGGAGGCGCGACGGCGATCCAATCGCTGTTCGACTTCTACGTGAGCAACGAAATCGCGCCGGAGATTCGCGAGCACGTCGGCGAGACGCGTCAAGAGTTCTTGCAGCTCATCACCGCGCACAGTTGGGTGTTCGCGTTGTTCCCGAATCGCACGTACGTGTCGGTTCGCCGCAACTTGCCCAGATACGACTATCCGGAGTTCATCAAACAACACTTTCCGGAGCTCGACATTTCGCGTCAGATGCGCATGGGAGTCGCCGGATACGGCCAACCGCCGCGCGGAATTCAGCGCACAATGTCGGTTCAGATGCCGCCACAATTCAACACGAACGTGCCGACGAACGGAGCGCAACGACAGCAGAGTATGCTCCTTCAGCAACAGGCTTCATCGCGTCCGATTTCGTTGTGGGACTCGCAGAACTCGTTGAGCCATCCCGCCGACCAATGGAGCCCGCTGTTCTCGCCGACGACGTGGTCGAATCAGGCGCGCGTGATGCCGCCGTTGATGGGCGCGGCGCCGAATGACAACTTCCTGCTCGGAGGCGGCGCCGCCGCCGCCAACATCAACACACTCTTGAGTATGGGCCATTTGAATCCGAGAACGGTGAGCCGTGGAATTCAGTCGGATTTGTCGCCGGTGATCGGTGGCAATCCGATCGGACGCGGCGGTTGTACGTGCCAATGCCAGTGCGGACGCGGCGGTGCCGGTGTGATTGGAAATCGCGGATCGTCATCGAGAGCTTCCGGCGGTTCGGCAACGCCTCCCAGTGTCGACAGCAACAGTCCCTACGAGCGCTATTCGCCATTAAATGGTTGGTCGCGTTTTCCGAATGATTGGATGATGGTTCTTTTGTTTTCAGGCATCGGCTCGATTGGAGATCGCCTCTCGGCGCCGAGCACCACCGGCGCCACCAACAATTCGGATCTTTCGGTGGCTTCGTCGTCGGGACCGGCGACCGCCTCGTCGACGAACAGCCAAAGATATTACGATCCGTTCGGCACCGCCGATTTGCTCAACGGCTCTCGTTTGAGCTCGCTTCGCATCTAACTCCGAAGCGCAATTATTCCATTGTATGTATTAATTCTCATGCATTATTACCCTTTTTTACTTGCTTTTTTTTGTCTCTCTCTCTCACTCACACACATTTGTTTGCTTATCTGTTGCCTTTTCTTTCGTCCGATTTGCGATTCTTTCAGCATTCAAACCCTGTCCCCCCCGTTCTTCCATCTCGTTCATCCGAAAATCTAATCGAAACCAATAATTTGTGTTGTTGAAATTCACCAACCATTGCGGGTACCAATTTTCCACTCGTCCCCCTCCCCTCCTAATAAGTGTAATATTAATCATCCTAGCAAAAACAGACTAATTCAAGAATTCTGCTATATACATATTAAATCCCCTCCCCCTCAACCCTTCCATTAAAAAAATAGTCATTTCGCCATTAAATTCGACACATTTGGCGCGAAAAGATCATCATTTTCATCATCAAAATTGACAAAATCAAGGATCATCAGAGCTAATCGCGTACCGAACTGTCTTTGATTACGGGTAGCCATTTTCTCTTTGAAAACGTCGAGAGAGAGAAATTTCGATATATTTTTTTTGGAAAAAATTTCGCAATAATTATTTGATAATATAATTTGAAACGCTAATAATATAATAATCTTGCCGACCTACCTGTTGTCTACTTTGACATTATTATTATTTTTTCCTTTTTAAATTCAACTCATCGTCACTTAGTCAATGACCCGCCCTTTAATAATTATTCTGTGATCTACATTGTACAAAAAGAAGCCAAGAAATGCAAAAATGGGGTGCTGTTCTTTTTTTTGTGTTCGGCCCTCTCAGCGAAATGTCTCTCATCTTTCCGTTTGTTGCAATTCCCACCCTCCCAATTCTTAAGTGATTTATGGTGCATTATTCAGGTATAACTTCTCCCCCCTGCGTCTAAAACATTGTGAAACGTGTAATTTTTGGCCCCAAGCAGCAAAAAAAGCAAAAAGAAAAATCAAAAAAAAATTATTATTAATAGTCGGTTAGAGAGTCTAGGTCTCATCTTCCCTCAATCTCCCCCCCCCCCCCCAAAAAAACACCCCACAAAACATGAATATTGTCTTTCATCCCTCGATTCACACTACGCGTGATTTTCATATGATCTGCTACACATTTTCGAGCTATTACCGTCAATTATTGTTATTCAATGGGTTCATTTAATTGTTTTTCTATTATTATTATTAGCATTATTGTTCTAATTAGTTATTCTTGCAAAAACATTTTCGCCGCCTACCAGTTTTCTGTCTAGTTATTTGAATTCGTGTAATTTTGTGTTTTGTTTTTTTTAAACATCATCATCTTTTTTTCTGTCGCGAGGTTCCACCCGCAAATCTTATTTCGCTGGCCCGTCCCTCTCATTATCGTGGTTATTTCTAATGTTGCCTTTACACTTCGTTTAACTCATCACTTTGCCGACAAAATTGTCTAACTCAAAAAAACTTTAAGGAAAAGAAAAGCGTTAATAATTATTGTGATTTTTGTACTAGATTATCCCACGTCTCTATTTTTTCTCTTTTAAAATTGTTCCATGTCGTCGTTTCCGGTTTGATGCCAATGAGAAGTCCGCAGAAAGACCATACGACCCCAGTTTCGTTTTCTCATCGTAATCTCTCTCAATCAACCGCCACTTTAATTGTTTCTCATAATCACACATTTCTTTTTTTTCTGTCAAGCAATTTTCAATTCATTATATTATTTCTGATATATTAATCCAAACAAAGTCAATTGCCAAGAATAAATCGAGAAAAAGATGGGATTCGTCCCGAAAAAAAGAGAAACGCGTGTTTTTTTCTTGTGTTTTCGGTTGAAAACGTTGCCATTTATTTGGAATGAGCGTGAATTATTCGCTGGCGGCCGCCACCACTACCGGTTGGTCGATTCTGCGGGTTCTCGTCCTCTGGAAGGGCAGCCTATGGAAGTTGGTGTGGCGAGAGATGCTATTCTGGGCGCTGCTCTTCGCCGGAGTCAATTTGTCGTATTATTATGGCATTCGAGTTGAGTTTGACCGAATCACAGTTGTGGGGGTGCCCTTTTTTTCGAATAAAATTTAAAAAATTTTAAGACTTCTGTAATTCCAACAAAATTCTACTGAATTTTCAAATTTTTATTTCATTTAAAAGTTAATCTAATGCTCTTTTTAATTGCGACAACTATTGTTATTCTCATTTTCATTTAATGAAATGCCTCATTGGCAATCGCCTCGTATTTTCAAAATGCAAATTTTGCGAGATATCGTCGATCAGTATTGAAATAACACTATTTGGAGGAAATCCGAAAAAAATTTTGAATTGGTCCCGACAGCCTTGATTTGAATCGATTTTTGGGGAAATCTGAAATAATGCCGATTTTCAGAACACTTCTGCCGAGTCGACATACATGTCAATCCTTAAAATCGTTCAAGAAATCCCGCTCGATGGCACAATGATGTTCCTTTTGACATATTTGACCTTTAACAGTCTTACCAGGTTCATATGGTGTACTCTTCTTGCATAGAAATGCTTTTTTTGGATGGTCCGAAACGTATAAACTCCTTATTTGGCCTGAAAACATCGCCTACCTTTTCCAGCAGCATTTCAATGAGAAGGCTGTAATGATTTTGAGAAGTTCTGAATAAAATATTATAGAAAATCAATTGCAGATTTCGAGGAAAGAGGCGAAAATGCTGAAATCAACGATTTGCCGTTACCTCATCGCGTTTTATATTCTCGTTTTTCGTGATGTCTCCACAGAAGTGAGACAATGGTTTCCAACTCTCGATCATTTCGTGGAATGCAATATATTGACAAAGTTTGGAAGCTAATTAAAAAAACGAAAAATTAAAATTGCGGTGCAATTTTCATCCACGGTGTACTGCGGAATGCGCAACATCTTACGAAAACTTTCTTTTTTTTCTCTCGTCTATTTAAAAATTTCATTGCAGCAATGAGCTGAAAATCATCAAAAGCTCTCGAATGAGCGAGAATGATTGCAAATATTGGGTGCCGCTTGATTGGATCGCTCTATTACTGAAAAAGCGCTACGCGAGAAAGTAAGTTTATTGCGAATGCTCATGTTTTTTTTTTAAATCAATTATTTCCAGGTACATTTTTGATGCCAAGGGCAAACGAGTACGAAATATGAAAGTCGGAATTATGACGGACGTCGGATTTGGTGATTTTATGGCGGAGGTAAATGTATTAAAACGGTATTACCGAAAACGCGCGAGAATTGAGTAATTGTGGACCATCGTATTTTTTTACGGATGGCGGCAATTCAAAATTTGATTTGAATGGTAGAAATTCGGTCGCTGCGAGACACCGCTAACCTCGTGCGCCTTTAATTTTAAAATTCTCCAAATTGTATCAAATTGTTTTTTTTTAATTTTCTTATCTAGAAATTTCAATTAAATTAAAAAAAAAAACAAAAAATAAATAAATGAAATATTGTGGAAATTGAGTTGGGTCTTGCGGCGACCGATTCTGGCAATATTTTAAAACCAAAATTTTGCAGTTGTGCCGCCTTCGCGGCAAAGTCAGCGACATTCTCTCCTACGATTGGGTTCCGCTGCCGTTGGCACTCGTCCAAACGTGCACTGTTTTCGTCTACAGTACCCTGATACTCAGCTCTTTCAAAATGCAATTCAGATTGGTCAATGTGTAGGCTTGAAAAAGAAACATCGATACCGATTATTTTCTAAATTAATTTTAAAAAACAATTTTAGACCCTCAAGTGCCTCGATGCTTCACGAAATGTTTGTGGAGAGCATCAGCACGCTACCCATCAATATTCTGTATTTGTCGTTCTTGCGAATCAGCCAAGTCGTCATTAATCCGTTTGGAATGGATGATGATGACTTTGAGGTCTTTCTTTATTTTTTTTCATTTCATTTCTTTCTCAAAAATTTTTTAACACGCAATTGCATTTAGGCTTTTTAGACGCCTTATTTAATCGAAAGACACTTCAATGTTCTCCAAGAGATTTTGTGCAAAGAGCATGAGGTGTCTGAAACCATGGGACTCTCATGCATGGATCAGGAAGCGGCCCATCTTGGGCATACTTTGGCCAGCGCCATGTTGAAGTGAGACTTCATAATGATCCCCCACAAAAGGCTTCTTACTTCTTTCTAGGGGCAATCGAATCCCAAAGTATCATTCATCCGACAATATAACAAAAATTGAGCGTCCTATTTAATAATAATTATTATTTATTAAATACAAAATTATTTCGTAATCGTTTGCTTCTTTTCGTAGACTGCTTGAATCTCTTCCGGGCTTTTATTTTTGCTTTCGGGAAGGATGAAATACAACAAAGCGACAGCGGCGATCTGAATGAATTGAAAGGAATCATGATGAGACGTTGATGAGACAAACCATTGGGGCAATGAAAAAAATCGCGTAGGCAATGTACTCGGAGCTCATATTTTTAACTGGAAGGTAGATTGAGAGGATGATAAACCGTCTGGAAATTGATTTTTTTCCCACAGAAAACTATATGATTTTGCTCACGAGCTTGCCATTATTGCATTGCTCCATGTTGAAGAAGCGGATCGATAGGAATGAGGCACCAGCTCGCCGGAAATGAACAATGAAACCGGTCCGGGTCCCATAGCGAACACAAAATTGAATAGGCAAATCGAGGCGACTAGCAAATAGCCGACTAGATGGGTCTTAAAGCGAATAATTTATTAGAATGTTTTTTTTGGTTTTTCATTCTTACTTCTGTGTATTCATGCGCGTACATTAACCCGACGATGATCACATTGACGACGGCCAACGCGGCGAAGGTTGAGAGAAGAAGCGGTCGCCTACCGTGATGGTCGATGATTCGCGTCGAGACCAGAATACCGGCGAGCGAGAATAGGCAGACGAACGCGTTTGCAATGGACGCCTCGTACTTCTCTAGGCCGGTGTTGAGAAGGATCTCAAACGCGAAAGCGTTGATTACTGTAGAACTCTGTTAGATAAAAAATGGAAACATTTGAATACCTGTAATTCCGCTCATCGCCATGCTAAAAGTCACCACCATTCCCAAAAAGGTACCCCTTCTCACGAATGGATCCCGCCAGACCGACATGAGTGATTTTTTGCTAGTCCCTGGTAGCATTATATGGGTGTCCATGAGCCTTGAAGCCTCATCTTCGGCATGCGCCTTTGAGATGGAATGGTAGAATTCAATGGAATGCGCCGTCTTGTGCGGTTTGCTATTGGAAGCCAAATGTCTGAAAATTTCGGTTTGTCTTTCTCTCGAAAATTCAAAAGAATTGAATACCCTGGACTATCATGGATAAATGGCAGAAGGATTAGGACAATGGTTATGATGATCATCTCGAAGACATAGAGAAGGTACCAGAGGGAAGGGGTCCCTAGCAGCTGAGGCATCGCTAGAATCGCTCCCACCGAAAGTGAGAACTGCAGAAGAACTCCATTGATGAGGCTTGTGATTCCCCGACAGTGAAGCGGACTCGCTTCGGTCACGAATATTGCGGCGATGCCCATTGACGTTGTAATTCCAGTGCCCATCAGAAGACGTGAAAATGTGTACATATAATGGTTGACAATCTGAAAGAATGAAATATTAAAAAAATTAATTTTTAATTGAAACACTTACGAAGAAACTGACAATTGCCATCACACATGATGTGAATTGGAGGCTGATTGAGAGAATTAGGCCGTTTTTGCGGCCGAACCTCTCAGAAATTACTCGTATCAGGAATGCTCCGATGACGGAGCCCAAAAAGAAGATGGCGACGATGAAGGACCACTCATTCTAGAGAAAATTTGGAAATTTTTTTTAGGTTCATTGAATTTATTGTGCAATTGGGCTCCACCAGTGTACAATTTTACTGGATTTTTGAGCTTTTTCGTCAAATTTTAAAATCAAATACGAACTTCGAGTTGACTTGCGTCGTGAATAATATGACCTTGGTGCACTTTGGAATCATTGAGAAACTGGAAAAGACGGTGTAAAAAATTGTATTAATCAAAAAATACGTACTTTTAGAAATGCGCCCTGCGCTGGATTTGTGATTAACAATTGGAATCCGAAATTGAACGAGCTTCCAAATGAGACGAGAATCGCGACAAGTGCGAGCCTAATTGGTGGCCATGAGGGTTTTCTGGAAAACAAAATGATAGCAACAAATAGAAATTTGATTAAAAATTGACCTCATTTGATTCAAATCGAACGATAATAGTGTGAAGAAATTTGGTGAAAAAGCGGAACAAAATCGAAACTCGTTTCAAATATCTCGTCAATAACACAAAATCATTCGATTGATCACGTTCCGGTGAGAAATCTTGATGAGAGATTGCAATTTAAAAAATTGAAATTTTTATTGGAAATTTATGGGGTCACAAATGTCCCAGAAAAAAAGAAAAATTATTTTAATGAAGGAATATTCAAAAAAAAGTACTGTAATCAATTTACGAGAAAAAGTGGCGAGACCCGCGCAATAATTTGCCTTGCGTCCTTATTTTGAAGTACGGTATTGATTCAAAAAATAATTTTTTTAATGCGAAACATTTGTAAATTAGAAAACTTAAAAATATAGAAATTAGACTTACCTATTGGCTATACTTGTGGTGCATTTGTCGCTATCATCGGCCATTTTCAGCGCCTACCCAAGAAAGGCCAAAACGCGCTGAAATTGTGTCAATTTATTGGGAAGTTTTTTTTGATTGATGAAGGGGTAAAACGGAAATGTGTGTGGGTGTTTCTCTCCTTCAAAAAATAATTAGATCAAATAAAACAAATTTTTAATAAGATTTCCATTTGAAACATCCTGGTTATGAGAATTTCCGGCAAAAATTCGCAAAAATTGCTTGGGGCAAAAAATTTTTTTTGGTTTTTTGCAAGTTTTATTGAATAATTGTGATGAAAACATTCCCGAAAATGAATAATTCATAACGAATGTGGGCCTTGTTTACCGATTTTATTTAAAATAAATACATAGAAAAATTGTTTGACTCTTTTTAATTTTTGGTCTTCTGAAAATTGTTGGCGCATTTTTATCAATAATAGAATCAAAAAAATTGAAAGGGCAAGGATTAAATTTTTTTTCGCAAAGTGCAATATGGAAATATTAAACCGTTATTGGTTCGACATTGACTGGAATTCAAATTAAAAAAAATCAAAGCTACAACATCAATACGAAAAAAATATAGTTGATCGGTGAGGTCAAGCGTCTCAAATATCCCCAGTATTCTAGATTTCTCCAATTTTTCTTCTTGAATGTCTCTCTCGCCGATTATTGCGAAATTCAACATGCATTGAATAGAGGGCGGCGAGACCTCGAAGCGTGTCCGCAGCTTGAACACGTTAATTAAAAAATTTTTTAATATCGTTTTTCTTTATTTGCTCGATCTAACATTTAGTTGAACCCTTATAATTGCGCATTTCCTTTGCATGGAAAACAATAAAACAATTTTGAAGTTTTTTACCAAAAAATTGAAGTTTAATATTTTTCCCTTTTTTTTAATAGGATTTTTCTAGAAATCGTTGGCATCTCACGAAATCAACAATTTTACACAAAAAACAAATTCTAGTTCCGCGTGCTGATGAAATCAGAAACGTTTCTGTTCTCGTTTGATCATCACAGCAGCTATCAGCCGCCGAGCACGCTGCCATGATTCTCTGCGTCGCTTCACAATCATCCAATCAGCTTTCGATTCAATCGCTCAATTCGCCGAGAAATGACCAGGTCAGTCAATTTTCGTTTTTTTTTAATTTTTGGTTTTTCGCACCAAAAATTTTTGACACGTCCATTTTTTTGAATTTCGCGCCAAGTGATTTTAACGATTTTTTTTAATCAAAAATTTTTTCGGCAAAAATTTGAAAAAAAAAAAAACCAAACAATTCATTAAAAATAATCAAAAGTGTGCAAAATTGCGTAAGCGTGTGTTTACGGACTTTTGTGAAAGTTCGAATTTTTCGAATTGCGCGCCATTTTTCAAATTTTCAACTAAATTCAATTTTTTTTGGTTCGACAAAAATTTCAAAAAAAAAAAAAAAAGATTTTTGCAAATATTCAAATGTGTGCAATTTTGCGTGAGCGTGTTCCCACGAATCGCTTTTTTTTGAAATCTTGAATAGAATCGAATTGAAATTCAGAAGCGGCGACAGCGTCGTGCCGAATTGTAGGCTAGCGATCGCCGCATTCATCGTCTCGCTTGGCGGCGGCTTCAATTTCGGCTATCAGCTTCTCATCACGAATTCATCGGAGAATGCGTTCATGCAATTTTTGGCCGCCTCGTATTCTCAACTCCATAATGTCAAGTATCGGAATGACGCGTCGGAGATTGTGGTAAGAAAAAAAAACCCAACAAAATCCGTCTCAATTAAATGGTAGATCAAATTTTACCGAGCCTCATTTTCCGTTGGAATTGAGTTTCTTCACAATTTTAATATTTAAAAAAAAGTGGGTAGTTAAGATTGCAAAACCGAAATGACCGTAATATTTTCACCGCGAGACCCATTAGGATTTTTGCAGAATCTCTGGGGAATCATCCTCGCGACATTCTTCTGGGGCGCCACCGTCGGCGCGTTTCTGATTCAAGTGATCGCTGAGAGGCTCGGCCGAAAAATTGGGATCATTTTGAGTTTTTGCGTTCAAGCCGCGTCGATCATCATGGCGATCGCCTCATTCTACGTTGGTTTCAATCAAAAAAAAAATTGAAATAAAATTAGAAGAAAAAATTTTTAATCATTATTTTTGGGAAAAATAAGTCGTAAAATCCCAAAAACCCAGTTTTTTTTTGATTTTTCCTTTTTTCTCGGCCACCCAAACTAGGCCATGATTGTTCGGCCATATTTCTCTTAAACATGCAAAAATTGGCCAAAGAATTGTGCAACAACAAAAAATAAATGCATAACGTGGCCGTGGCCGAAGTTATAATTCAGAACAATTTTTCTAGGCCATTCCTGCGAATCAAAAAATTAAAAAAAAAAACATTTTTTTTTGACTTTCAGACAATTTTCCCAATTTCCAGACGAATAATTATATAATGTACGCGGTTTCGCGGGCGATTTGCGGTGCTGCCATCAGCGTCTCGATCGGAATCGCGCCGATGTTCATCACCGAATGCAGTCCGATTCGTTGTCGAGGTTCGTCGAGGATTTGGGGGTGTCGAAATCCTCGCAAATTCAGGAACGATTTCGCTGGCGACGGCGATCATGATGCAATTGGCGTTGGTGGTCGGCGCCATCGTGGCGATGCCGCAAATTTGGGGCCAACCGCACAATTGGCACCGCATGTACATTTTCGAGCTCGCCCTTCTCGTTCCGGCCATCGTCGGCACGTGTTTCGTCAAAGAGTCGCCGAGTTTTTTGGCGTCGAAAGGCCGCAACGACGAGGCCGTCGAGGCGTTCGCCTACTATCACGGCGTTCGACATCGAGAAGCCGAAACGCTTCTCGCGTCGGAGGTGTCGCAATTCAACACCAAATCGAGCGGCGAAACTCCCGAAAATTTCGGATTGTTCTCCATTTTTAAGGTAATTTTTCCAGACAAAAAATAATATTGAACAATTATGAATGGATTAATTGTTTAAGAAAGGCGCTGCCCGACGAGGAATGCTTGTGGGAAGTGTGGTGATGACTGGAATGATCATGAGCGGAATTATCGGCAAGTTTCCATTTCTTTTCCGGTTTTGGCAAAATAGAGAAAATTATTAACATTGAAAGCGCGTAAAATTCGTCTACACTGATTAAGCGCGACGCAAGCATAATGGAAGCATTGTGGGAAATCTGTGGAACGGAAGCATAATGCTTCCATATAGGAAGCATAATGTAATTCTTAGTGGCTGTGGAAGAAATATGGGACGAATATGGATGGAATGAAAACGGGATGAATATGCTTCCGGTGTTTGCGAGCCGTGGAACAAATATGGATGGAATATGGATAAAATAATCATATGTCAATAAACATTATACAATTGGCGTCTGGACGGCAGACCAAGACAATTTCTAGAAAAATCAATACAAAAAACTTATGCTATCATATAAACAATGAAAATTTGAAAATTACATGATACACAACGGACGAAATTTAGCTTCTACCATTTAATGACTTATGCTACTCAGATTTATGTTAATTCAGTCAACTGTTCCTCACTTTGTTTAAAGATTGCCAACTACAATTTAGTCGTATTAATATATTTTTGCCGGTTTTTCCGAAATTGGCATCGCAAACTACTCACAATTTGCTCCAAACTGGTAGCAGACGCGCGTAGAAGAGGCGTGCCGCAGCATTGCAAAACCGTGCGCCGCTTTGCACAATGCGGCCACGCCTCACATTTTCGAAATTCGTTTTCAAAATTTTTGTCCTTTTGCTTTTTCTCAATGAATTTTCAAGATTTTTTGTGTTTTTTTTTTGTCAAAAATTAAAGAATTTTTTTCAAAATTAAAGGAAAAATGTTTTTAAAAAATAAAGGAAAAATTTTCATATTTATCATCAAAATCGAAACCAAAAATAAATTGATAGCATTCGAAAATTTTAAAATCGATACGATGTTTTCAAATCGTTTCCGACACTTTTAAAATCGAATTTAAATATTTTCTCAATCGAATTGTGTTTAATTTCTCATCGAATCCGTTTTATTTTTATTTACTTTAACATATTTTTTATTATCGCTCGCTTTTTTTCTTTTAATAAAACATAATGTTTTGAAATTTTTACAGATGAAGACAAGATCGAGAGTGTTGTCAGATATAACTGAAACTGCTCTAGAAGTCAATAACAAAGAACCAGAAGTCCCTAACATGGAACCAAATTCGCTCGACACTTCAGATCCAGATAGTCCAATTTACTCGCCAACTCAGCAAAAAAATTTTTCTCCACAGTCCTCACAAACAACAAAATCAACGCCAATTCCTAAACCTTCGTACGCGCAATTTGTAAGTTGTTATCATCAAAAATTGGCCTGTTCGACTCCAGAAATGGTTTCAATTAGAAAAATATGCGCAATGAAGTCTTTATAAAGTACTTCCTAAGTTTAAAGCTTGTTGATTATTTGGTTCCAATCAGGGCTGTGCGGCAATGGAATTGCCGATTGCCGAAATTGCCGGTTTTTCAAATTGCCGAAGAAAATTTCGATCGGTAATTTGCCATTAGCCGAATCGCCGAAATTTCCGATTGCCGTACAGCCTTCGTACCAATATCATTCAGTGGCATTTATCTTTTTAAGTGGGGCTCTAGTACAGAAGTCGCCAGACGCCGACTATATAAAGATCCTATACTATCCTATATCTATATTACAGATGTTCTTATCCATGGCTTTGGGCAACAACCGACAAATGACTTCAAAGCGAAAGCATTACGCATGGTTCGAGAAGTCATGGATAATCTTCTGTAAGATTTTGAACTATGACTATTAATTTATTTATTTGATTAAGCGATAGAATGCGCCAACGACTTCAAAGGAAATTTGGTGTAGCGCCGGAAGCGCTCGCGGCGCAATTAAGGAAGCTGCTTGATTCTACCAGCAACCCTCAGATGTGAGTATTCATATGTCTTTGAAATTTTAACCAAAATGCCTTTTTGCTTCAAATTTTGGAGTTGTTCTTTCTTCCGCCAATTCACTTTTTATTTTGTGCACTAAAGGGTTTCCAAAAATGCAATAAAAATAAATTATTTTTATTTTTAAGAAAATTATTGATGTAAAAAAACTGATTGTATTTTCTCGAAAAATTTAGTTTACGTAACAATGGTTTACAAGTTTTTCAAATTAATAGGCCCATTATAATCTACTTATTACAGCGTCCCGCTCGATGTCAGTACTGACAATGATTCGAATAGTTCGGCAGTTGCCAGTAACTAATGGTTTGATTATATCTTAATTGAAATTCATTTCATTGTTGTTTTTTTTTTATTTTAAATTAAATAAATGTGTTAATATGAAATAAATTTTGAATACAGCAATCAAATTGTTTTCTTATTTTCCCATATGGAAGGCATACGGCTCATTCCATATTCCATAGGTTCCGCAAAAAAATGCATCCATTATGCTTCCATATAACTTGCATATAAGATTCCTATGATATCCACAGCCGTTCCACTATGCTTCCATTGTGCCTATGCCGCCGTTTATCTGTGTATTCAATATACCACCTATTATTATGCTGCGGACATGTTTGCGGCTTTCGCTGCACTCTATCCTCAACATGTAAAATTTCGCATGTGTTGTTTTTTTTTTGATTACATTTCAAAAAAAAACCTCAAAAAATTCAGCGATTAATGCGTTCGCCTATAAATTCCTTATTCGGGTCAACTTCACCCCATTGGAAGCCTCGATTGGAAATACAATGATTTGCTTGATCACAGTGGTATTATTAGAATTTTTTTTCGAAAAAAATCTCTATTGATTTCCAGTTTGGCGTCATTCTTTCATCAATTTTCATCGAAAAATACGGGCGTCGCAGTCTTCTGCTCGCCACTTTCACACTTCTCGCCGCCTTCAACGTCATCATTTTCGCGTGTATGCTTCTGTTCGAGACGCATCAAAGCGCGCTGCTCGGCTACGGTGTCGTCGTCGCGATCGGTTTGTTCAATTTGATCTTCTCGGCGGGACCATGTCCGATAGCGTTCTTCATCACCGGCGAGCTCGTCTCGCAGGGAGCCCGAGCGGCCGCGTGCACATGGGTCATCGTGCTGCTCAATTTGATGTGAGCCCACAAAAATTGGTCCGCTTGACACCTTCGATGAATTCAGGCGTTCGATTGTTCTTGTGATCTACAATCCAATCGAAAATCTACTCGGCGGCCCGCTGGCCTACTTCGTGTTGTTCTTCCCGCCGTGTGTGATTTGCGTGGTCCTCATTTATTATTATTTGCCGGAGACGAAAGGAAAAACCGCCGAAGAGGTAATTTTTTTGATTTTTTTTTTAAGAAATCGTTTTTTTTTTCCAAGATTCTTGAAATTTTTGAAAAATTTTGAAAATTCTTGAAAATTTTGAAAATTTTTGAAAATTCTTAAAATTTTTGAAAATTCTTGAAATTTTTGAAAATTCTTGAAAATTTTTGAAAAATTTTGAAAATTCTTGAAATTTTTGAAAATTTTTGAAATTTTTGAAAATTCTTGAAATGTTAGAAAATTTTTGAAAATTCTTGAAATTTTTGAAAATTTTTAAAAATTCTTGGATATTTAGAAAATTCTTGAAAATTCTTGGAAATTTTGAAGATTCTTGAAATTTTTGAAAATTCTTAAAATTCTTGAAAATTCTTGAAAATTTCGAAAATTCTTAAAATTCTTGAAAATTCTTGGAATTTTTGAAAATTCTTGAAAATTCTTGAAATTTTTGAAAATTCTTGAAAATTCTTGAAAATTTCGAAAATTCTTGAAAATTTTTTTTCAGGCCGCCGACGATACCAAAAATCTCCCGAAATTGTGTGGAAAATCAAAAGAATAACTATTGATTTCTATATTTTTTTTTTCGAAAAATCGCCTTAGCAGCCGATCGCGATAATTTTTCGATTGATAAGCGCGAATTGTTTGCGAAATGTCGCGTTTCATCGACTCGCCGGCGCTTTTTATAGTTTTCAATTGTTTATTATTAATTCAAGGTAATTTGCATAAATATAAATATGATAATTCGAATTTTTTGTTGAATTCCCATTTTTTTTTCGTTTAGGCGTACAAATGGTGCCGACCGCGTCGATTTCGGCGCACGTTTTGGACATTTCCGGCGGCAAACCGGCGGCGGGAATTCAAATTTTAGCCTATTTTCAAGTTGATGATAGTTGGAAGAAAATTGGATCTGAGTGAGTAATTGCGGTAATTTTTCTATTTTGAAAAATTGAAAAATTTGAAACCAAATAGTCCATTTTTTTTAGTAGAAACTGCTACTAAAAATATTTGGAAATAGAATTTTTGAAAAAAAAATCAAAATTTATAATTTTTATTGAAAATTGGAAGCAAAAAAAAATTACAGTACCCATTTAAATTAAAGGCGCGTTCGATAATTCAACAAAATAATTTCAAGCCTAAATTTATTTTATTTTTCCAAATCGTCATAAATTGCCTAAAAATTATTGAAAACGAAAATTTTGGCGAAAAAGAAATTGATGGAAAAATATTCAATTGGATTTATTCAGTTAAAAATCTAATAGAAATTTATTTTTCAGAAAAAAAGGCGGTTTTTTTTTCAATTTTTTTTTTAAATTAATTGTTGAAAAATTAAATGAGGTGGCAAATTAAAATTTCTTTAAAACCTCAAAAATTGATAAATCCAGATCAAAAAGAAAAAATCCGTCGTCAGATTTTGTTCACAATAAATTGTCCGCAGATGCAATCGTTCAAATCCATTAATATTCAGATTCACTCAAACCAACGGCCGCGTCGATTGGGTCTCGCCGAACGTTCCGCTCGAATCTGGAACCTATCGCCTCGTCTATCTAACCAAACCATACTACAATCAGCAGGGCATCGACACCTTCTATCCGTACGTGGAAGTGATATTCGAAGTCAAAGACGCCACTCAACATTACCATGTGCCTTTAACATTGAGCCCGTGGGGATATTCGACCTATCGCGGTTCTTGATCTACCAATTTTTTGTCATAAATATTCAAGAATTCAATTTGGTCACCTTCAGACATATACACATGATTTATATGTAATATAGTATAATATAAAAGTGACCATTATAATAGAAATGTGGAGAAGTACGATTGAGACACCGCAAAATCCGGTTGCGTTTTCGCTTATAAAAGCGACTCGCTAACTATAATAACTATACTAACTATTCGATTATTATTGTTATATTGGTTAAATGACGCCGATTGTGCTCTTATTAGTAGCAGTGTACCTTGGGACTACGGTAGTCGCGCAAATCACACCAGTGCCTAAAATCGAGATCACGCCGATACCGATTGATAAAACCGACCCGAATGTGAAAGGTATGGAGGGAGGCGAACATGAGAACCTCGACAATTGTCCGCAGCTGATTTCGACTATAAGCTTTGTTGCAGAATTTCAGCGAATGGATGCGAACAAGGACAATCAATTGACGTTCGCCGAATTCATTTTGTCGGATCGGCCGTTTCTCGAGCACCAATCGCGGCGATTCCACAATTTCGATTTGAACGGTGAGCGATGACGATGGCAATGATGATAATAAACTGTGTGTGTGTGTTTGGGTCTCAGGCGACGGCATCGTCACGAAAAAAGAGTTTGAGGACTATCACAAGAAGCTGGAGAAGACGAAGCGTCGCACCGATTTGTTCTTCAACAAATTCGTAATGGTCCCCCTGATTTGCACACCCGGCGCATAGCGACGACAGTACTAGTAGTAGTAGAGCGCAATTTTTTTGCAGAATCGCGAGCGTCGTGATCCGTTCGACTCATCGTTCTTCCAGGGACCATTCGAGCACAAACTCGACGACGACGGCGGCTCACGCGAGCTTCACAACCCGCCAATGATGCTATTGTGATGAATCAATTTTGTGTATGTATTAATCGCAATTAATAAATCGTCGATTCAATTTCGATTTCGATTTCGTTGCGCCACACACGTTTTCAAGGTATTCCGGTCACTTCAAATGAAAACCGCGCTGGCAAAAAATTTTTGAACTTTCCGGATTACGGTAGTTGTTAAAGGCGCATCAGGTGACCGGCCCGTTTATGGAAACGTTCACGTGATCCCCTCTCTCTCTCTCTCTGAAAACCATTTATGAACTTTAACTATGCGGTAATTGAATTAGTTATGAAGACACACGTCGCTGGTGATGACGTAATCAATTGATACGATCCAAATATGGTCAAATTTTTTTTGTAGCCGGATGAATTGAACCTTCGAGACGTTTTGTAGTGTCCCAACAACGAACAGTGTAGCTTGGCTGACGTCTGAGAGCGTAAATGGTCTTTGTTGAATTTTTTGGAGTGGTCGATTTGAGCAAACGCGCTCGACGGCACAGCGTTTTGGCAGTGTGGAATCTGAAAGGTTTTCGAGGTCCGTGAAACACGCGCACGCAAAATTGCACACATTCGATTTTTTATCATTTAAAATTGAATTTGTGTTCAAAAGAAAAATTCGAATTTTGTTGAAAATTGAGAAAAATTTTAAAATTGGCGCGAAATTCTTTGAATTCCTTCAAATTCGCCTATGTCCGTGAAACACGCGCACGCAAAATTGCACACATTCAATTTTTTATCATTTTAAATTAAATTTGGGTTTAAAGGAAAAATTCGAGTTTTGTTGAAAATTGAGAACAATTTTAAAATTGGCGCGAAATTCTTTGAATTCCTTCAAATTCGCCTATGTCCGTGAAACACGCGCACGCAAAATTGCACACATTTGAGGACAGAAAAAAAGTTGGCGCGAAATTCCAAAAAAAAAGCAAACTTTGCATTTTTTGAATTTTTTTTTTGCGAATCTTCAAAATATTGTATCGTTTTGCGTGTTTTGTGTGGGTTGTTGCGATTCGACAAAGGTCATCTGACCCCCAACAGCGGCGCGCGGCGCACAAACCCCCATCTGCAACAATAGGCCCCCATCAACCGGACTGTAAATTTTTTTTTCATGACAAATTCATTTTGAGGTTCTCGCCTTCTAGAAACATTGACCATTTCGAGATCGTCGAACTTCTCTTCAGAAAAAAATATTAATTCCGCCCGAAATCGATGTGCCTTTAAAATTCGAAGTGACCCAAAAAAAAATGAAATAATTATCAGAAATCGAATGCGCCTTTTTTGCCCTTCGAAAAAATCCACAAAATTGCGATGTGTGCGTTTTTGCGTCGCCGTGTTTGCACACATTCGGAAGACACCGAACAATACAATATTGTTGGAGGATTTTTGAACAGCAACATCGCCATCATCGAATCATCCAGAAGCGCCCCCCCGCCACCCGTTAGCGGCCCATCAACGCCGCCTAATGGGCCTCTGAATTGAATTCGTACTCGTTCGCCTTTTTTCCCCCCTTCTTCCTGTATTGGTCAAGCCCATTCCGTCTGTGTTGTTGGCCTACAATTTAATGTCCATCTCTGCATACGGTAGTTGGTTTTCTGGTCGAGCTTCCACACAAATTCGAGTTTTTTGCGAATTTTGATGTGTCAACACCCGACGCACAAATGCACACTCGAATTTCAAAATCGCAGTCAATTGTGGACCATCGCGAATGCGGTAATTTAAATTCAAATGTGAAATCCAATTTACTATATATATATAAAATATACATATAGTAAAGCAGTAATTTAGCCTTGACTCAATGGCTAACACCTGTCGGGGTTTGCGCCGGCCGCTAATCGTTCGCCCAAGGGCATTCTCCAAGATTGGTGGCTATCGCTTGCGCTGATTCTGCTGCTGCTGATGATGATGATGATGTTGATGTGACGTCACGAACGTCTCCCGGCCCCGCCCAATTTCCTTTTCCGCCTACTCGCACATTCGATATATAATTTTTTTCTCGGCGGCGCCCACCGAAACGTTTTTCTTGTTCATGTTCTTACCTGTCTGTCTGACCCCCACCGAATCACATCGTCGAGAAGACTATTGATAAGCGATTTGAAGACCCTCATTCATATCCATTTTTCCTCTTGAAAATCTAGGGACCATCATCGTTGAGATAGCGCACCCCCCAATGATTTTTTTTGCAGGCCTCCCTTCCGGTGGACCATGACGAAATCGCTTGAGCCGCCGTTCTTCGTCCGCCTCCTCAATCGCTTCTTTCGACAATGCGGCTATTTTGTGGCCGACAACGACAAAAAAGTTTTGGCGGTACGTTGGGATTTTATTTTTGCACTGCTGCCGACATCGTTGCGGTTTCATAGATCACTTTATCACGAAAACCAAAATGCAGACAAATCTGCTAGTTCCTTTTTATGGTTGTACAGTCGCCCCCGCAGCAACTTTTATGGACACGTTTCCAAACTTCCCTGATAAGATCAAAGCACAGTCAACATCCGACCGATGATTGACCCAAACATGGAAGTTGTTGGGGGGGGGGGAGGGGTCTGGGCTGAAAACCGGGCGCGTGTTCAATTTCAGAATTCGTCGTCGTCGAAATCGCGTGTTTAAACACGGATTACATTGGCAATTCGTGCGCAATAAGACTTTGTGAGAAAAAAAATCATAATACCGCGTATGCGGTTTTTGCGCGCGCAATGAAATTGGTTTGCTGAAGACGGATATGCTGCTGATGCTGCGGCGGCGATCGCGCATTAATCATTATTGTGGATAGACTGAAGATTGCGACTACGCTGGCGCGAGAAACCGGCAAATCACCCGGAAATGGGAGAAAACGCTAATAATTTGGAAAGTTTAGGCTTGAAATTGTCGGCAAAATTTATGCGCGCGCCTTTAAATGGATTACGGTAATCAAAAAATTCTTTTTTCGAATTATCCAGTTTTTTTGCAGTTTCACCCCATTTTCTAGCGAATTTTTGAATTTAATTGAATAATTCTGAAATGCTTGTTTGATTTCAGCCATTTTATTTCTATTTTTACTCAAAATTGTTAAAAAATGTGTTTTAAATTTTGATTTCTCAGAAATTTTCATTTTTTGGGAAATTCTCAAAATTTCCAGAAATTCTTCCGAAGAAGAAGATTATTGTATAAAAAAAAATGGTATTGATAAAGTCTAGTTGAGTAAAATTTCAACTTGTCTATTACGTAATGGCGCCAGACGCATCAAATGTCCATTGATACCATAAAACCCCATAATAGGCCAAAAGTAACAAATGTTTGCAGATCAACGTTGTTTTCACTCTTGCAACTTCTTAGGATAATTCAAGTTTTGCCTCTCCTCGTAAAATTAGCCCAATTTTCGTATCCAATTGCAACGCAGGGAAACGTTTTGCTAATTGGCGGCTAATAAAAGAAAAAGAAAAAAAAAACAATTGTTGACCAGGAATTTTTCCAACTTGCTAATATACATATCGCTTTTGACTGATTGATTATGACCAAAGTACAAAAATCTATTCTTAAATGTTTTTTCTTTGAACTTTTGACAGCTTTTTCGTTACACTGTATCGACTCGACGGCGCCGCGCGCGTGAGATATGTTGCAAAACTATAACACCAATAAAACATTCATTGAGGAACGAGTTTTTATTAAATGTTTATTTTTTGGGAGGCCGAATTCAATTAAATCGAAAATTATTTGAATTGAAAGTAATCTCGAAAATTCTTCAGGGTCATTTCGCATCAGGTGTTCTTGAGGCGAAAAATTTGAATGCTGTGAAGGTTACGATTCTCAAGTGTCCACCCCCCGTTTATTTTGATATTTTATTCCAATTCGCCGTTTTGTCATCATTGAAATTGATTCAAAAAATTCTCGATCATTCGTGTTGTCATTTCAAATATCACAAGGAACTTTGAAAGAAACGATCGAGTCGAGATTTGAGAAAAAAACAGATCATATTCGGCGAACACGCGATTCGCTATTATCTAGATCATCAGAAATTAGAGGTGGAGTAGTTCACCGAACTGGACGAGAGCGAATTCGCAAATTCCAGTCAATACTGTATTTGATAGTAGGCAGTCATTGTTGTTATTTGCAGGTCACCCTACTCATCACCGCATTTTGTTCATCGAAAATATGTTTCACGCCGCAAGAGGACGACATCAAGACAGGTATTGCGTTTTTTTGTGTATTGAAGAAGGGAGGGGGGGGGGCGGTTTCTCCGCATTTCGCACGCTATATACGGTAGCAGTCTAACGAAACTATCAACGGCTTCTGCAGTAATGGATTAGTCAGAGGTTATCATTGCAGGTTATACACCATTTGGCGCCAGGTCCCTTGATGAAATCGACGTCTTCTCCGACTTCTTCGCCTCGTCCGGCGACCCGATCGCCGTCTTCATTTTCATCACCGCCAATGATAACTCGTCGATGGCCGAGTATGACGCGATGAAAGAGCTCGTCGAGATTCTAGACATCGTCGGCAGCAATTTGACATATAAGGGAAAATCGTTCTATCAGATTTGCACCGATTTTTGTCAGATTAATGAGCCTGTTAGGCAGTACTATGTAGGAATCGAGAAGCTTCACAAATTGGCAAATAAGGGTTATTCGTTGCAGAATGGACTAGCCATGAGCAATCAGAATCTCTCGATCGGATCGTCTCGATTTCAGCTCACGTTTCCGATGATGCAGGTTCTCGGAAAGGAGCTCGATTTGAGTCCCTACTTCTTCGGAGTTCGCACCAATTCGGCCGGCGAAGTTGAATACGTGAAAATTGTGATGCTGCAAGTTCGAGCCAACGTGCCCGACGGTTGGACGAAAGAGGACGCGGCCGCTTATGAGCGAATGATCAGCCACTATTTCCATGAGTGAGTTTTTTTGCACATTTCTCAAATTCCTTCTCGAGAATTGCAGTGAATACAACTCGACGCATGTCAAACCATTGGCGATGAGCTTGACGTACACCGGTGACGAGATTGTGCGCACCGGGCTCACACTGTTCCCATACCTTGGCGTCGGCTTCACCATCATGTCCGTCTTCTCGGTCGTCACCATTTACTACAGCAGCAGACGAATGGATCAATGGAACTACCACAAAATCGTTGAGGCGGTTTTGGGATGCGTGTGCCCGCTGCTCGCCACCTCGTCGGCACTGGGCACCCTATTCTGGTTCGGTTTCCGATTCGGCACCATTCTATGCGTCACCCCGTTTTTGATATTGGCGATTGGTGTTGACGACGCCTATCTTCAAATTCATAGTTGTATGCGATTGACGGTGGAGGATGGCAGTATGACGAAGAGGGAGAAGTAACTAGAATATTTTGCGAGAGGGAGGAGGTTTTGAATAATGTCAATTTCAGAATCTCGCGGATGCTCGTCGAAGTCGGACCATCGATTGCGATCACCTCATTGACGAACCTTCTCGCGTTTCTCGTCGGCATCTACACCCCAACACCGGAAATTTCGCTATTCTGCGCCGGAAACGCGGTCGCGATTCTATTCGACTTCATCTATCAGTTGACGATGTTCACAGCGATACTGTCGGTGTGCACGAACGAGGAGATGCGCAAGAATGCGGCGAAACGCAAAGTCTCCGATTTGACGTTTAGAAATGAGACGGTAAGTGATGGTTGAAAAAACCCAAAGACAAGCCCCTATTTTTCTCGCAACACAAAATTTTCAGTTCACTCGCCTCCTTGATAGCTATTGCGATTGGGTCGCCAACGCCTACACCCATCTTCTCCTCCTCTTCTGCTTCATTGTCTATCTGATCGTGTCGATTCGCGGTGCGCTCAGCATCAATATCATATTGTCGCCGGATAAATTGGTCATCGGCGACTCGCCGCTCCTTCAAGTCAATTATTTGAGGGATGAGTTCGTGCTGCCCAACTACACCACTGTCAACATTTTTGTGCAGAATGTGAGTTCGCTTTTTTTTTGTTGAGATTGTTGTTAATACTTTTTTCAGCCAGGAGATTTGTCGAACAAATCGCAACTGGAATATATGAATTCGCTTTTCGACGCGTTTGAAAGCTATCCGGAATGCCTTGGAAGACGATTTAGTCATTATTTCATGAGGTTGGTGGCGAAATTTTTGGTGAAAAAACTAAAATTGGCAACTATTTCAGAGATTACGAATCATTTTTGGAGGCGAGTCGAGAGGAAATTGAGATGATGGAGGAGGATGAGGATGATAGCGCGTCCGCGCAGAATCAGACCGCCGTCGTGCCGTTCTCCAAGGAAGCGATGAAGGTGCTGAATTTTTCGAATTTCTCGCCAAACAAAAAAAAATTTCCAATCGAGGTATTTTTGTTTCAGGAATTCCTCGAGTGGCCTGAATTCCAATACTGGAACGGGTTTGTCAAATTCGATGAGGCGGGAAATCTGTCGAGATTCTGGGCGACGGTTTCCTATCACGGCGATCGTCTAGGCGACTTCCAGATACGACGGAATCTTTTGAATCGCTGGCGAGCCACCGCCGACGCCTACGCGTCATTGAATGTTTCGATTTTCGATGACTATGCGCCATTTGTGGATCAGGTAGATCAAACGAAAAAAAAACACAACGAAAACATTCAACGAAATTCAGCTCGAAACCATTCTACCGGCGACAATTTCGACGTCGATTTGCACACTTGTGTGCATGATGATCGTGTGCTTCATTTTTATGTACAATCTGTTCACCGTGTTTGTCGCAACACTCGCGATCACCTCGATTTGCATAGGTTTCGTCACAAAAATAAGCGAAGTTTCACGTGAATTTCAGGCGTTTTCGGTTTTCTCTCGATGTGGGGAATCGATCTCGATCCGATCTCGATGGCGTGCACGATAATGAGCATCGGATTCTCGGTGGACTTTCCGGCGCACATCACGTTCCATTACTTCCGCGAGGGTCTTCACGATCCGCAAGCGACACCGGCGAAACGGGTGGCGATGTGGGAATCATTCCCATCGAGTCTCGAAATTGAAGCAATTCGTTTTCAGGTCCCTTGCCGCCATCGGCTTCCCGCTTCTTCAATGCGGAATCTCGACGATTCTGTTCGTCATGTGTCTGCTGTTCGTGCCGACGTACATGGGCGAAGTGTTCGTGAAGACGATGATCCTTGTGGTGACGCTAGGCCTCGTCCATGGACTGTTCATCGTGCCGGCATTTTTGTGCGCGTTCACCGCCATCCACCAAGCGTTCTCATCGTCGGCAAGTGTGGCGCACTCACAGGTAGCACGACGAAACTCGTGAAACGCAACACCGATCGTTGCAGTCGTTCTCATCGCTGGCGAAGTTGTTCTCGTGGCGAATATCGCCGTCGGCGAGCGACAACAAGATATCGGCGTGAGAGAGCCGAACGAACACACGAGTGGCTCATTTCCATTGAAACGGGTATCGAAATCGAATCTCGAATTTTGCATTCCATTCATGTCTTGCAATACTACACACCCACACACAAAAAAGAAACATCGTCCATTTCCTCCTGCCCCAATCTTCTCCCCGCACTAAATTTGATCGCTACGTGTTTTATTATGTATTTGTTCGTTACATATTGCTCAATAAACGAATATTGTTCGAGAAAATTCGCCTCGAAAACCGTTTGTGGCGCAAACAACCGAAATTTGCATTTGGCGACGGATTATGCAAATTTTTGAAAAGGTTGATATAAAAAAAGGCAGACAATCGCGCAGGGCAATACCGTTTTGTTTTTTTATTTCATCATGAAAGTGACAGATTTCAACAAAGGCACAACTTACAACGGAATTTTGCCGAGAAGACCGGATATGAGCGAGGAAAAGGTCACGATAAGGTTGGTCCCTCAAATCCTCATTTTTCCAGGCAATATTGAAACAAATTACAGAAAATATAAAATGTACTGCATTCTGTTCTTCATTCTCTTTGTATTATTCTTGATCACCACCGTTATCGTTTCGGTCATCCTTGGAATCAATATTAAGCATGAGCAATACCTTGAGGATCAATTGGAAGGATGTATGGAGATGAGAGATTCGTTTATTTATCATGGCAATCCGACGGGTGGAACGCGCGTGAAATAATTGAAATTCGATGAAATCGCTGATTTTTTGCATTTAAATTGCTTATACATGCGTGTATTTTCAATTTTTATTACAAATTGTATGTATGTTTGTTTTTTTTTTCGCTGGTTTCATAAAGCTTTTAATTGGGCAAATCTGAAAATGAATTGAATTGAGAGCAATTGTGACGTGAATTCTTACATTGCTCGCAGAAATCGCCGTAGTAGCCGTTGACGCAATCGCAGACGCCGAAGACTGATGTTCCGCCGTTTTGGCATTGTCTGAAAATTGGGAAATGAAAATGGGTTGTCGTCGGGTCAAATGCAAAGTCCGCAATTTTTGGAGCCGCGTGTTTGCGGATGAAATTTGAAAGCGTTGGAGAATTCAACATTTTGGCCATCAATCAATTACCTCATCGCGCAATTATACCCATAGTAATGATCGTTGCAATGGCAGAATCCATATTCGTCGAGAGTCGCTTGATTCAAGCAATCGCTGGCTTCCGCGGACTTCGAAAAGAAGTAGGTTCTCTGGTAAGCGCTGTCAGCCCCATCTTTTCCAAACACCACAAATTTCATATAGGTCGACGTCCAATTAACCAAGTTCGAGACAAACTGATTCGCGCATCCAATCGGATCACGTTTGAGCACGGTGATATTCTTCACGTTGCCAACGGCTTGCCACGGCTCGTGCAAATCAGTATCCTGTGCCATTATGAGATCGACAGTGGCGGCAGTGCGATCGGTATTGCGGAATGTGATGTAGGCGGACGCTTGCGTGCCGGCGCCAGCTCGTGGCACAGGGCTCGGGTAGTCGTTGGTCTTGTCGGACGCGAACGACGGGATGATTTTCATCGTGGTGACGAGGCGCGCTTGAATGAAGCATGCGCCGGCGCTCTTCACCGTTGCTGTCCAATAGCCATCGATGTAATTCGAAACATCTAAAGAGCAATTTTGAGGTAATTAATAGAAAATGAGACTTCTCACTGATTCTCGTGATCAGGTAGTTTTGATCGTTCAATGGCGTGTCAATTTTGATTTTGCTTCCAGTGACATCAATCACTGTCAATCCGACACCCGATCCAGACGCTTCAATGGTTAGCGAGTTGGCGTTGAGCTCGACGGGGAAGGTGAAGCTCACACCAGAAGAGCAATCCTCTTTGCCGTCATCGAGCACCAATTGCGATTCGCCGATGGTGAAGGGAAGCTGATTGGCGACAAGGTTGGGAACAGCGAGGCTTGTCAATGGCATCACACGACCGCCGGACTGCCGCGCGATTCCCGCCAACCGATAGTCGATGTCGACGGGAAGACTCGCCGCCGCTCCGGTGTAGATCACATTGACCTGCGCGCCGAATCGCTGCTTCATCGCCGCTTTCGTCAGCTCGCTGAGCGGCGGTGTCGAGGTGAACAGATAGATGATTGCGGGCATGTCGAGAACAGTGTCGTACGCTTTGATAAGTCCCGCCAGCGATTTCACACCCGTCGGCGTTTTGGCGAGCGATATTCCGTTCAGATATTTGTAGACGGCGCCGAGGAATAGATCGCGATGAGCCGACGAGGCGACAATGTTGACCATCTCGTCGTCATAGGCGATGAGGGTGTAGACTTTTGGCGCCGCCAAATTGTCGGTGGCGTCGAAGAACGCTTGCATGTTGTCGCGAATGTACATGGCGGTGTACATCGAGCTCTTCGTGTTGACCTCAATCACAAATGTGATCTGCTGGAAGGTGTGCGCACGCGGGTCGTGAGTCTCGACATAATTGTAACCGTCGCAGTTGATGAATTGGCAGAGATTGCCGCTGAACGATGGCTGACAATGGCAAATGAAGTTGTTGACGACGCCGTCGTTTTGGCAAATCGGATCCTCGCAGAATTGATTGGTGTAGCCGTCAGGACACACGCAGTAGCCCGATTCGTCCAATGAGCCGCCATTGAGGCAGACGATTTGCGGTGTGCAGAACGCTCGCTGCGTTCGCATTATCGTCACGTCGCTGGTGGCGATGGTGGTGGTTGTGGTGAACGTCTCGCCAGGTTTGGTGCACGTGAATGGTGTATGAAGGAAGTATGAGTATTGGCATCCCGATGTTCGTTTGACGGCACGATCCGAATAATAGAGCGCGATTCCCTGCTCGAACGCTTGCAATTCAATGGATGGTTCGGATTGAAGGTCCGATGAGACGTAGAGGACCGGCGATTGGTAGGTGCCGTAGGTGAGGTCTCTCGAATAGCGATCCTTGGATGGATCCGGCGAAAAGCCAAGGTACACTGAGAATTGGCTCTTCTCCGACACCCTTATATAGCATCTAGCATTGGCGCCTTGCACACTGATCGAGTATGATTGTTTTCCGGTTGTGGTTTTGATTGGATAGCTTCCGAAGAATGGAACCGAATGCGCATCGGGTGTCATTAATTGATCGCCGTTCTTCACGGTGAAGTTTTGAATGGTCGCTGAAATGATTGTCGACATCGAATATTTTAATTATTTAGGCTTTACGCGAATTGATAATGACATAGGCTTGCGGATTGGGGCCAGTAAGAGTGAAAATTGGTGAGACGAAGTTGGAACAGTCATCGACGGTGTAATAGGTGACCACCTCGGATCTATGATGACTCGGACCATAGGAAGCGAGGAACTGGAATCGGTACTGATTTCGCTAGCCACTAAAGGACTTACATTAGAAACCGGATCGCCTGTCGTCGTGTGGTTCTGGCAGAGATTGATGTAGTTTCCTCCGGTCTTCTGCGCCAACGTCTCATATTCTATGTAGATATTGTCGTCGCATCTCTTCTGGATTCCGTACGGCGGAACAATAACAATCGAGATTTCGATTTGTCTCTCGATCGCCGTCCTCACGAGATCGGTGAATCCGGCGTCGTTGACGCTTATCGAGGATGTCGCCGATGTGAAGAAAAACACCGATGATTTGTCGTAGTGAAGCGATTTGAGGGTGCCGGAGAGCGCTGTGATTCCTGGCTGAGGAGTGTCGGGCGAATAGCTGAAAGAATCCAATGAATTGAATTGTCATGCTTCGAGATCTTACGAGAATTGAAGGCTCTCCATTGTGGTGGCGTTGAGGAACTCGGCGGCCGTGTTGTACTTGTCGGACACGATCAACGGAACGAACGTGCCGTTGAGCACTCGCATTTTGAACGTGGTGACGACATAGTCTTGGAAGTCAGCGTCGCCTACTTGCATGAACATCAATTGGAGGCCTTTCGTCAAACCGCTGAGACGGTCGACAGCCGACAGTGTGTTCTCGACGACCAAACCGAACGATCGATCGGACGCCTCGAACTCGTCGCCGGCTGGCGATTCGCAAATCATGTTCTCGCAAAAATCGCCGGTAATGCCGAAATTGCACAGGCAATAGCCTCGTCCATTGCCTTTGGGGTACGGATCGATGCTGCCGCCGTTTTGGCAGATCGGCTTCTCGCAATAGGCGCCCTCGAAGTTGGCTGGACACAAGCACGTGTCGCCGCTGACGGTTCCGCCATTGGCGCAAGTGCGCTTTGGCGCCGTGTGGGTGTCAGGCGTCGCGCAATAACCTGGAATCACTCGACGGAACGTCTTGGCTTGTGTGTTGACGGTGACGTCGTGGACGAATGGTCCCGGCGGGCAATCGGTCATCGCGTCGATCTCGAAATCGAACATGCAATTCGCGTCATCGCGTGTCACCGACTGCAATGGTCCGCTGATCTCATCGGAGGTGAACGAATCGATGCGACGAACGGTGACGCCGGTGGTGTCGGCGAAAGTGGACGTCAGCGATGGTCTTTGACGGATTCCTAAACGAGTTCCTAATAGCTGACACGATTATTTGGCTCGTCTCACTAGCGAATGTGTAGGCATAGCCAGCATCGATGAGATCATCAGAAGCATAATTGATGAGAACGTCGTCGTTGGACTTGATGAATGTCTTGACGCTGTATTTATCGTTGCCGACAATTGTGATTGATTGGGTTTCGGGTGTGGTATAATAGAGCTGAAATTTTAGGCCTATTCCATTTTTTCCGAATTTTGATTTCATACTGTGAAATATGTTCCTACAACACGCGTCTTCAACGAATCCTGATTTCCGGTTTTCACTTGGAGAAGTGGCACTGAAACATGTAATCATGGTAATTCGATATGATCGTTGGGAACTTGCATTGTGCTCCAGACTCGACGGACACAAGAATATTGACCGCGTCACTACTATCCCCATAAATTGGTATATCCTGACTGCGCGTCGAATAGTATTGAACGAATGTGTTCTGTGTGCCGATGAGATAGAACATGAGGTGCTGGGTGATCTGATTGAGATCCTGCTTGTCGATGATGATGAGATCGCCGTGTGTGGCGGTGACGACGCGTCGAAGCACATCGAAATAGTCGCCGGAGCCGACTAGCGGATTCTCGGGTTTTTGCGATAGAACAATGGTGATTTTGTTTTTCCACGCGAGCGTTTGCTGAATGACGACGCTCTCGTTGGTGTTGGTCAGATGGGTGTCGGGTTTCGTGTCGTTGATGTTCTCGGAATCGGCGAACAGAAAGACATTGGATTTTGGCTGCATCAACGGATGGCTGAAAATAGGGGACAATTTGAAGGATTCCACGAGAGGAGGGGATTACAAGGATTGAGTGGAGGCGATGGCATCGAGATGGGGCTGATCGGAATCCGATGGGGCGACGACGATGTCGTAGAGGTAGGATTGAAGATCATCGACTGTTGTGAAGTACTGGCTTTCCATGAAATAGGCGTTCTCTGGAATTGGATTTTTGGGACGACGCAGAAAAAAATTCTGAATATATTACTTGTGATTCGATAGGTGGTGACGATGTAGTTGGCAATTGGGATTCCGGAATTCGTGTAATCACTGACCATTTCTTTGAGATCATTGATGATTGTCGCGATGTCGAGTCCCATTGAGCTGCGCGTGTTGATCGCCATCATGAACGATTTGCTGGTGAAATCGATGACGTTGTCGATGCGACCGAGGCAGACGCGCGATTCGCAATGCGTCGAATAGATGCCCGGCGGGCACGCGCATCGAAAATCGTCGGCGATGCCGAAATTGCGGCACGTCACCAATTGGCACATTGAGCCCGACGTGTAGGGACGACACGCGCATGTCGCGTTCGGCAAAAGGACGCCGTCGTTGTGGCAGAAGTAGACGTCGTCGCGTGTACGCTGGAATCTTGACACACGGCGACGGACCGCTGAAATCAGCACCCGCTTGCACCCACCCACTAGTACAATTTTTACGACTTTGATTTGATAAGCGCCATTAGCGATTAGAGAAACGCACCGATTTTTCTCAGATAGTAGATCTCGACGTCACTGGATGAGTGAAGGCGATCGATGATCGTCTGACGATCCAGCGTTGAAGCGACGGTGAGAGTCGCATGGAAGACAGCGCTTTGATTGCCGTGAATGACCATGTCGAAGATGAGAAAGTCTTGATAGTCTCGACCGATGAGCTCGGCGATCTGAATGATGTCGATGGATTTGTTGGGAGAATGTCGAATTTACGCGATGCTGAGCTTGTCGGTGTTTTTCATCGAACTGGACCTCGTCGAAATTGTCGACATCGTCCTTCGTGATGACGTCAATGTTTCCGCGAACCTCGTATTGATCGCAGAGGCCTTAAATATGATATCAGAAAATTTTTTTGTTTTTTTGATGGGCGGAAGGGTTGGGGATTTAATGGCATTACGGTACCGTAGGCGGCGAGTAGAGCGACGAGCAGAAAACGCCGCATTTTGCGTGGCGGCACAGCAAAACTGAATGAATATCAAATCGACAACGATTTTTATCGCGTGAATAAATGCTCCATCGTTATCAGGCAGTCGTCGCTCGCAACGGTTTCTCGATGCTACTGATTTATGAAAGGGGTTTTTTGATTGTTGGTCTGATCAACCATTAACCTAAAGTATTGTAGGCATGAATTAAAGGCGCATGAGGTTTTGGGCGATATCCCAAGAGTGAAATCATACCGGCAAATTTTGCGACACATGCAAACTTGTGTAAAATCGTTTGAAAATAAGAAACCGAAAACGTGGGACCATTGAAACCATTTCAATATTTATTGCATTCTACAGTGATGATAAGAAAGGTAATAATTTTGCATTACTCAAAAATTGAACGAGCAAAATTTGATTAGATCGATGCAACAATGATAAATGTGCCGTTGCGATTCGATGGGATCGGCGATTTGAGGCCGTGATCGTTGCAGAGTGTCGTGTCGCAGCAGCGAATCGTCACGCCCGATTCCAGCGATTCTTTGCCGCTCTGAATTTGGGTGAGTAGGTATCTTTAAAAAAAAAGAAGTTTCCCCCGTTTACTTCACAAATATCCATCGTTTTGCGTCCGGTGCCGAGACGTTGGCAACTCGCGGTGACGGTGGTCCGCGATGTGTCGTACGACTCGATGCACCAGCGCATTCCGTCGTCGCATTGCTCCTCGATGAAGTGCTCGGTGAGATTGCCGAGAATGTAGCCGCGAGTTCCTGCAACCGGCTTCTTTTCTTTTTTTTTTTGGGCGCGGCTCATTTGTCGGCTTCTCTTATCGACCGCTTGATTTATTTGATGCTAATTTTATGGTCGTGTGGCACGGGCGATGGGTTTTGTTTTATCAAAAATCATCAGCGACGCGGAAAATGACGAAAATCGACTACCGAAATTGTTTGTGGTCGATTTTTTTCCGATTCGTCGAAAAAAAAATCTAGACTTATGGAACACACAAAAATTGCGGCGGCCGACCTCGATTGGTGTCCGCAGATTGAATGCAATAGAGAATAAGAATTTTGAAATATTTGTTTGCTGTTTGAAACGCGGAAGTGCCTGGAAAATCCTTATACGGCGTTAATTCGATAATACAAATTGGGCTCGCTGAACCGGCGGCGGAATAGAAATGTCTGCGTCTCTCACAAGCACACGCTCTCTCTCTCTCTCACTCTCACTCGCTCTGACACTAAGCGTTTCAAACTCGCCAATTTTCTGTGAAACGATAGAAAAGTCTCGTAAACGATCAAAATAAGATTGGTGTGTTTTTGCGTCGACGTGTTTGCACACAACAGGTTTTATGTGATTAATTTCGGTTTTTATGACTTTTTGAGACTCGAATTGTTAATAAATTGTGATCAACGAAACATGGAAATTGGTCGGTGAGAAAATGCAAACGAAAATAGCAAAAATATTTTTCTTTGCTTCAAAAATATTCTGGAAATGCCTGATATTGACTTTAAAAATTGTGGAAGACGTCTTGACACGCAAATTTGAAGGTGTCGATTTACGGGGAACACCACTTACGCGACAAGACCACTCGCTGAAATGTTTCGAAGTTTGGTCGAGATTTTTTTCTTGCAAAAAATTAGAGAAGACGCGAGATGCGCCTTTAAACTATGTTGACCTCCACGCATTTTTCGGCATTGACTCGAAATTTGTGTTGGCAAAATTTTTGGCGAAATGCCAACAGCTCAAAAAAATGCAATTAGCTCGCTGATAAACATTTCGCCGAATGTTTCTAGCCTTATTTATAAGTTCTTTCTCCTCTCTCTCTCTCTCTCAAGATTTTATCGAATTGCCTAGAAACGTTGGGGGCATTTTCAGATGAAAATGCCGAGTGTTGCCGTTATTTTTTGTTGGTTAGTTTTTGATTTTGCATTCTTCGAATTCTCCCCAATTTTTCGTTTTTTTTTTCTTTCGGCTTTATTTTTTTTTGAAAAAAAAACGTTCTTTGAAATGTCACTTATATATAAATATACATCAAATTCCCACCCGAATACCTGCTAACCTGAATAGCATACGAGGCAACTTGATGTAGGAATTATGGTGAGAAATGCGGCGAGCAGATAGCCGTAGCCATAATAGGAAGTTGACATGGCGGAGAGCCTGAAAAGCTGGTGTGTCACGACGGCGGCGGCGGCGGCGGAAAATATGAGCCGCTTCGACGATCAATCGAATTGTTTATACGATGGCACGTTTTTGTTTTTTTTCCAAATGACGAATCGCACAATTATTATTTTTCTAGCGGTCTGCTGCAATTGAATGATGGTGAAATGGAATTGTGGATTCCGAAGATGGGATTGGGGGATGGATCGCGGTGGTCCGAAACTGGTTGCCTTTGGGGGCGTCGAATGGGTCCCCGAAAATAATAGAACATCGACAAAGGTCCCATTTTTGCACAACGGAATTCTCGTCGAAATTGATTGTTTGACCCCTCATTTTTGTCGCGAGCCTCGCGGCGGAAATTTGCGTTTTCTTTCATTTCTCGAATGATGGTAATTTCCCGTCGAGAAAATGGGGGGGGGTTGCAATTTCGAGAAGTCGTCGCAACGCTTTAATCATCAAAATTGAATTGGTTCGCCGCACGCGCGGCATCACCAAACGCCGATTAGTTGGGTGTCGGTGTTTGCGGACAATTTGCGTCCTCGTTTCCTGCCTACAGTAATTCGCGGCTGCTTGACGTTTTCGCACGACTACAAATCGACACACATTCATTCAATTTTTCCTTTCTTTCTCTCTCGACAAAGACATTCAATTCAAATTTCATTCAGTTTTTTTTGTTCGCTCCGACTAGAAGGGGGTTGTTGCAGCTCAAACTGTATCGTCAATTCAACGAGGATCGATCGAAGAGTGCGCCGGTGGCTCGCCGTCGCGTCAGTCTTGCGGTATGTCGAGTTTCGCTTCGAACAATTTGATTTGTGCCTCAAGTGATGCTTCTTCTACTCCTCCTCTCGTTCTCCATTTTTTCGCTGATCTGTGATATCGGGTGGAGTTTCATTTTTTTTCTCTCGTTTAGGTTGAGAGAGTGGAGCAGCTTCTTGGAATTTTGCTCAACTCTCATTTTTTTTGCTTTTGGAGGAGGGACTCGTGAGACATTCTGGTGATTCATTCCAGTTTTCGATTCGGCCCGACATTAGTGCATTCACAAACCTTGATAATCGATATGCGCAGGTGGCAGAATAACAAAAAGTACATTAGAGACCTCGGCCACGGCCCTACAGTACCACAGTCAATTTATTTAATCGCTGAAGCGGTGAGAAAAAATTTTGTAGATGCGCCTTTAAACACAATGTCAACTTTAAGCGAAAGTTCATTAAAGGCGCATATGATAAAATGTTTCGCGATTCTTGCAGCGATTTAATAAATCACCTGGGGGTACTGTAGGCTTCGAAAAAGGTGGCCGTGGCCGAGGTTTTTTTTTTCTGCGAACTGCATAGCGATTTTTTGGGTTTTTTTTAATTGCGTGCCCCTTGAATTACTATACCAAAAAATTTTTGAAGAATCTCTAAATTTTTTTTATAAAAGAAAAATTTGAAGAAGCGCTTTTTGCTTCAAGAAAAAATCTGGAAAATCTGAATATACTGAATATTAGAGCGTTGAGAGCCTCACCAAATTTATATGGTGGTGTGATCTTTGCGCCAATATCCATCAATCATCTTTTCGTGCTCATTTCCAATTCTGGAGCCAATAAATGAATGAGAGATGATGAAACAGTGAGTCCCATTACGCGAAATTTGTTTCCTGAATATCTCGATTCCGCAACTTCCTCCCCCCTCTTCCTCAATGATAGAAAAAGTTGCCGACGGGTGGGGATTTCAGCAAAATAATGATTGTGAGGCGGGATTACTCGAGTTGTTTTGGCCAAACAAAAAAATTTTGGGAAGCTCCTTCCTACTACTTCCATTATTTTTGTTTTTCATTTCATTTTTATTTTATTCTATTTTTTTTTGTTGGAAAAATCGTGAAAATTACATTGGGAACTTGAAAAGCTTCGACCAAAACTGATGGCGCCTTTTTGGTGCAAATTTTTTGATTCGGAATAAGCCAGAAATTTTTTTGAATTTTTGGCGCATTTCCAGTACAAGTTTTAAAATAAAAATGTGCCATGAGAACTTGTAACTACTGGCGCGTATTTGGTGCAAATTTGAGATTATGAATGATTCAAAAAAAATTTTGAATTGCTGGCACCTTTTCAGTGCAAATTTCAAATTAAAATTGTGCCAAGAAATTTTTGACCTACTGGCGCGTATTCGGTGCAACTTTCAAATGATGAATGAGCCAAAGTGTTTTTTTTTAAATTGTTGACGCATTTTCGGTGCAATTTTAAAATCTAAAAATTCTCCAAAAAAATTTTGAACTACTGGCGCGTATTCGGTGCAAATTGCAACTTGCACAAATGCCAATAAAACCTATTGAATTGCTGGCGCATTTTCAGTGCAAAACATCAAATTTCATCGTGGCGCAATAAACCAAAAACAATTTCATTTTACGATTCACGCTTCCATCTGTCATCAGCCTGACGCACTTTTCGTGCCACGTCCTTATCATACGTTCCCACGCAAAAAGCGCGAAAGGTCGTCTCACCGAATGCAATCAAAAAAAAAAGGAAAGAAATGAAGGAAGAATGCACGAGACAACCGACGCCTTCATTTCGCGCATGATTCAAATCAAGAGATTAAGCGTTAGCAAACCGCGCGACATTTCCGTTATGCATAAATGTTGGCTTGTCCGGCGCGGCACACGTTACGAATTAATTGCAAATGCTCAGCATTAATCGCGTCGTCGAGTTTTTCGATGGTCCGTTTTTTTTCTTGGCGACACACACACACACAAAAGGAAGCGTGATGACGGGCCTTTTTTTTTCTTTTCAATTAAACTTTTCGCTACCCACTTTTTTTTATTGTCGCTTAGGCCACGCCCCATCCCCCCCCCTCCCCTCTTTCTCCTCTCACACCCTTTTTGTGCAACTTCCAAATTAAATGCGCTCCTTTGCGGTTTTTTTCCAATTTCCCTCATCCCCACCCCTTCCCCAAATTGGGTTTGCTCTTGCTATTGCTTGGAGCGATTTTTAAAGATCGTCTAGCATGAAATAGCGTGTGGGCGTGGCTTTCTCTCTACCGTATGCCGACGTCGATTGGATTCTCACACCGAAAATCGTGTGATTCTCTGTCTCTCTTGAAAGATCGAACCGATGTTTGATTGCCGACGCGTTGGTCATTTTCTCAAAGTCACAAATTGAGACACCCTCGTTTCGAAATGCTCGTATTTCGGTGCGAAACCTATCGAATGACAGACACGCACTTTTTTTTTCAACACTAATTCTTTAAAAGTCGTCTAAGCTGTCAATCTTTAAAAAAAAACCAAATTATTGAGCAATTGTGGACCATTGCACATTTTTTCGGGGGCGGCAATTCAAATTTGAATTCAAACAGTTGCGAATTTGTGGCGATATCAAATCATTGGATGCTCGCTGGTTTTTTTTTCCAATTTTATTTTTTTCTACTTTTTGAGAATTGCATAGTATAGTGTTGCTCGCGAGAATGTGTGCAAACACCGCGACGCAAAAAATCACCAATCGAAACTATCCTATGTTCATTCCACAATTTGATATATGTAATTTTAAAGGCGCATAGAGTTCGGAGGGGGGGGCGTGGTCGGTCTTTGAACCTCCGGACAATTTTTTGGTTTTCTCAAAATCAGCCAAAATGCAACAAATTGGCGACGAGTCGCTTCTGTGTACTCCACACGGACAATATTGAGAATCATCTTTCGATTCCACTAGTGTAGATTTATGAGCTAGTTGTTCGAACACTCATTTTCGTTGCGAGACCCTCGTTTCAACATTTTCCCGTCAAGAGCCAACCGAGCGTTTCGTTTTTTTTTCTTCGAAAATGTTACCCAAGGGTCTAATTAGGCAAATTATTATTTTCGATAAATATCGCAAACGTTTTTTATTGGATGAAAAGAGGCAAAGAGCGAGAGATAGAGAGAGACGCAGACGTTAGACGGTTGGAACGTGAACTTTAAAAAAAAATCTTCCAATTTTGTCCCTTCTTGTCCCCCACCCAAAAAAATGCAATTTTCTACTTATCTCCCTTATTTGGCCTGTCTTTTACAGCCAGTCTCCCTCTCTCTCACTCTCTCTTTCTCGTTCAAATCTTTTTTTTTTCTCATCTCTCCTTGAAGATCATTCCAAAAACAAAAATTTGCATATTTCAGGCGCTTCCGAACGTTCATCATCAAAATCAGGAAGTAGAAGCAAGAAGACATCGACGAAGTCACGTGAGTCCCTCGACGTGTTCGTTTCGAAATCCCCAAATCCCAGTAGAGAGAGAGAGAGAGAGAGAGAGAGAGAGGGAAATTAAAAAAAAAAGTTGGTGTTGTTACTTTTTTGAAGAGGCCCCCCTATCAAAAATTCCGGTGGATAACTCGACCATTTTTTTTCTGAGCCTTCCCCTCCTCAAAAAAAGTGAATATAGAAATAATTGAATTGAAAAGATTTGTATTCAATTCAAGATTAGTCTCCTCTAGATGTTTTTCCTTGCGCTATTCTTGCGTTTTGCTGAATGCGAGAATAAGCCACGCCCCCTCTAGCCTCAAAAAGTTGGCCTCTCGCCACGGAGGTCATATGGGGGGAGGTGGGGAGGAGTGGGAGGGGAAGTCATTTTTTTTTGGCTGCCCCGCTGCTTCGGCTTCTTCTCCTCCGCCGCTGTGCGCTTGTTGGCTGCGAATTTTGTGTGAAGAATGTCGACATCGCCGAAATCGGCGTCGATAACGGTAGGCGTCGTTTTCGTGTCGGGACCCTTCTTTCTTTCTTTTTTTTTCGTTTGCTCTCCCCCAAACGCATATATTAGAAAATGCATAATTTATCAATTTTTGCATCGTTCGCGTTTTTTTTTGTTTCTTGAAAGTTTTCTGCTGGCTCAACGAACCAAAACAATCTCAGCACAGTTTTTTATCGATCCAGTACGATACTCCAATTACACGTTGCCCTCGGTTTAGCGTAAATCGACACTCGCTAATTTTGTTTTTGTTTTTTTTTGTATTTCTGGAAAAAGACCAACAATTCAAAGAAAAAAAAAACGAAAACTCGAATGCGGCAAAAATATATTTCGAATGGATTTCGCGGCGTTTATTATTTGTTCCTGAATGGCATCGAATTTCATTGAAGTGCGATATTTGAGATGATGAAAAAAAAATGATTGGGCCTCGCTTTTTTTTTATTGTTTTGAATCGATTAGATCAAAAAAGAACACCACAAAAATTTTGGGTTTTTTGAGAAAATTTAAAAAAAAATGAGATTTGTCGTGAAATGTGATGCACGGTCCGCAAAAAAAACGAAAAGTCAAATTCGGATTTGCTGAGCCTTTAAACAATTCTCGGCATCTTGAGGGATGTTCGATGAAAATTTTTTGGAGGCGACAATTCAAGGAGCATTCGCGCCAAATCTGAAGATTGAGTGAGTCTTGAAAATTAGCACCAAAGAGCAATTGTGCGAATGTGTGTGTGTGTGTGCGGCGAAGGTGTGGTGCTCTTTAGCCGGACCAAGTCGACGTCACGTGTGGCCGAAATGGCCCGAAGGCACCTACTAATCCCGGGGGCGGTGGCAGGGACAATTTTCGCTAGCTTTGCCCATTTTCATCCGTTTCGTCGTTGCAGGACACCGAAGAGGACGAGATGCCGCCGTCGAACATCCCGTGGTACACGTTCACCGACGATGATAAGCACGATCTCGAGCACTCGTGGAAGATCATCGAGCCGAAGAAGAATCAAATCGCGTGCGACATCTATGAGATGATTTTCAATCAGGTATCGTTGTCGTCAATTTTCGATATTCAATTCATTCCATTTTGTTCTTGCTTCTTCAGTGCCCCGAAGTTCGTCGACTCTTCCCGAAGCTCAAGTTTGTCAACTCGAAACCCGATCGGAAGAGCAACGAGTTCACGTTTCAAGCGATGCGATTCATGCAGGTTACTGTGTTTTTTGTTTTTGTTGCCCAGAATTGCGCGTCAAATATGGTGCATTGCAAAAAAAAAGAAGAAAAGAAGGATTTGCGTTCTTTTTTCGGATTTTTTTTTTGTTGAGAGAATCTCGACGGGTTTTGCCTACGCAAATTAGCGTCATTTATGATGCATCGCTTTTATATATATTTTTTGAAATTTATATCTTCCTTGTGTGTATAGTTGTTGGAGAAAATTGAATTTTCACTGCAAATGAATGTACAATGGATTAATGTTTGGCGCGTGCAAAGAATGCCCTTGAATGTCTCATTTGCGACTTAAAATTGATGATGCTAAGCAATTATGATTTGAAGAAAAAAGGTCTAAAAACCTCGATCAAGCCTACAGCACCACAATTATGAAAAATGTATCACATTTGCGCGTTTAAAGAATAGAAAAATAGGATAAAGAAATAAAATCACAAGAAAAAAAATGTTTTCGTTAAAGGCGCATATGAGAAATATTGCGTGATTCTTGCAGCAAATTAATAAAAACGGTGGTACTGTAGGGCCGTGGTCGAGGTTTTCGGAGTTTCTTGTTTTTTTTTTTTTTGAAATTTTCAGCGATTATCAAAAATTGGTTTGTTTTTGATTTTGTTTCTAAAAAAATCTCTGCCTAGTATTTATTATACGAAATATTGTAGGTGATCGAAGGCGCCGTTCGAGCATTGGATAATCTGCCGTCGCTCGATATAATTCTTGACAATCTGGGACGAAGACATGGCAAATTGGAGGTTAACGGCAAATTTCGGTGCGCGACCAAAAGCAAAAATCGATTTTCAATGTTTTTTTTTTTGTGATTTCTTCCAGATCATACTATTGGTCGACATTTTTGGAATGCTGCATCTTCAATATTCGATTGAATTTGTCGAAGAAAATGAACTCGTTGGAAGTGGACCGAATAATTATTTTGTGGAGGTGCCTTCTTCGGGATGTGATGAAGAAAATCAAGGTACTCTGTGTGTTTTTTGTTGTTGCTGCTGGATTTTAAGAATTTTTCAAGGCCGGCACCACCGCGGACATCGCTCAGCGAATGCTTCAGATGAGCATCGAAGAATCGCGCATGTTCTCGCTGCCCGCCATCCATAAGGAATCGAACGCTTCATCGGCAGATGTAAGCTTTTCGTTTGAAACCGTCGACTTGAAGAATGGTCGCGTTTTAGTCGAGTTTATAGGCGATTAAACGACGCAAATCGAGTTATTCGTCAGTGAAAATTTCAGAACGACTTTGACGATATCCTGTGAATGCACAAACCACTGACGGCTCCATGTTTCTGTTTTCTCAATGATTCATTTTTTCGATGATTCCGGATACCTCAAACACCATCACAACATTCCGGACATTTTTTTGTAATTAATACTATTTTATTATAATTATCATAATTAATATCAAATAATGTAATATTTCAATTAAATGCCTAATTTATCATTCGACTCATACGGCGCTCGTATTGACGCTCGCTGAAACAATATTTGTCTGTGTTTTTTTTTAAATTTTTTTTTGAATAATGAATCTTACAGCTGCTGAATATTGGTGGATTTTGTGTGATAGCAAGTTTTGTAGATGACAGCGCCAATGAGGGCGATGATGAGAAGGATGGATAGAATGGCACCGAGCGCGATAATATAGACAATCGCCTTTGGCGATTTATAGTGGAGATCGCAATTGAGAATCACACGATAGCAGTATCTTTCGGTGGTTTTGTCGCAGAGTGGCACGCGGGTGAACAAGCGGAATTTGCAGTGGTACTGGAAAGAAATAGAATGAGCTTAAAGGCGCATGAAAAAAAAAACGAAATGTCCGATCCGCGGGATGGAGGCGAAAATTTGCAATGAAATGTAATAATGTAATTTTTCCATTTTTTCATTTTTTTTATTCATGCTAATTTCAATTTTCGGTTTCACTCAAATTTTTTAACTTAGCCAGTAGCTAGTTGAGCCGCTCGCTCTCATGGCCTAGTTTGTATGGTTTAAGGTTGCGCGCTGCGATTTGTACCAGGGCTGTGCGGCAATTTGGCAAATTGCCGAAAATAATAAAAAATTCGGCTATTGAATTTTTTTAACGATAATTCGAAATATAAATACCGAATGTTCACGGTACCCCAAATTATTCATTGGACATTGATTTTTGTTTCGCCGATTTTTTTTGACATCAAATTGCCGAAAATATATACTTCGGCAACTGACGATCAAACGTTCTTTTCGGCAATTCCATTGCCGCTCTGAGATTTGTACTCCACACGAACAATTCGCAATTTTGCAACTCCGTTTTGGTTAAATCTTGTTTATTTTATTTGAATAGAATTTTTTAAATTGTATGTTTTAATCTAAAAATTGACAAAATATAACAATTTCATAAGCTTTTTTGTAAAAATGGAAAAAATGCAATTTTTTAAAATTTTAAATTGAGATTTTTTCTTGAAATCAAAAAAAATTAGATTTTTGAGGTCTATTATTCGAAATTTTTAATCGATTTTGGCCAATTTGTGTCCCTTGATTTTTTTTTGAATTGATTAGAAATAGTATTCTTGCCATTTCTCATGGTTTCTCTCAAAAAAATCCCTAACGCGAAATGACGTAATAAAGAATTTTGATTGATTAAAAGGTAAAATAAACATACGGCGAAATTGAAGTAGGTGTCATTGGTGTAATCCATACAATCGAGGACGACTCTCGAGTTCATGAGGATTCGCTGATCGCGCGCACCGCACACGATTTTCGCCGGACTGCAATTCTCGACGATTCCCATCAAATCGTTGGTCATCTCGATGTGCTCCTTTAAAATTGTGAAATTTTGTTTTGAGGCGACGACAATTTCACGAACCGCGACCCCACAAAACGACATCACCGAACCGCATTGCGACACGTTGAAGAGAAGACTGGCGAAGAAAATCAGGAGGCGAATTGGCATCGCGACGACGCGGAATAGTTCAATGTGAATGAATGTTATTGGGGAATCGACAGAATGGATGGTTCGATTTTTTTTTGTTTTTTTTTACGCCTTGAATGACTCACTGCGATGAGAAGGTGCAAGATTATCGAATGAGTCGTCAAAATTTTACAAGGATTCTCAAAAATTAAAAAAATAGTCAAAAAATAGCGCGCCAATTTGAAATTTGTTGCTCAAAAACAATTGCATAACAATTTTTAAAAAGAATCCATTAAAAATAATAAGCAGTGTGCAGTTTTTGATCGATTTTCGCATTTCCTATGAATTATACCAGCTTTTTTTTATGTTTAAGAGGAAATATTGCCAAAAAAAGAAGAAATAAACGATTTTTCAAGTTTTTTTTTTCGAAAAAATGCATTTTCAATCGTATGAAATGACTTTTATGAAGAAATTACTGCTTAAGACATTTTTTTTTATAATGCCGACACTAAATTTTTCATGTTATTTTAATTTTGGTGTATATTTTCTCATGCTCGAATATTTATGAAAAATTTCAACATTCTAAAAAAGCATTTTTTCCAAATTTCCATGTTATGTTTTTTATTGGATTAAAAGTGCGAACAATTTTTTTGAAGTTGGGTCTTGTGTTGACTTCTATTAGACGTTTTTTTTTCTGACAAGCCTTTTTCTGTCCAAACTTTTTAGGCTCTTAAAATTTGAAATATTTTAATCAATTTTACACACGTTGATAAAATTTTATTTAAGAAAAAGTAGAACAATTAAAAGCCCTTAAGAGGGCTGTTTGGATTCGAAAGCATTGGATGTGTCTCGGAATACTTCTCACGACTTGCTGGGTCGTAGAGAAGCCGCCTAGTTGAGGAGGAGGAGTCCTCCTCGACCTGCGTGAGACGATGTACCGATTAGCCTGACGGTGCCCCCAGAAGTGAGGGCATCGTCAGTTGATCCTCTTCGCCACGGAGAGGCTCGGCACGTGAAGAGGAGGCTCACCAGCTGCAGGTGGGGAAATCCTGAGTGGGTCATTGCCCGATCGCGAAGGATCTGGGGGGGGTGGGAGGGGTGGGGAAGGAATGGGGAGGGGATAGTGGTACCACTGGGGACGGGGACAACGGTCCGCCATCTATCATCTAGCCCTCTTCACATGATATGCTTCAAACGAGAGGTTTAGCGTCACCTGAACCCAACACTGCAAACCACCCACTTAAGGGCTGGATCCGACTTACGGAGCTGGAGGCGAGAATCCCTAACGAGATCAGCATATCATGATCCGAAGGTTTCGATGATAGACAACTCGCCATTGTCCGCCATCTGAGCCGCATCCCCTGCTTTTATAGTCGATGTGGGCGGAGTCGTGAGCATCGACCGCCCATTCGGGGGGCGTTTCGCGTCGCAAATCTGTCATTGTTTTCGGGCTTTTGCACACGATATTTTGAATATAGTCTGAGAAGACCCTCTCAATTTCCAACACTATCTCGCTGGTTGTGATGCAATTATTCACAAAAGAATTGCCGCAAGGTCAGCTATGAGCAAACTACACCAATTCGAATATTACGTGAACGATTAGCAATTGATGTAGTTTGAATAGTAATTAAGTAATTACTGTTTGATTCGCAATTATATAATTTTTAAAAGCTTACAAGAAAAAACGTTTTTGAAATAGGGCAATTTAAAAAAAAATTTAAAAAAAAAAAGAAAAATGTGCTAATTTTTAATTTTTTTGTAAAAGTTTGTCTATTTTTTCTAGTGGGAAACAATTCATCATCGACGAATCGCAATGTTCTTCCGGAATCGGAATTCCGTACAATCCTGCCTTAGGGCAAAAGTCCGCAGAGACATTATACAAATTGTAAAATCGATTTTGTCCTAATTAGGCACACAAAAAAAGATCGATTTACAGTACCGCTCAAAAGTCGAAGAGCTTTTGGTTTTTCGTACAAAACTTTCCTAAAAATGTTTGGATCATCATGAAATTTTAACACAAACTAAAAAATACAAATAGAATTTGCATAAAATTTTGAAAAAGATTCTGCAGTCAGGATTGTTTGCAGAATTCTTTACAAAACTTTGGATTTTTCATATTTTGATGTAGTTTGCAAATTTTAGGGTTTTCAAATGTGCTAAATTTATCAAGTTCACTGGTTGCAACCCTTAAAGTCCACAAATACCTTATAAGGGACCATTATACTTGGTGAGGTCTTTTGAACTGACTTCGCGAAAATTTTACATTAATTATACGATTTCGGCTCACTTTAAGATTCAAATTTACTTTTGTTATAACCAGTAACCTATTTGGACACTAAAACCGTCATTATTGATTTTTGCTTCCCCGTAGAAGGCCGAAATACACGGCGCGCACTAGTCCCGAACATCGACTAAGCTTCGATTCACCTTTCTAGTTGCTTCACCAACCGTCATAATATAACTTTTATGATTTAAAATTAATTAAAATGGTGTGAACAATCAATTAAAATATAAAATTCGACAAATCATATTTTTTGGAGCAATCGAGGTAGTAATTCGAGTAGTAATATTTTAGAGGACGCAATAAGTGAAAAATCGAAAATAAATCGAATACGTTGTGGATTTAAAATCACTTTCAGCGAAGCGCTAGCGAGTGACTTTTCAAAAAACGTATATTAATTGATTGTTCACACCATTTTAATTAATTTTAATTTTCATAAAAGTTATATTATGACGGTTGGTGAAGCAACTAGAAAGGTGAATCGAAGCTTGTATAATGGCCCACCCAAGTATAATGGTCCCTTATAAGGTGTTTGTGGACTTTAAGGGTTTCAACCAGTGAACTTGATAAATTTAGCACGTTTGAAAACCCTAAAATTTGTAAACTACATCAAAATATGAAAAATCCAAAGTTTTGTAAAGAATAGCAGAAAAATTGAAAACTTGAAGAGACTGTAATTCTAAAATTCTGCAAAAAATCCTGACTGCAGAATCTTTTTCAAAATTTTATGCAAATTCTATTTGTATTTTTTAGTTTGTGTTAAAATTTCATGATGATCCAAACATTTTTAGGAAAGTTTTGTACGAAAAACCAAAAGCTCTTCGACTTTTGAGCGGTACTGTAAATCGATCTTTTTTTGTGTGCCTAATTAGGACAAAATCGATTTTACAATTTGTATAATGTCTCTGCGGACTTTTGCCCTAAGGCAGGATTGTTCGGAATTCCGATTCCGGAAGAACATTGCGATTCGTCGATGATGAATTGTTTCCCACTAGAAAAAAAAATAAATAATTGGAATAATTGTTAAATCACCTAAATTTGAATATTCCAATTTTCAAACAACTTTAATTTTGTGACAACAATGTTGATTTAAATTTCAAAAAAAAAATTCAATTCAGCTAAGAGAAGATGTTGAAGAAAAGCTTCAACCTTTCGTTTTGTTGTCTGCAAACACTCAGTCGCAATTTTGCACACATTAGATTTTCAGAAATTTCTTTCTCTCTCTCTCTTTTTCTCTCTCTCTCTGTTTTTCTCTCTGTCTGTAAAAATGCGTACAGTCTCTTTGTCTCGAGACACCTTTGGCAGACAGCCAACAATAAATTTTTTGCTTGGAAATAATTTCGATCACGCGTTTGAAACCGACACCGCTGACGAACTAATCTCGATGAATCTCGAATTCGTGCCGATCAAAATACAAACGGCTTCGGCTTTCGGAATTGCGTTTCATGCGACACATCTGTTTGACGAGATATTCTTGGAGATTAGGCGTCGAACAAAAAAAAACCACGGAATTTGTTTTGTCATGAAAATCAATTGAACAAAATGAAACGATCGTTTGCAAATAGACCAGATCTTGAATTTGAAAAAGAATTGTAAAAATCTGTGTCGATTTACGGGCAGTGCGCGCTTTTCGAAATGGTCCCGCCACGATTGTCTTGATGATTTTGGGATTTCTCTGAATTTCTAGCGTCTCTCAAATTAAAAATGCCAAATAACGAGTTTGTCGGTGCGAGACCATCGTGAAGGCGCTGTGCACGTAAATCGACATACACATTTTTTCTAATAGAGCCATTCAAAAAAAGTGCAATGGGTACTGTAATGAAGACATCTGCGAGACCCATGAGATGATTTGTTGTCATGCGTCTTTCTTTTTGAAATTACGGTATTATTATTTTTTATTTGATTTGATTCGAATTTTCCGTTTTAAATTTAGCAGAATAAATTTCAATAAAAAATTATACCGTAATTTCGGGAAAAAAGACGCATGACAACAAATTGTCATTTAATTACAGTAATCATTCCATAGTGTAATTTTTGTAAAACAATTTTTGGTCCAATAGAAAATATTTCGAATTGGCGCGATAATTCTGAGTGCGTCTCGAGAAGAGTGTTGTCAGATTCGGCCCTCATTGAGTTTTCCGGTTTCCGTCTGATGCTGAAACTTTTTTAGCCACCTTGCGTCTCGTATGGAATGCATCTGTGAATTAATGAATTTTATATTACGTTACCCTCCAAAATTTTTCAAATTAAGGCCTCCATGCATTATTTGAGCCTCCAAGGGGTCTCGCGTGGAAAAATCCTTTTGAAAGCGATTTTTTCGAAGTTCAGAATAATTGTTTTTCACTCGTACAGTTAAAATACTCCAATACATCATTCCACAACAATATTCTTTAATTTTTTAAAATTCCATCTAAAAATTTGATTAATTTGTTTATTTATATGCTCAATGCGATTTTCAAAAAAAAATAATCTAAAAACCGCGAAAAAATGGCAAACATGAAATGCGCCATGGCCGAAAACTTCGCGGCCGCGGCCATAATTCAACATCAATCCAACCTTTGTCGTTTTTGTTTGTTAAATTTGGATTATTTCAAATTTCCATAATTATTTGAAGCCGAAACTGAGCCATCATTGAATTTTGGACTAATTTTGGCCACCTTCAAACACTTTTCATTGCTTCAAAAGAATTATTGAAATTGAACAGTGAAATTAATTACTAATTATTAATTGAAAGCATACCGGCCGATAATTTTATTCACCCGATACGGAATGCAATTTAATTTGAAAAAAAAAAAAAGAAGCACACACAATTTAGGGCTTAATTAGAGCGTGGCCAATCGCGATCGCCGCATTCTTCGGCGGTCTCAAATGGAAAACGTGGTCGGGAATTGGAAGCGGTTGAACGTTGAAGAAATTGCCGTTGTTGGCGAGCGAACCGTGATCGACGCGCGTTGCAATCGAGTAGGTGGCGCCGAGTTTGCGAGCGAGAGCGAACTACATCGAAAAAAAATGTTGCAAATTGATTTGCAGAATGATCGACTCACGAATGGATCGCCGCTATCGACGATTTTGAGAGCCGAAAAATTTTCGACGTTGTCCAGTGTTACGGCTGGATGCAAAATCGCGTCGGGTTTACACAGAATCTCATCATTCTTGGTCGCATCGCATTTCGACAAATCGATCGCCTAGAATCATCAATGGATTGCGGTTTTGATGGATGGCATGGATCACCCTCCACTCATCGAGATCATTGATTCCGATCCACGCCGACGGAATATCGTAGTAGGTGAATGTGTTGAGATCGTCGGAAAAATTGCCGCCGTGCATGATCTTCTTCAGCGTGTAGCTCGTCTGCGTCTTGTCGTCCAAAACGCAAACCTGAAATTCGAGCGCGATTGTTCGATCTCGGATCTTCGGTAAGTTCAACAATTCAGATGACTATCTCACCTTTCGCTCGTGCTCATCGCTAAAAATGTTGGTGAGACGCTTTCGACGCACATTGGCACCCCTTAAACCCAAAAAAATGACAATTATCTCAAAACGATTCGAATTGATTGGCTCGAATACCGTTGTTCGGCGGCTCGTGATCGATGCGCGACGTCGAAACAGACGTACTCGCCGACGATCGCACGACCGCGCGTCTCGTCGAACAATGGCGCAATTCGTTGACGCGCTAATTGAATGCATATAAATAATATAGTTAGCACGATGGCACGCATTGTTAGCCCAATGAGCAGCAGCAGATCCGTCGAGGCCCTTTTTCGGCAATGGTGTGATGGGAATGAGAAGGGTGGGGTGTTGGGGTGTTGGGGGGGAGTGGTCACTACGACTGGGAAATGACGTTCGCCTAGGATTCTATTTCAGGACGTTCTGGCCACGCCCACTGTCGTTGAGGTCCTCGGATTTCAAGTGGAATTTAATTAGAGGCAAATAATAAATTTGAAATTGTTGAATAATTGATTTTGGATGATCATTGAGACCGATACCGTAATTTGAAGGAGTTCGAAAAAATTGAGACGCGTGAAACGTGACCCACAAAAATTGATATTCCTCATTTTCTCTTTGATTTCAGTTTTTTTTGCAAATTTTGATATCATTTCCCAAAAAAAAGAAGAAAGTCGAATCCATTATCAATTATTGGTAATCATTGTCGTCATCGTCATCGGTTTTCGATGAAAACAATTTATTTCTCGCGTCGCCGCAATCATTCAGTCAGCCAGCCCCGTCAGGCAGTCAGTCGGCCGCAATTTCGCCGGCCCGTTCGCTTATCAATGCTGCCGATTCGATTCCTAATCTATGGTAGATCGCTTGGATCGCCATTCTCACACAGCCCATTCGCATTTGCAGGTCTCGCCACGATTTGCATCACATTGCTCTATGCTTTGCGATTGGCGTTCCACTCGACGATCATTTGTCAGATTGTTGAGGATGATGAAGGTGGGCTCGAATTTTGAGATTTTGAGAGTTGATGCTTGATTTGCAGACGGTTTTCTTCGCGATGACACCCTTCGACAGTTGACGTTTCAATCGGTTGCGTTTGGATTGGCGATCGGATTGATACCGTTGCATTTTATGAATTCGTGGGGAACGCGGTGAGTCATTTTGAGTGTGTGTGTTTTTTTGGATTTTTTGGATTTTTCGAACAAAAAGGGTGATTTTTTAGATTAAAAAAATTTTTTTGAGAGGAAAAAATTGATTTTTCAATTTTTCAACAAATTTGTTTCAAAAATTGCTTCAATAAATTTTTTTGATGAAGAAAATGAAATTGAAAAAATTTTTGGCGAAACTTTTTTTCGAAAAAAAAAAGATAATTCAAAAAAATCTTGTAAAAATTCCCCTACTTTTTCTTGTTTTTAACAATTTTTTTCTCATGACGAAAAATTTTTTAATGATTTTTTTTTTTGAAATTTGAAATTTCGTCTTTTGAAAAAAAAACAAACTCTATTGTTAAAGTTTCTACAGTAATCGATATTTTCGTGGTGGGACCACTTTGAAAAGAGCGCGTTTTCCAAAAAAAAAGTGTAGTCGAGGTGTTCGCGTCGAAACCCGACACCTCGACGAGATCAAAAACCGAATAGACGCCAAAACATTTCAGAAATGTCACCACCATATTCGGTTTCTTGGGCGTTGGCGCGGCAATGATGTACCCGTTGGCGCACCGGCACGACTTTTACGCCTCGTTTGTCGTGCGCGTCGCTCAGGGCGCACCGTTGGCGATCCTATTATGGCTCATCGCGAAAATCGCGTCCGAATGGACGCCGCGCGGCGAGATGGCGTTGGCGTTGGCGATTCTGACGTCGGTGTATCAAGTGAATCTGAACGCGACGAGTTGACGAATCCGAAATTGCCCTCTCTCTCAATTTCCAGATGGCGCCGTTCGTCGCCCAAATCACCGCCGCCGAGATGTGCGAACACTTTGGCTGGGAGTACACCTACTATTCGTTGGCGGTGTTGTGCGCCGCGTGCCACGTGGCATTCTATTGCGTCTACACCGACAACGCGCAAGAGAATCGCTACGCGGGCGATGTTGAGAAGCGGCTCATCGGCGAGCACAAGAAGCGCGAGGTTGTTGTCGTCGCGGCGACGCCGTTTCGCGCGATTCTCACCGACGCGACCGTGTTGGCGACGTGGCTCGCCAACATCGCCTTCTTCTCGACGCTATTGATATTTCTCCAATACGGACCATTATATATTCATCAGGTTGTTTTCTTTTCTTTTCTTTTTTTGGCACAACACATTGCTTGACGCCTAAAATTGGGCGTTCAGCTGTTGGGCTTCTCGGTGCGAACCACTGGCTATTCGGGAGGCTTCTCGCACGTGTTGTGTCTCGTCGCGAAAATATCGTTTGGACGTTTGATGGATCGTTGCGAGATCGAGATGACGAAGAGACTGAAACTCGCGTGGGCCTTGATTGAAGTTCCGTCGATTGGTTTGCTGTTGGCAGTGATGATGGTAGGATTGGATTGGATCATGATCCAAGGATTCAAGCTCTTATGAATTCAGGTCGATAATAGTTTAATGAAACTTTCGGCGATAGTGCTCTTCATTGCGATTCACGGTGTCGCCATTGTGATCATTGTGAAGACGCAAACATTTGTCGGTGGTCTTTCCAGCATCCCGAAAGCCAATCGTAATCGATATTCCAGAGATCTGCCCAATATAGTCATGTGCTAGCGAATGGCAATACCCTATGCGTTGTAGTTTGCCTGTTTGTCCAACCGATTATCGTCAAATGTTTAGTGCAATCGAACACGATTGCCGAGGTTCGAATGCGGTTTTTTTTCGGACCATCTTCAAAAATGTTGATTATTATAGTGGTCGCATGTGTTTGGACTTCACGCGGGTCTCGTCGCGGTCTCGATTATCGTGTTTTTGGTGTTCGTCGATTCGCGACCGGCTCGCTGGACGACTGATTTGGTGGTCGACGACGAAAAAATTTAATTGCGCAATTTTGATGTTTCCGAAATTGCCAATAAATATTGATAATTGATGGATATCCGGTTGGAGTTTGAATAATTGCAGTCTGGCCAGAGGGGGCAGCGAGCGACGTGAGATTTGCGAGAATCGAAGTCATGCGCCTTTAAACGATGGAGCCGAGTGAGTACTAAAACCTGACAAGTACAATAATTGATAATGAAATGTATTGCGATCAGATTGATCTTGTTGTAGTGTACACTTTGATAAGACCTCCCCCCCCAAATATGGGCAATGAGCAAAAATGAATGTTGACACTTGTTGTACATATTCATCAAATTTTTTTGGTGGCAGTTACTCTAAATTCTTTGAAAACTGGATTTTAATTCGATCTCGATAATTTATGCATATCCTATTAAGTCTATATATAGGGGATTAGGATTGGTGTCCCGTTGAGGGTGTCGGCTTGCGCCAAGCGCCATTTTGAATTCATTGACATTTTCGTCGTTTTTAATAACATGCACTTTTCAAAAATTAATTAATTTGGCTTGTTTGTTTTATCATCGTTGTGAAGAAATTTGTTATTAATAGGAATGTTGAATGGTGGGAGAGAGAGAGTGAGAGAGAGGCAGAGATGCAGAGAAAGAGAGCATCACCCGATAAGGAATATTACCGTTTTGTTGTTCGCTGCTTGTGATAACACATTTTTAACAATTATTTCCATTTTTGGTCCATTCCTTCGTTATGGCGACTGGCAAGAAGAGATTGTTGATTGTTGGCGCCGGCGCTTCGGGTCTTCCATCGCTTCGTCATGCGCTCATGCATCCGGAGATTGAAGTGGTGTGTCTCGAAGGCAGCGGCGAGATCGGCGGCCTCTGGCGATACAAGCCCGAGGAGACGCAACTCTCGTCGGTGATGAAGTCGACGGTCATCAACACGTCGAAGGAGATGACGGCGTACTCGGATTTTCCGCCGGAATCGCGAATGGCCAACTTCATGCACAATCGCGAGATGCTGCGATACTTGTCGATGTACGCGGACCACTTCGATTTGAGAGCGCACATTCGATTCAATCACAAGGTCGAGGCGATCGAGAGGAACGACGATTACGAGGCGACCGGCAAATGGAGAGTCGCCTATGTCGATGAGTAAGAGTTTGGGCTCGAGTCGGCTGAAAATGAGCGCGAGTGTTTTCAGCAAAGGCGGCCGACACACCGAGGTGTTCGACGGCGTCATGCTGTGTCACGGACATCACACGATTCCGCACTGGCCGGCCAAGTTTCCGGGACAGGACGAGTTCAAGGGCAACATCATCCATTCGCACAGCTACAAGGATCATCGCGGCTACGAGGATCGCATTGTCGTCGTCGTCGGCGTCGGAAATTCCGGCGGCGACGTCGCCGTCGAACTCTCGCGAATCGCCAAACAAGTCTATCTGGTGACGCGACGCGGAACTTGGGTCTTCAATCGCATCTACGACTATGGACGACCTGTGGATCTCGCGTTGAACACGAAGGCGTTGTGGGATTTGATGGAATTGGTGCCGAAGTGGTTGTCGAATGCATTCATGGAGCACAAGTTGAACAAGAGATTCGATCATCAGGCGTATGGTCTCAAGCCGAATCATCGAGTATTCGCGTATGAATTGAGATTATTATTTTTTTTTGTCAAAAATTCGATTTTCGATCATTTTTCAGAGCGCATCCAACTGTGAATGACGAGCTACCGAATCGAATCGCGTGTGGAACTGTGAGAATCAAGCCGAACATCGCCAAGTTCACCGAGCACGGAATTCTGTTTCAAGACGGCACGAAACTCGAGCACGTCGATGACGTCATCATGTCGACCGGCTATTCGTTCGAGTGCAATCTCGTCGAGAATGGCAAGCTGATCGAGGTGGTCGACAACAAGGTCGACCTCTACAAATACATGTTGCCAATCGTGACAGCGGACCATAACACGCTATCAATCATCGGATGCGTTCAGGTATGAATGATCCCGAATCCGATTAATAGCCAGTTCAGCCATTCGGATCAATCATGCCGCTCTCCGAACTCCAGGCGCGTGTGTTCCTTGAGGAATTCACCGGCAAACACGTTCTCCCCTCGAAATCGGAGGTCGGTTCGAGCAAATAAACAAACAATCAAGTGGAAATGCGCGCTTTACAGATGATGCACGACGTTCGTGTTCATCGTAGACAAATGGCGGAACGCTATGTGACGAGTCGTCGTCACACCATTCAGGTAGACTATGTCAAATATGCGGACGAGCTCGCCGAGCTGATTGGAGCGAATGTGAATCTCAAAGAGCTCATCATCAAGGATCCAATGCTCGCCTACAAGATCTACTTTGGACCACGAGTGCCGTACATCTTCCGCCTCAACGGACCGCATAAATGGGAGAAGGCGCGCGAAGCGATCATGGGCGTCGATGAGCGCGTCCTCATCGCCACCAATGACAAATCGATAGTCGAACCCGACTATAGTTTGCTCTACTATGCCACCGGAGTCCTTCTCATTGTTCTGATCATCATTTTTGTTTTTTAAAATGATTCTGATAAATATATTGATACTCTTGAAGTCCCGAATGCTCCTTGTAGATTTTGTTTTATTTAGAATACAATAATAATGAGAAGAAGCACGAAGGCGAAAGCGAATAAATAGAACAAAGTGTTGCTCTCTTCAGACTTGACTTCCTTTCCGTCGGTGTTGCCGAGGCTCACTCGCTCATCGACGCCCATTATGGCGTCGCGAGCATTTTCCCATTTGTTGGGACCGTTTAGCCGGAAGATGTATGGGACCCATGGTCCGAAGTAGACCTTGTAGGCCAGCATCGGATCGTTGAATAGGAGCCGTTTGAGGTCGACATTGGCGCCGATGAGACGCGCCAACTCATCGGCATAGTTGACGTAGTCGACTTGGATTGTGTGACGGCGACTGGCGACGAAGCGCTTCGCCATTTGCTCTCGCTTCGTCTCGACGTCGCGAATCATCTGAACCACACGTGATTGTTTGTTTATTTGCTCGAACCGACCTCCGATTTCGAGGGGAGAACGTGTTTGCCGGTGAATTCCTCAAGGAACACACGCGCCTGGAGTTCGGAGAGCGGCATGATTGATCCGAATGGCTGAAGTGGCGATTAATCGGATTCGGGACCATTCATACCTGAACGCATCCGATGATTGATAGCGTGTTATGGTCCGCTGTCACGATTGGCAACATGTATTTGTAGAGGTCGACCTTGTTGTCGACCACCTCGATCAGCTTGCCATTCTCGACGAGATTGCACTCGAACGAATAGCCGGTCGACATGATGACGTCATCGACGTGCTCGAGTTTCGTGCCGTCTTGAAACAGAATTCCATGCTCGGTGAACTTGGCGATGTTCGGCTTGATTCTCACAGTTCCACACGCGATTCGATTCGGTAGCTCGTCATTGATAGTCGGATGAGCTCTAAAATGGAATGGTCCCTTGTTAGGTAGTATCCAAAAACGCGCCTACCCATAGACTCTGTGTTGCGGTTTAAGTCCATAGGCATTATGGTCGAATCTCTTGTTCAACTTGCGCTCCATTAGAGCATTCGAGACCCATTCAGGCAGCACTCTATGAATATCAGTCAGGAACTTTCGATTAAGGGCCAGATCCACAGGTTGTCCATAGTCGTAGATGCGATTGAAGACCCAAGTTCCGCGTCGCGTCACCAAATAGACTTGTTTGGCGATTCGCGAGAGTTCGACGGCGACGTCGCCGCCGGAATTTCCGACGCCGACGACGACGACAACGCGATCCTCGTAGCCGCGATGGTCCTTGTAGCTGTGCGAATGGATGATGTTGCCCTTGAACTCGTCCTGTCCCGGAAACTTGGCCGGCCAGTGCGGAATCGTGTGATGTCCGTGACACAGCATGACGCCGTCGAACACCTCGGTGTGTCGGCCGCCTTTGCTGAAAACACTCGCGCTCATTTTCAGCCGACTCGAACCCAAACTCTTACTCATCGACATAGGCGACTCTCCATTTGCCGGTCGCCTCGTAATCGTCGTTCCTCTCGATCGCCTCGACCTTGTGATTGAATCGAATGTGCGCTCTCAAATCGAAGTGGTCCGCGTACATCGACAAGTATCGCAGCATCTCGCGATTGTGCATGAAGTTGGCCATTCGCGATTCCGGCGGAAAATCCGAGTACGCCGTCATCTCCTTCGACGTGTTGATGACCGTCGACTTCATCACCGACGAGAGTTGCGTCTCCTCGGGCTTGTATCGCCAGAGGCCGCCGATCTCGCCGCTGCCTTCGAGACACACCACTTCAATCTCCGGATGCATGAGCGCATGACGAAGCGATGGAAGACCCGAAGCGCCGGCGCCAACAATCAACAATCTCTTCTTGCCAGTCGCCATCGATGAGTATTAGAAGAATGGATGGGTGACACCAATGAACAGTTCTTCACCCGACAACGTGGGCCTTATATAGGGAAGCTTATCAATCCAAAGCGATCACAATACAAATATGTCTAGTCAAGTTGATCTAAGGCCACCCTGGACGTTTAGTTTCTTTAAGTATCTAAAATTCTGGCAAATATTTGTTCTACATCGCTTTTTTTTCTTGTTCGTCTTCCAATAAAAACCGTTTCGAGATTTGTCTGAACTTTCAAACTCTTGACGAGTTTGAACTGTCTGGAAATCGCTGAAAGACCAGACCAGAGATGTCGTTTTTTTTTCGAAATGGACTCTGGTCGACAAACAACATTCATCCGTCAATGTTGACATGTGATAGTGAATCGTAAAATCAAAATGGGTTCACTTGATGTTTGAATGAGTGATTTCAAACTACACATGGAGAATTCTGCAAAATTGTGGTCACTTCGCTTCAAGAGCCTTGATAAATATAAATCTATGCGCCTTTTAATGAGATTTTCAAAGAAAATTGAATACCGCAACGCGTCTGACGATATTGTAACCCTCCATTTTGTAAAAGTGGAAAATTATAATTTTTCCCGAAATTCCAGATATTGTCTTTCGATTGTGATTTTTGTCCGCTTCACAGATCCAGTATTTCGCAAGGATATCTTGTGAGCTGTTTTGTTTTTTTTTTTCGCGTCTTCCTCCCAGCTGTGGAGACGCAGAAAATTCGGCACTCTGCTTCGATCGCAAACAAAAATTCTTCTTGTTGTTGTTGATTTTTTTTTTCGAATTTTCTTCACTCATTATAATTATCAGCAAATTTTTTTCGAGCGAGAATGGTTGAAGCGAAGAAAATCGATTTTCTGAAACTACCGCCGCCGATAATTTTGCAGATTTTCCGCGAGGTTTGACCAATTCAACGGAATTCGTTGAAAATAATTAATTTGAAGTGTGAAGTCGAAAATTTGGAGAATATCTCGCTCACTTGTAAAATTGTCAAACAGTTCGTCGACGTGAATCGCCGTTTGCTGCCGGCAAAAAAGATCTACCATATCGATTTGGTATTTTTCGTCGAATTTTAGTCTCAAAATAAATAAACTTACATTGTTTTTTTTCATTTAGGATCGTCGACGAATTCGAGCTTGGCGTAGTCTTTCGTGGTGCGATCGCATTCCATTCTTGTCGCTCGAATATATTTCCAAATTTTTTTGCAATGTTCACGCGAAGGTTTTGACGGTAAACACGCTCGATGAAGAATTGACAGCATTTCTGATCGATCAGGCCGCTAATCATAATTTTCGATTCGAGCAGTTGAGATTATTTCATGAGGTGAAAAATCGAAAAAAGAACCCCCAAATTTTATTTGCGTTTACGGTACCCACTTGAGATGGTGTAAACACGTGACGCAAAATTGCGCCATATATATATATATATATATATCATCAAATTCATTTTCTGAAATTTCTGTCTGAATTTTATTTAAATTCATTATAGTATTGCGCAAATTTTGTAGGAAACTCAAAAAAACTGGCTATAATAAGGTTTTTATTCCACAAATATACATGTTTTGACCCAAAGATTATAATTCTAATGAAATTTTCTTTTCAGCTTCACTCAAGCCATGAAAGCATTTCTCAACTTCTCCAATATGCTGATTGTGATGCCGTCAATTTCGAAGCGGTGCCAAGCCAATTGAAAAAAGAGCACCTTCAACTAGCTGGCTATAAAAATGTAGCAAGTTTCTATCAATTTCGTGTCCATACAAAAATCTGTAATTTTTTAGTTGCATTCGCTGTGCTTCGAAATGGATAACACTATCGGAGATGATTTGTTTGATGGCGTTTTGGAGAATACGCATATCACCAAGTTCATATTTCACGGATGCAATCAGATCACTCCGGAATTTATAAGGAAACTCTTCCAGGTTGATGGGACCATTATAATCGAAATTGATATATTGAGTTACAGCTTTGGAGTCGCGGTCTTCGCAAAATCGATTGCCTTCGAATTACGACAGATCAGTCAATTTCGTTTTCAAGCATCGTCGAAGGCCTCCCAATTGAGCAAATCAATCATTGCACTTGGCTTTTAATTAATGAGGAGAAGGAGAAAGGTGCCTTTGAAAAAAGATTCGCAAAGAAACCTCGAAATTTCAGGAATGATCACAATGCGCCGAAATAATTATCATTTTTTCATTGCGTTGGAGGTCAATAGCCCCGTTGAGAATATCTTATACAAAATTCCCATCAATGAGTAGAAAGTCAGTGATAAGAATGGTCCGTTCCGATTAGATAGTCATTTTTTTGGGGGGTGGGGGCGTCTGGTGACCTCCTGTTGAGCTCGCCAGAGTAGTCGAAGAGCACTCGGCGTGTGCAATAAATGTGATACGTTACCAGAGTCTCTGCGTTTCGGCTCATTCATTCATTTCTTCTTCGTGCTCCCATTCGCATTCTGTTGTAACATTCTGACCCCTTTGCAAAATCACAATTTTTTTCTTAATTCATTTGTCCTATTTTTGAACATTTTTAAATGTATGCGATAAATATATTTTCTTAAAATTATATAAAAAGTGGTTAATGCAAATTTTAATTTTTCAGAATGTTTTGTGAGAAAATGTATTAAACAGTAACAAAAAAGTTGAAAAATAAAAATTGCAACTTTTATTACTTGGGGTACTGTAGAAATGTCTGCAAACAGGTTACACACAATGCTAACTACAGTAACCGTCTTTTTTTTAATATTGATTAAAAATCCCCACTTTCGTTAGAAGCACTTCGTATTACACATCGCATTACGCTTGACCCCCGTTTATCATTTTTTTTTCTCAAAATTGCGACTCCGTCAAGTTCAATAAAAAAATTTTGGCGGCACATGTGTTAGGCTGTGCGACAGGCACCGCCACACTGGCCTATAATAAATTGCGAGTCGCGCTCATCTCTATGATTCACACCGACCCCGCTTGCACATCTGGCGAGGCGTATGCCGCACCCAACTTTTCTTCATTTCTTCATTTCCCGCTTTTATCGAAATTCCGAAAATTTCAATTTTAAATTTTTTTTCTACAGATCGTTTGGCGAAATGCCACCCGCCAACGGATCGCCGTGGGCGATCTTACTAATAATTCTACTAACCACAACAACAATACCATCGGCGTACTCGCAAGTGTTGACGCCGTCGCAAATCACGATATCGCATCGAAAGCCGATCACCGCGACGGCGACGTGCGGAGAAATCAATGGGCAACCGGTGAACGAAGTGTATTGCTCGCTGACCGGCTCGACACAATACACACCGCTGACGTCGTACTCGTATCAGGAGGAGGATGTCTATGGCGCCGGAATGCTGCAGGAGATGCGCAATCCAAGAGAAGCTTTCGTTCAAGGCGGACATGGATGCGGACACTGTATGGCCGGCACCATCAACGCGCATCCCGCCTCGAATATGGTCGATGGAAATAATAGCTGGTGGATGTCGCCGCCATTGTCGAGAGGCCTTCATTTCAATCAAATCAACATCACCATTGATTTGGAGCAGGTTTTGAAGTTGATTCGTCAACGCAACTATTATTTCTGGTTCAGGAGTTCCATGTCGCTTACGTTTGGATCCAAATGGCGAACAGCCCGCGTCCAGGCAGTTGGGTGTTGGAACGGTCGACGGATCACGGAAAAACGTACAAGCCATGGTTCAATTTCGCCGAGAATCCCGCCGAGTGCGCGAGACGCTTCGGAATGGAATCGTTGTCGCCTATATCCGATGACGATTCGGTTGTGTGCCGAACTGACATGGCCAGTTTGCAGCCGCTTGAGAATGCCGAGGTTCTTTGTTTTGATTTTTTTTTGCTCAAAATTTTCTCGCGAATTTCAGATGGTCATTCGGATTCTTGAACATCGTCCGAGTAAGCTTCAATTCGCCACGTCGGAAGCGCTGCAGAACTTCACGCGCGCCACCAACATTCGGCTTCGTCTTCTCGGCACCCGCACACTTCAGGGCCATTTGATGGACATGAATGAGTGGCGAGATCCGACGGTGACTCGACGCTACTTCTACGCGATCAAGGAGATCATGATTGGCGGACGGTGCGTGTGCAACGGTCACGCCGTCACATGCGACATTCTCGATCCGAAGCGTCCGCGATCGTTGTTGTGCCGTTGCGAGCACAACACGTGCGGCGACATGTGCGAACGCTGCTGTCCCGGATTCGAACAGAAGAAATGGCAGCCGACGACGGCGCATAACAATTTCACGTGCGAGCGTGAGTTTCTCATTTTTCCACATCATCATTAATTTTTTGCTGCTACAGCCTGCAACTGCTTCGGTCGTTCCAATGAGTGCGTCTACGAGGAAGAGCTCGACATCAACAAGCAGTCGCTGGATATTCATGGCAACTATGAAGGTGGTGGCCGCTGCTTGAACTGTCGGGTAATCATCTAAACCATCTATTCGAATCGGTTCGATTGACTCGATTTCAGTTCAACACCGAGGGCATCAACTGCAATCAGTGCTCGTATGGCTATTATCGTCCAGAAGGTGTCTCCTGGGAAGAGCTTCAACCATGCCAGGCGTGCGATTGCGATCCAGCGAAACATACTGGCGCGTGTGCCGAAGGAACCGGAAAATGCGAGTGTCAGCCGCGATTCACCGGCGAGAATTGCGATCAATGCGCGTCGGGCTACTACGATCCGCCCGAGTGCAAACCGTGCGAGTGTTTCGTCAACGGAACCGTTGGCGACGTCTGCTTGCCGGTCGATGGTCAGTGTCCGTGCAAACCGGGATTCGGCGGCACGTTCTGCGAGACGTGCGAGGCGGGCTTCACGAATGTGACGGCTGGATGTGTTAGTTGCGTTTGCGACGAGAACGGCTCGGAAAATTCGAATTGCTCGGCGACGACCGGACAGTGCGAGTGTAAAACGGCGTACGCCGGACTGAGTTGCGACAAATGCCAAGTAGGATACTATGGTGACAACAAGAATTGCACGTTCTGTAATTGCGATCCGATGGGAACCGAAGGCGGCATTTGCGATCAAACGACCGGACAGTGCCTCTGCAAAGAAGGATTCGCCGGCGAGAAGTGCGATCGATGCGACATCGCGTTCTACGGATACCCGAATTGCAAACCGTGCGGTTGCGATGGCGCCGGCACAACGTCGCCGGAATGCGACGAGACATCGGGACAGTGTCCGTGCACTGGCAACTTCACTGGAAGGACGTGTGACAAGTGCGCTGCCGGATTCTACAACTATCCGGAATGTCAGGCTTGCGAATGCTTACTCGCTGGTGCCAAAGGACAGACATGCGATGGCAACGGACAATGTTATTGCAAAGGGAACTTTGATGTAAGAAAGACGTTGATGGTGCTTCAAAAGCAAGCTTTGATTTTTTTTTCTTTAAGGGAGAACGATGCGATCGATGCAAGCCGAACTTCTACAACTTCCCGACGTGCGAAGAGTGCAATTGCAATCCGTCGGGAGTCACTCGCGACTTTCAGGGCTGCGACAAAGTCTCGCCGGGCGAGTTGTGCTCGTGCCGCAAACACGTCACCGGAAGAATTTGCGATCAGTGTAAACCGTCGTATTGGGACCTTCAATATCATCACGAGGATGGATGTCAAAGTAAGGCATCGAGCGATTCGCGGCGGTGCAATTTCAATCCCGCGTGATTTCAGGTTGCAACTGTAACATCAACGGAACACTGTCTGGATTGAACACCTGCGACCAGAAGACTGGACAGTGCCTTTGTAAGAAGAACACGGCTGGCCAACGATGCGATCTGTGTGCTGATGGATTCTACCGACTCAACAGCTTCAATCAATTGGGATGCGAGCCGTGCCATTGCGACATTGGAGGAGCACTTCGCGCCGAGTGCGACATCAACTCGGGACAATGCAAATGTCGACCGCGAATCACTGGACTCCGATGCAATCGTCCGATTGAGAATCACTACTATCCGACGCTTTGGCACAATCAGTATGAAGCTGAAGACGCGCACACCGAAGATATGAGGCCGGTTCGGTTTGCGGTTGACGCGCAACAATTTGCGAATTTCTCGTGGCGCGGCTACGCGGTGTTCTCGCCGATTCAGGAGAAGATCCTCATCGACATCGATATTCATAAGGCGTCGGTCTATCGTTTGCTCTTCCGCTATGTCAATCCGACGAAGGTGCCGATCACCGCCGTCGTCGCCATCGCCCCACGATTCACGCATACGAACGATGTCGAACAATCGTCGAAGGTGACGTTCCCGATTGGACCCGAGCCGTCATTCGTCGAGGTCACCGTTGACGGCAAGCCGTTCGTGTTGAATCCCGGAAAATGGACGTTGTCGATATCCACTAAGCAACGATTGTTCCTTGATTACATCGTTGTGCTGCCAGCGGAATACTACGAGGGTCAAGTGTTGCGTCAACGAGATCCGCCGCCGTGCGAGGCGCACAGCACGAAAAACTCGACATGCGTCGATCTCCTCTACCCGCCGATTCCGTCCGGCGCCGGACGCGTTGACGTCGACATCGACAATGTGCCATTCGTCTATGTGAACGATGATGGTTCGACGACAACGTTGGAATTGGTGCCCGTCGAGATACTCCCGTCGGAGATCACCGGACCGGCGGCGTTCGTTCGCGCCGACAACAAGAGTCGAATTGTTGAGGCGAAAATCGCGGTGCCCGACGACGGCGACTATGTCATGGTGGTCGAATACCACAACAGAGATGAGACCGACGGACGTGTGGCGGTGGATTTGTCGCAAGACGGTGTCAAGGTGATGGATGGCAGCGTGGTGATTCATCATTGTCCATATGCGTAAGAATCGTCGCAATTCGTAATAATGCTGAAAATTTGATGTTCCAGAACATTTTGTCGTGAGCTCGCCACTACTAATGGTGTCATTCCGCACATTCCGTTGAAGAAGGGCGAAGCTGTGATTCAACTCGAGACCGAGCCCAACCATGAGTTTGGACTCGCCGCTGTCAATTTGTTCAAAACGTCTGACTATAGCGACAAGTACCTTCAACAGGTTGGCTGAATTCGCCTTGATATGGCCCATCGATTCGAGTCGATTTTCAGGTGCCCGTGTGCATTCGCAAAGATGGCCGATGCGTGCCGCAAAGCTATCCGCCGGCGGCCGACTCGGTCACCACCGAAGCCGAATCCGGCGCCAACATGGACAAATCGATAATGGGCGACAAGCTCTCGTTCCCGATTGCCCGCTCGAAAGAGGTTCGAGTGGTTCCTTTGGATGATGCTCAGGTAGATTCGTTACCTCCTTTTTCTACCTCTTCCTATCTAATTGTGTTCAGAGTACTGTGGAGATTACCGGAGTGGTCCCATCGCGCGGACACTACATGTTCCTTGTGCACTACTTCAATCAAGACAACACGCCGGTGGATGTCGACGTGCTGCTCCAGAACGAGCACTACTTCCAGGGTGATACATGCAGCACACACGCATGTTGTTTGTTTTTGACTTCTTTTTGAACACCCACTCCACCCCCACACCTTTGTTTCCACCCTAGTCACCAAGTCACTTGCACCCACCCAATTCACCACCATTTCAGATCACAAGTACCATCCGAGACTGTTTTTCAATGGTTCGTTTGGTGATGTTTCGCTAACAATTCTTTCCTTTCACTCGTAACCTATTTCGTTGCATGATGTCCGTCTTGCATGCTGCCTTCAGATCGTTCGGAATTTAATCCTTCCAATCTTCAGCTAGCGTGCCGTTCGCCTATTGCCCGTCGGTTAGCGGATGCCGCGCATTGATTCGTGACAAGGAGCGTCCGGATATCATTCAGTTCTTCATGGAGGATAAATACTCGGCGACGCTCTACTTCAACAACACGCAGAAGGGTCCGATTTATATCGATTCGATCACCGCGGTGCCGTACAACTCGTTCTCGCAAAAGCTCATGGAGCCGTTGGCTCTCGATTTGTCGTCGGAATTCATCAAAGAATGCTCGAGCGAGTATTTCCGCAATCATCCTGACGAGGCGAGCGAGTTTTGCAAATCGAAAATTTTCGCGTTGACGACCGACTTCAACTCGGCAGCGCTTTCCTGCGATTGCGTCGCTCAGGGTTCCGAGTCGTTCCAGTGCGCCGAATACGGTGGACAGTGCAAGTGTAAACCGAATGTGATTGGAAGACGATGCGAGCGATGCCAGCCGGGCTACTACAACTATCCGGAATGCATTAGTGAGTCAAGGGTAACCCAATTCGAGTTTGTTCCGTTGTTTCAGAATGCCAATGCAACGCCGGACAGCAGTGCGATGAGCGAACCGGACAGTGCTATTGCCCGCCGCACGTCGAGGGCCAGACGTGCGACAAGTGTGTGAACAACGCGTTCGGCTATGATCCGCTGATTGGATGCCAAAAGTGCGGATGCCATCCGCAAGGCTCCGAAGGCGGCAATCTCGTGTGCGACGCCGAATCGGGACAATGTCTGTGTCGCGAGAACATGGGCGGCCGACAATGCGATCGCTGTTTGGCTGGATTCTACGGCTTCCCGCAGTGCTACAAGTGCTCGTGCAATCGCGACGGCACCACCGACGAGATTTGCGATGCGACGAACGCGCAATGCAAATGCAAGGAGAACGTCTACGGCGGTCAGTGCGAGGCGTGCAAAGCGGGAACGTTCGATCTGTCGTCGGAGAATCCGTTGGGTTGCATCAATTGCTATTGTTTCGGCGTTACCGCCAGCTGTCGATCGAGCATGTTCCCGGTGTCGATCATGTCGGTTGACATGGCCGCGTTTTTGACTACCGACGACAGTGGAATGGTTGACAATAAGGACGACACGGTGGTGTACACGTCGGAGGAGACATCACCGCCTTCGGTGTACTTTAGAGTTCCGATTAATGAAGGCGCCGATTACACGACGAGCTACGGTTTGATGTTGACGTTCAAGTTGTCGACGAGCCCGAGAGCCGACAAGAAGCGCAAGATGAGCGCCGAAGCCGATGTGAAGCTGACCGGCGCGAACATCACAATTAATTATTGGGCGCCCGAACAGCCGGCGAATCCTGAAGAGCAGTTTAGTGTTCGATGCAAACTTGTGCCAGAGAATTTCCTGAATGCCGAAGGCAAACCGGTGACGCGTGAGGAAATGATGAAGGTGCTTCATTCGCTTCAGAAGGTCCTCCTCAAAGCCTCGTACTTCGAGTACCCGAAAACCGCGACGCTCTATGAGTTCGGATTGGAGATCTCGGATCCGAATGGAGCTCAATCGGTCATCAAGGCATCGTCGGTTGAGCAGTGTCAATGTCCGGCGCCGTACACGGGACCATCTTGTCAATTGTGCGCCTCAGGATATTATCGCGTCCAATCGTCGAACAGCTATCTTGGCGCTTGTGTGCCGTGCGAATGCAACGGGCATTCGGGAACGTGCGACCCTGACACTGGCATCTGTACGGATTGCGAGCACAACACGCATGGCGATCATTGCGAGTTCTGCGACGAAGGACACTACGGAAATGCGACGAATGGAAGCCCGTATGATTGTGTCGCGTGCCCGTGCCCGTTCGCGCCGGAAAATAATTTCGCCAAGTCATGCGAGGTCACCGAAGAGGGACAACTTCTTCAGTGCAACTGCAAGCCGGGATACACTGGCGATCGATGCGATCGATGCGACGCCGGCTTCTTCGGGCAACCGCAACTGCCGGGTGGATCATGCGAACCATGCCAGTGCAACGGAAACAACAATCTGACGGATTCGCGAGCGTGTCATCCTGTCAGCGGCGACTGCTATCTGTGCGAGAGCAACACCGATGGACGACATTGCGAATGGTGCGCGGCTTGGTATTATGGAGACGCGATTTCGGCGAGAAACTGCACGACGTGCGCGTGCGACCAGTGCGGCTCGTCGTTCTGCGACAATCGCAACGGCGGATGCGAGTGTAAGCCGAATGTGGAAGGCGACAAGTGCGATCGATGCAAGCCGGACCATTGGGGATTCTCGAAGTGTCGCGGTTGCGATCCGTGCTATTGCGGAAAAGCGGCGTTCAACACGCAATGCAACATGGAGACGGGACAGTGCACGTGTCGGCCTGGAGCCGCTGGAATGCGATGCGAACAATGCGAGCATGGCTATTGGAACTATGGAGAGCACGGATGTGATAGTAAGATGTCGAATCGATTGTCCTTCAATCTAACACGTTGATTTTCAGAATGCGATTGTGAGTCTGACTTGTCGATGGGAACGGTTTGCGATGTTCGAACTGGACAATGCCATTGTCAGGAAGGGGCTACCGGAAACCGATGCGATCAATGCCTACCGACATATCTCAGAATCCCGACACTTGGATGCAGACGTGAGAAGCATCTAGCGTTCGTGCCATTATTTCAAATGTTTAGGATGCGATGAATGTGTTCATCATCTGATCGGCGACGTCGACAATCTCGAGCTCGAAATCGACGTTCTCGGAACGGCGATCAACAACATCTCGGCGGCGACGATTGTCGGCGCCCGGCTCGCCCGCAACCGAAAGGATTACAACGAGACGCACGAAATTGTGAAATTGATTAGCAATGAGGACAGCTCGTATGGAAATCTGTTTGGCGACGCCCATGAGATTGCCGTCAACACGACACAGATCACGCTGAGAGCGAATCGCACCAACAATCTGCTCAAGAATTCGCTGCGGCGAACGAATGTTGTCAGTGACAACGGCACCGTGTTGTATCGGGATGTGCTGAGAGACGCGCAACGCGCTCGCGACAGTGTTCGCGCGCTTGCCGACCTCGCGTTGGCCATTGGAAGCTCGTCGAAAGCGGTTCATGCCGATCCGAGATTGATCAAAGAGGCCGAAGACACCCTTATGACATTGGAAGCGACGTCAGCGTGCGTTTGCATTGTTTTTGAAACTTGTCGTTTAGACTGATAGTTGTTTTAGTGATCCGTATCCTGAGAAGGCCGAAAACGTGCCGAAGAAGCTTGAAACGATTCAAAAGAAGATTGAGGCTGAGAATCGGCGATTGGAGGCGCAACGCGAGCTGCTTGACGGGCAACAGAAGCGCGCTGACGAGCTGGCGGCGTATTTGAACAGCGCTCAGCAGCTTTTGAAAGAGGCCAAGTCGAAGGGCGACAAGGTCAAGAGGGTAAGACACGATGATCCTCATTAGATCGACGCGTCTAATATGAATTCGTGTTGCAGCTTGTCAACAGCTTGCAAGTCTCGAGAGTTGAGACACTCGTTGCAGCAATTAATGCCGATATGGAGAAGCTCGACATGATCAAATCCGAGTTCCAGAAGATCAATGTTGCTGTAAGTTGGGGGGCTATCGAATTTCAGATTTGATTTTTTGATTATGCTTTTCAGATTGGCAACGTCTCCGTGTCGTTCCGCGATGAGATTGAAGCGATTCAACACGCCATCAGCAACATCAACGAGACGCGCGTCGAGTTGGCGGAAGCGAAAGAGATTGCGGGTCGCGTGAAACGCGAAGACAATGAGGAGCGTCAGCGGATGCTCGATGAGAAGAATGCGGAACTCGAGAAGCAGGCGAAGGCGATTAGCGACGCGTTCGAGGCGACGCGGCGACAGGCGGCCGACGCGATGGAAGCGGCGACGTCCTATTCGGATTTGGCGTCGATGTTGCGCAACGCGAAAGTCAAAGCCGAGAATGCGATGAGCATTTGGGCGACCGAAGAGGAGCCGGTGAAGAATGTGGTATACGGTGTTGAGCTATCAGAATTGGAATGCGTTTGTCTTACAGGAGGGCGATGTTGCGAATGCTTTGAACATCTCGACGATTTCTCATCAGAAGGTTAAGGACATTCGCGATGGGCCGACGTCTTCATTGAGCAAGGAACTAACGGAAGCGAAGAGAGCCGTTGACAAGTTGTCGGACTTTGTCGACGGTTTGAGAAAGCGCAAAGATCGTTTGCCGAAACTCGCGACGCTGTTCAATGAGACGGTTGTGAAGGGTGTCGAGGAGAAGATCGCTCGAATCAACGCGATCAAGGCGGAAGTTGACGCGGCGATGGCCGACATCAACGATCGCGTTTCGGAGCTCGGCGAAAAGACGGCCGAAGTGTCGGAACGCTACAATAGCGCTCGCGAGGCGGTGATAATGGGCAAGGCGACGGTGAAACAACTCAAAGACATTGTTCCGCAGCTCATCGCGAAGGCGAAAGAGTTGAAGAAGAGCACACGATTGGGAGTGGCCGAATCGTACGAGGAGCGCGTCGCGCAAATACGCGAGATGATCGCGGTGGCGCGCGACAAAGCGAATCGCATAAAACTCGGCGCGCATTTCGAGCGCGGCTCGTCGCTCAATTTGAACATTGCGCAACGCGTTTCGCGATCCGCCGCCCACACTGATTTGTCGTTCTACTTCAGAACTGAGCAGGAGCACGGTACGATTGTTTTTTATTGAATTTGAAGTACTCAATTCGGTTGTTTTTTTTTTCTCTAGGCATTCCGCTATTCTTTGGAAATGAGGAGAGCGCGATTGGAAGTCGTGCGGTGCCTACCGATGACTTCATCGCGGTTGAAATCGAATATGGCAAGCCGAAGGTTACTGTTGATCTTGGAGATGCGCCCGTCGTTGTTCGTCTTGACACGATTGTTTCGGACAATCAATGGAGGAAGATTCACATCGAGCGAATCGGAAAGACGCTCAATTGCACGCTGTCGAAGGCGAACAGCGAGGAGACGGCCGAATCGAAGTCGGCGGTCGCCGCCGGCAACAAGAGCGTGCTGAACATGCATCAGCAAATCTCGAAGATGTTTGTCGGCGGTGTTCCGGCGACGTCGAGAATCTCGCGACACGTGCACAATCGCGAGTTTGTCGGCGACATTGAGCAATTGAAGTTGCACGGCGAGCCGCTCGGATTGTGGAATTCGCGCGCGAACGGCACGATTCGTGTCGACGGCGCGATCAAAAAGCCGAAGTTCTCGAATAATCGCGACGAGGTGTCGATATCGCTTGACGGTCACGGCTACGTGACGTACAAGCCGAGCCATTGGAATCCGCGAAAGATCACGAAGATCTCGTTGTCGTTTTTGACGTTCTCGCCGGATGGATTGTTGTTCTACATTGGCAAAGAGGTGAGCGCAATGAATTTTTTGGGCGGTGCAAAATGCAAAAATGATTGCAGCGCGATTTTATGGCTTTGGAGCTCACATCGGGCGCCGTCAAACTCTCAGTGGATCTCGGATCGGAAGTGGCTCAGTGGAATAGCGAGTCGGCGGAATTCAACGACGGAAAATGGCATACTGTCACTATTGTTCGCGAAGAGGTTTGTTTGTTTTTTTTTTATTCAAATTTCCTACTTGATATATTTCAGAAGCATGTCAAAATGCAAATCGATGAGTCGGAATCGATTGAGGGCGATGTTGCCGGAAAGGACACTGAAATGAGTGTGACCGATGAGCTGTTTATTGGCGGTGTGCCGAATGGTGTCAATGTTCGCACGACGGTGGTGCCGTTGCGCGGATGCATCAAACGCGTCCGATTGGGATCCGACGAGGTTGATCTTGAATCGAGCGAGGTCTCGAAGGGAGTCCGATCGGGATGCCCGATTAACACTGTGCGAACGGTTAGCTTCCTTTCGGAACGAACGACGGCTTCGTTCAACAATGTGACGAAGGGTGCTGAAGACGTCTCGGTGACGTTCAAATTCAAGACGAGGTCCATCGCCGGACCGATGACGTTCTTCACGATTGTTGACGATGAGGACGCGGTTTTGTCGATGTCGGTGGATGTTGGCGGCATCATCACGGTGAACAGCGGTGATGATTCGGCCGAATTGGAGCTTGCCGCTTCCGGCGACGAACGATGGCACTATGTGTCGATACGCAAGACGAAGCACATGATACGAATCGACGCTGATGATTCGTTCAGCAATGAGATTGCTCGAAAACACGCGGACGACTCGAACGCCGACTCGCCGATCTCGGTGCACTTTGGACGGCATCCGAGGGATTCGAGTGTGAACGCGTTCGCCGGTTGCGTTGGCGACGTCACCGTGAACGGAATACTATTGGATTTCGCGAAAGCCGAGAGGAATGAGATCGCGCTGAATGGTTGCTCGCTGAGAGACGATGAAGTTGTGATAGCGATGGCGATTTCGACGGCGACACCCAAGGTGACGACAACGATGGCGACGATGACATCAACGACGACGACGATGGAGCCGATGACGACGTCGTCAAATGAGATTGAGGAGATTGTCACCGAATCGCCGACGGAACCGCCGCAGGTAGGATTTTGGAGATGGGGGGAAAAACGGAAATCAAGATCCCAAAAAATTGTTCAGGTGGTGGACACTATCCAGCCGGGTGGTGCCATCGAACCGGTGCCGATTAGATTTGTAAGCGATTGCGTGTTTCCCTTAGTTCAATGGTCCCCAGCTTTTCGCTTTTTGCTTTCTCATTTTTTCTCGCTCCCAATAGTTTTACGTGTTTTTTTTAAGAATCCGTTTTAGAAGATCGTTTGTTTCCTCGAATTACCATTAGAAATTCGCGGCGCTTTTGCATTGGTATTCGTTTTCTTTTTTTGGTCCCAAATAATGCTTGCTGATGCCGAATTTGAATTTAGTTTCAGTCTTAATCGTTTTTTGCACTTTCAGGCGACTCCTGACGGCTCTTGCGCTCTATCGCAGACACCGTTCGGCGAAATCGCCGACGCCGATGGCTACAATTTCGGAACCCAGGCGAACAGTCGAATCGAGTACGCCGTTCTGCCGGAGGCCGTCGACAAGCGCGGCGAGTTCACGTTCAAAATTCGTCCGACCGGATTGTCGGGCATCGTGTTCATCGCGACGAACAAGCGGACCGATCATATTGCTGTGATGCTCGACAACGGCCGAGTGGTGTTCACGTTCGATTCGGGTTCGGGTCAGGTGCTCATCCGCTCCGACGCATCGATACTCGATGGCCGTTGGCATACGATCAAGGCATCGCGACGCGGCAACTCGGCGCATTTGATTGTCGACGATAGCTCGTTTGAGAACGAGCCGGCGGCCGGCGCGCACGAGGATCTCATCGAAATGCTTCCGCCGTTCTACGTCGGAGGTGTGCCGACTGAATTGGCGGGACATGTCAGGACATTGCTTCCGGTACGTCGATTTATTGTTTGAATAGGAGTGTCGATTTACGCGCCCCACGTTGTTGTCCGTGTGGAGTACACATCGGGCGTCGTCTCGAGACCATTCGCGTGACAATTTTGTTTTTTTTTGGTGGTGTCCAAATTTAATTGTGTTTTGTTTTGCAGGGCGTTCGCGCGCAATTCAGCGGTTGCATCAAAGACTTCCGATTGAACGGCAAAACACTGGAAGGCGGCAAAGAGTTTGGCGTCGAGCAATGCTCGAAGTTCACCGAGAACGGAATGTATTTCGGAAAAGACGGCGGCTATGCGATAATGGACAATGAGTATCACGTTGGCGACACGTTCGGCATGGAAATGGAGATTCGGCCGAGAACGAAAGACGGAATTCTCATATCGGTTGGAGTTTTGGACTTTTTGACGGTTCAATTCTTGAATGGAACACTCAAGGTTGGTATTTGGACTCGTCGCATCGCAATAATCCTTGTTCTTGAATTTTCAGTTCACCGTTGATAGTGGACGAGGTCCCGAAGCGGTGTTGTTCCCGACGAGCGCCACCAATGATCTTTGCGATGGGCAGTGGCATCATTTGAAGGTGAGTGAGAGAGACAGAGGCATTCTAGAGCTCAAAACGAAATGTTGGATTTTCTAGATCACCAAGAAGAAGAAGCTGTTGACGTTGACTGTGAATGGTAAAGCGAATCTGGAAATAATGAAGAGCTACCAGATCGATGACGAGATTTCGACGAAAGACCCGTTGTACTTGGGTGGTGTTCCCGATGGTGTGACGAACAAGGGTCTCGAAACGCGAAAGTCGTTTGTCGGATGCGTGCGACTGTTGAGTTTCGGATTCAAGAACAACCGCAAGATTCGACGCAGGAAGCATGTCGACGTGAAGAACTTTGACATTTTCGGCGACGTTCGCCGAAACGAGTGTCCAGCGATTTAATGATAAAATAAAAATATAAGTTTGTGTTTCATTTTGGTTTTTTTGTATGATTTTCCCTCTTGTCTTTTTCTCTTCTGCATAAATTTTTTATTCTATCTTTCTTTCGTCGCACTCCATTTTTTTGATTACCGGCTTTTCTTGGTTGATTTATGTGGGTTTCCTGAAGGCGTTGAAAGCATTTTTATGGTTTTTTTGAGATATGGCTGGACTTTTCGTTTTTCTTTTGAAAAAGAGAGAAAGATAGGAGGAAGTTGGGCTAGCCAACTTTTAAATTTCGCGGGGGTGGCTTATTTTTGATAATTTTCCGGAAAAAATTGAATTTTTGTGGCCGAGAAACCTGGCGGCCATCAATTCCTAGGCCACCATCATTCATTCCTTGAAGTGTCCCTCAATGATTTATTTCAAATAAATTTTTGAACATTTTCGGACCATTATAAACATGGACAGACAAGAAGAAGAAAAAACGCAATTTGAGCTTTAGTTATTTTTCAAAAATGGACAAAAAATGAAAAATTCAGGAGGTTGTAGAAATTTTTTTGATAAAGTTAGGCGCGTCGCGGAGCTGATGATAGAAGATGGTGGCGAGCAAATTCTGGAGGACCTGACACAATTTATAATCCAATGGAGATTGTTAATTTGGTCGCACGCGAGCCGCGACGCGTCTGACAATATAGCTATTGGAACGTGATTACAATTTCATTTAAATTTGCCGCTTTGGGTCTCGCATGAAAAAAAACTCTTTGGAACGATTTTCGCTTAATTAAACATCATTACAGTGTAAACATCATTACAGTGTAACGCGCAATTTTTAAAATTAATTTTAATTATATTTTGTAATGTAAAATAGTGTCAAATGGCGGAGTAAATGAGCATTATTTCACGGGTCCTTATTAAATTCAAATTTTTCAACAAAAAAAAATTTTCCCTTCTCTAACTATAGTCGATTTATGTCAGAAATGGGAATGCGTGCAAAAAATGCGCTTCTTCAACTTTTTTCTAAATTAAATTTTGAATCGCCAGAATACACAATCACCGTTTATATCCCTTGGGGGGGGGGATACCTTAATAATTCTTTAATTCATCAAACGATTGGGGACCAATTCATTCCAGGGCTCGTCTTCAAAAAAATATATTAATTAAGGACCAAAAAGGTGGACCCATTTTTTTTCTTTTTGATGATGCATAATTGCTATTTTCCATTGTTGTCCATTTTTTGCTGGAAAAAAATCGATTATCATCGCCAAGCAAAACGAGCACCTTGAGCAATCGTGGACCATTGTGTGTTTGCGGAAATTCAAACAGTCGGTGAATCGCGGGACCTTCAAAATCGATATCGATTTAAACGTGATGCGCGTACGCCATAATACACTGTACGCATTCTCGCTTGGCATTTTTTTGTCAAATTTGGATTTTATTTATATTGAATCGAGATGGACAAGAAAAAAAATATTCTAATAAGGGACCCCCCTTCTCACTAGCGTATGGATGTTTTGGGCGACGAGCCGACGAGTTTAGAAATTCAAATTTTATGCAAAAAAAACACACACACAACTACGATGTTTGCACAAAACGCGCCATTTTTAGTAGCAGTTTGCGAATCATCATGCCGAGAAATTCGAAACGGAAGCGATTAGCAATACGAATGTTTTCGAGTTGATTTCCGGCGATCGGTTCACCGTGACGCCAATTTGCGGACATTCGGAAATGCCGGCTGCTTGTCGAAACGCCACAACAGAAATTGCATTGTCAGCATCTGCGGACATTTTGCAGGACGAGCCAGAATCACCATTTCGTTGCTGGCTTAGGCAATTCGCATACGGTTCCTACTCGGGCGGTCCCAGGCCACAACGCTGCAACAACAAAACAACAACACATGACATCATCGGTGTACTGCACACAATGCATCATACCCTACGAACAAACTATTAGTTGCGATTTTTCGCCTCGTTTTGATTTTCTCACATTGTTTCATCGTTTTCGTCGTCTTTCTCCATCTCGCATCTCAACGTGCATACTCGCAAACCACGCCCACTATCCAACCGCGGCCACGCCCACTTTTTGGTGGCCGCGCCGTCACACCCGGGCCTCCTCCCCGAGTACGCCACTATATTTTTATTTCGTCGTCGTCGTCGTCGTCGTCGTCGATTCAAAGAAGAAGAACAAGGAGAAGATGAACTCGCTGTTCGTCGCCGCCATCGTCGTCGCTTTTACTGTCGCGATCTCCGCCTATCAGGTGGGTACCGTACTCATATTTAAAGGGACATACAGGGTGTCATTTAAGTTCCCGCACAACTTTGTAGACGTACATTTCTGAAACTAAAAGTCCAAATCAAACGAGACTCGAAATATTTTTTATCTATAGTATAACAAATATTTATCAATTAACTCTTTTTGATTCGGCCTCTTTTCGCAGCTATGACTTCACGGAGACGCTTCGGGTAGGATGTGACTGTGGTACGCAGGTATTCGATGGAAAGATTGTCCCATTCCGCCAGTAATGTCTTCTTCAGAGCCTCTACACTTGAATGGGGTTTTGCGTTGACCTTCTCCTGCAAGACCCCATCACGGAAAAGTCAAGCGGGTTCAGGTCTGGGGAGCAATCAGGCCATTCGGATGACTTGATAAAGTCGGGAAAATGGGTCTGGCACCACTCCTGAGTAGTTTTGGCAGTGTATGCGGGTGCTCCGTCCTGTTGAAAGACCCATTTCTGCCCACCGAAATGCGTTTGGGTCCAGGGCATCACATGCTTCTCCAAAATGTCCCGAACGTAGACTTCTTTGTTCATTTTCACCATCTGATCCACGAAAACCAGGTAGCACTTCCCGGTTGAGCAGATGGCACCGAAAGCCATCACACTGGCAGGATGTGAGGCTGGATGATATGTTCTTCCTTTCTCAGAAGCTTGCTGGGATGTTTGGCCAAGTACTCAATGGTTTTGTGAGTTGAATGCCGCCTCCACACTGAACAGCTTCTCGTCGGAGAAGACAGTGACGAGGTGTTCTCCAGACCGCGTGCGAGCAAGAAGTCGTTTTGCTTTTTCGAAGCGTCTCTGCTTGTTGACGGCCGATAGAATTGCCGCTTTTTGGACACGATATGGGGTCAGTACAAGCTTTGTTTTGACGATTTGTTCCATAGCAAAGATGCTCATTCCCATGTCTGACGCCATCTTTCTCATGCTCCTGTGTGGGTTTCGCCTGATCCTCGATTTAACGGCGTTGATCTTCTGAGGAGTGGTTACTGAGACGAGTCTTCCTTGTCTGGGACGGACACTGGTCGTATTTAGCTACTTGAATCGTTTGATGGTGTCGCAAACCGTTCTACGAAGCACACCGACCCGTTGAATGATGTCTCTCGGGCTCACATTTTGCTTATGAAGTTCGATAATGGAAGCGCGATGGATGTTAGCCTTCGCCATTTCTCGGAAACACATCCGAATGAGGTGAAACTTGGGAAATAAGTAAAATACACCTTATTTAACAAAAATAAATTGTATTGGTGCACAAAAAGTGCGACAGTCAATCTCTTCATGGCGTCAAACTTTTGTGCGGGAACTTAAATGACACCCTGTACACACACACTGAGACATAAAAACTAAAAGCATCATCCTTGAAGCTTAGCACGTTTACAATGAAACCTTATGATTATAATGGTCCCATGGAGCCCCATTCTTCGAATTGGTCCGAATTTTTGAGCTTTTAACCCTTCTAGCGCTAAAAAAAAGGCATTTTGCAAGAAAATTATTAGCCCATTAGTGAAACACTCAATTTCGACACGTTAAACAACATTCCCACTTCTTTTATTTTCCGGTGAAAATTATGAAACTCATTTTAAAGGCGCATACCGAATTGGTGTGGTTTAAAGGCGCATGACAATACCGTTTAATCGACGCGCAATTAGCTACGATTTTTTGTGGTGCCTATTGTAATTCTCAGGTACAAGGTATGTAGTACACCAAGATTCACGACAAATTGCGGACTTTGAAATCGAACCTTTCGCGACATACAGTAATGATTTGGCATACTGTATATAGTTCAGCGCCACGACAAATTGCGGACATCCATATATGGTAGTACACCATGACTCACGACGAATTGCGTACCCGCTCTCTCCCCCACACAAACACGCATAATTGACGGGCGTGATTTCAACCGAGTGGTCCGTGTTGGTTTGCCCAATGAAAAGAATTTGTTTTTCTCGCCACACCAAAATTACACCCTCCCCCCCCCCGCCGGGTTGGTGAATAATGCACATATCGCGGCGGACGGACGCCTCGAAATTATACGTTCGACGAATCATCGCGCGCGGCCAAATAAAAATTGAATGGAACGACGCGATTCAATGCCTTCTTTTTGTTTATAAAAAAAAGAATATATATTTATAATGAAATTGGCTTTGTCAAAAGAGGTAAATACTTGAATGCAAGGGAAAGTTTTGCTTTTTTTTCGGCATGACGCCTTCTTTTTTTTCTGGTGAGAAGGGACCCTTGTTAGAATCGCGATGGTCTTAAAGGGAAACATGGTTACCGTATGCTCGCGTGCGCCTTTAAATTGTTTTCACTCGAGACGCCCCAATTATATTGTCAAGATTTCGATAGGTTGTGACAACGCATTTCATCGCTGGCGTTTCGTTTCGCCCATTATTTCTTTTTTCTGCCCCCCCCCCGTGTGATGACGTGCCCAACAATTTCGAATGTCTCGATTAGATGAGTGCAGCTCGTTGCACTACTAATTAGCGAAATGTGACCACACTTGCTCAATTGGCTCGCGGGCGACAATTTTTTTCTTGAGGAGGCGCCGAGAATCTCGAACAAATGGTCTCGCCACTCTATGAGCCTTTAAATGCGAAAAAAAACATCCACACATTTTTTGATCAGCCAGATTACGAATTTCGACATTATCAACGAAAATCCTAATCCGATGCCATTCAATTAAATTGTTTTGTCCTTGCTTAATTCTATTATGCACCCCCCCCCCTTTGGCCGTAAAAAATCGAGATTGAGGAAACAATTGAATTGACGCAATAATGCACAACACTTTGACGAATTCCTGATGGGCCCAGGAAAAAAAATTCATTTTTGATTGTTTGCAGGAGCCTGATTTGGACGCGCTCGCCGAGTTTTGCTCGAAACAATCGAACAAGAAGTATTGCGAGCAGATCGCGCAGCTCGCCATCGATTCGGTACGCGAAGCGCCTCGACAACAGGTTGGGAACCCTCAAGCCCCGCCCACGCCCCACCACTTACCGATGTCGATCAATTTCAGATGCAAATGGAGAAGCGGAAGCCGTCGTTTGTGCGATTCGGCAAACGATCGTCGTTCGTCGGCGACATCGACGACGTCGTCGAAGCGCCGCTCATCGAAAAACGAAAACCGTCGTTTGTGCGATTCGGCCGCAAATGAGCACACCCAAGCGTCTCCTTTTTCCACCCATTGGCGTCCCATCAGCCTTCTTCCCAATTTTCGTCTCGTTTCATTCACCTACGAAAAAATAAAGCAATTAGACGTGTTATTAGTTGAGTCGACGACAATGTGTCGTAGGGTCTGATGTATTGACCGCAAAATGTTCGAATGCTGCTTTAAAAAAAAGCATTTCCGGCTACTATAATTAAAGGCGCATTGCCAATTTTATTTTTCAAATGTTTTCATTTGATTAAAAAATCACTTTTCTTGCGGACCATGCGCCAAACCTTACGACACATCGTCATAGGGTTACTGTAGCAGTCGAGCCCGTTTTTTGTTGAATAAAACCCGACACCCATTTTATTCATTTCGGGTGGGGGGCCACAAGGGGGCAAACCCGCAACAAAAGATGTCATAAACATTGATGAATGCCTCTCCTCTTTTCCATTTTCAATCTCGCCACCACTTTTTTTTGGTGATGAGGAATATTGAAGAAGAAGAAGGGACCACAACAATCTTTGAAATACCGATTTTCGTTCTTTCGACTATCTTGTCAATAATTAATTGAATGCGTGGGATCGATTTCGACTTTTCGAGACGACGCGCGGCCAAAGAATTCGATGAGGTCTCGCCACGATCACCACGATTCATGTTGTCGGACTTCGCGAACATCATCCCCCCCCCCGAATGCCCTCCGGGGCGAGACATCGCGGATTACGGTAGTGGCGGCTAGAAGTTCACACAATGGATTATTCGAAACAACTCAATTCTTCGCACTCTTGGCATTTCGTTTCTTTTTTGTTACTCGTGAATCGATTTCGACTCGATGGGGTACGGTGGCCGGCGATTTCACGATTTCCCGAAAAACAACGCGGCTCTGGGCGGGCGGGCAACAAAAAATAATGACAATTTGAAAAATGGCGCCATGTCGATTGGTGGCGTTGAGGATTCATCATGCTCAATCAATTTAAAGGGTGACATACACACGGACACAGAGAACATCGAGCAAACGAATTAAATTTATTCTTCTCATCGTTCAGTTGACAGCGAGCACACGTTGATCCAAAATCTCCGCAATTCGCACCTCGGTGAGCTTCTTCGACGACGACGACGACGATGACGTCTCACGTCCATCGGTGAGAATTCGTTGTAGATCGTCGAGCGAGCACCGATTCACAAATTTGTCCATAATCTGCAAAGGGAAAAAAATTGAATTTGTTTGGCGAGGGCGCGCATCGCCAATTCAATTTCGCCATCAGCGCATTGTTTTCAAAGGCAACCAAGTTGACGACGACGACGAAGAAAAAGAAGAAGATGAAAACCGCGCGTGATTTGATTAAATTCCTTCTTCTTCTTCTTCGTCATCGCACCTTCATCACATGGTGTTACTTTTCACGGTTTCGATTTCACATTTCTATACGCATGCACACACTTGAACTATTGCTACCGTATCCAGAAATCAAAAAAGGGCTCCAATTCAAATATAAAAATATGGGAAATATTCTATTTTCCAATATTTCAATTATTGTTTTTTTTAACATTAAATAATGTCAAAAAATCCCCTTTGGTCTTTTCTAGCGCGTGAATTGGGGGGGGCATAATTGGCGGCTCACCACACACCACAAAGGGCCACACCTTCAACACCCAAAAATAGGCATCCAAAGACGTATTTTTTCTTCTGATTTTGTTATTCTTTTGTCGTTGAAGAGAAAAAAAAAACTACATTTTGGGAACAACAATGCGACAATGACGAGATGTGCAATTCGATTTGCTCAACAACAAAAAAAAATGACACGGGGGGAGGCTCGTAGAGATCAAAAACTGTGAGTTCATCAATCAGAAATTTTCAGCGTTTTCAAATTTAAAACTTTAAACGAGTTTTTCTATGGTTTTTTTTCAGGAAATTTTCACCTCCAATCAAATTCGTCCGAATTTCAATTCCGAGAATCTCCAAAAATTGGCCGCAACTTTTTGATTCGGTCCAAAAATTACCCCCCGCGTTTTGATTAAACAAGAAGGCAATAAATTGAGACACATTTTTATGAGTTTTTCCTAGCATAACCCAGTTTTCGATAATTTTCGACAAATTCGAAAAGAGGGGGGGGGGCTCTAGTGGTCACTATAAATAACCTTCTTTCACGAAATACTCTAGCCGATTAAATATTCAACATTTCGCGTGATACATTATTCATTTTTCAAGTGAAATTCACCTTTCGAAGTCTCAACACGGCGAACTGCTTTTTTTTCGTGTCGCCCGTCGTCGAATTCCACACAAATTGCTCGAAAGCGTTCAAAGAATCATATGAAACCTGTAAAACAATTTTTTTGAGAGGGGCTTCAAAAATCTGCGTATTATGATCAATTTTCAGAAAAAATCCCCATCGAAATTCTTCAATTTTTGAAATCTGAAAAAAAAAAACAATTTCAAACTACTAGACCTCACAATTTTTTTGGAAATTTCAATTTCAGTTCAAAACTTTGAAAACGGTATTTAAAGGCGCATGCTGCTTTTGGAGCTGAACCCTGTAGCCCGATTTAAAGGAGCATAACACGATAAATGTTCTGGGTCTGGCGACGACCGATTCCGATAGTCGTTTGTTTCTTTTTTTCAGTATGATACAAAATTTGAAACTATTCGAATTTTCACCTTCTCCGACACTAGAATCTGCAGTTTCGCGTCGGGTTTGACGCCTTCGTCGGCCAAAGCAACACCATCAGCTGGAAAAAATAATTGAATCATGATAATAAGATAATTGCGACCAACATTTGATGGGTCGACCATTGTGTAGAATTTTGAACGATTCGAGCGGAATGTCGAACGCTTCCGACGTCAAATTCAGCATTCGCTGCACCGAGCACGCAATTGGAATCTGAAAATGGAAAGATTCTCCCCGCCCCATCGTTTCTCTTTTTTCGAGCTGAAAACTATCACCTTAATCTCTTGATCGCCCTTTTCGCCAACAATTTTCGCGAACACACTGAAGCTCATCTAGAAATTATTGTCTAGAGTAACAACAATTTGACACGAGAATCTCGGTAGAATATCGATGAAACGATTAATTGTGATAAAAAATTTTAAACATTTTTCAAAAAATTCCAATTTTATTAGCAACAAATCACACAACAATCGCCGCTTCGAACCACTTCTTCGCATCTTTGCCCTTCGGAATGCTCACAGGAACCTGCACTGTCATTATCTGGTCTCGGACGGAATCCAATAGCACGATTGCTGTAGGAAATATTTTTAAAAATTGAAAAAAAGTGGAAAAAAATTCTACCAGTCTCATCCAACACCGGAAACAAGTCGACCAAGTCTTTCGGCAATTTCCCTTTGAATGAGTATGACAACGCTCGATCGCCGGGCTTGATTTGAAACGTGAGAAACTGCTCTTCGTCTTGCTCCTGATCCGCCTCGAATTCGGCGAGAATCGTCGAGAAATCTACAAGAACAAAATGATCACGCCCATGCATGCGCCTTTAAACAAAAAAAAGAAAGAAATTTAATGGAGCTATTCATGTAAAAATTTCACATTGTTTTCAACGTCTAGGGTTGTAAAAAAATGCACATTTAATGTAATTCTTACAATTTTTTATAAAAACAAATACATTTCCATAGAAAAAGTTGAAAGTGGGTCTCGATTTTTTCAGAAAAAAAATTACCTTTCACGTCGAATTTCTCAAAATCCATCTGCTCGGCTTGCTCCCGCGACGATTGGCCTTCAGAAGCGTCTCCTTCCGACGACGACGAGGGTTCCTGTTCGTCTTCCGAATCATTGCCATCGTCGGTACTCTGAATCTCGTCGCAATTATCGACTAATTCCGCTTCTTGATCTTTGTGTGCCGCTTTCGCCATTTTCAAATAAGCTTTGCTTTTATGGCGACTGAAATCAGAAATTCAAAAATGTTGGCTATATGAATGATTTCGTACTTTATCAAGTTGACCGGCCTTTTAAATCGAACCCAATGGTTTTGAGCGACATGGTCCGCGTCGGGACCATCGAGTCCGCAATACCCGCAACTGTAAATCGCAGTTTTTAGCGACACGCGAGAAAATTTCGCGACTCACATTATTTTCCCTTCGCACTCGCCAACATGTCGCGCTTTTTGAACCGGCGACTGATAGACGAACGCACAATTTTTGCATTTTTCCGTGGTGAAATGCAATTTTTTAAAGTGTCGATCCAATTCGACGCGTTGTTTGAACATTGTCCCACACGGCACACATTGGAATAACGCCCTTTTAAGGCACGCGTTTTGGTGAATCCTGCGAATTATTATAATAATTAATAATGTCGACGTCGCGCAACAGCGAAAAATTGGCCAAAAAACAAAATTGAAAAAAAAAATGAGGACTCGCGCGCGCCTTTAACCCTTGTTATAATCCACAAACGTGCCCTATAAAAATCACAGGTCGCAGTCTTTCTCTCAGCATCTCCTATATTTCTCTATTGTTTGTAGTATGATCCCGGGGGCAAAAAAAACTCGCGTTTCCATACACTTGTAAATCTCATTGTTTTTGACACTTCGCCATTTTGCCACAGTCGCGCGACGCCGACAATATTATTATTATTATTGTGGGAGGAAATATTGTCGGTTTCTGAAACAAAACTTGTCGGCCAGAATCGATCGCTGCAAGACTTGACAACAAAAGATCTTCGTACGACTTTAATTATCGCATAAAAAATAATATTTTTGAAATTACTGGCTTGGTACAAAAGAAAGGCACATTTAAACCTCATCTGAAAATGAAAATAAAAAAGGATTTTGGCATATCTTAAAAATATGCATTTCTTATGCAACGACCTAATTGAAGCCTCGTCAAATTGTTGAAAAGAATGAAGAAATTGGGGCAATTTTTCGAAAATCCAACAAAAAACTTGGGGACGTGGAAAAAAATGCCGGCCACAATTTTCTAGACCACGCGATCAAATTCTCAAAAACTCACAACAACGCGGATTTTTTGTTGAACGTCGCCCCGCACATTGAGCACAAGTTCGGCTCGTTTCGACATTTCATCTCGTGCCGCTTCATTTCATCGATTCCGAACACAATTTTCAAGCAGCGATCACATCGCGCCGCACTGTGCGCCGCCTGAAACTCAACGAAATATCACAAAAAAAAACATCATGCCGGTCAATTTTCTTTTTTTTTTTCTCTCGCCCACTCACCCTTCGATGAAAATCCAATTCATAGGCGGTTTTGAACAAATACCCGCATTTGGGGCAAACGAAAAACGGCAAATGCGTCGATTCGGCGTCGCCGTTCTGCTCGACGAGCTTCTCCTTGAATTCGGCTTCGTGTTTCCGAAACAAATGTCGACTCAAATGCGCCTAAAATGTGGCATTTCAAAAAAAAACAAGCGCATGATGGCGTGAAACGCCAATTTTTCCAACCTTCTGTGTGAAAAACTCGTGACAATAATCACATTGAAAATTTTTGACGTTGAAATGTGTCATCTGGTGTCTTTGAAGGTGCGAGAGACGGGGAAATGGCTTCGCGCAAATCGCACAAATCAACGGCTCAGCCGCGACGGGAATCGGCGCCTCGCGGACCACTTCGTGCATCCTTTTATGGTGTTTTGTCAGATATCTGCAATTTTCCATTTTTTTTTTGAATTTTTTTTTCATCAATTTAAATGGCTATATCGATTTTGCTAACTTTTTAAATCTGATTCTAAAAAATATCGCCTAGAGATCCAGATAATTAATTATTTCATTTGTTTTCAATTTCGCTATTTAATTGTGTTTCATTAAATTTCGGAATATCCCAAAAATTCCGATTTTTTGAGAATATTTCTGGGATACGGTGATTAAAGGCGCACATAATTTTTACTTTCGGATTTCGCAGCGCCCGATTTTGGCAATTGCGTTTCTTAAAAAAAAAATAGATTAATTTTATCAATTTTATTTGAATTTTTTGCATCAAATTTTTTTTTGAAAATTCCAATATTCGTGCCAATCGGCAAATTTAAAAAAACGATTAAAGAAAACCTTTTGAGATCGAATTCTTTCCCGCATTCCGGACATTTATGCATTCCTGAAAATTGCAAAAATCGAGGAAAACTTGTGCTGCAGAAAGTAAATAAAAGGAAAAAAAAACCGAAAAATCGATCTAAAAAATTGATTTTTTTTCCAAAATATTTATTTTCGAAAAATATAAATGCAAAAGTGAAATATGCGTGAAACCGCAGTAAGAATACTGGCATAAAATTAGTAGGAAAATATCACAAAATTAATTACAATTGGCGTGCGCCTTTAAATCAGGTCTCAAAACATGACAACGCTTAAAGGGAGGCAGCCGAATCGGAATCATCGAAATCGATTTCCACATCATTGACAGAGTACTGTAGCTGGTCGAGACCTGTCACAGTTTCCAGATGAGACGGAGAATTCATTACCTGAAAACGATGTTCTCAATTTTTTTCATCTGTCGATCCCTCGAGATTAAAAAAAAATGAAAATCCGTGAGCAAGAAATGAATGGAAAATTGAGCCAATTGCGAAAATCGAGCCACTCGTCGAGCATCCAATTAATATTTTTTTCCTCTCCGCCAAATTACCATATTTATATGGAGCGCATTTTTATATCGCAAAATTTTCGGAATTTTTCTTGCCAATTCATCGAGCTCTCACATTTCTCACAAATTTCCATCCGTTCTGCTCGAATTGTTGGGCAACAGCGGCTCCGCAAGCGACACATTTGTCGAATCGCTTAACACATGGCGTCATCTGAAAAGGCAAAATCGGTTGAAAAAAAAAAAACAAAGAGACCTGCTGGAATTTGCTGATGAATCCTCGAATCTGATGCGGTACGGCACCCAGAAGCGACGTCGAATCGTCAGCTTCGCCGAGATTCGCCGGCGCTTCCAAAGGGTTTGCAAATTGTAGAATCGACGAGAGAAGCTCGACGGCGACGCCCGACGCCACCATACTCAAACCGGGTCGGCTGACAGTACACTGTTGGTCGAGTGTCCTATCGGAAGTGCTGTTCCCGGGTGCGGTCACGTCACTGCAAAAGTAGCACGACAGCTGATCATACGGCACCTTCTCATTCAGCGAGATTGAAGCCACTGAAAGCGAGTTGCTAAAATTGCTCTCATCGCGTCAATCGATCACCTCTCGATTCGCCAGAATTCGCCGAGAATCCGATTCCATGCCGAATAATCACGTAGGTATCGAATCCGAGTGCGACACTGATGGCGATCTGCAAAACCAGAAGTATTCTAAAATAGCGAGAAAGGCCTAAACCAACTTTTCTATGCTTATTAGCCAAAATTGTCGGCAACCATCGGGCTTCTCGACTATCCAACGCCAGAAACACAACATCATGCCGTTCAACAAGTTTGTCCAGGAACTCGACATCCTCAGCAAGCTTCTGCTCTTCTGAAAACCAGAAAATCCGAAATCGTGCCCCAGCCAACGACGGCACTTACGCGAAGCATCAATCGTGTGGCCCGGCATCGGCACGGTGATCCGATGAGCTTCGGCTTCAATTTGCGGAAAGATGCGCCTGAGCGCCGCCGCCGCCGTCTCCGCTTTCCCTCGACCGTCTCGCGCGTCGGCGAACTCCGACAACGATTGTCGCACTGGATTACTGTAGCTTACTGTGGAATTGTCGACGAACGAGATGTTGCGAACACCCCAGCCGATGAGGCCACGCGCGAGATTGCATCCGAGCGTTCCCGCTCCGAATATGAGCACCTTCAGCTGCACGTAACGATCCAGTTGGATGTCCGGCACGAGGCGCCATTTGATCAGCGACAGGTTGAGATCGACGGATTGAGCCATCAGCTTTTTCGGATCAAACTGTGTGCTGAGGTCGACCTGATACGGCGACAGTTTTCCTTGCGCATCGCGTTCCCATCCAACCGACTTGGGGCATTCGGTGGGCGTCTCGCTCGACTCCCACGTGTACTGGAACACCTGACAATTGGTGCCGCCGCGCAAAGCGACGACCTGAACGCCGGTCCAGGTCGGACGCGAGACGGCGATCGCCGCCAGCAGATTGCGAGCCGGCCAGCCAGCAGCATTCGGAACCGGCGAAGGATCGGCAAGCACTATCTGGAGAATTGTTTCGCAAAGTAAAATGGGGAAAAATTATTGAAGGAAACTCACATATACATTTTCAGACTTCTCGATTTCCAAGAGTTTCGAAATATTTTCGATTTTTCCGTTTTCAAAAATGAAAATCGTCTCGCCTGTAGCGATAAAATGAGATTTGAGCAGTTGCGAAACACCGTCGAATGCAACAATCTGGAAATTATAATTTTCGAACATTATAATTAGTGTGACTCATTAAATAATTATATTCAAATTTTGAAGACCTTTCCCAAAAAATTCTCAATTTTGCTGTATTTCCTTTTTGCGTGAAAAAAAAAAATTATTTTCAACATGAATTCTTCAATTTCGATGGGACCATTCAAATCACCTTCTGGCCGATATTATTCGGATAGCACAACGCCGGCACACAAGTCCAATAAGCATATTTAAACTTTTTCAAATCGGCAAATGCGATGATAAAGAACAAATCCAAATATTCCGGCCGCTTAATCCATTCGCCACTTCGAATTATGTCCCAAATCTGCAATTCGACATTCTTTTCAGCGATTCGAGCCCTTCAAATTGCTACCCGCCGACTATAATCCTTTAAAAGCTGCGCTTTATTCGAGGCCTTGAATGCTTCTAGAGTATTGTACAGGATAATCTCCCCGTGATATCCCGAATTCTTTTCGATGAAACTTTCGTGGCTCAGCGAGAGCCGACAACTCGATCCAACCGTGTCATCTGCAACTCCCAGTTTATTCGGATAATCCATGGATCACAAACGTATAGAAGGATGGCAGATGACGCGTCGTGGACTCTCATCAAGCATCCATTCATTCAGCTTCCTCCGATTCACCTCATTCCAGAATGTCGTGTCGCAATACGTCGAGAAAGCCACGAACGTCGCCGCCATTTCCTTCAAGTTCGTTTCAAGACCATTCTTTTTTTGTTTCATGTATTTTATTCAGGATTTACAACCGGATGGATCTCGATGTGTTATAAATTAAGACAAAAAAATGAAAATGAATTTTAAAACACACAGATAAAAAAGAAAAAACTCGATTTTAAAGTTTCGATGGACAGCGTTTATCAGATTCATTTTTCTTACAACGGTGTTTCTTTTTTTGCGCATAGTTTATCGTCAGTTTCCAATCAATTTAACGTTGGGAAGGAGAGGAGAAAGAGCATGCAGCAAAAGAAAAATGAAGAATGCACAAATGTTCTTTTTGCTGGGATAGAGTAAAAAACAAATTTATAGTACAAAAGAATCGCCGGTATCAAATCAAGATCACATTGCATACTTTTGCGTCCACTCTCTTGCCAGCTGATTGTACCTGGAAGTCAAAGAACATTTCCAAACGGTTTCGAGGGAATTGGAAATTACCTCTCACGATCCGTCTTGTAGATGCGCGCGATCTCCGGCACAAGCGGATCATCTGGATTCGGATCGCAGAGCAATGAGCAGATCGACAGAAGCACTACAAACGATATAATTATGATTCCGATTTTTTCCGCAAATTGCTACCTTTCGATATGGTGAGAGCCGGTGACCACTGCGAACGCAAAATGTCGAGACAAATACTTCCGTTTGAATTGATATTTGGATGGTAAATGCGCGTTGTGAAAGCCACCTGAACGTCATAAAAAATAAAATCGATAATTTCGAAACACGCTTCCAACCTTTGGTGGCTTGAACGGGTAGTCTGTTGGGAAGTGAATGGTGAGGAAAAAGACGCCTCCTTGATACGGCGATTCTGGTGGTCCCATGATGGTGGCTTGCCAGTGGAACAAATCGTCGCCAACTGGTCCCGCCGAACACTGCGCAGGGGGGTCTCTGCCAAGATCTTGCAATTCCTGAAAATCGATTCAATTTTAGGCCACCGTCGCGAAATGACCTAGAACAATACCTTCTGGATTCTTTTAAGCGCCATTGTGATTAGTGTGGTAGTGGTTCGAACCCAGGTAGACCCGGAGTGAGATCACTGAAAAGAAAATGCGTTATTTCGTATTAGTCAGATGACAATGATAGAAATGGATAAGAAAGATAGGGCGGACGGCTAGAGAACGCATACACACCACAAGCGTCGAGCGGAACGAGCGACAAAAAATCGATAATTCGACATTCCGCATTTCAGACAAGGCTGGCCTAAATTTTGAGTCAGTGTTCGGTCCTCCGCATCATCGGACTGATAACGAAAATTCGCGAATTCTGCGTGACGATCGATATTGGGTTCAAAGAATTGACAACCAAGTGCATTTGACGGACACGTCGTAGGGCGGTTTGCGGGGTTTTTAGGAGAGCGGGACGCTGGAGACGAAAAGGAACGAAACGAAAAACGCCAGCGTTTTGCTGCCGCTGCTTCATGTGTGTGTGAGGTGCGAGTGAGTGCGAGGCGCAACGCCGAGTGTCTATGTGTCTCGCCTGGAATAAGAAAAAGAGCGTTCGACGATGGTGCGACGGAAAAAATTGAAATCGATGGATGGATGGTTCACGAAGGAAAGAGGAGACCGACGGGGTCTCGCAACGACATCTGCGCGATAGAGCGTCGTTGCGCCACCTCAAATATTCAAATTTACTCCATTCATGTTGAAATACAGCAAAAAAAAAACAAAAGCAAGATGCGACTAGCACGGAATCAATCAAACAGAACATTCTAGACACTTCGCGTCTCTTTATTGTCTACGAAACCTGATGACGGTGTTTAATGTGAGCAGCGTATTGCGAAATTGACAAAGAAAATGGTCCTTTGGTCGGAAAAAATTTAATTGAAAGCAAATTGGAAAACGATGCATGAAACCGACAAATAAAAACGCCCGAGAAATGCGCAGAAAAAAAGGGAACTCAGAAAAATTTTGGCGCACATGATGAGTTTGGCGGTTTTCCAAACTCTCGTCGAGACTAATTTAAATTTTCGATTAAAGGCGCATCGCTCATTTTTATTCATTTTTTTTTCAAACTTTCTTTCCACATTTTCCCATATTATAAGAAACGAATTAAATTTATTGATTAAATTAATTTATGTCATTATAGCACCAATAAACCAGAAAATCGAGTCATGAATTGAATTAGTCATCAAATCGAATACCCATTTTGTCTCGCCGATTCGCGCAGTTCTGAAAATGAAAAAAAAACAACATTTTTGCCATCTAGTATGATTTTGGCTGGCGTTTGAATGTGCGTTTGTTGCCAGTTGTCATGGCGATTAAATTAAGCCGCCAAACCAAACGTTATTATTAAATTTGAGGCGACAACGAGGGGGACGCAAAAATAATATTTGTAAATGATTTTCAATGGAGGGCACAACTCACTCAAAATCGCGTGATGGATTTTTTTGCGTGCCCCAATCGTCGACACCCCAATATCTTTGAGATTTTGCTCATCGAGCAGTAGAAACGCGTGCATATCAATCTGAAACAATTCGATTTCATTTTTTTAAATCAAAATTTCAGGCAGTCACCTCCTGATCCCTTAGCTGCGTCATGTATTCGCTACAGCCAATTTGCGCAAGAACCATCGAGGGATCCGTGAAATAATTAATATCCCATTGAAGCTCATATGGAAGAGTTGGGGATTCAAACGCCGACGTGGAAGCGGAGAAAACTACAAAATTGAAGAAACATAATTAAAAACTTCTGACCGAATCTCACTATTTTTCGGCTTCTTTTCAATAATTCTCGAGCAATTATTCGGCGATGATATCGAAAAATCGGAGAGCTCGTCTTCTTCTTGAACACTGCAAAGCGCGCTACGCGTCGACGGCGGATCCGAATCGCGAGATGCTCTTGCCGTTTCATCATCCGTCGACAGATTCATCATGCCTTTGAGAAGATCCGCCGGAAGCGAGCAGCTGAATCCATAGCCCGACCATAGATCCGTCGGATATCTTGGCGTCGAGTTTGTCAGAATTGTATCGTCAAATATCACTTGAGTCGCTTTGATGAGCATTTCGCTTCGGTCCGGCTTCGTCTTCTTCTTATTCCAAAGGTCCCTACAACATTTCAAGCAATAATTTCAGATATCGAAAAAAAAGCATTGTGTTACGGTGTAATTTCTTTTGCGCCTTTCAAAATCGATGCGGCAAGCGGCGAGTCCTCGGGATCCGGCGATTTCGGACTCTCGATCGGCGGCGTCAAAAACATTCGAATGTTCTCGGTGCTCGACGTCGAACGCGGCGGATTGTCGAAAATCGAGAATTGCAACGGCGGCGGCGGCGGGAGACTTGTGAACGACGACGGCTCGAGATCGTTGGACTCGTCGAACATCGTCGGCGGCAATCCGAGGAGAATCTCCCTCGCGCGAAACGCATCAATAATCCGCCTTTCAATCGATTTAATGCTAATCGTCTGAAAATGAATGAATTGCACGAAATCGGTTTTTCGAAGAGGGGGGTGGGAGGGGGCCAAGTTTACATAAATCTCGCCGCTCTTCTTCTTGCTGACAATCTGCAAGTCCATTTCGGTCTCGACACAATTCACCGGATGCAGAATTTCGGCGAGTTGCGCGTCAAACGTGACATAGATCGTTGAAAGACTCTAAATCGCAGCGCTAGAAAATAATTGGCGAAACGAAACCAAAAACTCACAATAATATATTTTCGAATTGTTAGCACATTGATCGGCGGTCCAAACAAGCTGATGTATTGCGATATCTGGAAAGTGTGCATCGTGACGCCGAGCTGCGCACACATATCCTGGACACTGTCAAACATCTATGAATTCAATTTCCAAAAAACATTCTCCCACCTATTCCGATGATCCTCATTCTGCTCGAGAAGCGCTACGACCTCATCTTTCGCGGTGACGTCGATGCGAACATTCACAAATTCCTCCTTCTGGAAAATCACAAAATTTTTTTTTTCAAAACATCACGAATCGCAGACAGCTTCACAATCTCACCAATCCGAAATGATTCAGAATGAATCGGACAGCAAACAAGATATTCGTGTCGTGCTCTGTCGAGATTTTAAGTACCATCGAATACACATTGGCCTCAACGCTGAGAATAGCAACTTCGAATTGCGTCCCAAGATATCTCATATCAGGACCGCCCGGGTTAAACCAAGGAAGGTCCATATAAATATTAATAGGGCATGTTGCCTAAAAAAAATAATTAAAAATGGAAAATTTCGAATCAGCGTTACCCTTAGATGCTTCTGAGCTGCAAATACATTCATCGGCGCGCCCGATATCGAAACCTGGTCGCTTTTATTAGCATCCCTCAAATATGGCAATCTTTGTTTTTGGACCACGAAAATCTGGCGTCAAAAATCTTACGAGTATTTATTCGAGTCCGGAAAATGAATATGGCATGAGGTGAGTTTCATGATGCGCTGAATTCCGCGACCACCTTTTCCTATAATGTGCGAGTGAAGCGAATGGTGCAGCTCCATTTTCAGCGAGAGTCGCTCTTTCTGAAAAAACAAAAAACAACCTCATTGATCTACTCGAGCAATTTGCGCTCTATTGCACTTGTCGACAACAAATGCGAAAAATTTGCCGGTGGTTTTTAATGAAATTTTGAGAAATCGAGAACGTGACTAGCTCGCATCATTTCTTCTCAATCGTTATCGATATTTTGATAGTCTTCTCATTTTTTCGTCTTTCTCACACCACTTGGGGGGCGTCAGATCAAATGGTAAAATTGGCGATCAATCGCGTCAGGAGCCCGCCGCTTCGAAGAAAAAAAACCAAGTACCGAAATTTTGTAGACAATACTCTACGTGGAAAACGATGCCAACGCACCAGCTCATCTCGATTCCGGCACACGACTCAACGAATTCATCATCGATCGCCTATTGAGCACCGGCGGGTTCGGACAGGTGTTCGAGGGCCGCGTGATCAGAACGAATCAGCCAATCGCTATCAAAGTCGAGTCGACGTCGGCAAAAGTTCAGCTACTATTCAACGAGACGTCATGCTTGAGGAGCTTCAATCAGGCGTACAACTCGCTGGGTCTCACACAGCAAGCGCCATTCCTCAAGTATTACGGCTACGGCGTCGTCAACGGCATCCGATTTCTAGCGATGGAGAAGTGCGGCGAAAATCTGAGGGATCTCAAAGCAACGACGGCGCTCAATCGATTCAGGTAGTCGGAAAAATGTCACAATGCTCAACATTGATGAATTCGAAATTCTTCCAGCATTCCAACGTCACTCTGGATTTTTTACAAGATGATCACCGCTTTAGAGATGATGCACAAAATTGGATGGCTTCATCGCGACGTGAAACCCGCCAACTTCTGCGTCGGACTTCACGATAAGCATTCGCTGTACACTCTCGATTTCGGCATGAGTCGCTGCTACGTCGCCGAAGACGGCAATCTGAAGCCGAAGAAGGTGAACGCGCCATTCAACGGCACATTGCGCTACGTCTCGCTCAACATCCATCGACGTCAGGATGCGAGTCGTTGGGATGACATCTGGAGCGCGTTCTACATCGCCGTCGAGAACATGGTTGGCTTTTTGCCATGGCGGCGCGCCGGCGACGTCAACGCCGTCGGCGACATCAAATCTCGAAGTGATCTCACCCAGCTCAAATATGGACGCGAGCTCTACCAGCCGAAATCGCTTACAATCATTCATAGCTATTTGAACGCCTCGCTGAGCGACGACATCTATTTCTATCGTCAGCCGCCATATCAAGTATTCCTCGCTGAAATCGTGAGTCGTGCCAATCGCCCACATGTCGGATGATTGCAATTTTCCAGAAGTCCGACTTGCAATCGCGACAGTACTCTCTCGACACTGTGCCATTGGACTGGAATCAGCCGAAATGCGCTCCGGCCTACTACTACAATACCGCGCCGGCGGCCAACTTCAATCAAGGCGATCGATCCGTCCGCTTCTACTGACACCCTGATAAATCCGAAAAGCATTTGAAGGCTCACCTTGACTTGTAGACTTCGTAATATGAGATTCCTCGCCGCATCGACCTCCTCCATCGTTCCTATGATCTTCACATACGGGTCTTTTTTGGTTTTGGCGCCAATTTTTAGTTGTGCCGGCCAAAAGACTTGCGCATGAGTTTGAGACATGACCTGAAATCAGCGATGGTTATTTGAGCGCGCGCAAAAAAAAATGAACCCAATATCCCACAAAAACTAATAAAAATTGGAAATTTGTTGAAAGATGGCGCCTTTCAAAAATTAACTTCCTCTAGTCAGTTTTGTTCGCTCTAACCGGTTTCAGCCATTCAAAAAAAATGATAGCACTAATCAGATACTCACATTGCTGAAGAACTCCTCAGCTTCGGGCAAATTGTGTCCGGCAGGTTGATCTGAAAAAAATGAGATTTCTCACCTCAAAAAAAAAATCGTCAAAAACGAACCCGTTATCATAATCTCAAGCTTCCGCCGATCGACCTGCACCTTCTGCTCGAATCGCCCATCGGGCAGACGTGTCGTCGTCTCCCCTTTGATCATCACGTCGGCGATTCTGAAGACGATCGTCGTCGTCGCCGTGGGGAGGGTGGAGATTGCTGATGATGATGATGATTATAAAAAACAAATTGGTGTGGCGGTGTTGAAGATACCGGGGGAGGGGGGGGTAGCCAGCAGCAGTAGGCGAAAAATGATTGAAGAAGATAACAGAGGAAGGAGAAGAAGAAGAACACAATCAATAGGCGCGGTCGAATGCGACGACGATGATGATGATGAAGAAGGACGAGAAGAAAACTGAGAAGGAGAAAAAACGAAGCGCAAAGGTTCATTATTCATTTCATAATGACACGGTAATCTATGATGTTGATTGCGAACCAAAAAAATGAAGGTTTCGATTTCCCGGTTTATTAATCGATTTCGAAAACACGTGAGGAGGTGATAACGACGACGACCGATCGGGTAGGTAACGAAAAGTCAAGATCAAAATCCAATTCAATCTGGTGTTGCAATTGAATTTCATATAAACACGCGTGTTTACTGCTACTAAATACTTCATGTGTACCTTGATATTGTTGAGATCAAATAATTGACGGCGGCAAAGGAGTCGAGGCCTATCGAAATTTTTGGGGGGTGGGGTGAATGGGGGATTTTGAACATTAAAAATCTGAATTTTGCTGGTACCTGCGACATGAATCACCCCTCTTCGACGCTGGAAATCAATCGAAAATAATTTCGTTTTCAATCGAAATCGAATAAAGTATTCCAAAATTTCAATCGAATATGATTTCAAAATTGAAAATGAGAAATAAATTAATCGATTTCGAAGATTTTTTTTTTAAATCGAAACCAATTTTTAAAATCGAATCAATCGAATCAGCTTAATATATATTCCATTTTTCTTTTTTTTCATATACCTGAGGAAAAAATCCATAATTCGATCCGTCAATAAACGTTTTTAATAGCTTTTTTTCCAAACAATATTTTTTTCAGGAAACTCCATGTCCCTTTGGTTGTTTCCTCAAAATGACTGCAATTTTGCGAGTTTGGTCAATTAAAAAACAAAGGGACAAATCGCATCCTTCAATAAAAATGAAATGTTCAAACAACCAAAATTTAAATGTTTTATTAATTCGAGTTCTTTAAAATCCGGGCAAATTATATACAATATTCGCAGCCTAGTTGCAAATATGTTTGAGACCATCGGTTCCTAAGAGTTTCATTGTTTTTTTTGAATCGGAGATTAAGCAGCATTCGATTAATTTTGATATGTACATCGTATTTGAGTGTGTTCGGATGATGAAGCAAGGCGTCGTTTAGCTTCGCTCACGACGCATCGGCGATTTTCGACCCATCAATTTGAACATGGCGCAATATTGGCGAAGTTCGCTGGAAAAGAATTATAAAATGCGAGAGAGGCAAGAAAATTTGTTTCTAAAAGACGCATGGCTATTATTTTTTTTTTGATTCGCAAATTTAGAAAACCAAAACTCCATGCGTCTTTAAATTTGCCGCGTGACTCACGTGACGCCAGCGTTCACCGAGCACTCGCAAAGCTCGCCGGCTTCGCGCTTCCAGTGCATCTTCTTCGTGCACGCGCGGAACGATCGTTTCGCTTTCGCCTCGGCCACCAATGGTTGGCATCTGCAAACGAAAAACCAAAAATTTGACAATGTTTTCCACAAAACCGGTTTTCTTGAATTTTCTTTTTCAAAATTTTTTTCTCAACCCAAGAAAAAAAAACAAGAATGATTCGCGTTTCTATTGAAAATCACTGACCCTTGACGATCGAAACAGAATCCGTTCTGGTTGCGAAGCAAGAAGCAATCTTTGACGCACAGGGCAAAATCGCCGGTGGCATCGAGAATGTGCTTGATCGGCGCGATCATCGTCTTGATGTTCGCCGTCTGGGTGACAATCGAGCGCTCCGAAATTCGGAATATCGACCGAATATCGGTTTTCGGAATCATCGGACCCTGTTCGGTTTGAACGCATCTGAACAAAAATCGAGTTTGCGACGAACACCAAAACGAAATTCTTCGCTTACGCCTCGACGCGATTCTCAAAGCACGTCAGAAAATCCTCAAGAATGTTGTTCTTCTCGTCGAAGCATTGCTTGAGATCGTTCGGACGCGAGGTGATCTAAAGATCAAATCGACATTGAGGGGGTCGAATCGAGTATCTGATCTATGGAACAGCGTAAAGAATATTCTGGCAAGGTTGTCGCGCGCGATTTTTGAAAAACAAATGTCACGAGTTGTCGAAATTCATTGATTCATGAAATGCATCGACATTTGAATTCTGATTGGTTCTATTTAATAAGGGGGACCATTAAAAACATTAGTTCTATTGCTTCCATCATAGGTATTGTCGAACTCTGCTAATTAAAGAAATTTAAAAAATCGCCCATTTATAGATAGTCCAATCAGATTTTAAAGGTCCCCAAAATGGGTACAGACATTCAAAAATCGGTCAGACACAACGCGGAACTATGATAACACCAAACCAGACGAGATTTTTGTCTAGCCTACAATTGGACCCCCTCACACACACACACACACACACACACGAAAAGAAAAAAGAATACCGTAGAGAACATCTGGAAGCACGGTACGGTGCATTCTTTCGCCTGCGCCTTCATCTCCTCGACGCAAATGCGCTGCTCGCGGCACGAGCACTGCCGAACACTCTGACCGGTGAGTTTCGCCTGTTGCAGAATGTCGAATCCCTGATTCGCGACCTAGGAATGACACGATGACAACATTCGATCAGTTGGCTCACTCATACCGTATCGACAGGATCGCGGTTGGCAGCCGCGACGGCGCCGATTGCAAATATCGTCGAGTAGATCAAAAAACGCGGCGTCGTCATTGTAGCGAGTAGAAGTTCTTGAATAGTGGTGGTGTGAGGACGACGACGACGACAACGCTGTTGGCATTCCGTCGTCGTCCATCCCATCGGTTTGGCTCCGCCCACCCTCCTCGACAACACTGCGTCTCGACGCGCGCGGACGCGAACAAAAAAAAACACGCGGTCGTTTTAGACGGGGGTCCCTCGCGAAAACAACACTCGCCAAACATAAACTGACCGGCCGTCGACACGATCCTCATACAAACTACACGATTTTTCGTGTTTTCTGATCGACGAGATTTGTAGTTAAAGTGATTCGGCCGTTCAGCCGCTGCGTCTCTAGCCAATCGAGCCGCCGTCAATTTTTGATCTCCCCAGATATCGTGTTCTTTTGATCCAAATGATTCTTCTTTGAAACCGCGAAACAAAAATGCGTCTCGCGCGAAACGTTCGTTCGACACCTCTTCAAAAATCGACTTCCTTGTGGTCGCATCTGAAATTGTAAGCCATTATGAGAGAAATAACGCGTGCATAACAAAAGCTGGAGAATTTGTCTGCAAAAAAAAATGATGAAAAATTTGTTCGTTTCAATTTTCGGACGACGTGTGTGAAGGAGAGAAAAGGTCAACAACACCCAACACCGGTTCATTTCGCCGACTGACATCATCATTAGAATAATTTTGGAATTTGGAAAAAAAATTGACGGTCGTGAAACTTTCAATTGTGGTGGTTTGGCGAATTTCAAACAAATTCGTTTTTGCTAATTTCAACGAACCCATTGACGGGCGCCCTTCCTCCAAGCACCCTCATCGCTCTTACCTGACTTTGGCGAATATTTCCAATTTTTCTCGAGGAACACTAGCAAACACGACATATAATTTGTGTGTAGGCTAGAATTTTGCGCGTTTCGCCCAGTCGATGTAGCCACTAATTTGAGAGGCGCAGAGAAAAAAACCAGGCGAGGTGGAAATGCGGTAGGGCGCAATTGCGCCCGCTTCTTTCGAAAGAGTGTCGGGCTAGATTTCCGGAGATTTGTTTCCGGGGAGAGAACATTTATTTTTCCGAATATTTAATAAATAGATAAAATATTTTTGACTACGGTATTTCAAGGCGCATGACTTTTGTTCGACATAAGTCTCGAAGCGTTACACTAACGTCACATTCAGAAAATTGTGGAAAAGCTCAATAAAAAATTGAACTGACGAAAATTTGAAGAATATTCTCACGGGAGACAATTTACTGAAGAAACCTACATTTTGATTTGAAGCCAAAATTTGAAACTATTCAGAAGTCCGTTGATGGTTTGCAACAAATTAATTGCGAGGCGGTCATTTCGATTTCAAGAGGTCACGGGTTCATCACGTCTAACAAGAAAGGACGATTCCTTATCATTGAATCACCTGAAAAAGAAAAGAAGCGGAGACTGCCCATTGTCTCCAAATATGGTCATCGAGGCGGGCAGTGTAAAGCCGGGACCCCTTGACAAACACAGAAATTCGACGGGTCGATGGAGAAATGACCCAATGAGTCATACACCAGTTTCCGTTTGCTATCAAAACAATTTATTTTTCGAATTCGCGCAACACCGCACAAAAAAAGCCGGCAAAAAATGAATTAAAAAAACAAACGCAAATTCTTGTATGCGTTGAATAGAATTGGGTACAATGGGGGGGGGGAAGAATGGTAGCTACCCGTGTCAAATAAAAATATTAATTCGAAAAAAATGTACCAAAGAACACTACATTGGTCGTCGTTGATGGTTTACGTGTCGGGACCCGGAAGATTTCTAGCCAAATATAATGAAACCCTATTTTACAATAGCTATATATATATATATAATTTATATACATATTAGACTCGCTCCTCATCATCCTTCTCCATTTCATCAACAACCATATGAATGTCGTCGTCAGTTGGTGTTGGTGCTTCTGGAGTCTCGAGAATCTCACCGTTCTCAATGTCAATTCTGGTGGCCTCCTCGTACGTCGGAGGCTGTTGCTCGGGTGTTAGATTGTCCACAGAAGTGTAGCTTGGCGGCGGTGTTGCCAATCGATGGATTCGTCTGGAAGATTGCAATATTGACAAAAAAAAAATCCAAAAACTTGAGAAATGCCAATTTGATGGCATTTACTAAAATATATCTTATGAAAGTTGAAAATGTGATGACTCACGCTCCAGAAGGATGAACTGTCACGCGGCCAGGCGCCACAATCAACGCGCGATCTCTCGGCACCCATGATCCACCGCAGACGTAGTCGTGACGGCACCTGCAAAAAAGCATCGACATGTACGGACAGAATACATTAGAGAAAAGACCTAAAGGGCCTTTGATTTTCGGGGTGAAACATTCTGTACCAGGTCTCGCCGGTGTACGGCATCGACATCGCGCGTTTCCTTCTCGCTCCGACGCACAACAATCCGATGGTGATGATGCAAAACGAGAGGCCCGATAAGGTTAGGCGCGAGTTCACCGCACCGCGTTTTCGGATGCTATCATCGCATCCCAGTCCGTCGCACGTTGTGCACATGAGGCCCGTGAATCCATCATAGCACACGCATTTGCCATCGTAAAATTGACCGTGGACACATTTGTGGCATTGCAATCCCGGCAAACATTCGCATAATCCTAAAAAAATGAAAACAATTCGAATTTCTGTGCGCTTAAGAGTGTCGGTGTTTGCGTATTTTCACTGTCCACCGTACCCAAATAATGCAAAAATGCCTCAATTTTTACCTGTCGTCCGATTCACATATCCCATTGCGCATTGAACTAAACAAAATTCGCCCGTCCATGATCCAGAGCAATCGCATTTCCCGCTTGTTGCATTATAAACACCTCCATTCATGCAAATCTGGAAAACGTGACAAATTGAAGATATTCTACTCATGCGTCAATCGGACAAATTCCGAGAAAAAAAAAACGGCAAAAAGAATTAGCACTCACCGGAATATCACATCTCGGTCCCGTGTAGTATTTTGAGCAAACGCATGTTCCATTAGTCGTTAGTGGGACGCCATTAAGGCAATGCGATGGTTCGTCGAATATTTCATCTGCGAAAAAAAAAAAAGAATCAAACAATGGGCGAAAATTCACGTCAAAATTGGTCATTAATTGAGGGATTAGCTTCTAAATGCCGGCTAATCCTCTCGAACACACGAATTTTAAACGAAATTCTAAGAAATTCGAGCCAAAAAAATGTGAGGGGCGCCAGTTCCCGCAATAGGGCGTCAATTAACGCGCTTTGTGTGCAAACACAGTCTCAAACAATTTCGAGTTTAAAAATTCATAATTTTCATTTTTTTTGAGAATAGTGATAAATTTTCTTGGTTACCTTGTGTCGGTGGGCGAAATCGCATCTTCTCCAAATCAATGTGACCCTGGCCCTTCATCGCATAATCGGCGGTGTGAGCATCTGGCGGTGGAAGCATCCCATTGCTCACAATATGCGGCGGCGTCGTCGGCATCAAAGACAACAGATAAATCAGAGCGATTATGATGATCAACATTAATGGCCCGACCCATAATCGTGATGAGGATCCGGACCTCATCATATAGGTCGAGTGGAGGATTCTGAACAGCAATGATGATCTCTCTCAAAATTTTTCTCGAAATATTTCGATGGTCCGAAATTTCCGATTCAAACCTCGGATTTCGTCGGCGCGCCTCGAATGATAGAAAAAACGTCGTGATTGGAATCGGGGGCGAGCAGCTCGTTAAAAACGAACCCTGAAGAAGAGAAAAATCGAATTTCAAATTTTCGCGTTTTATTTACACTCGTGATATATTTAAACAAGAACGAGCCGGTGAAGAGGCGACGAAAAAAAATGACGGGGAGATTTGATGGTCAAAATATTAAAGGCGCATAGTTCTTTTTAAAAAATTCGATTTTTAAAGGCGCATCAAAGATATTGGAAAATGACGAAAATTCAAAATCGGCGTACCGAAACGCAGGATTCCACGACACTTGACCATGCCTATTTTAAAGGCACATCGCAAGATTCTTTAAAAACTAGCAAAATTAAAGGCGCGTGACATTTATATGTAAGAAATCGATATGTACTATTTTGATTAAAAAAAAAACTTGTTTTTTCAATTCTGCACTTTACTGTAAATAAATTTGAAAGATATGCGCCTTTAATGACCGCGTAGAACAATTCGATGTCGAGAAGCAATTTTGATCTACTCGTTGAAAATTGTCCGCGACAATATTGGGATACGGTAGCTTTTCGCACCGCCACTGGCACAGTTCCAAGAGAAAGAACGAGAGGGTGAAAGACGACGAGAGAATTGGGGGGTACCATTCGTAGGAAAACAAATGTAACAACAAGATTCTATTTGAGCTCAATTAATTGGGTAGGCCGCCACGGGGCTCACCGAGCCCCCACGAAATCAATAATAAACGATGAGCGCAGAATGTGTTTGTGTGTGTCTGTGTGTGTGTTTTTTTTTGCTGTGCCAACGGGAAGAAGGAAGACGCCGAAAAAGAAAAACTCAGGAAAAAAAAAGAGATGAAGCCAACGCGGTGGGGTGCCTGTTGAGAGACAACGGCGAATCAAGAGAGCGGCGAGACGACGAGAGGCCGACGGCTCGGCTGGCTTCACGATGCGTGAAAAAGTCGAGAAAAAACAGGAGAGCCCGACGAAAAAAATGGATGCGGACACCAAAAAACAACTAAATTACAGTGAATTTGGCGATCAAAAATGGAAGAGAGAAGAAGGAACGAATGTACGCAAACACCGCGACGCGAAATTGCGGACTTTTGTTTTTCTGTGAGACGAGCGCAAAAAATTAATGGGCAGTTTTGTAATCGAGAAAATAGGCAATGAACGACGACAAATAGTTGTCAAAAGCATTTTCAACATAAAATTTCTTTTTTGAAAAAGAAATGAGTGAAGCCATCAAATTCGTTGTGGGATATTTCACTAATCCGATGCGCCTTTAAACCTTGAACGTTTTCGAAGGATTCGAATCGCCGGTGACAATTTCAAAGTGGTTTCCAACAACGAAAAGAATGCCGCGTCGAACATTTTCAAGTATTTCTATTAATACGAGCAACCGATTATTTGCCGAACCCAACACGAACCACAAATTTGAGGAAGACGAGGGGAAGAAATGAGGTAGAAGCCGCCGGACGGTGATGGTGTTGACCTTGGATTAAGCTGGTCAGAAAAAAAGAATGTCAAACCAACAATTTTTGTTTGCTTCTTTTTCATTTCTGTTCAAATCTACAAAAAATTCCTACATTTTTTTAGCTTGAATCTCGCTGTCGATTTACGAGACCCATTTCGTCTTGAGACCTTCCTAAATTACGAGAAATTTCAAGGGGCAAAAACGATGAATTGACATTTTTTTGTTGAAAAAAAAAATACAAATTCTTAATATTATTGGGAAGCGCCCAACAGAAAGGAATTTTCAAGCGACATCAAAAAGAAAATGGAATTGAATGGCTTTTCCTTTCCTCGTTCTTTTTTTGGTCAATTTGAGATGCGATGACCTTTTTTTCCGGCCTACTCGGCGGTTTTGTGACGTCACCAAAAAGCATTTGGTGGGTGGTTATTTGATGGGGGGAAATTCAAAAAAAAAAAGGAAGTCGATTTGCGCATTGGCGCGAAATTCAAATTTTTTAAACGCGAAAATGCAAAAAAAAACTAGCTTGTTTGGAAACTCTTCGAATACAATTTTCTCGCTCAACATTTTTTTTGACAGCGGCAATTTAAAAAAATGCAATTCTGTATTTAGATGTCGTGGGATCTTGTGTTTTGGTCCGCAGTACACCGACCGATTTACCGCAGCAATTATTCTATTTTGATTTTTATTTAAAGGCGCATGGTGATGGAATTCCTTTGAATCGTGCGTGAAGTAAAAGAAACTATCGTATTTATATTTGGCGCGAGTTTTGCATTTTATTTTAAATTTAAAGCCGCATAACCTAATGTATCCCGCTCCTAAATTGGTAATTTCTATTCACACAAAAATTTTAAACTTAATTTTTACTGCTGAATATCCACACGCGCCTTTAAAAATCTACAGTAACCTTTAAAATATATTCGAAAATTACAATTCATGCGAAAAAAAAACCCTCCCACTTACTCGTTGTACATATTCGCACCATGCTGTTCAATTCCGTCGGCGTCTCTCCAATTCGCACACACACTATCTCACGCCATCTGTTTTTTTCTAAATATGGCGTGGTGGTACAGTGAACAAAAAAATTCTCATTTCTTCGTCGCAAAAAAAGACGAGCATGCGATTCGCAATTTTTCCATTATTTCTCACATTTTCGCCAATTTTCGCCAACGAAAATTTCAAATTTCTTGTCAACAGTAACGAGGTAATCGAGAGATTAAAAAAAAACACACAAAAATAAAAATTTTCTCCAGGAATTCTGCTTCTTCATCGACAATGCCCAACAAGACACTCACAAAATTCACGCCATGGTATATACAAAACATTTTGTGCTCATCAATTCCTGCTTCAGGTTTTAGGTAGCAATAATCCAGTGGACGTCGTTGTCTATGATAGAGATCGCAATTCGTTTCACACCTCGCCGCTCGAGACCACCCACCATTTCACGTGTGGTTTCGTCCAATTCATTGCTTTTCCAGTAGAATCGCAATTTCAGTTTGAACGTCAATTACGCCGCGCTCTGCTTCATCACACCCCACCATTCGACAAAAGTCCATTTATCTGTGCGCAAGGAGCAATCCCAAAAAGGTCTCAACGAAATCGCCAATGAAATGTTGGCAAAAACCAACATCATCGAGGATTTCATGAAAGTTTGCCTCAAAATCGCCTACACCCTTCGCGATGCTCAAGTCCAGCAAAAAGCGCATAACATGATTGAGAAGCAGGTAAGCAAAAAAAGCACACACTAGAGCAGAGGTTTTTGGGTTAAAGACGCATGCCAACATTTCTTACCCAAAATCATATGTTCGCATTATAGGCGCGCACATCAAGCGAAGAGCTCTTCGAGCGTTTCAACTTCTGGGCAACCATCAACACGCTGGTGATGGTTTTCGCGGTGGGAGCCCAAGTGATGTTTATTCGCGCAATGCTGGGCGATCATCGATTATTCGAAAAAACTTTCAGCCGTTTTTCAAGTCTCGAATTTTAGACAAGACCCTCCGTTGTTGCAAATAAATTGTTTATTGCTTGATTAGTACCCGCACATCAAAATGAGCGCATCATTTGCGGCACCGAGCCGAACAAGGCAACGGTGGCGCCGAAGAGGAACGACGTGAACACCAGCATACAAATGCGGTCCACAACCTGAAACTAGTGCTACCGTAATCTAACGTAAAACATAAATACCAATGCGGAAAACTTCCAATCGTCCTCAATTCGCTTATTGCGCTCCTTCTCACGAACGTGTTTGTTTATTTCCTAAAACGAATTGGTGTGCATTATTGCGTCGGGGTGTACCAACCGCTAAGTGTCCGTGAACCTGCTGTAACATGAGCAACTGCGCAATTTTCTCAACGGGAACCTAGAGAGAAATTTGAAGAATAAAACAAAATTTTCAACGAGAAATTACCCGACTCGATGTTGTCGGTGGTTTATGCCATAAATGGTTCTCCGCCGGCTCGACATCGTCAACAATTTTCACGCGTCTCGGCGCCCTAAAAAAAAGAGGTCCGCAAAATGTCGTCAAATCGAATGCTCACGAACATTGGCGTATTTTTCGGCGAATCGACAGTAAGCTGCGAGATGAGAGCCGAAATTCGCTGCTGCTCCAATCTCGCTCTCCTCTCTTCAAAATCATCGTCGTACTCATCGATTTTGCGCATAGTCCATTTACGCGCAACATGACCCGGCCGTTTCATCAACAATAGCCACGGGACCCATTCAAGCATTATTAAGCGAAACTGCAACGAGACAAAAAATTGAGTGGGGTCCCATCGCGATGCTAACCGTCTCATTCATCTGATGCGATTTGCCGTTGCGATGATGGAAATTCAAGGTGAGCGTTGTGGCGGTGACGCAGCACGCGCACGTGAACAAGCACACAGCAAAGAATGCGCCTTTAAAAATCGACATAAAAATTGGTTTTAAATCCAAAATCGTACCCAAAAATGGGACCGCTTCGGATGTTGGCGGCGACATTTCGGCAACATAATTTTGAAAAATGCATATCGACAACATTATAGTGATTTGAAGTGACATCTTCTCGCCGGCGTCTGGCGGGAATGTGAATCCGACGAGTGTGAGCATCGTGATTAATATACACGGCAGTATCAGATTGAAAGCTGCAAAACAATGGGGATTGACATTTTTTGAATTTTCAGATCACCATAATAAAGAGCTCTCCTTCGAATCACAAAAGTGAACACAATATCATAGTAGGGTTCCGGGCAGCATTGATAATATTGTATGTTTCTTTTCACATGGGTCCCTTCCAATGTCCATTCGCCATTCTGCATATAATTGGAAGTGTCGAATCCATTCTCATCAATTTCCAAATTCAATTTGCTTCCGTCGAATGTCCAAGAGCCGAATTTCAGAAAACATTCTTGAACATCGAATGGGAACCAAACTACTTGAATTTTGCACGAAAGACGATAAAGACCTACAAAAATTTATTTTTACCAAAAAAAAAGAAACTCGAAACCTGGCGGCATCCAATTAACCATTCCATTGGGGTACACAAGAAGATTCGATGGATAGCGACTGTCAAATTGAGGGTCCGCACTATTATACATCAAAACGTCGGGCGTCCATAGTTGGCCCCGACGGAATCGAAGGTCCGTAACACCGCCATATTCGGCAGGATCCCATTTCAACGAGTAATCGAACCATGAGAATTTGAGCCATGCGTTCACATCGACCACCTGATTCCTCTCGTCCTGCAAAAAATTAAATTGCCAAGATTTTCCGTAATTTTTCTGCAAAACAAATATGGGCGTAATGATAAGATAATTTTCGGTTTATTTAAACATACCACGTCGATAATTTGCTGTAAAACGAGTCCCATTCGTACAAGCACCGGCTCCGAGCTATTTTCGATGGGCCGTTCCAGCGGCTCATAATCGGTAAGCAATTTTGTGTACAGATCGCCTAAAAATAATTAATTCGAAAATTTTTATCCGTTAAAATTGTGATAAAACCCAATTCAGTCAAAAAGCGATTTTAAAAAAGTATTTATAAAATTAAAAAAAATATGTGGGCGTGGTCAAAACATGCACATGTCGCACACTTCTATATCATTAATGCGGCACACAATTATTTTTATTTATTTATTTATGATATGCTTGGAACATTTTTGCATGCTGTAATTTTGAATATTTTTGATACTCAAGCCAAAATGACAATTGACATGGAATAATAGTGGAAAATCTTAGTTTCTGATAAAGTGACACTGATAAAGAAATGCGAAAATTGAAAAAGTTCGCGAACCTTCCGATTTAGCCGCATCTCGTCTCGTGAATTTGGAAAAAATCAGTAAACCGAGCAACAATTGCATTTCATCGCGGATAACAGAGCATTTGTAAAAACGACGGTGCGAAATCCTGTCGCACAAGCGAAGCGCGATGGAGGGAGAGAGAGTGTGCCAAATGCGGATACGCAGGCTTCTCCAACATTGAGTCGCGCAAATACTGTGCGCCATGATCAATGTTTTTCGTCGGTTAAAAAAACATGATTAATCTTGCAAATGTTTGGTCACTAATTGTTTCGTAAAAATCTGCAACGGTCTCGAGACGATGAGGCGCGTCTCACTTTGTACTCCACACGGACAAGCAACGCGAGGCTCCAAACTATGGTCATGCCTGCTGGTTTGAAAACTGCATACTAAAAATGAAAATTTAAATTCCCTCCAATTTTTGAGACAATTCTCATAGCTTCTCAAAATAATTTTATAGCGACTCGAGTCTTATCATAGTAACTCAAAGATCACGAACTAACTATGACGTATCTTGTGATCATCTTCAAATTTCGAAATTTATCGTTGGTCAGAAAATTTCGGCGATATTATGTCCGATTAGATCAGAAGTTTTTCAAAACCCCATTTGGGTATTTCAACTAAAAAATCAAATAGACGGGGTCATTGATTAAATAGCGTCTTTCTTATCAATTATGATTGATATATAAAAACTGAGCTCTGATAAGTGGTATCAGTGTGAACAATACTATACTATTCATATTTAACCATGCGCCTGTACGCCTTGCTATTCGCCATATTCCTCAGTCTAGATGCCTATAAAATTCTAGTGTATTCAAATTTATTCGGTCACAGCCATGTGAAAATGTTGGGAAGTGTCGCCGATATTCTGACAGACGCCGGACACAATGTGGTAGGGTTTACGCTAAAGCGAGGGCAATTCGCGGAGTGTCGTTGTTTAGACGGTTTTGATGCCGATCATCGATGTGAACGAGAGGAATCGAACCGGATTGAAGAGCACCAAGAATGTGAGATTCGAATTTGCCGCCACCTATTTTGCCCATTTCCATTTCAGCTCGTTATGGTCGAAGCAAACGAAAAGACAAAAGAAATGTACAATCAGTTGAAGGATTTCATGTCGAACGTTTGGATAATCCAGCAGTCGAATCCATTTGCAATCATCAGCAAAGCTGTCGACATGGCGAAGATGTTCTCAATCCCATGCATAAGTATGTGCTAGGGACCATTTAAATATTTGATCCAAATCTCTCCAGACGTTCTTTCTCAGAAGGATTTGATCCAGAAGTTCAAAGATGAGAATTTCGATTTAGCATTGACAGAGCCTTTTGATCTCTGCGGATACGGTAGGAGTGTGGTCCTCTGGAATCCATTCAAGATTCTGTTTCCAGCCTTCTTCGATGCCATCCAAGTGCCTGCTCACGTCTCTGTTCTTGCTTCTAGTCGTTTGGATCATGTGTCAGAAGCACTGGGTCAGCCTGCAGCCGCGAGCTATGTCCCAGGTGAGAAATTTGTTCCAGCCAGTTATGTCAAAATAGGGCCTCGAAATTGAATTGTGGACCTGAGGGGCCAGGGATCCTTTTTCGGATATATGAAACCATAATACTGTAGTCGGCAATCTGTTACAGGTGCTCAATCAGTGTATACTGATCGGATGAATATAAAAGAAAGATTTTTGAATTTGCTTCAAGTATTCGCTGGAGGAAAATTATTTTCATACATCGCAGATTATGAATATCGAGAATTGCAGAAAATTGATCCAAAAACGAGATCCTGGAGAGTAGGTCGCTTGATAGTCTGGTAGATCAACCATCTAGTATTCAGGATATCATGCCGGAGAGCACATTCGTCTTCACCAACAATATTCCAATTTTGGACTTCCCAGCGCCAACCTTTGACAAGATCATTCCAATCGGCGGAATTTCTGTGGTCACTGATAAGAAGAAGAACGCGCTTCCAGAGGTAATCGAAGGAAAAAGGGCATCATTGCGAAATGTTAGATCGGAAATTGCAGAAATGGAATAAGGTGCTCAGTCTTCGCAAAAAGACAATTCTGATCTCATTCGGATCGAATGCCAAGTCGGTTCAGATGCCGGAGGAATTCAAGTGAGCATCCGAATTGCCGGAATCTATTATGACACTTCAATTTGTAGACAGTCATTCCTCAAAGTGTTCAACATGATGCCCGATGTGACATTCATCTGGAAGTACGAGGAGGAGAACTCGAAGATTGTCGACCATCTCGACAACGTCTTCCTCGGAACATGGCTTCCTCAGAATGAGCTGCTCGCCGACAAACGGCTCACGGTATTCTTGACCCACGGCGGTCTTGCGAGCACCACGGAGCTAGCAGTGCTGGGCAAGCCGTGCATCATGGTCCCATTGTTTGCGGATCAGGCAAGAAACGCCAAAATGCTCGAACGGCATGGTGGTGCGATTGTCCTTGACAAAACCGATCTATCGAATCCGGAGAAGATCAAGAAAACGTTCGAGGAGATTCTGAATAACGATTCATATCGGAAGCATGCCGAACGAGTCGCTGAAATGCTCAATAATCAGCCGGCGAATCCACGTGAGACCTTCGTCAAACACGTGGAATTCGCGGCAAGGTTCGTTCTTAAAATGGATTACTGTAGAATATGGATTACTGTAGATTCGGACGAATGCCTTCAATGGAGCCATATGCCCGCCATCAATCATTCATCGAACACTTCTTCTTAGATATTATTGCGATTGCTCTCCTCGTCGTGATTACTGTAACTACCGTATCCTTCTTGGTCCTTCGATGTCTTCTCAGGAGAATTTGTGGCAGTGCAAAAGTCAAATCAGAATAATTTATTGATTTATTTCTCATTGTGACATGTATGAAGATTTTATCTGATACAAACTACTTCTAGATTAGACGCCGACTATAGAAACAAAAGAAGCCAAATAAGAGATCATAAAGTTAAATTGGCAGTATATTATATATTATACTTATTACATTCGCAAAAAAAAACAAGCGCCCTGCGCCGATTTACGGTGAGATAGCAGGTTATTCAGAGTACGGTACCCAAATTCCCACTGCTTAAATTCGAATTTGAATTGCCGCTTCGAAAAAGTGCGATGGTCCACAATAATGCAAGGCCCTCGTTTTTTGCGATGGTAATAAATTGATGATGTCTGTTCTCATAATGATGCAATTTTGATGTTCACAATTCTCGTTTAGTAATCGCATTTCGCTCTCTCTGTCTCTCTCTCAAAATAATTGGCGCGGCGGCGACACAAAATCAAATCACAAAAAAATTTTCTGACTTTGCCCGACAATTAATGCATGTATTTTGTAGGGTTTGCCGTTATCAAATTACGCCGATTATCTATATAACCCCCAGCGGATGGTGTGGTTTTCAACTAAAATAAACATCCCGTTTTTACAAATGCGTCTGTTCGCCTTACTATTCTCCATATTCCTTAATCTAGATGCTTATAAAATCCTGGTGTATACCAGTTTATTCGGTCACAGCCATGTGAAAATGTTGGGAAGTGTCGCCGATATTCTGACAGACGCCGGACACAATGTGGTAGGGTTTACGCTAAAGCGAGGGCGATTTGCGGAGTGTCGTTGTTTAGACGGTTTTGATGCCGATCATCGATGTGAACGAGAGGAATCGAACCGGATTGAAGAGCACCAAAAATCTCATAATGGTGGAGCCTTGTGAAAATGGAATTGATGCCTTCGAGAACCTCAAACGAGATATGAGTCTCATGTGGAACGCCGAACAGGGAAATCCATTAAGTCTTGTGTCGAAGCTGCAACAAATGTCGGAGGTTTTCATGCATCCATGCGATAGTAAGTATAAATCTCATTCAAAATGAAACGGGCCATCAAAATAATTCAGATGTGATTGGTCAGAAGGATCTCATCGAGAGGATGAAGGCCGAGAAGTTTGATCTCGGAGTCGCTGAGCCATTTGATTTCTGTGGATACGGTAGGAAATTTGACTCTCTGAATCTTATCGATATCCCCGTTCAGCGTTCTTCGAAGCCATCCAGATCCGCGCGCATGTCTCTGTTGTGGCAGCGGCTCGTATGGACCACGTTTCGGAGGCAATGGGCCAGCCAATGGCTGCCAGCTATGTACCAGGTACCGAAAACCGTCTTCATATTACTGTAATAAGCATACACACTACAGGTGCTCAATCGGTGTATTCTGATCGCATGAATATGAAGGAGAGATTCTTGAATCTACTTCTGACCAAAGCTGGTGGACTTATGTTCTCCTATATTGCTGATTCCGAGTTTGACTTGCTGCAGAAGAAGTACCCCGATGTTATCAAGAGATCTTGGAGGGTAGATCAGATTCCGCCGACTAACATCATGGTGATTGCAGGAAATTTTCCCCGAAACCACCTACCTGTTTACCAACAGTATACCAATTATGGATTACCCCGCACCAACTTTTGACAAGATCATTCCGATCGGCGGAATTTCTGTGGTCACTGACAAAAAGAAGAACGCGCTTCCTGAGGTATTCTGAAGACGATTGAAAGAATTGAATGAAATATTAAAGAAATGGGACAAAGTGTTGAATATTCGCAAAAAGAATGTGCTCATTTCATTCGGCTCGAATGCAAAATCGATTGATATGCCCGAAGAGTACAGGAGATCTCTGCTGAAGATGTTCGCCATGACGCCCGATGTGACATTCATCTGGAAGTACGAAGAGGAGAACTCAAAGATTGTCGACCATCTCGACAACGTCTTCCTCGGAACATGGCTTCCTCAGAATGAGCTTCTCGCCGACAAACGGCTCACTGTATTCTTGACACACGGCGGTCTCGCGAGCACTTTTGAGATGGCTCTGCTCGGCAAGCCGTGCATCATGGTTCCGATCTTTGCCGATCAGGCCAGGAATGCTCAGATGCTTCAGAGGCAGGGTAGTGCATTGGTGTTGAATAAAGAGAATCTTGGCGATCCGAACAAGATCAAGGAAGCATTGGAGAAGATAATGAATGATGACACGTAGGGGGATCCACTTTGAGCAGATCAATTGCAAGCGGGGTTTCAGATTCGTGAAAAATGCGACTCGTTTGGCTGAAATGCTCAATAATCGACCTACAAATCCGCGTGAGACCTTCGTCAAACACGTGGAATTCGCGGCAAGGTTCGTTCTTAAAATGGATTACTGTAGAATATAAATTACTGTAGATTCGGGCGAATGCCTTCGATGGAGCCATATGCCCGCCATCAATCATTCATCGAACACTTCTTCTTGGATATTATTGCGATTGGCCTCCTCATCGTGATTACTGTAACTACCGTATCTTTCTTGGTCCTTCGATGTCTCCTCAGGAGAATTTGTGGCAGTGCAAAAGTCAAATCAGAATAATTCAACGATCTTTTAATAATTTTACGTGTATCTCATTGTGACGCATAAAAATCAAACGCTCGTCAAATAAAAACTATCTCACCTTTTTTTCAAAGATCAATGATTGTTGATTATTGACTTAAATTTCAGTCGGTTATAATAACGAAAAGCTTAGTTCAACAAACAACACTCAATCTGTAATTAGTAATAGATTGAAATTAAACTCTCTGTTTTCTGGAAACTGACCGGAAAAAACAATAACAGATTGTCCTTGTGGACTACACAGATATTCTTTTTCGTCCAGTTCGAAGCGAATGGACAATCAGAGTATAATATTTCATGACGACGCCCTGAACGAACAGTCAGCGGTTTCCGATTCTTTAATATCGTTTGCCGCTAGGATCTGTCAAACAATTATGGATTATTAAGAAATTTCTAGAAAGTTGAGAATCGATGATTATAAATCGAATGAAATTTTGAAAATAGTAACAATGATTGAGGCAATAACGAAAATACATAAATAGCTACTTCGTTTTCGGTTTGTTGACACGTTTCTTACCTAAAGTTGTCAATACAATGATACTTAAACTTGGGTAATTAAAAAATATTGAACGACGAACAACCATTAATAAAACGAACAACAATTACAACAAATTAAATAATTAAATTCATCACCGCTTCGGCGTACGACAAAATTACCAAAATGAATGAATGAAAGAGTGAGGATAAAAACAATTGGAAATACGTAGTTTGGTCTAAAATTCAAAATGCCTTTTGCGGGGATTAAATGGAAGAGATTGTGTAATTGCGGGCGCGGCCATGCAAACTCGGCCACCACGGTTTGCAATAACACGGCTAGGATTTTTCAACCCTTAACAAACTGAATTAATTGAATAATACCGAATAATGTAATCAGTGAGTTTCTGCGAAAAATCGAGTGAGTAATTTAGTTGTTTGAACAATCACTATGAAAAGGTCGCATTTTGTGTCTATAGTCACTCATACCATACTTCTCTCCACTCTCTCTCCTCCCCCTCAGCGCTTATCTTTCTCCTCGCAAATTTCATTTTTGACCACTATGCGCCTCATCGCGCTTTTATTTTCTTTGTTCCTGAACCTCAATGCTTATAAGATCCTAGTCTACTCAAATCTACTCGCTCATAGTCATGTGAAAATGTTGGGAAGTGTCGCCGATATTCTGACAGACGCCGGACACAATGTGGTAGGGTTTACACTAAAACGAGGGCGATTTGCGGAGTGTCGTTGTTTAGACGGTTTTGATGCCGATCATCGATGTGAACGAGAGGAATCGAACCGGATTGAAGAGCACCATGAATGTGGTGTATGTCGAGCCGACCGAAGCAATTTTGGAGATGCTCAATGAGTTGAGAAATGATAAAGGGTTCCTATGGAAAAACGAACAAGGCAATCCGTTGTCTCTTCTTTCAAGACTCCATGCAATGTCAGAGGCTTTCAAGCATCCGTGTGACAGTAAGACTAGTCTGAATTTCTCTAGAGAACGTGAATGTATATCTATAGATGTGATTGGTCAGAAGGATCTCATCGAGAGGATGAAGGCTGAGAAGTTTGATCTCGGAGTCGCTGAGCCATTTGATTTCTGTGGATACGGTAGGAAATTTGACTCTCTGAATCTTATAGATATCCCCGTTCAGCGTTCTTCGAAGCCATCCAGATCCGAGCGCACGTCTCTGTTGTGGCAGCGGCTCGTATGGACCACGTTTCGGAGGCAATGGGCCAGCCAATGGCTGCCAGCTATGTACCAGGTGTGTACTTTTCCGAATAGTGTCAATACAACCTGCAGGGCATTTCTAATAGGCACCCAATCGGTGTATTCCGATCGCATGAATATGAAGGAGAGATTCTTGAATCTTCTTCTGACCAAAGCTGGTGGAATTATGTTCTCCTATGTTGCCGATTCCGAGTTTGACTTGCTGCAGAAGAAGTACCCCGATGTTATCAAGAGATCTTGGAGGGTACGCTAATTTTTTTAAATATTTGATATTGTAGTCGTCAAACGACTGGAGATGGATGGTAACTTCCCTCCTTGTGCATCGATAACAGATCGATAGAAAAAAAATGATTGCAGGACATTCTTCCGGAAACGACCTACCTGTTTACCAACAACATTCCAATTTTAGACTTCCCAGCGCCAACATTCGATAAGATCATTCCGATCGGCGGAATTTCTGTGGTCACGGATAGGAAGAAGAATACGCTTCCTGAGGTATTCTGAAGACGATTGAAGGAAATGAATGAAATATTAAAGAAATGGGACAAAGTGTTGAATATTCGCAAAAAGAATGTGCTCATTTCATTCGGCTCGAATGCAAAATCGATTGATATGCCCGAAGAGTACAGGAGATCTCTGCTGAAGATGTTCGCCATGATGCCCGATGTGACATTCATCTGGAAGTACGAAGAGGAGAACTCGAAGATTGTCGACCATCTCGACAACGTCTTCCTCGGAACATGGCTTCCTCAGAATGAGCTGCTCGCCGACAAACGGCTCACTGTGTTCTTGACACACGGCGGTCTCGCGAGCACTTTTGAGTTGGCTCTGCTCGGCAAGCCGTGCATCATGGTTCCGATCTTTGCCGATCAGGCCAGGAATGCTCAGATGCTTCAGAGGCAGGGTAGTGCATTGGTGTTGAATAAAGAGAATCTTGGCGATCCGAACAAGATCAAGGAAGCATTGGAGAAGATAATGAATGATGACACGTAGGGGGATCCACTTTGAGCAGATCAATTGCAAGCGGGGTTTCAGATTCGTGAAAAATGCGACTCGTTTGGCTGAAATGCTCAATAATCGACCTACAAATCCGCGTGAGACCTTCGTCAAACACGTGGAATTCGCGGCAAGGTTCGTTCTTAAAATGGATTACTGTAGAATATAAATTACTGTAGATTCGGGCGAATGCCTTCGATGGAGCCATATGCCCGCCATCAATCATTCATCGAACACTTCTTCTTGGATATTATTGCGATAGGCCTCCTCGTCGTGATTACTGTAGCTACCGTATCCTTCTGGATCCTTCGATGTCTTCTCAGGAGAATTTTTGGCGGTGCAAAAGTCAAATCGGAATAATTCAGCGATCAATCTTAATGAATAATACGTGTTTTCTGATAATCCTCAATTTTTTGTGACCACTTCATCACAAGTAAGAAAATATCATCGAGGCAGCCTAAAGGGTCAATTTGATCAGAGGCATTTCACGTTGAATTGCATGCACATCGGCTACAAACTTCAAAAATGGTGACCATCGATTAGGGTCAAGGGTGCTTTCCTTATCAATTATAATTGATATATAAAAACTGAGCTCTGATAAGTGGTATCAGTGTGAACAATACTTTACTATTCACGTTTAACCATGCGCCTGTACGCCTTGCTATTCGCCATATTCCTCAGTCTAGATGCCTATAAAATTCTAGTGTATTCAAATTTATTCGGTCACAGCCATGTGAAAATGTTGGGAAGTGTCGCCGATATTCTGACAGACGCCGGACACAATGTGGTAGGGTTTACGCTAAAGCGAGGGCAATTCGCGGAGTGTCGTTGTTTAGACGGTTTTGATGCCGATCATCGATGTGAACGAGAGGAATCGAACCGGATTGAAGAGCACCAAGAATGTGAGATTCGAATTTGCCGCCACCTATTTTGCCCATTTCCATTTCAGCTCGTTATGGTCGAAGCAAACGAAAAGACGAGAACCAAATTCAGTGAAGTAAAAGATTTCATGTCAAACTTTTGGACGTTGGAACAATCGAATCCATTCTCGCTTCTCTTCAGAGCTGCCGACATGGCTGAGTTGTTCACATACCCATGCATAAGTATGTGCTAGGGACCATTTAAATATTTGATCCAAATCTCTCCAGACGTTCTTTCTCAGAAGGATTTGATCCAGAAGTTCAAAGATGAGAATTTCGATTTAGCATTGACAGAGCCTTTTGATCTCTGCGGATACGGTAGGAGTGTGGTCCTCTGGAATCCATTCAAGATTCTGTTTCCAGCCTTCTTCGATGCCATCCAAGTGCCTGCTCACGTCTCTGTCCTTGCTTCTAGTCGTTTGGATCATGTGTCAGAAGCTCTGGGCCAACCGACAGCCGCCAGCTATGTGCCAGGTAATAAAAATGGTCCAGTAGTGCTATAACCAGAATTCTGCTACTAGGAACGCAATCAGTTTATACTGATCGGATGAATATGAAAGAAAGATTTTTGAATCTTCTTCAAGTATTTGCTGGAAGCAATTTTTTTCTTACATTGCCGATTATGAATATCGAGAATTGCAGAAAATTGATCCAAAAACGAGATCCTGGAGAGTAGGTCGCTTGATAGTCTGGTAGATCAACCATCTAGTATTCAGGATATCATGCCAGAGAGCACATTCGTCTTCACCAACAATATTCCAATTTTGGACTTCCCAGCGCCAACCTTTGACAAGATCATTCCAATCGGCGGAATTTCTGTGGTCACTGATAAGAAGAAGAACGCGCTTCCAGAGGTAATCGAAGGAAAAAGGGCATCATTGCGAAATGTTAGATCGGAAATTGCAGAAATGGAATAAGGTGCTCAGTCTTCGCAAAAAGACAATTCTGATCTCATTCGGATCGAATGCCAAGTCGGTTCAGATGCCGGAGGAATACAAGTGAGCATCCGAATTGCCGGAATCTATTATGACACTTCAATTTGTAGACAGTCATTCCTCAAAGTGTTCAACATGATGCCCGATGTGACATTCATCTGGAAGTACGAGGAGGAGAACTCGAAGATTGTCGACCATCTCGACAACGTCTTCCTCGGAACATGGCTTCCTCAGAATGAGCTGCTCGCCGACAAACGGCTCACGGTATTCTTGACCCACGGCGGTCTTGCGAGCACCACGGAGCTAGCAGTGCTGGGCAAGCCGTGCATCATGGTCCCATTGTTTGCGGATCAGGCAAGAAACGCCAAAATGCTCGAACGGCATGGTGGTGCGATTGTCCTTGACAAAACCGATCTATCGAATCCGGAGAAGATCAAGAAAACGTTCGAGGAGATTCTGAATAACGATTCATATCGGAAGCATGCCGAACGAGTCGCTGAAATGCTCAATAATCAGCCGGCGAATCCACGTGAGACCTTCGTCAAACACGTGGAATTCGCGACAAGGTTCGTTCTTAAAATGGATTACTGTAGAATATGGATTACTGTAGATTCGGACGAATGCCTTCAATGGAGCCATATGCCCGCCATCAATCATTCATCGAACACTTCTTCTTAGATATTATTGCGATTGCTCTCCTCGTCGTGATTACTGTAACTACCGTATCCTTCATGGTCCTTCGATGTCTTCTCAGGAGAATTTGTGGCAGTGCAAAAGTCAAATCAGAATGATCTCACTTCTTTCTCACGTTTATTTGTTTATTGACTATTTGTTTTTCAATCTGTTTGTAAGACGAGAGGGCGATAAGAATAAAACATACGTGACAATTCCCAAAAAAAAATCAACTGTGATCACGCTCGTCGTCTGTCGTTTCTTCAGCGATGAGAACATTTTTCAACATGGATTTTTCGGGTTTCAATCATTCATTGAATTCACGATATTAATGATTTTAGCAATTTTCAAAAGAAACTTGAAGTGTCAAAAATTTGAAGAATTTTTGAAAATCGCCGGATTTTTAACTCGAAAATCTCAACTCTGGTTAATCTCTCTCAAAATCTCAACTCAAAATCTCAACTCAATACCAATCGGATCCGAATTATCTAAATAAAACTGATCTGAACAATTTCCAATCGGATCCGAGAAATTACCAATCATATCCGTAGATTTACCAATCAGATCGGGTTGATTCCGGAGCCGAATTTTGTCGGATCCGATTGGATTTGAGTTACCAGTGAATGCTTGCCACAATTTCTCGCATGCGCCTTTAATGTATCCTTTAATTTTTTAAAATGTTTAATACTCAATTAAACACGCAAATTGCCGTAAGACCCAATTGTGGCTCAGATCTTCTGTCGTTGGCAATATTAATTTCTTGCATTCTTTCAGCCCTCTACAGCACCTGTGGACCTCTTCTTCTTCTCCGTCCCCCAACTTCCTTCAGATTGCTTCTGAAATTTGAACGAGCATTATTCAAATGCACAATTCTACGAAGACGACGTGACTATTCCCATCGAACGTCTGCGTCTCTTGCACTACACACACACGACACATGTCTGTCTGATAACCCTCCGCTATATAACCTTGAGGAGAACCCCATGGCGAGCAATTCTCACCCAACACAGTTATGAGCGATCAAGGTAATCACACTTCCCGGCAAGTGTCCGCAGCACGACAATCATATTTCAAATCAGGCCCCAAATGTTGTTGTTGACTTCGCATGTGTCTGTTCTTTTCGATCTACCCGATTGTCGCCACCCAAAGCAACCTCTTTCCACTCGCTTCCCATTTTTTCTTGCATTCCGCTTTTTTCCATTTCTCTAATTGCCCAATTATAGAGAGTCCCGATACGATGAGCAAACTGTTTCGCCAATTCAATTCGCCAATATTCCGGCAATTGTACGAGCTGCAATCGAGCACCTACACCTACATTCTCGGCTGTCAGAAGACCGGCAAAGCGGTGATCATCGATCCGGTGATCGAGACGGCGCCGCGCGACGCTCGCATTATCAAGGAGCTCGATCTCGATCTGATCTACGGCCTCAACACCCACGTGCACGCCGATCACGTCACCGGCACCAGCGCGTTGAAGCGCGCGTTCCCCGAAATGCGCTCGGTGTTGGCGAGCACGTCGGGCGGCAAAGCCGACAAGTTCGTCAACGACGGGGACCTCATCGAGTTCGGCGAGATGAAGCTCGAGGTGCGCGCGACGCCCGGTCACACCAACGGTAAGCAATTACTCTAGCAATCGTTGGTGAGGTGTGCGCGCTCTTTCAGGCTGCCTCACGTTCGTCTCTCATGATTTGAAGCACGCCTACACCGGCGACGCCCTTCTGATCCGCGCGTGTGGTCGAACCGACTTCCAAAATGGTACAGTAATCCAAAGGACCTACAGTAACCGGCCTAATTATGTTTCAGGTGATGCTCACAAACTCTACAATTCGATCAAGAGCAAAATATTCACACTGCCAGATGATTATGAAATTTACGTTGGACACAATTATGAGGGAGTCACCAAATCAACGGTAGACAGGAATTCTAGATCGAATGAGCTTTGGGGTTTTAGGTGCTTGAAGAGAAGAAGCTCAATCCGAGACTTACAAAAAGCGAGCCGGAGTTTGTCGAGCTCATGAAGAACTTGAATCTCGCCTATCCGAAACAAATCGGTAGCCGGCGAATGGCACCAACTTTTTCTTTTCATAAAATCAAATTTCAGATCGCGCGGTTCCGGCGAATCTCATCGACGGCGAAACGAAAGGCTAAAAATAACAATGATTTATTCATGTGAAATTTCATAAATCATTTAATCATTCTTCTTCTCTTCTTGTTCTTCTTCCAACTCGGCGGCGACTTCTGGCGCCGGACCAACCGGTGTCTCATCATAGTCAAGATCCGGACGACCTTCATGCTTCTTCTCAATTGGCTGAATTAAAAATGAAACTTATTAGGCTTGAATTGAATAGCTCACCCGCTCTTCCATTGGGACGCTGTCCTCGTCGAATTTGCTGTAGTCGACCTCAACCTCAGGAACTTGATCGTCGTTGTCGCTCATGTCGAAAAGCCAAACGAGAAGCACGAATGAGTAAACTAATGCGGAGCTCCGGCTTCGGCGCCGCCCGTTTTGTCATAGAAACCGCACCAAAACAATGGCGGGTTGTCATGGGAAACAACGCGTGATTTGAATCACACAAACAAAATGAGAATAAGCGCAAATTCTTATTTTTTTTCTTTTTGAGACAGGAACAAAAATGTGTGAAAGGAAGCGAAATAACCCGAAAATACAATAAAAATACAACAAATTGCCAAGAAAAAAACAGAAAATGTCCTATATCGATTCAAACAGTATAGCATATTTAGTATTCTCTCCGTCAATAATGGCCCGCCCACAAATCGCCATATTTGAAATCGGCGAATGGGCGATCACCATAGCCTTCGGGAATCAGTTTTCTTGTGTTGATGCGTTGAAAGAACTCGAGCCGATGAAAGTCGGGCACCTGCAACGAAATCAATTTGATTCCAATTTTTCACACCAATCGATTTACCGTATGAGTTCCATCGGTGACCGGGTACAAAGCCGAATAAACGCGCTCATTCTCGGCGCCATGAATATGGTAAGCGTTGAATTTCGAGACTCCTGCAAAATGTGAAATTAAGGGCTTTCATCTTTCTTTTGACAGAATCTCTTACTTGCTGGAAAATAGGCCAATGGGATCTCAATCTCTCCAATCCAGCGATCACCGCACCATTTGTTATGAACCTCCAGCTCAAGATCTTCGCCTGAAAATGCGATATTCGAGAATTTCTAAAAACTATTACTTCAATGATCTTGAAATTTCAAATTTCTTTTGCAAATTAAATATTACCATTATTGATTTGATGCCGAACACCATCGAACAACAAGCACAGCCAATGCCCATGTGGTCCCACTTCGACCTCAAGATACTGCCCCCGCTCGTTGGCAAAGAAAAATTCCATCACCTCATAATCCCAAAGCTGAAAGCAATTAATCAAATTGCAATTTCTGATGAAATCGTACCCCTGGCGTAATTCCTGGTGGATCCATTGGCTCGGGATCGTCAAAGAACGGGGCATCGAATGTGATTTTAACGACTCGCTTATGCGGCCGCCCGTTCTGACGTTCGAATTTCCATTTGAGTTCCAGCTGAAAATAAAAAAAAACACAAATTTTGATGAATCATTCTTTCGTTAAATTACCCTAATTGGATCATGAGTCAACGGAAATCCATCCCATGTGTGATCAATCGTGTACTTGAGCCCAGCGGCCAAATTCAAAGCCTCGGCTTTCTCGATTTCCTCTTGGTCAGTCACAACAGTGGCGAACATTCTGCAAAATTTGCAAATAATTTTCGGAAAGCGAAATGAGGAGAAGGAAGTTGCGGGAAGAATCCAGTTTTATAGAGTGAGATAACGATAAAATTTTTGCGAAATTATATTTAAATAATCATAAAAAGAATGTTGAAAAAATATAATTTTCGATTTATACATAATATTTCGTGTTTCTCAACTGGAGACACATTCGATTAAACATAAAAATCAAAAAATAATCGAAAAAACGCAAAAAAAATCAAGACATTCCCGGAAAACCGTACGAAATAGGCCAATGTTCGACCAATTTGCAAAACGGCGTGAAAATAAAAGTGTGCATCATTTCGTACCGGTGTTTACACAAAATGCGTCAAACTTTACGACGCGTTTCGTCTTTTTTTACTCCCCCTTTTTTGTGCGTAGAAAAAGAAAAACAGCAATTCGGTGTTCGAGGCGCTATAAAACTTGCAAGAAAAGTGACGCAATGGAACAAACCTCGCAAAAAAATTCAATATTACAACATATTTCATCATTCACCCTTGTGAGAGTGGAAAAACGGTCAAATTATGCACCCGTCATGTTTGCCTTTGTGAAGCATCAGCTGACCATTTCTCAGGAGTCTCTCAACACGGCACACTCTCTCGCAAGTTTGCTTATCGCGCATTGTTTCCTTTCAATTTGTATTTTAGCAGCAAAATTCGGCGGCGGCGGCGGCGTCGCCACATAATCGTCCAAAAACTTTCATTCATTCTTCTCGACACAAATTTTACAAAACAAAAACAGCGTTGAATATATGTATAACATAATCATGTTGATCGGTTGAAAGATAATTCGGGGATCGGAAACAACAGAAATCATAGAGGAAGAGAGAGAGTGGGACAAATATGTTAAAACAGATCATTCGCGCGTGTGTACAACACCCGATCAAACAAAAATTTGAGTATTATATGAAAATTGCCAATTACAGAAGTTAAACAATGACATGGAGGTTAGATCAAAACCAATAATTGATGCTGATCGGTTTTGACAACAAAAAAAGGACCATTTAAATATACGATAGTAATCCTTGAATCTTCTCCAAAAACGAGTCCATTTTCGCGCGGAATGCAATCCTGCAAAAATATTTCCGCTAATTTATTGATAACAATCATCTATAACAGAACGATTCTCCGGATAAAATTCGGGAAATCTGTTCTATTTAAAGAAACACATTTAAAATGATAACAAGAATTGAAATTCTAGGCATTTTCGTTGCTTAAAGTTTTTCACAAATATGCCTTTTAACATATAAAGTATTCATTACTTGTTTTTTTTTCAGATTTAGCTCTGACCCCCCCCCCGCCTAACAACATCTCTGATCCACAAACCTTCCTCGACGATTCGCCGTCACCATCGGAGCATCTAAAAGCTGAGTGAAAGCTTCTTCAAGAACGTGCCGAGCGGCTTCGTTGCTCTTCTTGCTCAGCAAATCGCTAACATATTCCTCAAAGAATCTCTGGAAACAAGAAGTTCAAAATGAAAAATGAAAAATTTGTTACTAACTTTTTCAAACGCGATCAACGAGTAGACCGCCGAACACGATTCCGCATAGAGCGAAGTGTCGCAGGTATTCGCCAAGCAGGTTTCAAAAACTGCCTGAAATTTGCAAATTATTATTTTTTCTAAATTGAATGCATTTGTTGAAAGAAAAACCGGAATCATCTCTTTAAACTGCTGCGCCAATTGCTGTGTGCATTTCTGCTTGTGGTCGGCAGCCGCGAAATGGAGCACGACCTCAGTGAGCGATTCCAATGACGTCGAGATGATCTCTGTGCCAAACTGTCCCGACATTCCAAGCTAAAAAAAATGTACGTGGGGGGAGTGGCAATGTGAAACTCTCAACAATCTCACCTTCATACACTGACAAAGCGACGAGATCAATCCATCCGACATTTCAACGATCGCTTCCGGCGAGAATTCAACAAGATACAAAATTAGGCGGAAGAATTTCAGCGCGACTTCGGGCATCAGCAAAATCGTCTCGTTCATAATTGTCAACAGCATTTCCAGAGAAGTGATGACCACTTTGGCGCCCGTCGAAACATTCTCCTCGCCCAGAGTGAGAAAGTCCTTTGAAAGGACATTCGAGAGGATATCCAAGAACAGAACAAGATCCGATCCCTTGTCTTCATCATCCGCCGTCATTCCAGTGAATCGCTTCATCTGATCGGTTCGATAGCAATCAACAATCTGGAGCAACGTCGCATAAAGCATATTCGACTCCTCGTCATACTATAAATAGCAAACATTTGAAAACGTTATTGATAAATCCATACCTCGCTGTCCAAATAAATTGAAACCTTCGTGGTTGTGTCAAGAAGAAGTTGAAGAATCGTCGAGACCACGGTTTCATTATGTGATCGGGTTCGCATTAAAGCTACACATTGATTTATGACAGAAAACAAAAATTCTGAAAGTTTCCGATAAAACACGAGTAAACCGGGTCATCAACATACTGAATAAGACACCAGCCGAGTGAGCCTGACTCGCTTTCGCGACACCATCAAAACACTGAAGCAGATCGACAATCTGCGAATCCGTTTCCGTCGACGATTCGAGCTTCGTCAGCTCTGTAAAGCTTTCAGCAAGAGGCACAAGAATCTAAAAAAGAAAAATTGAGTTGCGTCAAGAGATTGATTAACACGACACCAACCCTTTTGAACATATTCTCTTGCAATTCGGAATTATTCGACGCCGCACCAATCTGCACCAACACTTTCATGAGATCGGCGCGATTCGGCAACTTCGCAATATCCAAATTGTTCAAATACTCGTACAATTCCGGTGAAGCGGCAATGAGAGGCGCCCTCGATTCAACAAGCCCGGAAAGGCATTCAATCGCATCTTGGCACAATCTGCAAAATGCTTTATAAGGCAATGATTGGCTTCTATGAAGCATTACCTCTCTTCGCTTCCATAATTCACAAGAATCGCGAGAACCTTCTTGATGACAAATCGCACCAATACCCTCGAGAACGCGTCATCATTCGGCAGCATGGGCAGCGCTTCGGACGACATGCCCTGATAATTGTTCCATTTCTACAAATCGCCCAAGTTCACGAACACAATGGGTGCAATTTTGATGGTTAGCGGATGGAGGGTGGGAGGCGAGCACAGCACACAACAATCATCGCTTACCTCATATTCGGACACGGAGCTCGCCGCATTCAAGAATCGCTTCAGCGCGTAGAACGTCGATCGACACAATTCGGGACTGACGCATTCCACTTGTCCGCTGGCGAACAGCTCGTGCTCAACCGCTGACCACGCAAATAGTTCGCCCATGAGTCGGACAAACGGATCGACCTCGTTTTCGAACACCGCTCGATTCTGCGACGTCGGCGCTTCAATACACATTTGAAGGTACTGAATCTTTTTCTGCGGGCTACAAGAAAATACAAGAAACCCATAAAAGCACTAGAGAATGATCAAATCCCACCAATACTGCACACCAGTTTGGAAAATGTGATATGTATTGTCATAGACTTCTCCATCAATATGACAAGCTCCATCAACCTCCTCGCCGACGACAGAAGTGGCAATTATGAGCATGAGCCAGTGTTGGTCCTCTTTCCACGCGGCTATTCTCGAAACATCTCCGTTACCAGTGGCAATCATTGTCATTTCGGACAGCGATTTTCGCAAGTTCCTTTAAAACAAATGCGATATTACTAAATTGAATCGACAAAAATCAACTCACGCTGTCATATTCGTCAAAAACTCGTTGACACTATAGCAAATCATTGAGCCCAACGGGTTGAGGAGATCGCTGAAAAGAACGCGATCGTCGGCATCATCTCCATCATCATCTTCCTCTTTCGCAAGCGGCCGACAACCTTGCGGCGGTGCGAGAACACACTGAATGAACTGATTGACGATAAGAAGCACCGGCCATTTGATGAGCTCATTCTCAATTCGATCCGCTTCATCAGCATCCTCAAAACTCGTCCTCCATCGTCCCCGAATCAATACCGTAATCGCATCATAAATAAGTGCCAATGAAGCATGATCATCATGTTCAGCGTCACCCTAAATGCACAGCTTTTTGAAAATTGCTCAAAATGCTGCTCACAATTGCTTTTTTCATAGCCTGCGTCGTCAAATGAATCGTATATTCCTTCAAAAATATAAAGAATCTCGCGCGAAGCTCATTCTCCTGCTTCATGATCGAGGTGAGCGGACGATAGAGGAACAAACGATTGATGATGGTGCAGAACAAATTGATCTCATACGGCAATGGTCCTTGCGCGAACAGTTCAAGCAGATTGGTGAGGTACAATCCAACGTATCTCACACTTTTCTCAGTCTCATTTACCTTTAAAAACATTGCGGGTTAACAAAAAAATTTTCTTTTTGAGAAAAATGTAAACGCACCGGCATACAATCGCCGGTGAGTGACGCCAGCTGAATCAAACAGTTCATGCTTTTTGTGCACAACTCCTCATCCTGTCGAATTTTGGCGTGCAGCTGTAAAAAAATTGTTGGAGTTTTGAGCACAAAATTCTTAAAACTTACTTTAAAGAACAAAATGTAGAACTCATTATTCTCTAGGAGATCTTTCCAAGACGACGGCGGTCGAAATGAGTTGGACGACTGCAAACAAAAAATAATCATAATTTTATTCGCGAATTAAAAAAAAATCGAGAGCTGTAATTTTTTAAAGGCGCATATCGTAAGGTGATTATTTAATTGAGATTTCTTCTTTCAATTCCAACAATTCAAAAATCACTATCCTTTAAAAGCGCATCGCCTCAAACATCAAAATCGTCGTTGTAAAACCTCAATGCACTTTTTTTTTCGAATCCCAACGAAAAAGTTAATCACCAAATTGTACAAAAAACCCCCCAATATGGTCATTAACCTCTAAACCCTCAAAAATCACACACATACACACATTCGAAATCCGCTTTTAATCGGCCTCGAATTCGACACCTCCATTTTGCGTTTTTCATCGAAACATCGCATTTTTTTGTGTCGCGATGCGCCTACATCTACTCATTGTGCTCGCCGTCATCAATTTCGTCAACGCACAATATCCAGTAACATACGGATGCGTCGCCCAGATCGTCGCCTACATGCCAATGCAAAAACTCGTCAATGTAAGCGGGGACCATAAATGCGCCGAGCATTCTCATACAAGATTGTAGTTCGTCAACAATTTGAACAAGGACGACACGCCAGCAAAGAAGAAGACCCGAGCGACCAACTTCATTCCAAAGAATATAGTCTCAACACTATCCAATTTCAAATGAGACACATTCCGTTTAGGGTAACCATCAATTCTCGCAGCTCGACGTTTTCAGCGACTCTTCGAAAGCGGTCGAAGCCGTTCACGGCCTCATCGATCATCGTGTCGCCGTCGGCAAATTCTGGAATGACCTCCAACCGAGACTGGTGAAAGTTTTTAATCAAGCCACTGCCAAAAAAGTAAAAAAAAACTCGATATTTCGAGGGAAAAGCTGACCGCTAAATTTCAGTACAAGGCAATGTGGGCGAAAACCGACAAGGTCTACGACAACGCCTTCTTCGACGCTCTCAACCAATGGTACGCCTTCTGCCACTACCATGTAAGCATCAAAAACCCATCAACTAATGTGTGTGGTTCTATTTAAGGCTCCCGCCGCGAAACGCACGCCGCTCTACAACGCAATTCAAGCCGTCACCAAAAAATACGTCAACGACACCAAGCTCAATTTCGAGGTTTGCTTTTCAATTAAAAAAACGGATCATGATTTTTTGCAGGTTCCCGGTTCCGCATTTGATACCCGCTTCTTCTTGATGCTTTTGTTCGGAATGTGGTAGATGTTTTGTTTCTATTTGCCAATAAATTTGCATTAATTCCTCCGATTTCAATGAATTTTATATTGATTGCATTGTGTTGAAGAAAAATAACCGGTTAGGTCTCGTTAAAAGCGCATGGCACTGTGGTAAAAAATTTTGAATTGCGCGGGACGTCAATAAATTGGATTCCTCTTAATAAAATGGTCCCATACTCCATCATTTGGCACTTTTTTAATAATCCAAATATTTAGAAACCTTTCACATCATGAAAGTTTGAAAATTCAAAAAGCTATTCATTCGAGACCCACGGTGGCATTTCAAATTTTAAATCAATCGCTCCGCAAAATTCATATGTCCACAAAAAATTGAAGGATTTTTCTGCAGGCGAGATATATTCATAAATCGATTATTTCTAAAATTCCACAATAAATAATATCTTGAGACGATTTTGATTTACACAATGAAACGAATAAATATTTTGTAATGCGCCTTTAAAAAGAAGTGGTGTTTTGTGAAGAATACAAACCACAGACAACAATGATCGGAATCTATAGAGAGTCATATAAAATACCTGATTATTGGCCGTGAATCGGCGGAAGAATCGACTCGAAAAGTTCCACGAGAAAATATTCTCCGCAACTTCCAAGAATCGATCGCACAATCGCCGCGTGAAATCGTTTCCCAATATATTCTCCTGATTGCTCAACGCGTGAAGCGTCGTCAGCGACATCTCCAACAAACGACGCAATCCATTATTCTAGAAAAATATTTGCCGATTTAAAGGCGCATTTCACAATGTGAAAACCTCAAAATTGGTTTTCGCTTGCAAATGGAAATCCCATGTGATCGAATATTTCGAATTTCGCCAACACGATGAGAATTGTTCGATTAAAGCGCTTATAAATAAACATCCGGCGGCTTGCTGAAAGAAATTTCCAGAAAATTTCATTAGAATGATCATTTTTTGTCGAAATTACCAAGCTCGACGACTCATTTGTCAATAATTGATGAATAAACTGAAAAAGCTCTTCCTGATCGCCCGATTTTCCATCAAGAATGCCTCGTTTGATAATCATGGCGGCCGATTTGAGAAACGCGCCAACAACAAATGGCTCAATTCTACAGAAAATAAATGAATCGCATTTATATTGGAATATTTGTACCCAGGTCTCGTCGCAACAAATTCCAAAAGTTTTTTATAGGCGGTTTGGACATCTTCACCATTCACCAACGACCAATCGCGAAGCAAAATATCGCCAATCGTTTGTCCAATTTGAAAAAGGACGAAAGAGTTAGACGATTGTTCTAAAAAAAATTCATTTTTGAAAGAAAAATTGCCAAATCGAAAATTTTCTTCAAAATCCTTTACTTACGTAATAGCATAATACAATCATTAATCGTGACATTTCGCTTAAATTCTTCAAAATACAAATCCGCCTGTTTTCGATCCTCAGCAGACACCAAATTTGGAGGCGCCTAAATTTTCGAAACTGACTTATCCATACCACGCGAAACAATTATACCAATAACGTCTCCGCTGCTCTTTCTAATGTTGTTAGATCCATAGGAATTCTCAAAAAAAGAACAAAGTGGGTTGAAAATCGCACAAACAATCACAACATCGAGATGAGGAATACAAAATAGGACAATGATAACCAATTCGCCGCACGCAATTTCAAAAAAAAAACATCTCAAAAACCCAACTACGCGTTTTCGAAGCGTACACAAATACTTTATTTCGTCACTATTTTACTCCAATGTATCACTAATAACAACAGGTTTGGGGATTGAGTGCCAGGGCACTTTTAAAAACACCAAAAAAAAATGAAAAAAAAAAATAATATTTCAAAAGGAAGTAAACTATCGGAAAAGAATTGAACCATCGGCGTAAAACGGATGAATTGACGATTTCGAAGGTTTTGTTGGTTTCTCTAGACGCAAGCGGCTCCGGAAATGATTTCGATAAGCTCGCGGGTAATTACAGCTTGACGAGTTCTATTGAATGCCAAGGTGAGTTTGTCGATCATTTCTCCTGAAAATTTCATACCAAATTTTAATGACAAAACAAAAAAAATCGATTTTCATACCGGCGTTCTTCGAGGCTCCGTCCATAGCAGTCATTCTCGAGCTCTGCTCGGATGTCGCCGACTCCTTCATGGCGTAATAGATCAATTGAGCGAGCGAATATTCGGTGTAGGATTGCAAAACGTCGTCATCGACGGAATCGTAAGTGTTGAGGGCTTCCTTTGCCTTGATGGCCTAAAACTTATACAAATAATTCGAATATGAGAGAAAAATTGTCGCAAACCTCAAGAGGAAGGATTGGGATCTTGGAGGTTTCGTACGAAACAACAGACTTGAAACGATTGTAGAGGATGGTTCCCTAGAATTAAATGATTTATGGAAACTAAACTAATTAAGTAAGTAACCTCTTCAAAATCGAATCCTGAGTCAAGAATCGCCTTGGCGGCGATAGAAGCATCGGCGAAGGTAGGTGGTTGACGTCCGATATCGTTTCCGGAGAGCAACATCTTGTCGGCTAAATTATTTTTACATGTTCATAAATTATCATTTTGTTTACCATAAAGGCGCTGGAGTCCAGCCCTAGCCTTATCTCCGATAGCGACAATGCGGATATCTTTATCTCCGCTGTTGTTCAGGATGAGCTTCGCCTCCTAGATAGTTACCAATTGCGCAATTATTTAACTATTGTAATTATCAACCTTGACAATTGAGGAATGAACAGCTCCACAAAGGCCTCTGTCAGAGGTGATGAGAACGATGACTTGCTTCTTAGCTTCTTCCTTCTTTTCTCCCTCAATTTTTGGATCAATGTTGTCGAAGAAGGCCTTGGCTCCAACACCATAAGCGCGGGCTCCCTTTAAATTTAATTCGAATGTAAAACAATTTACGATATCTTAATTCAACCTTCAATTCACGCTCAGCCTTAGCGTACTTGGCAGCGGCAACCATTTTCATGGATTTGGTAATCTTTTGAATATTCTTAACCGATTTGAGACGGATGGAGATATCCTGAATACATAATTCGTTAATTTGAAGCAATTTTGAGATATAAACCTTCAAAGTAGCAAATCCACGCTGCTGCTCACCATTAAGAAGATTCGCAGCAACAAGTTGCAAAGTACCCGAGCCCTGACGAAGCATGATGACCCTTAAAAAATATTTTTAATGCAATTTTACATTTTCACATAATCGAAAATAAAAAGCGTTTCTGAGTTGTTTGGTGAAAGATAAATCGACCAACAAAAATTTTAATTATTAAAAACAACGTGCTCTCACATGATAAACTATTTAAAAATAGTTAAAATCCCTGAAAATCGCTGAAAACCCGTAAAAACCGTTCGAAAACGGTTAAAGGACTACCGCCCGGAGAAAGAAATGACACAGCCGACCTTGTGTTACCGTATTCGCGCGTCTCTTCACATCGAGAATTTGTGCAGGGCAACTAGCCAACCGATTAAATTTACACAAATTTTTTCGTGTTTTATTTTCTGCAGCGTTTCTTCGCTTCTTTTCCAATTTTCTTGTTTATAATTTTAAGATGACCGACGTTGATAATGACAATCAATCCGATGAGGATATCGAGAGCATGACATCTCGCGAAACATCGCTTGAAGCGGCCGCAAAAGCGAGAAAACGACGATTAATGGAAATGAAGTCGAGAATTCATGGAGTTCCCATGGAGTAAAAATTTGAAACTATCGTTTTGATATTTAAATTGTATTTTTCTCAGGGAAGAAGATTATGAAAAAGAAGAACAGGAAACTAAGAAAACAAAAGAGCAAAAGAAGGAATTCAGGTTTTTTTTTATCTCGGTGGCAACCAAAACATTATTAAATTGCAGAAATCACAAGCCAGATGAAGCTATCGGCTCACATGTAAGCGGAATTGAAATGGACGCCGTTGAACGTGAAATCGCCGACCACTTGAAAGACGTGCTTCACGAGAAGCCGATTGAAAGCATTGATTTGGCAATGTTGGCACCAAGAAAAATCGATTGGGATTTGAAACGCGACATCGAAGGCAAAATGGCAAGATTGGAAAGGAAAACGCAGAAAGCGATCGCCGAAATCATTCGGCATCGTTTGGCTCAAGGAAAAGGCGATCTAGCCTCGACGGTCAACGCAGCTTCCATGTAAAAACCATTCAAAACGCATTATTTATTATGATTATTTAAATCAAAAATTAATTGCACAATCCTGAAATGAACACGTATTCGAATCATCATTATTATTAGAATTTCTGAGCGGCAGCCAATAGGATACCATTCCTCGAAATTATCAAATCGGCCTCGTCCTCAATGTCCTCGCGCGAAAGTTCATGAAATGGGATTTTTCGTTTACGACTTGATCGAGATGATCGACTCGGGTTGAATCTCGGCGTCGGTGGGGTTTTCACAATCACCGGGGTGTCATCCTTATTCCAATCTTGATTAAAATATTTTTAATAGGGCTTACCGGCACAAAAGCCATGGCAACGTATCGATTATTCGTGCCCAGGTATACTTTACAGGAATAATGGCTCGAAAAGCTTGATCCGAAATCCGATCCAGACACTATGACTTCCATTTTTCGATTGAAGCTGAAATTGAAATCGCTTGAATGGAAAGATTACTGTAGAGCCTACAAATTCCTAGTGTCCATTTTCAAAATGTGACTAATAGTGGTCATTGTAGATTTTGAATTTTTGCGAATCAGTTTATTGAAAGATTTGATCATGAGATTCTCTAATCCTGAATCGCAGCATTTAAAGCCTGAAATCGGTTGGAGGGTTTGAATCGTTGAGAAAATGTGTTACCATAGCGATTAACATAGCATTCAGGTTGCTCTTGAACAATTTCAAAACTTTGAAATTTTTTCGGTCTAAATGGAATGGCCGGAATCTGGCGATTAATATTGCCGCGAAACACATTGGTCCTTAGGCGAGGTGGCGCCGTCGGCGGGAAAATTTCGGGTTCAAAATTCGGGTGGCCCATTGGCATTGGTGTCGGTATGGCGATTCTAAAGTGGTGTTGAAGATACGCCATGGCGAAAACAAAAATTAAAAAACCTCGCTATCGGCGCAAATCTCGACTGCTTGTACAGTAATCCATGATCCACAACATATTTGAGCGGATTCTTCTCGTCCTCGACAAATTTCAGTTGGTCTTTTTCGATTTGCTCGGCGAGCTCGTTCTCAAACCTCTCCATTTCTTTCGTTTTCGGCGACTCGTCAACTTGCTGCTTCAAAGGAACCAATTTTTTTCAATTTGTTCCAGATAGTCTTACTTTGGTGTGAAATCGAAAATCGAATTTCGGCTTTTTGTCGAAGTTCGCAAAATTCCTCACACCGTGCATTCGTCGACGTTTCGATTTTTTGAGTTTCGCGCCGTTTTCCAATCGCTCTAATATTGATCTTGTGCTCTTTTTGATCTAAACCGATTACAAAATTGTTTCAGTTTAATTTTAAAGGCGCATACCGTAATTCTAGGCTCAAGTACGTGAAGCTTCGCGGCAGTCGTTTGCAATTTTTTGAGTCTCGAAAGCCCAGATTTGGCTGAAACAAAAAAATCTCAAAAGTCTGCAGAAGAATATTGATAAGACGAAACCAACCTGGCGTGCCGTACTCGTGCACCATCACACCCTGCACCATGGCGACAAAGGTGAAGGCGAGCCAAACGTCTCGCATGACGGTAGTCGCAGTCATCCTGAAAACCGTTTATCCTGTCGGATAATTGTCGTCGAAATAATTGGATCGAATGAAGACCGGGAGGGGGTCGAATGGTTGAAGGAAAGGTGCATTAGTCAATAGTTTCGTACTTTCGACATATTGTGACGGGTTAATTGTGTTTAAAGGCGCATCCTCCCTTTAAGAGGCAATATTCTTTATTGAAAAAGAAGTGGAATCGACTGGGAACAAGCAACAAATGCGAATAAGTTTCTGTAGAATGCCGCAAATTGGCAAGAATTATTGAGAGAAATATGCAAATATATCATAATTTTTGCGGAACCGGATGCTTATCGTCGGCCAATTATTCAAAAATCTCGAAATTTATTGAGGAGGCAAAAATTTTTGGAGATTTGCGAACGATATGAGGCCGCTTGTTCATTATTAATCGGCGCACGAGAATTACCATTTTATCGGAAAAGATTTGTTCGACGGTGAGAGAATTGCGCCGCTCTCCTCATCATTAACCTCCCTCTCATCTCAAAATGGAGTTAGTTGACTGTTTTATGAGGCATTTCTCACCTATTAATAATTTTTTTTGCAAGTGAAATTGCTTGAAAGTGTTGAATTCAAATTTGGACGCGAATTGGACAAATGCGCCGCAAAATGGCACTAACGAGATGAAATAGGCTACACTTTCGCGCGACCGTTTACGGGGGCGAAGGCCTCATCTCATTCATTCAAATAAATACATAATAATAATAATATTATAAGTGCAGCGCCTCCGGCTAGCGGGCTGGACACATCCTTGAAAAAACGCTCGATGACATTTTAATTGCTAGCCGCTGCCGAAACCTTTCTCACTTCCCGACCTGGTTGAAGTGTGGTCAGCGGTTGATCCTAAATATCTACAAGCCAACTTATCGGGACGAATAACTGTTTAGCTCAAAATTTGGTTCCACACGACAAGTGTTTTTTGATGTTTCCATTTTATTGCAATTTGGAGTGAAAGGTCGCTCGGTCGGTAGCAATTACTTCTTGTCTACTACCAATTATTTTATGAATACACTCTTAATCGGCCTCAATTTCCTCAATGTTCGAAAGAAATTTTCTGCTTAAGAAAAATGGTCTGCTTAGATTGGTCTTCGTAAAAATCGTCTTATTAGGAAAAGTGGTCTGCTTAAGAAAAATGGTCTGCTTAATAGGAGTCTATTTAAGATATGTGGTCTGCTTGAGAATGGTCTGCTTAAGAAAAACGGTCTGCTTATTAGGAGGTCTCTTTAAGATATGTGGTCTGCATAAGAGAAACGGTCTGCTTATTAGGTGGTCTACTTAAGATATGTGGTCTGCTTAAGAGAAACGGTCTGCTTAATAGGAGTCTATTTAAGATATGTGGTCTGCTTGAGAATGGTCTGCTTAAGAAAAACGGTCTGCTTATTAGGTGGTCTACTTAAGATATGTGGTCTGCATAAGAGAAACGGTCTGCTTATTAGGGGGTCTATTTAAGATATGTGGTCTGCTTGAGAATGGTCTGCTTAAGAAAAACGGTCTGCTTATTAGGAGGTCTCTTAAAGATATGTGGTCAATAATAGGGTGTCTATTTAAGGTATGTGGTCTGCATAAGAAAAACGGTCTGCTTATTAGGTGGTCTCTTTAAGATATGTGGTCTGCATAAGAGAAACGGTCTGCTTATTAGGGGGTCTATTTAAGATATGTGGTCTGCTTGAGAATGGTCTGCTTAAGAAAAACGGTCTGCTTATTAGGAGGTCTCTTTAAGATATGTGGTCTGCATAAGAGAAACGGTCTGCTTATTAGGGGGTCTCTTTAAGATATGTGGTCTGCTTGAGAATGGTCTGCTTAAGAAAAACGGTCTGCTTATTAGGAGGTCTCTTTAAGATATGTGGTCTGCATAAGAGAAACGGTCTGCTTATTAGGGGGTCTCTTTAAGATATGTGGTCTGCTTGAGAATGGTCTGCTTAAGAAAAACGGTCTGCTTAATAGGGGGTCTATTTAAGATATTTGGTCTGCTTAAGAATGTCTGCCTAAAATGGTCTGTATTGTGGTCTTCTTAATATTGGTATGGTTAGAACTGTTTAAGAAAAATCTCATCTTTAAAAGATATTGGCTATGAGCCATAGCGTAAAGCAAAAAGTGTTTGCGTATTTTGTTAAATGCGCGTAAGCAAAAAAAAAACATCTTTTAAAGTTTCCATCAGAGGTTTTAAAACGACAATATTTATTTTCAAATTTAGACGAAATCAGTGGCATCACGGAATTGGTAAATCTGATATTGTGTCTGAAAGAGAAAAATCGAAATCTGAATTGTACAAGAATGGACCTTGGTCTCTTCGGTAGCCTCAATCGGCGCCTCATATCCGGGATGTTTGGGTCGCTCATTCTCCGGCGGTGGTTTCCATTCGACGCCGCTGCCGCCGCCATCACTCTGCGTCGGCGTAATGTTGGTCGCCGACGCGGCGCGTTTCTGATGATGTTTTCTTTTTTTCACCTTGCTCTACAAAATGCGCGTTGATACCGGCGGTCTTTCCGACACTTTCTGATTTTTTCGCATTCGATTTTGACGATTTCTTTGATATTTTTATCGACGCCACATTTTTCGGCGTCGCCGCCGAAAAAAAACATGCTTTAAAAGGCAACTAACAGAATTAGGACGCCACAAGACCCAATTCATATTCACAATTTAGTTTTTAACAGTATGCAAACCAAATTGTAAAAAAAAACACGGCCGCGGACGCACAAAATCCGGCCGCAGCCTGCCTTAATAATGGGGAGAACTAAAAAGATGTTTTTAATTATTTGATATGAAACTGCAGAAATTAAAAAAATTATTAATTTCAAGAAGATTGAAGATTGAATATTCAAAAACAATTCTCACAGCGATCAATTCTGTTAGTCGACTCTTTATGTTTTGCAAAAGCCGACTATACCTTTTTCTCAGCCGCTGATTTTTTCGTCGGCAACTTTCGACGCGTATGATCTGTAGATTCTTCAAACCCACCCTAATTGCTCATTAATAATCCACCCACTTTTTTTCTTTTTTGCGCACGAAACTACGAGTGTCAGCCAAGAAATTAGAACAGCTATTTGAACGAATTTTTCTGCAAATCAAAATTGTCTTTAAAAAATTGTTTTTCTTTCTGAAAATGAGAACCATAGGATAAGTTCTCGTCGAATAATCCCTGCATTATCAAGAAGTCATAAAATGAGCGGCCATTTGATTTTAATTACACGCTACACTAATTAATTAATTAAGTTCTTGTGATAAAGGGTGGCAAACAATTCAATCAAGCTTTCCGAGCTCCGTTTTTCTAAATTCCAAAAAAAGTGCAATGGAGCATGTTTGCACCATTAAGAAATTTTTGTCCAATATTTCCGAATATGATATAATAGTGAATTTTCAGCAGAGAAGACCTCAAAATGCCAAAGAAAAATGAAATAAGAGTTTTTTTTCTTAAATTCATCATTTTAAAAATAAAGAAAATGTTTGATATAACTCATCAAACATTTTCTTCATGTAAGGAAGCTGAAATAATTTTGAAATCCTTATAAGGACCTTTAAAGACTTCTTGTAAGAATTTTTATAAAATCGAAATTTTATGAATGGCTAAACAATAAGAAAATATATTGCGATGTTGATTCCATTCAAATCTCCATTTTTTATACTTTCGAGCACAAATCACAAATTGCGTAAAATTTCCAAATCGCACGTAACCAATTCTTAGTCGACTATCTGCATTCGATTCAATTTGGAAGAATGCTGTTCGACGATTTCGCTGATCTCGATTTATCCGCTGAAGACGATCCGCCATTCGATTACTATTCGAAAAAATGCAAAACCTTCATCAAATGGTGTAAACTGCCAGCCGAGGTTCAACAATGCGTCATTTCTCAAATGGATTTTTTCACAAGGTTTTTCTTCAACTCGTTTTTGTTTCTATGAAGTTTTTGCAATTTTTAGAAAGTCTCTGTCGAAATGTTCGAAGAAAATGCAAATAGTGGAAAATGGTCCGCCCATTAAAATCGACGAAATCGAAATCAACGACACTGACAAATTTTATTCATATTGCTATGATAGTGATTATAATAGCAAGGTATAACTATACGATATATTTATTATTGTTGGTTTCTGAGAAAATGCGGTTGTCCAAACAAATCAATATATCTCACCGCACGCGGACCGCAACGCGTCTGACAACATAGGTCCTGCAGCGGCCCACTCTGGTAGCCGCATTTTTTTGAGAAGAAACAAAATTGCACATTTAATATTGTAATTTTAATTTCTAGAATATTATGTTAAAAATCGAATTTGATAAAAGGGACCCGAAACAGTTCCGGCATGTAATTTTCATGCAACGAGGGAATAATACTGAAATTATCAAGTAAAAAATTGAATTTAAAAAATATTAAAGCAAAAATGATTTTTTAGGCATGTGAACCCGCAAACATATCAGAAAAACCCGAAAGTTTGGTTTGAAAATACCGATTATTATCAAAAAGGCGTGAAATTCTTCGAGGAGCTAATGAAAAGAGCTAATTATTCGGTGCAAGATTGCACTATTGAAATGGTAATTAACAATTACAATTATTTATTTCGAAAATTAGGGGATGACAAGTAATTATAAAGACAAAATTTAGGCTGATTGGGATATCGAGGCTTCCGAAATCAAGAAAATCAGTTGCAAATCGTTCCGATACGCATTTGCCACTCATCAAAAGCTCTTGTAGGCATTGAATATGCTCACCGAGCAGGTCAATCGATTGGCGTTGCTAGATACCGATCAAAACGAGGATTCCTCATATAGAACTTGCTTGACCCCGGAGATTTTAAGTCATCCTCAGGTGATTCTAATTGATATCGACTAATCAGAGACATTTTTAGATTCAAAACGCCAACCAATTCTATTTTTGGGCAAGCTGCAATTTTACGGAAGAGCTATTTTTAAGCGCAAAAGCGGTGCACATGACCTTCTTTTCTTCAACCGTTAATAATGAAATGATTAATAAGTTCATAAAGGTTGGCAATTTGTATGAAAATTGAAAAATTGGATAATTCCAGAGATGGATTAAAGGTGACGGCCCGAAGGATTTCGTTAAATTGAGCATTTGGTACCGAAATTCCTTCAACAAGGATGAGATCCTCAAAGGAATTTTTCATCGAAATTGGGATGATGCTTTCGACAAAGAAGCGTTAGTTTTTGATGAAATGCATAAAAGAAGTTTTAGTTTTTAGTGGCGGATTTTGCGACGATTTTGATCGCGTCATCGGCGGCCGAAATTGCGCACAAATAATGCAGAATAAGGGGAAACAATCAGCGACGCTAAGAATTTCCGATGATAATCTTATCTTTATAGTCACTGGAAAATACTGGGAGCAGCATAATATATGTGGACTGCCTAAGAAAAACGGTCTGCTTAATAGGTGGTCTATTTAAGATATGTGGTCTGCTTAAGAAAAACGGTCTGCTTAATAGGAGGTCTCTTTAAGATATGTGGTCTGCATAAGAGAAACGGTCTGCTTATTAGGGGGTCTATTTAAGATATGTGGTCTACTTAAGAAAAACGGTCTGCTTATTAGGGGGTCTATTTAAGATATGTGGTCTGCTTAAGAAAAGCGGTCTGCTTAATAGGGTGTCTATTTAAGGTATGTGGTCTGCTTAAGAAAAACGGTCTGCTTAATAGGGTGTCTATTTAAGATATGTGGTCTGCTTAAGAAAAACGGTCTGCTTAATAGGAGGTCTCTTTAAGATATGTGGTCTGCATAAGAGAAACGGTCTGCTAATTAGGGGGTCTATTTAAGATATGTGGTCTACTTAAGAAAAACGGTCTGCTTATTAGGGGGTCTATTTAAGATATGTGGTCTGCTTAAGAAAAACGGTCTGCTTAATAGGTGGTCTACTTAAGATATGTGGCCTGCTTAAGAAAAACGGTCTGCTTATTAGGGGGTCTATTTGATATACGTGGTCTGCTTAAGAAAAACGGTCTGCTTAATTTGGGGTCTATTTAATATATGTGGTCTGCTTAAGAAAAGCGGTCTGCTTAATAGGGTGTCTATTTAAGGTATGTGGTCTGCTTAAGAAAAACGGTCTGCTTAATAGGGTGTCTATTTAAGATATGTGGTTTGCTTAAGAAAAACGGTCTGCTTAATAGGAGGTCTCTTTAAGATATGTGGTCTGCATAAGAGAAACGGTCTGCTAATTAGGGGGTCTATTTAAGATATGTGGTCTACTTAAGAAAAACGGTCTGCTTATTAGGGGGTCTATTTAAGATATGTGGTCTGCTTAAGAAAAACGGTCTGCTTATTAGGGGGTCTATTTAAGATATGTGGTCTGCTTAAGAAAAACGGTCTGCTTAATAGGTGGTCTACTTAAGATATGTGGCCTGCTTAAGAAAAACGGTCTGCTTAATAGGGTGTCTATTTAAGATATGTGGTCTACTTAAGAAAAACGGTCTGCTTAATAGGGTGTCTATTTAAGATATGTGGTCTGCTTAAGAAAAACGGTCTGCTTAATAGGTGGTCTACTTAAGATATGTGGCCTGCTTAAGAAAAGCGGTCTGCTTAATAGGGTGTCTATTTAAGGTATGTGGTCTGCTTAAGAAAAACGGTCTGCTTAATAGGGTGTCTATTTAAGATATGTGGTCTGCTTAAGAAAAACGGTCTGCTTAATAGGAGGTCTCTTTAAGATATGTGGTCTGCATAAGAGAAACGGTCTGCTAATTAGGGGGTCTATTTAAGATATGTGGTCTACTTAAGAAAAACGGTCTGCTTATTAGGGGGTCTATTTAAGATATGTGGTCTGCTTAAGAAAAACGGTCTGCTTAATAGGTGGTCTACTTAAGATATGTGGCCTGCTTAAGAAAAACGGTCTGCTTATTAGGGGGTCTATTTAAGATATGTGGTCTGCTTAAGAAAAACGGTCTGCTTAATAGGTGGTCTACTTAAGATATGTGGCCTGCTTAAGAAAAACGGTCTGCTTAATAGGGTGTCTATTTAAGGTATGTGGTCTGCTTAAGAAAAACGGTCTGCTTAATAGGGTGTCTATTTAAGATATGTGGTCTGCTTAAGAAAAACGGTCTGCTTAATAGGAGGTCTCTTTAAGATATGTGGTCTGCATAAGAGAAACGGTCTGCTAATTAGGGGGTCTATTTAAGATATGTGGTCTACTTAAGAAAAACGGTCTGCTTATTAGGGGGTCTATTTAAGATATGTGGTCTGCTTAAGAAAAACGGTCTGCTTATTAGGGGGTCTATTTAAGATATGTGGTCTGCTTAAGAAAAACGGTCTGCTTAATAGGTGGTCTACTTAAGATATGTGGCCTGCTTAAGAAAAACGGTCTGCTTATTAGGGGGTCTATTTAAGATATGTGGTCTGCTTAAGAAAAACGGTCTGCTTAATAGGTGGTCTACTTAAGATATGTGGCCTGCTTAAGAAAAGCGGTCTGCTTAATAGGGTGTCTATTTAAGGTATGTGGTCTGCTTAAGAAAAACGGTCTGCTTATTAGGGGGTCTATTTAAGGTATGTGGTCTGCTTAAGAAAAACGGTCTGCTTATTAGGGGGTCTATTTAAGATATGTGGTCTGCTTAAGAAAAACGGTCTGCTAATTAGGGGGTCTATTTAAGATATGTGGTCTGCTTAAGAAAAACGGTCTGCTTAATAGGAGGTCTCTTTAAGATATGTGGTCTGCATAAGAGAAACGGTCTGCTAATTAGGGGGTCTATTTAAGATATGTGGTCTACTTAAGAAAAACGGTCTGCTTATTAGGGGGTCTATTTAAGATATGTGGCCTGCTTAAGAAAAACGGTCTGCTTAATAGGGTGTCTATTTAAGATATGTGGTCTACTTAAGAAAAACGGTCTGCTTAATTTGGGGTCTATTTAATATATGTGGTCTGCTTAAGAAAAACGGTCTGCTTATTAGGAGGTCTCTTTAAGATATGTGGTCTGCTTGAGAATGGTCTGCTTAAGAGAAACGGTCTGCTTAATTGGGGGTCTATTTAATATATGTGGTCTGCTTAAGAGGAACGGTCTGCTTAATTAGGGGTTTGTTTAAAAGATGTGGTCTGGAGAATCCCTTTTATGTAGGACGCTCAATATTAAATGAGCACTTCGACCATATATCTAATCAGCGAATAAATATTTTGTCTCGTGACAAATGACACCTATCAACTTTCCCGGAAAAGTATAGATTAAAATTCTTGTCTTATCATTGAAAAAAGTTTCTTGGATTATTTCCAAACGCCTTCGAAAATCGTAAAGATATTTTTAAGAAGCCTAATTGATTAAAAATGGAAAATTACAGCTATAGTGAGTTTCTAAAAAAAAGTGGTCACCTGGAAACCTCATCGATGTCCTTGTTTTTTAAATTACCACCGTGTTTAAGAACTTTCAAAAATTATCAATTTCTTTGGGTTTGCTGAGTTCAGCGAAAAATCGGCTCAATCATAATCATTGAAGGCTCTTATCAGTTCGCGAAAACTGGTACATCCCGTCACTAGGCAAAAGCAACACCGGCGAGTTCAATAAACCACAATTTCACAATCATATAAGGGCATAGACGCCGTCAATCATTTTATCACCTCCGCAAAAAAAATTGATAAGCGTCGATGTCGCGGGAAGAGTGGGCGGAGCCCACACAAGCCCCGCCCCATACGTTTCAATTCATTTCTTGCTCAATATTTGGAATCATATCGCTACCACCTTCTATATCGAGCATTTTGTTTTGTAGAGTTGCAAGCATGTGCCAACATCATCGTCGTTCCAAACGAGACCCGTGCTCAGCAGCCAACAACAATGAGGTAGGCTTTAAATTAAGATCGAACAACCCCCAGGTGTTAATTTCGCCGATTTCACAGATCACCGTCGAGCATACTGCGATCAAATGGACGGTTTCGTTCCAACTGAAAATGATCATCGGACAGGCGACGTTGAGTTGTCGAACTCTCGCGAAAACTGATCGTTTGGTAAGTGAAGCAAGTCAAAATGAAATCCGTGTGGAGTACACAAACTAGATTCGATAATATAGTCCGCACGGAGAATCTTTAAGTCATGTGTAGTACTATTGTGCCCCACTCGTGGGTTGTTATCAATCAAAGTATATGTCAAGTGTTGATGAGAATTTCGTGTAGTTGACACGGAGAAGTTGACTGGCGGGATTCGGAAAATTTGAACCGTCTAGACCTTATTAGGGGCGTTTTTTTGGGTTTCAAACAGAAACCCTTTATCAGACCTCCTTATCATCGTCATCATAAATCAGACCAAAAAATCAATGGCCTACAATTGTTCTTCCAAAAACGCCTCCAACTTTTTTTTATCGCGAATTGTGTCACATGTCCGCCTCCAGAATCCCTATTGTCTCATTCAAGATAAGAATATTACGATTCAATGATAAGAGAGGCGCCTGGAACTTGACTATAATTCGGCAACCGTCTTGCAGACACTTGATGTTCGTGACCTGTCAATTCGATCGGTGTCGATCAATGGAATCGATTGCGATTTTCGCATCGCGCCCAACACTTATACGTTCTTCGGATCCAAGATGACTGTTTATTTGCCGCAGGACTGCCAGAAGGAGGGCCTTCTTCTGTAAGGGATCTCGTGTCATCGGGGGATTTGAGTTTACATCTTCAGATCGGTCTTGATTCAATACGGAACATCACCGGATGCCACCGCCCTTCAATGGATGAAGAAGGAGCAGACGGCGGATAAGAAGGCGCCCTACCTGTTCTCGCAATGCCAGGCGATTCACGCGCGGTCGATTGTGCCTTGCATGGACACGCCATCCGTCAAGAGCACCTATGAGGCGGAGGTCACGGTGCCGGCGGGCCTCACCTGCTTGATGTCGGCTATCGGACAAGGCTCGAAAGGCGACGACGAGACGACGACGTTCTTCTACAAACAGCCGGTGGCGATACCGAGCTATCTCATCGCCATCGTCGTCGGCTTCTTGGAGAAGCGCGACATAAGCGATCGATGCTCGGTGTGGGCCGAGCCGTCGGTCGTCGACAAAGCGCATTGGGAGTTCGCCGAGACCGAGGAGATTCTCGCGACCGCCGAGGCGATCGCCGGCAAATACATATGGGGACGCTACGACATGGTGTGTTTGCCGCCATCGTTCCCATTCGGCGGCATGGAGAACCCGTGTCTGACCTTTTTGACGCCGACGCTCATCGCCGGCGATCGATCGCTGGTGAGCGTCATCGCTCATGAGATCGCGCACAGCTGGTCGGGAAATCTGGTGACCAACTCGAGTTGGGAGCACTTTTGGCTCAATGAGGGATTCACGATGTTCATGGAGCGCAAAATTTGCGGTCGACTCGTCAGCGAGGAGTATCGACAATTCATGGCGTTCAATGGATGGACGAATGCATTGATTCCAGCGGTAATCCTAAACCTGAATTCTTATTAATTCTCCCGATTCCACAGGTCTATGAGCAGTTCACTCCGACTCATCAATTCACCAAATTGATCCAGGATCACACCAATGTCGATCCGGACGTCGCATTTTCATGTGTCCCTTATGAGAAGGGATCAGCATTGCTCTTCTATTTGGAGCAAAAGCTTGGCGGAAAAGGTAATTCCTTATGATATACGAGCTGCGGACAACTCTCGAGATTTCAGACATCTTCGAAGCGTACCTTCGCGATTACTTGAAGACGTTCGCGCATCAAGCGATCAACAGCTTCCAATGGAAAGAGCACTTGTACAAGTATTTCGATGATAAGAAGGCGATTCTGGATACCGTTAATTTTGACGCCTGGTTTTATGGCGTCGGAATGCCGCCGGAGAAGCCCGAGTATGATGGACGATGATCGGAATTGGTCTCTATTCGAATTTTGATTTCAGGTACGATCAGACGATGGCGGAGGCTTGCAAGAATCTCCTCAAGATCTGGATGGATGCTGATGAGAGCAATGTGTTGGAGATCGGCGACAAGGCTTATTTTGAAATGCAGCCCCTTCAGCAGATCGAGTTCCTTTCCCAATTGTGGCAGGTTGGCGAGAATCACTAGCTGCCAAATTAAGCCGCGTTTCAGAGAGATCCGCCCATTGAGCATTACAAGCTTGATGCTCTAAATAAGATTTACAAGCTGAACGAGTCGCAGAACGCCGAGATTTTGTTGAAGTAAGATTCGCGTCGCATTTCGTTCAATGACTCGATTATTCCAGCTGGCTCCGTTTGTGCATCAAAGCGCGTTGGGAGGAATGCATTCCCAAGGCGTTGGAGTTTGTCAACTCGCAAGGCCGCATGAAGTTCTGCCGGCCGATCTATCGCGACCTAGCCAACTGGCCGGCGGCGAACAAAAAGGCCCGCGATGTGTACCTCAAAGGACGCGCTCAGATGCATCCGATCACCGCTGAGATGATCGCCAAGGAGTTGCACATCAGACATTCGACTCATACCGTATGCTTCTAAATGTATATACAAATTATTCCCTCTATAAGCGTTTCTCTTTGGAATTATTATTTTAAATACAATAAAGCGAAAGTACGAGACGTATGACATGACCTGGGGTGAGGTTAGAGAGCATTGTGACAAGAATAAGAACACTGAATTGCTTGGGCAAATTGACACGTTTCAAATCTTCTTCGGTTTTCGGCGACGCCGCGTTGGTTGCGAGTCGTTGAGAAGCGCGGTGTCGACGTCGAAGCCTTCTTCACTTATTGGAGAATCCCTCTGAAATGAGAATTGGTTGGATCGCGTCGAAACCTTAAAAGGCTCATACCTTATGCAACTCCTCTTGCTCCTTCTCATCCTCCTCATCGGTGGTATTCTTGCGCTCCTTCTTTTTACCAGCCTTCGCTGGCACAGGCTCTTCGACTTCCGACTCATCCGATACCTCCTCTTCGTCGGAATCGACTTCAGAATCGTCCAACTCCGATTCGCCACGCGCTTTCTTGATTTTCGCGTTGTCGTATTCTTTGGAAAGCGCTTGAAACTCTTTGAGCGCCACCTCGAGATCATTGATGTATTGTTCGTTCCTCTCGTTGAGACCGGCGTCGGCTTTTTGCGCGTCGGTGGCGTTCTCGTCGAGCTGCTCCAATTGTTCGAGATCGACACCGTCGCCGCCGTTTTGCACCGTCTCGAGTTGCTCGAGAATCTTCGCCATCGCCTCTTCGGTTTGACGGAGACGCTCCTGAAGACCACGAAGCTTCTTCTTGCCTGAAATTCGTTCATTGTTCCACAAAATTAAAAAAAAAACGCAATAAAATAATTTCTTACTGAATCGCTCGCCGTATCTCGTGTCTACTTCAGAATCTTCATCGTCTTCTGAATCATAGTAGGCACCGTCGTGACGCCTCCTCCTCTTTTTCTTATTTTTTGACTGAAAAAAAAACAGAAAAATGAAATTAGTATAAACTTTGGGGCGTTTTTGTCAAAAAAAAAAACTTGAAAATTGATTTATTGCGTGAAAAATTGTGTGCCTCAATCTAACAACCAACGCGTGCGGTGAATGCAAAAAATGACACGCCCACTATTTGGTTTTCGATAATATTGTTATCTTTCCAAATTTTAAACTTTTTTTTGGATTTTCTATCACCTTTAATTTTTTCGAATTTTAGGAATCAACTGCTGACAACTTTCGGCGAAAAGCGGATCAAGAAATCGTGAATTTTAAGTAAGAATTATTTTTGCAATTTATCCGCCTTACTTTGAATAACGTGTAAAGCAGGAATATTACAACTCCGACTGTGTACAACGGTAGAAGAAAAGTGAACATTCCCTTTCCGGACGAATGGCTTTCAGCTTGCGCCTGCGCCATTTTCATTGCCGGATGCATGTCGGGACGCGATGGATGGGCGCCCGGATGACGCGGTCCGGGACCACCGCCCATCGCCGGATGAATCGGCGGCCGTTGCTGATTGATCGACGGCTTCGGTTGTTGTCCTCGACCTGCCAAATGCATTTCAAATGAGCCAAACTTGCGGCGATGTACCTAGAAATCCCATGAGCATCGGATGGAATAGGGTCGGGTACAGCATTGCGAAGCACACAACGATTACGCCCATCACCATTCCTAGTTTCCAGCCCGAAATGCCGCCCTCGTCATCGTAGTCGTCATCGAAGCTCACGCGATGACGTCGCTTTTTCTTCTCGCGATGCGACCGCTCGGCGGCTCGCATGGTTTGTTACTGTAAAATTGGGTCTTAAAAAAAGGCGTTGGCTGATGTTCAAGTAAGACGATTTGAAAAGCATAAGAAAAGGACCACTCGAAATGAAAGTGGTCCGTTAGAAAAGCGTTCGACTACAGCGATAAAAAGACGAGATAGAGCTTTTGGGACTTGTGTCGGCCATGAGAGAGTGAGGTGGCGAGAGAGCGCGCAAGACGCGGACACGCAGACACAGCGGTCAGTCGGTTCGCGAGAGACGCAGACAATCGCGGAGGCGAGCGAGTGGACGAGCCTATCGATTTTCGTTTTGCGTCGTGGGTTTCGGAGCTGCACCACCTTTTGGCGAATTTTTTTGGTGAAGCTCAAAATCGGCACATTTATAAACATGAAAGACAACAAATCTATGAGTTAATTAGTTAATTAATTTTTCGGCACAACTGGACGCGTGAAACGTGGCACCGGATAATTGCCAGTCTTCGTCGCCATGTACAAATTGAGGAAGAGTACTGTAATTGGCAGATCAACAAGATTGTTTATTATTTTTGCCATCCTACTTGCGAATAGCATTAGGATGATTAGAACGATGAGAAGCACCGCCAATGGCCATGTGATTCCAATTGACGGATGCCAGAGGTTGATCCAGGATGGCCCGCTGGTGGCCAAGAATCGGACGAACATTTTGTTCGGCTCAATCTCCAACAAACTGCACGATGACTGGAATTCAAAAAAAACTTGAAGAAAAAGTAAAAATCCTAACATTTGCCATAATTTGCTCAATGTTCATATCGAGATGATTTGATCTACCCGCTGCGAACATTCCCATCGAGACCCAATCGTCGGTGGTGTTGCAAGGGGATACGGTAGTCGCGACGGGACCCAACCTGAACGAGAAATCTTGTGGGGAATTTCGTTGTTTTTTGCGACAAAACTCCTACTCGACATCGAAATCCACTAAAATCTGATCATATTTCGGATCATACTCCATCACATATGTAATGCTTGTGTTATGCTCAAGCTTGAATCTCTTATTCTCGTAGTTGGCATGAATTCCACTCACTGGCGGCTCTGTAAGGACTACGGTAGCTCGTTGAGCGTTCGGGGTTCAACCTTGGCCATTCACTTTCACATGGATTGTTCCGATCGCGCTCGACGATTTGATTCGAATGAACATCGGAGTGAGCGAAATAGGAATGCTGGGCGACGAATTATCGCAGGAGAATTCGTCTGAGCAAATCTGGTTATTACTGAATGCGCCTTTAAGCATTACCGTAACATTGTTCGATTAAAGGGGCACCAATAGAAAAGTCGAAATTTTTCGAGTAGGTTGAGGTGAACAATTTTCCAGGTTTGGTCTCACAAAAAGAGATAAATATCTAGAATTTGAAAGATAGTGGGTCTCGAATGGAATACCGTACCTCTTTCTTGGTGTCATTCAATGTGGTGAATGAGACCTCGACAGTATCATTCAGCGATTGGATTTTTACCTTTTTCAAATAGTCGTGAGATTCTGCAAAAAAAACACGATCAGTATGTTTTTTTGACATTAAATTTTCGAAAATTCCACCTTGCACCCGAAAATCTTCACCATACGCCACTGGAATCCGATCGTTGCCTAGCGAAAACTCGAAACTTCCCAAAGCCGGTAGTTGGCGAGCTTGAATAATCAAAAAGTGTGAGCAGTTGGTGGCGAATTGCGCGATATCCAACGGGTAGGAACCTGTGGAAGCTTCATCGAAAAGCTTGGTCAAATTGTGACAGGCGTTCAACGACAAGGAGACCAGATTCGAGGTGTCGAGATGAAGCCAAATAGTTGTGGCATTCAGAAGGGACGCTGAAAAATTGAATCGCTTGATATTGATATCTAGCTGCGGACAATTTGTCGGATGCGAATTGAAAAGTCGTATATCGATTTTGTATATCGATTTTCGGCGAATGACTCACACGCTTTGACGATTTGCTCGATGTGTATCGCCTTCGTCGCCATTTCGCCAACGTCAATGGCGAAATTGGTGCGATCCGAATTGGTGAACTTCGCCAAAATCAGATAAATAGCAAAGTGTAGAAGCAGCATTCTCATTGAATGAGAAAAAAAGTAGTAAACCGTATGAATTATTTGTGGAGTCGACTGACAACAATTGAGCGGACGATGGCGAGAAAGCGACTGTCGGTGGGGGGAAAAAAGAAGAAAGCACTGCGAATATTTTTTTATTTATATGCATTTTATTTATTGCCCTCGTGCGAATTGGTTTTCGATGAATCACACGACGGCCAATCATAATGATGGCAACGCTACTGATTTATTGTAGGGATTTCGAGAATATTCAAATTTTCAGGCGCTCAGGTTGCTTCCAAATTCGCTACAATTTTAACTTTTGACTTTGAATGATTTTGAAGCGAACTATAATCACTTTTCTAGGTGCACATGATTTTAGGCGTGAAATTGTTATTCATTAATAAGTTTGCGCCTTGAAAGTTATTACTGTAATTATTTTTGCTTTCTTCAAATCAATTTTTATGTAGTTTTGTGCACATTTAACCTATTTTAAACGCTTTTGTAAATAAAAAAATACATTAAATGAACAAGTCCATAAATATTTAAAACTAAAATTATTTCATACGTCTTAAACTCTCATTTTCATTGTTTAGTTGTCCTCGTAATTTATCTCATCGGAATGGTTGCGAAGGTATGCATTTATTTAAACAGACATTCAATCCTGCTATTTATTCAATTAATTCATATAAATTAAATCGATTTAGTTGTTTGGCGTCGATATGAAAAGCGAAAAGAAATTAATTATGAGATTAAAAGATTCGCGCCGTGGTGTTGCCGATAGTTGCGCACCATTGCCAAAACTGGCCACGCCCCCTTATTTTTAAGTTTCGAATTTAATTTTTCCAACACGAACATTGTATTTTTCGTGATTTTTTCATTTCTTTTTTGTTGTAATTGTGTGTTAATATTTATTAATTCTAGTCTAGCGTAAAGGCTTATCGAATTTGCTTTTTTAATTGGTATATTTCTTCAGATGTATTCTTATTTGGAGGCAGGATGAAGCTGAAGGTGAATTATCAAATGGAAAGGTTTCGATTTTGATTGTTTTGCTCTAATTAACACAAAAATTAATTAGATCATCGATCATCCTTATTAGAAGTATTCGATAAACTCTCTGCGATACCGAGCAGCCGCGAAAACCAACCTATGGCAGAGTTGCCAAAAGCACATTGGACCATAAATATCAATAAATTGAAAATACGATGGTCTGTGGTCATAAATCTAAAACGGAATTTTTTGATTATGATCTTCATTCAACATTTTTGTTTCAAAATGTTGATTCAAAAGGATAGATGGCCATAAACTATCAATTATGCAAATTGGACTGTCATCAGGATAGTTGAAGCCACAACCAATTAGAAATGCAAATTCCAAATTGCGTAACATTGCCGAACAAAATTTTCGAGGTGTCTATGTTTCAAATAGCACTCTCGCACCTCTTGTGAAGAAAATTAATCAACGTCGCCATTTTCAAGATTATATCGAACACATTTTTTCGCCTGGTTTCCAACTTTTACTTCCCATTGATTTTCCGGCCAATTGACCACAATCAAAATGAAATGTGGTCGGTGTTTTTTTGTCGAATGAAACACGGCCGCTCTTTTTTGGATATCGTACTCCTTTTCATGGCTATTGCCCTCTTTTTTCATGGATTTGAACTTTGAATCGATTATTTCGGACATTGCTCTTTGATGTTTCGGAAATTTAACCATTCGGCCCGTTTTTGCATCCTTACATTTTTTCATTCATTTTTGTCATAGAGCCTTTTCAAAAAAAAAATTAACCATGATACCAAGTAGAAATTGGAATAAAGAATTTTTTTAATGATTAAAACTTGCTTTTTGCGCATTGAGCACATGGTTTTTTTCTAAATTTCATCGTATAATTACATTTTCCCATAAATTGATATTCAGAAACGCTTGAATTGCGTTTGTTCTTCAACTACCGCAATCCCATCAAATCAACATATTGTCACCGCGCTAATCCTTTCTGATACTCAAGTGAGTGTGAATTTTGTGTCTTGCGTCAGCCGTCATTTCATTCGTGTTTTTGCGCTGTTTTGACCGAAGAAAAAAAAAACAATAGAATTGTGCTCAAGTGCCAACTGTCGTCTCACGTTTTTTTTTTGTTCGTGGTTGATTCTTCCTCTTCATCATTTTGCCTTTTTTTTGGTGTATGTCGCCGCCTTTGAAAAGGTCACCAAACATTTTGGGGCGCTCATAAATTGCGCGAACTCGTCTCTCAACATCACCCCCCCCCCTTCTCCTCAATGAAAAAAATGAAGCGGTTTTTGTGGGAAAGCCGCCATCCACCCAAAACTCCCTCCGCCAGCAGTTGTATTCGTTTTTGAACACCCCGCACCGACGGAATGGGTTTGATTACTAATTGCCATTTTTGTGGTTGGTTCTCTCTCTCTCTCCCTCTGTATGTAAAGGCCCTGGGAATGTTGATGAATCATTCATTTATACGTATGTAATGAATTGAATGGCACCGAGACACATGTAAGTCGCCGCTTGGCATTTTTGATTGCCTTGCGTTTTTATCGACTTCTGACAGAAGGCCGAATACTAAATTTCCTCTTCGTTTTAGGTTACTGTAATCGAAGGATTACTGTAGTCTTATGCATTAATCAATTATTGTTCTGATTCGATTAATTCTCAGTGATAGCGGGCAGCCGCGAAAACCAAACCATGGCCGAGTTGCCAAAAGCACATCGGACCATAAACATCAATAAATGACGGGGACCATGATAATTGTGAAGGCCACTTGAGAATATACATAGTTACCTGCGCAACGTGCTGCTCGATTATGCATTCAAGAATTACTGAAGGACTCGATTCGAAATTGGATTGACTGTTGGCGCAATTTCCTCAAACCGCAACGCTGTCATCGTAAACCAATCGTCATCGATCATGTTGGGCATGACACTGAACGAGCCGATGGATTGCGCAAAACGAAACAAAACAGAATCGAATCGGAATGAATTGACCAAAAAGGGCGCCCGACGACGCATTAAATGATTGAGAGCATATAAAAACGCAACAAGATAGCGATCTGTTGGTGGCTGGCTGGTTGAATCAGTCGTTAAAAATTCCTATTAGGTCCGTTTTGTTTTTTATTTGATTGTTCTGATGTCGGCCTCCCTCTTGAAAGGCCATACCGCTGTTGACGTCTCAATGAGTTGTTGTTTGTTTTTCGCTGCGAGACGTCAAAATGATTAGAAGACGAACGGCGGCGCGGCACAGTTGGAATGTCAACAAAGTCTCACGTACAGTAATCCAACGGCATGCTTGATTTAACGATGGGTCTCCCCCCCCCCTATAATTGTCGTCGTATTTTGCAATTTCGACTATTTATGGTCCGTGATGTGCTCTTGGCAACTCTGCGACGGGTTTTTTGGGGTTTTCGCGGCTGTTCGATATCGCTGAGAGTTTATCGAACTTCCCTAAATAGGATGATTGATCAGCACAGGCTAAGAAATAATTAGCAATTTGGCGTGTTTACAAAATTGGTCCTTTTCGCTAGCGAGATACAGTATTCAATAGTGGCATTTTCGATACAAGATCCTGAAAGTGAACAAAAAATAAAATGAACCATGATCGTGGCGTGTCGAGACCCGACGCGCAAATTACGAGTATAGGGCAATGGATAAAAAATTTTCGAAGCTCGGGAGAGCCAAACCACGTAGATTAATTTTGTCCGCAGCTGAAGTAGCTAGAAATAGTCAAAGTAAATAGACAAAAAAGGGGAAACATTTTTTCTTTTACCTGCATTGCAATTTTCGCAATTTTTTTCTCCAAAAGGTTAATTTTAGACACATTAATTTGTGTGTTGAATCCCGACACGAAAACGCACACACGACAGAAATTTTTGGCGCATTTCAGAGAATTCGCTACGACGAGACCCTCGTTCTACTTTTTTTCGGCGTTCGCTATCACACGCCGACACAATTGTCAATGATCATCATCAAAGTGTGAATTAATCATATTCCTTCTCAATTGTGAAAAAAAAACGGCCGAAATTGAGGTCATGTACATAAATCTCAAGGATGATAAGAGGCCGCCTTGGTAAATGAGCGTTTTTGATAATAAAAATTGTGAAGAGAGGATGAGGGGGTGTCGCCATAAATCAGCGCAAGAAAACCGCAATTATACCGGCCGTTAATTGGCGACAGACACCAATTTCCCTCAATTGAGGGGCTAGTATTAAAACAGATGTTTTTTATTGGAAATTGGCATTGGTTTAATGTTTTGACAGTGAGCCTCTGCCCACCAATCCATTGCACCATTCAATTGCGCCATTTGTGTTTTTACGCGTTTCGCTAATCCAGTAGCACAAAACGGATGCCGCGAAAGGTAGTGTGGATAATACCCACTTGCGTCATTCCGTTTTTGAGCTACTTGATTATTGACAAACATGGGAGTTTTGGGTTTTGCGGTGGGAACACATTCTTTTTGTTTTTTGATAATGGTTTTATGGAGATTTTGGAGATTCTCAAAAAAAACTCCTATGAAAATCGAACAGATATCTAGTTTTAGCCGGTATTTTCATTCAAACTTCTACAGTAATCCAATTTCAGCAGTCTTGATCTACCCTAATCAATTTTTGGGGGATTTAATTAGCATCTCAATTTTTTTAAAGATCAACTGTAATCCACCATTATGGATTCTTTATTGTTGAAAGTTGCTATATCATTTTTATTTTTGATCCCAATATCATTGGACCTAAACAAATTTCTAAAACTGGCGGCGGGTTTTTGTCTCCCAATTTTCATTCGCCCTTTTCTACCGTGCGCCAAAAATATGGTAGCAAAAGATTTGGTGCCATCTGGTGTTTGCATTTTTTTCTCCACCCGCGCGTGTTTTAACTAGCCGTTCCCCAATTATCGTGCAATGTTTTGAGAAAATGAAAATTATCGTTTTTCTTTTGCTGCATTGCCTTTTTTCTACTTGTCGAGCTTCCAGTATCGCTATGGCTAAAATGGCGCAAGTCGCGAATCCATGGAGTAGTAATAATGGTGGCGTGATTTTTTGACGACGAAAATTTTGGGTGTGATTTAAACTTGAGATCGCGCGCCAAAAAAATACACTTCGACGATTAAAAAAACCGCGATGATCAACGGAAGTGGGCGCGTGTGTGTGTACGAACAATACCCCCCCCCTATACTTGACCTTCAAAAATGAGGGTGATTTCTATTCATTTTGCCTCCTCACAAAAAGGGATGCCGTGGAGTATCAATGAATCTCGTCGTCGTTCCGAATTCGGTGTTGTTGTTGTTTTTTCATCGCCGGCCACGCCCCAATGCTTGAATCGTTTGCGCGAACACCTTCCACCCTCTAGCGGTAGCCGGCCCGTCAATCGATGGGTTGGTCTGCAAGAAGGCACCTGTCGATTGGCGGCGACCGGATAATCCTTGATATAATCTGTTCAGGGCCGAATTTGGGGCTTCGCCGGCCAGCTGCCATCGTTTAAATTATTGCTTTTTGTTTTTGAAATGGGCCCACACTCCCTTCTAGATGGGCGTTTCTTTTTGACGATTCTCAGAATATCTAAAAATTCTAGAGAAGCTGTTTAGCATTTCGATTCTGTGTCCATCTGCGGACAATCTTCCATTTTTTGCTTATCCTTTTTTTGTATTGTATTACAATTAGACCATCTGCACAATCAAAATAATTGTCTGTCGTCTCGCCATCTTGTACGGTTTTTCGTGCGTCGCCGACGACTGTCGATTAGCGCATATCGAGTTTCGAATTGTTTCCAGTCGCTCAAATGGCGGAGATAATTGCACCAAGCCATGCGCCAACAAAAAAGTGGGGCATTTTGAGTGGAGGGGGAACGCCAGATTCGATAAATATGGCTATTAGTGGTTTTTGTTTCTCTCTTTTTCTCCCTGGAAGGTAATATTGAGATCTGTATAAATTTTCCAACGAGAACTATCTTACTGCGCAGATTTTGAGGAGTGGGACCACAAAAAAATGAAACAAATGGTAGCCAGCCTTTTGCCCGATCAGCATTAGCGAATTTTTTTTTTTGATATTATCACCTTTCTTGCGTTTCGGATTTTCCAACTAACACCCGAATAACTATTTTCACTTCTGATTCAAATGTGTGAAGTGCTATTTTCTTATCAACTCCTTTGATGGAAACGCGAATATGTGTCATCGTCACCAACGAACGTCTCCACCGCCATGTTTGGGCCACGCCCCCTTTTGGCGGCCCCGCCCGCCCTTCTCCAATACCAAACAACACTCCAAACCAGTTCATTGCCACACTCATAATTGTTGTAGCCGAATGAACGACTCGTCGCGAGTGATTTCGATGATCCACGAGTCGAGCGATTATTTCGACGACGAGCTGACGAACATCGCGTGCGAGATATGCTTCGAGCCGTTCAGTCATGCGCATCGGCCGCCGAAATTGTTGCCGTGCGGTCACAATTTTTGCGAGACTTGCATTTTCAGCATGTGCTGTCATCAGGAGGTTTGATTCTTATTCTCAAAAATTGTATTATTTTTTCTTCTTTAGTACTATCTTCTCGACTCCATCAAATGCCCGACTTGTCGACGCGCATTTTCCACCGACACCGCTCGACAGGCTCCGACCAACTATGATCTTTGCAGTATGTCGACCGTCTAGCTAGATCAGTACCCAATCACTAACTCGAACCATTTTAGAAATTCTCGAGACGGTTCAGAAGCGGCGAGATCAGAACATCACTGTCATTCATGTGCCCGATGAGACGCCGCCGCCGCCGCCGCCGCGAAAAACGGCGAGCATTGTGACGAGGAAATGCAAAAAGCTCGCCGAGAAATCCGAGGATTCGAAACACCTGCGATGCGCCGAGTGTCAACGCAAAATCTCGCAGAGGAACTTTTTTCGTGTCGCGAGATATTGCGTCGATTGTACGAGTACTTCGAGAATGGTAAATTATGAAAAATTGTAGAGAATTGCATTTTTTTTTGAAAAAAAAAAATGCATTTTATTTGACGACAATTTGCCCTAGTCATCATCATCCTCATTGTTTTTTCATTTGTTTGCAGACAATTGTTTGCCTTGAATGTTGTGTGAATCAGCACAACGGGCATGAGCTGCTCACCGAGGATCAACTTCACTCGAATCAGCTCAAAATCATCACCGAGCTTCGAGACATTCGCCGTCGTGTCGTCGACAGCTCGGCGACGTTCGATAAGCGTAGTGAGGAGATTCGCGATAGCGGCCGCAAGATTTGCGTCTCCCTGACCGCGGAGAAGCAGAGTCTATTGACGTATACGCTCGCCTCGATCGACGATGTGATTCGGAGGATCGAGTGCGCGCCCATCATGTTTCCGCCGGTGTTGAAGTGAGTTTTTTCTTGAATCCATTCGAATTGTTGAGTAATATTTTCTTTCGCTTTAGGACCATTCGCGATGAGCAAGTGCACAATTACACACGGCTCAGCAAACTCAACAATGAACTCGAGAAGAGTTTGATTGCGAGAAAGAACACCAAGCCGGTGACGATGCCTGATCGCCCTTCAACTTCAGCGAATGCGCCTCTAAACCGTTCGTTGTCAGCAAGGCAGTCGAGGGTTTCCCTTCGGGGCGATGACTCGATATGGCATGAATCGATTGAAGCGTTGTGTCGACTTATGCCGTCGCATCCGATGTGCCTTCAACTGAGCTTCCATCATTCCACCGTCTCGTCGAAGGATACGGTTGAGGAGAGGAAGCGCAAGATCATGTCGTGTGCTCATGCTGCGTCTTGTATGTTGGACTCGTGAGTTTCCTTTTTTTGGGAAAATGTTTGATTACAATGAAATTACAGAGATATCTCGCTGTCCATGATTCCGCTGTTCGCGGATGTCCTATTGAATTGTTTCTATCAACTGAACAAGCTGTCGAGAAACAAATTTGTTGATAAGCGGACGTATCGACGTGTGGATGTTTGGAAGCAGATTCAGACATCCTACACGGAATTGTTGAAGATTGCCGCCAAAGTGAGACAATTGCCTAATATCGATCGTCACAGTGTCTGTTTTTATTCCAGAACTTTCCTGCCTATCATCCGGAACGAATTGATATTCTTGACGATCTTGCCTATCTGTGCCATTTGTTCTCGGATGTGTGCGATCAGGCGACGGTGACGATTTGCATAATTGAAGCGGCGCGAGCGCGAGCGGCCGACTCGTCGAGTTTGACCGATGAGGAGCAGGCGAGGAGCAACGAGCGGCTGATGCTCATCGATGAGCACTTGTCGGAATGCCGACGACTGCAGAAGCTCAGCGATTTGCGAAGCCACAAGAAAGATAAAGTCGAAGGAAGGTTCAAGAGGATATTTGGAAGTTGTTTTATGCCGCAGAAGAAGATTACGTAATTTTGAGATTTGTTCTGCTTCCTTCGCAAATACCGGTGCACTTATTTATATTTATATATTTTTTATTTCAATTTATTATTGTACATAATGTAATGAAAGACGTTCTAATTATTACCCGAAGATTGTTGGTCCCGTAAAATGAAAGAAGTTTCTTCGGAATTTGCTACCTAATGAACATTTTTCTGCTGTAATTGTTGCTGTTGTTGGTGCGTCATCGGCTGGGTTAGATTCCGCTTGTGTACCCATTTAAGGTAGACCTCGTTGTATTCGGGAGTGTGGTGGCGCATGAGATGGCGCATGAAATTGGATGAGCATGGGCTTTTCACTGCAAAAATTGACACGTTGATTTTTTTGCACAGGGATTACGGTAGGCGATGCGCCTTTAAGGTTTAGGGATGCTGGATTTTAAGAAAATATGAGAAGTCAGTTTAATGAATGTATAACGGGAGATTGTTGAGTTTCGAAAAGCTGAATGCAAACACGGTGACGCGAATTTGCACAAAATTAATTTTTTGTTTTAAAAAGGTTTTAATACAGTTTGTTTCACAAAAAAGGAGGTTAACTGAATTTTTGGCTGAAACACCTTGAAGTTTTGCGCAAAAGCTGCGCGCACCATTCATTACCGTATCCAAAAATTATTTTCGTAATTCGAAATCTTCAAATATTCTTAAAAACCGCAGATTTCCGGGTTTTTCCGGTCAATTTGCAATTTTTTTTCCGATTTTTAAAATTTTCGAATATCAAGAAAGTAAAAATTTTGAGTAAACTCAATCCAATTCCGTTATTAAAATAAATAAATTAGCCGATTAAAGGCTCATAATACGAAAAATCTCTTAGATGCGAAGTATTTTATTTCTAGACGTTTGACGCGAACACCGCGACGCAATTTTGCACAATTTTAAGCATCAAGTCTCGAAATTCCTTACCGCATCCGCTGCACAATGTGCACTGCGCGTTTCCGTCTTCGGTGCGTTTGAAGTACTCCCAAACCGGGTGCTCCGTTTTCCGGTTGCGTTTCATATACGGTCGGTCGGGCGCTATAATATACCAGTGTGCGGTGTTCGAACCAATCGACGCCTTACTGCTTTTCGTTGTCGATGTCGACGACGCCGATGACGACGACGACGGCGTCTTCGGCAGAATGCTGACGGCGGCAGCCGCTGCCGCCGCCGCCGCTGCTGCTGCCGTCGTGATCACCGGCGTCTCATGCGTCTGCCAATAGTGGTTTAGTTGCCACGGCTGGAAGAACTCGATGCCCGACTGCGGCTGATACTCCATTTGCTGATCGTAGTAGTTCGGCGGCGGACCGTTTTGTGGCGTCGGCGCCGGCGTCTCGAAGTTAGGCTTCTCGTCGTAATCCGCATCGAAGAGTCGAGTGAATTTGTTGCGAGACCTGTAAACAGTGGAGCGTCATTCGGGTTTCAAATTGACAAAAAAAGAATTCGAGATTCTGGCCGCGGTTACGGTAGAGATGTAGCTGCTAGACGAATCCTGTCTGACGCGAATTATCGCTCTAATCTCTCGATTCGATCACGTCCCTTAGTTCCGCAATCTTGCGTTTCGCGCAAAAAACCCCCAACCCGCGCCCGCGAAGCCTGTACTCACAATCCGCTACTCTCCGCCAATCGTTCGAGTCTGATCTGCTCGGCGAGCTTCTCATAATCGCCCGAATGGTGTCGCTCCAAGTGTTTCGTCATGTTGGTGGCGCACGCCGACTTCACCATTTTGGTGCACAACCGGCATTTTACCAATTGCTCGTCGAGCCGCAAAAAATAGCCCCAACACGGGTTCTCTGTCGGCCGACCGCGTTTGACCAACGGCATCGAGTCCGGCGAGATCTGAAATCCGCATTGATTGAGAACGTTTTATCGCGTCGAGCGCGGTTTACTAACACTACATTCAACTGATGAGCAACCTTCGGAGCCGTTGCAGACGCCCGTCTTGTCGTCGTTCACACTGCCGACGTCGATCGTCTCAATTGTGATCATTGAGTTTGACGAGCCGGTTATATCGATGGTGGGTAACGGCATCGATTGTTCTTTCGGGTAGATGCTCGTCGGTGTCGCCGCGTCGAAGTCATACTTCAATGAATGACCGAGATCCTGATAGATCTGAAGCAAAAGCTGATGCGTATTACTGTAGTCTAGCTAGATCTTATAAGGAATCACAATCACTCTAGTCTCGTTTTCAACTAAAGGTCTTCTTGAATTACTGTAGAAATTGAAACATGATAAGCGTTTTGCTGGATTACGGTAGACCTGGGAAGAATCCTAATAGCAGTTTCAGCGACATTTCCTTTCAGGTTTTTTCATCAACCTCTAGTCGTTCTCGCTCTCTTTTCGTCTCAGTTCGAAAATTGAAGAAGCAAGCAAACAATCAGACATGGAAACAACAAGGATGGTGCCCGCACTCAGAAAGAGACGAGGGCGTAGAGGAAGGTTTAGTTTAAAGGCGCGTGACAATTATTTTATTACAACCACCACTGCCGCGGGTTTTGGTCGCGAACGAAGATGGCATACCTCGGAATTATAATGCGGATGGGTGTAGGGCGATGGGAACCATGTCGAGTCGAATGTTGGCGCCGGCGCCGCCGCCGACGGAGCTAACTGAATTGCGCCTGACGTTGGGGCGGAGCCTGGAGCAACGACGGCTGGCGACGGACCACTATCGTATTGGTGGTGGACGACGTCTTCAGAGGAGTTCATTAAAAGGGGTTGAATGTGTGTGTGGGGGTAGGGATGGTCGAACGCGACAATACCTGCGCGCCGCGCCGACGCTTCCATTCGCCCCGCCTCCTCCTCCACCCTCTCCACCTCCGACGATGTATGCAACGCGACACAAATTTTTTTCTTGCTGCCCATCGAATGAAGCTTCGTGTGTTTTTCCATCTCCCATCGATTTTCGAACATCCGGATTTTGAATTGCGTCGTGGCATGATTAGATGATAATGATTTGGGCGATTCTAACGGTGGCCCCCTTGACCACAACGGCAGGCTTCTGGCGCCGAAATGGAATTGAGAAATTGGTAGGCTTGAAATCAAGACACCTCGCAATGAATTTTGGAAGCTCGGAGATTGGAAAGTCTCGGAAGCCAGCATACAAGTCAGAAGCATCGTCAAATTGTCGCGATTCTAAATCCACATCGAAATTCGAAGGCGCTGGCGCCTAGCGAGGACATCGAGTGAGAGATAGAGTTCCGCTTGCGGCCCACCGCAAAACAGATGTTATCAGAGTGATGTTTCTCGTTTGTCCTTTCACTGCCCTCTCAAACTTTCGCCCCCATCTCGGCCGGCCATTTTCACCCATTTCGAGTCGATGGAGGTGACCCAGAAAAAAGCGAGCGAAAAAAAAAAACGTTTCATTTACTGTCCTTTTTGCCTTATCAAATTTGACCATCATCATCAACATCATCATTCCTGAGAATCCGCTTCTTCGCCCAAAAACCCTATTTGGAGAAAAATAGAGAGGGGGGGGAGGGTTTCGCCGCGGCGTTACTGTTCGCTCGGCAGGTTTTCTTTGTCTACCGTAATCCAGCACGTGATTTATCGATGACGATTACATTCGGCGTCGTCGTCGTCGGCGATGGGCTTCTTCGGGTTTGGCAGTGGTTGAGATGTGGAAAAAAAACCAAAAATGAAAAATTACAGGAATGCTACAGTAATCCGACATACTGTAATAATGGCAATGTGGATAGAATAGAGTTAGTCGGAGAGAGATTGTAGGCTTGATGAGGGTTATGTCTAGTGGATCAATTACAGTAATCATCAGCAACAAGAATAAATAATAATAATATTAATGCTGATAATAATTATAATAATAGTAAGAAGCCCAAAATGGATTGGGCGATTCGGACGTGTGGAAAATGAGTGGTATGGCGAACTGGGGCTAGATGGGGAGGAGGTGGGGGGAGGCGAAGAAAAACCGAAAAACCGCCGGGCGGATCGAGTCCGTCCTAAAGAGTTTTGGGTGGCCGACGCTGACGTTCTCGTTGTCGTTTTCATCAAACCGTCACGATTTTGATTTCAATTCGTTCGACTCGTTGAATCACCCGATATTCATTGGCATGATTCGACGACGACACCTCCGAACGATCCTTGTAGGGCTGCATCGAGATGATGAGGAACATCGTCGAGAGAAGGCCGTGATTGCCAACATGCGCTATCGCCAAATTGTTGAGCTCCTGATCGTACACCTGTAGGATTACTGTAGACACCATTATACTCATCGGAAGCACGTAGATGAAGAGGCTCACGAAGACCTACAAGATATTAGACTTACAAGACAATTTATTTTTTACCGTTGTCATGATGCCTTTGAACAGCTTCAATTGAAGCTTCTGCGTTTTTATTGAAACTCGCGAGAATGGAAGTTTGACGATGATATAGTAGACTGTGGCGGCCACGTAGAACGCGGCTTGAATGGTCCCAAACGCCACTTGGAATAGGACGAGTTTGGCGACGAGCGACGCGTTGTTGGTGAGCACGAAAAAGTGCGGCTCGAAGAAGATCGCCGGCGGGCATGGCGCGATCTGCACAAACGAAAATAGAACGAGCCAGGCATTTTTCGGTTTGGACGCCACCTCGAGAAATTTTCGCCTCGCCTCTTCCTCGTCGACTTCCTCGAAGAGGAGAGGAACGAAGAGTAGTGTGGAGATCATATAGCTAACGGCGACATAGACGAATCGGGTTGATTTACGAGTGATTTTGAAGCGGGTCTCGACGAGACGAGAATAGCGATTCTCGAATATTAAGACCATTGATGTGGAGAGGTCTTGAAACGAGACAATACAGTTTTTGATCTACTCGCTTTTCAAATCATTTTGCGGTGTTTGCGGACTTATTCAATTGTGCAAACACTGATATTATTTGGGCTTACTGGTTACGACAATTTAGCCGAGAATCACGTGGTAGATCATTGGCACCCCAAACGCCCTCAAAATTCCCAACGAGGTTCCACACGGGCACGGCAGCATTATATAGGGGATGATGAGGAGGCCGAACACGAAATCCATAGCGAACAGCCTAAAATGTTTGGGGTTTGTTTTTCAAAAACGATTGTCGAAAATTTCGATACCAGAATTGAATTTGAAGTAATGCGCCTTTAAGATTGCCCATATGCGACGGCGTCTTGGTGACTATTAGATAGATGGCGTACATTTCCAATGGTAGGCTGAACGTGGCAAACAAGTGGGTAGCGGTGGCGATGAATTGCCACGATTCGAGGAACGTCTCGACGCGCGAGCACGAGCTTTGAGCTGGAGCAGCCATTCGTTTAGGCTTACGACATTGAGCAGCTCAATCGTCAACCTATAATTTGGGCGGAGGCTTTCTTCGAATTAATTAACACCCAACTAAAATTTGAATAATTTTCTATAAAAAATAATTCAAGTTAGTATAAGCGTCTAAATTTAAACTTTTAATAGTTTCAGTAATTAAAGGAGAATAAAGCAATGTCTTGAAAACGACTTGAACTAAACTCGTATTGAGTATTGTTGCCGCCGCTGCCATAAATCAATTATTTGCAAATATCCGCCATACGCACTTTTCGATTCAATATTGCACATTTGATACGACCAGAAATCATTAAACGGGGGAAATTTGAGGCGGAAATATTTTAGTTCAATAATTTATTAATTTTTTTTAAGAAATGAAAATCAAAAATCTATACACTAATGATGTAAATTTTGGCACTTCTCCACCCTTCAGTACTTCTAAAAGGCACCGAAAGATAGTCCATCATGCCAAAACCCCGTCCCTCTCGGGACCTTCTTTGGTGGGCAGAAAGAGGTTTCAGATCCCTGGGCCTTCATCGCCGTAGCTAGGCTCTGGGCATCATCATTAACCCACCCGAGCATCTCGCTCGGGCTTTTCCCTCTCTAAGGCAGTCCTAGAGTACCAAGTCGACCTCTCGGGAGGCTAAGGCTTCGTTTAAGCAGTCCAAGACTGCTCAATCCGCAAATTCTAGGCTTGAACAGTCCCAGACTGCTCACGCCTTCAAGATTCATCTTGACGCGGCCCTCGGCCGATCAAGATTCATCTGCCTCCCTCGGTACAGGCCCCCCGGGCCACCGACATGCTCCCCGAGCATGGTGAGAGGCTTCAACAAAACATTCAGAAGAGAACAGCCAAAAAAACCGACCGCTCGCGGTCAAAACTGAGCGAAAACTGACTAATTTAGGCCAAATTTTTCATTTGTTTACTCCCAAAATCCTACTTCCTGGCGTCGCGGCGGGAACCCGTGGGAAAATCACCCATCACGCCCTATAGACTCTCACCGTCTGCGTCTATTCATTAGGGTTGCAACCGCGCCCCATCGCACAGTGTAGATTTACGGCCACTTTTTCGATATTATTTCTCCTCTCTTTTTCCCATTTTTACCTCTATATTTTCCATTTATTTCCCCTTTTTCAGGTCAAATCGTCCCGGATTTGACACTCCCCCCCGGGGCGTATCATCTCCCTGTGAAATGATTTCCCGCCCGCCGGCGGTGATCTACGGCCTCCGAGTCCGTAGATCATACCGTGGCCGAGGCTCCGCCGTCGGGTTTTGGTTCTTGTCGAGATCCTCGTCTCGTACTAGCTCATCCGCATCCACTTCGAGGGGAACGAGTTGATTCACGGGCCGCAAGGTTGTACGACCCTTGCACCTTATAGAGACCGTCCTGATCACGCCGTCGGGATCTGTTATGATGTCCGTTATCCGCGCTAGGTGCCAACTATTCCGAGGTTGGAGTTTGTCTACCAGCAGGACTACTTCTCCTACCCGCGGCGCCCTTGGGGTACCGGCCTTTCCTCCGTACTGTCGCCGTTCTCGCAGCACCGCCAGATACTGCTGCTGCCAGCAGCGCCACAACTCGTCCAGAGTTCTGTCGATTCCTTGGACCAATTCCCCTAGTCTAGCCCCCGTGGTTTGAACTTGAGGGTCCCAATCCTCTTCCCTTTCGGCTTGCGAAGGCCAACTCAGGGCCGCCGATGGTACGAGAAAATCGATGGGCCGAATTGCCCTGACATCGTCCAAGTCTATGGAGTTGACCGTCAACGGCCTACTGTTCAAGGTGGCTTCTACCTCCGTGAGGATTGTAGGGAAGGTCGACGTCATCTTCTGACCTACTGTACGGAACAGCAGCCGTTTGGTTACCCCTACCAGGCGTTCATAAACTCCTCCTTTCCAGGGGGCATATGGCGTGATAAAGTGCAGCTCCATATGCTCTTTAGCCATGTATTGAGTCACCTCGTCTTCGAGTAAGGTCTCTGCCAATGTTTGGTTGAGCGTGTCTAATCCGAGTCGGAAACACGGCGCGTTGTCGCAGATCACACTCGACGGAACGCCGCGTCGTGCCGAAAACCGTCGCAGAGCCAGTACAAACTCCGACGCCGAATTATTCGTTACCATCTCCAAATGGCACGCTCGTGTCACGAGGCACGTTGTAAGCATCACCCATACTTTAACCACTCCTCCCGCCTGAGATCTCTTCAGTGTGAGAGGCCCGAAATAGTCTATCCCAATTCGTTCAAACGGGCGAGCCCTAGTCACTCGGCATTTCGGAAGCGCTGGCAACTCCGGGTATCGGAACGGTCGTCCGTTCATCTTTTGACAAACTACGCACGATCGTAGCGTTTGAACTACCAGTCGTCGTAGACCCGTGATCCAGAATCGCTCTCGAACCGCTGCCATAGTGTGCTCTCGTCCGTGGTGCATGCTCTTTTCGTGGGCCTCATTGATTACGAGCCGCGCCAACGGGTGACCCGACAAAATCAAAATTGGCTCTCGTGCGGCCAGGTGAAGGTATGCATTTTTTAACCGGCCCACGCAACGAATTATCCCGTCGGGGTCAACCCTCGGGTTCAAATTCTGATCAATGCGGAACTCATCGATTGACGCCATATCCTGATAGTGTCGCACGATTAGCCAGAGTTCCGCAGCCCGGATCTGTGCTGTGGTGTTGCTACCTTGTCTCTCAATCTCTCTCATGAGAGGACCTGTCCAGGCGATTCTTCTCCGACCGGTTTGCCTAGCGAATTCTGCGACCCGTCGCATGATCGCAGCGAGTCTGGTCAACGTTCGAACATTCTGGTACGGGACGACCTCGTTGTCCATCGTTTCGCCGTTTACCGGTATGAGAGCCGTGGTCGTTACCGTGAGGGTGTCCCCCTTCAGATCATCTGTTCTCGTCTTGGATGAGCCAGGCAAGCACTCTCGCAGAACCTCGGAAGGGAGAAGGCCCCAATCCAAGGAAGGGAGAAGGCCCCAATCCAAACGGCAAACGCGTAAACCGGAAGGTCCGGATATTCCCTGGGACCGGTCCCTGTTTGAAATCTCTCCACCAGAGAAATCGTACCGCATCTCTATCCTCTTCCCGAATACGGATTTGATGGAAGGCTTTCTCGATGTCCGAAGTCATTAGGATCTGTGGAAGCCTGGCTCTCAGCAACATCCCTACTAGGCTCCGTAGTATCGACGGCCCATTATGCACGCACTCGTTCAGGGAGAGCTCTCCGCGCATATGGGACGAGCAATCCAAGACCACTCGAACCTTCGTGGTATTGGAATCTGGTTTGAACACTCGAGAGTGCGGTATGTAGTAGGTCGGTCCCCAACCGCCGTCGTCATTGCACACTTCAATGATTCCGCTAGCCAGCTGTGACGCGATCGTCTGGTCGTACTGTTCCAGAGCATCAGGCTCTTTCCGTAATGCGTGGAATTGCGCTACCAGCCGCTTATGAGCCATGGCATAGTTGGAGTGCAGTCTGGCCTCCTTCCCGTTAAAGGGAAGTGCCACATGTATCTCGCCGTCGCGGACTACTACCTTCTCCAAGTATTCCTTTACTACTTGCTCGTTTTCCGCCACCTCCTGCTTTGCTCCCCCGGGAGTCTGTATGCCCAGGAAATCGAGGCTCCACATCTGAGCTATGTCGAAATCCTCGGCGGTGTGGGTTAGACACAAAGTGCTTCCTAGGCTCTCATCAGATGCCCTACCGCATACGCCGTCGCCGTACGGCGTGTGCAGTAGAATCTGTCCGTTGGCCATTCTACTGATCCTCGCACTTCTCAGGAAGTCAGCGATGTGATCCATTCCTAACAGTAAATCAATGGTCACGGTCTCCATTGCTACCTCCGATTCCCCGTCCGGTAGGTATAGCCGCCGCATCTCATGGCAAATCCGCGGAATCGCCGTCGCCATTATCTGTAGCGATGCAGCCCCTTGCTTCCATGGGATGTTATAAACGGCCGTTTCTAGTCGGGTGGCGCTATCTCCGACTCCGTAGACTATCACTATCCGACGTCTGATTTCTTCAAGGCCTAGCTCGTCCGCTAGTTTCTGTGTCACTAATGTCTGGTCCGCCCCACTGTCAATCAAGACACAAATATCACGGTTCGCCAACCTGCATTTTATCACTGGTACAGCAGCTCCTTTGACCTGGCTTACGGCCGCCACCACTGTCTCCTCCGGACACGGCCGAGCTGCAGCTACCTGATAGCCCACTTCCAGTGGGCACGGCGGTAAAGATCTACGCTGACGGTTGATCTCTGAAGAGGGCTTCTCCGCCGCCGTTGCAGAGGGCCCTACCGGGAACGAGGCTTCATTGCTGGTTACTCGCTGGGGAACGAAAAAACATATCGGGTTGCTGGCAGATGGCATGATGGTGGTTGCCGCCACAGTTCCGACAATATGCCCCTTTACATTGCCTCATGAAGTGGCCCGTCTGTAGACAGCGGTAGCATACCCGTCTACTCACCGCTGCCGCCTTCCGAGCTTCCGCGGTCAACGGACAGTTCTCTGGCCAATGACCTCCATCATCAAACGGACAACTCGTCTGTTGCGGCCGGCGTATTTGCGGCGCCTTTCTTCTCTCCTCCGCCTTTGACGCTTGGGGTCTACCGTACGTGCCTCGTCCTTCATGCGGCAAGGGCATGTAACCCTTCCCTTGCTGACCGCTCCAGCTACCTCGACCGTTCGGGCTCCTGACACCTCCCGGCCTTCCGCCGCGGTGGTCGTCGTTCCGGTATGGCTCCGCCCTTCCATAGGATCCGCGTTGATTCTCCTCATGACCTAGAGTCACCGCGACCTGCACTGCGTCCGCGTCCCAGGAATATTCCGAACTTTCTGCTCCCGGCCGCCTGGCCGCCATTCGTTGGTGGAGTGCATCCTCCTCTTCCACAACTTCCTGCAGTTGTTCCAACATGGTCGTTACATCGAACGAGTACTTAGCCTTTGTCTGACGGCGGTCAATCCTGGCCTGTATCGACGCTGGGAACTTAGCCAAAAGATTCCGCGCCATCATGGGCGCGCGACCCAGATTGAATCGGTTGAGTCGCCTCAGAATGCTCTCGCACCGATCTAACAGATCAAGCATGTCTTGCGGCAATGCCCCGGCTGGAGCTTCAGATGCTCGAACTTCTGAATCCAGACTTATTCTCGACTCTGTCCGGTGTTGAATCTGCGCTCGAGGATTCGCCACGCTTCCGCGTAAGCTTCATCCGACGGCTCAATCGCTTCCAACAGTACCTCCGCCCGCCCAGTTACTTTGCTCTGTAGCATCACAAACTTGGACGTCGGATCCATCTGTGTATTCCGACTGACAGCGTGCAAAAAGATATTGCGGAACTTCGCATAGCTTTCCACATTGCCGTCGAACATCGGAATCTCCACCGAAGGTAATTTGTACGTTGCTAAGCCTTCCGGCATGTACCGCCGGTTCCCTTGGTCATCTTCCAGGGCCGTGTGGAGACTGCAAGTCGCCACCTGTCCCGCCGGTTCCTCGAAGCGCGCCATTCTGGAGCTCTCGCTCATTAACGGTTCCTCTCTCATTTCATCCTCGCTAAGGTCTGAGGACTCCTCCTCCATTTTGGGTTCGGCCGCCTCCTCGCGCGGCTCCTCGGGGAACCGTTCCCATAGCGTCTCCATATACGCCTCGAACCTCTTCGAGCACCTGACAGTCTCCAACCAGACTCGCCGTACCTCGCGGTGTCGTTTATGCTCCTCCACCGCCCGGAGCCCATCAAGAAGAGCCGTCTCCGGCACTCTCGCCTCGGTTAACTCGCCGATGGCCGCCGTTTCCAGCTCGGCCAGTCGGACCAAGTCCTCCAAGGCCTTCTTGAGTGTCGTCCAAATCGGCCTAGCCGTTCGGAGTTCTTCCAACGAGGGAACGTTTCCTTCGAGGTTGTCCAGGTGAGCAGCCGCCGTCCCAGCCGCTTTTACCGCCGCCGAGACTCGTCTAGTCACCTGGGTTTTCAGTTTTTGGATTAAGGGTTTGACTTGAGTTGTCATCGTCGTATTCACTGTTTGATACTGTAATAATTCCCATATCTCTGAGACGTGGCGAATAACGATACGAGACGAACGACTATACACGACAAAAGCATTTACTACAAACTGGCAGGCCTTATACGATTTCGATGCCTCCGTTACAATACTGAGATCCTCGGAAATCCGAGGTTGGAATGGGTGGTCCCCCTCCCCATGCCATAACGACCGGACCTGGTCGGTCACGGGCTGAATTTCCGCGCTGGTCCCCGACCTCGTCTATCTAACCATGTCATTAGAGATTGGTCAGCTTCCAGACCGCGTGCCTGTGCCGGAAATCTATCGAGATTACCGTGTCTTATCACGACTGCGTGGCGGTTGATCAGGCCACCTCGCTGCCACGTCGGGTTCCGCCGTGACCCGGAACCTTGCACCTGCTATCAGCCAGAGTCTGGGGCAGTTGGGGCTATTAATACCCAACTGTACCGTCCCCGACTTATGGTGGTCTCAGCTCCACCCAGAGTTTCAAGATTAACATCCAATTGTCGTTCGTCAGTTGTTCACCCCCCGTCTGAACGATGAGAGTCAGCCCCTTCTTATCCGGTTCGTCAACGACCTCGTCGTTCCCTTTCAAGTTCAATCGAATCAATAACACATTGCTATTAATAACATTTATCTGACAAAAAAATAACAAAATTTATCAATAGGGATCACATCCCTCTTCCCTTGCCGGCTCAGGCCTTCTTGCAGAAAACCTGCAAGTGGGCTTCCGAGCCACACCTCGGGCACTTCAACCGCTGGTGGCGGCACTTAACTCGAGCTGAGTGCCTGGCACACTTCAGACACAGCTCCGCCTCGATGGCCTTGAGCAGCCGGTCCGTCGCCGTCGGGAATTTCTGGCAAAGCTCCTCCTTGTGGTCCTCGGCGCACAGCGTGCAGGTGATAACCTTCTCCGGCTTTCCGGCGCCGCCGATCGTCACCTTCGGTTCCGAAGTCGCGCTCGCGAGTACTGCCGCCAGTTGCTTGTTAAGAGTAACATGCTCCTCGCGTAGCTGTTGAAGCATCAACAGCACGTCCTGATGAGCCTGCTTCTCCCTTCCCAAGGCGCGCCGCATCTCCGCCACCTCCATTGCCAGCTCCACCGTCTTGGTCCGAATGTGGCTGGTGTCCGTCGCCACCCGTCCGACGTCGTTCTGGAGCGTCTTGCTCCACGACGCGATCGTGGCCTGCATGGCCGACTCGCCTTGAACCGTCGCTTCAAGGGCTCTGAATATCATTCATCAAGTAAAGGCAATCTTACGGTAACCCATACCTCATCGTCCTCTGGTGCCACTTCTTGTCCGATCTACTCTCGATCTCCGCGATCATGTGCTCGAGCTCCTCTCGCGTGAGCCCCCGATCGACTCCGAACCGCGTCTTCTTCGCCGGAGGGCTTCCCAAGTCCGCTTGGGTAGCTACGTCGGGCGAAACCGGGGCACACTCGTCCGGTGCCGCCGTCGAGTCCTCGACCCTTCCAGCTATCGCTGACTGATCGCCTTCAGTGGGAAGGTCGTCGATCGGCTCAGTCTCATCGCCATTCTTCGACGCTCTCTTCGAGCCTCGTTTGCTCTTCGGAGTCATTGCACCTGAACCTGAACCATGTTCACCATTAGACAATTAATCAGAATCACAGATAATTCCGGAGAATAACACTCCTGTCATAAATTGAACAACATTCAACACTGTTAATCATCAACATGTCTTTATGACTTAAATCAAAAAACAATCAATTATCCGTTGCAATGCGCCAATCTTTCCGCCGCGGGGTGTGCGTGCCAGAAGTGCACGTGCGGCCCTCCACAGATGCGGCAGGTCACCGGCCTATCACCGCATTCCGTCACCGTGTGGTGATATCTTCCGCAGCGTAAGCATACGCCTATCCGATCCGCCGCCTTCTGCCGCTGGCACTGGAATACCACCACATTGCATCGCCATGTGCCGTGTGTTCTCGAATGGCAGAAGGTGCATGTCCTCTCCCTTCTGTCCTTGTTCGCCACCGCCTGGTCTTCATCCTTCGCGACGGCCCACTCGACTCGTTCTATCATCGCCGTCGACAGGCGATGATCGCATTCGGCAGGCGCTTCTCGGCGCTCTTCCTTCACCAAGTCCGCCACTGTCTTGCCGAGCCGCCAATAGAACTCATCGTCCTTCGGCGCATCGCTGACCAGTGCTTTCAGCACCGCGTCATAGACGGTGTCTTTGCCGCTCATGTCCGCCGCTGAAATTCAACCAATTAACTTCCCAAGTTCTAACGGTCGAAGAAAGCGCACGGTAATTACGAGAAATATGACCTGGTTGTCGCCATCAGGATCCTATCTCTTTCAAGTACCCACCGGTCGATGCACCATGTAAATTTTGGCACTTCTCCACCCTTCAGTACTTCTAAAAGGCACCGAAAGATAGTCCATCATGCCAAAACCCCGTCCCTCTCGGGACCTTCTTTGGTGGGCAGAAAGAGGTTTCAGATCCCTGGGCCTTCATCGCCGTAGCTAGGCTCTGGGCATCATCATTAACCCACCCGAGCATCTCGCTCGGGCTTTTCCCTCTCTAAGGCAGTCCTAGAGTACCAAGTCGACCTCACGGGAGGCTAAGGCTTCGTTTAAGCAGTCCAAGACTGCTCAATCCGCAAATTCTAGGCTTGAACAGTCCCAGACTGCTCACGCCTTCAAGATTCATCTTGACGCGGCCCTCGGCCGATCAATCCGATCAGTCGTCCGGTGTACTCGCGATAATGAGTGTTTGAGAAGATGAGGAATGTTGTCGAGAAGATGCCATGCGTTGTTAGCATCAGAATCGCCGTGTTGTTCAATGACTGGCTGTAGATTCGAAGCATCATCGCGACGGCGCACATTGTCACCGGAATGAGCACCGCAGAGATGCACACTGAGATCTAGAGTAGTATTTTGAAATTGATTTAGTATTGATTCGATGAATGAGCCTAACTGTAATCATGAGACTCTTGAACAAGTTCCATTGAAGGGCGCGCGTTTTCTGAGATGTTTGGAATTTGGGAATCTTGATAATTAGATAGTAGGAGGTTGCAATGAAATAGTAGAAGATTTGAATTGCAATGAACAGCATGCTGATGATGGCGAGAATGCTGAGCAGCTCGAAATCGTCGGAAAAGACGAACAGCTTTTCGCTGTAGAATAGTGGAAGAGGGCATGGATCGACCTGAAGTTGTCGGAATTGAAATTGAACTGCTAGCATTAGATTGCTTACGTCGAGCAGGTAAAGCTTGGCCTTTTCCTCGCTGACTTCGAGGAATAGGAATGGGGTAAAGGCGAGACACGACCAAGCATAGCATAGGGCGGTGTAGGCAATCCTGGTGGATCTTCGTGTGATCTTGAATCGAGTTTCGACGAGATGCGAATAGCGATTCTCGAAAACGAGCACAACGGCTATGCAGAGGTCTGCAACTCATTTTTGGTTTTCATTGAAGCCTACTGATGGTCATTCATACTCAATACGCTAATTTCGCCAAGGTAGAATTGAGCATTGTCGGGAACGCCGATTTGACTTAATAGGCCTAAATTGATGGCGCATGGGCAAGGGAGCATCATATAAGGCACGGCTAGAATACCGTAACAAGCGTCGGTAATCAGATTCCTGAAGTGACCATTGAATGATGTGCTGAGAAGAAGGTGTTCTACCAGATTTGGAGTTGTAGCAATGGCAGTTTGATGCTTTGAAGGTTTGCGGGCGTCGTCGTTGCTATTAGAAAGATACTGTAGGCTTCGATTGGAAGACTTAGCAGGGTCATGACGAGAGATGTGTGGAATAGAAATTTGGGTGATTCGAGGATCGCTTCTGACCGTGTGCACATTTTTTCTTTTTTGGGGGAGGGGGGTGATTAGAAAAAAAATATTCGCGTATGAGGTGTATTGTTGTTGGTCTAATTCAATTTTTGCGGTCTCGAACGCGCAAATCGAATTCGTTTGCAGTGGGCGAATTCCAAGAAACATACGTTTTGTTCCCGCTGAATTGCTTTCTCGATATCGCTGAGCGCGAAGAGCACTGATGACCCCACTCGCTCCTAGAGCTTGTCGTCGTTGAAAATGCAAAGTCGGACCCGAATTAGACTGGCGATTATATTGAGAAGAAGTGAATACCAGAATACAAGGCTGAGAAGTCTTTTGGATTTTACGATCAGCTATTGGACCCACGAAGGCGAAAGAAGTCCTCTAGATAAGTCAATCGCTTCCCTTCATTTCAAATGTTCACTTGAATAAGACACGGCCTAGTTTTGGGGTCGTTTTTGACCCCGGCCAACCGTCGTAGAAGCTGTTTTGTGTATTCCCTATATGGCTTATAAGCGATGATATTGAAGATTGTGGAGTAGATTCCATGATTTGTTATGAGAAGGGCCGACAGGTTATTTATTGATTGGCTATGGAAGCCGACGATAATCGGTGTGCACAATAGGACGATGGGTATTATGACGAAGAAGACTCGCAGGGCGAGCTGAAATGAAACCATTTGCAAATAGTTGTACAGAAGCGAACTACCGATATGACGAGGCCAGCGAACACTCGCTTTTGAAGCTTTTGGGTTTTTGGTGAGATTCGGATTAATGGTAGTGAAGCCATTAGATAGTAGGAGGTGGCGAAGAAGTAGAATGCGTTTTGAGAAGCGATGAAGAGAATGCAGGCGACGATGATTTTGAACAGAAGATTCTCGTTGTGAGTCAGAACGAAGAGGCTATCATCATTTAAGAGCCGTGGAGGGCACGGTTCTACCTGACAGGTGTTCCGGAAATCATAATTTGAATATTTCAACTCGCCTCTAGTAATTTCGATTTGGCTGCTTCCACGTCAACACTAAGAAATATGAATGGCAAAAATGCGCATGTTGACCATACATAGCATAATGTGACATATGCGATCCGAGTGGATTTTCGAGTTATTTTAAATTTGGTCTCTACAAGGCACGAATAGCGATTCTCGAAGATTAGCACCATGTCAACGCTAATGTCTGGAAATAGTTTTAGAATTGCCAATTCGGATAAGTGTACTTAGTATAATGTTAAAGTTTTTTTTCCAGATATCAAATTTTAAGCAACTGTCAAAAATTTACCGGGACCCACTAGATTTTTTAAAATTTCACATATCAGTTTAAAAGCTCACGAACTTGTTAACTGTTTAATCAAATTAACCGGTTAATTCGCGAAACCGATCATTTTGTTAACCAAGTAAGTGGTTTATTCTCGGAACCAATCCAAGGGATCCGGGTTAAAATTAACCAGTGTTACACAATAGTACTGTCGGCGTTCAACGACTGCTCTACGCGGCTAGATTTACGCGCATGCGTGGTCTCGCACGGACTAACCGGTTATTTTGAATTTTATGGATCGGTTCGATAATTTTTTTTCATCGAATGACATTGGAAATTCAAGAAAATGTGAAACTCATAAAAAATTTAACCCTTCACGGCAAAATAAAACAGCAAAATAAACGTTCCCACGTGGCAAGTCCTTTTCAAGGCGCATGCGAGTAAATCCCGCGTAGAGCATTCGTCGGACGCCGACTATACTTAGGAATGTGATTTGTGCGATGTAGAATTGAAGAATGGCAGGAACGTTGAAGTAAGTTAGAAGGCCTAAAAGGACCCCGCATGGACAAGGGACCATGAGGTAGGGAACGATGAGGAAGCCGAGCGCGACGTCGGCGATTACGTTCCTGAACGTGAGTGAGTTCAAGTGTTTGAATTCAACGGATCACCATATTTGGAGTCTTAACAATGTTGTTGTAACGGTCCTCAGATTTTGAGGGGTTTTTGACGCGATTAGAAAGATGCAATAGATTTCGATGGGAATACTGATGACGGTTAGAATGTGTGAAAAATGGAGCAGAAACTCGGGAGAGTCGAAATACGTCTCCGTACACATGACGACAGAATCGATACCCAAATTGGTTTGGAATTGACGAATTTTGGAGATCAAACCTCTAGCATAATAATCTTTCATAATAATAGGGTTTGAGTTATGAATTTATTTAGTTATGAAATTCACGGAGCAAATTTGCAGATTTCATTCAGAGAATTTATAGTTATAACGCACTGCATCCATTAGAACGAGACCTCGAAGAGTTGAAGATGGGCAAGGGATCTTGTGCAATTTGGATTGACCTGATAAAAAGGTACTGAATGTGTGTTGGGATTTTTTACTGCTTGACAGCTGAAAATCTTTTCTTGGACCTATTCAGCGTAATAAAAAACTGTCATTGTAATGTTTGCGTAATTTCACTCGGTGCAATCATTGAACAAAAGGCGTGTATAATATTTGGACTAGTCCACTGAGAAATTCGGCGTGCAAAAATTAAAATTTCGAACAACAACATCAAAAATTATAATATTACTTGGATTTGGCTTTTTTTGCGCGAATTGAACCGATATTTTTGGTGATTTTTTGTGTTATCGAATTTTTAGAAATGCGGGAGTTTTGAGAAATGTTCCAAAAACACCCAGCAATTATTGTGTGTTTATTCAAATGACTAGAATAAAAACTGTTTAGCTGTCTTCAAACTTGGCATGTGTAGGCTCGAGTCGTCGCCGTCACTAATGGTGTCGGATTCTCGGAAGTCGTGTATCGTCCTAGTAATTTGAACGTATGTTCGCGATATGACTGATTCGAGAAGATAATGAACATTGAGGAATACATTCCGTGAGTTGCTACGAAGAACACGGCCACGTTGTTCATCGATTGGTTGTAGACCTCGATGAAAATTGTGGATGACATTAATATGAATGGAGCCATTATCACGCCGACGCTTAGAGTTGTCTGGAATTGTGATTTTGGCGGGAATTCCACAGCAGACACCTTACCGTGATCAGCAGGCCGCGGAACACGCGCTTTTGCAATCGTTGAGTGTTTATGGAAGCTTGCGATATGGGGAACTCGAATTTCAAATAGTAGATGGTTGAGATCACGTAGAAGAGGCATTGGATGAGGACAATGGTGAGGAATGAGAGCACGAGGAATGAGACCATATTGTAATCATCGGTGAACACGTACAGCTCGGAATCGTAGAAGAGAGAAGGAGGGCAGGAATCGATCTGCAAATGGAGAATTTGAATAATTCGAAATCAAGGGTACCTCTAGCAAATAGCGTTTGGTTGCTTCGACGTCAGGAGTTCGAAACACTAGCGGAACGAATATGCATGTTGAGATGAAGTAACAGAAGGCGGTGTAGGCGATTCGCGTTGATCGGCGAGTCATTTTGAAGCGCGTCTCGACTATACATGAATAGCGATTCTCGAAGATTAATATAATGGCGGTGATCAGATCTGCAATGATGACCCTCTGCATTCTATTCAATACTGCTCAATAGTGTACTTGCTATATTGATTTGACCGTAGAATACTTGGTAGACTGTTGGGACACCTAGGACGCGAAACAAGCCTAGAGGGACACCGCAAGGACAAGGGAACATGAGGTAGGGGGTGATGAGAAAGCCGAGACCGATGTCTGCCATGAAGTTCCTTAAGAGATGAGCGATGAGCTTTAGCGAGGTGTTGCTCACCATAATTGAAGCTGGAGTAGTGGCGCAAGTACGTTGCGCATTCGGCACGGCGTTTTGGTGACGATTAGAAAAATGGTGTACAATTCGATGGGTATACTAAACATGGAGAAGAAATGGCATGAGAATGCCATAAAATGCCATGATTCGAGGAATGCGTCTGTGCGATTGCACGACGATTGAGCATTCATTATACGAATGGACGAAGTGAGAATGAGTCTCGCGTTTTGCACTTGGCGTTGCTTTTTTTCAGCTGCGGTTCGAGTTTTCACCTTGCACCGGGCGCGACTTTCGAGATATTGTGAATACGGCTGAATCTAATGATAGGCTTGTGAAAGATAATTGCAATGACATTTTGATCAGGAAAAAGAAAATGTGTAGTACATTCGTCTTGTGTGTCTTCGGCGACCCCTGCCTTCTTCTCCCTATTCTTCTGGATTACAGACATTTGAGATATTTGGATCTGGACTTGAAGGTACTATGTAGAAGGAATGATACTGTTATATATTTTGATCTACATTATTAAGTCTAAATGTCTTGCTGATTTCCGGTGACAATTTAATTTTGGACAGAATTGAAGAATATGCTCGCGATAGCCTTGAGTTGAGATGATCATGAAAATCGTTGAATAGATGCCATGCGTTGACATTAAAAGAATCGCGACGTTATTCAAGCCTTGATCGTAGAAGCCGACAAGCATGGCGAGCATGAGAGCAAAGAATGGGATGGCGATTACTGTGACGTTCAAGGAGATCTGAAAGGAGGAGTTGCGTTTGGTTTTTTCGATTCACGTCTCTTACCATTATGACTAAGCTTCGGACGACTCTCTTTTGGAAGTTTTGAGTGATTGTTGAAATTGGCGATGCTGAGATTTTGAATTGCAAATAATAGAATGTGCAAAGGCTGTAGAACGCGCATTGCGACAGAATGAATAATGAGAAGGTGGTCAACACGATCATGAATGTGGTGAAATTGTCGGTGAGCACGTAGAGGTCCGAATTGTAGAAGAGCTTGGGAGGACACGATTCGATCTGCAAATGGATCGAAATTGGATCGTCATGATTGAAACTAACATTTAATAAGACTTGTTTGGCTTTGTCCATATTAGGCTTTTGAAGAAGAAACGGAAGGAAAATGCACGAGGAGAATGTGTAGCAGAAGCTGATGTAGGCGATTCTTGTAGATTTGCGAGTCATTTTGTAGACGGTTGTACTAGGCAAGAGTAGCGATTCTCCATTACCAGAAGGATTGCCGTCGCGAGACTTGTCGCATGCAATTGGCCGTAAACGGTTTGGTAGAGGGTTGGGATTCGTAAGGCGTGAAAAATTCCCAACGGGACTCCGCAAGGGCAAGGAATCATTATATAAGGGGTAATGCAGATGCCAAAGGCGAAGTCTGTTAGGATGGTCCTGAAGCGAAAAAAATGTAAAACTAATTTTGGCGTTCTTGCCATATTTGTAAGTGAAGAAGTGTCCACATCACGTTTTTCATTTTTGGCGGAGTTTTGGTGTAGATCACCCAACAGCCGTAGAACTCAATAGGCAGACTGAACATGGAGAAGACGCGAGATGTATAGGAATGAAATTGCCATGATTCGAGAAATGTGTCGTCGCGATTGCATGCGGCTGCCATATTTGGCGAAATATTCCTCATTAGTCGCAGATGTTTTTTGTTTTCAGCTTCATCTCTTTTCTTCATCGATATTTTCGGTGAAACGCTCATTATGACCGTCGCAAAAAATTAAACTGTGAGATTTTGGCTGTTTTGGATCCGCACCGCAAATGAAATGTTCGAGTTTTTATTCTCGAAGATGGTTATCAAAGTAATGTGGTTTTTTAAAGCAATTTCGAATTTAATATATATATTTTTTTAATTATTTCACCCCATTTTTGCTGTAATTTTTCAAATTTTTTTTTTCGAAATTTGGTGAATAGCGCATTATTCTTTAGTCTTTCAAATGAAAAACCATCAATATCGTCCATTTTCTTCATTTTTCTATTAAAAACAATTTTTCGTTGTGAAAAATGCGAACACACTAAAACGAGGGCAGTACGACACTTCGGGGGTCTCAACGCGAATTCGTGTGCGCCTTTAGTCGACTCGCCGTTTTTCTCATTTTCGCTTCTTTTCCTAAAATTTTTCATCATTTTTTTAGTTGATTTCGTTCCAATTGTGCAATTTTTTTCAACGTTAATATTAAAAAATTACGGAAAATTCGATTTTGAGAACGAATATTAATATATTTGTTTGCATTTGGATAGCATTCGTATTTTTTGTCTTGAAATTATCTTACGTGAATATTTTTCGATTTTCTTCTTGACACAGATCAATATTTTTATTTTCAGGGTATAACAATCTACTCAGTAGCATGGTGAGTTAGTTTCTTTGTTTGTCTCATGGATTATTTTGTATCTATCGCATGATGGTTTTAAACTATTTTTAAGGGTATTGATATTAATCACAAGCACGATCGCATTGCCCGTAGAACGGCTCCTAGAAGCGAAAACCCGTATGTTCGTCTTTTGGCAAAGGTAAAAACAATGTTAAATTTTTTATATTAATTCTGCAATTTTCAGCTTTACGGATTCTTGGCCAGACGCACCGGGGCTAAGTTCAACGATATCGTCCTGAAGCGACTTCGCATGTCCCGCCGCTTCCGTCAGCCACTTTCGCTCGCTCAGGTGGTTCGCCATGTGAAGAAGCCCGGAAACGCAGAGAAGACCATCGTCACCCTCTCCACCGTCACCGATGATGCTCGTCTCTACACTGTCCCAAAGATCACCGTAAGTTACTTTTTGATAAATAAAAGTATTTTTGTTACTGACGCGTGATTAACAATCCTCTTCGGGGTCGATTGTTTCTCTTTGTGGAGCAACGAAACTATTAATATAAGCTTTTCGGTCCACCGTGTCATATAGCAATAACTGTGTGGCCCTTCTTTTTGAAGATGCCCGGTATATTCGTATATTCCTAATCCTTTTGTAGAGTCGTTGATTCTGTGACAATAAGGAAAAACCATGCGAATAACAATGATAATAAAAACGTGTGTAATGTAATATTTTTTTTAGCTCGCCGCTCTCCACGTCACTGAAGGAGCTCGCGCCCGTATCTTGAAGGCTGGAGGAGAAATTATCACCCTCGATCAGCTCGCTCTCAAATCACCAAAGGGAGAGAACACTGTCCTCATCCAGGTTTGTAAAAATTTATTCAAAAATAGTGAGTTTCTGAGAAAAAAAGGCAGCTAACAGAATCTGACGTTGAGTATCGTTTTTTCAGAAACAGGCTATTCTAGTCATCCTAACTTTATAATGTTTTGTAAGAATTGATTTTTAGGGACCAAGAAAGGCCCGTGAGGCCCAAAAGCACTTCGGACCAGCTCCAGGTGTTCCACACAGCCACACCAAGCCATACGTGAGATCGAAAGGAAGAAAGTTCGAGCGCGCCCGTGGTCGCAGAGCCTCCAGAGCGTACAAGAACTAAATATTTGTTGTTATTGTTGTGTTCGTGTGGCGATGCCAACAGCAGACCCACGCGCAATAAACATTTTGTCAATAAGATTGAAAGATTTAATAATAAGAAGAGAACATGGTTGACAGAGGCCACCAATAGTTGTCTTCTCGTCAGGAAACCCACTAATTGACCTCTATGACGTTCCAAATTTGGTGGGCGAGGTGGATGCCTAGCCAAGGTTTTTTGAATCAATAATTCGTTGTTCCCATTCATCACCATGGTTTCGTTTTCCACATTTGTACATATATTTAGTTACAACGAATTTCGGCGTTGAAACCGACAGTGCATGAGAGTGGAGAGAGCGCGGCAACACGTGTAATTCAAAAACAAATACGGCCAAAATGCCAACGCATTAGTGTAAAAATGCAAGCCGATGCGTTTTCTCGCGTTCCTTTTTTTTTTCAAAGTTTACTCATATTTTGCGTTTTTCAGACATGGGTTTGAGCCGATACATCAGCCGACGATATCATTGGCTTGCACAGTATCTTGCGTTGCTGTTCTGCTTGTATTTAGTGTATATATATGTATCGCCGCCAGAGCAGCAGCAGATAAAAGCGCCGCTGGACGACAGTGTGATATTTGATCCGCAAAATTCAGGTGAGTCACATGAATCGCGAACTTCCGATTTGAATGAATCGATTTGTAGAAGAACATTCAAACGACGGCGAAAAATCGGGAAAAGCATTAGACCCGTTGGAAAAATATCGCGGGCAGCCGAAAATTGTGAGATTTTCTGCGGTGTTCTCAAAATATAAAAAAATGAATTTTCAATAGAAATGGGAAGATGAAGCGGCTTATGAGCGCGAGAAGAGTCGAACGGGTCCCGGTGAATGGGGAGCGCCGGTGAAGCTGCCGAATGACAAGGAGATTGAGAAAGAAGCGGTAGAAACTTGTGATTTTGATTTTTAAGAAAAATGTTTGGCCAATTTTCAGCTTGCTCTTTATAAAGCGAATGGCTACAATGCGTATATATCGGATTTGATTTCTGTGAATCGATCGATTAAAGATATTCGCCATCCGAAATGCAAACAAATGACGTACTCCAGCAAATTGCCGACGGTTTCTGTCATTTTTCCATTTCATGAGGAGGTTTTCGGTTTTTTCTTCAAATGATCATTTTTGTTTTTTCTTTCATTTTCAGCATAACTCGACACTTCTGAGATCGGTTTATAGTATTATCAATCGATCGCCGCCGGAGATTCTCAAGGAAATCATTCTTGTCGATGATTTTAGCGAGAAGCCGGCATTGAAAAAACCGTTTGAGGATTTGCTTAAAAGGAATGGAATCGATCATATTGTTAAAATGATTCGAACGAAAAAGAGGGAGGGATTGATTCGAGCGAGGCAGATCGGCGCCGAGAACGCGGTTGGAGAGGTTGGTCAAAAAATGGGTCCTGTATGGAATTGTTTTGGCTCGAGGCTTTTTTTGCGAATAGGCACATTGAATTTCAGATTCTCATATTCCTTGACGCGCATTCTGAAGCGAACTATAATTGGCTTCCGCCGCTTCTTGATCCTATCGCTGAAGATTATAGGTAGTTTCATTGTTTGCCCCAAAGCAACGTATTAACTTGAGACTTGAAGAACCGTCGTTTGCCCATTCGTTGATGTCATCGACTGCGAGACGTACGAGATTCGGCCGCAAGACGAAGGAGCACGAGGTTGAGATTGACCGCCGATTATAGATAACTAGTGTGTACAGGCTCATTTGATTGGGCGTTCAATTACAAGCGATTGCCACTTCGAAAGGCTGACAAGCAGAATCCGACGGTGCCGTTTCCATCGCCGGTGATGGCCGGAGGCTATTTTGCGATATCGGCGAAATGGTTTTGGGAGCTTGGAGGTGGGTTACTCTCGTCGGCAAATTCTGATTCCGATTCAAGGCTACGACGAAGGTTTGGATATTTGGGGCGGTGAGCAGTACGAGTTGAGCTTCAAAGTTTGGCAATGTCACGGACGAATGGTGGACGCGCCGTGCTCGCGCGTCGCCCATATCTATCGATGCAAATATATGCCGTTCAAAAACGCCGGCATGGGCGATTTTGTGTCGAGGAACTACAAGAGAGTCGCCGAGGTTGCGAGTTTTGTCGAGAAAAATTCCATTTGTTGTTTTTTTTTTCTCAGGTTTGGATGGATGAGTATAAGGAGATTCTGTACAAACATCGGCCAGGAGTCGGCAATGCGAATGAAGGTGAGACGATGGGCAGCGAGACTTGGAGTGTGTTGAGAATTTTGTAGGTGACTTATCGCGAATGAAAGAGATCCGCAAGAAGCTCAAGTGTAAATCTTTTGATTGGTTCATGAAGGAGGTGGCGTTCGATCAGGACAAATATTATCCGGCGGTTGAGCCGAAGGCATCGGCTCAGGGTGAGATTCGGCATGTCGCCTCGAAATTGTGCATCGACACGCAGTTCAAAGAGCAGAACCAGAGGTTTGGTCTGAAGAAGTGCATTTCGGATGATAAGGATATCGGTGGAGAACAGGTGATTTGAAATTTGATGAAATTGAGAAAGGAACGAAAAAAAAAGAAATTTCAAATATTTTGGCGAAATTTTTCATTTTTGGACTTTTCTTTTGAATTCGAATATAAATTTGAGGACCTCCGATTGACGCGTTGGCATGATATTCGGCCGAAGGACCGAAAGATTTGTTTCGACGTTTCGGCGAGCAACGATCGGGCTCCGATTATCTTGTTTGATTGGTGAGAATTCGTTTTTTGTTGGCGACGACGATTTTGAAATTTTATATTCCTTGCAGCCACTCGATGAAGGGCAACCAGTTGTTCAAATATCGATTGCCGCAGAAGCAGATTTACCATCCGGTAGGAAATGTTTTGGTTCAAGCAAATCATATGAGGGTGCTAAGATAAAAGGAATTTTTTTCCGCAATCTACATTTTAATTTTCTATTTCAAAATGTTCATATTACTTACAAAATTACCCTATGATATTTTCGAAATTGCCCAAATGAATTATATATTTTATTTTCTGCAGATTTCTGGGCAATGCTTGGCTGCGGATGCGAATGGCCAAGGATTTTTGTATATGAAGCGATGCGATCCGAAATCGGAAGAGCAGCAATGGAATTGGCAGGTTTGACTGGAAATTAAGAGCGCGGTGTCAAAAGTTTTTGGTATTTCCAGACGGTTGATGAGAAACTGCTTGAAGAGCGACAAGCGAATGAGCCTAAGGAATTTGAATAATTGTTTTTTTATTACTTATTAGGCCTCATTTTGCACGACGGGAACATACAATTTTGGGGTTTTTTGTTCATTTGACCTATTTTTTCGTATTGCATTTGTGATTATGAATCAATGTCACTTATTTCTTGTTGAATTTTCGTTTCCTTTTTTTCTTGCGCATGAAAGATATTAATTTATATAATAAATATGTAGACAGCGTTTTTAATTTTTCAATTTAGCGAAAGACCTCTTCGATTTCGGCGGCTAGCGAAAGAACGGAGGTTTCTTGAAGATTGCATAGAATCGCGACGCAGGTCCCGTTTGGAATTTTTGCGTTGGCCTCATTGGGTCTCGGACGGACTAGAAGGACTGATGAGGCACCGACGGCGCCGCCCGTATGATAGAAATAGCCGCCGAGGGACTCCGAGCCGCGTGTTGTTTGGATTTTGTGGCCGTCGACGATGAACCAGCCGAGACCAGCATTGACGCCGTCTTTGAGATTCATGTGCGGATAAAGAAGTTTGCAGATTGTCGATTTTGAAAGAAGTGCGTCGGAGTTTTCGGTTTGAGTGCTAAAAATTGGATTTTAATATAAATAACAATGAAAAGAGCCAAAATGAAAAAAGCTCATTGTGGTATTTCTTTATAGCGCGTTTTCCAGTATTTGAATTGAAATTTGAACTACCGCCGCGAAAAAATGCGATAGTCCACATGTTCTCACTATGCTCGGTTTGTTTGCGATTCCTCTTTTTTTCGCGTTCACCTGTATAGAATGGCGTTTCCGAATTTTAGGAGGTCCAGAACGTTTGATAGAATTCCGCCGCCAGCCCATTTATAGGAGCAATCGACTTCGGGACAGTTTTCCAACACATGAAGCTCATTTCGACGATAATAGCTGTAAGCAATTTCTTTCGGATAATTTCTAACAGTGCTCTTCTACCTTGCGCGATTCGGAACAATTCTTTCCTTCGTGTCGAGACGCGTGCTGCGCATTCCCAACATTGCGAATAATTCGCGGGTGAGCGTCGGGAAGTCTCTTCCAGCAGCTTTTTCGATGACCGCACTCGCCAGCGTTAATCCATGCGTAGTGTATCTGCATTTCGTCTTTTTTTTTTAAATCTTGGTTGCGAAATAAAAGAAAAGAAAAACCACAACTAACGAGAACTTTTTTCCCGGCTCGGCGACTAGATCGTCGTTTTTGAACATTTCCAGCGCTTCGGTCACATTTCGATATTTTTTATTCGACAAAAACTCGTCGGATCGCGCGTTGCTGTTCGCCGGATCCTCCAAAACGTCGGTTTTCTTCTGAAAATCGCAAGATGGCCGAGTCTTCTCGCGAGCGCTACCATGTGAGTTGTGTAGTCCACACGGACGACACAAATGTTGACTCGTTTTACGCATCAAACATCGTGTTTTTTTCACTCAACAATGTATTTTGCAATCAATTTTTCTTTTACAATTATTTTCAGACAAAAAAATGGCACTACGATTGACGTCTTCTGCGAAAGGGCTTTTGCAGACCGCTGTTCGCACACCGTTTGCCGCAAAATATCACGAAAAAGTTGAAATTCGCATCAATTTCAAATAATTGCATTGTTTTTAGGTCATTGATCACTATGAGAACCCAAGAAATGTGGGATCTTTGGATAAAAATGATCCATCGGTTGGAACGGGAATTGTTGGAGCCCCCGCTTGTGGAGATGTCATGAAATTGCAAATCAAGGTTGAAATCTATTTGAAATTGCTTTTCGGTTTTATTTTTCTGTGTAGAAATTTGAAATAAATTTGATTTCGACATAAATTACATTATTTTGTGAATTTTATGTCAAATTTCGAAATATTTTTACAAAATGTTCTAGAAAATATTGTAGAAAGCATTAAAAACGCAAAATTTCCTAAAAAGTTGGCCAAATTAAATTCAAAACGTCACGTTTTCATTAGGGAAAATTCGAATTTCTGCTACAGGTGGATGAAAACGGCAAAATCGTGGACGCGAAATTCAAGACGTTCGGCTGCGGCAGCGCAATCGCCTCGTCGTCGCTGGCCACTGAATGGATCAACGGAAAGACGATCGAGTACGCATCGAAAATCAAAAACGACGAAATCGCCAAAGAATTGTGCCTGCCGCCAGTCAAATTGCACTGCTCAAGTAATCACACTAATTAGCCCAATTATGTTTCGTTTTAATTGCAGTGTTGGCTCAGGACGCGATTCAGGCGGCATTGAAGGACTACCAGAAGAAGCAGAAGAAAGCACAGAAATAAATGCGAAAATTTTTTTCGGCTTAGAGACACCTAGTATATACGACCACATGAACCTATTAATTAACCGCTAATTATCATTGATTACCTTCTCGTTGTGATAGTGGCGAATACCAGCTGAATGCGACAATAATTGGCGAGTTGTGATTGTCACCGGTTTTCCGGAGAAATTCTTCTCGGGAAACGAGGGAAGATAGTGCTGAAATTTTGGAAATTTTCAGCGTTTCCCACGAATTTTGAACAGTTCTATTTTAAAAATTGGGTCATCGCAAAAAAATTCTCTTTTTAATTAGGAAAAAATTGAATTTTTAAATTTTCGATTCAAGACCTTCATGCACTTTTAAAATAATGTGTTTGTTTTCTAAATTAATGGGCCCATTTCGAGACGCTACCCGAATATCCTTGTCGATGTCCAATTTGCCGGCCTCGATGAGTCTCGCAGCGATTGTTGCCGTTATTGGTTTGCTAATGCTGGCGATTCGCATCACAGTGTCTTCTGAAGATATTCAAGATTTGTTCGCCAAAAATGGGTGGGCACGCAACCCGAACATTTTGCGGAGGATTCGATGTTGGCGTAGCCGAATCCTTCGCTCCAAATTTTTTCGCCGTTTTTCGATACTCCAATCGAGAGCCCCGGAATTCCATTAACAATCTATATTTCGAAAAAAAAGAATAATTTTTCCCGCCTATCAACATTTACCATAAATTTGGTGATGATTCCGCGAGCTTTTCGCTTTTTCGCCTCGAGACCATCATGCGGCGGCTCTCGTAGCGAATACGCGATCGGTACCGCTGCTGACGCAGCCAAAACGAATTTCGACATTTTCGCCGAGACGAAACTCATCTAGCAATTTGGATATGGAAAGAAAAACAAACAATGACGTTGAGATATTCATGGGAGCTCCAAATTAGGTATTCGTCTCACCAATTAGTTGAGAAATGATTTATTCATTTATGAAACAATTCGGGATTTGATGGACTTGGCGGTTCGGTGTTGTCGAGAAGCATTCGGGCTTCTTCGGCTTCTTGGAAACACCCTTGCACCATTTTGCACATTTTTGACGCGTCAGCGTCAGTGGCGAATTGGACGAGATGGCACTTGAAGCGCTTCTCGCTGCTCTCCAGAATTATTGCGTTGGTCCTGCAACGAGATGGTGGTTTTCAGACAATTTAAGCGTTTGATAATTTTCATTTAAAAATCGAATTTAAAGGCGCACAGCCGCCGGAAAATAATAAGAATTCCTACTCACTTTCCGTAGCCATCGTTGAATGTTGTGAAAACGACCAATTGGAGCAGTGGAACACGCAAAATCACGTCAGAACTCTTTCGATGCACAATTTTGAGCCCAAATTTGGAAATTTCGATAAGAATCTCGTTTTTTGGATCATTCGAACTTCGCTTGATTTTTCCGCATAATTGCTGATTCTCAATTTGTTCGATTAGCTGAAAAATTCAATTTTTTGTCTCCGAAATATACGAAATTAATTACTTTTTCCTCTAATGAACGATTTGAGGATTTGCATTGAATTTCTGCGCCAATCTGCAATTAAATAATTCAACATTAATTGCTAACTGCCTATTTACCTCTTCAACACCTAAATATACGGCACTCATGCGACTCGGCGGTACTTATCAGCGATGACATTGTTTGCACTGGAAGAAGTAAATTTTACGGCCGAGGTCATTGGTGTCGTGGCCTAGTGCGCATTGGACGCAAACATCGGGTCGCGTCATTGCGGAGAATGATTATTTCAAATCGCCTCTCTTGTTTTTTGCCATTTTTTTCATTTCAAAAATTTGTTGAAAGGTTTTTTTCAGAAATGTTTTTGACACGCAGTGAATACGATCGTGGAGTGAACACTTTCTCACCGGAAGGTCGCCTGTTTCAGGTCGAATACGCGATTGAAGCCGTGAAAGTAAGATTTCGAATTTTTTTGTTGAAAAAAATTGATAATTTTCATTCAGCTTGGATCTACTAGCATCGGAATTCGCACTAATGAAGGTGTATTGCTTGCTGCTGAAAAGCGTTCCACATCCAAATTGATGGTGAATGATGCTATTGAGAAAATCAGCAAAGTTGATCAGCATGTTGGTACGAACTCGCTTTTGCCATTTTTTTAGAATTTAAAAATTCATTTTGCAGCTGTGACATTTGCTGGACTGATCGCCGATTCGAGAACGCTTGTCGAGCGCGCTCAAATCGAAGCCCAGAATTTCTGGTTCACTTATAATCGAAAAATTCGCGTAGAAGATGTGACCCAATCGGTTGCCAACTTGGCTCTTCAATTTGGAGACGATGATGTCAAAGTGAGCAGCGAGATAAAAAAAAATCATTGAATTTTTCTCTTGCAGGCGTCGATGTCCCGCCCATTCGGTGTCGCAATGCTCTTCGCCGGTGTTGATCAAGAAGGCGCGAAACTTTTCCATTTGGATCCTTCTGGAACATTCATTGACTGCAAGGCGAAGGTTAGTCAAGAGAAAGTAATTCTGTGATGGCGTATATTTTAAATTTTGATAAAACATTAAAATTTTGCCGTAAAATCTCACAATTTAATTTTTCAGTCGATTGGAGCTGCCAGTGACGGTGCTGAGCAGAATCTCAAGGAACAGTATCATGATGTCAGTTGGAAGCTTGCCCGAAGTTTTAATTAGAAACTATATTTACAGGCGATGACCATTCAAGAGGCGTTGAAAGTCTCATTGGCGATCCTGAAGCAGGTAATGGAGGAGAAGCTCAACTCGGCGAACGTTGAAGTCGTTGTTATCAAGCCGACAAAGGATTCGAGCGGGCGCCAAATTGGAAACTTCGAGCGGGTGTCGAATGATGAGCTCGACAAGATCATTGGATCACTTTGAGTATTGATTGTTTGTTTCTCTCCGTTTATTTTTTTCCGGTCCCCCTTTGTTTTCAAATTTCTTTTATTTATTCTGCATAACATATAAATTATCGCGATATTTGGAGTTTTAATTGAATTTTGTGTTTCATACGGTGTTGGATTACCGATGGATTATCCTATGACATTCATCCCAAATGCCTAGTCATTTGCAATCAATTTGACACAAATGTTTCAGGTTTTCGCACCGATTTCGATATTTTTGCTGGTTTCGGCCGTTTTTTCGCAAGATTTTCACGGTGAGTTATTCGAATTTTGAAATTTTTGGGCATTTGCCGTGGAGTTGTTGTGGACGCGGCCTAGAAATTGTGGCCGCACACCACGCGGCCAATCGATTCATTGTTTCTTCTTTTGAATTGTCATACATTCTTTTTTCTTTCTTTTTTTTTCTTTCTTTTTTTCTTGAATTTTTGTGGTTTTCTCTATTTCTTCCTAAAATATTTGAATTCTTAATTCAATTTTCACAAAACGAAATAACGGGAAATGTTAGAAATCTACTAAAATTCGTGGTTTTGCTTCTTGATCTCGTCTAGCTACGAGTTTCATGAAATTCAATTTTTCTGCGGTATAATTTAATAAAATTGTATTACTCATATTGTCGGCGTCGTGCGACTGCGGAAAATTTTCTAAATGTCAAGCAATTTGAAAAAGATGTCTCGGTGCCCCTTTAACATATCCTTGTACATGGTCCACTAAATTTACACTTTTAGATTTGCGACAGACCACTGTCATTGTTGTTTTGTCATTTAGTAAACCGACAATAGCTTGAGTCACTAAAAATTTTAATTGCAATCCAACGAGATGTTTTAAAATATCACCAAGGGAACGAAGATATCGCAATTTTTCTCTATTTATGGAAAATATTTGAATCTAGACATATTTTTAATGAAATTACGCGTACAGGGTGTCATTTAAGTTCCCGCACAACTTTGAAGACGTATATTTCTGAAACTAAAAGTCCAAATCAAACGAGACTCAAAATATTTTTTATCTATAGTATAACAAATATTTATCTATTAACTCTTTTTGATTCGGCCTCCTTTCGCAGCTATGACTTCACGGAAACGCTTCGGGTAGGATGCGACTGTGGTACGCAGGTATTCGATGGAAAGATTGTCCCATTCCGCCAGTAATGTCTTCTTCAGAGCCTCTACACTTGAATGGGGTTTTGCGTTGACCTTCTCCTGCAAGACCCTATCACGGAAAAGTCAAGCGGTTTCAGATCTGTGGAGCAATCAGGCCATTCGGATGACTTGATGAAGTCGGGAAAATGGGTCTGGCACCACTCCTGAGTAGTTTTGGCAGTGTGGGCGGCTGCTCCGTCATGTTGAAAGACCCATTTCTGCCCACCGAAATGCGTTTGGGTCCAGGGCATCACATGCTTCTCCAAAATGTCCCGAACGTAGACTTCTTTGTTCACTTTCACCCCCTGATCCGCGAAAACCAGGGGGCACTTCCCGGTTGAGCAGATGGCAACGAAAACCATCATGCTGGCAGGATGTGAGGCTGGATGATATGTTCTTCTTTTCTCAGAAGCTTGCTGGGATGTCTGGGCAAGTACTCAATGGTTTTGTGAGTTGAATGCCGTCTCCACAGTGAACAGCTTCTCGTCGGAGAAGACAGTGACGAGGTGTTGTCCAGACCGCGTGCGAGCAAGAAGTCGTTTTGCTTTTTCGAAGCGTTTCAGCTTGCTGACGGCCGATAGAATTGCCGCTTTTTGGACACGATATGGGGTCAGTCCAAGCTTCGTTTTGACGATTTGTTCCATAGCGAAGATGCTCATTCCCATGTCTAACGCCATCTTTCTCATGCTCCTGTGGGGGTTTCGCCTGATCCTCGATTTGACGGCGTTGATCTTCTGAGGAGTGGTTACTGAGACGAGTCTTCCTTGTCTGGGACGGTGACTGGTCGTATTTAGCTCCTTGAAACGTTTGATGGTGTCGCAAACCGTTCTACGAGGCACACCGACCCGTTGAATGATGTCTCTCGAGCTCACATTTTGCTTATGAAGTTCGATAATGGAAGCGCAATGGATGTTAGCCTTCGCCATTTCTCGGAAACACATCCGAATGAGGTGAAACTTGGAAAGTAAGTAAAATATACCTTATTTAACAAAAATAAATTGTATTGGTGCACGAAAAGTGCGACAGCCAAGCTCTTCATGGCGTCAAACTTTTGTGCGGGAACTTAAATGACACCCTGTAGAATACCATAAAATTAATAATGTTATACTGGATTTTTTTTTTTAGAAAAAAACAAATAATTTCCGATTTAAGACGAAATTTCCCTTAATTTCAGTTTAATGTCTCTCTCACTGCCAGCAACTGCATTTTTCAGCATTTTCCTCCACGGAACCACCCGCGTATACGCCGGACTTTCTCAAACTCGCTACCGATGTGCAGCGAAAAGAATACATTGGTAGATTTTTGGAATTTCGCTCGACACTTTGCTCTTTTTGCAGAACTCGAAGGAAATCCGAACTTGTTGCTGAATATAAAGCAGAAGGCACTCGACACTTGGGCGCAGAAATGTGGAGAGCCGGTTTTGGTAGTGAAATTAATTTTTATGTTCTTGTTGCGAATCTTGAATTCAGAGTGCTTACAAAGCGTATAACGAGGAGAAGAACATGCTCGAGGCTCGGGAAGCAGCGCGAATGGATGAGATTGTCGCGCAGCTCTCTGAACCGGCGAAGAAGGCCGACAAGAGAGTTCGAGGTGAATTTCCCATTTTCATTCTTTGTTTTTTCCAAATTTCTACCAGATTAAGATAATCAGCTGGGGTTTAGAGTAGACTATTTTTTGGACTCCAGAAATTGCACAATAATCAGATTTTGTTGCTCAAGCGTCGCTAGTCGCTTCAAATTTAGGCTTATATTTGAAAATAACAAGTTTGAGCTGAAATAATTTACTAGTCGAGTCCTGGTGAACATTTTAAACATGGATTCACCGCTGAAGTACGAGAATTGATCATGGTCTCAATATATAGGTTTCGTAGTTGAACTTTGAGCATTTGATCATCCAATGAATCAGCAGACTAGATTTTTGGACAAAAAAAAAACGGTGGTCGTCATAGTCTCGGCGCGAAATGATGTCATGCGGCGGTGTCCCTTTAAATCGGCTCGATAAAATGTGACGCTTCTTTTTGCAGACATTATGTCGGACAAAAATCAGACGAAAAAGGAGATGGACACAAAAGTCGACGCGCAGCTCAACAAGTTGCCGAAAAAGGTCTACTACGAGTTGACATTCGCCACACAATAACAATAGCGACCGTAACTGGGAATGTCGCGTATAAATTTGTATTTTTTCTTAATAATCCCCTTTTCAAACTGAAATTTACCTTTTTGCAAGATTTAGGCGATTTTTTGAGCTAGCCGAGGCTTGCATGAATGGACATCGGTAGATCACAAAAACATTTCGCCTAAATTTGATCTACCTTCTAAATTTTGAGGACAAGAATGATGATGCAAAATACATACTTTTCATAGATTTTTACACATTCGAGACTAGTATGAGAAGACAAAACACGAAAAAAATAGATAATGAGAGAAAGAGAGTCAAACATTTGTTCTTTGGGATGATTGAGTGTCAAGACAGAGAGCGAGAGACTGTGTTTGATCATTGAATCTCTTAAGGAGATGCAGAGAAAAAAATGAAAACAAAACAAAAGAAATCGACAAAGACGTTATATTAATAGAGGAGAACAAAGTAATAAATACACCAATTATAGAATAATGATTAAAAAAAATAAAAATAACGCTAATCTTGCTTTTGATATATTTTTGTGGCGAAAATTTCCCAAAACAAAAAATTGAGGAAAAAAATCGCGGGGCAAGTGAACAAAACAAATCGTCATATAAATCATATCATAAAAATTATGGTTTTGTTGGTGAGAGAGGGGAGAGCGAGAAACTAACAATGCTAATTATATATTCAAAATAATAATCATAATAGATCCTGGCTAAAATGCTGTTGATAACAATCAAAATCAAGATAAAATATTTGTGCGACAACTTTGGTCGTGTGCGAAACGAAGAATCAATCAACAAAAGACTGGTGGATAAAAAGAGGATTACTGTAACGAGGGTGTGACCTAGAAATCGGATACGGTATGATTGGAGTTGGGCTGCGTCGAGCGGTGCACATGCACACACACCCAACGGCCCTGTTTTCGCGACCACACTCGCGATTCCTGCGATTGTCTCGTGTGCGATTCGCCGTTTCTGTAATAAGGCATACGTTTTGCAACAAAAATATCCAAGAAAGAGAAGGGTCCCCAGAAGGACGCCTTTTTGGTCGCTTCAATAGATTTTAAGTGGCCAAATTCTCGTGTTTAAAGAGTTTTCCACAAAAAAACAAATTTCGCCATAAAATTCAATTTCAACCTTCTAGCATTTCTTTGGTTTCAAAAACAAATCGTTGCGTTTTTTTCTCGACGCCTTCACAATTAAATTTAGCAAGTGGACACACAACGCCGGGGGGGGGGGCGCGGTTTAATTCAATTCAATTTCCAACCGCCTCCGATTGCGCCTTAAAAAATTATGCGCATGTTTCAACTATTTGCGCGGGACTCTCAAATAATTGTGGTTTAATTATAGTGTCATATATCAAAAATTAATACGCACCTGTCTACAAACTGCGTCAGTTTGACATATGCGATACACGCGCCGTCCTCGCCGACGATGTGCACATTCGGGTTGAGCATCGTCGTGTGATTCTGGTTCTTGCGCGTTCCTGCAAAACAACCGCTTTTAAATGAAACACTTCCATTTCTGCGCACAAAGAGTCATGCGGAATTTCTTCCAACAAATTGAAGCATCCATTGAAGGTTGGAAATTCTTCAATTTTTCAAGGAAAAAACGAAAACATTGGTATTATATGAGCTATACTAGTATTTGGCTATTTGAAGGGGGTGAAACAAAATAAAATAATGGATCAAATTCAAGAAAATAGAAATTTTTGAATCTTCCAAAGAAAACCATCGAAAAATAGACATCCTGCGATTAGTTTTCACTCGAAATGTCAGATAATTTCAGAAAAAAAACGTTCGAAACCTATGCAGAATTGGAAAAAAACGGGCAAAATCTATTAAAAAACGAAGAAAACAGTTTAAAAAAATCAATTATTGATTGCCTTTGTGGACTACACAATAGTATCGCGACGAGACCAGTACAATGGCTCATCATAGGCGCCTTTAATCCGTGGCCATTAAATCGACAATTTTTAAAAAAGTTTTCTTACTTTTAGAAAATTTCTCTTCTTAATTTTTGATCCGCTTTTCATGAAAGTTTCAATTCAAACTGCTTCCGATCATTCAGAACTTGACAGGTTAAAAAATTCTCGCAATTTCATTGCGTTTTCAAGGCAGAAACTGCAAATTTTCTATCCATAACTCAAAAAAAGAATACTCGATGAATTTTACGTGTCGCAAGATCAAGTTTCGTTTCAAAACTGCAGTTGCTATTTTATTATTGCAACGCCTTGCAAATTTTGTTTTTTTTTCGTTTCATATGTGTGTCAAATTCTTTTTTTTTTTTTCTTGCAGATTCCGAATATTCCGATGAAGAACAAAGATAGCAAAATTCTCAACGAAAGAAACTAATAATAAATCTGATGATTCGAATAAATTCTTCAAGACATTTGGAGAAATAACTGCTCATCGTTCATTGAATCTCAGGATAATGTGTCATTCGTTATTTTTTTTTAGCCATCGAACTCCCAAAAAAAACTAATTTTCTTTTTTTTGAGCAATTTCCTATGCAAAAAATTGGAGGAAATTGAATGCCATCAAATACCGGAAATACAATGGACGAAAAAATCTCTTTCAACCAACCATCAAAGTAAAATCGATGGAATTCGATGCCTTCGATCAAGTTGCCAAGCGCTTCCGGCTCGAAGCACGTCATCGATGTGTCGCATAACCTTCTGGAATGAGACGAATCAATGAAAGCAAAAACTACGTGTCGCGCTCACGTGTAGACGTCGAAATCCTTGCACGAAATGGCATCGAGCAGTTGTTGGGTGACCCGCACAATTTCCTGTTTTTGAGCTATAAAAAGTATAATTAAAAATCAATTTTCAAACTTTTTCTTGTCTTTTTCTGGTGACTACAATCAACATTTTTGAATCAATCGAGCATTCCAATCAAAAAAAATCAAAAAGGAGGTAGAAGAAGAAAAAGAAGAAGGAAACGGTGTTGAGTGTGTCAAGTCAGTTTCAAATCGCTTACCGTTCATTCAAAAATCAAGCGGAAAAAAAAACAATTGCCGATAATACGCTCGCAGCGAGTGTTTTTTGTCGACAAAACCGACTGCCAGCTATCGGCGAGATCGAGGTTAGGGACGCAGAGGAGCTAGAGAGAGAAACGAGACGGCAAGAGTGCATTGACAAGTGGAAGAGACGCAGAGAAGCGAGAGCGACGAACGAGATAATAATTCTCTTTTTTTCGAGAAAATTTTTGGTTTTAAAATCTTCGATTTTGAAAACATTGTTTTTAAAAAATAGAGAATAATCTCGGTTTTCTCTCTCTCTTTCTCTGCGCTTCTACTCCATGCGCCTTTAAATGTTCCCGAATTTAAGAGAGTCTCACTACTACGGCTAACTAACCCCGGGTCATGCGCCTTTAATATAAATGAAAAAAAAATCAGTCGTGAGGATTAGTAGAAAAAAATTTTAAAAAAACCGGAGGGCTGGGTGGCGGCGGTTCGAATAAAAAAAATTATGAAGAAGCTGGAGGAGATCGTCAACCTGCTCCAGCTCCTGAAAGGTCGTGCTCTAGCTCAAACAAAAAAAAACGCGGCATGCAAAACGGCGAGGTTAGCTCCAATCATACAAAACACAGAAAAAACACAAACAAGCCACTAGTCTTTGGTGGGAGAGGGGGAAAAGCCGCGAGCTTCTCGGTGCTCACCTGAGATAATTGACGACGAGTTTGACGACGACTTGCTGTTGGCCGCTGACACTGCCGCCGCCGCCGCTGCCATTCCGCTGCCGTCGACGCGAACCACAGTGTTCTCATGTTTGAGTTGTTGAACTCCACCTACGAATAGCCATTGGGTGGTAGAAGAAGAGGAAGGAGTGAGAGAGAGAGTATAGAGAAAAAGAAGAGTTTTCGTTTATTGTTTCTTTTTTCGGTTTTGATCTACAAAGGTGAGAAAAGCGCTGGAAATAATACAAATTTTAAAAAATGAAGCGAAACATGCTGAAAACGAACACTAGCTAGGCGGATTAATTTCTCATTTCTTTAATTGATCTACCATGTTTTTCCTTGTGAGAGAGTCCAGAGAAGAAGACAAAAAGAAGAGCAGCGTGTGATTTTTATTGAGAAAAAAAAAGTGCGTATGTGTGTGTGTGTTTTGAATAGTAGAAGATGGTGAAAAAGAAAAAGAAGCTTCTCCCCGGTGTTTTTCGTTTTGTGGAAAATCCCCCCAAAAAAGAAATGTTTCGATTTTTCGTGGCGACGGATAGATCAAATTTTTTTAAATTTGTCGCCAAGAATTTCTAGATTTTGGCGGCAAAATCAAAAATTTGAATTTCAACCTACAATCTGCAATAAAGAAATTGAAACTAGGAAATTCTAGGCAAAAAAAAACAAAAGCACACAAACATTTGATCTACCCTCACATAAAAGCCACGTACACAAGCTTCCAAAACGAAAAAAAAAAAGAAGCGAGAGAAAGAGAGAAAAAAAAAACGGTTGAAAATTTCCACATTGCTTGCTTCTCTTCTCTTTGCCAATTCTTCTCTGCCTCGCACACAATCACCAACTTTATTATGAATGAATGAATTAATTAATTACCGCAAAAACGAATATATGCAATATTATTATAATTATCATCGACTAATTAAGTAATTAAATGGGAATGCAATGAACAAATGGTGGATGAGAAAAAAACTTAAAAAAGAGAGAGAAAAAACCGAAAATCTGGAAAAAAGCAGAACTCAACGTGATTGGTGCGCGTGTTATTCTCATTAGTGCACTAGAGCGCGTTTGCTGACATCATCAAAAATTATTATGATAATTGAAAGAAAATAAAAAAAAACACACGAGTTTCTTTTTTTTCGTGGGCTGTTAAAAATCACCTTTCTCCGAATCATTGTCATCGAGCGTCTGCGACGATTCCGACGATTCTTTGATCGTCGACGGCGGTCCCGCTTCCTTCTTGTTCAGCAGATTCCGGCCTAAATCTTTATGACAATTTTAGACACGATGAACTCGACAACACGTAGATTCATATTTTTTTTTGCTGTTTGGAGGACCCGGGTGGTTTCAATTTAATCCACAACTAAGATCTCGATGGTCCCATCTGGCTACAGTAATGAGGATAACGACAAATGATTGATTGATAACAATTAGCGTGCAACCGGTTCACAGGGTGGGTCTCGAGGCGAATAATAACAACAACTCACACTTGCCGCCGAATCGCAATATATTCATGATTGCAATCGATAGGCCGTCTCACGCGGCGAATCTTTTTTTTTTCACTTTCGCCACCACCACCAACACAATGACGATGACGACGTTGATCGAAACAGCGTGTTCTGTTCGACCTCGTCGCCGTGGGGCGGCGGCGGCGGCGGCGGCGAGACCCGACACACTGTTTATGTGATCTAGCAAAGGTCTCGGTGTTTGCGGACCTTACATCTCATCTGACGACAAAAATTCGGTGTTTGCGGAATGTGGCGCGAAGCCGAAAAAAATGGAAAAATTCTCGCGGCGGCCTAATCAAATCCGCTTCGATTATAATGAGTCACGTACGAAACACCGTAAATGACGCGCAGAAAAGTTTGTTTTCTTCAGAATGTTGCGATAATTGCATGGTTGTTCGTGTGTATGCTGAGCCGGCAAACAACACCAACGAAAAAAAAAACGGCGCGTTATCAGAATGACACGAGTTCGGTGTAGATAAGGCGGCATAAATGACGCACTATTTGCGGACCGGTGCATTCAGAATGACGCATACTTGCGGACAAATACGCACGCCAAATTGAAGGCTTCCTAATCTGCATTGACAAAGAGAAAATCCAAAACACCTGCCTGCTGCGCGCTCGTCGACAGCCGACGTCGTCGAGCTCGCCGAGCCGCGCCCCTCATCGGGCTCGCGCCTCTTTTTGCGCCTCTTCAGCTTACTACTGCTGCTGCCGATTCGCAAACGCGACAGTAATTGGTCCATGTGAGCGAGCCGCCCGTCAAGCGCGAATATGAATAATGATAATGGAAGTGGTGGGGGGCCGCGGGTCCAACCAACAGCGGTAATCATTTGAATCGCGCGACTTGAACACACGAGACGCAGACACGCCCAGCGAGTGATAGATAGCGTTTGATCGAGAGAGTGCGAGGCGGCAGAGAAAAAATGATGGCGGCAAACGTCGCCGAGGTGACCGCGCCCCCTTTTTTTTGTGCCCCCCCCCCTACCTTCTTTTGGAGGCACGAACGGATTAGCGGCATCGAATCAATCGTAGTGTTCTGTGTAATCCACACGAACAAATGCAAGCCCCGCCCACTTAGAGGTTGATTCAGCTATTCAAATTAGGCATGTATTCATGAGGCGATGACTCATTATTTCATCATTTCTTTTGTTGCTTGTCAAATATGAGGAGACCTTGATACCAACCTTTTTTGGCGAAGAACACGACGGTGAGAATCAACATAAAAATCGATATGAAATACATACGCGATGGCGGTAGGGTGGGAGAAAAGATCAATTATAAAAGCCACACGCTCAAGTAGTTAGAGGATGTACGCAAATACACCCCCCCACTGAGAAGATTTTTTTCCTCTTCTTTGCGCACCCGTAAAAGTGTCCGCAGGTTGACGTGGTGTGCCCGAAAATTGTCCGCAGCTGCCGGCGATCGTTGTTACAACAGCGAGATGTAGAAAAAAAACGCACACACTCGCTCTTCCTCTGATCAACAATTAGAAGCAGATGTGTGTCGACATCAAAAATTGTCCGCAGCTCAAACTATACAATGTTTGCCTGGAAAGAGGTACTTGAAACGCAGAGGGGACCATTGAAACCCCTTCTTGTGCAAATTTGATAATCGCAGCGAATGTGAAAATCACAAGGTGGAGATTTGAGGAAAAGAGGAAAAAAACCATTAGGAAACGTACCAGTGGTGGCGTTGATGGCGCCCGTCGCCACCACCACATCCATCATTGGCGCCAACGCGTGGTGTAGACCGGGCGGCGCCGACGCTTTGCGCGTGGTCGTCGCCGACGCACGACGAACATCGGCTTCGGTGCGTCGGCGAATCGACGGCGACGATCGCCGACCGACAAGCTCGACGATCGCGTTCGCGATCTTCTTCGTCGCCGATGAAGGGCTCGACGATGTCGACGGATGGTTCATTATTGAGCGACGAGGAAGAAGGAACGAACACGGGAGGAAGCGCTTGGGATGGTGTGATGATAAGGCGGGCGGCAGTTTGAGAGGAAAACCGTGAAGAGTGGCCGGGGGGTTGGGGGTGGGAGGAAGGGGAGGAAGAGTGTGCAAATACCCGCCCCAATTTTTTCGCTGCCTTCCACCCTCCGGGCCTCGGCCAACAATAAAATCTATGTGGCGCTTCGAATCGATCGAATTCGATTGATGGGACCATGAGATCGGCTTCTATCACCTCAGAATAAAAGCACTCTGGCTCGAGGAAGCCATCGGGATCCCCCGAACCTTCTAAATCTGGATACAACCAAATGGGTGGGTGCCAAAGAGCTGGACCACCTGATGCCTCCCCTAGTGTAAAATTCGAGTGTAATGCCAGATCGCATCCAATATATATATTTTTTTTCTTGTCACACATCGCACAAATTGAGACGATGATGATGATGATGATGAAAAACTTACTCGACAAATTGCGGGTGGCGATCATCGTGGTGAGAATTGCACCCTGAAAAAATATTGGTGTAATTGGTTTGGAAATAAAAAAAAAGCGCCGAGCAACAAAATATTTCGACCCCTCCCCTCCCTCCAAAAAAAGGTGTCGTTTAAATCATCATGTTAAACTTGTGTGATCGGGACCATCGGGAATCGGGACCATTCTTCTAAAACATTCTGGACACCGGAGCGGTATGGTCTACAAATTTGCGTAGCGGTGTTCACATGAGCACTGTGCCCAAAGTCCATTCTCCCACCACCAAAATTAATCATGTTAATATCTCATTTAACAAAAATGCGCCATTAACATACAGTAACCCGAATACTGTAGCTTTGTTTTTGCTTGTGTGGACATTGCGCCGATTTTAATCGGGTGGGTGGGTTATTCAAAAAAAAAAATAATAAAAATAATAAAAATGAAACAAAAATAAAATTCTCCAAATTTTTCTCGAAACTTAAACTGAAAATCAACCGAGGCAAATGTGATTAATTGATCGACAAATTAGTTTGATTAATTAATTACTTAATTAATTAATGGTTTGCCAAGCGTCGAAAATTTGGCATAATTAAAAAAATTTCCACAAACCCGGAAGAAAACAATTTTGGTGTCGTCGAGAACGAAATACGGTATTACAATACGCTGTAGTAGTAGTAGTAGTGTGTAGAAGAAACGAACACGACGAGACATACACACATAGTGCCACAAAAAACCATAAGCACACAGATAGGGACCACCGAAAAAAAGCATGCATAGTGGGCGGAACCAAGCGGAAAAGGGGAAACACGAACGGTGGCCGTGGTCTGAATAATGAAAACAATAATATGAAAGAGCAAGGGGGAGGCGGGCGGGCGGGCCGGACCGGACGGGACGGGAGGGGACCACCAAAAGAAAAACCAAATGAAAGGGGGAGTGTGGGGGGCGGGGCTTAATGGTACGTAGAAGCATGCGACGGGCATTTCTAGCCAAAAAAAAGTTGAAAAATAAATAAATTGTCGAGAGAGAGAGAGAGAAAAAGAGAGAAAACTGAACTGAAAAATAGGTACAATCGCAACTCAACTTATTTTTTTTCTCAATTTTTGTTTTGGCAAAAAATTTTCGGTTAGCAATGTCCAACATGCAGATTCTACCAAAAAGAAAAAAAAATGAACGCGACACTTTTGGCATTAATGGTTGAAGCTGAAGAAAAACACCCGCGGGGCGGCACGGTTTCGATGGTCCCAGAAATTTTCAGAATTTTCGAAAAAAGTCGAGCAAATTTTCTCCATGAATTTTCGACGAAAACAAAAAAAAACTTGAAGAGCGCAAAAAATATTTCGATGGTACCCTACAGTGGAGAAGATCGAAAATTTTGTAAAAAAAATGGAAAATGCAAATTTTGGATGAAAATTTAAGATTAACAAAAAATTTCTTCATTTTTTTGCGCTTTTTCATTTTTATTTCTGAAAAATTCCAGAAATTTTTAATTTCCAAAAAAATCGAATTCAACCGAAATGCCCCGCAGGTCCCGCCGGCGGCGTCTCACCACAAAAAGCGTCAAAAAAGCTATAAACAAGAAGCTATGAAAACGTTTCCAAAAAGACATGGCTGCAATGCGTTTCTTCATATCATCCCAAAAACCAGCCAAGAAAAATTAGTAGTTAGTGTTTTAGTTTAACATTTCTCAGCTACGGACAATTTTCGGGGAGGGACGTTGGGGTTGGCGGAGAGGAAGGGGTGAGGAAGGAGTGAGGAGGGGATGGGGGGCTGGGGCGGTTGCTAGCAAGCAAAATTGCTTACATCTTTAAAGGGGGGGGGCTAGGTCAAAGAGGGTCGACCATTATACCTCGGCAGCGGGACTCGTCGGACTCTGCGACGTCGTCGGGCCGCCTGAAGACGTCGATGGCGAGCACGTCGTCGTGACGTCGACAATTGTCGTCGACAATGCCATCGTTGGCGTCGAACCGCCGCCATTGGATGTCACCGAGCCGGTGGAATCGGACGTCCGCAGCACACCCGACATCCGATTCACCATCTTCACCGCTGATATCGCCGCCTACACACACAATTTTCGCAAGAAAAATGAAAAATGAATGGGAATCGAAAAAAATGGATGACAAGATCACACTACATACATACATACATTCAGACACACAAAGAGAGAGCGAGAGATAGAGAGAGAGTCAAGAGAAAAAGACAAAGGCATTCCATAGCAGGGGTAGATCGAAAAAAAACCAAAAATCATTTTCTTTTTCTTTTCGTGGGGAAAAAAAGAAGGGCTTCACAACATCAATGTTTCCCATGTTTCGATGGGACCATCATCATCATCACAACACGAATGAATCGATTTTCCAAAGGGATGATATCGGTGTCATGCAAATTCAAAATTCATGCGATTCAAATCAAACAACTTCCACGTTTTGGCACTTTTTTTTGTCTTTTTTGCTGTTATTCGTTTTTTTTTTGTTCTCGGATTTTGTTGGTCCTTGGGACGGAGTGGGGAGATTGATGGGGATGGGCGGGAGGGAGACGAAAGCTAACTAGAGCACCATCAAAAAAATAAAATAATCAATCAACCTAGAGATAGTTTTTGAATAATAATAATAATAAAACAAATTGTCATGGAATAATAATAATAATAATAATAATAATAATAATAATAATAATAATAATAATACAAAATTGTAGGAAACATGAAATTGTCCTCAGCAGCCTCAATTACACAAACGATTTGAAAAAATAAAAGAAAACAATATAGCCAACAAGATTGACGATCATACCTTGAGTTTTCGACGCGCGTTGAATTTCTTCAAACAATCGACGGTGTCTTGACGATGGATCGCCGAGGCGACACGTTCGCGATTCTGAAAATTATAGAAAATTGGCGTTAGATCGGCTTTCGAAAAAAAAATTGAAAAATCGTCCCCGGGGGACAGAAACGACGAAAAAAAAATGACATACGCAAATCCATGGGACTTTGAGCGCCTGATCAGCGGTGATGCGCTTCTTCGGATTGACCGTCAGCATGCTGTCGATGAGCGATTTCGCTTCTGGCGTCACCGTATCCCATTCGGGACTCGGGTACTGTAATTAAATGATTACGGTCGACCCATGGCCAACTCACATCATAGGCGCCGGCTTTGATTTGCGCGTAGAGGCGGTGTTGGTCCTCATCCCAGAACGGCGGATAGCCGACGAGAAGGATGTAGAGGATGACGCCTGAATTCATTAAATCGAAGAAAATAAGAACGAAAAAAAGCGTCTAAACTCACCACATGCCCAAATATCGACCGGTTTTCCGTAGGGGTCCTTTTTGAGGACCTCCGGCGACAAATAGCCGGGTGTGCCGGCGAAGCCGAACCACGCTTCCGCCTCCTGGCTCACCTCGATCGCCAAACCGAAATCCGCCAATTTCACCGCCGCGCCTTTCGCCTTCGACGCCAACAGCAAATTTTCGGGCTTAAAATGTAAACGAAAAATGAATTGTCGACATCAATTGGAATAGGGCTTCCATTCGGGCGGCAAAATTGTCCGCAAGCATGATAAAATTAAATAGTATTTTCTCGGACAAATGAATTTGAGGAACCATTGCTTAAATGTCTTAGATGCCTTGGGTGTTGTATGGAAATAATACTTTTAAAAAAGTTTTTTTTTAATAGCAGCCAGCACATTGAACATCTTCAAATTCGTCCGTTTCATCTCAATTTTTTTGATTTCATCTAAAATTTTAATTAATTCAATTTACTATCAGATATATTCAATGTGTTTTTAAATGAAATCGGCGAAATGTTCAAAGAAAGCGTTAAAAATCGAAAAATAAAAAATTTCGAAAAAAATGGCGGCCGTGAAGTGCGCCATGGCCGACTAATTCGCGGCCGCCCGAATGAAAGCCTCAAATTGGGACCATCATAATTGGCGAGGCGAGGGGTTATCGTCCACAAAAATAAGAAGAAAGAAAAAAATCACCTTGAGATCTCGATGCACAATATTGTTAGCATGGCAATAGGCAATCGATTCGAGAATTTGTTGGATGCAATGACTGCAAAACCACACAATGGTTAGAGATTAGTCGAAAAATTGCTTAAAATTTCAAGTCTCGAAAAATAAAACTGCAAATCCAAGGAAAAAAATGCAACCGCCAATGAATGGCATAGCGATACCTTCATGTCTCTATGTACAATGCTTCGCTGATGGCAATAATTTACGCCTTCAAGGATTTGCGAGATACAGCAACTAGAATTTGGTGTCAAATTTCATATGTTGGGTTTCGACGCGAAATGGCTACTCTGGTTTTTTTATGGCGCATGTATGACTGTTCCAAACGCGTTTTTATAGAATCAATAATGGAAGGGTCCCCCCCCCAGCACGAATGTCTATTGAAAGTGCATCTAGTCGTCGATTATTTTAAACACTCCTTGAAACTATTCTAGCTGGTCCCAACGCGAAAACCTTTTAAAGGTACATGACGAAGGTCGTCCAAGTTTTAATCGGACTAATCGAGGGAAAAAAGAAGCAAAGGTCAAATGACGGCGATTATTTAAGGCCGAAAAATGTCGATGCACGTCATAATTTTCAACGCGCCTTCAGACTACCGTAATCCACTAAACTATGCGCCTTTAAACTCGTATATTCAATAATTCCAACAAAAAAAAACACAAATACCTGGCGTCAGCTTCCGAATAAAATTCTCTGGCGACGATGTCCTCGAACAGCTCGCCACCGGTGACCCTGAAAACCCAAATGTTGGATGAGGACGAGAATCGACACATACAAATCGAACACGAGATAATGAAACGATTCCTCCTGAATGCTGTCGTGAAGGCGAACTGCAAACAATCCAACGCAACCGTAATCCTACAGTAATCCACCCCCCGTTCCAACTTACCAATATTCGGATGCTGCAATTTGCGGCAAATGCGCGCCTCGCGCTCCAACTTTTGGAAATCGCGCGACGACAACTTTTTCGTGTTGATGATCTTCGCGGCAAACTCCTGACCGGATGTTTTGTGAATGCAACGACGGACCACCGAGAACGCGCCCCTAAACAAAATATTTGCGTTTCCGATTTTCACCCGACCATTTTCAGCTGTCAAGCGTCTCACAAAACCGGCAACTCACTTTCCAAGCTCCTCCTTCACATCATAATTATCGCTGAATTTCGTCGACGCATTCATTGTCGCTGATCCGTTGAATTGATGATGCTGATGATGATGACTAGTGACTCCTCGTGCCCGTTTCTCACCTGCAATTGGCAAAGGTTGAAACGAGGACATTGTTGTTAATTTAAAGGCGCACAAAGTTTCGAAGCCCATTCGGCTCACCTATTAAACATTCCTCGGATGCCCACTTGCGTTTCGAAATCTCTGTACGCGTGTTGAGAGTCGTTGGTGCAACTGCAAGCAAGTAGATCAACGTTTTCGTTTCGCGGGCGGGACACAAAAGAGGAAGGCAACAAAAAAAAATGGGAAAATGAGTGTTTTCTCATCATTTCGCGCGCCGCCGACGCCACTCATTCCATATGCATGAGTTAGCCTCATTTCACCAATGGTGTAGGAGGGGTGGGGGGGGGTCGCATCGAGACGAAACGCTCGCTTGGATTACGGTGATTGATTGTATGGAAAGCTGGCTTGCTATAGTCGCCATATGATATAATATTTGAGGTGGCGCTGCTCTCGCCAACGAGCGCGAGAGTTGAGAGGCGATAATTAAAATCGAAGAAAACGCGTGTGCGCGAGCGAAGCGAGCAAGCCGCCTCCGAGCAAGAGCCTTGCAAAGGTGGTGCCGCAGCGACGACTAGTTTGGAGCATGAGCGTGAGCATGAGAGCGAGAGTGATGGAGGTCCCCAAAACTGGACTGCGCGGCACTACTATGCATATATAGAACAAAAAAATAACGGAAAACGAATTTGAACTCTGCCGACTACGGCCGGGGGAGGGGCGAGATAAGCTGCAATGCAAATCCCCCAGAGTTTTAATTCGATTCGTCGGTGGCAGCACGGCGAGCAACAATCAATTTGGTCGGCTTATAACAACAGCAAAAAAGAAAACGATTGGGATCCCACTTCACACCAGTTTCGGACGCTTCTTTCTGTGATCTAATTTAGATAATTTTTGGACGTTTGTTTTCGCCCTGAGACCCAATTTAAAGGCGCGATCATTCTAATTAAAGAAAAAAGAAGGCCCATTTTCAAAAAAAGAAAAGGCTGGCTCCCATCGAGACGCCCCCTCCGATTTAAAGGCGTTTCAAGGGTCAAAGCACGAACCCAATCAGTCTCGTGTCACCTCACACAGGGGTCTCGCGCCTCGGCCCATCGCGTCGTCTCGAGACCATTTTTGGCATTTTGCCATTTTTCCGCTTTCGCCGACAAAATACAAATTGTTTTCGAAACAATCTTCGCCTTTTCTCTCCCTCGTTCTCGCTCTTTCTTTTTTTTGGCTATATTTGTTTGTCAAAATGTGATTCACACCAAAAAAAGGTGAGAGGCGTATGATTCATATTCTATTCGAGTGATGATTGCCGAAGACAAATATGCAAATTACATATGTATACATTCGTATATGCAATAATAATAATAATAATAATAAATAATTGTTGTCGATTCGTCATTTATTTTTTTATTGTGATGACTTCTCATAGAATGAGTATTACCACGAATTCAGATTTAACTGCGAGCTGTGATCTCGCAACGAAACCTCAAAATGAGGGGGGGGGGTCTCGAGACGAGAACATAGCTTCAATTCATATTCGGATTATTATATGATATAGATAATCCGAATAACAATCAACAAGGATGAGAATGCTGGCGCAAAAAAAAATGAAAGGAGGAAAGAAAACAACAACAACGAATGAGCGGCGGCAAAGAAGGCGTTCTTGGCTAGAAATTCGCGGAAAACAAAAAATTAAATGTTCGGCGGATTAAAGGCGCATGTTAATCGCTGCGAGACATGAATGGGGGGTCGCGCCAATGGGATACTCAATTATTGTCGGGCCGAGAAGGGGCGCCGAAAACCAATCAATTAATAAATATGCATACATATTAACAGGGTGGTGTGATGAAAGGGAAGGCAGGGGGGGACCTTGTTGATGAGAACGTCGAGGGCCGGAGAAGCAAGAAGCATAGTGATGAGGAGCGATGCGCGAGAGGGAGCGAGAGATAGTGAGATACACGGCCGCATATCAATCCTTCTCCTCCCCTCTCCTGGTGGACCCCCAGTCAAAGGCGAAACAGAGAAAGATACAGAGAGAGAGAGAGAGAGAGAGAGAGGGAGAGAAGCAGAAGAGCCCAATGGTGCTGCCTGCGCCTGCCTTCTAATTACATGACGAGCTCGAGCAGCTCTTGCTCGAAAACCACCAGCAGGAAGAAGAAGAAGAAGAAGAAGGCAACGACGACGAGGAGGACGCACACCTAGGCGGTCTCACTGCAGAGACCGCCGACATGCAAAAGCGATCGATGGCGGCAGCGGCGGCGGCTGGCGGCTGCATGCCCCCCTCTCCAGCACACAAACTCCAATGTCGCTGTGTGTGTGTGTGTGAGAGAGAGAGAGTGAGAGAGCGCAGAGAAGGAAATTCTTGCGGCGGCGGCGGCATCGCGCGACTTTTGCCAACACATGCCGCCATTGTTTTGTTTACTTGTTTGTTTGTTTGTTTACATTGGCCACGCCCCCTCACTCACACCTTGGACACCATGAAAGGAAATGACAACAAAAGCGATGTAATTAAAACTGGGGGTTAATAGGAGACAATCAAGTTTGAAACAGAAGCGCAGGCAATATTTTAGAAAATTCAACTACACAACAATATTTGCACCTGCGGACACCTCGCGGGTTTTCGCGAAATGCCGCACAGATGTTTTGTCGACGGCTCCGCCCACAAATTTCCTTTTTTTGTTTTGTCGAGCCATAACGGGGGGGGGGCGTGGCCTGTGCTTGTGCCATTCGGTATCAAGAAGGCGCAGCGGAAAAAAATTGTAGAGTGGCGGGCGAATTGTAGTCGATGAGAGACGATTTTGCCGAAAACAACGACTCATTGAAGACGCATGACGGATCAAAATTGACGCGAATCGGCTTTGGCGGGGGGAAAAAATTGAATTCAACTGCAAATCAACGAATTTGACGCGAAATTGCGGAAAAAATTGTGAACACTTTTTTTTGTTGTGGTGCACAGTTTTTTTTTTTTGATTGGCGATATTCAATGAACGAAGAGAAACCGGTTTCTAATGACGATCCAACTTTCAATTTGTCAACGAAAAAAGACGCAAAAGGGAACCAAAAAAATCGAAATCACTCGTTTGCAGGCGTGCGCCTTTAAAGGTGTATGATAGCACAATGTTGAGATGTGGCCAGTAGAAATTCGCGAGAGATTGCGATTGAGGCTCGACGCAGAATACAAATTCAACACAAAATTTGTTGGCGTTAAAACGCGTCAACAACAACACCTACCGTATGCCAATTACGTGCCAATTAGCATACCAATTATATGTGACTAAGTTGAACTAAAAATAGAAAAATAATAATTTGGGGGGGGGGGGTAGGTGATGACTAATCAGTTCGTCGCCAATAATTTTCTCAATGGTCCCTCGGAGCCGGAGGAACCCGGAAAAATGTTTGCGTGACGATGACACACAAGAAAACACAACGACAGGTGCACGATCATCGTCACAAGGCAAGCGAGATCACATTCGTCTAATTGGCAAAATAAGAGAAATTGACTCAATTTCGCCGCGAGACCGATAGCCGTAATTTGGGTAACTTGAGGCGAAATGTTAATTAGGACCCCTCCCACACGCCTCGAGTGCCTTCTTTTCATGTTTTTCGCGAGCCTCAACATTATAATTTATTAGTAGATCAACAAAAAAAATAGGGTCGCAGTGGAGCGCAGTGGATAAGAAGAACCACCAACAACACCAACAAGAAGATCGCACCTGGATCATCGCGTTCAAGCATTCCTTCAAATGAATACCAAAGGGCCGCCGCGCTGGAATTCGAGACTAGTTGGGTCGTGCGACGTGTGACTTTAGAGGCTGTCGGTCACACTCGTCGCCTTCTCTCACATTTCGATTAATATGATAACTACCGCCTTCCGATTCGAATCGGAAGTGTTGAAGATGAGCCTAAACCACACTCCGCCAAAGAAGAAAAAGAAGAAGAAGAAGAAGAAGAAGACCAACCGACACCACCTATTTCAATAACGTAACCAAATATGGGCCTTATTTATTTTTCCCCCTATCATAATAGAATATTAATGATGTGAAACGCATCCATTTTTTTTCTCAACTATGCGAAATGCGGCGTCCCGCAAATTGTCCGCGGCACAATTGAAATGTATAGCAGAGACATTATCGCGACCATTGAATAATGCCGCAATAAGCCATTTATTACTAATCGGTCTTCCCCACTCACAAAATAATAGAACAAAAAAACGAAATTGTCCGCAGCATGAACCAACTATACAATTGACAAATATTGATGATATTATAACAACCAGGCGATTATTGGATTTTCGCGGGCCCGTTTTTGATTGGATGCCATCAACTACATATAAAACATCAAACTGCGGACAATCATCGGGTTTTGTGCTCACCGACATTTTCGCCGCACCCACACCAATTAGGGCGTTGCGGGTGACTAATAATAACCCAATGGCTAATTGGTGGGTTTCGGAAATTCCGAGAACGAGAACGAAAAACGTCCTATAAGGAAGTAACGCGTCATTGGAAACCCGTCGTTTTAAAAATGCAAAAATTTTCGCCAAATTTGTTCCGCAGACGAAAAAAAGATGTCAAATACGATTTTAGTCCGACGGAAACAACGGACCATTCAAATGAGAAGGGGCATTTTCAAAATTTGTGACCAAATATGGTTTAAAGGCGCATGAAGCATAATTCGATTTGACGCCTACTTCTGATGGGGGAGAAACGACAAAAAACGAGACGAATTCACTCACGTCTGGTCCGAAATTCTCCATGGGATTACGGTAGCAATGGTTAGAGGTGTGCGCGACTCATGAATAGGACAATTTTGAGAATTTCTCAAAATAGAATTAGTTTGAAACAACGATTGAAGCAAAAAAAAAATAATTGGAATTCCAAAAAAAAACCATAAAGTACAACGAATTTGAAGAAAGTAGGTTTTTTTTCGACAATTAATCAATAATCAACAATTCTTCAAAAAACGAGAAGGTAGATGAAAGAAAAACATTAAAAAGTGAAGAAAATCGACTTTTTCGAAGACAAAAACACGTTTTAATTATTAAATAATTAACTAGTCAGTCAGTAATATACAAATTGAATATTAAAAAAAAACTAGAAAATGTTAATATACAGAAGAAATACATAAGTATATATATAATATATACATGTATAATATACATTATAATTGTTCGCAATCTTCGCCGATCTCCTCGACAAAATTGCCGGATCGAATCATCTGAAAAAAATCGAATTCGTCACAAGACCTAATGCACCTTTAAATTCTTTATTTTTTAAAAATTTTTCTCCTTCAAAAACCCCATCAAATTGAATTTCGAGAAAAAATTAAAAGCAGGTTTCTTTTTCTTAATTATTAAAAACCAATGCTTCTTTAAATCCCTCTAAGCCCCGCAATGTTCCTTCAACAAAACCCCCAAATAGAATATCGTTCGCTGCGTGCTCCTTTAAAGAGAAATGAATTAAATTGGGGTATCGTTTTATATATTATATGTAGAATCGCCTCGAAAACCAGCTAACTTTCATTTTCGGCGAAACCCAAAAAAAAAAGAGACAAGCGGCAACTACCGTAATCCAAAGGAATGGATACCTTATCAAACTCGTCCAATTTATTGTTCATATGAATCTCGATCCAACACGGATTCTCGGTGATCGCCGCCCGCGAATAATCCGAGCCGAATCCTTTGACAAACGAGATTCGCGTGATGCAGTGACTCTGAAGCGAAAAAATAATAATAATCAATGCTACCGTATACCACACAAGACAAAACGACTACAGTAATAGGAAAAAATCAACTTACATGCAGCATATAATAGCCCTCGTTCATCAGATTTTTTCGCCTCTCCAACAATTTTTGAAAATAATTCTCATCGAATATTTGCAATTGATCTGAAACAACAGTGCGTCTTTAAGAAGGCTACAGTAATCAAAATCGACCTACCGTAACCTATAATTAGCCTCCAGCACCCAAAAGACTCTACCGTATCCCACTAAAATGGAGCAATCTACCGTAATCTACAACTCCCCCCGCTCCCCCTACTGTGATCCAAAAGCAATTTTTGAGACCTACAGTAATCGATGAGATCTACCGTAATCCGAGTACCGCAAAAAAAAAACGCGACTCACTGGCTTTACCGGGCACATTCTGCAGTCGAAACACCATGTTCGGCACCTCGCCCATAATTTCGGCGGTCTGCGGGCATTGCACAAAAATCGGCGACGTCGTCTCGCTGATGAGCGTGACGACGCCGTCGTCGGCGCGCGACACCAAAATCCCTTTGCCGAGTTGATTGCGAATCGCGCTGCTCTTCATCGAGCCGTGCAGCGGTATCGCCGACAACGACATCCGGTTCGGCGTCCAGCGCGACGCGTAACCGTCGACGATGAAATGGTCGCCGTGCGCGAAAAACGTCGGACCGACCTTATCGGTCAACTCGTAGTAGAAAACCGTCGCCCAGTGACGGCCTTTCCGCGGCGACGCCGCCGGCTCGGCGTTCTTCTTCATTCGCATCAATAGCTCATTCGCTTCTTCTTCCGTCGGTATCACTTCTATAATCTTCGGATCATCATCCGGTTGCTTCTTCGCATCGCTCTCGACTACAACATGGCTGCAACTAAAAAAAAAAAGAGTAGCAAATCGCATCATCAGAATGCACACCTTGGTCCAGCTCCCTCACCAGTCTCCAACTGGACCTCGTCGGCCTTGTCGTCAACGTTTTTCGGCGAGCTCTTGTGCGGCGGCAACACCTTCCCGCATTGCGGAATCAGAGGCATCGTGTACTGGTGCGGCGCGCTGATTTGCAAATTTTGCCTCGAGCTCGACGCGGCGCTCGTGCTCGCGAGACACTCATCATCCTCATCGTCGGGCATCGGCGCGTCCATGATCCAATCAATTTCTTCGCGCTCTGAATTCGACACGCTGATACATTTCATAGATCAAATATCGTTTTCTCACTTGCTTGATGACTCGACGACGGATGCATGACGATGATGAAGGCAAATTGGAGAGACGGAACTGAACAAAAAATCTGGACCAGTTCGGATTTACGGAAAAAAATAGAGCAGAAATCACAAAAAAAGAGGATCCGAGAATTATCGGATCACTAGTCAAGGCCAACAATTCGTCATTTCGTGTCCTTGACATTTCAATGGAAAACGAAAAAGACGATGAAAAAAAATTGGGCGGAGGTTACTCCGATCAAAAATCGAATCTCGTCGCATTAAAAAAAAAACGGGAAGAAAAGAAAGAATGAAATAAAGAAATTCCGGTTCGTATCGAGTTGGAATTACGCGAGACTAACTCAAAACGAACCCTTAATAATGCGAATGGGTAATGTTTTATTCACTGCCGGTGGTGGTGGTGTTAATTAAACGCCAATGGCGGGCGGCCGTCTGAACGGCATCAGACAACACACAATTTCTGTCTGGCGGCCATAAAAAACAGGAATTGGGAGATCGAAGATCTTCGCCTGATTGGATTTGATCATGGCATTTCGCAACGAGAAAAAATCGAACTCCCCACCAATTCGCACCACTCCGAATCGACACTCTCATCGTCGGACCATTTCGATTGGATTTCGCAACGAACCGAAGAGAGATGGCGCAAAACGCTGGCGCCATTTGCACCCAGGGCGGTGTTGCGCCAAAACGCGAAGCAACCATGCGCCGCGGCGGGAATTGGCGCGAGACATCGCGAACCGCGGAGAGGCGGCGAGACGGTGAGACGGTCGGCGAGAGGCATCGCCAGACAGAAGAGACGCGAGACGAGCTCAATTGTGCTCATTCCTATTAAGGTCTTTAACCGTCATTCTGTGTTGCTGGTTTCTCGTTTCCACCACCACCGCCACCCTTCATCCCCCTCCCCGGTGAGGGGAAGTACTTCCCCCTGCACACGATCTTGTTGACACAGCGTCAAAACGGCAAACACTCTTTTTTTAAAAATCGCGAATTGTCTGTCCGACAGTGGTAAGTTGGGAATCGGCGACGCGCAAAATTATGAAATACTCGTGTAGTCACTTCTCTTTATAAATAAAATAATTTCTACGGTAATACAGGGCTAAATTGAAATTTTTTCAACACAAAAATATTGAATTCGTGATACCTAGCACATTTAAAACATTAGCTACCGTACCCCAATTTAAGCACACCTCAATCAATTGCTACCGTAACCCGGAAGCAAATTCAAATCTTCAAAAAAGAAGTTTCCAAATGTCACAGAAACGCAAGAAGAAATTTAAATTTTCCAAAAAGTTCAAATACCTGATGTCTAACACGTCGAAAACAACTGTTACAGTAATCTCCTATTCCGAATCCGAAAAAAAAATGTGAAGCGCCTATAACAATTGCTACAGTAATCCGCTATTCCGTTCAAGAGCCGAACAACAAAAATTCTAAGTTGAAAAAAAATTCGAATTACCGCCTCAAAAAAGTACGATGGTCCACAATTATTTAAGGCGTTCGTTTTTTTTTTGGGGGGGGGGGTGAAATATTTGTAGAAATTTCTGAAAATGTAGACAGACAACAAAACAATGCGAATGAATGAAATGCATTAAAAATGCCAATCGATGAGCGTCGGATTTGTCTAATAAAAATGATGAGAATGATTCATTCTCTCGAAATTTGACTCGCGCGGCTATGGCGATCAACGGCGTACAATTTCTTTGGATGGATAATTCTCGAATGAAAGCAAAAAAAATATCAAGTTTAAAAAAACGCTATATTTCAAATAAAATTCAGTTGAGAAAAAATAATAAAATTTTTTATTTCGAAAGGTCACCGTTTGAGACCCCAAAAAAATAATTTTGATTTTTTTTTTGTAAAAAATTGAACTCAGCAAACAAAATGAGTTTCTTCCCTGTTCAGTGATTTTTCTCAAAATTAAAATAAGAAGAAATATGATTAAAATGGTTTTAAAAAACCGAAAAATAAGATGATATTTCAATTTCATCGAAATCACCGCGTCAGCTCGTGGGAACATGACTCCAATTACTCGATTGAGCACAAATTTTCAAAAAATTGTACGACTTTTGAGGAAAACCAGAATAAATGGTCCTAATTGCTTAATTACTTCTCGATGCCACAGATAACGCAATATCGTTGCAACAATCGCACTCGATTATCAATACCATTTGTTTTTTTTTTTCGAATAATTTATGAAATGATTGAAAATTGCAAGACAGAAACAAAAACACGCAAAATATGCTGAAAATGCGGATGACGGCGTGCACTCGCTCAGAATCCCACAATTTCCGTCGGCTCGCTGATTGGTGCACACGACGGCGGCGGCTCCGTCACCGATGCCATCGACGCGAACGAGGCAACCGACGCGGTCTGTGTCAGCGAGTCCGCGTACATTCCGCACACCGTCGAGTTCAAGCTCGACGACGACGGCGACATCGGCACCTTCGCGGCAACGTTGACGTCGCAACATTCGCATGATTCAACTGAAACAATTTCAGATGTTCGTTTTCATATAGAAAACGAACCTGTCGTGAATCGAAGTTCTTTTCCATACGTTGCGAGTAGGTCCAAGATCACCCCATTAGTCCAACCGAATCCCTCCTGCATCACATACTCGCCACCGCCTTTGACACGATAGCACGGCGAGACGACATTATACTAAAAATCGAATTTTTTAAAAAATTGAAAAAAAAGTGAAACCAACCTTCTCGAACATTCGTCCACCACTGCATCTCCACATATTATAATTCTTTTGCACCCATTTGGCGGCAATCTTCATCGCCAGCTCTTCTTGCCCACAATTGCGTAGGCCCTCGATGAGAACCCAGGTGTTCGGCGCCCACGAGTTAGGAAAATCCCATTGTTCGCCCGAGTTGACCAACGACGATGGCACACCGCCGGTGAACGCCATCGCGCCCGAATTCATCAAATACTCGGCCACCTTGGAAGCGTCGAATCCGGCGTGCATACTCTTCGTGTACATCGGGAAAAAGTTGGTGTCGTTGAAGGTAATCAGCTGTTTGTGCTCCTCAAGATCGAAATCGAACCACACTCCGTGCTCCTCATTCCAAAGCACCTTCTCAATCGTGTCGACCATGTCGGCGTGAAGTTGCGCGCTCCACTTCATTCCATGAATGTCGTCAATCACTTCGTACATTTTGCCCATCAATCGGATGTTTCCGCAAATGATCGCGTTCAAATCCACCGGAATCATGCGCGATGTTCGCGTCGACTCCAATTTTCCGGCGTACGGCCCGTGGACGGCGAACCAGCGACTCGAGAAATCTCGGCCACTTTCCGCGGCCGCCGCGATATCGCCCCACAAAACGCACTTCTCCTCATGGCCTTCCAAGTGTTCAGCGCATTGCAAATCCTCTCGATAGCTTTCAGGGCGTGGGCGTGTCGACTGGACAGTGTACCTTTAAACAATGAGAAATCCAATTTTTTTTAGTTCCATGCTCCACTTACCTATATAACGGCGCCGACCAACCTTCAAGCTGAATCGATTTGTTCGCCTGGAAGAAGATGAGCTCCTTTCGAAGCGTCGGAAGCGTCTGCCGAATGAACTCAACATCACCAGTGGCTTCATAGTACGCGTACACCATCCATGTAAGAAGCGGCGGTTGCGATCGATTCAGATAGTAAACGCGATTGCCGTTCGGAATGAAGCCGAACGTCTCGACGAGAAATATCATGTTCTCGATCATTCCGCGCACCGTGCACATCATTCCCGACGCGATGAGACCCTTGATGGTGAAGAACGAGTCCCAATAGTACATCTCGCGAAATCGACCGCCGGGCACAACGAACGGATTCGGCACCGGAATAATCGAGTACTTTTCCGGACTGATGAGCACCTTTTGCGAGATTTTCCGATAGAGTGTCGGCCATTTTGCGTGAAGCGCCGCCGCGAATTTCCGATAATCCGCGTCTTGAATGTTCTCAAATCTGTCGGTCTGCAAGACAAAAAATTCTCATGTTGGACAACCGGAACGAAGAAAAAGAAAACCACCAACCATAGGGCTCCAATCCACTGGTGCGCATTCCTCGAGCTCACCCTCGGGTTCGTCGAAGTTCTCGCGGAGGAACAACGCGAGCACGTCGTTGGTGACGGCCGATAGCGAGGTGATCGCATTCCATTTCGCCAATGTGGTTTCTAAAGAGAACAATTAATCAAATAAATAACATGCATCTATTTATTTTTCTTGAGCTTTTGATCATTGAACGATTCCTTTGTTTCAAAAGAGCTCAACGAGCCCCTCATAAAAACCAGATCATTCGACGCGAAAGTCAGTAAACGAAAGCAGAGATCACCCATTGCGAATATAAAAGAAATAACACTAGGCGACACCATCGAAGCAGAAAGAAAGATGCAAAGAGACGAAGCAATCCGTCAGAAATTCACGTGAGCGTCCACATGAAGCTCCCATGTGTGGTCGGAGTCGAACACGAACGCACACACAAAAAGCTAGGCGAGAGTAAGAGACCGCCGCTGATGACGATGAAGGAAAACGACGCAAAATAGCACTCGGAATACATTTTACATACAAAGAGAGGGAGATCCTCTACACTCTAACCAATAATTTTTTCCGACTCGGTTCAAAATCCAGTTTGTTGAGGTCCCAAAGTGTGGGGAAAAAACATTAAAAAGAAACAGTTAAAATATCGTAGAGATGATAAGGTTCGAGCCGATTTCTCGAGATACCAGGAAAGAGATTAGATTCAAAAGAATCTGAAGCACGTCCTTTGTACGCAGATTTTGAATTTTCTGCCTACGTTTTTAGGGAATATTTTTTCCAAACTCCGCATTTAAAATAACGCGCAAGACAAAAACTCACCGGCGTCATTCTTCAACGGCATGTCGACGAAGGTCTTGCAGTCGGGAAACAAGCCGGACAATTGTACGGCATGCAGCAATGAGCCCTCGCACCAGATCGGCGAACGGCGTACCGCCGCCATAGAGCGCCCCTCTGAAATCATGTCTATTTGAAGATTCGTCCAAAAACTTTCAAAAAATAAAAAACAACGTCAATCGACATAAAAAGAGAATAACGTGTGGGTGTCTCGCAGCGACAAGGACCGAATTGCTTGCTTGCTGGCTGCGAGGCGGCTCGTTTCGACAAAATGGGCGTGGCTTTGCGCCTAGTTGGCCAAGAACACACTGGACGGGCGAAAAGCAAAAAGATAGCAGAGACAAACTTGGGGTGGTGCTCCTCTCTGTATGAAAATCATGTGAATCTCACGTCCAATGGTCTCGAAGCGAAAAGATCGGATTTCAACTGATATTTGCTGAAGACGAGATCAACTCGATTTTTCACTTTAAAATTTCTGAGATTCATTTTTGTTAAACTGATTTTTACCAATCAACATTCGTTTTTTGGCCATTTTCAGGTAAAGCAATGTGCGGACAATGCTGCGGGACAATTTAAGAAAATCCACCTTTTTTCCTACGTTTTCGCGTACAACAGCACATTTCTCATCGAAATTTGAGCAACTAAATGACATGGAAAAAAGTCACGCGGCGCAACGAAAACATTTTCAGCACAATGCTGAAAATGCGAGAAAATGCGAGAAATGAGATTTGATGAAATAGCACAGGCGTATAAACGCGCGTGCGCGTGCGCCATTCTCGGCTTCTCCGATTCACATGAACAGCTGGCATTGATGACGTCACACGGCAAAAACGGACCCATTCGGCGGGACTTCGCGAATTTTCCTTTCCACCAAACCGCAACAATGTCCGCAGCATATTGACATTCGAAAGCGGACACAGCAAATAATTTCGACCGGCTGGCGTCTCCTCGATTTTTTCGCCGCCTGCGCCTCAAACTCCTATAGATCTCTCATCTCTTTTTTTTGCCCAAAAATTCAAAGAAAATTATCGCGAAAAATGTTCCAATATGCATTGTTTTTGCCGAATTAAACACAGTTTTCGATCGAATTCGCAATGCCGAAACATATGGAAAAACAACTTAAATTTCTCAAATATTACCGACAAATTGTTCACCTATTGTTTGAAGAAAATCCAAATTCACGACCTATTGAAGAGATTCGAAAGGATTGCGAAATCGGCGAGGCATAATTGGAAATCAAGGGGGTGTTAGAGAACAAGGAAAATTTGGCGCGATGTGCCTTTAAAAGCAGCTGTCGATTTACGAGAAGTCTGATCCAAAAACGACCAGAAATAAAATTATGAAGCAATTTCAGTGTAAAAAAAATTAAAAATATGTTATTTATCAACAAAAAATGTAAATCGAACAACTATTTTTTAAATAATTGGCATTCACATTTTTCGAAAAGAAATAAATAAATTTCATTAGAATGGGAATTCGAGCACCACGTGGAGATAATAAATACCAATTTGAACTCATTATCAGCAAAAAAAAGAATAAGCAAAGCCAAAACTCTTATCGGCAAGAGCGAAAAGAGCACACAATTCGGCAGAGCGCCGGCAAAACGAAATAAATGCACCGGGTGCGTCGTGCACTCGGCCAAACATTCGAAATGTTGCAATTACGATGGATGACGAAGCATTGCAGCGGCGACGCAAAAAATGTGAACAGAATGGAACAAGAAATGGCAAAACGTCTATATTTGAGCCGAACGCGCTCTTCTATTGAACATTCTCGAACCTTCTAGACTATCCGAGATGATGATACTGCCGGTTCTTCGGGAAAACAATAAACGCACAATATGAATTGTCGGGTCGAGACCATCAATTTTCGACTAGGAACAAGTCGAATTTTCTCGAAATTCAACTGTACAAATCATTTCCAAAACTAGTACTCTTACATCAAGCATATGCAACAAATTCAGAATAATTTTTTAAAGAAAAAATCTGCAAAAACCATTTTTTTAGAAATTCGAGCACATTATCTTAAACTGACGGCAAAATCATTTCCATGCTGATTGCATTAGCAATGTTTGTTCATCGACTGACCGAATTATCTCCAAATCAAAAAAAGCTGTCACTAAAAGGGCTTTGGTCAGGTAGCTTGTTTGACAGTGAATTAAACATTAGCAATCTTACAGTACACATTAAAGGCGCATGATAGGGTCGTTGGGAATTAAATGAATTTCTATCTACCACAATAAAGCCGAACAACAAAAAAGTTTGGACACGATCAACCAACTGCTCGTATTCTGAGTTCTCGCTCTCTCTTTTTCTCCATGAATCTCATCGTCGTAAATCACAGCACAAAAGAAGCTCGAAACCCAATAAAAATCGATATAATATGTCGAATTCATCAAAAACTAATAATAATAATCGGATTAGGTTTTTTTTTAATAAGAAAATGAGAACGGATTACTATTCATCCAGCTTACATGGGGGCGGATTTCAAGAATATGAGCCAAATGTGGAATTCGACTCAATTTCAGGAATTTTTAAAGAAAAACTCATTGAAAAACTGAAAGTTGTTTTTGCAGTGTAAAATTCGAAATTTCAATAAAGGAATCTCGGTAATTTTATGATTTTCTATTTTCTATACTAAAAAAACATTCATCTGGAAGCTTTAAATATTTCCCATTATCCAAGGCAAAAAGAATATTCTGGAATCCGATTTTTTCAAATTAGTTCTCTACATATTACTAAAACTAGCAACTATTTCTAGTTTTTCCCTGCAAACTCTTTTAAATCAACATGGAGCTCCGTTGAATTGTAATTCAATCTATTCAACGATTTTTTTTATTCGAAATATTATTTTAAAAAAAACTCAATGCAGTAGGTAAATAATGCCAAGTTTCCCCTAAATTTGATTCATCTTCTACTATTAAGTCAACAATTCAAAAATTGGATGGCGCGCATTTAAATTTAGCAAGGAACCGGACCCGCGGCAAACTTCTTGGTAAGTGCGCACACAAACCGAACGCTATATAAACCGCGTGAATTGCTCGATTCCACAACCAACCAACCCACCAATCACTTTCAACAATGTTCGCCAAAACGTAAGTGGCAAAACCGAATCATATGCGATGTATTGTTAATTATTACAGTATCCTCGCCGCTCTTCTCGCCATCGTCGCATTGTTCGGCGCCTCTGAGGCTCAATATGTCTACCCAGCCTATTCGGCTGCCTACGCCTATCCATCATACTATGGAGCCGCCGCCTATTCGCCATACTACGCCGCCGCCGCTTATCCAGCCTATTACGGATGGGGATCGAACAAGGGAGCCGCCGGTGCCGGAAAGCCGTTCGCCGCCGCGGGACCACAAAAGTTGACGAACAACCAGTAATTGGTGTTGACGAAAACCATTGTATGTATTATACAACTGCCCTACGAAATAAATGGTCCTCTCTTTTTCAATTTTTGATTTTTTTAAAATTAATATCTTGTATTCAAAACCGACAAAATTTGCAAACTTTTCGAGAAAAAATGTTGATATTTTATAGAACACAAAATTAAACCACTTTTCTCTAAATGTTATCGGAACCAAAATCATTTTTACTGCAACAAAAAAATCTAGGAAACAACCAAAATTGAAAATTTCTGAAAAATTTTGTCAAGAATGCACCCAAGATACCTGGAAATATTGCAGAGGCGACATTTTGACTAGGTGTTCTAGTAGTACTAGATTGAAATCGCCGAAGAATGTGGCAGTGGTTCTGGAAAATCGATATCTATGATTTCGATAACTCAGCAAATCGCGCCGTAGAAACGGCGGTGAATAGCGAGTTTCGGTGAAACGGCGGTGGAACGATGGTTTACTAAACGCGCTAAACCGTGGGCTATGTGTAATATTAGTAGTGTCGTACAACCTTCTAAAAAAAACGAAAATTAATTTAAATTAATTTTCGATTTTCTTTAAATTTCATTTAAAGTTTTAATTAAATTTCAAAATGAAGATTTATTTAAATTAATTTTATGAATTTTTTAATTTGTAATTAATTAATTATAATGTATTGATTGTTTTAAAACCTTCTATTGGTTTTAAGATTTAATATAATTAATACTACATTCTTTTTAAATTTGAAAGTTTGATTTGATGAGAATGGTTTTTCCAGAACGTTCGTTTCAACATGAAAAGGAGTAGATTGACGAAAGAAGAGAATGGTATATCTGTGATCAGCATAAAGGAAAAAAAATTTTGTAGACGCGCGAATTCGGGGCTATGGAGTTCGTCTTTTACCTGTTGAAAACGTCAATGATGGTATTGAAGAAGAAACTGTAGATAATAAAAAACTTGTAATAAAATAAGTTCATGAAAATTAATGAATCGAGGTTATTTTAGGAAGGGGGAATTCGCGGGAAATTTTGCGGACGCTGGATATGACGACTGTATTCTTGTAATAAATAATATGAATGGCGAAAATTTATGAGTCGAGCTGGGTTTAGGATTGTCTGTTCACGGAAGGGTGCGACTATAACGGAACTGACGAGACCATGGAAATGCTGCCAAAAGATAATGTTTTCAGTGTTTGTCAGGAATGGAATAATGGTATGATTCTTGATTTATTGACACATTAATGCGGTTACCATATTTTTTCGATATCATAATGTAAAACCCTTTAACCGGTTAACCCTTTGATTGAAATTACTGGTTCCGGGAATTAATCGGCTTTATGAATGTTATTGTAGCAGAAAATAAATGTTATTCTGGTAGAAAATTAATTATAAAACGATTTCGAGAAAAATTAATAATTATCGACCCAACCCATTAAATGCAAAATATCAACGTTAGTCCACGGGAGACCAAAAGAAGGACGCATCCGCGTAAATCTACCCGCGTACAGCAGTCGCTGGACGCTGACTGTACCTAGCATTAAGACTCCGGAAACATTTCAGGAACGCGACATCTACGCATTCCAGGAAAAACTGATCGAAGATTATTGCCAACCAATATCAACAACGTTCTGTACGTCCTGTTTAGGAGAAATTCCCAGTGTCAGAATTTCTTGTTCGAATCAACAATGCAGTAATTATCAGTAAGCACTTCAGCGTAAAGGCAATTTATTAAAGTTTCGACTAAGGTGCAAGCCAGTGAAAGGTACGATTACGGAACCTATTAGGCTTGTGACATTCTCAATTCACAATCAATTGGCAAGAATATTGTCAAAGCAAATTGGAGAAATCGTCAAAACGCATGAATATCACCATCACATTCAGGTAATGAAAAATTCGCGGCTATATATATAATTGTATTGTAGGCTTCTGGAAAACCGTACGAAGATTACTCGAGTTTTCATATATCAAAACATTATGGAGATCACATTGAAACACTGGAAATGTTTTCGAATAACATATTGAAGGTTGTAGTTTCCTTAGCCATAGACGGATTTCGTCCATCAAATTGTAGCCGGTAATTATGTTTTGTTTAAATTTATCTCATTATACAACGTAGGGATGAAGTTGTGCCGATTTATATGAGAGTGGAAGGGGTAAAACGAAAAATCAAAGAGCATGACGGTTCCGTGATCCTCGCAGCAATAATCCGATGTTTAAACGGAATGAATGCTCAAAATGCAAATATCGTCGGATCAAGGCATTGCTTTGTGGAATCATTTCGTTTGTATAATGCTTATTTTAGATTAATGCACGAAGTAGAATTTCTTAGAACTTCACCACTGCTTATACAATACGAAAGGGTCAAATATTCCGTCATGGTCGAGCCAGCTGTATCATTTTTGGATCTCAAGGCAAGCTTGTCTTGGTACATAATGAAACATTACGATATAGGGCATGCGTCAGATCTGTGGTCTTCCGAATTGGGCAAGTACACAGGGATGCACACTTTGCACGATCATTGGTTCGAAATCGGGTCGGCAAGCGGTTTCTTTTTTTCCAACATTCAATACCCTTCAAGAACTGCGAATGATGTAATGAATATGATGAGAGCTAGCGGAAAATTAAGTAAGCAATTCCCTTCAAACCTACATCTAAAATATGAATTGTTAGACATTCTGTCAATTCTTGCCAGCCCATCAAATCAACCGTTCGATGAACTTCATTACCTTTCCGAAGGGTTTTTGAAAAATTTATTGGAACAAATTTTTGGGCGCGGTTCAAATTTGCCTCGGTTGAAAATTTCGACTAGGGTGGTTCAGGCACTTTCATGTTCTCTGATTAATACCATAGATCCACCGGAAACGCCCTGCAGGTTTGCTAGCCCAGAAAGATTCTCGCGTGCGACCGGTTCAGAGATAAGAAAAGTGAGCAATTTTAAAGTTGGGACATTTGATTATATTTTTCAGTCAGTTCAGTTTACTCTTGCTGCGTTATCAATGACATTTAAGTTTCCTCGCTTCATGGAAACCACGTTTTTGGCTTGCTTGTTCATATTTAACAACTTGCTATATATGGCAAGGACCAAAGCTCATCTCTACGCAATCCAACAACTTTCGAATTTCATAAAAGGATATATTGGACATGAAAATAGCGAATTCTATACGCTTAAAATGCATGTAAGAAAATTGACTTGTTTAAAACAGAAGAATGGTAGCAATTCCAGCTGATTTTTGATCACTGTGTGGAGTTGATTCGTAGATACGGCAATTGTTCAACAACTTCAACTGCAAGTTTTGAAAAAACGCACTGCTACTTATCGTTAATGACTAATCAACGCTCAGTATCGATTGCGGATATGGCGAAAAAGTTTATAGCGGACAGTTATTTCACAACCTAAAAGAGGTAAATTCTTAATGTAAATCTCTTAAACTTGAATTTCTTCAGTTCGGATTCGACTTTACAGTTAAGTAGTGATATTGCATTTTCGAGGAATTATAGAATTACGAATACGTCTACAATTTCAACGTTATCACAGAAAGTGGCATCACACGGAGGACAAATTAAATTTTTTGCAGCCAAATGACTAAATAATTTTTTTTTGTAATAAATTATTCCAGTTTTTCGCGAGTACTTTCAAAAAAACAATAAACGTGGTGAAATATGACAATAGTTTGAAAGTACTAAAACGAAGGCAGTACGACACTCCGCGCGTACGCGTGCAATTTCGGAGAAACGGCGGTGGAAAGTTGGAGGAACGAAAGTGTCTGTTCTCTTCACCGATCATCTGCCGCCGTTTTACTCGCTATTCACCGCCGTTTCTACGGCGCGATTTGCTGAGAAGCTCGATAAAATTGGTTCACCGGGCTAACGCGATGTTTACACACCTCCGCCTACAGTAACCTGTTTAAAATTCCATCCATGTAGTTATTTTTTGTAGCTTTTTTAATAGGAAACGCGTTAAAACCCTAAAATATTAGGAAAAATCAGCTAAGCGAATATTTCGGAAAATAAACAAAAAAGAGAATAATAATAAATTAAATAATTAATTTATTAAATTTCAAAAAGAGGGAAAATTTGTTCAAAAAATATTTTTCACATGAACGCATATAATAAAAATAGATACACATTATTCCAATGTAGTAATGAAAAATGCACATTCAATTTAAACTGTTACATTTTTCGTAAAGATTAAATAAAACGCGAAACTTCAACAAATAAATTTTACGAACCTACGAATTGAAAAAAAATTATTCAGTCATTTTCTCCAAATCAAAAATGTTATCTGCAATGTGCATCTTCGGTGCATACATACCTTCATCTACCGTACTCCAAAACAAAAATTGATATTTTTTCATTTTTCAAAATTTTCCCTTAAAAACTCACCTTTAATAAAACAGTAATTAGTTCTTTATACATATTATATATACAATACTCCTAAAATTCAAAAATTCATGAAATAAACCGAATAGTAACGAGAAGGTAGCTTTGACAAAACAAATGAAAAATTTTAGAAAATAACAAAAAATCAATAAATAATTTTATTCTAAATAAATTGATATATCTACGAAATCACAAAAATTAAGGCAATGATTAGATTTTTGGTTCAAATGGGACATCTTTTGAATTTGAAAGAACTACGATCACAGATTTTCAGACAAAAAAAGCTGGTAAAGTATGGCAAAAACAAATTTTTACAATTTTACACTTCGTCCTTTACTCGCCTCCTTGAGATCCTCAAGAAGTCCCGCCCGTTTCGAATAGTTCTCCTCGGATTGGATTTGACGATAATTCGATATCATATCGCGCTCGCTAATCTCCTTGTCTCGTCGGGACCACAACTTCTTGTCGTACTTTCGATTGACCATTCTGAAAGCGATGAAAACTTTTTTTTTTCGCAAAAACTTCCAAAACTCACTTCAACGTCTCTTCGAGCTCTTTCCGACTCAATCCATCCATATCAACTTCAGTGTCGTCAATGAAATCATCCAAATCACTCGCATAATCATCCTCATCATCAAACTTCAACCAAATATTGAATAAAATCTCATTTCAAATAGCTGAAGCTCACCTCATCCTCATCCTCATCACTATTATCATCACCGCCGCGGAAGAATGAGCCACCACCATAATCCCTCTTCGACTTCTTATACTTCTCTCTGAGCTGCTGCTCCCGAAGCTCATGCTCTCTTCGGCTCTCATAGCTGTAATATTTTTGTTTCACTTTTTCATATAGCTTAAAGAATCTTCGTTTTTTACAGTATATAAATATTTTCCCAAAAAAATTGAAATTCGAAAAACTTTTACCTCCTGCGATCCATCTGTGAGCTTCTACTCTTCTCCATCTTCCGCATCTTCGCCGCCCGCTCCATTTCTCGATCCTCCCGTTGCTGTCTCTCCCTCTTCAACTTCCTCTGCATCTCCCGATCCATCTCTCTTCGCCTCTCAGCTTCTCGAACATTCGCAATACGCTGATCCCGGCTCGACGACGATCCCGGCGATGATGTCGACGCCGTGCCATTCGACGATCCAGCCTGACTACCATTAAGCGCCTGTTGCTGCTTCGCAAACGCCATCGCTTGCTTATACCGAATGTCACCTGGCAGATATTTTTTGCCAGGCACAAACGCCGGAATTTCCGGCGGCGGCGTCGGACCCTTCTGGAATCGTCCTTTGATGCTAAAAAAGACATTCTAATTCAATAGAATTGAAAGCAAAATATCTCACTCTTTCTTCTTTCCATTCTCCACTTTCTCATTCGAATCTTTCGAACAATTATTATCAATATCTACCGATTCAAAACTAGTAATAATCTCGGTTCGGACCTTCTTTGTCGGCTGCGGAGGTTGAGGTGGTTTCGATGAGCTCGATGAGCCATTAGACACCGGTTTTCTGAAAAAAACAGTTGCTTTTTACGACAAAAACAATCAATTACCTCTCTTTTTCCACAGGCTTCTTAAATTCTTTGACAATTTTCGACCTCTCCGGCTCCCTCGGCCTCACCGGAGGTGGTGGCTTGGGCTTCACTAAACTACTGGTGCTCGGCTTCGAGCTCACTCGACTAGACGATGGTGGTTGAACCGACTTTGCCGGCTTCAACTCAAACTGGTCCAACTTCACCGATTTGCCTTGTGCAATATTGGAAGCAGCAGCCATAAGACTCCTAAAAATGAGTAAAAACGTGTTGAAAAGCAAGTATTTTTTTGGGAAATACTTGAAATCGACAGGCGCCGCCGGTATGATTTTCTTTTTTTCCGGCTCGCGCTTCTCCGGCTCATTCGGCTTCTTTCCATCCCGAGGCGGCGAGAAGTTGTCTCGTCTGAAATCTTCAAGTAAGGACACTCTCGTCTAAAATATCGCTCACGATTCTTTATGCCGCCCACAAAGGCCGGCGAGACTGTTCGATTTGCTAGTAGCGACGCGATGTGGTCCCTTGACAGTGTTGCGAAGTTGCGCCTCACTCTTCTTTTTCATCTGGATCGCTCGATAAACGCCACTTCGCAGTTTATCAGCTTCCATGTCGGTTTCATCCTGCAAACAAAATTGATCTCAATTTTTTTTTGTCAAAAATCCAAATTTATTGAGAGACGGAAAATTGCACCCATTAGACCTACAATACTCTTCTGAATTATGGCATTACAACACAAGCATCTGCAATTTGCATACAATTTTTAAAGTCTCTAACAATTTTCCCCAGAAATACGCATAGCCCGCCAATTTAGATGATTACTGTAGGTTTAGAAAATCGATCATGAAAAAAGTGCAATTTCACGACTATGTGATTGCAGAAAGTTTCTTCTTTTTCAATTATATCTTGAAAATAATAGAAAGTATTTAAAAAAAAAACGTTAAATTTTCGCTGTTGTTTATTTTTTCAAAAATGTTCCGAATGATAAATTCTCGTCTCACCTCCTCTCTCATTTTCCTCTTCTGAAGCGTTTCGATATGCTCATTGTTGCCACCAAATCGCATCTGCAGCTCGATCGGATCGAGTCCAAAATGTTTGCCAATCTTCGTCGCTTTTCCGCCATTCGCCTTCATCCTCAACTGCATTAGTTGATCGCGTTCAGCTTCTGCCTGAATCCATTTCATATTTACAAATTTTCCCCAAACTATTAAAAAAATCGCCTAACCGCTCTCGCTTTTTCCCGCTTCTCAGCCTCCTGATTCTGATAATATTTTTTCAGCGCGTCCGTCAATCCCGAATTATCCTTCTCATTCTTTTTAGGAATCGTAAAATTCTAAATTTTGTCTAGTTTTGTTGAGATTGCCACACAAGATGCTACCTTTCTCCTCTCCTCTTCCTTTTTCCGCTGAATCTCCTGCTCGCGTTCGGCCCGCTTCCTCTGCATTTCAAGTCGAACACGTCGCTCGGCTTCCAATTGACGCTTCACCTCATTTTTCTCCTCTTTCACCTGGAAATCTCATAAATAATCGATTTCCAACGAAAATCCAAATACCTCATTCGCAATTTTTGTCATTTCCTTATTCGCTTTTTTCGCGTTTCGATTTGCCGCCTCCAGAACTGAATTGAAATCCATAATGACACACGCGCACTGCAAATATTGCCGGGAAAAAATCGATAAATATCGAAAATGCGCACATGACACAACGAACATTTAAAGGCGCATCGCATAATATATTTATATATATAATCTATAGAAACGAGGCATGAGAGGGAGAAATTGTGGCAACAAAAAGGGAAAATTTTTTCGTGCCAGAAAACGAGAATTGTTTGCGAACATTCGCCGAAGTCGCCCACTCCGAAAGGAACCTGATTGGTGGCCGTGGCCGCCGCAATAATTCGCCGGCCGGCGTTAAAAGCGGGGAGCGTCATTTCTCGATAGGCTTCGTCTCTTATCGACATCAGTATTCCAAATTTCAGATTTCGCCGTGTCATAATGAGTTTAGATGAGAATAGTGAGATTGTGCTGCCAATTCTTACCGACGACGGCGAGCCGCCGCCCATACTACAAAACGAGTTTAAGGTACGAAAAAAAAGCTTACCAATAATTTAGAAGATATAGAAAAAAAACGATATCACGTATGAAATCGCATTTTTCGTTTTTTAAGGCTAATAGACAATTTTTTTAATCGAAAAAAATTTGGAGGCTCGAGAATTTTCTTCAAAAAAAAAAAAAACACCGTAACCTCGAAAATTGTCAGAAGCGTCACAATTTTCCAGTTTTTATTCAATTGGATGGATTTCTCTAGTAATTCATCCCATTGGAATTAAAACTGGAAAATTCTAGATTTGACAATGTTGCCAATTAACAATCAATCCGTTTGACGTCTGAGTCTCTCAATACAGTCCACTCTCTCGTGTTGAGAGAAGGGTTGTGTGACAAAACTAAAGCAACACAAAATAATGAATGAAAAGAGATGGAATATAGTGTCCAGGTCACCGGCATATTTAAGACACGCCCCCAAGGTGGGGGGCCTTTTATGAGGTGTTAGAAAAGGGTCCCTACTAAAACGGTGAAATTCAACGCTTCAGAATCTAATGGACCAATTAAGAATCTAATGGAACAATTAAGGTCGACATCATTCCAAAAGTGCAGATGCTCAAAATTTGCGCGACACGCGCCTCTACTTCAACCAGCGATCTCATCGAACTCGGCACCGTCGACGTCATCGACGATTCCGAGCAACACACATTTCTAGAAGCCGATCATCCCGATATTTATCTAACACACGATTCCATTGAAAAACGCAAGGTAGAAAACAATTAAAATAATACCATAATCTGGAAATTGTCGACTACAGTATCACTTCTATATAAAAGCTCCTCCGGAGCACATTAAAAAGAAGTCGCCGTGGCGGGGAATGTCCAACTACTACCAGGTCGAGCATCTGTTCACCATTGACGTCGAGGAAAATTCGAAATTCGCTCGAGTCTTCAACGACGCCACGTTCCTTAACACAACGTGAGCCATTTTAAATTTTTTATTTGAAATTTGAGCATCGATTTTCATCTCTTCCAACCATTTAAGGAAACTGTCAAGAAACCCATAGTGTGCATGTTTCCACCAAATATGGGTATATCAAAAACCAAACAAGTGAATTGTTCCCCCACAATATTTGTTAATGTCCTCTGAAATAACGGACCATCTTAAACAAATCTCTCATTTCCAGAATAATCCATCAAAATGGAATCGAGGTGACCTATGAATGCGAAAATGCCAATTCAATTCGCTTCGCAATCTTGCTCAATCTCAATAACGTCTTCAATAGTGTCTATGATGCCCATAATCAAGTATATTCAGCTTCATCATTACCCCCTTCTTCACAGCTTCTTCTTTTCAGTTCCCTCAAAACTGCCGTCGCAATATTCCATATATTTTTAATCGAATTCTCGAAGCATGTTTGGACAACGCGGTAATTTCATGTCAAAAATCTGCGAAAATTGTGGTTTTTCTAAAATTTTCCAGAAATTTCCATGGCTTAACACTCGCGGAAGCGCTCAGGAGTCGATTCCAAAAGAAGTCGATTTCGATTTCGACGAATTCTTCAAATTGCACACCAAAGTTCGGAAAACTCATTTGCAGAATCATCCGACGCCTAGATACCTATTGAAGTAAGTGCTGAAGTCGAGCTCTAATCGAAAATTTTAAAGGCGCATGGAAATTTCAAAAAATAAAAAAATCGATTTTTTAAAGGCAATGAGAAAATTTTGTACCCTTTCAACGTTGCGAAAAAAACAATCACCTCTTTAACTTCTATACAATTTCAGGGAAGATCTCTTGACATGTAATTTATTAAAATACCAGCGTGAGACGATTCGATGGATGATCGCAAGAGAGGAGAATCCCGATATCAAGTTTGACGACATGTTCGAAGCCTTCGAGTGAGCTCGGAAAAATTATATTGATAATTGAAGTTTGTCAAATTCTAGAATCAAAGGTCGCCGTCCAATCTACTATTTTCCAAGATTCGGCGTGTTTACCAAATCGAAAGACATCGATTTCAGTTTGCTGGCCGTTCAAGGTACGTTGATATTCGGCCACGGTGCCGTCAAACGAAAAAAAAAACATTCCAGGCGGAATTCTCGCCGACGAGATGGGCCTCGGCAAGACGGTCGAGATCATCGGTCTAATCGCCACCCGCCAAATGGGCGCCGCCATCGAAATGGCGACGAAGCCTGACAAGATGGGCATCGTCAGAAACGAGCGTATTCGAAGCGGCGGCATCGACGAGCTCAGTCACTACAAAAGCTTCAAAGATTATGTATGGTGGCGGGGACGCAAAATTTGCTTGAAATTGAATTTTTCAGGAACAAGCGAAAAAAATCGACAAGTCGTTGGGCAGCGCTGTCGTCTACACCCCCCTTGAAACCGACACTCGGAAAAAGGTAGGCACTAGTCTAAAGGCACATACCGTAACCCGCTACAGGTCGAGGAGACCCTTATAAAGTGCAATGGTTGTTGTACAATGTGTGTGGCTCAAAAATGTAACTGGATCGACGAGTTCAACGAAATCGGCGCGTTCCGTTGCCCGCAATGCATGGAACGCGTCCAGCCACTCGAGATCAAAGCGACGATCATCATCGTGCCCGAATCCCTGGTTCAGCAATGGTTCGACGAAATCAGCAAGCATTGCGACGCCGCGCTCAAAGTCATGGTAACCCAACAAACGAATGAGTGTAATAGAGAATAGGTGACCCCCCAATAATTTCAGTATTACTTCGGTGTCACAAAAGCTGGTTATGTGCATCCCTACGAGTTGGCGAAGCAGGACGTCGTGCTCACCACCTACGAGACAATTCGCAGCGAGCTCGACTTTGCCAATGTTGTCGAGTCCAGTAAGAAGATTGAATTTTTGAAGGGGGTTTTCTTGAATTCACCAATTTTTTGGCTAAAAACTCATTTTTATCCCCCCCCCCCTGGAAAACTAGCTTACATTTGTTTCATTTCAGAACGCGAATTGCGCGGCGGCAGCCAACAATACAAATTCTCACCGAGCCCATTAACCCACGTGATCTGGTGGCGAATGGTCGTCGACGAGTCGCAAATCGTAGAAGGCGTCGCCCGTCGTGTGCCCCAAATGTGCTCGAAAATGCAATCGAAATTCCATTGGTGCGTCACCGGCACGCCGCTCGTCAAATCGTGCAGCGACATCTACGGTCTCGTCGTTTTCCTCGAAATATGGCCTTATTCCATGGCTGACTTTTGGAACAAATACATCTATCCCGAGTACCGGGCCCTAGTCAGACATCTCAATGGTACGATCGAAATTGCAATTTGAAAATAATCCGATGTTCAGATTCTGAGGAGATCGACAACGGCGGAACTCTAATGAATCTCCTGGCGCAAATAATGTCGAGAAACACAAAAGAGGGTGTTGAAAAAGAAGTAAGTCGCTAAAAATTTTGATTTTGATGGGCCTCATCTCATGATTTCAGCTATTCATTCCGAAACTTGTTGAACATGTTCGTCTAGTCAGATTTACGGCCATCGAAGAGCGGCAATATAATGAGCAGAAGGAGCATCTCAAGAAAAAAGTTGGTGAGTAATAATTTTTCACTAGAATGAAAAATGAGAAATGAGTTTGCAGAGAAGCTCATCGGGCGAAAGCCCGACAGCGTCTATCTCAAAGATTGTGCAATTCAAGAGAGCGTGCTGACAGCAATGGCGAAACTCAAAGAATCGCTTATCTCGTCCGGAGAGCACATCAACTATTGCGATTCGACGACAACGACGACGACAGCGAGCAAGACGAGCGAGAAGATCGTGTTCGGTCCCGAAACCGTAGTGATGCGATTGATCAGCGCAAAGAAGACGCAAATCGAGGAGAACGTGCGCAATCTGATGAGCTCGTTCTTCGGTCTCGCCGGCGTTTACTACGTTCTCAACAATGCGCAGAGCACGCTGAATGTTTTGGATAACGCAATCACCGAGGTTAAGGTAATCTGGACATTCACCACAAAAGAATTGCAAATAAAATTTTGCGTTTAAGCTAGTCAATGGAGCCAATGACACGTTCAATGAGGCACTTCAACTGGATGCTTCAGAATTTAATAACGTCATCTCGGAATCCGATGGATCTGATTCTGATGTGGAGATTGACATTGGCGCTGAGTCGATGAAGGAGAATAAGCTGAAGCAGAAGATTAAAAGTAAAATAATTGTTGAATTTTTTGGGATAACGACAAATTGCAGAGGAATCCGCCACCGTGAGAACGCTTCGACGAGAGCGAATGCGTCGGAAACAAAAAGAGAAGGCGGCGTCGTCGCCGAGCGGCGAGCCGAGCACGAGCACTGAAAAACGGCCAGCTTCACCTTTGAGTGATGATTCGGAGAGCGATGATGAAACCAATGTTCTGTACGATCAGGAGAAGCGAGCGCGGCTAACTGATGATGATCGGCCGGCGAGTGCGTTGGTCGAGAAGGAAGAGGATCGAATGGCGAGGGCGGCAAAGTTGGCCGAGAAGAAGATGGAACGGGTGAAGAAGGAGTTGAAGAAGAACGCGTGTAAGCCGATTCGCGTCGATGTCCCATTATTGACACATTTGACTATGTAGGATTTGTTGAGCGCGAAAAAATTATTAAGAAAAGAATTTCTTGCATTGTCTTTATCGAAAAATCTTGAATATTGCCAATTTTCAATCAATTTTCGGCCGTTTTCGCAAAAATGAGCTTTTTTTTTTTAAATTTTAGGCCAGTTTTCCAAAAAAAATGTTGGACCCACATTTATCCCGTGTTTGGGAAGGGGGGGGGGAAGACGTTCAACCAAAATGAAATCCCGAATTTTAGGCGCCTTAAATTCTATACCTACAACGAGAACACGGTGGTCCGTCAAACCGCTGCCAACCTGATGAGCAATCTCGGAGGAATGAAAGCAATGATTGATGAGTTGTTCAAGGCGATCTGCCGATACTGTAGAAATGAGGTGAGTCCTTAAATTGGATCTCAACGCGAATTTTGTTGAAGAGGCGAACATTAAATGTGATGGAGGTCGAGTGGAAAGAATGGATGGAGGAATGGACGAATGGAAAAATTGAGGTATCAATTGGCGAAAATTTTTTGGAAAGCACGAAAACTAATTTTAGGTGGAGCACATCAAAAAGTACCTGGAAGACTTTATTGATTTACATGACGATCCCGAATCACTGGAAGTCGCGAGAAGCATTTCGACCAATTTTGGGTTCTTTAAGTAGCGAAAAATGAACTTAAAAAAACAAAATTGGTTTTCTTTTTTTCAGCACAATATCGCAGCTCTCGATTGTGCCAATGTACCAGGAATCTCGAAAACATCTCAACGCCGACTATCGTCTTTTTAATAAGACCGTGTACTCCGCCTCACTTTGATCTCGATGAAGTTCGCTGAATTTCAGATATTGTCGTTCTTCGGACTTCACGAAACGCCGCCGGCAATACATTCACGAAGTCTCGACTTGTATGGGAAATTGTGACGGAATACCGTTTGAGAGGGCGTATGCTGATGCGCAATATGCAACGGTTGCGACGATGATGAATAGCCTTATAGAGCATTTCGATGGCATCGAGATGCTTCGTCGGACGTTTGAAAAGAGCATGGGCGAGCTCATCAAATTGTTTGTTGAGGTTATGGTCCCTAATTTTTTTCATAACGAACTCGATTTTTTGCAGGCGCTATCAGATGACGCGACGAAGAAAACGCTTCGCGATGATTTGATGAAATCGCAAGCCAATTTCTCTCTATTTAAAGATATTCTTGGATGCGATCATGCTCTACTCGACGTTCGCAAAAATGATATTCTTTGCACTCGATCCATTGAGTAATTTTGTTTCTCAAACATTTTAAAGAAAAATGTATACTCACATATTTGTTTTTTTTAGGCATGTGCAATGCAAATTGTGCCGTGCTGCTTATGATCTCGCCGCTCTTCAATATGAAAGCGGTTTTGGAACATTTCACGGTGTGCCGAAATCGAAATCCAAAATTCGAAATGTGTTCTTGATGATTGTTCAGTATGAAAAGAAGAAGCTCAAATCGTCGTTGTCGAGTTCAAGTGCCGTCAAGTAGGATTTCTTCTGAATATTAAATGTTTTAATGTTCAAAAAAAGAATGCCCAAGAAGAAAAATAAATATCGGGAAATAATTGTTATTCCGCAAAATCTCGTGAGTTAGTGCGGATTGTGTGTAAACACGCACCGATTTTATAGTGAATTTCCTAAAAAAAAAAACAAGCAGCTATCAAAAATTTTCGTTGAAAAACTTTGTAGTTCAGACGCGTTTAACAATTAATGTAATTTTCTATTTTCAGAAGCCTTCGTCACTACCTAAAGCGCCTCGGCAAGACCATCAAGCTATCAAGAAGCGCGTTGATTATTATTCATGAATATGCGAATCGAATTTCCGAGCTGGAGCAATCCTACATGCCGCTTTCAGTGGAAATGCTCTCCTCAATTCTCAGCACCAAAATGAAGGTTTTCAAGAAGAACTCACCAGAGCATGTGAATGTAAATCGAAACCTCAATTGTTCAATCAATATTGGAATGAATAATGTTCAGATTGCCAAAGCTCATTTCCTCAACGATATCGAACATTTCTCATCGAACAACAATCAGCTTTACGCCGATTTGCGCTATCTGACATTCCTTTATAAGCGCGAAATCACTGGTGAAGGAGCCGACGAAGAGTGCCCGATTTGCCGCACCGAATTCTACAGTTTCGCCATGTTCCCATGTGGTCATCGCGTTTGCGATGGGTGTTACAAACACTTGAAACGGTGGGAATCTCCGAATTATTTTATGTGTATATCAAAAATTCTAGAGTCTCCGGTTTGAATATTGTGCATTGTCCAAGTTGCCGAAAAAGCGTCGGCGTCAAATCGATAATGGTGGCGATATCGCCGAAAGACTCGGCGTCGACATCGATTCCGGGCGTCTCGCTTCCAGTCAAAGTGAGTTGCGCCGAAACGCTTAATGCTCATTCTTTTTTATTTTTCAGCTCGACAACACCATACAGCTAATCCGCGAGATTCTCGGCGAGGATAAACATAATAAGATCATCGTGTTCACAACTATTGAGCCGGGAACCGCTATATGGAATTTCGTATGCCGAATATTCGACAAAGCTTTGCTTCCGTTTTACCCGATGACACGAAAGGATTATGGCAAGAAGGTGTTCGAGTTTGAGCATGTCAACTCGTTCCGTGTACGTTTATTTTGAAATGTTTCGATTCCATGCAAAACGCAAATATTATACATTTTTGGTGCTCATTAGGTAATCTATCCAGCATCATCATTTTTCCGACGCTGCAAAATCCTGAATAGCTAGACATTCAGTAATTGCGCGCGATTTCTGAAAATGATTCGAATGAACTCCGTATCGGTTTGATTTTGAACAGTCGGCTAATATTGAATCCACCTATGCAGACAGTGTTCGTATTCGAACATTAATGACGTCTTTGCTGTGCGAACCTAATTTTGGTGCCATTCCTGAATGTGCAAATTTGATTTTCACGGAAGAATTAGTCGCCTGTTACTTGTTTTAATTTTTTTTTCGAAAATAATAACAACTAGTCATCAATACACACTTGAAAGTTGTACCCATGTGCTGCACAAATTCGTGAAAAATCATCGTCATCGAATGACGGTGTTTCCCACGCGAAGATAGGAGTAATTTCTAAAAATGGAGTTGCACAAATCCCCCCTTCACTCTCAAACATTTCTCGGAATGGTCTCAACGCACCTCTTCATCGGCGGTGTCGTGTGCAGAGAGAAGAAGCTGATGGGAGGAGAGCTCATTAATTAATGATAACGGTGTGAATCATTAATTATTGGGGTTCCACACGCCCTTTGAGATTTGGTACGACAATGGGTCTCGAAGCCAATAGAATTTATTACTGCATCAGCTGTTCGAGGTGTCCCCACTCATCGCTATTCAAAAAAAGAATGGAATGAATTATTCGCACATCCTTCTTCATCTCCTTTATCCCTTTTATGAATGCTTGTGAAAAAAAAAGAAACTAATCCGCGCTGTCTTATACGCTGATCGCATCATGAAAATTACTCCATATTAATCTGCATTCATGATGTCAATGTGTGCTTTTAAACTCGCATTCTACAGGTCCTGCTGGCGTCATTCTCAACGAGCGCGAACGGTCTGAATCTGACAATTGCCAACAATATCATCTTCCTCGATCCATCGCATATCTCATCGGTCGTCGCTCAGGCGATCGGCCGAATCAATCGATTCGGGCAGACGAGGCCGATGAACGTCTATCATATGCTCGTTGAGAGCAGCATCGACGAAGAGTTGAGGCTCATCGCGACGACCGGAGACTCACGAAGACAGCGTTAGTTGAAATAAATGAACTCAATTAGTTTTTGAAATATTTCAGGAACCGGATGGACGCTTGGCGAGATTCGCCAAATGTTTGATCTCGAGCCAGTTACCTAATATGTATAGTTTATTATAGCTAATGAATTTACGTTGAAAACCAAACAATAAACCAATTTATGAGCGGAGTGCAATAATAAAAGGAATTTGTTTTTTTCGGTGGGATTGGGGCGGAGGGCTGGGAAACGACATCTAGCTAGAACGGCTTCTTTGCACTGCACTCATTAAGGCGGTCGATAAGAAGGGTTTGCGCTTTCTGAAGGCGCACGATCTCCTCGAATATGAGCTTTTGTTTGTCTTCGCCGCACCACGACGAGTCGATCTCGTCGGCGCTGAAAGAGAAAATATGGGATGAATGAGAGAAAAAGAATGAGTGCAGTGGAGCGCACTTGTTGTCATCTTTTTTTTTTGAAAAAGCTGAACAACACGCTTCTTTCAACCCCCTATTGTGAATAATTCACAAAAGACCGACCCCTTGTTTCTTAGCATCGCGCGCTTCTTCGACCACTGATCGGTGAATGTCATCTGACAATTGGCGGTGGTGGCGAGAAGCACAACGCACACCAGAATCACGACAAACTTCATTTTGTTGTATGCACGAGCCTGCAAGATGATAAGATTAGATTTTGGCGTTACGGCGGCGGCGGCGGCGAATTTCTATAGAAACCGAGAAGAAAGGTGAAGAGGAAAGGGGAGGGAGCTCGTGCTCGGCGAGCCGACACCCATGAGCGTGTATGAGGAGTTGCCGCGCGAGCCGACAAGTTGGAGTGGGTGTGGCCAGCGAGTGGGCGTGGCATTCGAGAAATCCCGGTGAATTGTCGGCAGCACACACTACTCGTATAAATCAGATGGCGGCTACTCGAAAATGGGAATTGGTTTTGCGTGATGTTTTCGCCTACCCCAATCAAAAGGTTCCCCCCTCCTCTCAACCAATTAGAAGGAATTCAACTGGCGCCGGTGTTGGATGGAATATAAGCAATTACCTCAATTCGAGATATACGGGGGGGAGTCTCGCAATGAAGAAGAGACCAGAAATCGTGCTATATATATAAATTTCTCTCTCTTTTGACGGATACTGTAGCAATAGGTGAGCTGTGCCGAACGATGACGATGCCCGCTAACAAAATTTCAAATGAGGCAATTTCGCATCGAAATTGCCTACCGAACCCAATTCATACTAAATTTCGTTAGCCGAGCCAGCGGCAAAAAAGGAAGAAACAAAACAAAAAAAGTTTCCGGCGGGGGGAGGTGAGGGGGCAATTTAAAATGTAGGGGACTTCTTCAAAATCTCTAGCCCACTTTAATATTATGATCGACAAAAAATGAAATAAAACGTCGAGAAATTTCGAAGAATGCCGAAAGATGGAGGAAGGGCATGGGAAAAAATAATCGGCGCGTTTTTATTCTATTTACACTAATGAGAGTTGGGTGTGAGTTTCCGATTCCAACGAGACCATTTCATCTGCGGACGTGTTTGCGGGCCAGCAGACATCTTGCTTGTCGAAATGCTAGAAAATGTTCTGAATTTGATTTGACAAAACCAATTCTCCTTTTGAAATCCCTTTATTTCTATTCTCTTCAAGACCCAATGCTATGGTTTTAAAAGATTATGGGCGCTTTTAAATAACGATATTAAATCTCCCGTTAGAGAAAAAAAATCCAGTGACTTAGTGCGCCTTTAAACTTCTCAACACTCACCCGCCAATATTCATTTTCCAGTTGAGACCAAATACTTGAAAAGTTTGATCAATGAATTTTCAATTTTTGCTCGCTTTGAAGAGAAATTGGAAGCGGCGTTTGATTGGCGACTCTCGCGCCAAATGATATCATTAGAAGAGGCCATTTTAAGCGAATTAAAAAAACGAGAAAAAAGATACACACAAAATTGGCACCAAATTGCAATTATGCGAACGAAACCCATTTATAACAAGCTAAACTTGAACGGCCAACGATTTTTTAAAGAATTTGAAACAGAAAAATAGAATATGATTTTTTGATTTGTGAATTTGTGAAAAATTTTTTTGTAGAGAGTTTCTTTTTTTTGTAGATTTTTCGAGAAAAAAAAAAACAAAAATATTCAAATTCCACTTTTTGGGGTTTTTTTTTTAAATTTTTTTCTCGACTGCGAAACCCTTTAAAAAATCAGGAAAATCAAAAAATTATTATATTGCTTTAAAATGCCAATAATAATGAAGCCTTTAAAAGATGTGTAGCAAAAAAATTAACAAAAAATAGAGACTAGTTTTCAGTGGGTCGAAATTTAGGCGACATAAAATTCTCTCGTCTTTCAAATTTTTCAATATTTTCCATATTGAAAATTTTTTTCCATTTTCTCAAAAAAAAACACCCGGAAATTCGAAAATTATAATTCTCGAATCTTAAAGTCACATGACAACCTATGTATTTCGTGTGCGCACAAAAATTGTGCGCAAAATACGATTTCAACGACAACAATCAAATTCTGTTGTGAAATTATGACGAGTAGATCAGAAATGCTGAACGAGACGAACCACTGGAAAAAGTGACTTGTGTACATTCGCTTGCGACGCAAATTTTCAGATTGCACACCATTGAAACGATCTGCGGACATTTGTGGAGGACAGCCGAAAATTGACGGGCAAAAAAATGCCATTTGAAATTGGCATTCCAATCGGAACTCGAAGAACAGAAGGAAGGAAGGAATGAAAAAAAAACATGAAAGTTTGCCGGAGAAGAGAAAAAAATGATTTTGACTGACAGCTTTTCTCTCGTTTTCCGGCAGGAGCGGGGATGCTTCGGTGGCGTCTCATCAAAAATCATCATCATCTCCATATATGGAGCAGTCTTTTTTTTTCTTCCCCCATCATTCTCCGAATAAAATATCAGTGGAATTTGCACGCAATCTCGAGGCAAATCGGAAATCGGTTTGGCCGAAATTTGAAAATATTTTTCGCGGCGGGATCGAAGGAGTTGGAAGAAAATTGAAAAAAAAAACTGTCAGAACCTGTGGCAATTTGATTGTAAACTTTTTACAAATTGAAAAGCATTCTATTTGACGACAATTAGTACACAAGATACGAATTAAAAATTTGACTAAAAAAGTGAACATTTCGAAATTTCTGTGAAAAGAATAGACTTGTTATCGTTCAGAAGCGCAAAATTAGTTCATTCGGCTCCCTCCAATTAGCAAGTAATGCCGAAATTAATGGGCCATTACTCTATGAACGTAAGAGACGCAGATATTAGTTTTAAAGGCGCACAATTATCAAATCTCCCGCGATTTGTATGATTTTTGATCTCTTTTTCGATGACTTATCAATTCATGGAGTTTCTCAAAAATATCATAAAATATTTAAATGAAATCTGAAGAAAATAAAACTAGGGGAAAACCGCAGAATTGTTTAATCTTGGCAAACAGATCGAGTTTTCGATTTGAAATATTCCACATGTTTGTCAAAACAATAAAATCTTGAACATTTTGAAGAAGAACATATTACCAGAAAAATTTAATTATTTAAAAAAAAATTCAAGGTACGGTAGACAAATATGCATTATCGCTACACGTTTTTGAAAATACAGTAACTTTGTTCGAAATTGTACACAAATTTTTGCAGTTCTCACTTCAGTCATCGTTTCTCGTTTTGCTCTTTTATTTTTTCGGTTTATTAATATTTTTGCGTCACAGACTCTTAATGTTCACGTCGAATCCTGGACGATTTGACCTGAAAATAATGGAAAATATATACATGATTTGTTGAACTCGCCAAACCTCGCAACTTCTGCGCAGACTTCACAGCGTTACGAAATTCATAGATTGCAATAGTTTTCTCTTCAATTTCATTCGTTTCGCGATATTAATGAAAATCAATTATTCTTTTCTCTTTGCTTTTTTTGTTGTCTTCTGGAACTACTTGTTTAGTTTCGCAATCATACCTCTTTTCAGTTAATTCATAAACCGTCAGCTATCATTTAGATGTCAAATAAAAAGCCAGTCAGAATACCAACAGCCAAATACACGAAGAGAAGAAGAGAAAATTTCAAATAGTTTAACAGTACAGGGTGTCATTTAAATTCCCGCACAAAAGTTTGACGTCATGAAGAGCTTCGCTGACGCACTTTTCGTGCACCAATACAATTTATTTCTGTTAAATAAGGTATATTTTACTTACTTTCCAAGTTTCACCTCATTTGGATGGGTTTCAGAGAAATGGCGAAGGCTAACATCCATCGCGCTTCCATTATCGAACTTTATAAGCAAAATGAGAGCCCAAGAGACATCATTCAACGCCTCGGTGTGCCTCGTAGAACGGTTTATGACACCATCAAACGTTTCAAGGAGATAAATACAACCAGTGACCGTCCCAGACAAGGAAGACCCGTCTCGGTAACCACTCCTCAGAAGATCAACGCCGTCAAATCGAGGATCAGGCGAAACCCCCACAGGAGCATGAGAAAGATGGCGTCAGACATGGGAATGAGCATCTTCGCTATGGAACAAATCGTCAAAACGAAGCTTGGACTGACCCCATATCGTGTCCAAAAAGCGGCAATTCTATCGGCCGTCAACAAGCAGAGACGCTACGAAAAAGCAAAACGACTTCTTGCTCGCACGCGGTCTGGAGAACACCTCGTCACTGTCTTCTCCGACGAGAAGCTGTTCACTGTGGAGGCGGCATTCAATCCACAAAATCATCGAGTACTTGCCCAGACATCCCAGCAAGCTTCTGAGAAAGGCAGAACAATTCATCGAGCCTCACATCCTGCCAGTGTGATGGTTTTCGGTGCCATCTGCTCAACCGGGAAGTGCCCCCTGGTTTTCGTGGATCAGGGGGTGAAAGTGAACAAAGAAGTCTACGTTCGGGACATTTTGGAGAAGCATGTGATGCCCTGGACCCAAACGCATTTCGGTGGGCAGAAATGGGTCTTTCAACAGGACGGAGCACCCGCGCACACTGCCAAAACTACTCAGGAGTGGTGCCAGACCCATTTTCCCGACTTCATCAAGTCATCTGAATGGCCTGCTTGCTCCCCAGACCTGAACCCGCTTGACTTCTCCGTGTGGGGAGTCTTGCAGGAGAAGGTCAACGCAAAACCCCACTCAAGTGTCGAGGCTCTGAAGAAGACATTACTGGCGGAATGGGACAATCTTTCCATCGAATACCTGCGTACCACCGTCGCCTCCTACCCGAAGCGTCTCCGTGAAGTCATAGCGGCGAAAGGAGGCCGAATCGAAAAGAGTTACTAGATAATTATTTGTTATACTATAGATAAAAAATATTTCAAGTCTCGTTTGATTTGGACTTTTAGTTTCAGAAATATACGTTTTCAAAGTTGTGCGGGAACTTAAATGACACCCTGTAATTCTGAAGAAGAGCCTAATTTTAGTGTTTCAATTTTTCTCTCGAACAAAAATAAGGAAAAAAGCCATTTATACGTGATTTTTAATATATTTCTTTAATGTTCATGCCTATTCATGAAATATAATGTTTTGCAAAAGAAAATAGCCAAGTTGTTGATCCTAGGCCGTATGCACAATGCGATGTCTGCGGGAAATCCTATCATTTGAACATAAAACATAAGGTTAGAAAAAATCGCATTGTGCATACAGCCCCTGGCATAAATAAAAATTTAAAACCGAATAACCGATCGGAAACATTTTTCTCTATTAATCATACAACTTTTAGAGAACTTAAAAAATTTTTTGAAGTTGAAAATTTTGAAAAGCATTGGCGCTGTACTCCGACACGCTACCACGGTTAAAATGAGAACTGAGATCCAGCTCGAGGCAATGAATCAGTTTTTTTTTCAATATAAATAACTAATTTTGTTTAGGAAATTCAATTTTTTATCAATCGACCGTCAGTATCGCTAGGATCCATTGTGCTAGGATCGTCACCTATTCAAGAATTGACGACTCATTATCATTTTTTGGTATGTCTAAATTTTAAATTAAGCGATTGCTTCTATGTAAGACAAAATGAGGTCATTAGCTGATTGCGGCATTCGACTTTAAAAACAAAAATTTTTATGATGTTAAGCAGATTTCGCAAAAAAAACTTTCAAAAACCGGTAGAAAACTCAAAAACACTATGCAAATTGCGCAAAAACTTATTTCCGAGCTTACTTCTAGAAACTGCATAGCATGATTTTAAATATACAGGGTGTCATTTAAGTTCCCGCACAACTTTGAAGACGTATATTTCTGAAACTAAAAGTCCAAATCAAACGTGACTCGAAATATTTTTTATCTATAGTATAACAAATATTTATCTATTAACTCTTTTTGATTCGGCCTCTTTTCGCAGCTATGACTTCACGGAGACGCTTCGGGTAGGATTCGACTGTGGTACGCAGGTATTCGATGGAAAGATTGTCCCATTCCGCCAGTAATGTCTTCTTCAGAGCCTCTACACTTGAGTTGGGTTTTGCGTTGACCTTTTCCTGCAAGACCCCATCACGGAAAAGTCAAGCGGGTTCAGGTCTGGGGAGCAATCAGGCCATTCGGATGACTTGATGAAGTCGGGAAAATGGGTCTGGTACCACTCCTGAGTAGTTTTGGCAGTGTGGGCGGGTGCTCCGTCCTGTTGAAAGACCCATTTCTGCCCACCGAAATGCGTTTGGCTCCAGGGCATCACATGCTTCTCCAAAATGTCCCGAACGTAGACTTCTTTGTTCATTTTCACCCCCTGATCCACGAAAACCAGGGGGCACATCCCGGTTGAGCAGATGGCACCGAAAACCATCACACTGGCAGGATGTAAGGCTGGATGATATGTTCTTCCTTTCTCAGAAGCTTGCTGGGATGTCTGGGCATGTACTCAATGGTTTTGTGAGTTGAATGCCTCCTTCACAGTGAACAGCTTCTCGTCGGAGAAGACAGTGACGAGGAAGACAGTTCTCCAGATCGCTTTTTTTTTTGCTTTTTCGAAGCGTCTCTGCTTGTTGACGGCTGATAGAATTGCCGCTTTTTGGACACGATATGGGGTCAGTCCAAGCTTTGTTTTGACGATTTGTTCTATAGCGAAGATGCTCATTCCCATGTCTGACGCCATCTTTCTCATGCTCCTGTGTGGGTTTCGCCTGATCCTCGATTTAACGGCGTTGATCTTCTGAGGAGTGGTTACTGAGACGAGTCTTCCTTGTCTGGGACGGTGACTGGTCGTATTTAGCTCCTTGAAACGTTTGATGGTGTCGCAAACCGTTCTACGAGGCACAAAGAGGCGCTGAATGATGTCTCTCGGGCTCACATTTGGCTTATGAAATTCGATAATGGAAGCGCGATGGATGTTAGCCTTCACCATTTCTCGGAAACACATCCGAATGAGGTGAAACTTGGAAAGTAAGTAAAATACACCTTATTTAACAAAAATAAATTGTATTGGTGCACAAAAAGTGCGACAGTCAATCTCTTCATGGCGTCAAACTTTTGTGCGGGAACTTAAACGACACCCTGTATATAGTTGGCGTCCGGCGACTGCTGTACGCGGGTAGACTTACGGGAATGCGTCTTTCGAAATGGTCTCGCAAGGACTAACAGGTTATTTTAAATTATATGGACCGGTTCGATAATTTTTTTAATCGAATGACCTTGGAAATTCAAGGAAATGCGAAACTCAGAAAGAAAATAAATCGCTCACGTGAAAACAGCAAAATAAGTATTCACGCGTGGCGAGACCTTTTCAAGGCGCAAGCTTTTTACTGGAGCATTGAAAGATGTAAAGTAAAATATTTGTAACATACGTAAAAACTACAGTGCTCCACAAAACTATATGTCCACCCTAATTTTGTCGAATAACTCGAAAACGCGAATACCTCCAGAAATGGTTTCAATTAGAAAAATATGCGCATTTATTATTAGTTTCATGTTACATTCATAAAATTAAACAGAAAATAACAATTTAAAAAATTTCGTCATTTTCACGAAAAAGCGGAAAAAATTTTTCCAGAAAACTATATACCCACTTGATAAAAAACTCAGAAAAAAGCATCGAGAGTTAGAATTTGAAAGAAAATGAACATTTAGTATTTAACTGGACCTCCAATGAGTCGTGCTACATCAAAAATTCGACTATCCATTGATAAATAAAGGTTGCCAAGAAGCTGTTAATCGACAAGCTTCCAGGCTCCCACGATAGCCTTTTTGAAATCCGTAATTGAATGAAAAGACTTGTTGCCATCGCAAATCTTCCTCACCATAAATCCCCAGATATTTTCGATGGGGTTTATGTCTGGAGAACAGGCTGGCCAGTCGAGAACTGGGATTCTAAGGCTGCGTATCCACTGGATGGTGCGGCGAGCGCGGCTCCATCTTGCATGACAGAGTAATTTTTGTGCCTATTTTGACGCTAAAATGGCAAAAGATCACGTCTGATGACGTATCGGTAGTCAGAACCACTTATCTTCCGGTAACGAAGCACAACTTGACTCTTCCATGCGAGCTGATTGCCGCCCACACCATGACGCATCCTCGTTTGAACATTCTACGCGAAAACCGTAGCTTTTCTTTTCTCAAATCGTGCCAATAACTTGTCTCCAGTTAGTTCGTTGATTCTTTTTTTGCAAACTCAAGCCGTTTTTCACGATGTATTCGAGTCAACACTGGTGCCTTCCTCATTTTACTGTGTTTGATGAAGGTGCTCTTTTTAAAACACGCCGGACGGTTTCATTTGACACCGTTGAATTCCCTTCGAATCGTGGGGCACGACACTGCCGAATTTGACGCTCGCTCTTCGCAAAATTTTGCGCGTATCACGGTCCGTAAGCAGTGAAGGACGACCTGTCAACTTTTCTTGACCATATGCGGCTGGATTCTTAGAATATCAGCTAATAACATTATGAGTGCGTCCGAGATCATTCCCAATTTGCCGATGAGCCCCTTGAGCCAGTTTTGCTTCAATTTCACCTTTTTCAAAGTCGGTGAGCGGCATTCCACGATAAATGTCTTAAAAAACAGTTAAATTGCAAAAAAAGTTTGAAAATACGAAAATATACGAAAAATATAGAAAAAAAAAACCCAAAAAAAAATGAAGTGGGTATATAGTTTTGTTTAATTTTTTTTCCACTTTTTCGTGAAAATGACGAAATTTTTTAAATTGTTATTTTTTGTTGAATTTTTTGAATGTAACATGAAACTAATAATAAATGCGCATATTTTTCTAATTGAAACCATTTCTGGAGGTATTCGCGTTTTCGAGTTATTCGACAAAATTAGGGTGGACATATAGTTTTGTGGAGCACGTATATATTCAAGCGAAAACCATACGCTATCTGGACTTAATGGTTATTCAGGAGAAATTCATGGAGAGTCAAAACTAATCATGAATATGTGTCTTTTCTGTTTTTTTTTTGTAATATGCAATCGATTATTTTCTTTTGTTGTTTAAATAAAACAATTTGCTTAATCAAAAATTGTTTTTCAACAGTGATAAATATATATTCCTATAGATCAATGAGTAACAACTGGCAACTTTTGAAAGATTTTTGCGCAACTTTTAAACCGACTTTGCGAAACTTTTAAACCGACTTTGCGCAACTTTTAAACTCGGTTTATCTAAAAGTTGTTTAAAATCTGGGCAGAAGTTGCGAGGCTTTTCGGAGAAGCCTCTCACCATGCTCGGGGAGCATGTCGGTGGCCCGAGGGGCCAGAACCGATGGAGGCAGATAACTCTTGACCGGCCGAGGTTTAGCAAATTTAGCAGTCATAGACTGCTCAAAAGAAGCATTCGCCTCCCGAGAGGTCGACTTGGTAGTCTAGGATTGCCTTGGAGAGGGAAATTGCCCGAGCGAGATGCTTGGGCGGGTTAATGATGATGCCCAGAGCCCAGCTTCGGCGATGAAGGCTCAGGGATCTGAAACCTCTTTCAACCCACCAAAAAAGTTTCCGAAAAGGACGGAAATTTTTCATGATGGACTGCTTTTTGACGCTTTCTAGAAGTACCAGAGGGTGGAGAAATGGCAAAATTTACAAGGTGCATCAACCGGGAAACGAACCCGGGCCGCCCGCGTGGCAGGCGAGCGTTCTACGACTGAACCACCAAGGGTTAAGTACCCAAATTTGAGCAGAAGCAACCCTTTCGAAGGACTGAACCACCAAGGGTTAAATACCCAAGTTTGAGCAGAAGCAACCCTTTCGAAAGACTGAACCACCAAGGGTTAAATACCCAAGTTTGAGCAGAAGCAACCCTTTCGAAGGACTGAACCACCAAGGGTTAAGTATCCAAGTTTGAGCAGAAGCAACCCTTTCGAAGAAAAGTGGAACTGTCTCCGAAATCGTCGTTCGATGTGGATCTAAGAAGCTGCCATTTTCTACGAAAGTGGTGTCCGACTTCACTTCGAAAATCGGAGCCCAAGCGAAGGATGTTGCTCGCCTCTGGGTCGCTAGAATCGTGCGCATGTTTTTTTTAAAGAGACACTAACTAGAAAAATGTCGAAAGGAATCATATTGTGGTTGGAATCAAACTTACTGGAAACTTACTCGTGAAATTTTGGACAGGGCAGAGCGAGTAAAGAGAGGCAATCGAAGTTCAGTTGAGGATTTCGTAAAACTTCAATCTGTGGACATCACCTCATCAATCCGTTCGCTTTGTGGACGCTTTCCTTCGTGCATGGCTCCAATAATAAAATCGATGGACCATGAGAAAGCGACGGTCGAAGAAAGCGTCATTGTTTGGAATACCCTCAATAAATGGGCTCATTTGCTTTATCTAACAAACACAAACGTATGGACTTAAACGAGGAAAAGGAACATCACCCACATGTCATTCAAAATCAAAATATAGATGCTATCACACTGGGATTCTATGTGCGGCAAGATTGACTTGGAGAATCAGTATTCATCGTCGAACATTCTCTTTCGAACCGAAATTTGCGATATAACTGGTATTAGTCATATTCAACTGGTGATTTTCTTGTTGGAAGCTTAATTCTGATAAGTTTTGATATAATATAGATGGAAAATGCATTTCGTTATTCAGAACAATATTGATAGACTGAGAAGCTCGAAGAAAATGAAAAGACAGGAAAATTGTATTTAAAAAATTTGTTCTGAAAAGTCCGACGACACTAAAGAAATCCATTTGAAAACAACCTGCTTATCAGCAATGCACATGATCAACGGACCGGATCCTTTCGAGGTTGAAGATATTCACTTGATATAGTACAACAAAATTAATGCTATTTAGGTCATTTCCTTGAATCAGATATACGCTCGTCACAAAATCACCGGTTCGACGATATTCAATCAATTAGGGCACTTGATTAGAGAGATACTCATGAAGGTGTACACAGAGTTAATCTTCTGCCACGAGTAATAGTTGTTTCAGATGACTGTTCCGCCATGTCTTATATGGAAATACCCAGGACGACGTTTGAAATTGCCTTCAGAATCGTGTTTACTTCCATTACCTCGTTCTGGTGTGGCTGCTTTGGAAGGTAACAAGCATTCTTTCATAAATGGGCTAGTTGACTCAAGCAAACGATCTAAAACATAATAGAGTCACGAAATATCATTAAAGAGCATTTGTAGAATTTATTTTCGTTTGCCTGTGGTCAGACACTCAAAATTATTATTAGTATGAATGATAATTTGATCCGTCCAGCTTTTTTGTACGACACAATGGGTCTCTTCATTCCTCCGCATGCCGAATATCTATCCGATACTGAGCCTTCATTGATCAATTCAGAGTAAGTTTAAATTCATTTCTTTAGGAAATAAAAACTTTTAGATATTTTATCTCACTTTCCAACTCGCAAGCAACACGTGAAAGTGAACATAGCAGAAGACAAAATATTCGCTTGAAGATTTGTACGAAATTGAGCCAAATCATATCGTACAATCTGTATGATTACTGGTTAATTATAATTATAATCAACATATTTTAGGACATATTTACGCAAAATGCACTTTGATTCAGGAACGAAGGCGTTCGTATGTTGCAAGGTTTGGTTTTAAATTCATTTTGGAATGAAATTCTTTACTTTAGCTCACAGGATGTTCGCACACAAAATGGAAAGATTGAAAAAATATTCAGCTAGGCCACGACGATGAAGCACTCCAAAAATTTCTGTACTTTTCTTGAAAATTGTTGGAAAAATAAACCTACGAGGAAAATAAAAATTGGCATATGATCATAAGTGAAAAATACTTGAACAAAAATGTTTAAAATTAATAGTAATAAATAAAATTGAGAAAACGAGCTAAAGGAAAAGAAAACGCGCTAAAATTTTTTGTATTATATATTTTTTTTAAAATCAAATTTTCACTGTTATGAATTGGGAGAAATCAGGGAAAAATTCTGCGAAATTTGAGAGCGGTGTTGGTGTAAATCGCTAAGCGAATTGCAACAAATTGCCGAGTCTGCTACCAATCGGGAGACGCTTTGCTCCTGTTCGGGCGGACATTTCCGTGGGTCGGGGCGGGGCGGGTCACTAAAAAAATTTGCGACCCGCCCTGCCGACCCGCAACGACACTCCAAGTTTACAGTGAGGCCCTTGTTTAGCGAAAAAAAGAATTTCAAATTACATTATTTGAGTAGAATTATGTAATTGTTCTCGCAACAAAAATTGTTCAGAAGTCCTCAAACAAAATTGATTGAACTAGCTTTCACTGTTTTTGTTTCGTGTTCGATTTTTTAAAATAAACTTTTCTTCAAAAAATCTATTAGCGGGTCGGTAAAATTTTTACTCTGACCCGCCCCGCCCCGATCCGTCCCGTTGAAAGTATGCTTTCTATTAATTTAATTTTGAGATTGAATTGAGTTTACTCACAATTCTCTTTTTTTCCCGATAAAATTTTCCCGGGGACCGGGACTCATTGAAACTTAATTTCCCGGAATCCCGGGAAATTCATTTCCCAGAAAAAGTCTGCAAACACCGCGCGCGCAAACGCACACTCTTCGAATATTGCGTATTCTCGTTTTTTTTAAATGAATTTTCTTATTTTAAAAAGATTCCAATGTTTAAAAAATGGCGTAGGAAGTCCATATTTGGAAAATTTTTAATTTGCGGCAAGAGGAGATGACCGAGATGGAAGTGAATGTGATCGATAAAGACGAAAGGCCTTTTTGAATCAGCCTTGCGAAAAACGGCACAAATTCACGAAAACGATGCACTTCTTTAATTACTTCTCGGCAAAACCTCGCAAATCTGCGCAAAAGTTGCACAACTTTTACGCAGATTTTAAACAACTTTTAGATAAACCGAGTTTAAAAGTTGCGCAAAGTCGGTTTAAAAGTTGCGCAGAGTCGGTTTAAAAATTGCGCAAAAATCTTTCAAAAGTTGCCAGTTGTTACTCATTGATCTATAGAAATATACATTTCTCACTACTGAAAAACTATTTTTGATTAAACAAATTGTTTTATTCAGTGGTCAAAAATTCCATACACAGGTTTCCAATACATTAAGAATGCTATATTTTCATAAATTCTAACCTTCATTCATATCATATCCTTCCTCTTGATATTCCGACAGATCTTCGACAACGGCCTCTTCTGTCATTGACGAATCATTCATCAATTGTTCCTTTTTTTCGCCTAAACTAAACATTAAAATTTTTTATTCTTCTCAAACCTGATGATTCCATGTCGTTTAACTCACACATCTTTGAACTGGTATCTCTTTTCTGAGACTTTTTTTCGAAATTACCACGAAAATTAGTCAACACGGCGTCTGAATAATTGATATTAATATGCATATATCTATATATTTTTCAACACAATTGGTTACCTATGTGCTGCCCGCTTCTTTTTCGAAGCTTCACTCGCTCATTTCCAAACATGGACGCTGAAATGAAATACTAATTTTTCAAGAAAAATTAAATAAACAGAATTTCTTTGATCCTATTTATTGAAATCTATGAATTTCAAAACGTGGTGTAATCATGAACTCTGCGGACTTGCATTTTAATCTACGCCTATATATTTCAAAGTCTGTGCAGAAGTTGCGAGGTTTTGCCGAGAAGTGCGCTCTATGGTGAAAATTAGAAAAATATTTGAAAAATCATAATTGCCGTCTGCACCAGAGATGCACGGGACTTGAATTTTTTGAAAACTGAAATTGTACTAGAAGATTTTAGCGTTTTTATTTTTTTCACGAAAAAATTTTTTTTGACGGAACGCGTAACAAAAAAGGGACGGAAAACGGAGTTCAGTTCGAGCCTACTTGAGAATTTCTTCCACATTTTGTCAGTTATCAAGAAGTAGTCTCCACATAATCTTCTCTTCACCATTAAATAAAATTTAAATTCAAAAACGTAAATAAGAAGCGAATTTAAAAAATAAAAGAATGATTTCATTTGTGTTTCGTAATATCGACAATCTTAACACACAAAATAAATTAAAAATAAAACAAACACAATTAGAAATGATTTTTGGTGGGCCACAGAATAAGAACAGAAGAAACTTTTTTGACGGAAGAGGGTATACGGTAGTCGCAATAAAAACTGTGTTTGACGGAAAACATAACAGTAAAAAATGCCGGAAGACGGAATTCCGTGCAGGACAATAACGATGGCATTGGGATTCATTTCGAGTAATTGCAATTCTGAAGCACACACGGAAAGTAACATTCGGCAAAAGAAATTCTCGAAGCACGTACCGCGAATTCAACGAATTTCTCGTTTAAAATCTGATTTCCATAAATTGAATTTCTAGATTTATTTATTATTATTCGCGTTGAGATTGCTACATTGTAGCCGCGAATTCGCAATCTAAACTCCGCCTCCAGCGTTTGTTTCATGAGGCAAATGCGCTCTAGGGCAATACAGCGTCGATCGGGAAAGCGCGTCGGGGAGCAGAGAGTGTGCTAACATGAGAGAATGTGCCAACACTTAGCGTCAATTTGAAGTTCTTGTCGTCAAATGCGCTCTGTCGCAGGTCTCGCACCGACGCCCAGTGGCACTATAAAAGGCCGGCGGAATAAGGAATTTGGTCATTCTCGCAGCTCTCCGAGTTGCGAGCAACCCGCCAGCGGGCTCCTCGTGTCCCGCATAACCTGCGGGCTCCACGTGCCCCCGCGCAACCTGCGGGCAGCCCGCATCTCCTGCGAGCTCGCTGTGGCCAAGGATCCACTAGGTAAGTCGCATTCATCGCCGTCGCTTTTCCTGATTTCCTCTTTTTGCAGATCCGATATGAGCCACAGTCGATTCTCCATCGACACCTTCGGATCGGAAGTGTTCAAGGTGTGAGGGATTCTCGCCCCGACCGGCTCCGTTAGTCAGGGCTCACCCTTCAATGGGCGTACTGCAGTGTTGGTTCGAGGTGACGTTAAACCTACACTGAGGCATCGAGGTGATGAAGGAAGAGATGGAGAGGCGACGAAAGGTCGATGCTGCCCGGGGCGTCGAGTAGAGCGAGGAAGCGGATTCAAATGGTAACGAAGAAGCAACAATCGATCGGAATAATTCGATTCATTGCAGGGTTTTCGATGAACGGATCGAGAGAAGACGACTGGAGGAAGCGACGAGGAATGACACCAGTGAGAAGTAATTGATCCGCGGATCATGGTAGTTTTAGGCCCGGGCCTTATTTTTATTTTTATTATTTATTAATTTTTTAATTTTTTAATTTTTATTATCACTCACTTGCACCAGCCGTACCACTTACGGCTTCCCACTCTCTATCCCACCACTTGGGATTCCCCCTTCTCTCCGTACATTCGTACCACTTACGTCTGTACTTCCTCCTGGTCCTACCGTTTTGGACCATCCCTTCTTTTCTGGGGAAAGCCGGCTTCCCCATCCTCTTCCTGCCGTACCACTTGCGGCTTCTCACTTCCACCAGTCGTACCACTTACGACTGTCCTCTCTCTCTCTCTCTCTATCAGTCGACTGATTCCCCTCTGCCGTACCACTTGCGGCTTCTCACTCACTCTCTCTCTCTCTTCTTTCCGTACATTCGTACCACTTACGTCTGTACATCCTTCCATTATTTTCACTTATTATTATTTTTGTTTTTAGACCCTTCGGGGTCGGGCAATGATCCACATCAGGCCTCTTCCTGATGCTGTGTGAGCCTCTCCTTCATGTGTCGAGCCTCTACGTGGCGAAGGAGATCAACTGACTCGACTCTCCTTCATGGTGGGTCGAGTCAGGCTAATCGACACACACGCAGGTCGGGGATATTCTTCCTTTCCGTTTGATTTTTTTCAACTAGTCTATTTTACCGTATCCAACATCACACACAACCAAACGTGGCTATAAATATCTAACGTAAACCACCATATTGAGCGTAATTGAGCGAAAATTAAATATTTAAGGCTTTATTAAAACGAAATATTTTCAACAAGTCTTGCAACATTCTTAAGATCCTCAATATCTCGCTCGACGGATCCTTCAATTGCGACAAATTTCGGAATCGCCGCATTTCGTACAACGATTCCTGCTTTTTCGAGGGAATCCAAATTTTTTCCATGGATTTTGATTCGCGCTTTTGTTGGATCTTCGGGAATTGATTCTTCAACCTTAAACCTTATTCTTCAACCTTAAACCTTGTGTAATTTAATGAAAAGAAATACGGAAAATTATTCTACTTGAATTTTTACATCGTATTTATCACAAATTGTTTTTACATTTTTTCCATATTTTCCAATAAAAATTCCATATTTTCCAATAAAAGTTCAACGGTTCTCACGGGTCCACGTGAGTGATCGATAATCTCAGCGACACGGAGTCGGACCATTTCGAACTAAACAAATTTATCTGAGAAATATCTACGCAAAAACCAATACCTTTTTCTTATTATTCGTTCGAACAATTAAAAAATGGTATTTTCCATCTGCTGGCTTCTCTTCATTTTCAACCCATTCATCAATCCCTGGACTTTCGTCCCAGCCTTCTTGAATGATTTCCAAACTGAAAACCATATTTTAAGAAGATATCAATAATGAAAATAACACTTTGCTCGTTCTGCTTGGTCTTCTGATAATGAGCTGATTATACATTCAACCTAAAATTAAATAATTAAAGTAAAATTTGAAAATAAACAAAAATTACTTCTAATTCGCTTGAAATTTTCCTAATAGTGCTTCCTCTTTTCCCAATCACCGCGCCAATAGCAAAAGAGGGAATTCCAAGAAAATATTGCTTATTATCATCAATGATTTCAATTTCGTCTTCGTCTTTTGCCTTTTTAATAGTTAACTTTCTTCCGAAGAAATATACGCCAATAATTGGAAGAATAAGAGCAGTTGTTGTAAGTGCAGCGAAAACTTTCAGCATCTGAAACGCAAAATATTTATAAACCGAGAATAAAGAAAAACTATGAGTAAACTGAACGCTGAAAAGTTGTCATAATTTAGAATCAAAATTACGGTAACTTCAAAACTGTGCAGCGATATTGCAGATTTGTCTACCGTATCATTTAAAATAATTAAATAGCATTTTTCTTTTCAGAATGGTTGATTTGGAAAAGAGGAATCTGATGATTTCCATCAATAATGAAAAAATATCAATTTCATTTATTATATACGCATTTCCAAAGCATTGCTAAGAAACATTTTTGTATATTTAAACTATCAACCATTTGATCTTTTCTAACCGCGATTGGGCACCAATGAAGCAGTCCCCAATTAAAATCACCATTCTTCGTTGAAAAAAAATGCGATTTATCTATATCTAAATATTTATTACCGAAAGGAAGAGGATGAAATACATATACTCACAGAAATTGAAGAGAAAATATTCAACACTTTAGCTATTCCAAATATGTCTTGACCCAATGTTCCTGACACGTTGTTAAATGCAAAAATAGCAGCAATATAATTAACTCCATCTTCTCTGGCTAAAAAAAGAATTTTAAGTAGTTCGAATATTAGCAAAAGTGCCAAATGGCAAATTATGAGCCGAAATGGTTTTGTGAGTCCAATTGGCAACCCGCGCAATTAAAATTTATCAAATTTGTCCGCCCCGACAATATTAAATCTTACAAAATTCATCTCCTTTCAATTCGTTGTTAGCATTCTGTTGATTTCCTTGATTATTTTTTCTGAACATAATTTTTTACAACATTTTTTTCGTTTTGAGGACGCTAAAATAATTTCTGAAAATTTTTAATTCTCTAGAAAATAGGAAATAGATCCAGAAAAGAGAAAATACGTAGAACGAGATAGCGTTTTTTTTTCAATTTTGACTGCCGAAAATATTTTAATATTTTTGAAAAATAAAAAAATTGTGGTCAAAATTTCCATACACAGGTTTCCAATACATTAAGAATGCTATATTTTCATAAATTCTAACCTTCATTCATATCATATCCTTCCTCTTGATATTCCGACAGATCTTCGACAACGGCCTCTTCTGTCATTGACGAATCATTCATCAATTGTTCCTTTTTTTCGCCTAAACTAAACATTAAAATTTTTTTATTCTTCTCAAACCTGATGATTCCATGTCGTTTAACTCACACATCTTTGAACTGGTATCTCTTTTCTGAGACTTTTTTTCGAAATTACCACGAAAATTAGTCAACACGGCGTCTGAATAATTGATATTAATATGCATATATCTATATATTTTTCAATACAATTGGTTACCTATGTGCTGCCCGCTTCTTTTTCGAAGCTTCACTCGCTTATTTCCAAACATGGACGCTGAAATGAAATACTAATTTTTCAAGAAAAATTAAATAAACAGAATTTCTTTGATCCTATTTATTGAAATCTATGAATTTCAAAACGTGGTGTAATCACGGCCGCATGAACTCTGCGGACTTGCATTTTAATCAACGCCTATATATTTCAAAGTCTGCGCAGAAGTTGCGAGGTTTTGCCGAGTTGTGATTCACAGGTCTGGTTTAAATTGAACGCGATGCGATATTATATATTATTGCAATTTATTGTATATTATATATTAATATAATTTATTGTTTTCTTCATCGATCTCCAATAAATTTTTTCGTTGAAATAGTCTATTGAAAAAAGTTTAAAACCATTATTTCGTATAAAATTCCTGCTAATTTGGAAAAATCGTTATTTGCACATTGCAATTGTGCTCATTTTTCTGCTAAATTTTAAAAATTCCAAATAGGGACTTCCTACGCCATTTTCTAAGCATTGGAATCTTTTAAAATAAGAAAATTCATTTAAAAAAAAACGAGAATACGCAATATTCGATGAGTGTGCGTTTGCGCGCGCGGTGATTGCAGACTTTTTCCCGCGAACCCGATCATCCCGGGATCTCGGGTAGTTGCGGGACGAAACCGGGACGATACCCGGGATTGGAGTTCCGGGATTTCCCGGATAAACCCGGGAAACGGAATTCCCGGGATCCCGGGAAATCCTGACCCGGGTAGATACACTGGTAATAAGAATTTCGAATTGATTTATTTTGAGTAGAATGAATTGTTCCTATAACAAAAATTGCTCAGAAGTCCCCAAACAAAATCGATTGAACCAGCTTTCACTGTTTTTGTTTAATTTTCGATTTTTCTATGTATATTAAAATTTTCTTCAAAAATCTATTAGCGGGGCGGGTCGGTAAAATTTTCACCCGCCCCGGCCCGCCCGGTTGCAAGTATGGTCAAAGGCGGTATATTATTTTATTCAATTTTTAATGTGTTCAATAAATCCAACTCGATATTTTGAAATTTTCACAATTTTTTCCATATTCATAGTTATTTTTTTTTCACCGATGAGAAGCATTCGTAATTGTTTTTTTTTTAATTTCACTAGGCGTTTTCTGGTATTGTGTAGAGATATTTGATTTTTAACACACCTAATAATATACTAAATCTATCTGATGGCTGTTTTATCAAAGAGACGACTTTTTGCAAAAATCTATATTCAACTCGCTCTTGATTAAATTTAAAAAAAAACCATCACACAATCATTTTTTGTTCAAAATTGGGTTTCTAAAGTAGAAGCTGGCTGCCTAGAATTCACACATTGTAGTAATCTTTCTGGACGAAGAACTAAACAAAATTAATATTTCGAAATTAATTGAATAAATAAGAAGATACCCTGTGACTTTCAGATGGAGGACCCTACTTGATTATGACTTGTCTCCAATCCAGCAACGACTTGCCAGGTCTCGCTGGATTGGAGGCAATTCTAAGAAAAGAATGCGGTTGATCTTTAGCACCACGTAAAAATCTCAGAGGTACCTATTAAATGAATGATTTTCAAATTGTCATAACTCGCTTCTAACAGTTTTTGAAATTATGCAGAGAGGGGCAAAATTTAAAAAAATGCCCACATTTTTGCATGACTTCACTATTTTTTTTGCAAGATACAAAAACTCAAGCGACCATTAGAATTGACAGTGGTCATTATCGACAGCTTCATTCTGCCTGAGATGCATCATCATTACACAATTTTCGAAATGTTCCCGACGGGTTTGTGTGCAGTAATGCGTCGACGTGTCTGCGTCTCTCCAATCAATTCATCTCTCGTCACTCACTTCTGCCCACCTGGCTTTCTTCTGGAATTTCGGACCTTGTTTTCTTGTTCTTCAAATTTTCTTTTCAAATCTTTTTTTTGTTTTTCAAGAAGAAAAACAACGAGAAGAAGTTGCTCAAGTATGCCTCGTTTCTTTTTTTTAGGCAGTTCTCGATGACTAGCCGAGTGTTCTTCGAGGAAGCTGATCGACCGCCTCCGTCCTATTTTGAAAATGAATTGGATGAGACGAAGCCATTGAAAAAAGTGCCGTTTCAGACGCCCGAGCCTAGTAGTACGTTTGTTTAATTTTTTTTAATTGTGAATTCTGTAATAAAATGGTCCGCAAACACCGGACACATGATGTGGACGGGCTTTTACAATATTTTTGTTTTGTGGATTTTCACAATTTTATAATTTTTAATTTCGACATATTATATATCAAATTAACAATTTTCAAACCCAATCTAGAAAAATTCGATATAGAGCAAATTTTGATGTTTCGTTCAGGTGGTTTACTGTAGTCGAAAGTACGCAAACACCGAACAAGAATCAGGAACCCACTGAAAATCCATATCACATTCTAGGCCCCTGAAAAAAACGGCGGAATGAAATATTCGCGCATCGTTTTCCATCCATCAATTTCATTGTTGTTTCGTCATCGACAATGAAATTGAAAATTCATCGTTTCCCCAATATTTCTTTGTTTCAGCATGGCTCAAAGCTCCCGAATTTGTGCCGAGATCGAAATTGTTGGCTGACGCATTCGGCGATTCGCCGCAAATTTCGAATTTCGCGCCGCCCACTTCGCAACAGCCAATTCCGCTCGTCGATCCTCCGAATTTTGTGCCATATTCGCCCGTTTTCCCGTTTCCGCCGCTTGCCGAAATGCCGCTACCGCCGCCGATGCCGCTCAGTGGGATTCCAGCGGGTTATACCGCCAATATGACGACCATTAATCGTAAGTTCATCACTCGTTTTATGTCCGCAGCTGCTTGACTCGTAAAATTTTCCATTAGCACGTCTTTATGTGTTCTTCATTGCCGCATATAACGTCTGTAGGTGGGAATAATTGCGTGAGAATATGCCCAAAGAAGATTTAAAACAAATTAGTAATTTTTTTTTAAGAATGCTTGATATTTATTGCAATTATCGAAAAAAAATGTCGATTTTTGTTCAAAAATGTTTAATAATATATTTTCAAATTATAACAATCACAAAAGACCCGATTTCAGTGTTTCGTAGTATAGTTTGCAACAGCTTAATTTCAAAATTGAAATAGTATCTCGAAGAAAACACGATGGTCCACGAATACCTAGGGTGTTCACATTTTTTACAATGGTAAAATATGCAATTCAAAACAGAATGTGACAATTTTGAAAAAGAATTTTTCCTCGATAACTCTCAAATTTCTATATAACAATTTGTTCCTCTCGCATGACATTCCACATTTCACATAAGTGGTATCAAAATGATGGCCTAGAACCGGGGGAAGTCGATTAATCAGCGTAGAAAACCTCAATTTTCAAGCAGAGACAATTCCAAAAAGGGTCATGAATCATTGAATGTACGGCGACATCAATCAAACGAGCGAGTTACACAATTTGTGCTCGACGAGCAATCGATGTATGTTTATCAGGGTTTGTGACCCCCTCCTCTCGTCGGAGGAGGTTTTGTTTGAGACCTGTGAAGGAGCGGCGAGAATATCTCTCAGCGGGGGTGTTCTGCCATCTTTTATCATCTTTCCCTCAAAACTTTACTATTTATTATCAATATTGGCGTTGTAATTTTTGGGTCTTCAAATAAGAATTGATTTATTTTTGATTTGAGTTTAAATTTGTAGAAATTTAAATTTTGAGAAATTTCGAATTTCCGAGGTTTGCCAAATTTTGATTGCAAAATTTGGGTCAAATATTCGATTTTCAATCATCAGAAGAGAAACCGACGATTTTTTTCCAGATTTTTTGTTCCGAGAAAAAAATGGTCAAAATTCATCGATTTCTCTAGTCGTGCCGCGTTTGGTTCGCGAAAATTGTTATAATCGCGAGTGCCGCCTAGGACCGCATTTGTCAATTTGATGTCCATTTCGTGCTCTCCAATGTGCATGTGTGTCTGTTTTTTTTGGTGCGGCGCTCTCGACCCTTTAATGGCCCGAATCAATTCGCCTAGGCATTTTATTCGGTCGCTTTTCTTCCACTTTCATTGTTCTTAAAAATTAGGGATTTTCCACTGAAATTCAGCCAAATACGATTTTCCCTGTTTGATTATCCAATAGGAAAATATTTTAAAGTTTTTTGGTTAAAACGTCGAATTTTGAGCTACTATTTAGTCTTATTGTGATAACTTTGGGCTACGGTGTCAAAATTTCATCCAAAGGATGAATTTTCAGGGTCTTTCTAGCAAAGATTACTAAGTTTTTTAATTAAAAATAAATCGAAAAGCCCATTTGACAACATAAACCAATTATATTTCAAAGGTTTCCGAGAACCGTTAAAATTTGCAGTAATCTCTTATTGAAAATTATTCCTGGTCCTGAAGCCGAAGGTTTTTAAATGACTAATAAATTAAATGAAATGTTTGGGTGATAAGAGAACTCAAGGAAAAGTAAGTTTCCTGGTCGATTTGAAGGGGTCGCTTTTGCAGGTGTTTAATATTACATATTGTGTCGGCTCGACTTGACTTCGCTCATGACGCGTTCGGTCACATATTGCGAACGCAAGCGCGTTTTTACACTCTTGCATGTCCCTACCATCCGAGTTTCTTCAAATCATTTCATCTTCATTTTTTTTTCATACATATATTTGTCTTCCTTGATCTGTCAAAACCTAAAGAAGAAATTGGAGGATTTTAACTGTTGAATTTCGATCTCGAATAATTTTCGAGATTTTACCTAAATAGTCACTATCTTTGATTGGAGATTTGGAAATTTGGGATTAACTTGCGAAAAATTAGTATTTTTCGATTTTTCGTCGTCGAAATTTAAATTTCAACGATTCTTTTCTTGAATCCTACTAAATTTTTGCTAATTTTCCAGCCGCCAACGGACCGCCGATTGCGGCTATTTTGCTACGGAAAAAACGGAAGCGACGATCGAAACACGCGACCAACTCGATGATTATGAATACGACACATTCGGTACGTTTTTTCGTCGGAAAATTAGCTTCAAACAAATGTTTTCTGTTAGAAATTGGAAAAAAATTTGAATTTATCACAAATTTCCTTCTTTTTTCCGCAGCATTTTGAAAAAAATTGCCAAATTCGAATGTTTTTTCATCTAAAAAGTCAACCAGACAAATTTTTTGGTAAAATGCCCTGAAACAGTGTAAAGCTGACTTTTTTGCTTGAATTTTTTTCGGAATTCTCGTTTTCGACGATATTCTCCAGTTTTATATTCGGCCGCTGCGAGACTTAGTCCAAAAACTGCATGCGCCTTTTATTACCGTATAAAAAAAGTTTGAAAGTACAAAGAAAACTCCTTAAACTCACTGATTTTTCGAAAACTCCTTAAACTCACTGATTTTGGGTTGCTTTTCGTTTGTTTTTAATTAATTTTTAAAAAATTTGATATTTTTATTATCAAAAAATTTTCATGAGAATTGTGAGTAAACTCAATTCAATCTCAAAATTAAATTAATACATAGCAAGCAGAAGTATTGCGAAATTTCGTGTACAAACGATAGCTGGCCGCGAAACCCGCGGAGTGTCTGCAGCGGTGCAACGAGGGGGTATGTAAACGCGACGCGTTTTCATTCGAAGTGTCTAATTGGTCCGGAGTTGGTGGGTTATCATGATGAAAACACCCCATCAGCAATCACTCGATCCTTAGACTTTTGCATTTTTCGTATCTGACACGGTTATGGTGTTTTAGAGAAAACGAAATATGGCCAAAATAAGTACAATTTGAAGACTTTTCGAATCAAAATTTTCCAGGCTTGTTGTTTTGAAACCCAACTGTCTAGGACCAATACGGCCTAAAATAATAATATGATTTGATTTTTATTTTGGTAATGTTCGACAAAATTTGGTTTTCTTTGAATAACAAAAACAGTGTCAAAGTAAGAAAAATTTGATTCGAAAAATGCAAAAGTCTAAGGATCGAGTGATTGCTGATGGGGTGTTTTCATCATGATAACCCACCAACTCCGGACCAATTAGACATTTTGAACGAGAACGCGTCGCGTTTACATACCCCCTCGTTGCACCGCTGCAGACAATCCGCGGGTTTCGCGGCCAGCTATCGTTTGTACACGAAATTTCGCAATACTTCTGCTTTCTTCGTTAGACACAGAAAAATTGTATCAAATTCCTCAAATCGATTCATCATTCGAAAAACAAAAAAAAAGACAGTAGAGATTTCAAAGAAATGGAAATGATCGCCGAAAACTGGAAAAGAAAACCGAAACAAATTTCAGATTTTCCAAATTTTAGCCGAGAATTGTCAGCTTTACACTATTTTAGGGTGTTCGGGCCTTTGTTTGTAACAAATGTCCCTAAAAACTTTCTCAAAAAAAGTTGTCATATAGACTTCACCGTGCTCGTCGCATCCTTCTGATCCGAATGGCGATGCGTCGGATTCGGACGAATTCCGTAAATCAGTTGCGACGGACCACGGCGGCTCCTGTCCAGACCTCACCGAGCAGCAGGTTCCTCAGGCAAATGAAAAAAAATATTTTGAGACAATTCTAAAATCTTATGAGGTTCGTTGAGAGGCTAACGTGTCTCTATAATATTTTAGATTTGTCTCAATAAACTTTAGGAAATCTCATAAGATTTTAGAATTTATCAATAAGTTTCAATGAATATTGTGAGACTTTAAAGTTTATCAATAAGTTTTAGATTTGTCTCAATAAACTTTAAAGTTTATCAATAAGTTTTAGATTTGCCTCAATAAACTTTAAAGTTTATCAATAAGTTTTAGATTTGTCTCAATAAACTTTAGGAAATCTCATAAGATTTTAGAATTTATCAATAAGTTTCAATGAATATTGTGAGACTTTAAAGTTTATCAATAAGTTTTAGATTTGTCTCAATAAACTTTAAAGTTTATCAATAAGTTTTAGATTTGTCTCAATAAACTTTAGGAAATCTCATAAGATTTTAGAATTTATCAATAAGTTTCAATGAATATTGTGAGACTTTAAAGTTTATCAATAAGTTTTAGATTTGTCTCAATAAACTTTAAAGTTTATCAATAAGTTTTAGATTTGTCTCAATAAACTTTAGGAAATCTCATAAGATTTTAGAATTTATCAATAAGTTTCAATGAATATTGTGAGACTTTAAAGTTTATCAATAAGTTTTAGATTTGTCTCAATAAACTTTAAAGTTTATCAATAAGTTTTAGATTTGTCTCAATAAACTTTAAAGTTTATCAATAAGTTTTAGATTTGTCTCAATAAACTTTAGGAAATCTCATAAGATTTTAGAATTTATCAATAAGTTTCAATGAATATTGTGAGACTTTAAAGTTTATCAATAAGTTTTAGATTTGTCTCAATAAACTTTAAAGTTTATCAATAAGTTTTAGATTTGTCTCAATAAACTTTAAAGTTTATCAATAAGTTTTAGATTTGTCTCAATAAACTTTAGGAAATCTCATAAGATTTTAGAATTTATCAATAAGTTTCAATGAATATTGTGAGACTTTAAAGTTTATCAATAAGTTTTAGATTTGTCTCAATAAACTTTAAAGTTTATCAATAAGTTTTAGATTTGTCTCAATAAACTTTAGGAAATCTCATAAGATTTTAGAATTTATCAATAAGTTTCAATGAATATTGTGAGACTTTAAAGTTTATCAATAAGTTTTAGATTTGTCTCAATAAACTTTAAAGTTTATCAATAAGTTTTAGATTTGTCTCAATAAACTTTTAGGAAATCTCATAAGATTTTAGAATTTATCAATAAGTTTCAATGAATATTGTGAGACTTTAAAGTTTATCAATAAGTTTTAGATTTGTCTCAATAAACTTTAAAGTTTATCAATAAGTTTTAGATTTGTCTCAATAAACTTTAAAGTTTATCAATAAGTTTTAGATTTGTCTCAATAAACTTTAGGAAATCTCATAAGATTTTAGAATTTATCAATAAGTTTCAATGAATATTGTGAGACTTTAAAGTTTATCAATAAGTTTTAGATTTGTCTCAATAAACTTTAAAGTTTATCAATAAGTTTTAGATTTGTCTCAATAAACTTTAAAGTTTATCAATAAGTTTTAGATTTGTCTCAATAAACTTTAGGAAATCTCATAAGATTTTAGAATTTATCAATAAGTTTCAATGAATATTGTGAGACTTTAAAGTTTATCAATAAGTTTTAGATTTGTCTCAATAAACTTTAAAGTTTATCAATAAGTTTTAGATTTGCCTCAATAAACTTTAAAGTTTATCAATAAGTTTTAGATTTGTCTCAATAAACTTTAGGAAATCTCATAAGATTTTAGAATTTATCAATAAGTTTCAATGAATATTGTGAGACTTTAAAGTTTATCAATAAGTTTTAGATTTGTCTCAATAAACTTTAAAGTTTATCAATAAGTTTTAGATTTGTCTCAATAAACTTTAGGAAATCTCATAAGATTTTAGAATTTATCAATAAGTTTCAATGAATATTGTGAGACTTTAAAGTTTATCAATAAGTTTTAGATTTGTCTCAATAAACTTTAAAGTTTATCAATAAGTTTTAGATTTGTCTCAATAAACTTTAGGAAATCTCATAAGATTTTAGAATTTATCAATAAGTTTCAATGAATATTGTGAGACTTTAAAGTTTATCAATAAGTTTTAGATTTGTCTCAATAAACTTTAAAGTTTATCAATAAGTTTTAGATTTGTCTCAATAAACTTTAAAGTTTATCAATAAGTTTTAGATTTGTCTCAATAAACTTTAGGAAATCTCATAAGATTTTAGAATTTATCAATAAGTTTCAATGAATATTGTGAGACTTTAAAGTTTATCAATAAGTTTTAGATTTGTCTCAATAAACTTTAGGAAATCTCATAAGATTTTAGAATTTATCAATAAGTTTCAATGAATATTGTGAGACTTTAAAGTTTATCAATAAGTTTTAGATTTGTCTCAATAAACTTTAAAGTTTATCAATAAGTTTTAGATTTGTCTCAATAAACTTTAAAGTTTATCAATAAGTTTTAGATTTGTCTCAATAAACTTTAAAGTTTATCAATAAGTTTTAGATTTGTCTCAATAAACTTTAGGAAATCTCATAAGATTTTAGAATTTATCAATAAGTTTCAATGAATATTGTGAGACTTTAAAGTTTATCAATAAGTTTTAGATTTGTCTCAATAAACTTTAAAGTTTATCAATAAGTTTTAGATTTGTCTCAATAAACTTTAAAGTTTATCAATAAGTTTTAGATTTGTCTCAATAAACTTTAGAATATATCAATAAATTTTAGATTGTTCTCAATAAACTCTGTCCAATATTATGTAATATCATACGTTATCGAGCAATTTTCACACAAATAGAATGTAATAACATCCATAATAATTGAATATGTATGAACATTTCATTTATTACAATATTAATGCGAAATGAATATATTAATAATAAAAATCAGAAAAAAAATAAATGAATCAATTTATCCTTTTCGCATTTTCTCCTTTTTCTGCGAATGACGCACAACGTTGCTATAAGGAATTCGTTGCATATATTGAAAGAAAATGTTGAACTTACAAATTTTGATGATTGAATTTGTCGTTTTTCGATTAATTTCATGAGTTCTTTGCGATAAAATGACTTCTTAATTAAATCCGGATTCGCGTTGAAACGCATTTTCAATGAAGTCACAATCTCGTGATATAGTTTATAACTGAAAATTGCCAGTTTTAAAAAATAACTGAATGAGTCTAACTTTCTCAAAATACTATATCCAATCCCGTTTGTCTGTTCCGAGCACATGTTTCTCTTGATAACGTGATAAATGTGCTCATGCGCTTGCGTGCTTATTGCCGACAGCTGACCATGACATTACTGTACAAATGGTATATAAGTTGCTGAAACAATAAATACAGTAATCATTAGTATTATTTCTTATATCAACGACAATAGCATGATGCTACAACGTTCAATAACTCTTAAAATTGCAAAAAAACGACTTACGTGCACTTTTGAACCAGAAAACAATTGAGGCGCCCCATCTCAAATTAGAATTTCTAATAATTTGCAAATACCTGCGATCTGAAATAAAAATTTTCTATTATGTACATAGCTAACGATCCCATATTACTTTGTTTGGTAATGTTGTATTTGTAACTAAGCGAGTCGGTGACGCCATCCATCGGTAGCAGGCATGTATAAGCAACGCAACAGCTGAACCTAACGGAGGGATGGTCCCATTCATGGCGTTAGAAACAATTTTCACTTCAAAAATCTTCAAAGGATGATAATTGCAAGTGGTAAATTAACTTACACTAGCTTTTTCGGACCTATTAATGTCATTGAATTTTCCTGATAGCGACTTTACCGAAGATGGCAGTCTCGCTTTCACATCAATAGCTTCGCATCGAAAAATATTTATTTCGTTTTTAACGAAGACTTCTAAAAGACAATCTTCAATTTTTAAATGCTGAAAAAGGAGAGACATAATTGAAGTACCTTTTATTATACGTGTTCCCTCGTGAAAAAGGTGGAAAATATCCATGGCCGTGATCCACATGGGCACCTGCTCATTGCATTTGCTGTATTTACCTCGTTCCTTAAATCTATCGGCCAATGTTTCTGGAATGTTTGTTCCACACTTTTCCCGATCTTCTAAAATATCGAAATCATTAGAAACTGAAGTATAATTGTAATTAATTGTAATAATTGTGCTTATTTTTAAAATTCATGAACCTGTTCATGCAATGACATGTTTAGACACAACTGTTTCAAATTCAGCATGTAAAACAATGCAGATTTAAGGTAGTGTTAAACATTTATTATAAAAACTTGCATTTCATGAATACGTCCATCAGTGAAGTGAAGAAACTATTACAAAAAGCTAAAAAAAACGGAAGGAACATCAAAAACATAAATTATTGATTGGAATTTAGAAGATCTTAAAAAGAGACGCCGCAAATTGCGTCAGTGGAAGTCATAAGGGCCCTATTCAAATTTTAAAGTCTCACAATATATTGAGATACTTTACACTTTCTCAAAAGATTTAATTTACAAATTCCAAATTTTTAAAATTTATTGATTCTCAATAAGTTTTAGAAAGTATCAATAGACTTTAGAATTTCTCAAAATATTTTAGAGTTTATCACTGAATATTTGATTCTCAAAATATTTTATTTGATTTGCCTGAGTCAGAAATGGGACGATTATTTATATGACACCGTCCAGGCGATGAATAATGTAAAAATGGACGAATCGGGTATTGCGAATGCGTCTTTGAATAGGTATTCGGCTGTTTTAGTTTACGAGGTCCCGCCACGAAGTTTAATCGCTGTGGCAAAGGAGCGAGTAACTGGCACGACGAATGAGAAGCTTCAGGAACTCGATAATGAGATCAACGGCAATACGATGACGTCGTCGATGGTGCTGAAGCGCCTCGTCGATCATACGTACATGTCGGATGGGACGACCGATCGCACGCTCGCCGACGAGATTCAGGAGATCAATTTTAGGCCGACGATTACGGTAGTTTCGGAGCGCACATAACAAAAATTCAACATTGCTTCAGAAAATGGGCTATCCGCAAATCGACTGCAATCCGAGCCCATTCATCCAAATGGCGACGATGGACTCGAAAAATAAGAAGGTGAAGAGCGCGTTGATCGACAAAGAGGCTCTTAAAGCATATGTAAGAACATATTGGAAATTATTTATGAGAGAAAATCACTTTTTTCGTCCAGCTCGATGAGGAGGAGCAGGAGGAGGATTTCATCGAGGGATTGAATCTGCGCGTCAACAATTTCGACACTTGCGATGTAATTAAAGCAATTTTTGGGTGATGTTCCTTTAAATACGAGCCACTAGGAATTTAGCTTGATCGCTGTGAGACCCGGTCTGAATATTTCGTTGGCTATTGTCCATGTCTCCACTGTAGCGATGGGTCTCACAGTGTGTGTGTCAAGTGGTTGATTTTTATGCAGTGTTGTTAAACGCTGTCTAAAAATTGAATTTCTGTATCATTATCGCCACGGACCCGAGTGGTTTTAATTGCGATATCAGCAAATATTGAAAAAAAAAACACACACACACAAATTTTGATGGTATGTTGGGTCCTGCCGCGACAATTTCCAACTTTTCAGGACCTCACTCTGTCGGATGTCGAAATGCCGTCTCGATTCCAGCAGATTCAGGAAGTCATCCGTAAGAACACGATTGTCTACTCGAATGAGCTTAAAGCGCCAGAGCGCGTTTGCTGCTCAATTATGTAATTAATACCCAATTGGCGGCTCATTAATATTAATATTTGTTTTATTTCTATAAATATATTCAAAGTGTATCGCAACGATTTTCGTTTAGTCCTTCTTTTTGAAAAGGTTAAGAAACGCCAATCTTTGCTGAAATTGTGATATGTCTGCAAACACCACCGACACCGCTGCGGACTTTGGGCGCTACAGTTCAAATGCTCGAATAAAAATTCTCACCTTTTTGTCGTTTTTTTTCTTAATTGACTTGTATGATTTGCTGTTAAACTGTAAAATAATTAAATAATTTTCCGGCGATAATTAGCGCTAATTTGGCGTACATCTCGTTTGCGCTTCGCCATTTCCATTAATTCGGTCATCGCCGGCATTTTCATCATTTCTTCACTTTTCTTCTGTTTTTTTTTCGATTTTTGCAATTTCAAACCGTATCAATTAGTTACTGCGTTAATTTTGCGAATATCCTTCTCATCGGGTTTCTCCTTATTTGAAGTGTCACGCGCCGTGACCAAATCATCTTCTTTTTCTTTGGGCTTCGCTGGGGGAGCCGCCGGCGATTTTTTCTTCTCGTCGGATTTTTGCTCATCAACCGGTGTGCTTTGCTCCTTTTCCGAAAGCTTTTTCTTATCTGTTCCGCTGAAAATTCGAAAATTTAATAGAAGTTGTAACGATGCTCCTTGGTTTACGCGACCGCCCGCTGTTTAACGTAAACTATTTAGACGGAATTTTTCGCATTTTTTTTACCATGAAAATCGCGGTTGCGGCGATAAAGCTGGATTAAAATCGAATTCCGTCGAAACATTTGTTAACGTCGGCTCATTTTCATAATTGTTAATATCGCATCTACAAAAATTGCCAATTTTCTGTCCAAAATTTTCAGAAAATCATACATTTGCAAATTTTGCAAACATTTGCTCGTTTCCAAATCGCTCGCCATACTTGCAACACACTTTATCGATGAATAAACGAATATTGGGGTTATAATAAATAAACCTTCAATTGTTCCTAATTCGCCAATTAGCGTATTTAACTTGCTGACCATATGATTTAGTAAAGTCAATTAATAATTCCGCCGCAATAAATGACATGTGATAAAAACGAGAGAAATGAGAAATGGATTTGCAGGTATGTTGGCCAAGAGCGTCAAACTCGCTTCTTCACGCCAATTCCTTATTCGCAATTTATTTTATAGTACGACGAATTCGTCAAACGAATGCTATCTAGAAAGACTTCAAGGAAAAGATGAAGGTAGTCCAGCTTAGGCTTCTAATTAATCGATTAAATCCAATTATAGGAATCTCATTAATTCATATGAACCGAGCCGCCCGTAAAAACTCGCTAGGAAAGACATTTATGAAGCAATTTCGGCAAATTCTCGACGATGTCAAATTCGACAACAAGACGAGAGTGATAATATTGAAAAGTGCGGTGCCGGGAACGTTTTGCACAGGTTTGTTGTACCATGCTGCCTGAAAATCGTCTAAAATGGATTTAGGAGCCGATTTGAAGGAGCGAAAAGAGATGGCGGTGGACGAGGTGCCGAAATTTGTCGACTCGTTGAGAAATTCCTTCACCGATGTGAGTTTTCTGATTGTTTTTTTTTTTTTGGAAATTGCGTTTCAATCAACGATTTTAAGCTTGAGAAGCTTCCGCAGCCAGTGATCGCCGCAATCGATGGTTTCGCACTTGGTGGCGGTCTCGAATTGGCGCTGGCGTGTGATATTCGTGTTGCCTGTAAGCGACGATTTGCAAAGCATTTCAAATTTCTGTTTGTTTTAAAGCGAAAACATCGAAATTGGGACTCGTCGAGACGAAATGGGCACTGATTCCCGGCGCCGGCGGTTCGCAGCGATTATCGCGCGTCATCGGACCCGCGAAAGCGAAAGAATTGATATTCACCGCCGAGATATTCGATGGCGAACAGGCGGCGCAACTCGGTGTCGTGAATCATGTTGCTGATGATTCGCTGGGAAAGTCACTCGAAATTGCGAGGAAGATTATTCCAAGGGTAATTGGCCAATTTTGAAAAACATAGAGGGCGGAGCATGTGCCTTTAAACTGTTTCGTAGATTTTTGAAAAAAAAACCGCTGGCAAAAATCCTTTTGATTTTTTCACAATTTTGAAAAATCACAAAAAAGTGGCAAAAATTCTTTGTCACTTCGGCTTAAAACATCGATTTTCAAAATATTTTAGTTTTAATCCTTTAAATGTGCGAATTTGGAGTTTTCAACGAAAATTGATAATTTTAGACCAGTTGATGCCGACAAAAATCGATTTTTTCTAGAAAAAAAAACCGCGAAATAAATTTAAAATTGAAAATTCCTTGAAAAGGTGGAATTTTTAATTTCCCATTTTTTTCACTGCGGCTGGAGCCTGTGCCTTTAAATTTGCAAATAGAGGCCGAGCCTTATTTCAGACTACTGTAGATATTTTGTAGGGACCAATTGCTGTGAGAATGGCGAAATTGGCGATAAATTTGGGATCGCAAACCGATATAAATAGCGCTCTGACGGTCGAGCAACAATGCTATGCGCAGGTTTGTTCGAAAAAATATAGTTTTTTCCAGAAATCGTGCGGTTTCAGATTGTGCCGACGAAGGATCGAATTGAGGGTTTGAAGGCGTTCGCCGAGAAACGCGAGCCGATTTACAAAGGCGAATAAATAAATTATTAGTCGAAAATTTGGTGCCATTTTCAGGTTTTTTGAGAATAAATGTGATTTTTGAGAATGATTCTTCATTTTTAATGGAATTTTCCGTTTTTTTTTTCAAATCGGATTTTATATTTTTCTTCTTTTTTTTAGTTGATTTCACATCATTCTCCTGATTTAGATGGTCCGATTGAGTTTGCGCAGTTTTTCGCAGAAATGGGATATTATGGCGTCGGTGGTCCTTGGGCGATCGCCGGTCATTGCGCCGCCGATGAGCGCAATTGAAGCAAAGTGGGTTTTTTTTAGGAAATTTTTTTAATTGTGGAAAAACAGGGCAAAAATTTTGAAATTTTTCGAATTTCTACAAAAAACGAAAAATTAAGAACACACTGAAAGTTTTCTGAATTTTGCCCCAAAAAATATCTCAAATTTTCAAATATTGATTTTTTAGAGAAACATTTTTTTGAAAAAATACGCAAAAAAAATTCAAATTTTGTAATGAAATTTTCCAGTTTGATTTAAAATTATGGAATTTTCTGCGGTTTCTCTCAATATTTGTTGGCAATTTGTCAACTTTGAGACATTTTTTTGAAAAAAGTAGGGAGAAAATTGCTTAATTTCGTTAATATCTTATGGGATTTTCAGATTCCACCGGTTGCAGCTTGAAGAAGAACGCGAAAAAAGCCTAATGTGCAATTATGAGCTCAAAACGAAACAGGATGAGAAGTACGATGCAATATTTTTCAATTTTATTTTTTTGCAAAAAAATGAAGAAAAATATAATTTTATTTGGTTTTTAGGATTCTCGCACGGCGTGAGCAACTGATTAACGAGGGAAAAGAGCTATCGGAGCTCGACGAGGCGATTTCGGTGATGAATTCAGTTCTCGAGGATGAATGGAAGCGAAAAGCTGACGAGTTGGAGAAAAAGTTGTCGGAGATTTGGGAGATTGATGAACATTTGTGAAATTTCAGATATAAATTCACCACCGAATCGCCGGCGAATGATGGGAAAAGCTTGGAGAGAATGTTGGATAGGTGATTGCTTGAAAAAAATTGCAAATTAAAAAATTTGTTTGATATGCTTAACAAAAAATTACAGAAAATTGGTTTTGATTGTGAAGCAGCGATTCGGCGACAAAAAATATTCGTCGCCATGGATTTTGCCGCAAATCAAGCATAAAGACGGCGAGACACTTCGACAGGTATATTTCTTGTTTTGAATTTGCCGCCAACAAAACAAAATTTGAAATTCGCGCCGATTGCAGACTGCTGAACGATGTCTCGGCGAGATTTCGCGCCAAAATTTGGCCGTGAACATCGCTGGAAACGCTCCGTTTTCGGTCTTTACGCACAGGTACGGTATGCGCCTTGAAAACAAAAAAAATCATTTGGAGACTCGTTATTTATTACCGTCACAAAAAACGAGCGCATTGCTTAATTGTGGACCATTGCACTTTATCGAAGCGGCAATACAAATTCGAATTTAAATACATAGTGGGAGTTCACAGGGTACCGTACTTTCTATAACCTGCGAAACAAACTCACAGCAGGGCGCTCGTTTTTTTTAAATATAAAATAGTTATATTTATTTTTGTTTTGTTGAAGGTATCCCAAAGGTCTCGCGGCGAGAACTGGTTCGATTGGCGCCAAAATATTTTTTTATCAAGCGAATTTGGCGCAAAATTCGACGGAATTCAAGGCGAACGGTGAAGATGTAAGAGAAAATTTGATGATTTCTTGAATTGGCCGAAAAATACGAAAAGTTTTAGAAATTTTGAGTAAAAATTTTGATATTGAATAATTTTTTGATTTTGTCAGCGAAATTTCAACAATTTTAAAGTTTTTTAATTCAAAAATGAGTAAAAATCTGATTTTTTGGAAATTTTCAGTATTTTTGATGAAACTTCCGGTTTTCGGCGGGGTATATTTTTGGGCAACTTTGAGCAATTTCCCTCATTTTCAGATTTCCGACTTCAATTGGGTGACAAAAGAGGAATTTATAAGTAGTGTGCCGGACAAATCGTATCGAAAAGCGGCGAGATTCGCGTTTTTAGAATAATTTTCGACATTTTAGGCGGTTTTTTTTGTTGATTTTTAATAAATTTTTGTTGTTTTTTCAATCCTTATTCAAGATTTTTCACGTTTTTTCGACGCATTTATATTAATTTTCCGATTAAAAGAAATAAATTTGAAAATTTAGATGGATAACTCAATGTTTCTTAAAAGGCCGACACCGGCTGACGATGAGGACGAGATTCTGGAAATGCAGCGACAATGGGAAGCGGCGAAATCGGAAAAAGTGGGCGGAGCTTATTCCGAGAGTTGAATCGCGTAATTTTTGCAGCCGACGGTTCAAATTCACAAAATGAAGAGGAAAAAGGTGGAAAATGAGCAGAAAGGTGAGGAGAAAACTGGAAAAATTGTGAAAACTTGATAATTTTTGTGAATTTTTAATTTCGGATAGTTAAAAATGAGAAAAAAATTATTTGTGGATAGTTTTGAACAAAAATATAAATTTTCAAAAAACTTCGATAAATTTTTTTGTTAGCAAAAAAATTTTTTTCCGAAATTTTGATTTTTTAGCATCTGCGAGACCATTGAAAGAGCACACCGGACGATTTACAATCGATTTGGACGAAATCAAAGAAGAAAGTGATGCTCAAAATGTCCTTTTTGGAGTTGTTGAGAGGAATTCGGAATGGTTGACGCAAAATAAAACCGACGAAATGCTCAAAACGAATTTTGCGGCCGCTTATTCGAATGAAGACGGTTTTCCGGAGCCATTGTATCTTAAAGCTTATTATTGGTGAGCGATGTTTCGCCAAAAAAATGGGAAATTTTCAATTTTTGTTTTTGATTACTGTAGTTGGTAAAGTTCGTAACGCGCGGAATTGCGTCGGTGTTTGCGGATTTTCTTTATTTGAAATTTGCACCCATCGCTTTTTTAAATAATTTTCAGTGAAAATGAGACGACGAGACGAGCGCCGAGCGGCAAAAGCTTCTTTGCTGCGGAATTTGATCGAATTCATGGGAAATTGGGTAATTTTCAACCAAATTGGACGTACATTTCATCGTTTTTAGAGGAGAATCTTGACGAAGCGGCCATGAAAACTGTGGAGAATGTACCCGAAAAAGAAGATTTCGAAGCAGAAAATGACAAATTTCTCGCTGGATTGGACATGGAGAAAGTGAAAGAACTTCGCGGTGAAATCGAGGAGAGATTGAATCCGAAAATGATTGAATTTTTGATGAATCGCAAAAAGAAAGTCGAAAAACCCAAAGGTTTGGAATTTTCGATGAAATTTGGGGAATCTTGTAAATTTTAGTGTCAAAGTTCAAATCGCGACGATTGGCGGAAAAATTGGCTACTAGCGAACCAACGTGCTCCACCGAAGCTGCGCCTCCACGTGTTCCAGCTCCAAACGAATTGGAGTCGGATAAGAAGACGGCGATCATTGAGGATATGCTCAATGAGCTGGAGGTGCTTGACGAATTTGCTAATCAAGACGATCGCGAGAAGTACAATCGACTTGCTACGGTAGCGCGGTGTTCGTGTTGAGATGCAAATTATTTTTTTTTTCAGGATGCGGTTCAATTGGATATGACGGCGAAATTCGGACGTAATTTGGTCAGCCGGCAGCAGAAAAACGCGCTTCGATTGTTCGATAGCTGCAAATTTCGGCCGAACGGGTATTTTTTTCAATTTGCCGAAAAATGTGTATTTTTTTCCAGATACGATGGATCTGATAGTTTGCGAGAATCCGCGCGAGACCATATTGAGGATATTAAGAAGTTGTATTTGGAGGAGGTCGAAATTGGCGGCAAACGGGAGTTTGAGTTCGGACGAGGTGTGAATCCGATTCTCGACTCGTGTTGGACGCTGGTCCCGGCGCGAAAAGTACTTGACGCGGTGGAAAAACGGCAAGGGTAGGCTGGAATTGTGATTTGTGGAGGGAAAAAATCCGATTTTCTGTCAATTTGACGAAAAATTATGTTTTGTTGCAGAATTGTGACCGCGGATGACGTCGAAATTGTAAAATACGCAATTTTATGGACATTTTTGATGTTCGAGGAGAAGAAATCGGCGTTTTTTGCGTTTTCTCAGCCCAACGACTTTTATGTGCATCTTTCGGAGGTTAAAATAGTCGTTTTTGTTGAAATAACATGAATTTTTTTGAGATTTTTCTCATTGGAGCTGAAATTTTGGCAGATGATTTGATTATTCGTTGTGTTGAGAGACTTATGAATGGATATGTCATCAAGGTTTTTTTAGATTCGTTTTTTAAAGGAATTTTTTTTTATTAGGCGGCTTCTGAGGGACGATTGAGTTTGAGAATGAACGCGAAAGTCGCCGGAATCGATGCTTTTATGCCCTTGTAAGGAATTTTTGGTTTTTTTTTTTGAAAATGCGATCAAAATTGGTTTATTTTTGAAAAATCGAAGCATTTGATTTTTTGGCACGAGAATTTTAAACCGAAATGTTTTTTTGCAGTTTTGAGAATTTGCTCAAAAATTTTGAGCAATACTCACTTGGCGATGTTCAATTTTCGCGCGCGATTCTCATTGGAGCGTACTTGAACGCGCCGATCGGCGATAGTTTGGAATATCGATTTGCGGTTTGGACGCCGAAACGGAGTATTATTCGACAAATGACAATCAAAAATTGTCATGCGGTGAGTATTTTCCATTTTTGGGAAGAAAAAATTCCTCAAAATCGCAATTTTTTGGAATTTGTGTTGGAAATTGACAGTTTTTATTGAAAATATGAGCATAAGTGTATTTGACAAACAAAAAAATGTGTTTTTCCTGAACAGAAATAAAAATTTTTTAATTGTTGTATTCGAATAATTAAAATTTGATTTTCCTTATAATTTTTGAAATTTTTAACGTTTTTAGAGCACGAAAATTCTAAAATATTTTGATTGTTCAGCAAGATATTCTGAAAATGCTGAAAGCGCAAACGGTCGAACGCGAGCAAATCGTGCTCGAACAGCATTACGTACAGTATACGTCGCTTCTCGGCGCCTACGTGGCAGCGATTCGCGACGAGACCATCACGAAGGAGAGGAACGAGCTGATGTGGACGATTGCGAGTTTCGAGATTGGTCGATTTGTGGCGCGACGAGGCCAACTCACAACTCAGGTAGATATGCGCCAAATTTTCGTGTAGAATTTCGATTTTTTTTTGTTTTTGAAGGCCAATCAAAAAGAATTGGACGTTTTGGTGGAAATCATCCGCAAATCGATTGGTGATAAACTCATGTTGTGAGAGTTTTGAAATAAAATTGCCGTCTTGCTGATATTACTGTAGTTGGGCACAAAAAAGTCCGTAATGGCAAATGACGAGAATTTGCAGAAATTTGAAAATCCCATAAAATTCGAATAATTTTTTTTCAATTTTCTTATTATTATTATTATTATCATTATTTAATATAATAGTAGAAGATGCTGTGCGGCACACAGCCACCGTCGTCTTATTGTTCGTCTCGCCGTCGGGCGCCCTCCGCGCCGCGCGCATTCTCTCACCCGTCTCGCGTTTTTACAACGCGAGGGCGATCGCTGGTGTTGTGTGTGTGTGCCATTTCGCCTACACAACATATTTTTGAGCTGTGCTTATCGATTCGACGATGTCGACGTTGGGACGCAAAACGCCGGGTCCCGATGGGAAGAAGAAGGTAATACTTGTTGGAAATGGGTTTTGTTTGTTTTGAGAAAAAATTGGATGAATTTCTTGAAATTACAGTTTCTAAGCGTTTTCGTGGTAAAATTCCCTAGAAAATTTGCGATTTTAAATTTATTTTTCTCGAAGATAAAAATCGTGTGCATTCTAGCGTGTCGATGAACTGCGGACTTTACGTCTACAGTACTCCCGGTGATTTGAAATTAACAAAATGTCGAATTTAGGAGTCATTTGTGGACAAATTGACGGGAACTTTGGGTAGAAAAAAGAAGAATCCGACCGAAAATGAGGAAGCGAATGAAGATGATGAGGTTGTGAAGGTAAAATTAATCAAATTTTACGCGAATTGTGAAAAATTTGAATTTTGCAGGTTGAATTAGAAGGTCGCGAAGCGCTCGATTCATCTCTTATCCCATTTTCCGCCAAGAATAATTGGTTGGATGAAGGTTTTTTGAAAAATCGGAGTTCAATGAAAAAATAACTAAATTTTCCAGGCGAGACCCGTCGATATTTGTCGAAAGAGTGCGCAAAAGACCCGGAACTGGGGCAAGTTGTCAATTTATTAATTTACTGGCTGAACGAGGAGCTCGCCGAGCAGCGAATCGTCGTCAAGAATCTCCAAGAGGATTTGTACGATGGTCAAATCATTCAGAAGCTTCTCGAAAAGCTTGAACAGATTCGGGTAATCGTCGCTGAAAGCGATGTATTGAGCTCGTGTGTCTCATTTTTGGTTATAGATTGAGGTTCCCGAAGTGTCGCAATCGGAAGAAGGACAACGTCAGAAGTTGCAAATTGTCATTGAAACGGCTAACAAAATTCTTGGAAGTGGAATGGAGTCGGACAAATGGAACGCCGATCTCGTCCATCAAAGGGTATAACTTTTTGGCTAAAAAATAAATAAAAAAAAATGTCGGAAAATCAACGAACTCCGAAAATTCTCCATTTTTTCGCTGATTCTGCAGGATCTCGTCGCGATAATGCAGCTTCTCGTTGCACTGGCTCTTCATTATCGCGCGCCCATTCGATTTCCGGACAATGTTACGGCGAGTGTGGTGATCGCCACGAAACAGAACGGGAAAGTCAACTCGCATCGAATCACCGAGCAAATTACCACTGTTCAAACCGAATTGGCGCCAAAGGTACGATAATTAGCCAATTGTTTCTAGAGTAATTATGATGCGCAATTTTTTTTTTGAGAAAATTGTTTCTTGGAAGTTATGAATTTTTGTTCGACGCTTTTTTTTTTGAAAAATTCCAGCTCAATTTTTGTCTAAATTCTTCCAATTGTTTTTTTTTTTTTTAAAAATCTCGAATTGTCATATTTTGTTTGCAGGGCGAACGCGACGCCTTCGATACCCTATTCGACTACGGACCTGATAAATTGGCGCATGTGAAGACGTCGCTTCTCGCGTTCTGCAACAAGCATCTCAACAAAATCAATCTCGAAGTCTCCGATTTGGATTCGCAATTCCAGGACGGCGTCTATCTCGTGCTTCTCATGGGACTTCTTGAAGGATTCTTCGTCCCATTGTACTATTTCCATCTTCAGGTAGAAATTTAGCTTTTTTATGTCGATGAGAGATATTTCAGTTTTTCATGACTGCGCCTTTAAACTACAAATTTTCGTTGTTCAGGTTCAAAGTCATGAAGAGAAGGTGAAAAATGTGAAATTCGCTTACAAATTGATGGAAGACGCAGGCCTTCAGAAGCCTAGAAGCCGAGTTCAAGATATCGCGAATGGAGACGTTAAGGTAATCCAATTTTTGGGAGGAAGTTTCAAAAATTGCTTCCAGAGTACATTACGCCTTCTACACTTGCTCTTCACCAAATACAAACATATTTAAGGCTCAAAATACCAAAAAAAGCAAAATTTTTAATAATATTGGTGCTTTATATATATATGTGTGTACGTGTTCTATTATAAAATAATTCAATGAGTTGGCGGTTTTGCGTAGGTCGCGTCGATGTACAGACAGATCATCTCATCGACGAGACTCTTGTCGGGAATCTGAGCCGCCATTCCGTAGAGAGCCGCCGTGCTGTCCTTGTTACCTTTGTCGTCGCTGGCGGCGATCTCGGTGCACACTTTGTCGAGATCGCTGACGAACGCGTCGACGACCTTCTCATTGGCTTGATTGATTGTCATGCACAGATGAATGCTGAAAACGGCGACTTTCGGGAAAAACCCCGAAGAAATTTGAGGGTTTCACCCCCAATTTTGATTATTTTTTGGTTGTTTTCGCGTCAGAAATGAAATTTCGATGTGAACAACGACACTTTGGTTTTTTTTACTTACGCATCGGGATTCTGAAGTGTGTTCAAATTCCACCCAAGCTTATTCATTCTATCGCTGACCGCATAAATGTTAATGCCGTTTCCGCGGAATCCCACTACCGAAACATCTGGTGAGCCGTAGAGCTTGAAATGAGATAAATTCGATTTGAAATTGAACAGATTATTCGACTTACTTTAATATGTGGGAGTTTCGAGATTCTCTCGGCGAGAATTTTCGCGTATTTCACGATTTCGCGGCATCTTCTTACGTATTCATCGCGCCCGAATGATAGAAGTGTCGCCCAGGCGACAGCGGTGTTCGCGCCAGCGCGAGAGCCTTCAAAAATTCGTTAGAAATTAGACAAAAGTGTATTTTTTGGTTTCCCGAAAAAATCCGCATTTCGGCGAATACGTGTGTTGCGGACTTGTGGCGCTACAGTAACAAAAGCAAAAATTACTATTTTTTCCATAGAAAACTCAAATTTTCGGGATTCGAAAAACAAAAACTTGTGTGCAATTTTAGGCCGCGGTGTATCTCGGGCAATTTCACCAACAGTACCGCAGTTTGCAAATTCTCACCGGTAATCGTCGGCGTCGCGTAGATTCCGCCGGTCCATTCAGGAATACAAAAGAATTGATGATGGTGCAATTCGCGCGAGCGATACATCACAATCGAGCTGCCTTTGGGTGTACAACCGTACTGAAATTCGAAAAATTTCAATTTAGAAATACAATTCAAAATCAACACCTTATGGGTATCACAAGAAATTGACGTGACGCCAGGATTGCGGAAATCAAACACGGGAAGATGGTACCCAGCTGCGGACATGAACGGAATCAAAAATCCGCCAAGGCAGGCGTCGACGTGCACCGGAATACCGTACTTCTCACCCAATTTAGCGATCGCCGGAATCGGATCAATCGTTCCCGATGGGAAGTTCGGCGCCGAGCCGACGAGCATACAAACGTCCGAATCGATCGCCTTCTCCATGGCGCGCAAATCGACACGATTGTTTTGATCTACGGGGATGTGTCGCAAACGCATTCCGCACATATGGGCGGCTTTGTCGAAGGCGGCGTGCGCGGTGATCGGCGCCACAATCACTGGCGAATCGATACCGGCTTTGAGCGCACGATTGCGATAGGCGAAGCACGCCATTATGATCGATTCGGTGCCGCCGGTCGTCACACTTCCGCTCGAATCATCGGGCGCGTTGTAGAGATTGAGAACCTACAATCAATTTTTCTTTCACGAAAAATTCTTCAAATTTAATTCTGCTTCAATTTTGAAAATACGATTCAAAAATTTTAGAAAAATGTTCCCTTTTTTCAAAAAAAACCAAGCCACAAGAAATTTAGTTTTCAAAATTAAATACTTTTCACTTCAAAATATCTACAATTTTTCGGACATTTTCGAAAAAAAAAGCAGTACCATTCGAATAAGCTCCGCCTCCATTTTTCGAGCTCCCGGAAAAACGTCGGGATGAAGTGGATTCGAATAAGCATATTTCGAGTATATCTGAAATTTGCAAAATTCCAAACTGAATACTACTGTAGTGGTTACGGTAGCCAGTAGATCAATGTGCTTCTTTTGGCGGTCGGTGTAAACGGCGCCCGAAACTCGGCCGCCGTCGATTTCGAACTTGTTGTATTTTTCGTATTTGTCGGCTAACGCCACGATTTCCGAATCCGCAATTCCCGAAGACGGCAATTCTGCAAAAAAATTGAAATTTTCTTTAAAAATGTCCAAAATTCAATTTTTCATTGAAAATTTCACGAAATTTTGTGATATGAAGTAAAAACACATGAAATTCATATAAGGCACCACTTACCACTAATAAACACCTTATCAGTATCATCCTTGTGAATCGATTCAAGCATCTCAATTCGCGTCTTCGACAACTCCTTTTCAATCTTCGCTTTAATCGGCGGCAATTTTCTTAATTGTCTGAAACCGAACGCCGAGATTCGCTTCAACAACGGCTCCTCGCTTCTTCGGTAGATTTGCACCAATTTGGCGTACACCAAAGTGCCGCCAATCGACGCCAGCACCAAAACGGCAGGGTCCCAACGCGAAAGCCTATCGTTCACAATGTCATAGTGGAGACGGATCAATCCAATGGCATTGTCCACACTTTCCATAGTCTAAGAATGCAAAAAAAATAGATTGTGGCAAAAATGCAGAAAAATTGGTTGAAATGATAACATTTCGGCGAGAAACGACAAAAATTATCAAAGAAAAACGACGGTTTCGGTTATCAATTAGAAAATTTATGTATTATTGATTCGAACACAATGTTGTAGTGTATTGGCGCGTTGTCGAAACGGCCAAACAAATATTAGAGCATCGGGTCGACATCATCGCCGCGCGGCGGTTTGCCTTGTTTGCGGAGAATCGCACCCGGCGCTGGATACGGCCGCTGCTGGAACAATGGTCCGCCGGCGGTCACATCGGCACCCGTCACTTGTTCGGCACGCATTCCGTCGGACCATTTGCCGCTGCAAAATTGGATAGTTCTTCAAAACTCTTCAAAATGCCCAATCTTCATAAATTCTTAGCGCATTTTCAAATTTCGCGTAAATAACAAGAAAATCCATTCGAAACAATTTTTAATGATTCCAAAAACTTTCAATTTTCCTGTCGAAAATTCCAAATAAGGCGGCTAGTCGCTCTAGACTCAGTAAAAAATCTTACACTGGGGCATCACCATAAGCTGCAGGATCCATCGGATCGATTCCCTTCCGCTTGGCGCGCTCTAGAAATGCAATTCATTCGAAACTTTAGGCTTTAATCTTACTCAATCTAGCCCTATCGTCCATCTCAGAGACATCTTCATCCTCATCTTCTTCAGGATCTCTCTGAAAATCAAAATTGCATAAAAATGAAATCAAAATTTGCATAAAAAAATGAAGTCTTTTGCAGCTTACCCTTCTTCTCTTGTCGTTTTTTTCTCTATCCCTATCGCGATCTCCCCAACGGCTCTCGCCACGATCAGATTTACGTCGGTCCTCAGAAGGACGAGAAAGTGGTTCCTATAAAAATTAATGAAGATCTTAATGAAAAAAATCGTGAGATTTACAGCTTCTCCAAATAATCCTTGTGCGTTTTCTCTGGCCACTCTTGGAGCTGGGTCGCTGATATAAGCTTTTGGATGCCTCGGTGACAGCCAACACACCTAAAAAGCAGAAGAAATGAGCACATCGAGGAGTACTGTGCCTACTTCATCAGTTGTGCGATTCCAAAAATAGAATTTCGCGACGCCCGGATCATAGACTTCCTCCCAACCTTCGGGAAGCGGAAACTTCGCCAACATTCGATTTTTTCGCTCAATATACTTATCCGGAAGCCTTTAAATTGGTTTTTGAAAAATCAAGCTTGTAAATTCACCTATATTCTGGAGTTCCGTCTCCCCAATGATCGTAGCAGAAATCGACGCACACATGGTATGGGTTGTAGCGATTCGGACATCCTGGAGCACCGGACGCGTTTTCTTCGAACTGAAATTGTTTTTTAAATAATACAATTGATTTAAAAGTTCATTTACTTTTTTTGTAGCTTGCTCAGATTCGTAGTTTTCTGCTATCACTTCTTCTTCTGTGAAAAAAAAATGTTTAAAAAAAATTAAAAATTTGATTTACCTAGTTTTACTATTCCCCTCTTTTGCAATCGTGCTAGTAATGCTGGCGGAAGTGACATTCTTCAATAAATTAATTTTTAAATTTTTAACGAAAAAGAAAAACAGAAAAATGGAAAAAAACGCTAAAATTTTGAAAATGCGTTAAAGGGTCCGCCCGCAGTTTAGTGTAAAGGTCTTGCCGCGTAAACGCGGAATATCGTACCACAAAAATTCAAAAAATAGTTCAAACTGTTTTTCATTTTTGGAATTTTTTCAGTAAAAATGGAAATTATTGAGGGTTGTTTTGAGGGGTTGATGTAAAAAGTTGAAAAAATTGTGCTTACTCAATTAAAGTGGAAAAATTATGGGTTTAAATTATATTATAGACGAAAAAAATTCATTAATTTAATGTTAAGTGGCCTAAATCAATTTTTGCGATTTTCAGGTTTTTTTCACGCGTAAACAAAAAGTTGTTTCCCTAACGCGAGCATCATGTTCGGCCCATAAAACAGAATTTATGCATGTTCGCCGACCTTGCGCAGCGCCTTTTCTAAACAAACAAATTTCATTCGAAAATGCTAGTTTATTCGTGTTATATCTACGCGGATTTATACTTTTTGTGTGGAAAAAACTTTGTCATTTATCTTGTATAACCGGCCAAAGATCGGGTCACGCGTCGGTTTCGGCGAAATGATCAAAACTTAAAAATTAATAGCAAAACATTTAATGTTCAATGTTTTAATCTCCATATTCGTTATCAATTTTTTGATTTCAACAAGTGTTTAGAAACATTCGACTATTTCCGTTTCACTCTTTCCATAGATTTTGTCTTGCTGATGAAAACTAATAATCGACGATGTCATTGTTTTTAGTGGTGATTCAACACTGAAAAATTCCGTTTTTTATTTCTATAAAAATATTGCGCAATTGTTTTGTTTGGTGTTCACCGAAACAAAACAATCACCATCATTGTCTTTTTTTAGGCGCCGCGTTTTCCGCCCCGCGCTATTTTTATTATTAGCAAAGGGTTTTTCTTTTTTTCTTGCTCGAAAGTGTGTACTGATTTGAGAATCCATGACAAATCGATTGGAGCAGCTTCCTAGCGTCAGGTGCTTCGCCAATCTAACCATGACTTGCCCAGGCTTCTCATGACAATTGCTTAAAGAGATGGAGAATCCTAGACGCAAGCACATCTCGTCGGGTCCTCGTATTTCTGTCTATCCTTTTTTATTTTTGAAACGTTTTTTACCATCGAGATTGGAGTTCTTCAATTACAGTACTCGAAATAGGGAAATAACGTTCCGTTAAGTAGTTTTTTTGGGAAAATAATTGGATCTCTGTGCTCCTTTGAAATATATCACCACTATGGTCTCGTAACGAAACATGTGGATAGTGCAAATCCCAATAACTCATTTGTTTTCCATGAAATCCATCGATATTAGTAATCTATGTAACAAATCTCGCACGTATCGCCAACAGTCATCAAGATGTACGCAGAAATTTTAATTATTCAATTGTCAAATATTTCTGCATTCCAGAAATTCATTCTCTAAACAACTACCGTAATCATATTTTCATCGAGACATTAAATTCCTGTTTGCTTTAAGGATTTTTATACTTAACAATAACAATAAAGTCCTGCAATTAGCGTGACGGTTTAAACCCAACTTTGCCGCAATTAGCGACAATTCTTTTCTCTTTTTTGTTCTCCAGAATTTATTTCACCCCTGTTGTCGTGTCGTATTAATTTTAATGGATTTCTCGCCTAATTGCCAGCCGCAATTAAATTTGATTCATTCATTGTATCGTATAGTTGTGGCCGATGAGAATTGATGAAATTAATCAGGTGATTTTTTTCCTGTTCGATTTGTTCGTTCCTGGCGGCGGTGATGAGAGGGGGGGGTTTACGTTCAATCTCTCGCCAGTAGAGGTAGAGCTGTGATATCGCGTAGAAATGGATCGGATTTCTCAGTGGGAGTTCTTATTGTAAAAGAGAAGTGAAAATCGTTATTTGTTGGGATATTCTTGCCAAATTTCTACAATGACTTCTAAATCGTGTTAAGACTCGGAATTTGATATTAACTTTTTTCGGAATAGTCATTTTTGTAAGTTTACTGAAATTTTTTCTGAAATTTCACAATAATTATTTTTCTGTTCAAAGTCCTTTACTAATTTGGTATGTTACCGTAATCCTGAATAGCCCCTTTTTATTAACCATACATTTACATTTATTTTTTTTATTTCAAAATGTCTTTGTTTGCGAGTTGGTCATAGTAGGTGTTTGGCTGTTTTTTTTGGCGGCATTCTTATCGCAAAAATGAATCATACTCTCCTACAATGTGTCAAAACCAACCTAATATAAATATTCAAAATTGGAATTGACATTTGTGTGTTGAGCTCCGATGAATCATGGTTCTTCGATTACAACACATGCAAACTTTTTGGGGCGGTGTTCCGTTCGCCGTCGCCGCCCCGTTTTTGCCTGCGTCTCCTTCTTCGCGCTGACCGCGTCTGTATTTTCGCCCCGAGCGGATTGACGATGACCATTCCATCGGCACCCTCGCCCTTTATTTTATGTCGCTATTATGTTATGTTTTATTTCATCTTGTACTACAGCAACTTGTGTTTATTTTAGCGCGTTTTTAAGGTTTGCGCGTCGCAGTTTGAATTTCCTTTCAATTAATCATCACTTCCCGAACGAATTGTTTCTTCCATTGATATGACCCCCATTTTGCGGCCAATCAAACTAGATGGATATATTTTCTGCGATAGTTTTTGGCGATGGACGATCGATTTATGCAAATTGAGTATCATTGGCTAGGTTTTGCGGAATTGTTCCTTTTTGTTTTGTTTTGAACACACATCGATTACTCATTCGATTGTTGGAAAAATTATGAGTCATTGACTAAGTTTTGAGAGCGTCCCTTTCAAATATAAACATTTCAAATATTATTCGTCTTCTTTTCTTATTTCCGAGAGTTTATATTATGGAGAAATGGCAAAGTTATGATCTATTCCAGTTGTTTTTGAAAATTGCACGAACAATTTTGTTAACGAAATACTTTTTCTACGTAAAAACGGAATTAGTTAGGCGTAAATTGTTGATAAGAGAAAAATTAATCGTTTGGCATCATCCCACTACATCATGTACTATTAATTACCGTTTATTTGAATGTAGATCGTTCCATTGCTTTCATTACCTCTCCCTATGCCATTTCCCGCAAATTTATTTTTTTCTCTGTTTTTGGAATTTATCAATTTTTCGCAGTTGTGACTCACCAACATTTTTTTCAAATTAATTATACGTGGGCACGTGTGATCTGTGTGCTGACACCTCGAACATTCCACAAGTTTTTTTCTCGATGCTAGGGCGTGGTCGTCGCGCATAACTCATTTTAATAGTTGTGAAAAAATGATGGCGACGAAATGAGACAATTTCCATGTATATGTTTAATTCGATTTTCTTTTCGCCATGTTTTGTGTTCGCTTCTCAGCGAGCGCATGTGCACAAACATAAAAACGATGACGGTGTCACCATAAGCTATTTATGCATTCGAAAACCCGCGTTTGTCCCATTTTTATTGGTTCACGAAAAGCGATTTTGTTCGTTGAGTCTTGGTTTTTTAACGTTTTTTTTATTTCCAGATATTCAATTGTAGACGTATAGTAGAAATCCAAACCACCGCAAAAACGTTGAGCCGACAATGGCGCAAGCAAACGGCAAACGCCACGATCAGGAAGAAGAGGTCGTGCCGGCGATCAGACACGACGACGCCGAATGGAAGATCATTCAGCAGAACACCTTTACGCGTTGGGTGAATAATCATTTGCAAAAAGCTGGAGAGTCGATTAATAATTTGGTAAAAACTTTTTTGTAATTTTAATGTTTTTTTTTATTTCTTAGGAAACTGATCTCTCTGATGGTTTGAAGCTTATCGCTCTTGCCGGTGTTCTCTCGCAGAAAAATGTGGGAAAGTACAACAAAAAGGTAAACCACGCCCACTTTATGTTTCTCTACGCTCTCATTCTGTATTACGCGCGCTTTTACAATATTTTCGGATTGTTGACATATTATAAAGACAAAAATAAAACATATTATTATTAAACAGAATAACGAATTTTATTCTATTAAAAATATGATAATTTTTTGGATAACGAGAAAAATATGTGCAAATTGTTGTAAAAATAATATTTATCTTCCGTGAAATTTCATCGTATACATTTTTGAAGCCATGTTGTCTTGAGTTATTCAAACCATTGCTAACAATAATGGTTGTTTTTTGCCCCTACAGTATAGTTTAAAAAATTTGTCTGTTGTGGATTAATTATAAAGAATCAAGCTGCTGAGCCTCAGGGTGACCTGCAATATATATTTTTTTAATAAAATGATTGCATCAAAAAATTTAAAGTTGGTTCGTTACAACATTGAATTCAATAGTTTTACAGGTAAACTTCCGCTCTCAGAAGCTTGAAAATGTCTCACTGGCTCTCAACTTTTTCCAATACGAAGAGAATATCAAGATCATCAATATTGGTCAGTTTTAAATTTCCCCCATCGCGAATAAGCTCGGCGAAGGTTCTGCGAGCACAATACACGTGATGTTTGCTTTTTGGCTTCTCGTTTTTGCTTCCAACTCACGGAACCGATTTTTTTGTCGCCTAGTTTGCCTGCTCGTTGACCACTGCGAGTCCAGCTGTGGCTACTATTTCTAATTTAATTTCGGTTTTTATTTTCAGATAGTACACATATCGTAGATCACAACAAAAAGCTTATCCTTGGTCTTATTTGGACCTTGATTCTTCACTATTCGATTTCGATGGGATGGATTCAGGTGTGAAACTTTGCAGAATTTTTGAATCTTACTCAGTCATGCTTTTTTAGGAGAAACGTGAAGATGGTGTTTCTGAAGAAACACCGAAGCAGAAGCTTCTCAACTGGATCCGCAATCGTCTTCCGGGTATGCCGATCTCGAACTTCACTTCTGATTGGAACGATGGTGTCGCACTTGGAGCTCTTGTTAGCTCGATGGCTCCAGGAGCGCTCAATGATTGGGACCAGTGGACGCCGGATGACGCGCTTCATAACACGGAGAAGGCGATGAAAGCGGCGCAAGACTTACTTAAGGTTGCGCCGCTTATTGCCCCAGCCGAAATGATTCATCCCGATATTGATGAGATGTCCGTGATGACTTATTTGTCGCAATTCCCGGCTGCTAAGTAGAATTGATGTTTTTTTTTTAATAATTGTTGATTCGAATTTTCAGACCTGTTGTTGTGAAGCCCCTTGTTAATGGAATTATCAGCAAATTGGAAAACAAGTTGATTGTTAATCAGCCGATTGAATTTGAGTTGAGACTTTCTCGTGAAGGATACAAGCCCAAGGTTTTAAATTTTGAAATAATAGAAATTTGAGCAAGGGATTGCAGATTGGAATCCGTGATGCAGACGGTAATGACGTTCATTTAGTTGTCAAGAAGCTTGAAGACGAGCTCTACCGAATCAAGTTCACCCCGACGAAAGTTGGAGTTCTTAATGTACGCTTAGCTTATGAAATCGAGTTTAATTGGGTTTTTTTAAGATTGATGTAGCTGCCACTGACTTGAACACATTTGAGAATCAGGCGATTCCAGACGCATCCACGACCGTTCAGGTTGTTCCAGTTGCCAAACTTCTTGACTACAACACCTCAGCCAAAGTTGGTGATGAGGTCAAGTTTACTGTCGTTGACGCTATTGAAGGACCGGTTGAGGCCATCGTTGTTGATGCATCTGGAAAGGAGCACCGTCTTCCTGTCTTGGGTAATCCGATTTCTTGTTAGAGAAAATAGCTTATTTAAATGTTCAGAAGGATGTCATAAGGGAGAATTCAATTTCGAATATGTTGTTCCGCAAGTTGGTCTTCACTCGGTCAATGTGTTCCAGTCGAATATTCCGATCGCCAATAGCCCATTCCCGCTTCGTGGAAAACCGAAAAGTACAAAAGAATTGAGAATTTAAAATTGAATTTTAAGTTTCAGATGTTTTGTCCGTCTGGGGACGCGGAATCATGGAGAATGGTGTTCGCGCCGGTGACGTCGTCGGTGTTCATGTGAACTCGTGTGATCCGGAGGAAAAGGTGGCTTCTGGAAATGTACATCTTGACGTTGTTAAATGTAAGAAAACTCCTCTTCTAAAATATCTAGTTTGTGATTTTTCTTAAAATTTCAGCTGATGGTTCGAAGGTCCCGGTTAGTGTCGAATATGACGAGGATTCTGACACGCTCAACTTTGAGTATTCGCCACTTCAAGCTGATCAACTAGAGGTTCTTGTGAAGGCAAATGGCGAAGTTGTCGAATCGAAGAAGGTCAATGTCGGACCACCAACGGAATGCCCGATTCGCGCATTCGGGCCGGGACTTGAGCGAGGTGTTGTCAATGAGCCTTGTGTCTTCGATGTTGAGATGAATGGAGCTGACGGAGCGCTGCAGGTTGAAGTTGAAGGAACTAGCAAAACGGAGATAAACTTGCAAGAGAGGCCTGATGGAAGCGCCATCGTCTCGTATACGGTATTTTCGTTTTTTTTTTGTTATTTAATCGTTGAAAATCGAAAATTTTAGCCGCTGAACAAGGGCGTTTATCGTGTTTCGGTTCTCTCGGCCGGTGAGCACATCAAGGATTCGCCGTTCTGTCTCAAGGTTGAAGAGTCGAAGCTTGGATTGAAGCCGAGCGCGACACGTGTCACTGGAATTGACGAGAACAAAATGTACACTGTTGGCGAGAAGGTGCCGTTCCGTGTCGACACGCGTCTCGTCGGAGCTGACATTGTACCGAAGGTGGAGGTTCTTGATTCGCATCTCAACAAGATTCAATATGGAGCCAGAGAAGTAACGCCGGGTATTTTCGAGTACAACTTTGTACCAAAACAAGCCATCAAGCATAATATAAATGTTAGTGTGGGAGGAGTTGCGGCTCCGGGAGCACCATATTCGGTATTGTCGTTGAAAAAAATTTAAAATTTAAATTTGTTTTAGATCAAAGTAAAGGAGTTTATCGATCCATCGAAGTTGAGAATTTATGGACCCGGAATTGACGGACCAGTGTATACAAAGGTGTTCTTTAGATAAACAAGAAATTTATAATTTGATGTTTGAGGAGCCTACTCGTTTTACCATTGACGCCAAGCAAGCTGGAGCTGGAACTGTTGAAGTGGAGCTGAGAGACAATATTGGAGAAAAAGTGGATTTGGATGTTCTCGATAATCAGGATGGCTCGTTTACCGTAAAATACACTGCTAAACGTCCAGGATCTTATCAGGTTTGCATTAGAGTGCATTTCAGATGATTTATTTGATATTCCGTAGCTTAACGTGGTATTCGCTGGCGAGGAGATTTCACCAATTGAAATCAATGTGAAGCCTAATGTTGACACTTCTGGAATTAGTATCGAAGGCCTTGAGAATGGTAAGATTTTTTGGAGTATTTTAGTTTTGCTGTTGATTATTATCATAGCACAGTTTTATGAGTTGTGTTTTCGTTGTTATTGAATGCATGAGGGTGATTGAATTGATCTCTGCGTTCACTTTTAAATTTTATTATTAATATTAATCGATTTTTTTTGTTGTTTTATTTAATTATGTTTTTTTCTTTATTAATTTATGAATGGTTTGATATTTATTAATCGTGCTGTGTGTCTTTATTTAATTTGTCTGATTTAATACTCATATTTTTTTTTTTGCCAATTTTCCATGATTTTTCAGCTGTTGTTACGGTCAACGTCGAAAAGGAGATCCACGTGTTCACTACGGATGGTGACAACACGAGGATTGTGATTACCTCTCCGTCGGGAAGAGTTGTTGAGGCTTTCATTGAATCGACGCCGAGCGGATTCCGAGTGCGATTCACGCCTTCGGAAGTCGGCGATTACTCGATTGATGTTACTTATCAGGATATCCCTATTGATGATTCGCCATTCAAGATGCAAGCGGTTGAAGAGGAATTGGATGGAGATCGTGAAATGGGATCACTGGCCGAAGCCGAATATGTCGTCAGCGGATTGGGACCACCTCGAGCTGATTTGGTGGAAGTGTCGGGACCTGGGCTGGGTCCCCTTGTGGCTCAACGCCCGACATATGTCATCATTGACACCACTAATGCAGGATTTGGAGATATTGACGTGTTTGTCGATGGACCGATGAAAACTCCTCTTCACTGCGTTGATAATCAGGAGGGCGCTTTGAAGATGTGTTTTACGCCAAAGACGCCGGGACTTTATTATCTTCGAGTGATGTTTGATAATCAACATGTGCCGGGAAGCCCGTTCCAGATTGTTGCTGTTGCTTCACTGCTAGCTTCGCCGTCGATGTTGTCGGAGCGCGCCGAGAGCCCGTATTCGTCGATTTCTAGTGGATCGTCGAGCGCCCAGCCGACTGCGCGATGCGCTTGATTATTTCCTGTTTATTTTCTATTGTTGTTCGGTAAAATTAAACTGTGATCATTGCTCCTTTGCATAATTTTTTTGTTGTATTGAAAATATGGAAATTGATTCGATCTCTGGCTCAAATTGTATATAAATATAAATATATAATTATAATGAACGCGTTTTTTTTTCGTACTCTGTCCATTATTTGCGTGATTTTAACATTCTTCGTTTTTTGTTTGAAATACTAATTTTTACAGGCAACGCGTGCCTCATTGGGACCCGTCTCAACCCGAAAATCGACATTGGAAACTTAAAGCCCACCGCGAGTGGTGTTCGAATTGTTGACGAAGTTGCTGGCAAGAGATTCAATATTCCGGTTGTCAAAAATGAGGATGGCACGTATTCGAGCCGATTCCCGATTGTCAATCTTGGAATTCATCGATTTTCTGTGTTGTTTGATGATGAGATTGTTGACGAGTTTGACTATGAGGTTCTGCCTGGAACTGATGTATCGAAATGTCAAGCTCATGGCGAGGGTCTAAAATCTGCAATTGTTGGCGAAAAAGCCACGTTTGATTTGGATATTCATGTAATCCGATTGTTTTTAATTTTTGGGAATTGTCGAGTTTCAGGGAGCCGGAGAAGGGGCCCTTGATGTTCAGATGAAGGGTCCATCGAAGGCTGAATCGAAGATTATTGATCATAAGGATGGTAGTTGCACTGTTGACTATGTTGCTCATGCTCCTGGAGAATATGAGATTGCTATAATGTTTGGTGAAAAGGATAAGAAAAAGCACATCAGGGGTAAAATTTGGAGTTTGTACCAATGAAATTCTGGATTTGCTAGGTTCTCCGTTCAAAGCGGTTGTTGACTATAAGAAGGATCCTTCGAAGATCGCCGTTACCGGATTGGAGACACCGATTGTCCGAGTTAATCAGCCATCGAACTTTGTCATCGATGCGTCGAAGACTAAAGATGGAACGATTATTGCGAGACTCCCGCCCGGATTTGAGCAGCCTGTTCTTCGAAAATCGCCTCATAATCCGAGAATCTACACCGGCGAATTCACACTAAATGGTGAAGCCGGCAAATCGGTGCCGTTGGAGATTCTCTATGATGGAGAAGTTATTCCGAGGAAGCCAATCTTGTTGAAGGTGATTCCGGAGACTCAGCCCGAATTGCTTAAGCATTCTGAGAAAGAAATGATTGCTGATGCGTCGAATATGGGAAAGATTGATTTTGATGTAAGAGATTGCGGAGTTGTTCGAGAGCTTGGAGCGGAAGTTGTGGTAACTTTTCGCCTTATAACCAATTTATATTGTTTAGTAATTTAGGGACCAGATGGACGTTCTAGAGAGAATCATCTTCGCGCTCTCGAGCCGAATGGCGTGTTCGAATTGTCGTTCCCGACTGACATGGCTGGAGATTACGTTGCTACAATTCGCATGAATGGAGAGAAAACTGGGAAGCCTTTGATCGTGAAGGCGCTGAAATGTGGAAAGAAAGCTGACATTGTCAAAACTGGTTCAATTTTTTCGTGATTTTGCTGGATATTATTTGAAATTTCTAGATATTCTTCCATTCCGCGAAGTTCTCCATGATTCACCGGCCATCTTGTCGTATGATCATCCATTTGAGAAGAAAAAGAAAGGACCACACCCGAATTTGTGTGTTGTCGCGAAGCGACCCGACGCAGTGGAAATTGGTAATTTAAAAAATAAACGCAATTTGTAATAAGGAATGTTGAAAATTTTGTAGATGTGACCTCAAGACCGGCCCAGAATGGAAACGGAATCAACGAGGAGGTTAAAATCATCCCGACGAAGCTCGGAAAGAATGAGCTTGACGTTTATTATGGAGGAGAGCATGTCGATCATGTGGAGTATGAGGTATGTTTGGAATAATAGGGAGAACGAAATACGCTGGCCTGTAGAAATTAGTTTAACGTGATTATGATCTTGTGAATCAATTTGGAAATTATATCGGTAGATTGTTATTGTTGCTATTTCTACTGTTGCTTTTTCGTGTGTGTGTGTTTCGAGAATTGAAGAGAGAAAACTAGTGAAAACGAGGAGAAATTGGCATGCTCGAATGCGCCTCACGAAATAGCGTTGTGGTTTGAAGAGACGCCGACGTGACGGCGAATTGCTGCGCTCGCATGAAAGCGAGACACAAGAATTGGTTGAATACACGCGTTTTGGTGGGGAGAATCGGACGGCACGGCGGAATCGCAGAATATCGTGGTGAAGTGCGAGATGGAAGCGTTGGTGAATATTGTGCCCGCCGGGCGGCTGCATGCCGCTCAGGTCGTTGAATCGAGTTTTGCCTGTTTTGTTGTGCGGGCGCCTGCCGGTGTTTTTTGTTGTCGTGAGATTGATTGACCTAGAATTGAACAACAAGACTTATCAGACGCTTTATTGGTTTTGATACCCCTCCATTTTGCTAGTTTCTCTGTTTTTTGGCGTTGTGGTCGACTGTTTTCGGACTGTAGGTTGCAGAATTTTGAACTCTTCCGGTTTTTCTTTGAAGTTGTATTACTGGAAATTTTCATTGGATTTTTTATCGAAAAGATTGTTATGAAGATCTGGGTGATAAAATTTGACTCCGAAAATTTTTCATACTTTGGACGTTCATTTTTGTTTCATGCTTTGTTGATGTTTGTGTTTACTTAATCCTGCCGCTCTTCGTTTTCATCTTTTCCTCGTTTTTCCTCAATTTCAACACAGAGCATTATTACATGATGAAAACCTCTCCATCGATCGCCGCCTCAATGTCATGCGGTGTTGGATCTAGCTATTCGATTTGAGCAGCGGCAGAAGCGGCAGATCCTGGAGAAAATAACAACTGTTCGGCCTAGTTTGACAAAATTCATCTCGCCGCTTTGTTTTTGTTTTATCTCGAAGAAAGAAGAAATATTCGAGAAGACTCCTACACATTTCCTGTATCTTCTTCATCATCTTCTTTTGCATCCCATTTGATGGGAAAATGCACCTGGAGTTTGCGGAAGAAGTGATTGTTGGGGAAAAAAGTGCGTAAAAGATGCAACACATTAGACGACCTTGTTTGGCGGCGAATTGGGACGGTTCGCGTTCGAAATGTCTCAATTCTTTTTTTCTTCCGCCACTTCTACCTCCATCCTGTTCACCTCATTCTCAGTGCTCCAGGCAGCGATCGATTTGTTTTGACTCGGTTGCGTGTTTTTTTTTTCTTCCCGTCGCCGTCTTCGACAATTCCGATTGGCACGTACAACCTGGCTGCGATGTGCTCGCGCTCACGTTCGTTTCTCGCCACCTGCTGCTTTCAGGGACCCACGGGTCCGCGGGGCTCTGGCGAGACGAGAGCGTTTCGCAGATGAGCGGGCAACCGACTTAAGCATTCGGTGGCGATGATTTTCTCGATGTTTTCTCCGATCTATGCTTTTTCGTTGTATTTGTTAGACGATGAATTGTTGCTACAGGAAATAGGAATCTAAGGAATTGAGATTTCAATATTGGATCCAAGTAAGATAATTTCGTTACAGTAATCATGAGCCTCTATTGATGTCTATGTAATTTAGTTAATGTTACAGTAACTCTAGTTTATATTATTGTACTTGTACTCTAGAGTGGTTTCCTATTTTTGGAAATTTTCTCTGCCATCAGACGATTTTGATTATTGGTATCGTAATTCGGATTCTCAATATAAAGCTTGTTACTGTGTCAATATTGGTCGTAATTTCTTTCTCCAAAGCTTTAAAATTCCATTATTTCTCACTAAAATTCCAGAATTCACTAAAAAAAATTACCACGCGAAGTATTTATGACCAATGAATGGAACGATATTTATGAGTTTTTCTCTATCCATCGATCAGCTGACACTCATGATCATAAGCTTCGAAGGTCGAAATGTTCGGATTTTTGAAAAACAATAAGGAATCTGAAATCATGTGACCCGTGCCTGTTGGGCTTCTCCCCCTTTCCCTCTCTCTTTCTCTTTCTTGGGCGATTGGTGAACTCGACCAATTGGCGCGTGATTAATCATTGCCAATTGTTGCAGGCGGTCGAGCTCGAAGCATTCGAGAAAGTCAAGGCTCAACACGCCACTGTTACTGTTGACGACGTCGAGAAGTACGAAAAGGACTATCTGGTAAGAATTTGCCGCATTTTGAATGATGTTTGCTGTTTGGAAACACATTAACCTAGAAGATTTTTGTTTTTGTTGTTGAATTTGAAGTGTAAAAACGTTTGCAGCACGAGTCGTACGTCAAAGAACAGAACACCTGTGAGAAGGAGCAACAATTGCAGCGTTCGCTCGACATCGACGAGAAGCCGTTTGTTTCGCATCAGATTCCGGTAGAGAAGAGTCCGAAGTCGAAGCCGTTGCCGCAAAAGGAGTTTAGGGTATGTTTCGAGTGGGAAATGTTGTGTTTTTCTATTCTCTCTTTTTTTCACTTTCTAACAAAAGTCGCTATTTCATCGTTTTTTTAACAATAAACCGTAAAAAGCTTCAGTTCAACCTACAAGATCCAAGCCTACGAATTGAAGAACTTGAAGCGTACGTCATGCCGCCAAGTCATAAGAAAGAAGCTGCGGAGATAATTGACAATCATGATGGTAACATCAATTGTCCCGAAAAATTTACAACTTTTTTCTAGGTACCATCCTTGTGAAGTACGTCCCGAAGGTTCTCGGAGCCCACGAGCTGTCGATTCTCCAGAATGGAGCTCAACTTCAAGGAACTCCGATTAAATTCTTTGTTGATGGCTATGGAGATGGATACGCAACTGTTTACGGTGCTGGTCTACAAAATGCCATTGTTGGCGAACCAGCCGCATTCACGGTTTGCGCCAAAGGATCACAGGCGAAGGAGTTGGCCGTAAGCATTGAGGGACCGGCCTCGAGCAATATCAAAATACATGACAACAAAGATGGAACGTGCTCGGTTGCCTGGGTACCGCCGGTTCCCGGAGAGTACAATGTTCATGTGAAGTTGGGTGGAAAAGAAGTTCGCGATTCGCCTTTCAAAGTTTTGGTTATGGGAGAGGGCCAGGTAGATTTTAATTCTAGAATCAGGTTTGAATCAATTTCGTTTTGTTTAGAAGCGTTCCCATCTTTCTGTTGGATCCACTTCGGAAGTTGCTCTTCCACTCACTGAAGGTGAACTCAAAGGAATCTCCGCTTCGATCAAATCGCCTGGAGGAATCGAGGAGCCATGCTTTGTTCGTCTTTTGGACGGCGGTCGACTCGGCGTCTCGTTCACTCCGCGTGAGGCTGGAGAGCACCTGATCACTGTTAAGCGTGACGGAAAACTCGTGCCGAAGGCGCCGTTCAAGATCAAGGTCGATCGTTCGCAGGTCGGTGATGCTAGCAAGGTTGAGGTCAGCGGACCGGGAAAAGCCAAGGCGGTCACGCTTCAGGAGAATGAGCTTCTTGTTGATACCACTAAAGCTGGTAGGAAGTTCATAGACAAATATTTGATTATTTTTGCGTTTTAGGATATGGAGGTCTTTCGGTTTCCGTTCAGGGACCATCGAAAGCTGAACTGAAGTGCAGAGAAGTGAAGACTGGACTTGTCAAGGTTCTTTACACACCAACAGAGCCGGGAGTCTACGCAATTGCGATTAAATTCGCTGATCATCATGTCAAAGATTCCCCGCTTACCGTGCAATGTACCGGAAAGAGCGCTGGACGCGTTGTGCAGACAATTGAGCGACGCGCTGAGCAACAGACGTTGGCTCTTCCGAATCAGGAGTCGCTTTTGTATTTCAAGTTGCCGAACACCTCACCAATGGACATCAACGCGAGATTGATGGATCCGAAGGGGCATACTGAGGATATTGAGATGAGAGATATTGGGCAGCAGTTCTATCAGCTCAAGTTCTTGCCGAAGATGGAAGGAGTCCATACTATCTCGATTATGTACAAGGATGCGCATGTCAATGGTTCTCCGTTCCAATTCACCGTTGGAAGCTTCTCGGAAAGTGGAGCTCACAAAGTGCGCGCTGCTGGACAGGGAGTTGTTCGTGGAGAGACTGGCAACTTCAACTCTTTCAACTTGTATCATCGCGAGGCAGGACCTGGAAAGTTGACGGTGACTGTCGAAGGACCGAGTAAAGCGGCGCTTGAATTTAAGGACCATAAGGATGGAAATTGCCATGTTGACTATAAGGTGGCGACTCCGGGAGAGTACATCATTGCCGTCAAGTTCAATGATCAACATATTCCCGATTCGCCGTTCAAGGTTTTCATCGCGCCGGCTATTGGAGAGGTGCGCAAGCTTGAGCTCGCCCAGTTCCACGATCAAGGAATTCCTGCTGGAAAGGCGTTCACATTCACTGTGCTCACCCATCGCGCCAAGGGACATCTTGAGGCTAAGGTGATTGCACCCAACAATGAGGTTGAAACGATTGACATTGTACCGATCGAGGATGGCGAGAGCTACGCTATGCGATTCGTGCCGAAGGAGACTGGAAACCACTATATTCATGTGACGCTTGATGGTGCGCCGATGCGCGACTCGCCGTTCCGCCTTCGCGTTGGTGGCAAAGATTTGTGCGACCCGACGGCGATCACGGCTTCTGGTGAAGGACTCGCCAAGGGACTTACTGGACAGGTTCGAGATTCTTTAGATTCTTGTGAGTTTTTTTGTTTTAGAAGTGCGAGTTTATTGTGAACACTGCGAATGCTGGAGCCGGTATCTTGAATGTCCAAATGGAAGGACCGAGCAAGGTCACCTTGGATGCCTATGAGGTGATTAAGAGTCTCTTATTTAGCTCTATATTTGGTTTTCAGCTTGAAAAAGGTTACAAAGTGCGATACACTCCGTTGGCTCCAGGAGACTACTTTGCCTCTATAAAGTACAACGGTATCCATGTGCCAGGATCGCCATTCAAGATTCCCGTCGAAGGAAAAGCTTTGGGAGGCAACGGATACAATGAGACGTCCACGGTGAAGATTGATGCTGTTGCCAAGACCAGCAAGGGTACCGTTGCTACTGTTCCGGAATACACAGGAGATGCTAGCAAGGTTTGAGAGCCATTTCGAGACTTGGTGGCTCATCGAAGTCTTATTTTTAAGGTAACCGCTAAGGGTGCAGGATTGAACAAGTTCTTCCCTGGACGACCGGCGGCGTTCCAGATCGATACTGGATTGGCTGGAACCAATTTGTTGATGGTTGGTGTGGTGACGTCAAAGGGACCGTGCGAGGAGGTTATGGTCCGCCATCAAGGACAAGGACACTATGTGTGCTCGTACCGTATTCCGGAGCGAGTCAAAGGGTTCATTTTCATCAAATATGGTGATAAGGTGAGGATTCCGACATAATAAACAAAATTTTGTCTTAAACTGTGGAAATTTTTTTAAAAATGGACTGATTCAGGAAATTCCGGGATCTCCATTCGCCATCGAGCCATAAACAACAAAATCGCCACTTGAATATCACTAAAGTGCTTTATAATTAACGACAGTTTAATAATATCCATGTTTCTATTTTTGGTAATAATTAAAGCATACTTGCAACAGGGTTTCGAACCGGCCCCGTTTTGAACAAGATTTAATCAATTTTCAACGAAATTTTTAGTGCCCGGGGTGGTACGCCGAAATGTTTGCTAACCCGACATTTTGCAAGTATGATTTCAAGAAAGCAACGTCCCCGACCAAAAATTAATTTTTAAAAACCGCAATAGACCAGCTCCGAATCACCGCCAATTTTGTAGAGAATATTTGCTTTCTTAGAAGCCCAGAAGCAAAATAAAAAAAATTCATTTCTAACCGTTGCCATAATATTATTTTTTTCTGAGAACCCGTTGCTTCTTTTCGCCCATTTCTTTGGTAAAATGCCGCTCAAAACGAGAATAGCCCAAAATTTCTATTGTAATTGTTGTTTTATGGTACGTTCTGTTTAAATTTTGCGTTTATTTCTGTCTTTTTTATCGGAATAAAATTGTAAATCTTAAAGCTTGAAAGAAATATGTCGCCGCCGTATTTGGTGAATTTGGTGCAAGTGCGCTCCATTGCCGTCTTTGTTTTTGTTGTTATTCAGCGTTGTTGTTGTGTTTTTTTGGATATTTGTTTACTGTTCGGTTTTTTGTTTCTACGTTCCACGATGACGAAGCGAAAATGGGAGAATTTTTCGGCGAGAGCTTTTTATTCGAGAACCGATGTGCTCCAGAGGAAGAAAGAGTAAATCGTTTTGAGATTCTCTTTTTTGGATTTTTGCAATTTTTAGGGATTCGCAAATGCGCGCTGGACAATATGCGACGAATATGAAAAGTTTGAATTCAATTTTTTTAAATAATGAAAGAACCGGGTTTTTTTTTAGATATTTTGTCGCTTTATAAGTTGATGTCGCTTCGAGACCATGGCACTCGATCACCGTATCAACCGTTTTTGCATAGGAATCTGAGTTTTGTGATGGCTTACAAGGGAAAAGTGAGACTTTTGTTTGAAAATGTGGTTTGAAGGATTTTTCTTTAAAAAATTGAATTACAAAAAAAGCCTTTTTTTTTAATGATAAACCTTGCGATTTGGAATTTTTGAATAGAAAATCGAAAAGAAATGTTGCAGGAAATTTCCGAAGTGCGTCTGAATCATCTCGAGATAATTTCGCCGCCGATGTGGGACCGTGTCGTCGTCGCGACGAGACCCGCGCGTGAATCTCGCACATTCGACGAGAAGCGCGAGAATCTCATGAATTTGGTGCGAATTCTCAAGAAACACGACGCGTCGATGAAAAAGTCGCTTCGAGAAATTGCGAGAGGCGCACCGAAGGCGACAGCGAAGCGCTCGCGTCGACTTCGACAGCCGAAAATCGAACACGAGGATTACTCGACCGAATCGCTGCCAGCAATCGACATTTATACGGGAAAATATAGGCCGTTCAAGGAGAGTTTGGCGAAAAGTGAGTCGGACGAATTTTTTAGATCCCAGAGAACACTAGGGACCATAGAGTTGACCGTTAGAAGCCAAGGGACCAACATTATTCGGATCTCTTTGAATTTTCGTCTTTGGGGACATTTTAAAACATTCCACCGAATTAGACTATTTCAAATCTTGTTGCTGTGAATTTTGGACCTTCAGAATTTAAGCATGACGGTTTTGGGACGATCGTATTTACAGAACGCTTGGATGAGGTGAAGTCGATTTTGAAAAACCTCCAGAGTCTTACATTGTTCCCGACAAAACTTCACTACAGTATAGTTTATGGTGACGATGATGCGGTCTTGTCGCGAAGACCTCTTCAAACGGTATGCGCCTTCAACATCGCACCCTGTGTACACCTTGAATTGCAGAAATCGTTTAATCATCGTCGACACGTAAACGGTCATCGTCGCGAGACCATAATGCTTGATGCGCCTTTGAATTGTGTGATTTGCGGTCGCGCCTACCGCACTCTGTTCCATTTGATGCTTCATTATCATTTGACCTACCCGCGACTGTGTTTTACTATTCGATTTGACGAGGTTGATTAATTTTCCTCAAATTGTCCTGTTCATTCTGATTTCAGAACGGCCAATTTTTTGTGAACATCGAAATTGCAAAGAAATTCCGCGACGTCGATGAGGTCTCGTGGCGAAAACGCGGTGATTCGTTGGCGTTTTGGCTGATGATGCCGAGAATCGCGCGCGGCATTCGCGCTTTAATGCGAACCGATTTGAGCATGTTTTTCGAAGAGCTGCCCGATTTGCAACCGATGCACAATGAAGATGTTAGGTGGGGGTGATAAATTTGATGGAAAAAAAATGTAATTCTTTTAATTTTCACGTCCTAGCGAACAGTAGGGACGGATTTTGAGAGATAGAGAAAGAAAAAGTTTAGACGGCGAAACTGTTTGAACATTTTTTTCTTTAATTTGCTCAAATTCAATTTTCGGGTTTCAGACGGCTAACGTTTCAACAAATTGGGGCAAATCACCGAAGATTACGGCCCGGTGGCTTCAGTTTGAGCGAGAATGGATGGCCGATGCCGGAAAGTAAATATTTGGAGGATGTGTACAGAAAAGTCTACTTTTATTTGAAAATGTTTCGCTCTATTTCCATAGTTTCAGAGAATTTTTGATTTTCTCGACGTCACCTATCATTGCAAGGTGTTCATGTTCACATGGAACATGCTTCGAACGAAAATTGGAGTATTTAGATGTATTTCGTTTGGCGAATTTCGAATGCTCGTATGGTCTATTGAAATTTTAAATGTCTTATTTGGAAAAAAAATGGGCCTCTCGCTTTTTTTGTTGAAAAACTCAATCTGAGAAATTTTTCAATGAATATAAAATTTTTGTATTTTTCAGGAGTTGTACATCCTCATCCATAAACGATTATTCGCTGAGCTCGGCGAGAATTTCCGAAATGTCGTTGTTGAGCATGTGCTCTTTAGGAATTCGCGTGAAGAGGGTTCCGCGTCACCAATTGCCATCAATGATTGCTACAAAGTGCATCACTTGGTGAAGAGGTGTGATATTTATTGGTTGGAAAATACCTATCTTGAATTATTTTAGAATAAAGGATGATTCGTATGATCCAATTAATGATCGACTGAGTCCACCGAAGATGGCAATCGTGCAATTCATGACAAATTTGAATTTGATGTATAAAAAGGCGATCGCGAAGAATCGAACACACAATTTTCCGATTTTTGCAGCAACGGTGAGGCAATTTTTGGCGAAATTGAAAAATTGAAACTATTGCACGTTTTTGCCCAATGAAATTTACCCCAAGTTTAAATTGAAAATTACATTATTCTCCAAAAATGTCTGAAACTTCCATTTTCAGCCGCTGAGCCTCGTGGAGATTTGCGCGTTGAGCAATGAAGACTGCACAAATTTGCTAATGGAGATTCTCGCATTGCCCGCCGACATTTTGCCGCCGTTGCATTCGATTCGTCTAATGTGCGAAGCTCCCGGGGTCCGGTAACACTAGTTACCAGCTGTGCCATATTGTATTGTTGTAGTCTTGGATGATGACCGAGCTGGGATTCGACGAGATTCCAAAGTGCTTATTCGACATCCCGCCATATCCCGAGAATAATGAAGCTGAATTTCGGCTTCTAAATTCCGAGGAAGTCGCCGAGCGACAATTAGAGAAGGGCCATTATATTGAAAAATGTAAATAAATATATAAAATTTATGGTTTGTTTTGAGCTCAGCGGGGGAAATCGAATGATTATCATTATTATGCGGAAAAGTACAAAAAAAAACTAAAAAAAAATTAACAAAAAAACGACGCAGATAAAAAAGGGGACCTAGGAAGACAGAAATAATTTAGACGGAGATCTCTTCGCCATAACGCGCCATCACGTACATCAATGTGAGTCCGGAGAAGAGGCCGATGGATTGGAGAAATAGAACGTAGATACCGTGGCGGAGAGAAACGTTTAGCGCTTCTTCCATAGCTTTTTTCATTTCCGGCATCTGCAATTTGAAAAATTTTAGTTTAATCTCGGACCATTTCAAAACTGACCATACAAGCCAATGAGATGTAGAGGAACATGCCGCCAGCAAGTCCGAACGCGTATTTCGACGTTTCTGGTCCGAGTTCGCCTATCGCGACGCCGATGAAGAATCCTACAAAAAGAAGATCCGGGTATCGACGCGAATGTCTCGTTTACAAAGATAATTAGGTATTTTTCGTTTAGAAATCTGTTTTCAAATCACGAGTTCAAAACGGATCTCAAGCTTGAATGCGGTTTTTAAAATGACCCTCTCAACAAAACAAATATTTGTAGATTTTTTTTCGAGGGGGGGGGGCTGAAAATTAGTCAAATTTCGACAAAATCTTTAATTTTCGCTTCAGTATTGTGGAATATGCTTCAAAAACGAACATGATTTTCCAACAATGGTGAGAAAGCCTCAAATAACCTACCAATATAACAAGTGATGGCAGAAAGTAGATTATAAATTAGCGCTTGCTTCAGCGACATTCCAGAGGCTACAAGAATCGCTACATCGCCTGAAAATCGAGGTTTAGAAGCGATCAGGTGTTTTTTCTATCAATTATTTGAAAAGTCACATAATTTAGGAAAAAATAATTGAAATCATGCAGAAAACTGTCGCTTTTTCAGTTTCTGATTTAAAATACCAAAAAAAAGAAAACCTGATTACCTAGTTCATGCGGAAACTCCTCGCAAAGCACAGCCAACGAAATCGACAATCCCGAATGAATCGAGTCGGCAAACGCGGCGCCGATCGAAATTCCGTCGATGAAATTGTGAAGACCGTCACCAAATATGATCATCCACGCGACGGCGGCGATCGCCGACGTCGCCGAATCACCGACGCGAAATTCCACCGAATGATCGTGAACACAAATGCCATGCGCCTTTAAATGTGACTACAGTTGGTATGATTCCCCCAAATTCGAAATTTCCCTCATTTTCACGTTCTAATGGATTTGGCGTATAATTCTGTAGGTAGCCGCTAAATTCTGCGGCCATGAGATTTCTAGGCCACTTTTGATTATTTTTTTCGGCTTCCTTAAGAGCCAGAAGCGCATATTTTGCAGTTTATCCGCAAAATTCAGTAAAAATCGCAAATTTTCGGATAAAAAATACCTGATCGCCCATAGTTTTTTGCGATTTGTCGGCCAACGCGATCATTTCCGTCTGATCGGTATCCGCCTTGCTCATTATTCCCTGAAACAAAATGGAAATAATTTCGAATCATCAAAAATATATTAATTTTTTGCAAATATTCTATTACAGAATCAAAAATGTTTGTTTCGGTTTTTTCCCCACATTTCCACAAAAATAGTCAACCTTCTGAAGTGCATTCCTCAAAATTTGCTCGTCTTTATCGTCGATCAATTCCGCATCACTTTGTCCCGTCTCAATCGACGACATTCGTCGATGTTGAATCGTCGAATTTTTCTGAAAATTTTTTTTTCAAATCAAATCCTCTGTTTTTTCGCATTTCCAACTTTTTTGATTTCGAGCACAATTTTGATGAGTTTGTCGCAAAAAAAGAAGGCGTAGACGCCGAGAATTGATATATGCGCCATATTTAGGTAGGAATACGTCGGCATGCCATCATCATCGACTTCTTCAACCAATTTCGGGTGAGCCTGTGGAATAAATTGCATTTTTACTCAAAAACAAATTTCCTTGATTTTTCTGAAAATCTAGGCGAAACTGGAAAATACCTGCGGCAATAGATGATAAAAACTCGATCCTGACAACGATCCAACGCCCAGTCCAACAAACAGCGTAATTACCTTCAATTAAGGCGGGGGTAATTAAGTCAACTAATTAGGCATTTAATTACCTGATTATACACGTTTTTCGTTAAATATCGCATAACGCCGATGCCAATTACAGCGCACATATTGATAAGTGTGACAAATATGAGGCCGAGCGTCCAAATCGATATCGACGACGGCTTCGAGTGGTGTTGCGCCAAATTGGCACCAATCAGCACCATCTCGCCGCCATTTTGGTGGATTGGCGTCGTCGTCGTCGTTGAATTGATGAGATTGCAGAGTTGAACGATTTGCGAATCGGTGAGATTCGCCACCGACGTCGACGGATCCCACGGGAAATTCTCGATCACCATTTACTTTTGTCTGAAAATGATTAATTTTCACATTTTTCATGCAAGTCGCTGAAACGGAAAATTGAGAGAATGACAACGAAAAATGATATTTTTTCAAATTTCAATTGAAATCATCATTTTTGGTGGAAAAATGATTGTTTTTGGGTAAGAACTGCATTTTTTTCGAAAAAAAGGAAAAATTGAATACGGATAATTACTGTGAAACCGGAAAAAAACATGCGGCACGTGGAAATTTTCCGGTTTTTTTTTTCGACAATCTGAGAAATTTTTTTAGAGAAAATGCGAAATTCCAGATTTTTTTTTTTGGAAAATCTAGAAAATTTCCAAGTTTTGGTGAAAAACTTGGACAAAACTCATTGAAATCTTCAAATTTTGAATCAAAAAACGAAAAAAAAAAAAGAAAATTGGGTCAAAACAAGGAAAGAAAATGCGAAAAACTGGTTTTTCCCTTCATTGATTTTTATTTTGGTGGCGAAAAATGTGAGAATTTATTTTTAGCCAAAAAAAATGACGAGTGAGAAGCTCGAACATGCTCATGTTTGTTTTACTCGTGCCAGAAAATTGCTTCTAAAAATGTTTGGCGAAAACTTTGAAAAAATTGGAAAACCCCAAATTTTGGGGGCGTTTTTCAAAAGTTTCCGTAAAAATACGAGTTTTCTTCGGAAATTTTTGGAAAAGTTGAAATTCTGAATTTTCTGTATTCAAAATCGACAATTTTAATAGGAAAAACCCAAAACAACAATTTTTGGGGGGAAATTCTCTATTTACAAAAATTGCTAAAAATTGTCGATTTTGTTGGAAGTTGGCCGCTTTTGACGAAAAAATCTCATAAAAATCGCAATAATGTTCCAAAATATCAAGCGGAAGTGGGTTGTAATAGCGAAAAGCTCATATCAAACCGGTTTTTGATTAAAAATTGTCAAAAATTGGCAGAAATTCGAAAGAAACGTGCAAATCTCGTAAAATTAAGCAATTCTCGGAGATTCTTTCGCGAAAATTTAAAAAACATCCCGCAAAATTTGAGCATTTTTAAACTTCTTCGAAGAAAACTGACAAAATAATCAATTTTTCGATCAAAAATCATTTCGATATGATTTCAAGGTCAAGGAAATCAAATTCCTTCAAGAATTTCCCATCAAAAATCACAAAATTTTTCGCAAATCTTTAAACCACTCAAAAAATGACAAATTTAATGGGGGACAAAGAACGAATCATCTTCAATTCTCACCAAAATCTCCATATTTTCAAAATTCTTGGTAGCTGTTTAAATTTTGCGCATTTTCAAACTTTTCCAATGAAAAAAAAAACGGAAAAATTAACAATCGACACAATTTTTTTGAAAATATTATCTCCTCTAAAATTCAAAAATTCGCCTTTTTGATGCCAAAATTGTTCATTTTTCTCCCAAAGTATGATTTAGGAGTCAAAAAAATGATAAGAAAGGTGTGTACGTGCAATTTTGCACAAAAAGAACCAAGAATTTCGGGGAGGCGGAGATGGACGTCGACGAACACCGCCCAACTCTCTCTCTCTCTCTCTTTCTCATTCTCAAAGCTACTATAGTTACTCGGAAAGAAAAGGTTGTGCAATAGAGCACGATTACTGCAGTTTCGCAAATTTTATTCCGAAAAATATTGCATTTTCTATTTAGAAAAAATGTGAAAATATTCCCATTTTTTCTTAAATTCTTCAAATTTTCGAATTTTTCAGGGTGTTCTCCAAAAAATCGAAGATTTTTTTCGTCTGGAAACCGCAAAATTTCAGTTTTCGAGAAAAAAAACAAACAAAAAATGGGCAAAATCCAAAAGAAGCCCATAATTTGCAGTTTCCTAGAGGAAATTATTTTTTCCAAGAAAATTGCAAGGCTGAAAACAAGCAAAAAACAATCAATCATCTCTTCAAATTGTTAAATTGTTAATTTTTAATAAAAAATTTCAAATAATTGCTCGAAATACGGCAAAAACGAATTAAAACCGAAATTCAAGTAACAAAAACGGGCAATGCCCAAATTTGGCAAAATCAATTTATTGTTTAAATTGCTCCAAAAACATAACAATTTTACATTTAAATTCCAAATGCTTCTGCTTGGGAATTTGCTCGAAAAACGCTAAAATGTGCTCAATGAGGTCCGAGTGGACGTTTCTTGTCGATTTCTGAATCGTTTCCGCTTCTGCGATTCGATCTAGCGACCGAATCAGACGCTGAATCGATTCATCCAGCTTCTCCATCGGATTCTCTTGCGACAACGTACGTTTCCGCGTTTTCGATGCTTCTCCAATGGTCCGCGAGGTGCCATTCCTGAAATTTTTCAAAAATTCCAAATTTTGCCCCAACAAATACGAAAAATTTCGAGAAATCACCAATTTTCAGCAAAACTTCCAAAATTTCGAATTTCGTGCTCAAAAATATTCTAGAAAGCTTTATTTTCAGCAAAATTAAAAAAAAACTAATAATAACGCACATTTTGCCAGCGTCTGGCTCCAAAAACCACATCGAGTCCATAAATGGGAACGCGAATTCGGCGCCGTTCGTGTCCAACATCGATTTTTCGCGCTTATACTCGCTGGCAAGCTCGCTCCAAAGTCGCGCGGCGTTTTCGCCTAAAATTGCACAATCTCAAAAATTCGCCAGCTTTTTCGATTTTCTCTCTACTTACCGTTTCTTCTCGTCAAAAACTGACACGAGCATTCGATTTTGTCGAAAGTGGCATGAATAAACGCGGGCTCAAAGTGTTTTTTGTGGGCTCGATTCCAGATTTGCTCGTTGTCCGACACTTTGTGAATGAAAAACTCGATGTCGCGCTCCTCGTACTGCAAAAAAAAACACGATTTCTGAGAATTTCTTTCAATATGTAAAAAAATGTTTTTTTTTTCAGATCCCAAAAAAACAGCAGCCACTTACACTTCGATAACTCGAAAACGCCGGCTGCTTTTTCGGACGCCCGAATTTGCCTTTTTTAGTTTGAACGAATGTTTCATCCGATGTCGACGGAATCGGTATCAACGACATCAGCGAATCGGCGAAATTCGACGAATTCTCATCATCGCCATTGTCGACGCCGCAATTCGGCTCCTGGAATCAACTGAGAAATTTGGGTTAGAAAATCAAAATTTATGTCAAATTTCGCGTCTATTCAATAATTTATGTCAAATATTTGAGAGCAATATTTCGATTTTCAATAATTTCGTGCTCAAAAAAATCATGTGTAGTTTACACATTGTAATGGTCCAAAAACGTGCCATATACAAATTTTATTCTCTGCGTCTCTCACAGATCGCAGTCTTTTTCTTTGCGTCTCTTTAATTTCCCTACTGTTTGTAGTATAATCCAAAAGAACTATATAAGGTCGAGTTTCCCTCATTTTGTCATTCGATTTGGTTGACCCAATAATATCATATTGACCAAATCTCGTGTAACACACACCACATGTTAATTTCTATGGCAACAACAATGTGAGAAAAAATAAAAAAATGCGCTCATTTGATTCGAAATTCGCCAATGTGTAAACTAATTCTCGCAATTTTGGCGGTGTTTTGTCCAGTAAGACGCAAAGACATCATGAAATTTGACAATTTTAACTTGCTCGTCAATTTTCAGCCATTGGCCGTCTTGTTCCACAACGGATGCACTTGCGATTTGCTCATCAATCTCATTCTAACCCTAATATTCTACTTTCCGGGCCTTATTCATGCTTATATCACAATTTTCAAAGAAAAACCATGATCTGCCTTCTCGATTTCTCAAAGGACACTCAGGTACGGAACATTTGAATGCCCAATCACGGCGAGACCCAACTTCCAAAAAATTTGCGCGCGCCTTTAATTTCATTTCGTTATTCCGCCTGTCCAACAATGAAACATGACATTTTTGAGAAAATGAAATAGGCTTTCAGAATTCATGCTCCTTTAAATCAAACTGGAAATTTAAAAGAGCATTGGGATTAGAAAAGTTGTGGCGATATTAGTGCGGCAAAATGCGACAAAATTCAATTCTGCGGGTCTCACTGCGATTTTGATCAACAATTCGCAAGAAATTGAATTTTTCTTAAAAATATTTTGAGTTTTAATCACATTTGAGAACGAAAAGCTCAATTTCTCAGAAAAAGTTTCCATAAATGCTCAACAATCAAAAATATACAATTAAAATCACCGAAAAACGGTTCACAAAAATGCAGAAAATTTCAATTTTCTTCAAGAAAATGTTAAAAATCTCGAAATTTCGCAATTTCAACGTCATTTTTCTTGAAATTTGAAGAAATCCTAAGCATCTTCGATAATATTTACCGTCGAAAACTCAGCATTGATAGCGATAAGACCAAAAATGAATCATTTGATGATTCCATGAGCTGATAACGGCATTCTTCTTCAAATATTCCATCATGTGCTTGGTATTTCTCGTTATTTTGGCTTTCATTTGCCCAGTGAGTTTTCTCAATTTCAGAAAAACCCTAATAATTACTATTTTTTCCATTTTTTGACGAAAATGATCAAAAAATTAAAAAAAAACTCCAATTTTAGCGAATTTATGGAACCAAATTAACCAATTTGGGAACAATTAAGTGATCCAAAGAGTATGAGAACAACTTAAAATTTTTTTCAGCCACTCGCAGTGCTATTCGTCGATGGCTGTAACTGCGCTCTTTTGATCAACCTCATCCTAACACTTCTATTCTTCATTCCAGGAATTATTCACGCACTTTGGGTCGTTTGCACTAATTAACTTAATTTATCGCGATCTTTAACATAAAATTTCGATTCTCTTTTATTTTTGACCGAAAAATTTTATTATTGAAGTATTTTGACATTTTGAATAAAAAAAAAACACAATTAACCATTTTTTTTAAAGAATTTTCATCTAGAATTGAACACTTGAATCAAAAAAAGCTTGCGTTTTTCACATTAATACACAATTTTCAGTGTTAAATGCCAATCTTTTCCATTTATTTTATCAAATATTAGATATAATTAAAAAAAAAAAACAATTTTTAATCCAAATTTTAATCATTTTTCGAAATTTTAAAACATCTATTGACTAACAAAGGTAAAAACCAGTTTTTCCCAACAAAAATCTCAATATTAGATCTCCATCCAAACATTTGTAACATTTAAAGGCGCATACCGTTTCGTCGGGGATTTCCTGCTTAATATCGGACATAATAGTGGAAAAATACGAATAAAGTGGCAAAAAGCGGTAGTGTTTTGAGAGAAAAGCTTGCCCACTCGGCCGCGTTTCTTTCTTTTCCCCATACTTTCGCCCCGTTTTTCCCACTGGCTGCCTCTTTTCCATCGTCGCTCCATAAAAAATCGAACCAATTTGCGCGCGTTTTTCGCCACATTTTTCGAATTTCGAGTATGCGGCTTCAACAAAAAAAAAATCGGCGGACGAGAGTGCGTGTGCGTCGGAGAGACGCCGAGCGCGTGTTTTTCGCGCTATACGAAATTTATGGAACTCCATGAAAAGCATCGACGAAAATATTGGCAATTTTTGGGAGAAATGTCATTTTTTTCTCACCGAAAATTCGGAATTTTTTTTAACACAACAAGGCACGAGGAATTTATGGAATTCTTATTTTGGACCAAAACTGAGATTTGTCCAAATCTACAAAATTCGGGAATATGAACTAAAATTGAAAAAATACCTATTATTGGTAGAAAGCTGGAGATCCGATTTCAAAGTTATTCTAACACCAAAAAAAGAATTTCTGAAAATATGATGCAATAGATGAAAGTAGTTTACAAATTCTTGACGCTGAAGGATCATTTTGCCAAAAAGATGTGTTTTGAACTTTTTGACTATCTTATTTATCAAAAAAGAAAAGTTGTTTAATTTCTTGCAGTAAGTAACTGAAAAATCAAGTCTGGACAAAATGGTCTCTTCCAAGTCCAGACCAAAAAGTGATGTTTTTCAAAAATGACTGATTTTCGATGAGCTTATTTTAAATCGAAATTATCCAATTGCTGCCGAAAAATTAAGCAACAACTATTCAGGAGCATAGAATTTAAAACAAAATTAGAATTCCTAAAAAAAAAAGAAGAAAATTGATTTTGAAAAACAATTCGGACGTGATGAAAATGGTCGCCGAATTTCTCGGCCATGTGTGCGCGCTGTGTATTCCACACGGAGTATCGTTGGTGAACGCAATATTTGCTCCATCCTAATTTTTCAATATTTTCTTAGCCTTTTTGTTTTCGTTGTGCAAATTTGTGATAAAAAATTCGAATAGAATGAAATATTCGATAAAATCAGCTTAGCACCAAAGAAATTTGGAAAAATTTTTTTAAATGTTAAATTTTCTCGGTATTCCAATGATTTTCAACTTTATCTTTTTCAAATCGCAAAATCTGGTTTCCAGGTAAAAAATCATGCCAATGTACCGGCTCACACCAGCTTTTCCTCAAGATTTCGATGTCTCGCCACGAAACGTGATGTACCGCCTTCCGCCATATCACGATTTCGGCGGCAGTTCATCAGGAGGTGGTGCTCAAGCCGCAAAGGTTCGATTTTGTATAAAAAATATATGTTCAAACAAAATTAAATTTTTTTTCGCTTCAGGAAGAAACCGATCCAGTCAAAGTTCTGGAGAAGAAGCAGCTCGCGCTCATCGAAAAGCTCAAACTCCAAACCGAATCCTTGAACAAATTGCTGGTTTCGATTGGAAACGCCAAGGCTTCAACACCAAAATCTGCTCCAGCACCAGCCGAAGTAGTCGACGGTGGCAAAAAGGACAAAGAAGCCAAAAAGGAAGCGAGAAAAGCGGCGAAATCCGAGGCGAAGAGCAAAGTGGCTGCCGGCGCAACTCCAAAACCGCCATCAGAAAAGGCATCCGGCTCTGGATGGTCCGTTGAGGACGACAGGAAGACGTGGGAGACGAAACTCTCGCTAACAGTCAACTTGCCGCCATCACTGGTCGCCTATCCGCAGGAAAACCTAGGCGCCGTCGATGTCACCATCACCGAAGCTGATGAGGGATGGGCAAAAGCTCTGTCAGCCGTCGGTGCCAAGAGAAATGTGGCCTTTAATGGTGTTGTGTGCAACAATGTTGGAAAAGGCGCGAAAACTACGGTTACAGTAAAATCGGGTAATTTTTCGTCTCGTTCCAACAAAAAAACGACAATTCTAGGCGATGTGTTTGGCTTGAAAATCGGCGAAACCGCGGTGAAATGCCGCCAGACGGCGTGGAAGATTCTCGGTGGGGCTCTTGGGCTCCATTCGCGACAATCAGCTCAAACTCTCAGTGCCGCGCATCAAGCTCGCTGGCTCGAGAAGGTCTCTCACAATATTCTCTGTTCATATCAATTTTTACTCAGGCCGATTTGATAATGCACAAAATCGGTGACGCTGAGCTCACCGAGCGTGAGGCCTCTCAATTCTTGGCGCGTTTCGACTCATTAAGCTCGCAATGGGACGTGACTGTCGCCGATATCGTAATCCGCCACGTGATTCGCGTCGGGACCCATCCGAACAACGTCGAGCTCTGGGCGAAGAAAATCGACGGATTGTTAGTCTAATTTTGATTGTTGTTTCAATTTTTGGCATAGAAATCAGAATGATTTATGAAATGTCTTGTTTTTTTTTAATTTTGTACAGAAAATTATTGTTCGCTTCTACGCACGATCATCACCCAATCCTGTCGACACAGTGGGCATTGTGCTCTCGGCGTGTTCGTCGGCGCCGATGTCCATTTGTCGATGCAGTGGCGATGGAACGCGTGACGGCACATGCCCAATACCAGCGGGCAATCGTCGCCGGGAAATTTGCAATTGGTGCAAGCCGCCTCGAACTCCATTCGGCAGATTCCGCACGTATCCTCGCCGCCTTCGTTCCATTTCCATGCGGCGGTCACCTGCAACGTTGAGGGACTATGAAGATTTTTATTGGACGTTTTATTGGAAGCTCTTTCTTATCTTAAATTTTGAACATAATCTTAGTAGTAGAAGCACAAGCTAAAATTTGATTATAAATCTTTTTCTAAAAGAATTTTCATTATACAATGTTAGGCTTTATCTTAATTACCTTCAATGACGACATATTGATGAATTAGTTTATATATTAGAAAAAAGTTTGTCGAATTTTTTTTTACTATTTTTCTTTCGAAAAACCCAGAATTCGGTTAATTTTGAAAATTCTTTGATTTCGCTTCAACAATAAAACTCATTCCTTACATGAAGCTTTTTGACAGTCACATTTAGTCTTGTCTTCGTCGGCAGCTTCACCGGAGCTGATCCATTGCTGTTAGTAGGTTCCGGTTGCTGAAAAATCTAGAAAAAAAATTATTTTTGAAAATTTCACATTATCGTCAACCGTCATCGGCTCGTATACGCCAACATCAATATGCGTATCCGACATGGTCCTGAAATTGACAAAAAAAAATTATAAAATTTTCGCAAAAGCATTTGAAGAAATTCGAAAAATTTGAGGCGAAAGAAATACGCTAAACAGCGGGCGATTGTAAACCTGCAGCGTCGTTGACCATTTTAGGGGGGGTAAAATTAACCTTTGAATTTTTCTGAAATTTCCAGCCTAAACCATGTAAAAATCCATATTTCAACAATTTTTATAAAAAATTGCATGAAAAATCAACAGGAGCCGCCTTTTGTCTTCGTCATCGCCGAATCCATAACCGATGTGGCAATCGTCGCCATTGTGCTCGGCTCGAGCTCGACCTCATCGACATCGGAGCCAATTTCGAATTGCTCATTATTCTTCGGATCATAGAAAACCTTGTCGAGATTAATGTCTCTGTTGCTCACACGAGCGACAAGCTGAAATTTGGAATGAAATGAGGAACAACTCAAGAATCTCTACATCAATATCGTTGATTTCATTCGGAATGTAGATGGTCGACTTCTTCGCCTGATTAATCTGCTTCACGTCTTCCGCATATTCCTTCTGAAACATTTTATGATAGAAATTTTTGATTTTAATTGAAAGTGCAAATTCCCTTAAAAATTATTTTTAAATTGAAGGAAAAGAAGAACTGATTAGAATCATATCATATAACCATATAATATATAATTTCTGTCAAAGCCAAATAATAAAATTATGAATAATTACTCGATAATTGCAGAGCAAATCGATTTCACATTTTCGTACGATAACAGAACATTCTGAATCTCATACTAAAAAAAAGAAGCTGCTTTTCCAAAGTTTAGAAGAATTGAATTCAAGAAATCTAAGCGGAACCAATTAATTGAAAAATTTGCATTCTGATAACGATTTCCATAAATTAAATTACTAGATTTGCTGAATGTTTCAAGTTTTGTAACTCGTAGCGCTTCGACTTCATTTTTTTTTAAATTTTTCCCTTCAGATGGATATCTGATTAATTCGTTCTTCTTATTCATCATGCTCCTTTGTAGCCAGGAGTTCAAAATCCAAGCCCCGCCCTACGATTGTTTGTTTCCTCGGACAAGTGCGCTCTACCGCAATACAATAGCGTCGTTTGGGAAAAGCGTGTCACTGTCTGAGAGGAGAGAGTATGCTAGTATGAGAGAATGTTTGGACACTTGGCGTCAATTTGCAGTTCGATTTTGACAAACGCGCTCTATTGCACACTCTGAACCGACACCAGTGGCACTATAAAAGGCCGGCGAATTGCGCAATTTCGTCATTCTCACAGCTCTCCGGGTTGCGAGCCACCCGCATATCCAGCGGGCTCCATGCGCCCCGCATAACCTGCGGGCTCCGCGTGTCCCGGATAGCTATGTGGGCTCCACGTGCCCCGCATAACCTGCGGGCTCCGCGTGTCCCACATAACTCAGCGGGCTCATCGTGCCCGCCTATCCTGCGGGCTCGTCGTGGCCAAGGATCAACCCGGTATGTTGCCTTCATCACAATTCTTTTTTTTCAAATTCCTCATATTGCAGATCCAATGAGAGCCACAGTCGTGTCCCATTCGAGCTCCTCTGATGTGACATGTCGAAAGTGTCGGGGATTCTCGACTGGTGCGGCTCCGTCAGCCAGTACTAACCCTACTGCAGTGTCGCGTCCAGGCTGACGTTAAACCCACATTCATGAGTAGACGTTTCACGTGAAGAGGAGCAAGAAAGGGAGATGGCGAAAGGTCGATGCTGCCCGGGGCATCGAGTAGAGCGAGGAAACGCATTCAAAAGGTGAAGAAGGAGAAACAATCTGTCAGAATAATTAGAATCATTGCAGGGAGTTCGGATCACATGAATCGAATCGGAGACTTCTCGAGGAATCGACGAGGAAGGAGAACAGCGTCTGGTAATTGGTAGTTTTTGGCCCGGGCCTCAATTTTTTTTTACTTTTTTTTTTCTATTCTCTTACCCCCAGCCGTACCACTTGCGGCTTTCCTCTCTATATCCCACCACTTGGGATTCTTTTTCTCTCCGTACATTCGTACCACTTACGTCTGTACTTCCTCCCGGTCCTACCGTTTGGGACCATCTCTTCTTTTTCGGGGAAAGCCGGCTTCCCCTTCTCTCCTCCTGCCGTACCACTTGCGGCTTTCCTCTCTATATCCCACCACTTGGGATTCCCCTCTCTATATCCCACCACTTGGGATTCCCCTCTCTCTCTCCGTACATTCGTACCACTTACGTCTGTACTTCCTCCCGGTCCTACCGTTTGGGACCATCTCTTCTTTTTCGGGGAAAGCCGGCTTCCCCTTCTCTACTCCTGCCGTACCATTTGCGGCTTCCCTCTCTATATCCCACCACTTGGGATTCCCCTCTCTCTCTCCGTACATTCGTACCACTTACGTCTGTACATCCTCCGGTCCTACCGTTTGGGACCGCCCTCTTCTTCTTTTTCGGGGAAAGTCGTACCACTTACGGCTATGCCAGTCGTTCCACTAATGACTGGCCTCCCCTTTCGTTTTTTTGTCTTATTATTTTTTTATTCTAATTAATTTGTGTGTGCGTGTGTATGTTTAGGTATCGTCGATGCTGCTGCTGCTGCCGCCGATGGAAGGACCCTGCCGGTGAATCGACTCACCGTTCCTCCCCCCCCCAGCATTAGCCTCTAACATCCTAAGGTCCTTTAGTCTCTTTTTTAATCCGCCGTAGTCGGCAATTCATAGTCGTAGTCGGCTATTTGCCCCAAAAGCGCCGAGGCTTCCCGTCCCCTGTAGTGCCGAAGCGTTTGGCTGGATGGCGGCTTAACCGCTGTATCCTAAATTCGGGTGATTGGCCTGGCAAGCCCTTCAGCCCTGATTCCGTAGCCGGGAATCGAACCCTACCCAAACGTTCCCGTTTCAAGTACTCTCGAGTGCTTGGAAACTGCTACGGGGCGTTATGGATGGTTATGCTTTAGAAATTTGCTTCACCGGGTGTCCTCCATACTAGTTAGGATGTCATCTGGCCCAGACCTATATTGACGTGGATTGGCCAGCTATGTCAATATGTCCAGCCTTTCGGGTGCACATGGACCGTGCTTCTTGGCATAGTAGCTTGCTACTTTGTAGTGGCTTGCTACTACTTAGTAGTAAGCTGCTGTGCTGAGAACACAAAAACCACATTACAGAATCACCAGTAGACCCGGGGCCCAGCCAGACGTGGCTTGCCCAACCACTTCTACTTCTATTATCCTCGGATGATAGTTGTGGGATGTCCTTGGGTGATCCCCATGGTGGGATCGGCGATGACCCACATCAGGTTTCGGCCTGATGCTGGTGAGCCTCTCCTTCATGTGTCGAGCCTCTACGTGGCGAAGGAGATCAACTGACTCGGTCCTCCTTCACGGGGATCGAGTCAGGCTAATCGACACACTGTCTCACGATTCTCTTCCTCAACCAGGCGGCTTCTTTGCGTCCTGGCAAATCACAAGAAGTATTCAGAGTCAACCCAATGCTGCGAATTCCAATGGCCCTCTTTAGGGCCTATCAATGGTCGCAACACAGCGGCTATAGCGTGGACAAACCACTGGTAAGTAATAGTTTCCACAAAATTTGTTTTCAAAATGTTTTTTATTTTGTTTGCAAAAAAATTCAAACCTAAAACTGAATTATTTTCAAATTTTTGTCACTCTCTTCAAAATGGTTAAAATGGGAAACAAAAAATGAAAATTCCAAGAAAATTCTCAAAAAAATAATTTTGGCCAAAGAATCCTTACATCTCTCGCCTCTTTAAACGCATTATATTTGGCCATATAAACGGGATTCGAGAGCAGAGCATTCGTCGCGGGATCCATCGGCTGCGCCATCATTCTCGTCGATCGATCCATGTCAACCGTCGGCGAATTTTCGTTGGCATCCGATTTTGACTTCAATTTTACAAAATAATAAACGACGAGGGCTATTAAAATCAGCAAAAGCAGTCCGTCTATTCCAGCCAAAGTGATATCAATGGTAGAAAAACTGAAAATTATAAAATTTCGCAAAAAATATTATTTTCCTTCAAGAAACTTTTAAATCGACCCTGCGCCTTTAATTTTCTGCGTCTCGTACTCTCTCGCTTTACAATTTTTCAGCAGCGCTCACACAAATTTCAACAGGCAATGCCTGGCACTCTCTCGAATTCACACGCTGTCTCACGCACAATTACCGGATTCGCTCGTTCGCCGAAAAAATGGTCTCGTTGATTTTTGAGCAAATCTCGCGGCACATCGCGGACGCGCCTATCGAGCAGCTCGAACTCGAAATTTTTGTCGACGGCAGCGTTGTGGTAGCAACCTCGTTGGGCACTACAATTGTCGGCGAATCAGACGTCGAAGTTTTTGCTGCAAAATTTGCAGATTGACTTTTTCTGATGAAAAAAAAATGGTTGAAAGTGTTCACCAGTCGCAAATGGATTCCGAATTTTCGGACCCGCATATTTCAGTGTGGTTTTTCGTTTTGATGCCAACTTTCGAGCATGAGCATTTGAAATGATGAGAAGAATGATTAAGCATAGATATTCTTCAAAAACACGGTAATGATGCCCATATTTGGGACCATTATTTTCAAACCTTTCAATTTAAGCAACCGCATGCCTTCAATTCAATTCATAGAAATGAGAATTGATAATTTTGAGACGTGCGGACTAATTTCTCTGAAAAAGCGAAATTTTTACTTTATTTTTTAAATCTGAATCGCTGCGTTGCGGTTCGCGTCGCGGTCACGTGTATTTTTTGAATTCTGAAGAAAACCGACTAAACGAATTGATCACTGCAAGACCGAGCTAGATGAATAAGTAATTCAAGTCTTTTTAAAGGCGCATAGGCTAACAAATATTTCGATTACGGTAGTTTACAAGAGAAATATTTAAAAATCTGAATGGGTTACTGTAGTGTAAAAAATTGGAATATAGCACGGGACATTTTCCAACAGCTACTGTAGTCTCTTAAGGTTGAAATCGATGATACCGTAGTCCAGTGGGCGGAGCCTAAGCAAAAAAATTGCCATTTAGTTTATTTATTTTTTGTTTTGAAAAGAAATATTATAATAATCGTGCACGTCGATAAATCAACTCATTTCTATGAACTGAATCGAAGACATGCGGTTGCTTAAATTGAAAGGTTTGAAAATAATGGTCCCAAATATGGGCATCATTACCGTGTTTTTGAAGAATATCTATGCTTAATCATTCTTCTCATCATTTCAAATGCTCATGCTCAAACCGACATTCTAGAGGATCACGTGGAGAGTGGCTCGAATGGTATTCTATCGATGAGCCGAATTGGCTCCGCGCCCATATGATGATCTTGCAGAACCCGAACATCCATCAGAAGAACTCGAACCTGAACATCCATCAGGAAAATTAGAACCCGAACATCCATCAGAAGAACTCGAACCTGAACATCCATCGGGAAAATTAGAACCCGAACATCCATCAGAAGAACTCGAACCTGAACATCCATCAGGAAAATTAGAACCCGAACATCCATCAGAAGAACTCGAACCCGAAGATGGTAATGAGGTCTTCACAAAATGTAACTCCCCAAATAGGCTTCGCCCATTTTTGTGTATTTTTAGGGAAAACAATACTTCCGACACAATCAAATCTACGCCACACTCCGACTAATGGTAATCTACCGTAACCCTCAAATAGTCCCCGCCCATTATTTTTTTTTCTTGCAGGATTTACGCAATCTCCCCAACAAGATCAAAGTGTATTGGGTGGGTTACGGTATATGGCCACGCCCACTATATTATTGTTGATTTTAGAGAGTCCGGGGATTTCGCCGAGATTTTCGACGATCGCTGATACGGAAATGATTCAGACGAGTTTGAAACTCCCCTATTTGGAAAATTTGAATTGATTGATTTTTTTTTGAATAGAGCTAATCACCTCGACGCCGATCGTCATCAAGACGACGGCGATGAACTGCGAAACGAAAATGGCGACATGTCCCAATTTTTGCGAGAAGCTCAACACGCACCGTGGGCCGCATATTCAGAATGTCAGGTTGGAAAATGTTGATTCGAAATCGAATTTTTTGGTGCCTCCCGCGAGCGATTAGAGAGTGTGACGAATTGAGAGAGTGACAGACAGATTACAGTTGGTGCGAGAGTGTGTGCGATTTTGAGAACGCAGACATTCATTTTTTTAAAAATCTTCTTCCAGATTCGCGAAAATTGAAGTATGTTTAGTGGCTCTCAACGTCATTTTGTTGTTTTGCTTCATTTTCATCGTGATATACTATTTGAAAAAAATGCATGTGAAAGTGCTGAAACCGCCTCAAAGTGGTGCTATCACGAATATGGATCGATCGACGAGAATGATGGTGCAGCCGATGGATCCCGCGACGAATGCTCTGCTCTCGAATCCCGTTTATATGGCCAAATATAATGCGTATAAACAGGCGAGAGATGTAAGGATTCTTTGGCCAAAATTTTTGTTGCGCACAAAAATTGATGAGAACATTTTTTTTTCATTTTTCACCTATCATAACTTTCTATAGAAAATCATCTCAATTTTTTTGTTTTCCATTTTAACCATTTTGAAGAGAGTAACAGAAATTTTAAAATAATTAGGTTTTAGGCTTTAAATTGTTTTGTCATATTTCCGCGTGCGCCTTCAATGTCGATACTGTAGGCAATTTTTATTTTCGAATTCTTTCGACTGCTGCGTAAAATTTTTTGAGCTTTTATTGACATAATTTTGCACTTTCAATTAAAATCAAAAATTTCTATCATAAAATGTTTCAGAAGGAATATGCGGAAGACGTGAAGCAGATGAATCAGGCGAAGAAGTCGATCATCTACATTCCGAATGAAATCAACGATGTTGATGTAGAGATTCTTGAGTTGTTCCTCATTTCATTCCATATTTCAGCTTGTCGCTCGTGTGAGCAACAGAAACATTAATCTCGACAAGGTTTTCTATGATCCGAAGAATAATGAGCAATTCGAAATTGGCTCCGATGTCGATGAGGTCGAGCTCGAGCCGAGCACAATGGCGACGATTGCCACATCGGTTATGGATTCGGCGATGACGAAGACAAAAGGCGGCTCCTGTTGAGTTTTAATGAAATTTTATATGACAATTAGTTAAAAATATGTTCAAATATTGAAAGTTTGAAAAATTTGCCGAAATTTTTCATGCGCGTGAGCGAGTATGCTAATCGGAGAAACGCAGACAAAATGCAGGCGAGAGAGTAGGCGACACGGAGAGAGTGTCAGACACTTCAAAGCGACTTATTCAAAAAATCATTTCAATCCACTTTATTTTTGTTCAACTTAACCGTGCAAACCCGTCGAATAATTAGAAACAAAATAAAAATGAAAATGAAAATTGAAAAAATTATTAGAAAGATTATATCCAAACAATAATAATGGAATGGCGTCATTGATTGGCCAGGAAGGTTTAATTGCTATAAATTGCCTAAAATTACCCTGTAATTATGCTTCAATTACCTTATGAAGCATTGGATTTTTTGCGAGAAACTCGATCCATTTGACGAACTCCTGTTTTGGCGGATTCGGTCGCACGTTGAGCATTTTCGCGATTCTTCTAGCGTTTATTGAGTATCTGAGAACAATTTTTGGCTAAATTTCGAATTATTCGACTATTTCGCAAGTTTTCGTGAATCGAATTTGCAAATTAAGCTTGAGCAATGCGGCAAGTGCTCTCCATTGAACTACACAGCTTTTTGAATTTACGCAATGTTTGTTTCTCAACTAGGACTCAGTTCGATTTCTTCTATTTTCCTTCAACCCACTTGGAATCATGGAGAATCGCGTCGAGACCTTTGACAATATTATCGACGCTCAATTTCGTCTTGTCCAACACGTACGTTGTGCCGATCGACTCGCCTACAATCATCCATCACAAGTCAAAATTGAAAAAAAAATTGTCTTCGGAAGACGAACCCGATAGCGCGTTGTAGGGTTGATCGACGAATAAGGGAATCGCGAGAATCGGCACGCCGGCGTACGAGGCTTCCAGGTACGAATTGAGACCGACGTGAGAGATGAAGCCCTTCACGCGTGAATCGTCTGCAAATTTCGATTGCAAAATTGCCGCGAAATTTTTTATGAGATCGAAATTTAAAAAAAAAACCCAATCATTTTTTCTCATTCTTCATTGAAAAATTCTGAATATGATTTCTTCTTTTTTTCTCAAAATTTCTTCTATTTACTCTAGAAAAAAAAAAAAACACAATTTTTCTTTAAATTTCACTACAGTAGTCGGGCGGCGCCTAGAATTTTATAATTTTATTCTGTTAATTCACAAATTGTCAAATTCACAATTTTTGCTGCCGTAACCCTACAGTAACTCACATAGCAAATCCGTCTGCGGAATCCAATTGGCCAAAAATAGATTGGTGGAATTCTTGAACATCTCGACGTCATCATCCGTTGCCTGCTTCTCGTACTTCCAAATGAACGTGTAATCGGGAAATTTCGAGAAGGCTTCGACGAACGCGCGTCGCACCGCCAATGGAAATCGCCGACTGTCGACCTGTGTGCCGAAGCAGAAGACGACGATGCCGCGCGCGCGTCTCGACGCGATTCGCCGGAATTGGTCGTCGAGCGGTCGCGGCGCCTTCAAATTGATGCCGCCGATGAATTTGATTTTGTGCGAGACGGCGCGCGGGCGTTCGATGATCTCATTCGTGTTGACGAACATCAAATCGACGTCGCGATGAATTCGACGAGGGTCGAGATCGACGTCGAGACGCTTCTTGATCACCTCCGCGTTTCGCGCCGCCAACGTTGGTTGCACTATGTAGTTCGTATAGGTCCATCGGAGAAGGTTCCAGAAGCGGCCTTCTATCGTAGTCAAGTCTTCGGTCTCGAACAGAACTGCAATTAAATCGTGTTGAGAGCACCTTAGTGTCACGGATTCCATGCGCCTTTCAATTATAACCTTATAAAGACTTGTGATTCAAAAAAAGTGACTGTTACAGTATACTCACATGAGCGTTTTTTTTTCTAATTTGAAAATTCTCTCTACAGAAGGCCGCAAAAAATTGGGCGGAGCTTACTTTGAGCTTCTGCCGGCGGACTCGGCAGTCCGGCATTGATGATTTGCATTTCCATTAGTGGCAACGCGGTTACGGTGGCTACAGATTTGACGCCAAAGTGTCGAAAGATGCTCGTGCCGCAATACTCGAAATCGGTGGCGACGCCGACGTCGTATCGACGAGCACGCAGAAACGCGGCGAGACCCGCGTGCGATAGTCCGGCTGAAACGCGAGACGGCTGAAAATGCTCCTCGGTGTTTTCCCATCGTGCTCGCAGTCAATTTCTGTCTGCGACTGATAAGAATCGAATTGACGGTTCGATTTTGATCGAACACGTCGAAAATTGAGGCTTATCGACGTTTCTTTCTTTTTTTTTGCAAAACTTTGATGTCTAGAAATTTATGAGTCTTAAAGTTTTGTTTTTAAAATCGCGTGCCGAGTATCCGCCTTTAAGCAAGCCTTTCTTCGATGACGGGGTTCCAAAATTAGAAAAATCATCTTTTGAATTGTCCCTTTAAAATGGGATCGTAAAAAGGCGGACCTCTGAAATTTTTGAATTTTTCCTGTTATCAAATTGCCCTACTGATAACTTCTCATTTTTGTATGAAATTTGCTTCCTCTCGCCCACCGCACAAAACTAGAGTCAATTCGAAGTATAAAGATCGCCAAACGAGAATGTGTATGTTTTTTTGCAAACAATCACAGCCGTACAAGGAAGTCGGCTTGATAACGACGTGCACAATTCATTACCGTCGCACAATTTTGTGCTCAACTCGATGAAGAACGAATGATCGTTGATGGTCCGTCGCGGTTTCTCGAACGGCTTCACTAGGTGCGGTATCGAGCTCCATGGGTTTTCCTGTAATTTCGATGGTCCGTCTTCATATTTTTTGGGGAGAATGGTCATCAAATGTGGTTTTGCGCAATTTATGGTCCCTATGGTTTGGGCCATGTTACCTTCAATTCATATACGAATCGCCGCGAGACCTTTGATGTCCCATTCGTCGTCACCAGCGGATTCATTCGCGCTAATATCATATCCTAGAATACGGTAGTTTAAAGGGAGGACAGCTATCTGTGCGTCTTTAAATCGCCTACGGTAGCACTTACAACCGAATGACCATTGTCGACGAGCGTCTCGACGAGCGAGTCAATGAAATCGATGTGCGATTTGCCGAGCACCAACACGTAGAAGAGGATGTTGGCGCTCGTCGCGAGCTGGACGAGATTGAGCAGAAGAAGCAGTCCGGCTCTCATTGGCTGGAATCGGGTTGACAACAATCGCACGACAGGAATGATAAGGGTCGATGTGGACGGGTGGTCGGTGGGGGGCGGAGTCGATGATCGAAGGCGACGGTTCTGGCAAGACCAAAAATACACACACAAAGAGGTTCAAATGAACTGTGCTCGATCGAAAGCAATGTCTCAACTATGCGCCTTTAAATGGGAAATTTCAATCGTACCGTAATTTGAATGGACTACTGTAGTTTGGAATATGGGTAGGTGTCCAAATTGCGAAACTAGGCTCATTATTGTCAAGAAATTGAGATTACTGTAGTTTGAGATAAATTATTGGGATGAGCCGGAAATTTCGACAGCCTCGTGGATTACTGTAGTCTTAAAGCAGCAATGCAAATCAAAAAAATTGATACAAAAAATTGATATATATTCCATTGGGCGGAGCCGTTTTTTTAACAAATAAATCGAGCACGTTCTTTTTTTCGATAACTTCACACATTTCTATTAATGGAATTAAATAGCATGCGGTTGGTTAAATTTCGACTCCAAATAGATTACGTACCGTAATCCGAATAGGCTCCGCCCACGTATTGGTGTTGCAACGATTTTCTTGGCTTCGCCGCAACAACAAGACGATTTTGGTAAACTCCGCCCACAAATTAGCTACCGTACTCTTATGCTCCGCCCACTTTCTCAGCATGTCATCGGTCGTTGATGCTCAATAATTCGTTGGCATCGGTTGTGGATTCGGCGATGACAAAGACAAAATGTGGTTCTTGTTGAGTTTTATAGAAATTTTACATGGCAATTTGCCAAAAATCTGCTTAAAAACTGAACATTTTGAAAAATTTACCGAAATTTTTCCATGCGCGTAAGGGAGTATTCGAATTGGAGAGGCGCAGACAAAAACGCGGCGAGAGAGTAGACAAAATGGAGAGAGTGCAGATTTTCACGTTTATGACCAAACGAAGAAAATAAATAAATAATTAAATGAAATTTTTGAGAGAAAAATAAAACAAACGAATTAAACTTTGTATCGAGATTGTGCTCCACCGCGCTGGATTTGAGCGGTCTGAAAAAAAAGATTTTTCTAAAAGAAAAAAATTCAGTTAATTTCAGGGTAATTAGTCTTTTTGCGATTTTTCTTTGTCGAAATGTTTAACTTTTTTTCAACATAAAAAATTTTATTTCAAAATTTATCTATTTCGACCAAAACATTCAGCATTTTCTCAATTTTTCCAGAAAAAAAAACCACCTACCAGTTGCCTGAACGCCTCTTTCATTATTCGAATGATTTCCTCTTTCGCCAGACGCAAATTTCGTTCGCTTCTCGCCTCCAGAAGCAAATGAAGACGTCGTTCGCCGTTCTTTGCTTCCTTTCCATTCGGCACGTGTGCTCCACGAACGCTAATACCGACATCCGCCAATTCGGCAACATGTCCGACAGTTTCCTGCAAAAACAGGTGATTTTTAGATGAAATTTTCAAAAATTTCGCTCAAAATCACCAAAATTGCTCAATTTCGTCGCAATTCATCATTTTTTTGAAATACTTCGGCAAATGTTCAGTATTCAACGAAAAATTGTATAATTTGGGAAAATTTTTTTTAGTAAATATTGGCAATTTTATATAAAAAATTCAAGGAAAAAATGGAATAGTTTTGTGAAAATTTTTAAAAATCAAAATCCATTAATTTTTCAATTGGAAACTTCCGCATTCTCGTGCGTTTTTGAAAATAATTAGCGCTTAAACTTTGGAATTTTACGGAATTTCGAAAACGACTCACCCGACTGCAAATTTTCCATCGAACCTGTTGCGGAAAATCGTTGATGTCCCATTCTTCTTCGAAATACTCCCAAGCTTCTTCTTGATTTTGCGTCGGCGCCGCTTCGCCGCCAACATAATTGAGTTTCTCGTTCAATTTCTCCGCCATCTGTTTCGCCAACATCGCCTTCGACAGCTCGATCGGCGCCAATTCGCCGCCCTGTAGCGAAATTTGAGTTTAATCACGATTTTCAGATGAAATTTTCCAAATTTTGGTTCACAATTTAAGAAGAAAAATTGCATTTTCAACTATTCTATTCGCAGTTTTCTTCAAAGAGTTCTAAGAAGTGATCAGCTGAACTAGAACTCACCCTCATGACGGCTTCTGCAGTTTGTTGAGCTTTATCTTTCTCGACGACCGGCTTAGCGGCGTTCAGACGAGACGCCAGCTGCTCAGCGCGTTCTTTAGCCAAAGCAATCTGCAAATATCGAGGTTTGTCGCCATTTTCAGCCAGTCGAACCTTATCAGCCGCTTTTTCGGTGATCTTCTTCTCCGATTGAGCTCCCTTCATGTGTCCGTGGACGACGCGCCTCTTCGTCTTGATCATATTGTTCAATTGCTCGTCCAGATCATCTTCATCCTCAGCGCCTGCTTCCATTCCATGCACCTTGAACATTATTCAAATTTTTGGAGCCAAAATTGAAGTGTTATAAAAATTCCATCATTAAAAAAGTGAAACACTTAAAAATTGTCGAAATTTTGCAACAGAATTTTTTCTGAGCCTTGTTGTAACAAAAAATCTGAAGCATACCAGTCTGGCAAGTTTCTTCTTGGTGGCGTCCGCTTCAGCCTCATCCTCATTATACTTGTAGCCGCTTCCGGCGAATCCTTTTCCACCGAGCTTGACTTCCTTGCCCTGATCGGCCATTTCCTTTTTGAATCTCTCGAACATCGCTTTCAATTCGGGCGGCGCCTTGCATCCGGCAGTCTCGAACGCCCGACAAATTTCGCCCGCCATTTTTTCTTGATCTGAAAGATGAAAGAAACGTCATTTGTCCAAACTTTTTCTTCCGAAAAATTGCAGCAAAATCAATTTTTTGGAAATTTGTTTGCGAAACCAATTTTATCATTAAAAATGACAATGGCTTTAGAATATTAAAAAAAATGGCGAAATATAAATTTTCGATTAGTCATTTCTTTAGAAATATTGGAAACATTGTCATCAATTCAATAATCAAATTTTTTGACAATTTTCCGGAATCTTTTCAATTTTTCCGCAAATTCTCCAACTAAAAAAATTTACTCACGCTCCGGAAGCACGAATGTGTAGGCGTAGCCCTTTCGTCCAGCTCTTCCTGTTCGTCCAACTCGGTGCACATAATCCTCGTAATGATTCGGACAATCATAGTTGACGACGAGAATCAGATTCTTGACATCGAGACCGCGAGCAGCAACCGAAGTCGCTACCTGTAATAAAAAAAACAAGGTCATTTAAAGGCGCATAAAAATTTATTCTCAACTTTTTTCGCTTCAAGACTATTGCAAAAGGAAATGAACTGACAAACCCGCAGTAAAATTTTTATGTGTGTTTAATACATATACTGTAGTTTTTTTTTAATTCGCATAGAAAATGGTCCAGCAGTATAGCCAAATTTAAAGGCGAACAGCTCGATAGCGGTCAATTTTTTCCGTATTCTCTTACCAAAACTTTAATAACTCCAGTTTTGAAGTCGGATATCGTCGAGTCCCTATCGAACTGATCGATTCCGCCGTGAAGAGGTGCCACCGACGTATAGCCGCTCTTAATCAACTGATTGACAATGTCATCCGCCTAAAAATATTCTCGATATTTAAAGCAAAAGAAGAAAAAAATAGACTTTTTCCTGTTTGTCGACGAACACGATACTCGCGCCCTGCTCATAATACATTCCGAGGAGCTCGAGCAACTTGAGAAGCTTCTGATGCTCCTCGGTGATGATGGCGTTCTGTGTGACGTCCGAACACACGACGCTTTTGCCGCCGACGAGTATCTCGACCGGCTTGTCGAGAATCTTTCGCGCCAGCGCTTCCATTTGACGGGGAAACGTCGCCGAGAACAAAACCGTCTGTCGATCCGGCCGAATGTTGTTCACAACTTTCATTACCTTAATTAGAATGGCTAATTATTGTATAATTAGGTAAATTTCAGAATTTTTAGATCGCATCTCGACTTTCCCTAAAAAATGTTCCAAGAATTGAGAAATTGTTCTATCTCTTTCACCTAATTTTCTTAAAAGTAGAGCCTTCTAAAAAATTTGAATTTTTATCTCTCTCAAATTTTCTCAAGAAAGGCTTCTTGAATTGCTGGAATAATTTTCAGCATTTCATTTTTTTAATATTGAGAAATTGTTAAAATTTGCTCAGTTTTCGGCATTTTCAACATTTTTTTTCGTCAAAAATTGCTTTTGCGATTTTCGGCTCACCTGCGGCTCAAATCCCATATCGAACATTCTATCGGCTTCGTCAAGCACAAGATAGGTAACTCGTCGTAAATTTGTGACTTTTCCTGTAATTCTCAACTTGAAATCACAAGAATTTCTCCATTTTTTTTTAAATTAAACATCTCAATTTTTGATTAAATTTCATCAACAACAAAAAAAAATGCGAAATTACCGCTATTCGCCGCCAACATGTCGATCATTCGTCCCGGTGTGCACACGATAATTTCAGCGCCGCGTTTCAAATCTGCAATTTGCTCTGAAATTCCAACACCACCGTAGACGCAAACTACCCGCAAATTCAACACCTGAAAAATTCAGTTTTTTTTAACGTCAAGTATCGACCAAAAACGTGGGCGTTTTTTCCAGACAAATTTCAGTTTCAAAAATTCTCAAAAAAAAAAATCAAAATCCAGAAGATTGCAAATATTCGGTTAAAATTGTGTGAAAAACCCCGATTTTTCCACCAAAATAATATCAAATTTTGGAATTTTTTCGAACATTTCCAACCTTTGCAAATTTATTCGCTTCTTTCCATGTTTGCATAGCCAATTCACGCGTCGGCGCCATTATAACAGCTGTAAATCGCAAAAGAAAATTATTAGGGACCATTGAAAACCAGCGTACCAATGGGACCATCTCCTTCTTCCAATTCGGGTTGATCCAAAATGTGTCGGAACATGGGCAGAAGGAACGCCAACGTTTTTCCGCTTCCAGTTTTTGCGATTCCTTGAAATTGTTATGCTATGAAGTGGGACCATTGAAAAATGGGACCTACCAATCACATCTCTTCCCGACATGATGCTCGGAATTGCCTGCGTTTGAATTGGCGTCGGCTTCGTGTAATTATATCTGAAAATCGATTTTTTTGGAAATTCCAACTTAAATTTTCAAGTTTTTGCCAAATTTTAAACTTTTCCAGTGAAACACTTTAAAAATCACGAAATTTCTTCAAGATTCCTCATTTTGATCATTTCTTTGTGCTCTAAACTCGAAAATACTCGAAATTGCTAATTTTTCAACGTATCTTCAAAAATTAATGCGATTTCTCAAAATTAAAGACTCACTTTTTAAGCACGTTCATCATTTTGAGATTGAGGCCACATTGAGCCCAAGTTTTGATCGGTTTCGGACAATCAACACCTTTTACGGTAATATCGTCATTCTCCAGTCGGAAGGCTTTCACTTCCGCTTTTGTCATATTTTTAATCTCATCGGTCTGGAAAAAATCGAGTAAGCGCCTCTAAAATACGGTAATTTGAGGAAATCCCATTCTTTAAAAAAAAATAAAAATAAAAATATCGATAAACGCTCAATTTTTGCTTTTCGGTTAAAAATTCAAAAAATGTTTGCCACCTATATTCGCACACACCTTTAGAATTCGATATTTAGGAAGAATTAAAAAAAAAAGATGTTCAAATATAGATACTTCATTTTTTTTTTGAATTTTTAGACACAACTTCGAAACCACTTACCTCGATATAAAAATTCTTCTTGAAACTCCTATAATAGACTTTGCTGTGATCAGTTTGTGCCAACATTCGTCCCTTATGGCATAAACTTGCATTGGCCTGAAAATTTCGACTGATTTTAGATTGTTTTCAAGAAACTGACCGCTTCGATGTCGAAATCGTCGATATTGATGTCGACGTTGTCCTCGTTCTCCATCACCTCGCCTTTCTCCTTTTCCGGTTTCTGCTCGGTGATAATCGTCACAATTTTTGAGCCAGTCTAAAATTTCAAGGTTAAAAATGGGAAATTTTGGCATTTTTTAATTCAATAAAATTCGTTAAACGCAAAGAAACTCAAACATTTCGAAATTTACTTACTACATTGAGCACTTATGAGCGATTTTCAGACTTTTTGAGGGAAACAAATTGACAAAAAATGTGGCTTTCTGACAACTTACCTTTGGTTTTGCATTTGATTTCGCAATTCCCTTCATGAAAGCATCGAGCGGATCTTCCTCATCGCTTTGCTCGGCTTTAACAGGCCTAAAAATTCCAAAATGTGGATTTAAGGAAATTTCAGAAAAATTTCTAAGCTTACGGTTCAGGTTTCTTAACCTCGGCCTCCTTTTTATCACCATTTTCGGCATTTTCGCTCAAATTGACGTCGAACTCATCATCGTCTTCATCATCAAGATTCCATGACTTCTTCTTCTGCGACGATGAGGCTTGCTCCTCTTGAAGCTCGAGCTTATCCTTCTTTCGTTTCGCTCGCCACAATTCGATTTTGCGGCGTCGCTCCTCGGTGAGCTTCTCGAGATCGGTGGTCTTCATTCGTACGATCTCGTCGACGTCGTTTTTCGTCTCCTCGATCTCGAAACTCACTTGTGTCTCGCGCTTCTTCTCCTTTTCGCGTTCGCGACGACGATCGCGCTCGCGTTCGCGATCACGTTCGCGCCGCGGCGATCGTGATTTGCTTCGACGACGCTCACGATTCCGCTCGCGCGATCTCGAACGCTTGCGATCTTTCCGATCGCGCGATCTGTCTCGAGCCATTTTTTGCCTCAAAATTGATAAATATACGAATTTGCGACATAAAATTAGAATTGAAAGAGAAAATTCTCGAATTTTTATAATAATAAATTTCACAGGATAATCATTCCGGAAAATCGTTTTGCAATAATACCAAAAAAATAAAGCGAAATTCCGGAATCATAAATTAACTTTCCCAGATATATTTTCACAAAACTTTCAATTTATATAATGGAAAAATAATATTTTCAATTGTTTTTTTTTTCCGATTTTAAATCCAGACCACAATCTTTGAATTTATTGTTTTCAAACTTAAAAATTTGAGGTCAAATTTTGAGTATAATTTTTTCCAACATTTTAAAAGCCAGAAATGAAAAAAACTTGATGAAAGTGAGGAAAACGATGAAAAAACGAGAATTTTTGTTTCGAATTTTTGAAATGCTACAACGATGCTCCGCGTGGACACCCTTATTTTAGCGGATCAACGTCGAGTTTCTCGTCGCATGGATTGCCGAGTAGCAAGTTCTCAGAAAAACGGAGCACGGAATTTTTGGGTTTTGAAATTTCAAATTTTGCGAGGAATATTTGACGCTAAATATGGTTATATGGCGCCGAATAGTTCGATTAATTAAGGACAAAGTGATATACATCGGTACTTTGAAGGTTCGGCCACAGACTCGGATTATATTTAGATTTCAATACTTTTTCAGTGTTTTCACCATATTCTATTTCTCTATATTATTTTCTATTTTTTTTTTTGGGAAACGACATTCACATTGAAAAAATCACAAAAATTGAATGAGCGTTTTAGCAAACAAAAAATAGAATGCGACAATTGAGAATTCTGTTTTGAATTTTTGTGTGAAAAATATCTAAAATCTTTCCAACTATTAAGAAAATCCCATTGAAAATTGTGGAAAATCCCATTAAAAATCGGAATTTGAATTTTTCACTGGCAAACGACGCGCCGCATGAACGCCCTCGCTTTAGCCGAGTTTGTGTGTGGCGCGAAAAAACGGCGTTCAAATCTCATATCTCCCTCTCAATTCGGCCCGGTTTTCCGTTTTCTGTCGTATTTTCGCGCATTTCTGTTCCAAAATTTATGAAATGCGTAAAAAATAATGGAAAATTAAGACGATTTTAGGTTTTTTTTTTTTGAATTTTCGACTTTTATCAATTTATTTAAACCATTTACTGATGTTAAAAAAATTCTTGATGTTAAAAGAATTCTGGTTCGTTTAAAAATCAAAATTCTGAACATAAAATATTTTTTCAACAATATTCAAAACGCCCTCATTTTTTTTTCTGAAAAATCACAATTTCTTGAATTTTGCTCAAAAAATCGTTTGCAGTGGCGTCGTTTCCTTGATAGGGACCATCGAAATCGCCTGCGCACGCACGGCACCACACGACAACAAAAAGCCACCCGTCAATGAGCTCGTCGCAATCGGAACGAGAATTCGGCAACGAGATCGGCAACACGATGACCGCCTCGCAGGAATTGAGCACCAGCGCCGAGTAAGTCGAACAGACAACAGCAAGTGCGCCCCATCGCGCCATCGCCGCCGTTTCAAATATTTGCACGAACTTGGGCGCTTTTTCGCCGATTTCGACGCGTTTCGCCAATTTTGGCGCCATTTTTTGCGATTTTCACCCGGTTGAGAATTTGGGCAGAAATATCGTGTATTTCCTATTCAAACATCGAGTTCCTTCTTTTTTTTTAGCGCGGTTTTGTGTAAAAATCTCGACTCGCTGCCCGACAAGACTCCGTCGATGGAGAAAATCACGAATGGCGGTGAGTTTGCCGCAGCAGTGTCTCAAATAAATATTTTTCTTCAGGTGAAACGTCGACTTCGCTGCTATCTAATGCGCTCGCCACTGAAATCTACACAATAGTTCATAATAGTAAGTTTTTTTGGGAATAGTAAGCTTTTTTTGAAATCGAATTATGGAAAACGCTTTAAATGTTTTTAAATCATCGTTTGAAAAATGTTTTCAAATTGTAGAGAAAATGTTTTAAACTCAATATTTTGCTTAATTTTATAGTTGTAAGTTGGATTTTTATCAGATTTTGAAAGAAAGACTCAAGATTTTTCAAACGGAAAATGCCGAAAATCTTTATTTTTCTTTTTCCCAACGAAAAATATGGAAAGTCCTATTTATTTTAACAAAAAATGTGAATTTTTACCAAAATATTGAAATTTTAAACGGACAATTTGGTTTTTTTTTAAATTTGTGACATTTAGACACAAGTTCGGATCTCGATGAGTTGATGGAAGACGTCGAAGATCACATTGAAGACTTTTTCATCGGCGAAACTGTAATCAATTCGGGTAAAGAATACATAATCGAGAGCAAAGAGCGACGAGGTGGTCTCGTTATGTACACAATGACTGACGGCACGAAAATTGGTCATCGAGATTTGAGGTTTTTGGGAGAGAGGGCTGGGAATAAAGATAATTTGTGGAATTTTAGGCGAAAAAAGGGAATTTCGACTGATTTTCTACGAAAATTGATTGAAACGCACGCGAAATTTGATGGAAAATGTTGGAAAATCGACGACGACACACGAAAATTGTACGACATCAAAGAGAATGTTGTTGAACAGAAATTGGCGCCGATTTTTTGCCGAAAGTCGTCGGAGAATGCGAAAAAAGTGGGAAAGTTTGGAAATTTTCACAAAAAATGCGAGGAAAAAAATTTTGACGAATTTTCAGTCTGAAATACACAAAAATTGAGGAATTAAAGAGAAATTGGAAATTTTTGAACAAGAATTGCAAAAAAATTTTGTCATTTCTGGAAAAAATCTGAAAGTTATAATTTAAAAAGGAATGCGAAATTGAAAAAAAAAGTTGTAGGAATCCGATTCGTCGGATGAGGAAAATGTGGAATCGAGCGAACGACGCCTGGCATTCAACGGACGCGCTTCTGGAGGCATCGCACCTTCGTCGAAATTCAAAAAAATGCAGGAAAAGCTGAAAAAGAACGAGGAGCGCAAAAAATTGAAAGAGCAAAAACTGAAAGAGAAAGAAGAGGAGAAACAGCGAAAAATCGAGGAGAAGCTGAAAGAAAAAGCGAAAAAAGCCGAAGCAAAGACGAATGCGAAAAAATCGTCGTCGAACGGCGGCGGAATTGGGCAGTTTTTGACGAAGACGCCGAATTCGAAGACGTCATCTGGAGTCGAAACAGGAACACCGTCGGTTTGGGCGGCGAAACGATTGAAGAATGCGACGAATCGATTGGAAGAGGCTTGGAAGAAGCGAGATTCGGAAGTGAGTGGTTTTTCATGATCAAAAATTCCCGGGTCTTGACAACTTTTGGTTTTTTTACACTAACAATGGCGAAAATTTGGTTTTTTAAACTTAAATATTAAAAAAGGAAAAGTATTTTTTGGGATTTTTTGAGCGAAAAATATTCCGATATTTGAATATTGTTGTGAAAACTGGAATATTTTCAGCAATTCAATGAAGCTTGCGCATATTGCGAGAGCCAATTGTCGAAAAATCAGATCAAGAACATTGAGAATCCGATTTGGAGGTTTGCTGTTCAGAAAATTGTCGACAGAAATGCCGATAAGGCACTCATGTGAGTTTTTTCTTTGAGCGAATTTGACATTTTTGTGAAGAATTTTTTCTTCGATTAAAATGAGCATTTTTTTGAGGAAGAACATGAAGCCGGAAAAACGGAAGGAATATCGACAGCAGATGTTGGAAAGACGACGAGACGAGTACCGATTGATGGAATCTCGCATTCGAGCACATTTCTCGGAGGTTTTTCTAATATCTCGAGAAATTGCATTGTTTTGGCGAAATTTTAGGTGTGCTTCGAAGAGGATTTGACGATCACGTCGGAGAAATTGCGAATCGAAATGTGCGAACAGCTCGAGAATCCCGAAATTGCGGCACGTTGCCTCGAAATTTGCGAGTTTTTCGTGTCGATGAAGGAGATTATGAATTTTTCGGAGAGAATTACAGCGAGTAGGCGATTTGGTTTCGATTTTTATAAATTTTTGGCTTAAAATTGTTTAAAAATTATTTATTAATTGCTTTTTTAAATATATATTCTTCCAAATTTACAGACGATTTGAGTAACTCGTTCAAAACTGGGCGTGAGGGATTCGAGAAGTACACTTGGAAAATTTATGACTGTCTACTCGAGAATTTGCTGCAGAATGAAACTTATGCTGTGAGAATTTTGGCATTTTAAAAATTTGCTATTATGACTTTTAAAGATAACTGAAAAATTATGCGTATTACGGAAAAAAAATCGTTTTTACTGGATTTTTGAGTTTAAATAAATCCGAAATTTGCGTTTTAAAACTTAAATTTTCCACTATTTGAATTGTTTTTTCTTTTTTCGAAATTATAATAAATTTGAATATTTGCAGAAAATTGCGCATATGAATGCGCGATTGCGCGAATTTCCGCTGAATGTGAACACGATCACCGAAGCGACGCGAGCGTTTCTCGTCAGATCGTTTGAAACGTGAGTCTTCGCAAACTTTTTTTTTAAAGTTTTTTAAATCAAGTTTGCTTCAAATTGCAACATTTGAGCAAACGTGTTCCATTGCGAAACGTTTTTTGTCTCACTGAAAAATTTTACCGTTTTTTAGAAGGAATATTCCGGATTCGGTCGATGATGAAGAGGATGATGAGTCGAAACTGAAAAAGGAAGAAATTGAGGAGAATATGGAATTTGATGAGATTTACGAAGGAACTGAAGCGAATGGAGAAGTTGTATGTTGAGAATTTTTTATTTTCGAAAATAGTAAAAAAATGACTTCAAGTTTTTTGCAAAAATTGCATGTTATGGTTGATTTTCGTCGGAAAAAAGTAAAAAAAAAAGAATCGCCTATTTGTGGAATTATCTTAATTTTAATCAAAAAAAATCTTGAACTTTTTTGCAGCAAACTCGCCAAAAATTATTGGAATTTTTCAATGACGGCAAATGTTTGGAGGATTTTCCTGCTGAGCATCACCTCGAGCTCATTGAGCACCTCATTCAGCTCCTAATCGATTCGCAAATTGTTCGTGACGCTTTCAACGCCGAGCCGGATAGCATCGAGAAGTATCGGTCAAAAATTCGGGCGTTTCAAACGAAAATTGACGAAACAACGACGGAAATTGGTGAAATTCCCGTCGAGACGCGAAATATTGAGATGTTGTCGCGAAAAGAAACGAAGGAGATCGAAATGCGCGCGAAAAGGAAGGAGCATCTCGAGAGGAAGTTGATCGATCTCAAAGAGGAGCTCCAAATTTTGAACTCCAAAATGGCGGTGGGTTGTTTTTCCATTAGGAAACCGTAAATTTTTGATTTAAATGTCTTTGAAAGCGTAAAATTCTAAATTCCATTTTTTTGCGGTGAAAAATCGAAAATTTTGAATGTTTTGAGTTGAATTTTGAAGGTATTAGGGGGAAAAAATGAAGAAATTGCAAAATTTTGATGTAAATAAATATTTATTGAAATTTTGTTCCAAAAATTGAGATTTTTTTTTGAGTTTCAGACTGAGAAGGATCTTTTTATGCGAGTTTTCCGTGTTCCGTGTATCGGACAGGATCGCCATTTACGGAAATACTATTGGACGGCTTATAATCGAGATGGTGGCATTTGGGTGCAAGATGTGGGTGTTTTTGGCGAAAATCGAACGAACATTGTTTTTGCAGTTTGGCACACTGAATTATGAGAAATGGGTTCGAAAATGCGTCGAGCAGAAGCTCGACGTCGATGGTCCCATTGAGAGTTTGCCGAAATTTGAGCCCGATGAGAAGATTGAGGAGAAATGGTACCGAATCAGCAATATCGATGAGCTCGAAAATCTCAAAAATCAATTATTGAAGAGTGGTCGACGCGAAGGAGAGCTTTATAAGGTAGTTTATGATGAAATTTTTAAATTTGTGTTGCATTTGAGAAATTTTGGAAAATCTATGCAAAGTTGGCGAATTTTGCGAGAGAATTTCAAGAAATTGAGGAATGTTGCAAATGTTTGGAAAAAAAATGATCAAATATGCAATTTTTTCTGGAAAAGCTCTGAAAATTGAGAAAATTTTACGATTTTTAAGGAGAAATTTAGAGAATTTTGCAATTTTTATGAGCAAACACCTTGATTTTTCGATTTTTTCTCCAGATTTTCATGTTTTTGAAGAAACTTGGTAATTTTTTCTGTTAATTTTTTTTTGAATTGTTTTTTTTTCAAAAATTGCGTTTTTTGCAGTTCTTGAAAGCGAATTTGGAAGATATTCGGGGAAGCATCACACGCGATTTTGGCAGGCAGTTCAATCGTTCGCCGAGGTAGGAGTTTTGATGAAAAAGAGTGGAGATTTCACAAAAATTGAAATTTTACTATCGAAAATCGGGCAATTTTACAGCCCTGAAGAACACGAGCCATATTTGGGTGTATTTGGAGCATTCAAGGTGCAATTGATGGCGTTTTTGAAGGATTTGGTCGAGAGCAAAATGACGAGTTTGTCGAATGTCGAGGAAATTGCGGCGAATTTGGAAAACGCGAACGATTTGCAGAAATTGGTTGGTTTTTTAACTGCAAAAATGTATGATTTGAACATTTTGTATTCAGAAGTCGATTTTCCGTGAGATTTTTGATGCAATTCTGCCATCGTTTATTACATATCGTCATAGTGGCGCGTATGCAGCGTCGACGAGTGAGTTTTACGAAAATATTGGCGTCTTGTCATTTTTTTCCCGTAGAATTAAGAATTTTTTGATATTTATAAAGAAATGTGATTTTTTCAATGAAATTTGGGTATTTTTAAGTCTTGGTTTTGATCAATTTTCGAAAAAGTATTCAGAAATGGTATATCAATTTTTTCAATATATGGTAGGTCATCACATTTTTCGGTTTTTAATCAATTGTTTGCCGAAAAAATTAATTTGCGCACCAATTTTTTGGCAGTTCTTGTTTTTTACACACAGAAATTTGAACTTTTGAGATTTCTTATCAATTATTTCGTAAAATGTTGGAAATTTAATTATTTTTTGTTTAAAATTTGAATTTTTACTGAAATTTCAAATATTTTTTCGATGTTTGGTATTCTTTCAGAGCATTTTTCGATTTTGCAACCACATCGTTTCCAACAGCAAATTGCGTCGGCTTTGAATGTGTCTGCTCTTCATTTGTTGCTCGAATATCTCGATGGACGAATCAAATGGGAGAATTCGATCAACCAACAGGTGAGCTTTGTCAGTTTTACGAAAAAAAACGCTCCTGGATTATTTTTTGGGGCAGAAATTTAAATTTTTTACAAATTTTTGAAGAAATCATTGATTTAGATAGCTTTTTTTTTCTGAAAATTGTCGTTTTTTGCCAGACTTTCACTGAAGTTAGTCCAGTCCAAACACAAAATGAAATTTAATTGCAGAGATGCCTTGTTTGTCGTCGAAAAGATGAATCGGCACAAAAAATGCGATGCCGGAATTGCATTGATGTCTACCATTATTCGTGTGTTCGTCCGAGAATCACATTAGCACAATTTGAGGATTCGTCGTTTGTTGAAAAGTGAGAAAAGAAAATTGCTTAAAAAAAGAATTTATAAGAAATTTTTAACTAAAAGGAATGACTTTAAAAAATTGTCTCCATATTTGGCACTGTCTTTTCAGCTGGCTGTGCGGTCGATGTCGAAGCGCAGAAATTCGAAAGAAGCGACAGGAGCGAATTGAGAAAACTGAGGATGACGACGACAGCGGCGACGACGACGACGAGGAGGAGGAGAAGCAGCGACGAGGCGACCAATCGGATTCGTCGCCAGCGTTGTCTGACGTTGAAGGCGACGACGATGACGACAGAATGCACACATATTCACGAAAGGCCAAGAAGAGGGCGAACACGGCGATGGCGGCGATGGTGCAATACGAGAAGAACGGCACGATTGGTGGTAGTGAGCCGTTGCCCAAAAGGCGTTTGATTAAAAAGGTGACGGCTGAAACGGCCGCGAATATGTTGAAAATCAACCAATTTTTGTAGGATGTTCAAGAGTTCTTCGAAAGCATCGAAAACGCGAATCCGCGCCTGTATCGACTACTCATCTACGTGCCTTCTGGCGGGCGCGAGATTCTCAACGGACGCGGCGAGCTCGATTTGAATGGAATCGAGAACAATTTGAAATTGGTTCGTTTTCGTTTGACAAATTTTGATGGGCATCTTGAAATTGCGCTAATTTTTGTGTTACCGTAAATGGGCGGAGCTTATATGGGATTACGGTAGTAGTTCGAGAAACACTTCGTTGATCGTTCGACTCATTTAAAAAATCCCCGACTTGTCAGAAAAATTGCGCTATCGTACCGTCGGATATAGCCTAGATTACGGCGGTTTTGTGAACAATTTGAGACCAAACTAAAGATACCATAACCCACCGTTTCCACAGTGACATACTAAAGTGTTTTCGATAAAAAAACCAATTCACTTTGGCCTTCAAGCTACCGTAATTTAAAGGAGCATCATCGTTTTTTCTTTGCAGTACCGAACGGTTTCGGATCTGCGCGACGACGTCACTGCATTTTTCCGGAACGCCCGAAATTACATTGAAACTCACAATAATCGAAAACTCGACGAGCTCGACCTGATGATCTCGAAATTGGAGCTCGATGTTTAGAATATACAATGAAGCTGGAACTTCACTTTAATTTTTTCTTTATATTTTGTTTTTGAGCTTTTTCCCCTATGATGACGGACCTCACTCTGTTTTTTTTGCAAAATTTATCACTTAAAACTGTTTTTGAAATGTAGCGGGTTTTTCCACTTTTTCTACCATCCATCTATGTTTTTTTCTCTGCGCTTCTAACCCACTATTGTACCCTATAATTGAGTTGCCTTTTTTTTCGGAGAGACTTGTAAAAACTTAATTCGCAAATGAATCAGAGTTTCGCGTAATTTTGTGATCTATCTCAAAAAGAATTCATGGTCTAACCGTTGTAAGAAATTTTCGATTTTCTTAAATATTCTTTTTGAAACAGCAAATCACAATAGTCGAATTTTTCCAAAAATAATCTCTTTTTTAGAAAAAACTGAAAATTTTTGTATTTTCTATAAAGACTAAAAACGAAAGTTCTAAATTAAATTTTTAAACCATCTCACAACCGAGCAATAGATAAAAATCTGCCAAAATTAAAAAAAAAGAGAAGACAATACGATTTGGATTTTTAGACGAAGTTCTTGACGGCGTCGATGATATGACGTGCCGAGATACCGTATTTGTCGACAAGATCGTCCGGTGGTCCCGATCTCGGAACATCGCGAACGCACAACGAGCGAACGCGAATTGGAAGATCTGCGAGCGCGGCGCTGACGGCTTCGCCGATTCCTCCGGCCGGATAATGATCCTCGACAGTCAACACCTTTCCGCCGGCCTTCTTCGCGTATTCAGCGATCGTCGCCGAATCCAATGGTTTGATAGTGAATGGATCGATGACGGTGGCATGGATTCCTAAAAAAAATGAAACGACTTAATTTTTCAGCAAAATCGCTACAAATAATTGAGAAAATGTCAATTTTTCATCCGACTAACCTTCAGTTTCCAACTTTTCAGCAGCCTTGAGAGCCTCATAAGTTGTTACACCAGCTCCGATGAGGACCACTGAGTCGTTGTCGGACTTTCTGAGCACCTTGGCCTTTCCGATCGCGAACGGCTCGTCGTTCTCATACAAAACGGGAAGCGCCGGTCGGCTAGTTCGAATGAACACAATTCCCTTGGTGTTGGCGGCGAGCTCTGTGGCGCGTTCGGCGGAGACGGCGTCGGTGGGATAGAAGACGGTCGAGTTGGGAATCGCGCGGAAAATGGCGAGATCCTCGAGCGCCATTTGCGATGGTCCGTCTTCGCCGATCGACACGCCCACGTGCGATCCGACACATTTGAGATTGGCGAACGAGACGGCCGCCATACGAATTTGATCAGTGGCGCGGGTGAAGAAAGCGGCGAATGTGCTGAAAAAAAACATAAGTTTTCGAATCTCGTAAAAAATCGCAAATTATTGGACCATATTTGGAAAATTCCAATCAATTTTGTATGTTTAAAAATAAAATATGAAATGTTTCCCATTTCAAAATCGAAATAATGCTTCACAATTCAAATCTTTAGGCGGAAATATTTTTTAACCCGACAAACCTGGTAAACGGAATTGTGCGATCGCGGCACTGAGCTCCAACGGCAACACCGACCAAATTCTGTTCGGCGATGAAGCACTCAATGAACTGCTCGGGGTGCGCTTTGAGAAGTTTATCAGAGAACGTCGAGTTCTTCGTGTCGCCATCCAAACCGATGACGCGCGGCGACGCATCGCCAAGTTTCGCCAAAGCGGTTCCATAGGCGGCACGCGTCGCCACCTTGTCGCCCAACGCGTAATTCGGACGCGCCATTCGAATGTTGCCAACGTTCAAATCGATTTTGGGCGCGTCATCGACCGGCTTTCTCGCCACCAATTTCCCTTTTTCGCTTCCGTGAAGTCGTTTGCGGATCGACTCGATCGTCTCAGCCGGCACTGGCTTTCCGTGCCAATTGTCGAGATTCTCGACGTTGTCGATTCCTTTGCCTTTTAAGGTCTTCGCGAGAATCGCCGTCGGTTTGTCTTTGGTGTTTCGCGCCGTCTCATAGGCGGCGAGAAGCTCGTCAATGTTGTGCCCGTCGACGACAATCGCGTTGAAGCCGAACGCGGCGAAGCGAGCCTGCAAGCATTTTGTTTTTGAAATCTCGGCAAAAAATTCTATTTCTTCATAAAAGTCTTGAAAAATTGCCACCTCGGGTTATTTTGGTTTTATTTCGAAAATTCGTGGGCGATTTCTCATCACCATAATTTTTCATCCATCAAAAGTCCCCTACCCCTTCCACAGAAAATTGGACAATCTTTTCTGACAATGAGATTCTCGTAGTCATCACTACAAACATTAACTGAATGATAAGATAACACCAAATTTTGATGATAAACATAAATAATGGACAAAGTCGAACGATAAATTTCAGCAAAGAATATGCAAAAAGCTGAAAAACGGCGACGAACCTTATAAGTGTCCATATCATGTCCCAACGAGGTCTGTTGTGATTGTCCCAATCGGTTGACATCGACAATCGCGACGAGATTGTCCAATTTGTAGATGGATGCGAACGCGGCCGCTTCCCACACCGAACCCTCAGCGGATTCGCCGTCACCGAGAAGGCAATACACTCGATAGCTGGCCTTGTCGATGTATTTTCCGACGTACGCCATTCCGGCCGCCGCGCCGAGACCTTGGCCAAGCGAACCAGTCGCCACATCGATGAAGTTCAATCTCTGCAAATTTCAACAATTTCGTTGAAGCCATCCGAAATTATGGAAAGAAAAAAGTTAATTAAAGCTAATTATGTTTCAATCGACAAATATCCTACCGGCGTCGGATGTCCCTCAATATCGGAGTCGATTTTTCTCAACGAGAGCACATCCTTGTGGCTTAGAAGCCCGGCTTCTTCCCATGCGGCGTAAAGAATCGGACAGGCGTGTCCTTTGGAGAGAACGAAACGATCGGCGCTCGCCGATTTCGGCTCTGCGATGTCATAGCGCATTTCATGGAAGAACAGCGTCGCCATGATTTCGGCTGAAAACTTTTGCAAATTTGTCGGTCAGCGTTGACGTTTTTTAGGGAATTCAAAAATCTTGACCTTTTTAGACAAAACAGCTGAAGCATTTCATATTTTAACATTTTACGGCAATAAATTCAAAATGGATTTTCATGAAAATTTTCAGGTCATTTCGCCGAAATTCGCAATTTCCTTTCGGGAGCCAAAATTCCATACCAGCCGATGTCGACGACGTCGGATGTCCCGACTTGCTAGCGCAGGTCATCTCGATCGACGAGATGCGCATACGATTCGCCGCATCCTCAAGATCATTTCGCAATTGGGAGCTCATGATTTTACCTGCAAAAAAACGGGACATGAAAACGAGTCAAATAATGGAATAGAAATGAAGCGCAAAATCGTTATCAGATCGTCGAGAAAAAATGAGAATCAGGCCATTTATAGGCGAAAATCGCAAGGTCGCGGTGGAACGATTTCCACTCGATGTTGACACCGATTTTGTGCAACCATTAGACGACGAGGGGACACCTTTGGGCGGTGCAAAGACGTAGAGGAACCCAAAAAAACAACCAACACATACACACACAACAATAAACTGTTGTACTATCAACAATCGAGTTATCCAGAAAAACGGGTTATTTATGACAATCGTGATTTTTGAAATGTTTACGCCGACTTAAATGGGTTTCTCGTCTTCAAAAATGGGAGGTTCATGAAATATTTAAAATAAAATCAAATATCCATATATTTTTTGGAGAAACTTTTCTAGAATGGAATGAAAAGAATTGAAAACTGCCATGTGAAAAGCAAAACAAGAAACGTCAACTAGGTTAAAAATTTTTGAAAAATTGAATCTAAAAGCGAAAAAGAACAAATTTGTAGCAGAGCTATTTAAAAATAGAAAATTAAATTTTAAAGCATGACAATAATTATTGATTGAGTTGAAAAATTCGCGCCAAAATCGCCAAAAAATTGATGACGAAAAAAACGAGGTCAGGAAATAAGTCAGCTACAGTATTCAAATATTTAAAGACGCAAGAAAATTGTGAGAAAAGTCCCGCGAGGATTGAAACTACGGTGTCGCTAGTTCATGATTGTTTCCGAATCATCGATTTTTATCGGATTTTTCTCATTTTTCACGCAACTTCACGGAAACATGCAATAATGGGAATAAACCATCAAAAGAAGAGAAATTCGAATATAATAAATAATTATCAATTTTATCGCATCGAAATATCATAGGATACATGATTTTCTAATAAAAAATTAATGAATTCTATAAAAAAAACAATATTGTTGTATTTATCACATTAAGGTATCTAGAGAATTAAAAGGTTAATTGCAAGGAAAAATTTAGGTTTTAAAAAAGCAATAAAAATGAGCTTTCTCTTAAAAATACGGGCTTATTGGTGAAATTCGTCGGCGAATTAAGAGTGGCACCAGTGTTTCCAAAAATTTGGCAATTTTTTCACAATTCTATTCGTCCATCTTTTCCTCTTCCTCGTTGATTTCTTGCATTTCATCCTGAAAAAAAGCTCATTTTTAAAAAAAATAAAATCCCCAAAAGTTCAAAAATTTGGCTACTTTTTCATTAAATTGGAATTAAAAAAAAACAATTGTAAAATTTATTCGTCATAAAATTTTCTTTTCAATTTTATGATTTATCGACAATTTCAGCCAGCGAGATTCAAAATTTTCGCAATTTTTTTTGCAAAAATTTGAATTTTCGGCGAATTTGCCTACAAAATCACGGATTTTTTTTATTTAGCCAATGTCTCGACCCACCGTCCTCTGCTTTCTCTTGGCGAGAAGCTTATTATTCGAGTCGGTCAAGCTCTTTATCTGAATTTCCGTCGTCCCAACTCTCATCGAAGCCAAGGTCTTCTCCATCTCTTCTTGCACTTCACCCCACTGCTCCTTCTGATCGCAAAGAACCGAGCTAGTGAACAAAGGTGTGTCAGGAACCTCAAAAGAAAATGATAAAAAATAAGATCGTAAAAAAAACTCGGTCGTCGGAAGACCCAGCTCGTTAAAAAAAATTGCTATCGCCAATCAAATTGAGTTCCAACCTTTTTATAATGGCAAATCCATTTATGGTCCATCGTCTGTTCAATATTATATCGCTCAGTCGGATCAGTGCGCAGCAATTTTCGAATCAAATCCTTTGCTAAAATCACTAAATTACAATCCCAGAAATTCTCGCTGCGAGACCATCGAAAGGGTCTCTCATAATACGTACCGGCTTCAGAGACGCAATCCCATTCGGGCGCCGGAAACGTGTATTGTCCCGACTTGATTTTCGCCTTCATTCCCGGCGACATCGGTTGACCACCTTGCGAATAAAACGGCGGATAGCCGCACAATCTAGAAAATCGTCGAAATTTCCGATAAGCGTCTCATCGGTTGACTCACAGAATGTACATGATGACTCCAATCGACCACAAATCGCACGATTTATCATATTTCTCCGAACCGAGCACTTCCGGCGCACAATAATACGGTGTGAAGCAGGCGGTCTTCAATCCCTGCGGCTCCGACTCGTCCGTTTTCTTCGCGAATCCGAAATCCGTCAATTTCAGTTTCGCGTTCGCCTCGTTCGTACTGAAAAAATTGGCATTCTTCGATTTTTGATCCAAATTTTTGAGAATTTTCTTATAAATCGAATTTTTCGACATAAAAAAATGGAAAATTCATTTTTGTTCGCGATAAAATTGAAATCGTTTCGATGTATTTTTTCAAAATTCGACCGACTCACGTGTACAACAGATTCTCGGGTTTAAGATCACGGTGCGCGATAGCCATTCGATGCAAATGAGCCACCGCCGAGCATATATCGTACATAATTCCGGCCGCTTCTCGTTCGGTGAACGCTTTTTGTCCTCGAGCCTGAAAATTGGCAATTTTCGGCGTTTTTGCGTGGGCGAAATCGAAAATTCTACGCATTTTTTTCAAAATAAAAAACATTCATCAAATTTTGTCGAAAACCAGAGATTCTTTGCCAAAATTGACGATTTTTCTCGAAAATTCAAATCGAATTTGGTGAAATTCGCCAAAAAAAAATCAACCTGGATTCTCGTGAACAATTCGCCGCCTCGCATGTTTTCCATCACAACGAGAAGGCATTGAACATTATTGTAGGAATTCTTATAGACATCTATGATCGAGACGATATTCGAGTGGCCGCTCGCCATTCGATGAAGCTCAACCTGAAAAAAAAACACATTTAATTAATTATGCAAAGTTTTGAACATTTTCGGCTCAAAATTGCCAAAATCGATGTTTTCTTTCAAAATTCGCGACAAAAATCTCAAATTTACATTTTTTGGGTATCAAAAAAAATAGAAATTTTTCAAAGTTTCCAACTTATTTCTACTTTTTTTTCAATTCTCCTAAAAATCGCGGTGCAAAGTTCAAATTTCTCAAAGAAACTGAAAAGAACAATAGGGCGATGACTCATCAAAACACTCGTTTTTTTCTGGCCAAGGTCAATTCGTGAACGAAATGCGATAGACAAGGTCAAAAATTTGCCATTTTCTGGGGGAAAAATCTCAACATTTTGAGGCAAAAATTCGACAAAACCCATCAAAATTGATAGGAGAAGCTCAAAATCTCAAAATTTACTGCTAAATAATCAGAAACACACCTCTCTTCTGGCTTTTTCAGTGTCTCGAAGCACTTTTAACGCGTACTTCTCATGTGTTCGACGATGTTCACATTCCACAACTTTTCCGTTGATTCCGACACCCAAAACCTGCAAAAATTCGATGAATATTTGAAAAAAAAATTTATGGCGAGTTTAAACCAAATTGACACTTTTCGGAATAATCAAATTTTTAAAACCAATTTTCGTTTCAAAATAATACACGATTTAACAAATATTTCTATAACAAATAAAACATTTTCGCCAAAAATCAAAGGAAAATTTTAAATTTCATCAATTTTGATGCAATTTTTGGGAAAATTCTCAATTTCGTGTCAAAATTGTTCGCATTTTCACAATAACTTTCTCACCGTTCGACTAATTCGATAGTCCTGCGTGACCGGATATTCGTGATAATTGTTGTGCATCGTTTCCGCCAGTACCAACGACGTTTTCTCGTCGTTCCGTCTGGACAGTTTCCTCGATATACAGCAGCCTATCGTGCTGCAACGCAAAACTTCAATTTTTCTAGACACTCCCAATGAAAAACCTCGCTTAAAATCCAAAAAAAAATCAAATCAAAACGCTTCGCGGAGGGTCTGGTTGGACAACCCTGCAAAAAAAGGCGCCGATTTAAAGACAAACGACAAAAATCTTGATGGCGAGAGAGTATTGAATGATGAGAGGGTGCAGAGATGAAGGATGGCGCGTTGTTTAGTTTGGCGTACTCTCGTAATTTCGCAACCATTTCGAATTCCCGTTTCTACCTTGTTTTTTTTTGCCAAGAAAAGGGCGCAAAAATAAATTTAACGTCTACAGTAGCACTTTAAAGGCGCGTGCAAAATGTTTGCCGCAGGCTCTGTACGGAAGCGCTACTGTAATTATTATTTCTTATTATTTTTTTAATAACTTTTCGTCATTTTCAGCGCTTCAAAATGGATTTCAAGCAAAAACTGCTCGAGGAAATGAATCGTAAACGCAAAAAAGTCGCCGAAGTCGAGAAAAAAGTGAGCAAATTCGGGCGAAAAATGAAATTTTTGCGCAATTTTAGGACGGCGGCGCGAAATTCTTCAAACGCGGCGATTTGGAAGCGCAACGAGAAGCTGAATATATTGCGAAAAAAACGGAAAAAGAAAAACAAAAGGAGGTGAGATTTTTTCAATCGAAAATTGGGGGAAAACGCGGCGTTTTTTTTTGTAGAAATTGATCGAATCACTCAAAACTGATGCAATTTCGATGAAGTCGGCATTAGTTGAGCGCGAAGTCGATGAACGAACGCCAATGGAAGACGTCCGACGAAAATTGCGTGCTCGCGGTCATCCAATTCTGCTTTTCGGTAAGATTTTCAATTTTTTTGCATTTTTTCAATGAGAAATTTGAAGTTGCTATATAATTTTCAAAAATTTTAGAAATAATTCGAGTTTTGCAAGAGTACTCGGTGAGAAAATAGCAAAATCCCGTATTTTGCGAAAAATATCTGTTTGTTTCTTGTCAAAAATTGGCATTTTCACAAGAAATATGAAATTTTTAATTGGTTTTGTAAAAAAAAAACGATATTTTCAATAAGATACCAAAAATTGTTTGAATTTTTTCTCAACAAAATCAAATAAGTCCGATTGCTCAGGCGAAACCGAGAAGGACGTGAGAAAACGGCTGAGAGCCCTTGAGCTGGAGCAGCCCGATATGAAAGAAGGATGGTCGAACGAGCTGCAGACGGCGATGAAGGATATCAACACACAAATCGATAAGGATATTGTCGAGGGCAATGCGGAGAGCACGTCGAAGCACGATGTAGCGCTTCCATCGGGCTACGATGGAAATTGGGCGAAAATCGAGCACGATTCGAAAATGCTCACAGTTGGTAAGGATTTTGGTGTGGAAATTTTTAACGAAAAAGCGGTTTCATGGAAAATTCGGCAGAATTCCTCAATTTAGAAAATATTGATGGATGTTTGAATGTAAAATGGAAAGTATCCCAATTGAAAATGCGAGAATAATCTATTCTTGTTTGAGAATCGCAAATTTTATAATTAAATTCATCGCAAAAAGCGAAAATTTACCAAAAATCATAAATTCCAATGTTTTTTTTTTTCAAAAAGTGAAAATAAAAATCTTCTAAAAGTAAAAACTAAATGATCATAAAAATTTCTTGAAAATTGGGATTTACAACAAAAATTGGATAATTTTTGCAGGCGATGATATGAAACGAGAATGCGATATAATTCTTTCGATAATTCGATATTTATTGGCGCGTTGGGGAAAAGATTTGAACGATCGGCCGATTGAAGTCAAAAAAACGGCACAAGGTGAGTGATTGGACGAAATATGATGGTGTAGACGAATTGGAGAAGCTCAATTTTTTGAGAGAGAAAAGAAATCTAAAAACTTTGCTTGAAGTTCTAAAAATTTATCCGAAGCAGCTGAAAAATGAAGAATACCAATAAATTTTTGAAAAAAAAAAAACACTAGTAAAATCTCATTTTTTGGCTAGAAAATAGTTTTTTTTTAGGAAAAGCCAAACTTTTCTCAATTATCCAACTATTTTTTTTTTCAAAATTAACAAAAACCCAACATGATCACATTTTAGCATTTTTTTTAAAGAAACTTTCTTGCGATTCTCGAATTTTTTCATTTCTTTTTAAAATGTCTAATATAAAAATTGAGTTTTTCATCGAACATTTTCTAGTAAATTAAAAAAAATGTTTTTGATAAAATTCACAACAAATCGTATGGAATTCTCGAAAAACTCGCCGATTTTTTCCAGTTTGTCCAATAAAAAATTGTAGACAAATCCGAAATGTTTGTTCCAGGAATGCTGGAAGCTGCTCATCACAAACAAACAACAATGCATTTGAAATCATTGACGAATTCATTGGAAACTTACAATGTCAACAACGATATTCGTCATCATTTGGCCAAAATTTGCCGGTTTGTTTCATTTTTCGCCAAATTTCTGGGTTTTTTGGCTCAAAACTCGACTTTCTTTGGGTAAATAAGCGCTTATCGCGTCAAAAATTGGCAATAAAATGCAAACGTCAATTTGTGGCAAAAATTGTGATTCTCAATCATTTTTGGGCAACGAATTATATATTTTTTATGTTCAAAAATAAAAAAAATGTCATATTTTCAGTCAAAATCCGGGGGAAAATCGAGATTTTTCAAGAATTTCCATGTTTCTTTTTAAATCGAAAATCATTATAGACTTTTGGTGATCGACCGAAACTATTTGGAAGCGAACAACGCTTATATGGAAATGGCCATCGGAAATGCGCCGTGGCCCGTCGGTGTCACCCGATCTGGTATCCATCAACGTCCGGGATCGGCAAAAGCCTATGTTTCGAATATTGCGCATGTGCTCAATGATGAAACACAAAGAAAATACATTCAGGTGGGTAGGCATCTATTTTCAAAAAAAGAAAACAAATAAGGAAAAATCAGAATTTTTGACAATTTTAAAACAAGACACTGAAATTGAGCCGTACTTTCACAAAAAAATTAATTTAAAAGTTTTTATTCAAAACAGTCTCACATTTTGGGTGATTTTCTGGAGAATATCTAATAATTTAGCAAGTTTTAAGCAACTTTCTGAAAATTGAGCGATTTTTAAGTCAAACATGTTTTAAATGTTAAATATTCAAATTTGTTGCTATAATTTGCATTCCGATGACGAAACTACTTTTTTGTGAATAATTTTTCGGGAACATTGATTTTTTAAAAATTTGTCTCGAAAAATTTCCGTCGAGGCACGTTCAGACCCCTACCTTTTTCAAAATCTCTAAATGTTTAACTATTTTCGCTAATAACACACCAAAGATTTTTAAAATGCTTAATTGGTCCTAATTAGACTAATTACCTTAAATTTGCAGGCGTTCAAACGTCTAATGACCAAAATGCAAGAATATTTTCCGACGGACCCTTCAAAATGCGTTGAGTTCGTCAAAAAACCGGCACAATCTTAAAATATAATTAAACAAAAGAAATCGGGTATTTCGATGAGAATGGGAATTTACATCCCAGGACTAATTAAGCTATATTGTTTATATATAAATCATCTTGTTTCATTCGTTGGAAATGAAAATAGCAATTGGAAACGGGAGACGCGTGAGAAAAAGAAAAAGACAAAATACAGTGTGAAGATCAGAAAAATGAGAAAAATTCGCAGTCCTTTTTTCTATTAGCAAGAAGAATAATTAGTATTAATTAAGGAAAAGATAATTGTGCAATTTGATTTCGAATAGAAAAATTGCTTAAATTTGTGCAGAAATTCAAGCATACATTCAAATTGGAAAAAATTATGCCAAAAAAGGCAAAGAAGCAAAAAAAGAAAACAACAGAATACCCCTTGTGCGGTCAAAACAAAAAGAAACGCTTCTAATCCTATTTACAAATTCGAAATTAAAGAAAAACGAAACACTTATACATGTAAATATAAAGAAAATAAGAGAAATATCCAAATATGGATGAATGCCTACACCTCATTTTAAAGCTATTAAGAGACGAGAAAAAGAGAGAGACGAGAGAGCACAGTGAAAAAAATGGGTCTCATGTATAATTTACAAAATATTTATAAAAATTCGCGGTAGATCAATGAAAATGTTTCAAAACTTTTGCATTTTTAAAAGAAACAATTTGGGTAATATTGAAATTTACGTCAAAAAAGAATGTATCAAAATAAATTTTCGAGTAAAATTTCATTTTTATTTCCCGCCAAATTAGTGATTATGTTTATGATCTACCGCTTCCGCTATTATAAAAGTGGCGTCAATTATTTTCCGCTATTATCCTGCTGCTTCGGCAATATTCGACTAAGCAAATTCTGTGCAGATTGCGCCGCCGCCGCCGAAAACCCGCGCGATTGATTCGTTAAACTTCGTCGCGGCTGTGGAATCGGCGTGCTAGTTGGGGGTGGCGTCGGTGTCGCCGCCGCCGCCGCAGCTGCTGCGACGCCACTACTCGTTGGCTGATACGAGCTACGACGAGCCGGCGCTACCGGTGTGACCGATGACGTCGACGTCGACAGCTTCGACGGATATGAAATGGTCGATTGGGGACGATTTCGCGATGGCGACGGACTTCTGAATTGTCTTTTTCTCCAATTCAAAATTATTTTTTCAAAAATCTATTTTTGAGCATTTTTCAATCGATAAAAATTCAAAAAAACGTTTTACCTAATTCTACAAAAAATGAAATTTCATCCAAAAACTACAACCTACCGAATTCGGGAGTCCCTTGCCAAGGGACTAACCGCAATCGATTGCGATTTCTGCTTGACAATCGCAATTCCCGAGTGCTCCGATGGTACCCCTTCGGTGTATTTCGGTTTGCGGGTAATCGCCGACGCCGTCGGATTTAGTAGCATACTCGGACTCGACGGCGACGAGTTGCCGCGAATCGACGACGGCCGATTCGGCTGAAAATGTAATGTTCTTTTTTGCTAATTTCAAATAAGAAAAAACCGTCAATCCCCCCCCCGTTCCATTGAGTTTAAAAAATCCTAACCTCCAAATCGACAGCAGACGTCGCGGCGACGTCCGGCTCGACCCTTGTCGTCGTTGTGCCCGGCAAATGCGTCAATATACTTCCATCCTGACTAGACGCCGAACGCGGCATAAACGCCTGCTTCTGGCTCGAGCTTCCCGGCACAATGTCGTTCGTCGAGCGTTTGCCCGACAATCGGCGAAGAAGCGCCGACGGTTTGCGCGCCTTCTTCTCCAACGGCACGCGTCGCTGCGGTCGCTTCGGCTTCTTCTTCGCCATTTTGCCAACGTTTCGCCGCGCGGCGCCTTCGCGAATCGACGTCGACGACAACGGCGTCACTTTGAGCTGAATCTCGTTGCCGCCGCTCAACAGTCGGTGCATCAGCTGCGGATGCGTCAGATTGTGCACCGGATGGCCGTTCACGTGGGTTATCATGTCGTCGGCACGAAGGCCTGCCAGACACGCAGGGCTGTCTGTAAAACGGGATAATTAGCTGATAACTTAATTTATTATCTTATTAAAGACACCTCCGTGTAAATGATATATTAAATTTTTTGCTTAGAGATTTCTCAATAAAAGGCTTAATTAACTTTGAAAAGGTAAATTTCCGGTTATTAGTCCCTCTATAATGAAGCGATTAATTAGGAAATTAACTCACTTTCAATGACACATGTCACAATGTGCTCGATAGTGTAATACTCTGAGTGTTCACCAAGGTAGACACGTACCGATTTCAGGGTGAATCCATATCCAAATGGTCCCTTCCTACAAAAAAAGTTAAAAATGAGGAAACACGAAATGTAGTCCACACAAAAATACGAAACATTCATTGAGAATATGTTATTTTTTGAAATTTTTATTATCAATAATTTCTCTCAAAAAAGAAGCGCTTCTTACTTGATGGCGATATTCTTGCTCAACGGCACATCGGTGCTCGGCGAGTCCGAGGTTTGGGCGCATTGCGGCGACGCGCCGACGTCAGCCGACGATGCCGACGATACGGAAACACCACCGGGTGAGAGTTGCTGTGAAGTGACGGTCACCGGATTCGAGTACATCACATAGCACGTCTCTTTCGAATCATTCGAAGATGCTGCTGTTGCTGCTGTTGATGTTGATGACGACGAGCTCGATTGGCCAGGAATCACCAGTTGAAGAGCTTGGTTCTGAAGAAACAAACATGCAATTTTTGAAAGAAGGAATAATTAAACTATATTGGGCCCTTCCACGAAATGTGCCCACTGAATAAACAAAAAAAAGAGTTATGCGACTTTAAACGACCTTAGCTCCTACCGCCAACCTACCCGGAACTTGACGGGCTCATTACTCTCATTCTTTGTCTTCTCGTCGTGCTCATCGACGTGCTCGCTCGTCGTTCCCTCGTACGAAATGGCGAATCGCGGAAGCGGCGATCTCGAACCGCCGTCGGATCGTCGACCGGAATGAAATAATGGAAGAGTGGAGGCGTCGATAGAAGAATCCGTCGACGACGCCGCGGTGGCGAACGCGTTTCCTGATCCGGTTCCCGACGACGATGTTGTCGAGACATGTTGTCGTTGCGCCGAAAAGCGGCGGCGAAGATTCTCCGCCTGAAATTCAAACGAAATGAAAATTTGAACCAAATTCTCATTTTTAATTTAAAATTCGATGGAAAAACGAGCTGAATTTTCTCAATTTCGCACCGATTTCGCAAGAATGATCGAAAACAACTATCATTTTGCTGAAAAATTTTGAAATGTTTCAACATTTTCTGTGAGACTTTTGCGATTACATTTTCATTGATCGGAAAATCGCAGTTTTCAAATTCTACACCGAAATTCGTAAAATTTGACGATCCTCGCGACTAAATTTTATAGTACCAATCTTTAAAAAAACCAATTACCGATGAAATCGTGTCATCGGCCAACGAATCCGGCGCCTGCCCCGTCGAATACGAGCGTTCCGGTCGCGTTTCCGATTTTCCCGACGACATCGAATTCGAGCGCTCAATCGGCGACGAAATTGACGGCGACGCTGATGAAATGATCTAGAATCATCAATTCATTGGAGAAAATCGAAAATTTGGTTACGTGAGGCATCAACGAAGGATCGATGGAGACAATCGAATGTCTCGGACTGGCGGTTGAGAACGAATTGAACATCATACAACTCGTCGAATCATCTTCACATGATTCAGCTTCATGGTTATAGCGATCTTGGCGAGCTGAAAATGGGATACTCAAAAAAAAAACAATATTTTTTTATGGAAAATTTCAGTCAAACTCGAAGAAATCTCGAAAAATTAAATTTCGTTTAAAAAAAGAGGAATAAAACCGTACTATCAAAATAGCTGGTGTCCTCCTCATTGTCCAATTGCGGCACAAATTCGGCTTTTTGCCTCAAAAGCGTATTAAAATCCAATGATGCAAAAAACGGATGAGCGACGAGCTGTGTGGCGCCCGAAATCGTGCCGAGACGCTCGGCGGGATTCTTCTCCAATAATTTCCGAATAAGATCTTCAGCTTCAACCGGTAGAGCTTCATCTTCGGTTGGATATTCGACTTCTTCATTGATTACCTACAAAATCGGCAATGGTGTCTACAGCAATCACTATTTTTATTTTTCTAGCAAAAATCGCAAATCGACCGGAAAAATTCTAATTTTCAGCGGAAAAATTTCAGACGTATGAGGAATCGAGACCCCATTGAAACTCAGTACCTTCGAGAACAAAATTTCGGGTGTCTCTCCAAAAAATGGCACAATTCCAACCAGGAATTCATAGAGTATAATGCCGAGTGCCCACCAATCAACCGGTTTTCCATATCCCCGTCGAAGAATCACTTCTGGGGCAATATATCTAAAAAAAAAAAGTTGATTAAATTTTCATCAAAAATTCATCGATTCTTTATCGTACTCAGGTGTTCCGCACAATTGTTTATCCTGAAATTGCTGAGTTTCAGCAACTGTTCCACAGCCTTCAGCAACAAGTGTTGTTCGATTCATGAGTCCAATTTTCGAGAGTCCAAAGTCCGTCAATTTGATATGTCCCATCGCCGTAATTAGAAGACTGCAAATACAGTAATCGTTTTCGCGAAATATTTTGTGCTTTTTGCAAAATCCCATCGAGTGGAAAAAAAGTGAAAAATTTTGAATTCAAGTCAAAAATTGAAGAAATTCAAAGTTGATTTACAGATTACTGTCGCAGTTCATGATATTTCGAGCTACAGTAATCCGAATTATGAATTTCATCAACTTGAAATTGAAATTTTAAAGATAATTGAAAAGTTCTAAAAATCAACACCAAAAAATATTAGTGAAGAAATTCAATTGAAGTTTATGCGCCTTTAAACCATACATTTTCAAAATGCAAAAAAAAAGAAGTTTCCTCTAGCAAATCCCACAAATCCAATTTTAATCTAATCTCCAAAATTGCTGCAGAGAAAAAATGGTTCACAATTGTCTATAAAAAGCAATGCATGAAATCAAATCCTAACGCTGTAATCCTTAAGAAAGTTGCGTTTTGCGAATCTTACTTGTCCGGCTTCAAATCTCTGTGCACAATTCCATACGAGTGCAAATACTCGATGGCGAGCACAGTTTCGGCAATATAAAGCCGCGCCAATTCCAGCGGCAGTGTTCCGGCGCTTTTGAGCAACGCCGCACAATCGCCGCCCTCGACGTATTCCATGAGCATGCACAAATGGTGGCGCGTTTCGAATGAGCCGTAGAACGAGACGACGAATGGATTGTCGGCCATGGTGAGAATGTCACGCTCGGCGAACACCTGAAAATACACGATGTACAGATAACGGAGAGAAGAAATCGTTCCAAGCGAGGGGTTCCCTAGGCGTTCTCAATGGTCCGATAAGCAGCAGCTCAACAAGTTTTTAGTGATTTTACTCTTTAAAATAATCACCGAGGACGGGGAGATTAAGCCTAGTGACTCAAGGTACCCCCTAGGGGATTCCAAAGCTCCTGATCTTCAAATCAATTATATGGATAAAACAAAAACCATGTGAGAATTGAAATTCTAGAAAGGACCTCACCTGATCGACTTGATTCCTCAACATCAGCGTGTGCTTGTTCATCTTCTTCAACGCATATCTCTGCCGGGTTTCTTTGTGCCGAACCAGATGAACGGCACCGTAGGCTCCGTTGCTTACAAGCTGCAAAATTCGATATTTTCTCAAGAATGGAAATTTCCAGCAATTTCGGACATTTTTTTTAAACCAGATAGCTCGCAATATGGCAAAAACTACACGAAACTCGATAAAACAAACCCGTATCGTTTCAAAATCATCCTCACAAGGTGGCCGATTCGTATCCGGAAATGACGCCTCCGTTTTATTAGTGCTCGGCACACTCGGCGGATTCGTCGGCACCTCGTCGACCTGTTCGGTTGAATCCAGCATCGGATCGCGATCAAGTCCGAGTTTCCCGATTATATACTGCGGAAGATCAGGAACACGGGCGGTTCCCGAGCCCAACTGCTCGCGAACAACACCCTCGGCTTCTTCGAGAAGTTGATAAAACTCGTCGGGATCGAATTCGAGACATTCGAGAAGGCGCGCCGGACGACTGACGATCATCAGAAGGCGTTTGACCAACTTCGACAAATAGTCAAGCGACTCGGGACTCGTTTTCATTTGTGCCTATAAAAGAAATTTTTGAAATTTGGGAATTTTCTCGAAAATACCAAAAGAAAAATTATGAAAAAATATTTGGGAAAAAATTAATAAAAGTTTCCATCGAAATCTAAATTTTTTGCGATTCAACCTCAAAATATTAATTTTCAAGTCTCAAGATTCAAATTTTCCGCTTTCAGAGATTTGCCTATTTCTACTAAATTTTCCTATCAAACATCTCAACCTCATTGAGAGTTTCCTCTAATCGTTGGCTCATTTCGCAGAAATACGAGCAAGTTATCAAATCATCTCTCGATTTCGCCAGACAATCGGCGGCGATCTCGACAATCTGATGATGAAGGAACCGAGTCGCTCCGTCGCCGATGAGACGAAGCAAATTTCGATCCGCATATGATTCGGCATCCAAAACCTGCAATTTCTCGATAAAAAAGCGCTTATTGACAAAATTAGCATTTTCTGACAGATTAGGCTAAATTTGAGCATTTTCTCCAACTTTAAGGCACTTTTCGTAATTTTTCAGTAAAAATCGCTAATAGTTTGCAAAAACTAAAGAATTTTGCAATTTTATATTCAAACTTTGCCAAAAAAATGATACCGTTGATCTTCGACTCCTCATTACCAATTCATCGCCTTCTTGCTCGTTGTCGATATTGGGCAGTGTGATTCCACCGCTCAACGGACCATTCTCGGCAACAAATGCGCTCAGCCGCTCCTCCATTTGGAGTTTTGCCTGCAAAAATAAATTGTCTATAAAAGGCAACGTAAATCGGATTAGCGAGAAAAAAAACGAATGACATTTGCCAAATAAGATGAATCCGATCAAAAATCTCATTTTATAATATTTGAGCGAAAGAACATTATTCTGTAAAAAAAAACAAAAGAACTTTAAGATCGGATACATAAATAGCTATTTGACTGAAAATTTCAATTTCAAAGAAAATTTTGATCAAAAACTAAGTAAAAAAAAATTAGAAAACTTTCAATTTTCTTCAAGATAAAATCAATTTTAGTCCGTAGTTCGGAAAAATTTTCATTCGGAATTTCACAATTCAAAATCAAAATTTCAACTTTGAAAAAATTTCAACTCACTTTCGGAAACTTTTCCTTATAAACACTCGTTCGATTGACAATTTCCAAGTTGAATTCGTTCACAAATTTCGCAGGACTTCTGAAATCGAAAAATTTGACTAAAGAATTTTTTTTAAAAAAGTTTACGTCAAACTTCGACTTCTGGGACGATTCAGAAATGAATTCGATGGCTGCGGTGTCGTCACGTCATCATAACTCTCATTACTATCATATCTGCAATAATAAAACACTAACAAAAATTCAAAGGGTTTCGGTTAAAAACGCGATTTTCAAAGATTTGACAGATGCTTAGAAGTTTGATGCCAAAAAAATTTTTCTTCAATATTTATTCGAAAAATCCAATGTTTTCAAATTTCCAGCGTGAAAACAAAAAAAAACTTTGAAATTAGAAAAGAAACCTATAAAAATTTAAATGCTCTCACAATAATTGTGAAATTTCTTAAATTTTTCTTAAACTTTTTGTAGAAAAAATAATGCTCACACGAACAAACTAGCAACTGTTATTTGGAAAAAAAAGAGATTTCTAGTTTAAAAGCTCCAATTTCAGGTGCATTTTTGAGAGAAAATTTGGGAATAAACTTTCTTTATTGGTAATCAATCACATGTTATTGAAATTGAACACCAAAAAAACCAGTTTGCGGTGCGAAAAAACGTATTTTCAAAACACGAAAATAATAGAGAAACATACCGACTGGAAGCCTGCCGAACGGGTCCCACTCTCATATTATCAATCATTTCTCCAATATGCTCCGTCGACGAATATTGACTCTGAAAATTGGGGCATATTCATTGAAAACATGGCGAAAGCGACGAGACACACAATCAATTTTTTTTTTGAATTGAAACGAGGCGCGATGACGTACAAAACGCGAGTTTGGGATCATCGGGCATTTCTTTTTTCAAAAAATTTGGCAGGTTTTAAAGAATTCCGAGAGAGAGAGAGAGAGAGTTTCTTTTAGACATTCCATTAAAAAAACTGAAAAAAAGATGAGAAATATCGAATTTCATCCAAAAATTTTGTCATTTCGAAAGTGTCCATGGAAACATGCAGAAATTTGAGCGTTCGCGCTCAAAAAATATTACGGAAAATGAAAAAAAACTTTTAAAGAGTCGTTAAAAAATCTTCAAGCTCCTAAATTTCGCGAAATTGTTCAAAAAAGAACCCAAAAACTGTGGAATTTGGCAGTTTTCATGCAATTCATCAACAACAACAAAAGCAAAAAATGCACACGGAGCACATTTGGCATGCATGTGCCCATGACTCACAGAGACCCCTGAATTGCTTCCAGTGCCCGGCGTCCCGTAGCCGCTAGTCGATGGAAGTGAAGCCAGCGACCATCTTCGTGTGTCCTGTACGGGAGCCATTAAAGACGAACCATTTCGCGCAGAATATTGTCTGAAAATCAATTTAGAAAATGCCTAAATTTTTGTTAGCAAAACACTTTTGAAAAAAAATCTAGTATGTCAAAAATCAGACCTCAATTGAATCGGAACAGTCGCGTGCGGCGCTACAGACGACGATGGTCCGGCGACAACGGCGAAATTCTGCGAACTCGACGTCGATCGCTGCGGAATTCGAAGAGGACTTCGACATCGTTGAAGGGTTACCGGCGACGTTGAAGCGTGAAGCGACGGACGAGCCGAACGCAAGTTTGACGGCTGAAAGTAAAACCATTCTTCGAAGTTTGCCCTCGAAATGTTCACAACACTTACCGATGGCTTCGGATGAAGGCTTGTCGTCGACGCGTGCGCGCTCGAGCTGCTCGACAACTGCGGATCAGAGTGTCCGAGAGTGGAGCGGACTCGGCACAAGTTCGTCATCGACGAGCTCGACCAATTGCCGCCAACGCTGATTCCGTGGTCCATCGAAACTTCGGCGCCTACAAATTGAGGGACCATTCAAACCAAAACACAAAAATTATGAGCAACAATGAATCACAAGCACTGACCATGAATCGCCATCGTTTTACGACGATTTCTTTTAAGGAGCCTCTCGACGTTCGCTGCCGAATCCAAATCATGATGCTGATGTCCGGTGGCGCTCGAATGATGATAATTGAACGAACGCCTCGGTATCATTAGGGCACTGCCGCTTCCTGCAAAATCCGGAACATAAAACGCGAAGAAAAAGAAAATGAATATTAATTTTCCGGAAATTTTTTCGTTTTCAATTCGACAAATTTCCATTATTTCTCGAAGTCGAAAAAAAATGGCAAAATTACAGAAATTTTTTTTTAAATATTGAAAAATTGAATGAATGAGTCAACACTGCAAACACAGAGTACAATTGTGTACCAATAATAATGTCCACAGTATTCAATAGAAAAAAAACTCATTTTATGAAAAAAAAAACAAAATGTGCACTTTCGTTCAAATTTGTGCATTCAACATGTCAAATGTCACTTTTATGACATGAAAACGTCAAATGCGCAATTTTTATGGGAAAATTTTGATGAAAATCGACAAAAATGAAAAAAACTAATGAGAAATGGTCTAAATTATTAGGTAAGTTTCAAATTTGGATTTCATGTTTTTCTTGAAAAAACATTTTTTCTTGAAAAATTAATTTTAGTTCAAAATATAACCAAAAAATGTCATTTTTTTTCAAAACGATTTAAATAGAATATCGAAATTTTTAAATAGTTTTTCGCGAAAAAAAGACGAACCTCTCCAAACAACGTCAGTGTCACTTTCCGAGTCGGAACCCTGTAAAAAACGAATAACTTTTTTGTTTCTGCGCAAAAAAAAAGAAGAAAATTGAGACGATGTTCTAATTAGCCAACATTTGAGGAAACGACGGCCAAAAATTACCAGAAAATCCAATTTGCGCACTTTTAATTGGCCGGGAACTCATTTTTCAACATTTTTCCCTCAAATTTCTCTGATGATATGACGAATGTCAATCGACACCGAAGGCATTAACAACATTCTTCATCTGCGGACAGTTTGTTTTTGGGTTCCTGGTGCAGATTTGGAAAAATAACATACTCAAATACCTCTTTAAAGCCGTAGACAAATTTCTTGTATGCAATTTTTTTAAACAGAAAATTTAAATTTTTCAAACCTAACAACAAAAATGTAGAATCAGGTACTTTAAAAAAATATAGATCAGCGGACATGATTCAAGGCTTATTTTAAGGCAGGAATTTTTTTTTATTTTTGCGAAAAAAAAACGTCGAGATCTCAAAAACGTGAATATTTCATGAGCTTATTACTAGAATCCATCAATTTTACCGCATTAGAAATTCCGCAAAAGAATTATTTGACTCATACCACCTATCGCCCAACACGGAACTTATCATTATTTTCCAAGAAATGCAAATTGTGAAAAAATTTTGCGGTGGGAAGTCTAGAAGTGAAAAAATGGTTTATTTTTTTTCTGCATTATCCCATTAAAAGTTTGAAATTTAAAATTCAGAATCCATATTTATTAAAAATTTTTGACTAAAAGTAGAATCGAAATTAATTTTTTAACCTTTCTTTCCATATTCCCGGCAAAAAAGAATATCTGGAATTCTAGGCTATAAAAATGACAAACATTCAAAAAATGATAATTTCAAAAATGAAAAATCAAGATTTTTCATTTCCGAGTATATACATATCTTCGAATCCAATATTCAAGACTCAAAAATTAGAAAAATCTCAAATTTCCGGTGAAAAATCAAAAAGCCCAGTCAAATTGTAATTTTTCAAGTCAAAAAAATCAACATTTCTCATTTCAAATGCCCAAAAAATGTCAGAAAGCCAAATTTTCAGACAAAAATTCCAATTTTCCGTTTAAAAATAGTTTAAAAACATCAATTTTCAGATCAAGAGTTTCCAATATCCCACATATCCTACTAAAAAAAATTATCAGGAAAAATATTTTTTGAATAACCGCTGAAAATAAGAAGCCAAATTTACGAGTATGAATTGACTGATAAAAAAAGAGAACGAAAAACAAAACAAGAAAAGAAGAAGAAAATCGGATTATCAAGTGTTGTTGAACAGGTGAATGGCTCGTGAGTCACACGCCGCTCATTCTTTTCATTCGCCACTTTCTAATTCTCATCAACCAAAAACAGCCGATTTTCAAGCGTCTTGTGATCGTCGATTAATCTGTCGCGGCGAACACGACCGACAATTGACAATTATGCTGATTTAATCTGACGTACTACCATCAAATAACCAAATATTCACTTTTTTCGGCAAAAAGCAATCAAAAAACCATCTTAGAAAATATTATTCTGCATTAACTATTTCGAAAAAAAATTTTAAAAAATAAGACCGATTTCGTTTTTGACAGTTGATTTTAGCGAAAATTGACAATTCTAACCGAAATTGATTCCAATTAAGGAAATTTTTTGATAATTTAAGGCAATTGTCTCAATAATAAACGTCGATTTCAACACCAAATTAGTCATCGTCGAACGAAAAAAAGAGAATTACACAATTGGAATCGGAAACAATTGCACCATTCATATTAAACAATTTCCATTGGATTTTTAAAGGCGCATGTCAGCTATTTTGTAAAATGTCTCAACAAATGCCTCTATTCGACGATCCATGCGCCTTTGTGGCTGACAATTTAAAGGTGCATGTCAAAATTGGCATAAAGAACCTTTAAAATTCGCGGCGTTTTGATACATCGAGATCCTTGAACTACCGTAAGACAAACAATATTAATTACCAAGAAAGCAACAAAAAAAAACACAGACAGACAAGAGAGCGCGTGTTTGTGGACATACAGTACACCGCGTATCTGACATTTTCGTTCAGAGACCAAACAAACAATCAATTTTTCACAAGTACGTTTTCTCGAGAAAAAGCTATATGACGAATTTCTCAATAATGGCAATATTGGCAAAAAGTCGTGAGAAAACGGCAAATTTCTGAAAACCTTATGAAATTTATACGATCGATTTTCAGAACACCCAAAAAAAATAGATTTTTTAAGCAAGAAGAAAATTCTTCCAGCCAAACGAAATTGGAATCCAATTTGCATGGGTTTTCGCCAAATATGTGGGAGAACATGAAGCGGCAGCAACAACAACGGAAAAAAATGAAAATGAGAAGCGACAACAAACAGAAAAGAAAAGGAGAAAATATTCAATTATTTACGCAGTCGGCTTCGAGCATTCAAAAGAAACTTTCGTTTTTCGCGATTTGGGTCTTTAAACGTGTCTCTAACGGAATCGCGTTTTGATCTACATTCGACAAGCTGCCGTCTCTCTCTCTTTAACGAAACTATTGCCATTTTGGGTAAAAGCCTGCAACCCTTTTTTCAGCATTTTTTGACAAAAATGAAAGAAAAATCTTAAGAAATTATTTTTTATAAAAAAAAGGTCATTTAAAAAATCGGACAAACATTTATAAAAGCCAAAAAATTATAATTGATTCTTTAAAAAGTGAAGCATTTCTAGTCCAAAAATTAATTAAAAAGAAAAACAAACAAAAAAAGTGCATATCGAGGCCAATTATCTCATAATTTCTCATTATTTAATGATTCTCCTTCCCGGAAACTATTAAATGACTCATTTCAAGTGTCGCATGTCAATAATGACGCACCAAAACCCAATAAGGGCTCAAAAAAAAAACCAAAAATCACTCGAAAATTGGTCTATTCATGTGGGTTTCGCCATGAAAACAAACCACTAAATTATTGAGCCATTGTTCGGCGAAAATAAGCATATTTTTTCTCTCGCTAAAACTTCTATTATTGAAAAATTCGACCATTTATCCTTTTTTTTCTGTCAAATAAAGTGAAAACGTTAAATTTTTCTATCAAATTCAACAATATCCAGGAAACTCATGTAAAAAAATAACGGAAATGAAAAATGTTTCACTAAAAATAATGATTTTCGCACGAAAATTCTGCGGAACTCTCAAGGATCCATTAAAAACACGATGGTTTTTCATCGCAAATCGTCCATAATCTGCGACATTTTCAATTGTTTCTCAAGAAAATCAAGAATCAGATTTTGAATGACATCTTCTGACTAATCCGGTAAACAATTCGATGACTATCCAACCATTGACGCCATTCAGATTATTATTCTACGTAGCCTTTGCGAATACATAATACAAGATTATACCCGAAGAAAAGCTGGAAAGTCAGAACGTCGACTTTTTTTCTCGTCAGTTGTTATTTGAGCAAATGGACCACAACAAAACACACCTCGGGGGTTCAACTTATTACAATGATCTCTGTTATCGGAAATTCCGCATAGAAATTGGTCAAAAATTTTATTTTACATCGCGATTTCTATGATTTTTCCGGAAAAGAAAAGATAAATTTTTGTTCAAAATCTTCAAAACATTGCAAGTATTCGTTGCAAATCAATTTAACTTTGAAAAATTATCGGTTTTCCGAAAAAAGAAAAAAACCTAAAAAAAAATTTAAAAAATTCTGTTTCTGAGAAAACTGAATTTTTTTTTAAATTAAAAATCACACTTATTTCAAGCTTAAATATGTAGAGAAAGTTTGGAAAAAAAAAACTATAACAATATTCAAAATGTTAAGATTTTTTTCAAAAATTGTTGAAAATGCAACAAAAAAAGGAATTGTCAGGATGGAAGGTTGGCAAAAATCGCATTAAAAATCAATAAATCTTACGAAGCGCGAACACAGTTGGCGGGAGGCGGCGAAAACTGGAAATTCGCGGAAAAACGAAACGGAAAATGATTGGAATGCTCAAACAAGTGCCTAGAAACATCAGTAATCAATGGGCAGCGACTATTACGTCATGCGATGGACACTGACGCATTTGAGGTGCGTCGCATATTATGAGCAATTTTTCAAGCAAATCGGATTTTTTTTTAAAATCGAAAATCTCGAAAAATTGAATTGTGAGACGACAATTTTCAATTGAAATTTACCATTTTGTGTGGGAATTTTTTAAAAATTGCCTCACTTTTTAAATTTTGAAAAAGGAGGTATTCGAAAAAAGCCGAAAATCAGACAACGAAGCTTCTCGACTAAAAAAACCACGACGAACACCGAAGGGTTGCGAGTATTTGAACAATAAAAACTCAGAATTTCTCAAGGGCTTTTCCGCTCGCTAGTTTTTCCCATCTAGCTTCTACTTGTCGCGAAAAAAACCAATGACCAATGCGATTTGCACTATATTTTTCCATTATTTTTTTGGATAAAATTTCAAAAAAATTTGAGAATTTTATAGTGATTGATAAAATGATTGATATCATTTTTTTTTGATAATTAACTAAAAACTTCAAACTTTTGGCGGTTTTCGAATAATTTCGATAAAAATCTTTAAGAGAACAAATTCGAATGAAACGTCTGCTTGCGATTCGGCGAAAACACATCTGGATTGCACATTTCCATGAAATCTCATGACAATTTTGTAATTTCCATCTGTTTATAGCTATAAAATACGTCTGAAATCCGATTTGTTCAACAAAACAAAACCAAAAATGCAAATTCAGTAGGAAATTGGCAAACATTTGAAAATTGCCAACTATTTCTGAAATTTTTTAGCAAACCTTTCGAAATTAATAAAAACAATAATTTGAGAATTAATATTTTTAAATCGCCTTTGAAACATAAAAATAACGAAAAAAGAACAATTTTTAATTTCCGGCTTCAAATTTTCACGCAAACCTAGATAAAATAACAAAAAAATTTTGATATTTGAAGCATTTCTATGAAAATCACCTAAAGATGACAAAAAGGGTTTTCCCAATTTTGTATGAAATTTACACTTAAAAAATCTTCTAAAAATTACCATTACAAAAATTTTTTTAAATATTTTTTTAAACTTCAAAAATTGAAGAAAAAAATAAATAAATAGTTGAAGGAGGGAATTGTTCAAAAAATGTCATACCAGATACCGTAATCTAAAGGCGCATGGCAGGTGTCGCGGAGCGGTCTCGCCGCAATCAACTACTGTACAGCGTAACTTGCAATTAGGGCGCAAATTGATAGCGAAAAACGCAAACAATGGGCAATCAAACGCGCAAAATCAACTAACGTGATGGGTTCGGAATGTTGGCGACGACATTGTCGGTGATATGGACCTGACGGGACGGCTGAGAACAGGTGAGAACACGATCGGCGGCACATTGATGCAGTCCGATGACGATCGATTACACTGAAATTTGACATTTGCGATATAGTTTTTCATTAACATAATTTGAAAGCTGAAAATGTCGAAATTTCGAGGGTACTCCCACCACAGAAAAAAACAACATTTCAGATACCAATGCACTTTTCGATCGTCTCGGCACCGGCTCATTCGGCGGCGTCTCGTTGTCATCGGAGCAGTATTTGACGGTCGACCACATCGGCGACAGTAGATTCTGATAGCTGACCGACATCGGTATCGTCACCGAGCTGTTCGTGTCGGACATTGTCGACGCGAACGACGTGCGACGATCCGGCGGTGGCGAGGCGAGCGCGCGACTCGGAAACGGGAATGCCGCCGACGTTTCGGCATTGGTCTCGCCGGGCACTTGCAAATAGTTCATTGGCGGCAATTGGTGGATGTCGCCAAGTGGCGACGGGCTCAGAAATGGCGGCGACGGCGGGTCGAGCGAGATGCGGATCTGGGCGAGCTGGTCGGCAAATCGGCGCATTCGCGGCGACCGGCTCGGTGTTAGGCGGCTCATCTGAAACGAGACCCACATCTCGACTTAGTGCCACCGTATATAACAATTACACAATTTTTGGCACTAAATTTTCTCAGAAAAGTCGCTTTTTTGGTAAATTTCAAACAAAAAACGAACAATTTCTGACAAAATCGGGAACTCGCCTTGAAATTCGGGTCTCAATTGATTAAATCGAGAACAAACGCGATACAGCTAATTAGGGCGAATTAATTAGTTAATTACCATTTAGGGAATTGTGCAAACGTGTGGAGATTGATGTCATTGTGTTGGACAAAAAGTTGGAATTTTCGTGTCGAGACCGGGTCTTTGACAAGTTTATGGGCCAATAAAAACCCGAGACACTAAATTTTTATGGTCCCTAGAGCGAAATGAATTGGCAATAATTAGGGGCTATTAAAAAATTGCGGAGTTTTGAAGATTTATCCCCCTACGAAAAAAAGATTGTGTCATTAATGACTACCGGAAAGTAGTCTAAAGGCCATCACAAATCATTCCTCGCCATCACAATTCAATATCTGAAGCACATTATTGAAAGTTTAAAATTGATAAACTATTATTAAATTGTACCGCCTCAACGCCCATTTTTTCACTTTCTTTCCCTTCGTTGGTTGTTGTTCAACTTATATTCAATTTATGTCCAATTCATGTTTAACTTATTTTTAATTTATTTCTTTTACAATAAAGTTTAATTACCCAAGTTTGAGGTTGTCCATCTCCTACTGGTTAATAAAGATTGTGTGATTTTTTTCCAAGAAATTCCATTTTTTTTAATTTTTACATAAAAGTTTGGTTTTTTGTTGAAAAACTGATTTTTCTCAAAAAAGCAAAATTTGATAAATCATTTTTTAGACGAGGGTTTCGCAAAAAAAAATTCAAAATAAGCTGTTTTCGGCGAAAAGTCGATAAAATAAAATTAGCAATATTGGGAATTTTCAGTTGAAAAAAAAAAACGATTTTTCAAATGTTTTCAGAATTTCGCTGCAATATTGACACTTTTTGCCAAAAAATGGCAAATGTTGTTATTGTTTTACAAAAATTGTTCATATTTTTACCAAATTTCGCAGAAAACATGTGATTTCTGCCTAAAATCCTCATACTTTGCAATTTTAAAATTAAAAAAAAAAGAAAAATTGTTGAGAGGTCACAAAATAGATGATCCTGGGCGAATAAAAAATTTCCTCGAATTTGTTTCGAAGTGAGAATTTCAAAGGTGTCGAGCTAATATTGTGTCGATTTCAATGGTCCTGCTCAGGAAAATCAAATAAAATATTTTGAGATTCATTGAGAAACTAACGTGTCTCTATAATATTTTAGATTTGTCTCAATAAACATTAGGAAATCTCATAACATTTTCGAATTTATCGAGATAATTTGGAAATCGCTCAATAAATTTTAGAAAATCTTATAAGATTTTAAAAAATATTTTTAAGTTTAGCGATTCTCAATAAGTTTTAGAAAGTATCAATAAACTTTAGAATTTCTCAAAATATTTTAGAGTTTATCATTGAATATTTGATTCTCAAAATATTTTATTTGATTTGCCTGAGTGAAGGGAATTTCAAAGCAGAAAAAAAGATGTTGCTGGTCCATGATAGTGTTTTAATGGGGCAAAAAAAATATAGTGTACGACGCGTCCTTTAATCCCAGAAAAAAAAACTGCGCGGGTTTTCTCAATTTTTGTCGCGAGCAAAAAGAGAAGCTGTCAAGTGGCGCGGCCATCACATGAAATTGCGACCATGTTCGATTTTTTTGGGGGGCACAAATTCCGACGACTAATTCTGGGGGGGGGTGAAAAAAAGACGAATTTTTTGGCGATGTTTGCTCAAGAATCTTGCAAAAATTGTTATTTTTGCCAGAATAACTTGACAATAAATCGAATTTTCTTCAAAAATTGACGGAAAATGACTAATTTTTGATCGTTTTGTTTTTTTTAATCGAAAGAATGTGCGCATTTCCGGTACAAGTCGCAAATTTTCTCATTAAAAACGTTAATAAGAATAGTCATGCGATTTTCAGATTTTTGACAGAAATTATTGAAAAATTGTCACATTCCGCGGAACATCCAACATTTTTCTGGTAAATTTCTCAAAATTTGTCCCTTTCCAACAAAACAAATGCCAAATTTCGAGAGAAATTCGCAAAATTTTGGAATTTTCTAGAAAAAAGCCAATTGTTCAACAAAAAATTTCCAATTTCCGCTTCAAATTTTTTACTTCTTGTGTTGAATTGCCCAAAAACAAAATGGTGCAATTTTTGGCACAAAAATCGTCGCCAACGCAAGAAACCGCAAAAATTGAGCATTTCCGCATGACGATATCCTATTTCCGGCTCGAAAATCATGTCTAGAAACTGCAAAACTCATCCAATTATCAATTTTCAGGCAAAAACATTTTGATTCGGGTCTTTTTCAGCAAAAATTCCATTTTTTTTAATTTCCCAATAAATTTTTTTATTTTTGGGCGAAAAATCTAATTTTTTTTGTCAATTTCAAAAATCTAGGAAAAAGCGAAATTAACCACTAAATTACATGGCATTGTCAAAAAATTTTCAACTCAAAAAACAAGAATTACTTTTTTTGGAGAATTTCGCCAAAGATCCTCCAAACATCGATGATCCGCCACAAAATTTTTGCGTTTCGCTTGAGAAAACGAAAAACGTTCAACAATTTCCGCTTTAAAATGCATTTGTTTAGCTCAAAAATCTCAATTTCCGCGCCAAATTTGGGCGAAAATCGCAACGAAAAAAAATATAAGGCAAAATTGAAAGGAATTATGGAACTTGCGATGAGCGACAGCGGCGACAGCTACAGCAGCTCAATGCTACGCAACAAATCCGGCCGGCATAATCCCCCGGGCTACAGTAATCCTGCAAAAAAGGTGTCATGTAATGTCTAAAAATGGGCAAACACGTGAAATTTCGGCTTTTTCGGGCTCAAAAATCGAATTTTCGCATAAATTTTGGCGTTAATTCGCGACTTTTTCGATGAAATCTAAGAATTGTGAGACAAAATGCATATGAAAAAGAAAGAAACGGAAATATCGAATTAAGTGCGCTACAAATCAAATTTGTTTCTTTTTTCCCATATTTGGGCAATCTATTCGATTTTTATGGGTTTCGCGTTTTTTTTTCTCACAACAATTTTGTGGCCAATTTGACGTAATTTCTGCAAAATGTTGACAAAGACTCTTGATTTTTCTCGAAATGTGTTCATTTTTCGCAATTTTTCAATGAAATATTCCAAATTTTTATTTAAAAAAACGATTTTCACTTTTCTCAATTTTTCTCAAATATTTTCAATGGAAACGGACCTTTTTTCGAGCAGAATGTGGACGATTCTCCGAAAATCAACGGATTATCTTCGGGAATTACACAAAACCGAGCATTTTTCGTGTTAGAAGTAGGGATTCGTCCGACAAACTTCTGAAAATTGTCAATCTTGACCATATATATATATATATATATATATATATATATATATATGAAAAATCGGCAATTTTAATCCGAAAACTCACCAAAAAAGCAAGGCCTTTTTTAGAAGCGACACAATTTTCCAAGTTTTATGAGTTGACGAGACAAAAAAACGGAAATTGAATTTCTGGCCAGATTAGGGCATAGTTTGGCTTTTATGCGTATTGCCTCTCAATAACAAAAAATGCGGCTGCTTCAGTGTACTGTAACTCACTGGTTTCATCTCGAATTGCGCTGAAATTTTGCCACATATTTTCTCGGGGTCTCAAAACCCAAAGAAAATACCAAGCGTGGAGATATAGTCACTATTTCGGGTATTTCCGAAAATGCATTTTTATAATCTCAATTCCAAATCAAATTTCTCTAGGTCGTCATATGCGTTGCGGCTCGCGTGCGCTCGTCACGAAAATTTCGGCATTCTAATGACATCGAATAATGATGCTCAATGGCGCACGCAAAAACAATGTTCGAGAAATTTCACGCCGAAATTAATTTAATTTTTTTCCAAATCATCACCACTCGCTTCAAAAATGGCAAAATGAAAAAAACTGAAACACCAAAATTCTTAAAATTTTATAAAAGTTTACGTGTAAAATTCAATACATTTTTTTATTAAACAAAAAAAAACGAGCTTCCCTCCAAAATATCCATTATTTCCCATTTGCACCGACGTACTTCTATTTCTGGAACATCTCAATGATCGCTGCTAATCTCATTAGAGATAATCCAAGGTTCGACAAAAAAATATTATTCTAAGAATGATGAACGAGAGAAAAGGTGGATTTAGAGGAATTCATAATATAACTCTTTCTAAAATATTGCCAAATAATACTAGGGAGGCCATAGTAGGGACCATCAAAAACGAGAAGAATGATCCGTAAGATGGTACGAGCCTCACCTACAAAAACTGCATGCCCCTTCTTGCAAGCATAGTATACAATACATGATCAATTAATGTTGTTATTGAAGTTTCTAGAAATTCCCTTAATTCTTAATTATGTACATATTAGACGCGCTTTCTTCGTCTTTTTCAAGCGCACGTTCTCTCACTCATATGTCTTTGCACTCTGGAGTGCTTGGGAACACTATTTCGTAGATCAGACTTTTGAAAAAAAAAACATTCTAGATGCATGTCTAATAAAATTTGAATTTCGATAAGAAAAGCTGAAGAAATGCATAGGTTGATTGGATAAAGTGCGCAAAATTTGTGTCAACAGACAAAAAACGGGATAAAAATGGAACCCGCGCGCTTAAAAAGAAAGCTTAATAAAACAAAATGAAATTTTATGAAATAAAAAATGATGAGTATCGTCAATTTAAAATAAATATTATTCAACAATAACATTAGGATGACCAATGATTTGAATTGAAATGCCTGAAATGAGATCTTTGATAAACAGGTCTTACCAGCATACAACTCTTAATGCAAATAACAAAAAAACCTTATTCCTCACCCTAGCTGGACTCCTCGTCACTGGTGACAATCGTCTTCTTCTGCTGCATTTTCCGTTTTCGGTATTCCTGAAAAAAAATGTGTATTTTAGCAATTTAAACATCACGCCAACCTCATCCGAATCGCTCTCGTCGCTCTTTTTATTCTTCGTCTCAGATTCATCGCTCTCATCCGAGCTGGCGCCTGAAAAATTTCTTCACATAGAATTTCATTCATTTCAATGAACTTGGGTTCATTCGAAATCAAATGAGAAAATAGATTTTTTAAAAAGGTTTATATGATGCGCCTTTAAATTACCTATAATCGGTGCCTCCTTCTTCTTTCCCTTCGATTTTCTCGACGGCATCTCTTCATCGTCCGAGTAGCCGCCACCACCGCCCATTCCACCAAATCGATTCCTTGGCCTGAACGTGTTGCGCACCATTTGGGTGCGACGCATGTAAGCTCTAAGTGCTTCCTCCTCCTTTCTCGCATTTTCCTGAAAAATCGAACTGAAGACGTGAAAAATCATCTTAAAAAATTCTTGTAGTTTTTTGGTCGACACATTTTACCCTAAAGTGAGGGCGGTGACGTAAAAAGAGGAATGTCTTTAGAAAAAAACTGAAACTGACACTACAAATTTAAAATAAGATAGCTTTACGATAAACCGGGTGCCGCCAACAATGGAGTGTTGTTTGAAGCACCTCAAATTTCGACTAACCCGTCGTAAAATCTCTGGATTGTGTCCAACGTCATCCATAACCTTGACTTGTCCGGTTTTCCGGGTACGATCCGCCATATTGAGAGTGACCTAAAAATAATTTTCGTTCTCGGCAAATTTTCTCCAATAAAACTCATAAATACCTTTCTATGTGTTTGCGAATCGGTCGAATGCGGTCGAAACGTGATTCTTTTTTGCAAAATTGCTTGACAAGTCTGAAATTCGACTACATTCTCGACGTTTTCCAAAAGAACGCTCACCATTCCACCAATTTGGCGTCCGTACAACTGTGGAAGATTGTTGGCATTCAGCGGCATCATTGTCACTTCGAAAATTTCGTTTCCCAGATACAACGACATACTAGATAAAAACCAAGGCAAATTTCAAATATTTCTCGTTATTTTCAAGGGGTTAATATTAATTCTGGAATAAAAATCCAAATCTTGGGAAGAAAATCTTTTCGTTAAAATTTCGCAAAAAATTTAAAATTGTGTTAAAAAAATGACGAGCTCACGTTCCATCACTCCACTTGACAAACTTCGCGTTACTCTCTCGGACTTCTTCACCGGCCTCGTTCGTCGTCCGCCGCCAACGGATTGTGTTCTCGACGCGAAGCTTCAATCGATTGCGTCCTTCCTCGTCCATTTTCACCTGATCGTCATCCTCGTCCTCTTCGTACAATTCCGGATCGAACGGATGCGTCGACACCGACAAAAAATTCGGCATTCTAGCGTAATACGGACCATCGCCGAACTCGGTTCGAAGTTTCGGCAGCGACGCTTCCGTGTTCAACACGTGCTCCTTCTCCTGCTCTACTTCCGGATCCTCGTCGGGATCATGCATCACAATTCCATGTAATTGATCAATACCTTTAAAATTAAAATTAAAATTTGATACTTAAAAATAATCGATTTTTGGGTTATTTCTGCTAATTCTTTGTTGCAAAATCTACTTACTTCCTTTGCTCTCCGCATCTGAGTCCTTATCGGAGGCGCGCTTCTTCGGTGCATCCTCGTCAGATGAAGACGAGATATCGTCGTCACCAAATAGGTTTGAAGCCTTCTTCGCTACCGTCGCCACGTCACCTTCCTAAAACGTGGGTGTCTTTAAACGCAGAAAATTCTTTAAACAACGCTTACTCTTTCACTATCCAATCCTTCGTCATCGTCCTGCTGAAGTAGTGGAGCTGGACCAGGTGCCGATCTCTGGTCATCGTCATCATCACTCGACTCGGAGATCATTCCCCGCTTTGCAGGACCCGCGTCATCACCACCTGATGACGCTGGAGATGAACTACCGCTTCTATTACTGCCTTGACCTCTAGAAAACGTTTTTTTAGAAGCCAAATTAAAAATTAATTATTTGCTTAAAGCTTTTTAAAGCATTTTTAATTTTCTATTATTGATAAGCATTATTCAGAGAAAAAATTGAAGACATAACATTTTCCCCAAAATTCCACCTACATTGGCTGATCCGGGCTCGCCGGCCTCGAATTCTCGTCGCTTGACTCAGATGATGACATTTTGTTCTAAAATTTGACGAAAATTAAAGAAGTTTCAATAAAAAGGAAGAAAACAGCAAAAAACGGTGACGAAAATGCCAATTTTAAAAAAGCGTCAATTTTTTCAAATGGTCGCAAGTGCGCTCCATTGGACAACAGAATTTTCTGTCTTTCTTCAAAAATTCAACGAAAAATCTGAAATTTCAATTAAAACACAATAAAACATTCGTGTAAGAAACCAAAAATTCGCAAAACATTAACAAATTTCATAAATTTACAATATTTATTAACCTTATTTTTTTAATGAAAAAACCGGGTGGCAATATGCAATAAATTATTATCAAAGCGAATTATTATTAATTCGGTCTCTTATTTCTTATTTAAAAATTGTCGGAACATGTCGTTTGACATCGGCTGAGTAGGCTTATTAGACGGCGGCGCAGCAGGCGGAGGGACAGCAGTTTTTACTGAAAAATGGAATAATTCAATTTCAGCTTTTTAGGACCACAAAACTACAATAATCTCATTTCTTAAAGGTTTCGCATTGAAAACGTCAATTATATCGTTATTCAGTTAGAAAACATCGATTCTTGTACAAAAATTCAAGTCTTAATGAGAAAATTTCGATTCAGGATTTGACCATGACAGTAAAATCACGAAAAAAGACATTAAAATATAATATTTTTGGAAGAATTAATATACATATAATTCGACAAGTCTTGGCAGATAAAAGTTGTATGTTAGAAAAAATACAACTTTTTAAGACAAGAAAAAAAAATCAGTACCGGCAGCAGCTCTCGGCACGAATTGCAACATTCCAGCGTGCCCTTTTCGCGGCAACGCATTCTCGACACTCGTCGTCGTCGCCTTCGGATTCTCGGCCTTCTTGTCCTTCTTCGCCGGCGGATCCGATAAAGCAACGGCGATTTCGCGATCTGAAGCTCGACGTTAATGCAATGAATGACAAATTTCATCACCTCGAATTTTCAAATCGCCTCCTAAAATCGATTTGGAAGCGGCGTCTTCCGTCTCGAATTCGACATAGGCCACGCCTTTCGGTTGACCATTTTTGTGCCGAACGATTCGGACACTTAAAACAGGTCCGAATTTCGAAAAAACTTCCTTAAAAAACGAAAAATTATCAATATTTTAAAGTGAATAATTGCATTGTGCAAAAACCCACTTTAATCTCTTCCTCAGTGGCTTGGAAATGAACATTTCGCACAAAAACTTTCGTTTTCTCAAGACCAGTAGCGTATTTGAAGCCAACACGCTTTTCGGGATCGTTTTCGGAAATCTACAAAGTTTTCAGCTCGTGGAAAAGACAATGACGAAAACACTTACAAACATTGGTCGACCATTGACGAGAACTCGATCTTTTTCGAGGGCTTTTGCCACCAATTCAGGTTTTTCGAGAACCACATAGCCGAAACCGCGATGAAGTTTTGAATGAGCGCGGGTGGCAAAACGAACCGATTCGACACCGTCAAGAACCTACAAAATCACAAGAAAAAATTAAATTCCTGTTAGAAAATTCTAATAAATAAACGTTCAACTTTTAAAAATTCGAATTTTAAACCAAATTTTCAATTTCTCCCACCAAAAATGCAAATTCCGCACATTCAATTCATTAAAATTCATAAAATTTCAAATTTCAATGTTTACACCTGAAGTTTTTGGCAATTTAAGATGTAAAATTTCCACATTTTGTTACTAAACCTGTCGAATCTGCTCATCAGTGGTGCCGAAATCCAAATTCGACACAAACACCGTGCGTTTAGCCTCTTCGACCGGAATATCGGAACTCGTCGGCACATCATTCTTCAGCTTTATCTTCGACACACCATTCCCAATAGAAGGCAACGTCGGCGACTTAAAGCTTCCATCTCCTTTTGCTTTTCGAATCGGAGCCTCTTTCGGTTCGTCAAGCTCCCGCTTCTTCTTTTGCGGTCTCGCTGCACGGTGTGCGACTTGAGCATTCACCTTCTCCAGTACGAGGTCAAGTTGTTCCAATGTGCCTTCCTCGCGTTCAAATTGCACATAATACTCATAAATGTCGTTAACATTGTCGGAAACCGAGTTGAGCGCCTAAAACACATTTTAACTAAAAAAAAACGAATTAGCTTTAGACGACAAATTAGTTAGAAATTTCAAAACAAATCACAAAAAATAATACAATAATACATACTTCGTCTATAGTTTCATAACCTCAACAAATGATGTTTTCGAAAAAAAAACCCAAATCGTATAAAAACAAAAGATACCTTATTAAGCAATTTTCGAACATGCTGCAAATCGCCAAACTGCCTCTCCAATTTAGCACCGTCAATCCATTTTTGAGCGTTTTTGCCGAATCCCGAAGCCAATATATCATCCCAAACCGCTCGGAATTTGTCCATATCTTTGAGAAGTTGCGCGTAGAAGAACGCCTGATTCTGTCGATAGTCGGCGCGCGGATCCCAATTGTGCGGGAACCATTCCCTCAGTTTTGCCGCTCCTTCTTCGAATATTTGAGCGATTGGCGAATAATCGTGTGTTTCACTAGAAGCGGCGATTCGACGCCGCAGAAGATAAATGTACGTACGATATAGATTGCGGCCATCGTCGGCAGAACTGCAAAAAGTCAATTTTCTAAAATCCGCTTGAAATTCTACAAAAATTCGATTTATCAAAAACAAATAATTTGAAAAATAAATATTTCTTTTGAAAATCCTTCTTTTAGTCTCCAAATTTGATAATTTGGAATGTGCCTTTAAGATGAATAGTGTGTTGAAACGATGGGCGGAGTTTTCTCAAAGTAAAAACCAACTTGATGACATTATCCTTAGCGTAGTTCCAAATCTGCTCAATTTTCTCATAAGGCGCCGAAGCTCGCTCATACGCTAAAAGCGCCTGCTGATGAAGAATGCAGCTGTATGGGCAGAAGCGAATCGCCCGCTCATACACTTGACAAGTGACCGAGTGCACTTTGAGCTTCTGCTCACACCAAACACCATACGCCGACCAGACGTACTCATCATCGGGATAAGCTTCAACAAATCGCTCATGGACCATTTGAATTCGGCCAGGATCGCCATTTTCTGCAATATTTTTAAACAACTGCACCCAACGTCAGAAATTACTAGTTTCGTGCTCTAAATATTTGCGAAGTCCATCCGCCCGGGTATTCTCATTCTTCAGAACTTTCTCAAGCTCCTCATATGTTTTCTGAACCTTCTTCGTCGTATCGTGGGCGCTTTGCAGTTCCGAAATGAAGTTGTCGCATCCAATTTCTGATAAATTTCGTTATTTTTCTGGAGAAATAATTTTTGGGAAACCTTTGCAGAACGCAATTCCCTCCTGATAAATATCTTCAAGAAGGCCGGTTGGAACGCGCAAAGCTCGTTTGTACAAATTGACTATATTCATTGCATGCTTCTGCTTCTCGTGTTGATCCTGGAGCACTGAAATTCGAAAATTTATGAAAAAATCTGAGGCAACAACAAATTACTGTCAAAATGAGAGCGTTCGGTGTTGAAATAAAGCATCCAAATGAGACCGCCCTTGTCAAATCGGGTTCCAACCGCAGACAGAGCTTGCTCGCATTTCTAAACTATCCATAATTAAGGAAAATTCCAATTTTTACCTCTCTGGCGAAATTTAGGTTAACACTGAGACCGAAATAGATTCGCTCTTCCCAAATCGCCACCGTATTCGAATCAGCAACAGCTCGATCGAACATGGCTTCGATGGTATCGATATTCGAGTTCTCCGATTCCCTCTCGCTTCTAAAAAACTCTATAAATATTGCGTTTAGAAAATGACATACTTGAGCCAAATTAGCCAATTTGTCTCATTTAAAGGAAATCTTTTCGCGAATCTCTCCCTTGCTTCGGCCAACTCGTCAAAATCGCCGTTTTTGTGCAAAAGCTCAATGAGCTCATTGTTCAATTTAACGTTGTGCTCATCTTCGGCGAGTTTCGCTTTGACATTTGCGATTTTTTCATAGTAATCGACAAATGCCTCTTCATCGGAGTTCTCCGAGTCAAAGCCAGTATCCATCTGCTCAATATCACTGTCTGGATCCATTTTTAAGTACCTTGAAATTAGGAAATAGAATTTTCAAGGGAAAACGTAAGACTATTAATGAAATAGTAAAATAAATGCGTCAAAAATCTATGCAAAATTTTATTTTTCAACGAAAATATTTCAAAAAATCAAGAAAATGCAAGAAAATGACGATTTCGAAGTTTATTTTTCAAAAATTTCAAAAATTCGAATCGGGAAGCTAAAGTGCCCCAAGGCCAATTGTTTATCAATGGAGCACGTTTGCTGTTCACAAAATAATTTTTTATTTCTTATTTTCTGAGCTTCAATATTTACAATTTTTAGAATGCTCCGCGTCATTCAGAAGCGCTGCAACTCAACGGCGCCGCTAATCCGCCCGATTCATCGGGTACTGATCGCGAATCGCGGTGAAATTGCGATTCGCGTGATGAACACCGCACGAAAAATGGGAATCGAGACCGTTTCGGTCTTTTCCGACGCCGATAGAAACGCTTTATTTGTCAAAAGAGCCGATAAGGTGAGAATTTGAAGCTTCATAACGCAAAAATTCAAAATTCTAGGCGTACCATATCGGCCCAGCTCTGGCATCTCAAAGTTATTTGAATTATGGTAAAATTATTGAAACAGCGTTGGCTTCTGGAGCACAAGCCATTCATCCGGGTTACGGATTCTTGTCGGAAAACGCGGAATTTGCTGATAAATGCGCTGAAGCGAATCTAGTGTTCATCGGACCACCAGCGCAAGCAATTCGCGACATGGGCGCCAAAAATGTGTCGAAAAAAATCATGGAAGACGCCAAAGTGCCAGTGGTGAAGGGATTCCACGGCGAGGATCAATCGGATGCAAATCTGAAGAAGAAATCTGCGGAAATTGGTAAATGTCGTGTGATTTTCTTAAAAAAAATCTCAAAAATTTCTAGGCTACCCGGTAATGTTGAAGGCGGTTTATGGTGGTGGTGGTAAAGGAATGCGAATCGCGTGGAATGAGGCGGAATTTGACGAAAAGCTGGCTTCGGCGAGAAGCGAAGCGAAAAAATCGTTTGGAAACGATGAAATGCTCGTCGAGAAGTTCGTTGAGCGACCACGGCATGTTGAAGTTCAAGTGTTCGGCGACCATCATGGAAATTATGTGCATTTGTGGGAACGCGATTGTTCGGTTCAGAGAAGGCATCAAAAGATTATCGAAGAAGCTCCGGCGCCACTCATTTGTAAGATTTTCGATTTTTTCTCTTTAAAAAATTGATAAGAAAAGCAATAAAAAGGAAGGTAACGTGGAAATTCGATTAAAAAACAAAACATTTCGAATTGAAATTCCGGCAAAATCGGTTTTTAGAAAAAGTTGCATGTTTTAAAAACAATTCATAATAAATAATTTTAAAAATGCTTTAAAAATCCCAAAAGCAAATTTTGCTTCAAAATATCAAAATGTGCTAAATTTTTCGATTTTTTGCTAGAAAAAGAATCCAAAAACTCCCAATTTTGGCCAAAATGCCAAAAAAATCTTCTTTGTAGCTCACGAGACGCGCACGAAACTCGGAGAGTCGGCAGTCCGCGCCGCTTCCGCCGTTGGTTACGTCGGCGCCGGCACCGTCGAATTCATAATGGACCCACGCGGCGATTTCTATTTTATGGAGATGAACACGCGTCTGCAAGTCGAGCATCCTGTCACCGAGGCGATCACCGGCACCGATCTCGTTGAATGGCAGCTGAGAGTCGCACAAGGCGAGAAGTTGCCGCTCAAACAAAACGAAATCCCGCTGAATGGTCACAGTTTCGAGTGTCGCGTTTACGCGGAAGACACCAAAAACGGGGCATTCATGCCGACCGCCGGCAAACTCAACTATGTCGATTTTCCGGAAGACGCTCGCATCGACACCGGAGTGGTGTCTGGCGATGAGGTGTCGATCCATTATGATCCGATGATCGCCAAGGTTGTCGTTTGGGGACGTGATCGGGCCGCGGCGGCCGCCAAACTTAACAGTGCACTGGCTCGAACCCGCATTTCTGGTTTGCCGACGAACATCGGATTCGTGAGAAGCGTCCTCGAACATCCGGAATTTGTCAAGGGCAACGTTTATACTGACTTCATTCCGGACTTTCATGATGAGCTTTTCGCGAAACGCGAAACGCCTTCGGAGATTTACCTTGAAGGAGCTGTTGCTCAAGCACTTGCTTCGCTGAGCCGCTCGACAAATGGTCCCTTTGAGACGTTGAAGTTTGTCAGGTTGAATTTGAGCCCGGTGGTTACCTATAACGTTGGTAAGTTTCTTTTAGTTAATAATAGGATTTTTTGAATTTGACCCAAAAATTTGAGTATTATATAACATAGTAAACTTGTTTTTTCCAGAAGGCAAAGATGTCAATGTGAGATTCTTATCAGAATCTCATCTCGAAGTCGCTTATGATGATTCGAAATTCGACGTTCGTCTGAATGACGTCGTCGAGACGAATTCTGACGAATTCGCGTTCACACTGGAATCGAACGGACGCCGTTGGACGACGAATGTTAAATCATTGAAGGAGACGCTGATTGTGAACGGCGTCGGACAAAACGAATTCGATTCGCCGCTTGTCAAAGAATTCGACATCGTTGCCGGCGCTGGTGGTTTGCCGACGGCAGTCGCCCCGATGCCCGGAATCATTGAGAAGGTTCTTGTCAATCCTGGTGACAAGGTTCGCATCTCTCTCTTTTTCGACTATCACAGAGACATTTTTCAATTTAACTTTTAGCGCATAGATTGAGCGATTAATAAATGTGCTATGAAAAAATCTTAATCAGAGATTTTTAAAATTCGCGCCGCCACGGAAATTTTAAATTGCAGGTAACAAGCGGCCAAGCTCTCGTCGTGATGACCGCCATGAAAATGGAATACATAATTCGTGCTCCAGAAGATTCGACGATCGAGGCAATCAAATGCGCACCGGGAAAGAATGTGCCGAAAAATGCGGTTCTAGTCCAATTCGTCTAATTTTGGTTGTTGTGATTTCTCAAAGGGTTTTTGCATCATTTGTTTAGAAAAATGTTGAATTTGAGAGATTTTTAGTAGAAGAATGATTAAAAAAATAATTAAAACTTGATTATTCAATTTCTAGTCGCAAAACTGCCGAAAATGGTGCAAAATCCCGGCGAAGTTTGTGCTGATTTGAGCCACGGTACAATTTCAAATGAGCTTCATCCCCATATTAACTAGGTATTTAATAGAATGCGCATTTCTACGAGTTGTGTCCTATTTTTGCTCATCATCATCATCATCATCATCATTTGTTCATAAATCCCCGTCAAATGTTTTAAACATTTTCACCAAACACTCACAGATTCCGGCGCCGCGAGGCAGCTGTCATTTTCTGCTAAGAAGCTGTAGGCTGGGAGGAAAAAGCTTCAAGCTTTTCAACTAGGCGCTCGTGTCAGCTGTTGGCGTCGGCGAAAAACGCCGCCCGGCCGCCCGATGAAATTTATGATGATTGCACTTCATGAGCTACCGTAGTCCTTCCCGAAATATGTACTACAGATGTTGCTCATCTGCACACAAGGAGGTCAATGAGCGGTCAGTGTGACCAACTATACGATTTTCGATGATATCAAATTCTACAGCAATCCTCTACGGGAGGAATTTGGCTATTGGATTGTTGAGTCTGTTGGAGTGGGTGGGGTTTATAATTACAGTAATCTGCTTAACGAGGCTGACTACGTTAATTAACAGAGGGGCTGATAGCTCATATGTCCATGCGAATACAGTAATTCATTGGAGCCCAAAAATAACTCTTCAAGCTACCGTAACCCTATTAACGGGCGGAGTTTGTGACCTACAGTAATCCATCTCGCAGTGCGATTTTTGTTGCAATAAACTGTTAATTCAATTTTTTTTTCTTTTGATAGCTCTAACAAGCTGATATTTTTATACTCTAGTCGCTTCTTTTCGTGCCAAGACCCGCCTAAAAATCAACGATCTTTTTTTTTGCTGCGGCGAAGGAAGTATCAAATTTCGGCTCGAGTGACCGCTTCTTCTGCAGTATTTTCTCGAATATCGAGAACCATGCGGTGGAGTTTCACAAAAAGCATGCGGCAATTGCAAAATTTAAATGAAAATGCCGAAATTTTGTTGATATTAAAAAAAGAAAAATGTGCTAAAAAAAGGAATAAATCTAAATTTGGTGGCAATTGTTAAATATCTTCAAATTCTAGTAAACGTTGCATCATTCAATTAGGGGTCCGCATCATGTTCACGATCACTCACAAAGAGCTACGCAACATCGTGCACTATTTATAATAATGTGATGCCAACGCGAAGACTAAATCATTCAATCAATTGTGTCTCCGTCGAACCATCAATCAATATTATATAATAATGCTTTCTCTCTTCTGTGTGTGTGTGAGTTGGCCAGAAGAAATATCTTGATGATTCATCCAGAGTGCATTGGAACGTGTTGTGTCGCGACGAGTAGCACCAGCAGGAGCGGGAGGAGGAAGGCCTCCGCTAGGCCCCGCCCATCCGACGATGAGCACCAGATGCCCTGCAACGCCATTCGCCTACCAACGATGCGCTACTGCGTGCTCGCTTGTCTTTTGCTCATCGCAACATCGTCGTTCGTCGACGCCGCCAAGGTTCGTTTAAAGGCGCATCTATTCCAAAACCGCCGAGGTCAATTTCAAAGGCGCAAAGCAGCATGACAGTTCTTGGCTCAAATTTGAAGACACACGATCGAGATAAACTTTTTGTTTAAAGGCGCATCAAACAGTATTTTTATGTTTCATTGTTTCAAATGGACATACCAAAATACAGTAAGCCAATGCTTAAAGACGCAAGAGAATTATATGTATTTGTAAATTTCTAGCAAAAATTTAAATTCGCGTACTGCAATTTTTTATCGTTAAACTCATCGTTAAATCGTCATGATGCTGTTTATTTGCAGAAGAAGAAAACGGCGGCCGATGATGAGCTCGGCGATCTTCTCGACAACATCGACGCCGACGCCGCCGCCGAGGACAAAAAGAAAGGTAGTTGTTAATTCTTGTGTAATTTTCGAATCAATCCATTCGCCAAACATGATTTGATTTATAAACTGACTGCGGCTGGGATGTGGCCGCCTCGGAGAGCCCAGTGTAAAGTCCCTCTCTCTTTCTCCCGGTGCGCTCTTCGATATTATATACAAAACTCAGCGGTGTCATCTGCCCCGCGCCGACGATGTGTAATAATTCGGGCATCACGTTTGGGGCAAGATAATGGGGGTCAACGGGGCAAAAAAAGACTAGTAGTAGATTTATTGCGTCGAAGTGTTGCGCAATAGCGCGCTGCACTTTGCATGCGACACGCCCCCTACATCATATTCAAGTTTAGACCTAAAATTTCCACTTTTCTGCAGAAGTAGCCAAGAACCCATGCGAGGACCATCAATGCGGTTGGGGAAAAGAATGTGTCGTCGGAAAGAAGGGTGAGCCGGTTTGCGAGTGCATTTCTAAGTGCCCAGAGCTCGATGGAGACCCAATGGACAAGGTTAATTAATTAATTAATTACTTAATTACTAACTTGCTTTCTAGGTCTGCGCTAACAACAACCAAACCTTCACCTCATTGTGCGATTTGTACCGCGAGCGCTGCTTGTGCAAGAGAAAGTCGAAGGAATGCACGAAGAGCTCGAACGCCAAAGTCCATCTCGAATATCTCGGAGAGTGCAAGAAGCTTGACGAGTGCACCGACGAGCTCATGGCCCAATTCCCAGAACGCATGGCTGACTGGTTGTTCCAGGTGATGAAGGAGTTGAAGAAGCGCCGCGAGTTGCACAAACTTGAATGGGAGGAGTTGCTCCAGGAGGCCGAGAACGACGATGAGAAGAAGCACGTCTATCCGGTTATCTGGAAGTTCTGCGAGCTTGACACCAAGCCACAGGACAAGGTCGGTTACGAATCCGTCTAGTTATTACAGTTACACAATTTCCAGGCTGTCTCCCATCACGAGCTCATCCCAATCACCGCCCCAGTCATTCCAATGGAATCTTGCATCAAGCCATTCCTCGAGGGCTGCGACGCCAACAACGACGGCAACATCTCGATCAAGGAATGGGGAAAATGCCTCGGACTCAAAGAGGGCGAGATCCAGGAGAGATGCTAATTTGCCATGCTTAAGCGCCGCTTTTGCTGCTAAAACAACTGCCAAGTATCAATTTACTATCTCTTTCATTCATTTTAAGTAATAATCTAGTAATCTCTCGCGTTTATTTATGTTAAATAAATGGTTTAAAGGGAGGATATGTACAAAAAGCAGAAACAAGATGCGAAATCACTGCATGCACATGTTCTTGCATTCATTATACGTCGCAAAATTGTTCGCATTTCCTGCTCGGCCGTAATACGTGAAAAGCATACAGTTCTTATAGTTAGGACTGTAGAAATATCTGAAAATTGCACATGCACACAGTTTCTCGGCCTCAGAAAACCTTGGTGTATGTTTGCCATTGCTTCCAAACTTGCCGGCGTCGTAGTTGAGAGCGCACGTGTACTCTGCAGAATTACTTTTATTTTTCTTCTTCTCATAGTGAATCTGGGTTATCGCAAAACAGACGCAGTGCCACATCTGTGTATAAACACATAAATTTTCAAAAAATACACACACTCAAAGCAATTACTTCAGATTTTTGATTCACGCTTAATGGATCATATCTGCCGACTTACGGTCACGATTTTTGCTGGAATTCTTCAGCATTAAATACTTCAAAAATAGTAAAAAAATCCTATTAGCATATATTGTCGGCGTCAAACGACTGAAGAGAGGCGGAGCCTTCAAATTCGTGAAACCAGTGCAGATTTAAATTTTTCGTTGACTGAATATTAAATGCGCGTACACTATAATGCAATGTACGTAGTCTTACGTACTTCTCGCTGCCTTGAGACGCATTGGCATATAGCCAATAATTTTTTAAATTTCGTCAAGTCGTTTGACGCCAACAATATTTCCTTGAATGTTTCAAAGTAAATTGTAATGTTTGCACTCGATCTAAATGCATTCTTATCTGCGGACATTAAACTGGTTCACAAAGGCGTCAAAATTGATTCTCGGTCTGCGGACAAGATCCTTGTTGACTGTTTATCAAGCTGTGAGCTCAAAATCTCATTTTGAGCAAAAAAAAACTGATGATATCTCGCTCTAGAGCTCGCCGAGCAATATTTTATTGGACAATTTCATGCCAGATGCACGCCGAGTTTGCAGGTAAACAACATCAAGACGAACACAATGATTCTTGAGCATTCATGCGCCTTTAAAATCTGTGTTATTAGTTTCTGTGAGTCGCTCTAGGCTGATTTAGTGCCCATCATACTCTCCTTTAAGCACAAATTCAACATTTCCTTTCCAAGACATACTCCGTTACCAACGCGCCTTTAACAAAAAAGCTCGCGACGGGATGAATACTATGTCCCTTGTCATAGAAAAAACCATCATGGGACCTCTTTTTGACAAACCTTTCGTCGGACAGCACACATTATTCTCGCACGTGTAGCCATTCGGACACTGGCTGCATGTCACTGTCTCTCCTGTTGTCGCACCAGCTGCGTAGGCTCCAGAAGCGCAAACCGCTGCAAAAAAAATAAATTGGAGTTGAGTCAACGATGAGCTCGCTACCGGCTGCCGGCGCATCCGCTGCGGTCGGTTGCGCATTCTTGCACGCCGCAACGCATTCGTCTTTCGAAGAGAAGCGATTTTCGTTGCCGTCACAACCCTGTAGCAGAACTTGACAATTTTAAGAATAAAACAAACGAGTGAACGAACCTGATAATAGAACGGCTGACAGGTTTTGGAAGCGGCGTGGAAGAAAAATGACCGGGCTCCCGCTCCACCACAGGCGCTATTGCCAACGTCTCGAGCTGAAATCACAATAATTATTTTTTAACGTCAAAAATTCGGAAAAGTAGTTTTTATTAAATTCTACAAATGTAAAAAAAAAATGAAGCACAAGTCAATTTTTGCAGAGTAATTTTAGATCTTAAAAAATTAGACAAATTAATAATAGCATTTTTGACTAATTTAATGGAATTTCTAGCATTTTCAGGCAAAAATTTAACGAAAAACAAAAAAAAAAACGAACAATTTCGAGCAAATCTTATTCAAAACAGAATTTTCAAAATTTATAGTGTGCAATGGAGCGCGATTGCTGTTATGACTCCAATATTTCCAATATCTGTCGAAAATTTTTCATTTTTCGCCAAGAATGCTAATTTACGGGAGAAACTTACGCAAAGAGCATCGATCAGCGTCAGCAATGGCAACGAGGCCAACGAAAACGGCAAAAATCGCGAAATTCCACATGTTCGGTGGCAAATTTCTGGAATCGGTTTTTTAAATAATCAGCCACCAACGCAACTAGACAAACATTTCGGCGCGCAAAAAATAGTTACACACAAACCTACAAATACTCTCTTTTTGTCATCTTTTCGGGTATTGTTTGCTAAAAAGGTGGTGAACATTGATTTCTTGAACACTTTTCGAAGTTAACACAAGTAAATAAATAAATAAATAAAAATATATGTATATATATAAAACTGGAAAATTCAAAAAATGTTTGACAATTTTCTACGAGAAATAGTTCGCAGTTTCTCTTTTTTTAATTTAATGATTTTGGTGAAAATCACGTTTTGCAATTTGTTGAACCATTCGAAAAATTCGCGGATGTCAACAAAATATTGAAAAAGTTCAACGAAAAACCAAGAATTTTGGTGATTTCCGAACAATTCCAAGAACAATCTCAAATAGAAATGATTTGATAGAGAAATCGGTGGAAAATTCACCCAGAAAAATTTAAAACTCGAAAGAGTATCAAACAATTTAATAGGAAAAAATTTCACCAATTTTCCGAAGCTTCGAATGAAAAATTGAAGAAGCAACCAATTTCCATCCAAAATCCTAATTCTGCCCAAGTACAAAAAACCCGTTCAAAAACATCAAAAATCTGAAACAATAACAAAAAACAAAACAAAACAAGACAAAACCGGTTTTCCAGGCTACAAAAATTTCAAAGAAAAAAAATTGAAAAATTTTATACAAAACAAAAAATCGAATTCTTTTACACTAAACGCTGATTGTGATGATTTTCGTTGTCGGAACAATGTCAGAAGGAGAAAAGAAGAAGTCGGCGACGACGATGATGAAGAAGGAGAAGAAGAAACAAGAATATGATAAAGATCAAACAACGAAACAACAACAAAAAAAGAGAAAGAGAACCCTGTAACAAACGCACACAAATTGTTCCGGTTCGTTTCAAGACCTGCCCAAACGGTTACGGTAGGCCAAATACAAAACGACATTTTCAATTTAAAGGCGCATTCTCTTTATCCTACCATAACCAGGTCTCACCACGAAAAAAAACGAAATTCACTGGCGTTTTTCGTATTATTTATGTACAAGTGATATGATGGGCAATTTGTGGTATTTTTTTTTTGATACGAACATTTTTGATTCGAAATATGAGGAAACCCAACCACCGGCATTTTGAAAAAAAAAGATGATTAAAAACGAAAAGAAAAGAGCACCAAATATTAACGGGGAAAAATTACATTAGATTTTTGTTGATTATGATAGAATCTCTCGAAGCGAACAATTCGACATCAGCAACTGTTTGAGGTCTTCGTCAACGTTCGATAGAATTTTCACGATTTGGCGAACCTAAAGATTTCGAGTTGAGTTTTAAAGACGCATAATGTCTCTCAAGGGTCGTTGCCCGATTTGAGAGGAACGTTCGGTCGAAAGGGTAAAAATCATATAGGTATCATCAAAAATAATCTAAGCAAAATATTCAATGAAAATCTCGCCATTCGCCTTAAAACGCCCCTTCCTACCATTTTATGGCGCAGCTCGTTGTCTTGCTTTAATTCCATAATGCGCTCGCGGATTCGTAACACCAAATCGACAACTTCCACATTATGTTTGTTCGACAGTGTTTTCGAACCTGAAAAGTAGAATATAAAAATTTAAATCCTCATACTTGCCAAAATTAAAAAGGAGAGTTTTTAAAGAAAATTTGCAAACCAAAGTCTGCCGAGCACAATGCATCAATATAATGGCTCTTGAGTTGAGTGCTCACGTCTCGCGACCTCATCGACAGCCATCCACCAAAATTCGAACTCGTTATGAATCGACGATACAATCCTAAAAAAGCGCAATTAGCGAGCATAACTAGACATCAACCAATTACCAGCCCAATCGCCTTTCGTCCCACAAGTTAGCGACGGTCCGCCGTTCGAATCAAGCGAAACCAAAAAATCGTCCATCGAGAATGGCCGGCTGCTGGGAATACTCTGAAAATCTCAATTTCAATTATAAAGTGCCAATTAAAACCACCTTAAAAGGCGACATTTCCTTTTTCAACGGCATCAGCGATGACAAATACCGTTCCATTGGGATCATGAAGCTCTGCGTGAGCTCGAGAAAGTGCCGCTGAAGGATACTGTGCTGAATCTACAAAAAAAACTGATGTAAAAATTTGACAAATTTCAGATGCTAAAGTTATATTCTTGCCATTTTTTGTTTGGCGTCTAAAATCTCAATTTTCCTTCCAAAGCCCTATTTTTGGCTCATTTTCTCTCAGTTTTTTTCACAAGTCACCTCCACATTATTAACGCTTTTGAGTAATTTCTTCGCCAACGATTTGTCGCGGCTCAAAAACGGCTTGTACTGTGTGTACATTCCGGCCGGTATATCGAGCGTCCTCGCGCCGCTCCAATTTTTTCGCGGCTTCTTCATTTCCAAATCCGGCACCAACTCGTCGACTTTCAAAATGTGCGGCCAATGATCCAAAGCTTTTGTGAAAAACGGGTTCGTCACACCCAATATCACCCGCGGCCTGCAAAATTGACAATTTTTCTGACATATTTTTCTCCAAACATGATTAAAACATAGGTTTGCAAATTTGATTTTTCAATTAGAATAAGACAAATTTTTAAACTTTTTTTCATTAAAATCAAATATCGGTCAACAATTTTCAAAAAAAAACCCACGGGCTTCTCGATTTTGACGAGTATTCTCGAAATTCTGAATCATGAATCGTGAAATACGGCCGAAAATCGTTGACAATTCGTAATGGCGATATCAACGAGACAATCGATTGAACCAACGACGACGAGATCTCGGGATTCGGAGCAATGATGAGCAGCGGCTCACCGATGAGTACGAGCTCCCAAAGCAGTTGAAGATGGTAGACCTGCGAGAGGATCGGTGTGATGAAATCGGGCAGTTTGATGCTCGCCGGATCACTTTTATGGGCAATCTGCAATTTTACAAAAAAATTGATTTTCAATTTCAAAAATATCAAAAATTGTTGATTCTAGGAAAAAATTAATTATTAAAAAAATTGTTTTTATTATTATCTATTTTCCTTTAAAAAAAGAAAGCACCAACCTCAACATGGCAATCTTGTCGGAAATCGTATGGCAAATCGGAAGCGGCCGGTAATCGGCAACTGATGATTGATCCCAATAGGGGAAGTTCGAGAGTTCGGCCGACGCACGGCTTCAACCAAGTGTCGATGTGATGACAAGCTGCGCAACAAAAAAAATTTAAAAAAAAAAAGATTTTTTCTGCAACTTTTGCACGAAAAATTCAATCGAAAAAACTCAATTCTCGCCATATTTTTCTCGAAAAAAAAAACAATCTCATTACCAGCTTCAATCGCAGCTTCACCATTTTCGAAAAACTGCGTTGCAATTCGAGCAGTAACCGCATAAAACAATGAGAAAAGCGGCAATATCGACAGCAAAACGATGCTCTGCAAAAAGAAAAAAATGGCAAAATTTTCTCACAAGGGAGGTGTTTTTACTTAGTGGTTTGGAATTTTTTCTAATTTTGCACACAAACAGATCAAGAAATTCCCTATCGAGTGTGCTATGTCGTTTTCTGCAAAAGTTCCAAAAAGTCCCAAAACTTTGGGTCCGAAGTTTCAAATTTTGATTCATTGTTTTTATACACTGTTTCATAATTTTTGCCATACTTCCTCACCACGCACAAATACCCCATTTCGATGGAACTGCGGCAAGAAGCGATGGTTCAGTGGAATGTGTATGGGTTACCAAGAAATGGGTTGCTGGTTCGTTGCCCCTTCTCGCGTTTTCTTTTGCAATTAATTTGTGATAAAATTTATACAAGTTTTATAATGGCTTGAAGGTTTAATTTTGTGAAATGAATAGTTGAATCGAACAGAAAATGAGACTGTAAAAATGGGAAGTTCGTTTGATTTCAAAAATTTTTTTCAAAATTTTTTCCACTCTGCTGCCCAACCTTATTGCAACCATCCTCGGAGCTTCGGAGAACATAATTGGCGGAAAGCAATAGACAACACTGTGCGATTAAAAATTATAGGGAAATGCGAGTTTTATGAACAACTTTCTAGAATAATGGATTCCCGGCTGTGAATCTTGAACGTCGATTGTTACTACACCGAGGATGGTGGTTGCAATAAGGTTGGGCAGCAGAGTGGAAAAAATTTTGAAAAAAATTTTTGAAATCAAACGAACTTCCCATTTTTACAGTCTCATTTTCTATTCGATTCAACTATTCATTTCACAAAATTAAACCTTCAAGCCATTATAAAACTTGTATAAATTTTATCACAAATTAATTGCAAAAGAAAACGCGAGAAGGGGCAACGAACCAGCAACCCATTTCTTGGTAACCCATACTCGGTGAAAATTGGCGGGCCCCGCGCGGGTGAAAACAACGATTTGCGGGTCCCGCGCGGGTGAAAATTGAGGGGCAAACACTTTCGTCGAGCGGGGCCCTCATATCACCGTCGCGGGGCCCTCATATCCCCGGTGCGGGGCCCTCATATCACCGTCGCGGGGCCCTCATATCACCGTCGCGGGGCCCTCATATCCCCGGTGCGGGGCCCTCATATCACCGTCGCGGGGCCCTCATATCCCCGGTGCGGGGCCCTCATATCACCGTTGCGGGGCCCTCATATCCCCGGTGCGGGGCCTTCATATCACCGTCGCGGGGCCCTCATATCACCGTCGCGGGGCCCTTGTGTTTCACCCGCGCGGGGCCCTTATATCGCCTTTGCGTGGCCAAAAATTCTAGACGAGATTCATATTGCAATTAATTAACAATTATATACTTAATGAAACATTTATTAAACGAAAAAACAAATTACACTTAAACATTCCTATGCATCCACATGGCTCGAATTTCACTCTTTAATTGTGGAGAATAATGTTCCTGAAAAACCACAAATAGAATATTGAAATATAGGAATCATAATATGATATAGTCGGCGTCCGTCGACTGCTGAACGCGGGTAGATTTACGGCGATGCTCGTTTATCTTGGGGCAAGAAAATGCGAAACTCGTCAAGAAAAAATAAACCGTTCATGCGAAAACAGCGAAATAAGCATTCACACGTGGCGAGACTTTTTCAAGGCGCATGCGCGTAAATCTACCCGCGTGCAGCAGTCGACGGACGCCGACTATATAGACTTATCATATTATGACAATGAAAAGGAACTTACTCAATAGTACTTCTGAAGGTTTTTCAATAATTAATGAATCTTGTGCCATAACGGACCCATTATTTTTCATGCTGATGTGAAATCCCTGAAATTTCGATATAAATATAACAATTTTTTATTAAAATAAACAAATATTTATATTTGATTGACATTTGGGCTTTATTTGAACCAATTCTCAATTATTTGACAAAATGTTTTCGTTTTATTAAACTAGGTACTCGAGAATTGCCCAAAGTTCGCTAACTTGTCAATTTTTTCTCAATGTTTCGCGGTATTCGCTCATTGAAAAAACGTGATTTGTAGAGAACACTCAAATACAACTTTAAAGTTTCGCATTTCAAAATATATTGTATAAATAAAATTTTACCCAAATATAAATTTTCTCAATAAATCTTTGGATGAGTACTATCTCGAAACCTTCGCTTAACCCCGGCGCGCCTCTGCACCGCACTTATCTTGAAATTATGAACCATCCCCAAATACGGAAATCACTAAAAGTTCGAACCCGCTGAAGTTAACATCTTAATAGGATAGGAAACCTATACCGTCTTCTCGAGCAACAGCTAGTCTGATTCTTCCTTTTTTTCTCTTGTAGTCTATATTTCATTTCCTAGCGAACTGTTGACACATTATCTAAACATAATATTGTATTTTATATATACAGTGAGTGCGTTGCAGAATTATAAAGCCACCCCCGAATTAGAGCGCCGCGCAGGTTTCGATATTTTGAGACCAAGCAGTGTTAAAATCGTGTTCAGCATGAAAAATTACCTATACGTACCAATTTTTATGTTAGTATCTTAAAAAGTAACCGTGTAGTGGTCATAATTCTGCAACGCACGGTATTTAATTTTTTTGGCTTTACTTACTAAATGTAAATATTCTTCTTTTTTTACATTGCGCTTGGAACCCATTACCATATATATGACTGAAATAATTAAATTTAAAAGTAAGAAAAAACTAATTTAGAAATTAGACACTCGCCAATTAATTGGACGAGTAAATGTGATTGAAACGAACGATTCAAAACGGTTGAAACAAAATACGATAAACAGCGGGCACGTGTTAACGGTGGAGTGTCGTACACTGATTAGGTTTCCACTAAAACTTTTTTTCTGTGAACGAGATTAGTCCAGAAATTCTCAATAAAAAAAAATGCGCCTATTATTCAAAAAAAAAAAAATAAATAAATAAATATATTAATAAAAAAAAACTAAAATAAATAAAATATTCCGAACACAAAATGTCTTGTTTCCCAATCGAATTCGACCACATCCGAAAAGAAAACGGCCGTTGTTCAAACCGAGATGGCCCCTTATAAGGTGTTTGCGAATGTTTAGAGTTTCAGCTGATGCTTCAGATATTCCAGGCAAGCTTATTATACTGAAAAGAGGGCCTTTCATTTGAAGAGGGCTCTCATTCCTATGCATGAAGTCAGACATTTAGATACTAAAGCAAGAAGAGTCGAAAATGTGCAAATTATTTTAATAACTTAAAAAATCAACATAGAACTCGAACAATTAAAAACAAGCCACAGAGATTCTGAAATATTGATCCTTCACCCCATTTCACAATTATTTTCAAGTTTCAAAAAATTCTATTAACGTTCTTGGCGTTGCTAGAACATATCGTGATGATTCAAACACTTTGAACAATGTTATAATTGATACACAACATGTTTAATTCTTTTGCAAAATTGTTTTTGGAAAACTGTAATACGCTAATATATTGCGGTTGCCGCAAATGGCCCGCGCGGGCCCCTCGCATTTGATGGTCTCGCGAGAGTCCTTAGAGAGCCCCGCTTACGGCCCGCAGTTGCCCCTCAGAACCCCGCATTATTTTCACCCGCGCGGGCCCCTCCATTCCCATTGAACGCAAATCACCCGCGCGAGCCCTTCTGAGATATTCACCGGCGCGGGGCCCGCAGATATGACCCGCGCGGGCCCAAATAGCCGTTTGGGCCCGCGCGGGGCATAATTTGGAGTCGCGCTGGCCCCGCGCGGGTCCAACCACCCATTTCCACCCGCGCGGGGCCCGCTAATTTTCACCGAGATACACATTCCACTGAACCATCGCTGCTTGCCGCAGTTCCATCGAAATGGGGTATTTGTGCGTGGTGAGGAAGTATGGCAAAAATTATGAAACAGTGTATAAAAACAATGAATCAAAATTTGAAACTTCGGACCCAAAGTTTTGGGACTTTTTGGAACATTTGCAGAAAACGACATAGCACACTCGATAGGGAATTTCTTGATCTGTTTGTGTGCAAAATTAGAAAAAATTCCAAACCACTAAGTAAAAACACCTCCCTTGTCAGAATCGAACGAAACGCGATTTTTTCTCAATAAACTTATTTTTAAAACCAACTTTTTGATAATAACCCCGTTGAATCGACGAATCTTTACACTGGCGAAAATGGACGAAACCATACAAGTAGTGTGCATCGAACGGCGCTGACGTCGGTAGCTTGTCGACAAGATTTTTCTGGCATTCTCGAATGTCACCAAGATTTCTTGAAAACATCACAATTTTGATACTGCAATCAGCAAAAATCTCACCGCCTTATTCGAAAATGAAAATTGCTGTCCTGCGTGTTACCGGAATTCGAGTCAGGAAACGCCAAATAGCATATGTTGATCTTCTCGACATTCGACAGAATCGCATCGCCCGGGTAGATCACCTGAATTTTACAAGTGTTGTCAAAAAAAAGTTGAAATCTCAAAATTTCAAAGGGTTCCGCGCATTTAGAGACTAGATTTTTTGAAAAATATTCACTTAAAACTTGTAAAAACATTGGTTTTCAATAAGGCGAAAAATAACCTCAATGATTGCCCAATTTTTATCAAAACCGTAAAAAATCTTAAATTTTATCAAAGAAAAGCAAAAAATTACAGTTTCAATCGGTAAAAATTAAAAAAAATCGCACCTCGAGTGCCTGTCCGAGCTCCAAATCGAAAGTGACGACACAAATTGAATGGAGCCAATCGCGGAATCGATCCCACGGCTCCACCTCGGCCGTATCTTCCATGAAACCGAATCGAAATGCTGAAATGCGCGAAAAAATGAAAAGGTCGCGGCCGAAACAAAAGTATTCGTCTGCGTGTCTGGCGTCTCTTATGCGAGACACAGTCTCGTGTGCACAAATAAGACGAAGAAGGCGCGCAGAAATGGGCGTATGAAAGATTATCCGACGATTTAAGATTCAATTAATGGCCGTTTTAAGATTTCCTACTGAAATTATGATTGAGCTCGGTTCCAAAAAAAATTTAAAAAAAAGGGAAGAAAAACTGAAAAATTTTGAAATATTTTGAAAATGTTCTTGTTTCTTTTCAACAACATAGAAAATTTCGGTTTGAAAAATTGAATTTCCAAAAACATTTTCATAGTTGCCTCAAATTTTCATTTTGCTTCACAAAAATGAAACAATCGAACAAAATCTCGTATAATCCAATTTTCAGAGCACAAAGATTGAGTTTTGCGGATGAAATTTTAAAAAAATATATCGAAAAGAAACTATAAAACGCGTCAAAAATCCGAAAATAAACTCTCCGCTCCCAACAATTATCGATAATTGACCATTTTCTCGAGCTAAATACCATTTCCAGTTGAGAACCTAAGTAAAAAATTCTATAATTATAGATAATTAGGCAATTAGATGGCTAAAAATAGATGGAGAAACTCTCAACGTCAGCTATCACAAAATATAACTTCCGCGAACAATGTATTTGATCAAAAATTAAAACTTTTTGACTATTAATCAAAAAAAGAAACCAATTGCTGAATATTTGATGAAAAAACATTAAAATTAGATTATTTTAAGAAAATTGTGATTCTGCCTGGAGTGGGACAAATTTTACGTCGGAATTCCAAAATAATTGCAGAAAATTCAGAAAATCTCTAGGACTAAATTACAAACAAATCCGTTTTATCTAAGCCATCTGAAGTCCAAAATTGTAAAAATTGCGAATTTCACGTCGAAAATTCGAAAAAGGTGCACGCAATTTCACGCAATTCCGAACAGTTTCGAATTTCAGAATACAAAATTTTTAGAAATACCAAAAATCCAAAGCGAGAAATCAACAAATTCCGAAAAAATGTGATAAATCATTGCCTCGATTCCAACCCTTTTTTCTTGGCAATCAGCCATTGATAACACATATGTCGATGAGATTCGATTTCAAAAAAAATGGGTTCAATCGGGGGCTGGTGATTTCACTTCTCGTTCGTCATCTTCTTCTTCGTCTTCTTTTTCTCATTTTATAAACCTACATAATTTGGTGGTTGGAAAGAGAAGAACAGAGAGAGGGATAAAGAGACATAAAACGATGGAAAGAGATGAGAAGGGAACCTGTCTGGCGTCGGCGGCTTCAGCTTCTGCTTGTCGCAAATCCGCAATCGCAACCCATCGGCCCACACGACTTCTTTTCACTATCATCATTTGTTCATTTTTTTGCCAATCACATGTTCCAAAAATGAATAACTTTAACCAAAATCCCCCATCCCCAATTCCTAACAAGGAATCCAGATAGATCTATAGATCTATGATCCTATGAATAATACGGAATAAGTCAATTCTGATTAATTCCAATTAATTATGTAGGTCCCATTAGTATCATCACCAGACCTAAAATTCTGGATCACACGGATCAATCTGAAAAAAAAAACTTAAGGTTTATCTCAGATAAATATTTTTACCATAATATACAGGGATTACGGTGATACTTTTTTGATACTTTCGGAACATAATAGTTAAATCTAAGATCAAAATGTGACTTATAATAAAAAATTTCCAGTGACAAATTAGTCGTACGATTGACAAATTAATGACACCATCTTAGGAGCATAGACCCCAAATGAATCTGTTTTCGCCTCAAAAAGCCTAAACATGATACTTATCCGATTTCCTCTGACCTTGATGTCATGCTTAAGCTAAAAAAAAAGCAACAGGTTGGCTTCAACGTTGCCAAAATCATGACCTTCCGGGCAGATCATTTAGATAATCCTAGACAAAATGGCAAGCCCGTCGAATAATTTGATCCAAAAAGAAAAAGATTTCAAGAACTCAATAATGTCAAAGGATTTCCATAAAATAGCTATAAATAGATTGAATAGTAGTACGATTTTGGCGCGCCATTTCAAAGTTTACATTACACACACACACAGGAGAGAATTCCCAAATCAGGTCCGGTCTTGCCTCATTCCCTACTACATATAAATCACGTCTTTTATTACAATTTCAGCGTCTGGCTTCTCGTCAGACGTATATTCCTCTCAATCCATCAAGGAACACTTTTCAGAAGGAAAAATTCATTTTTTCAAACATATATTCGATTTTTGAGTATCAAACATTGTGTTTTTTTGGCGTAAATTTAAAAATCACCTCTCAATATCGAATTTTCATTTTTCAAAGCACCCAAGGTCAAATTCAAATTTGTACAATTAAAAAAATTTATATTTCCCGTATTATCGAAAAATTGAAAACTTTCTAAGGATCACTGAAATTCAAAATTGATTTCAAAAAAATCGAAGAGATCATTCAAAGCTTGCAGGGCTCCAATGTTTCGTCTCGAGAAGCTCACAATTTTCGTGTTTGCGATTCCGTGGATTGGCGCACAGCAAATTCTCAAGGACTACAGCCCACTACTAGACGTAATTAGTCCTCATTAATTAATTAATTAAATACGTCTCAATTATCGTCAATTTTTGCACAGAAGAATACGTCAATCTCGAATCCAGGCATTTTTCTACGAGTCATGCCGAACGGATTAGCATATCTGCGAGAAGTCGGAATGAAGGTTTGAATTTCTCCAAAATCCGCAATTTTTTTCCTACAAAATATCGCAAAAAATTATATTTTCGCAAATTCAATCCGCAAATTCTATAATTTTAGGTAATCAACGATCAAATTCTAAAACTACAATTACCAAGCATTCGCGAGCCGATCGAAAACGGCGAGGTCTCAATCACCAATGCTTATATGAGCAAATATTGGGCTCCACAACAGTATTCATTGGACATGTCCGAGCCGAATATTTTTCAATGGTCCATGAGTAAAATGCATTTAAGGTGAGCCAAAATTAAATTCGATCAGTAATTCTTACTTGTTAAAACTATATAAACCATTTTTTTCATTAAAAATTATTCGAATCAAAGTGTCGAAGTGTCGAGTAGGCTCTACACATGACTGTCGATCAATCCCAAACTTGCCTCAAACGCAACAAACTGATTGCAGAGCCGCTGGAGAGTTCCAAGCAACCCTTAACAATCCGCTTCTCCTTCCAACCGTGCCAATTTCGGGTCATTTCGAGGCCCTTCTGGGGCACATCGCCCTCTCAATTACAGTGAGTATGGAAAGGTAGGCGGGCCGAATAAAAACGGACGACGAATTGAAAATTCGTAGAAATGTTCACGGCGCGCCGCAAGTGCGTTCGTCTCGTTGCGAATCCAGCATCGGCTACGTTGATCTCAATGTTCGCAACACTGGCGTGCTCACAGACTTTTTCATCAACGCGTTTAAAGGTACATCATTCAAGGGGTGGGGGATCTCAAAGCGAATATGCAACCGAAATAACTACTGTAATCTACTATAATTGGGACTCTACCGCCGATTTATAGCATTCCTCATCGGTCACTTCAAACCGCAAGTTGAGCAGCGAATGTGTCGAATGATCGAAACAATCATAGACCGCGATATGAACATTCTGCTTTCAGCAATGCCATTAAAGGTAACTATCTAGTTAAATAAGGTCATTCTTAATAAAAAAAAAATAAACCAAAAGAGATATTTGTTTAAAAAATCGCATTTTTTTGGTTTAATGCTCAAATTTTCAAAGAAAAAGGGTATTGTTTGTGCTCATTCACGAAGAAATGCGAAATGACAAACAATGGCATCTTCGGGAAAAAACACTCTTTTTTGAGTCAATCAAATCGGAAAAAAAATCGAAAAATAATATAGTCGTCGTCCGGCGACTGCTGTCCGCGGGTAGATTTACGCGCATGCGCCTTGAAAAGGTCTCACCACATGTGAACGCTTCTTTTGCTGTTTTCACCTGAACGATTTATTCTTTCTTGATGATTTTCGCATTTCTTTAAATTTCTAACGTCGTTCGATTTGAAAATTATCAAACTGACCCATAAAATGCGAAATAACTAGTTAGTCCGTGCGAGACCATTTCGAATGACGCATTCCCGTAAATCTACCCGCGTACAGAAGTCTCCGGACGCCGACTATAACAATCTTTCAAGTAAAAATGCCATTTTTGGAGGTGAAGTGGGAAAAGACCAATAAATAGTCAAGGGCTCAATTTGAGACAGGAAAACACTTCCATTTGTAGCCAAAAATTGCACATTTCTCAAAATTAAAAAAAAAACCCAAATTCTCACATGTTGATCTCGAATGCTCTCATTTTGCCCACGATAGTTCCAAACTTCAATCCAAGAAATAATTGTAACCTTCAAACTTCAAAAAATCAATTTTCGTCTCAAGAAAATAAAAAAGTGTTGTAGATTCGAATAAACGAGAACAACCTCGACATCATCGGGCAGACATTCGGTGTTGCGCCAAAAAAGGTGAGGTATGTTCCAAGGGACCATTCAACTCAATTTGCGGCAACCAATTTCAAAAAATTTTCAAAAATTTTCCAGATTCGCGGTTCAAAATTGTCGCATTTCGCGCCAACAAATTTCACGTTGACGCAAATTGTGCAACGATTGCGCGAAAAGGAGCTCGTTCTCGATTATCAGCTTCTATCGGCCCCGTTCGTGCAATACGGCGCAATTGGGATGATGGCGAAGGGAGAAATTTCCTGGTAACACCAAAAAATTTCCCTGGAATTAAAAAAAATCATAAAATTTCAAAAATTTCTCCGAATTTTTATGAAAAATAATGTAATTAAATAAATGTATAATTAAAAATTATTTAAAAAAAATGACTATTCGGCAATAAATGCTAAAATAAATTTCAATAAAATGTACGTTTTTCAAATTTTTTCCAAATGCCATTGAACACTCTCACCTCAAACTTTACACAAAAAAAATTTTAAAAAGGGGGTAAAAAATTCCGTCATATTCCAAAAAAATTCTCCGCAATTCACAATACGGCCAAATTTTCAGGCGCGGACACGGCGGCACACCGTTTTATCCACCAAACATTCGAATTCCAGCCCCACACGGTATTCAAATCTCAAAGCGCCGAATATAGACAAGCAATTTAAGGTGTTCATATGGTCGAATTCTACGCCAGCGACTATTTGGCCAATTCGATGCTCTATCATTCGTATCGGCAGAAATTCTTAGACATCACTATCGGCCCAGAAAGCAGTCCGCAGCTCGCCGTGAGTTACTGACAAACATTTTTTGAAAACAAACAGTACGCATTCGGTATTTTCGTTTCAAAAATGCCAATCAATTAGAAATTCCTCCGGCTTCTCCGTCAAAATTGCCGAAATTTTTCTTCAGGGAATTCTCGTGACAAGTTGCGGCTTTGCCGGCTTCTGCCTCGGCGAATTTCTCGGAACACTCGGCGAACAGTTCCCGGATCGGCAAGTCGAGATCGCGTTCACCGCCAAAAAAGCGCCGCTCATCGTATTTATCGAGAATCGCGCACGTTTTCGACTACACGGCGGATTGAACATGTTCGTGAGGCCCGGAAATTCGACACAAGTCAAACAAATGGTAGGGGACTCGCCAAAAAATCGCCACCCGAATTTAGCAATTCAATTTGTAGATTCTTCGAACCGACACGACTTTAACAGCAAATGTCAATCTTTGGATCAATGGATCTGCGATTGTTGGAAACTCGACCATCGAAAATCTTGATTTTAAGGTGAATCAACTAGTTTTTAGCACAGATAATGCCGAATAACAACTTTTTTTCTTTAGTTTTTGCATAAAAAGCATCTCGGCATTGCTAAAAAAAATTAAAATAAAGGAAATGTGAAATTTTTCTCCGTATGAAGTTCGACGATACCAAATTTTCACGATTTTTTTCATTGTTTTCCCTATTATTGGCACAGCCTTCTGGAAGATTTTTGGATTTTTCTTTATGAATTGTTAAAAAATTGAATTCTTTCGACAATAGCAACAAAAACAGTAATTTCTCGGTGAAACAAATCAATTTAACATAAGATATTTCGACATTTAAAACAGATTAGACTATATATTTTATAAAGCAAAAAGTTAAGAAAAAACTTACAGTTGATCGAAACCAAAATCAAGGACGTCGACCAGGAATCGTTCTCCGATCTCGGTTTATTCGGCGCCGAGTTCCTCGAGAAGCTTCTCACGGAGATTCTTCAAATGGGTATCGCGTTGCCAACAATGCAAGGAATTATTCTGAAAAGTCCAAAGTAGGGTCAAAATGATAAAAATCAAAGTAATAATGCAAAATTCCGGATTTTAGGCTAACATTCCACGATCGATATTTGCGAGTCGCAACTTATTTCAAATTGGACGAAGAATACGCCGGAAATCTTGTTCGCGGTGCCGTTAGGAAAACACTCAGTCGGCCGCTACGCTAATAAAAAAATATTCATTCATACTTCACATCTAGTCACTTCCCCGCCTCGTAATTATTTATTTTTCTGGAATAAATGGACACTTCATTTTTTACAAAGCGCAAATTTGAACGAAAAATTAATAAATTTGCCAAAATTTTATTAGACTCCAAAATCATACAATTTTGTTCAAAATAACACATATACAGTCGTCAGAATTACCAAATTCCAAAAAAATACAAAAAAAACGGCCGCAAATTATAATTTTTTTAACCAATTAATCATCCTGATAGAACTAAACTTTAAGGATAAAATTTTTTTTTTCAAATAAAACCAAAGTAAATCGATCAGGGCAAACGGGAGACACTTTTTCGTTTGGGATAACCGTTGGGACAAAAAAAAACAGGAAAAAAAACAATTAATCGAAACAAAAGTCGCCCATGGTTTAGCCCGACACGTTAAATTGAGGGTGATGTGTAATTGGAGTGTCGTAGGATTAAAAAATTTTGGACGAGCAGCGAAAGTTTTTGGGAACTCCTGTGGAACCCCAATGCCTATACCAAAACCAACCGCGATGTTTCTTTAATGGACCTATTTAGTGTAATGCAAAATAGTCGAAATAATCTTTTTTATCGTCAAATTCGACAAATTTTGCGTGATCGCATTGGGAAAACACTGAAAAATTCGGTAATTTTACAAACGTTTAATAGGCCCATTACGACTCCGCAAATCGTATTGTAGAAATGGCGGTGATTAGAGATTTCGATGAATAGCCGACGAAACGATATTTTAGAGAGTGTGTAATTTTGAGAGAGGGAGACACTTGGTTTCACCGCCGTTCCGCCGAATCCGTTGTCCGCCATTTGCTGTGAACAACAAATCAATAGTCTGCATACACCAAATTCGACGACAGTTCACATAAAAGCCTACCGTAACCAAAAGATATTTCCGTTTTTTTTTTCAAATATTTTCGTCGAAATTTCACCACAATGTTGTGAATCGCTCCGTGAATATTGTGTACTAATTTGTCAAATATTTAGAAAATATTTCTGTCACCATAAAAAGCGCTCGCGGCACAATGCGTCAACCAGTCAACAAATCGTCATGCATCTGTCGGCGCTGATTCTCATTGGCTGCATTTCGGCAACGCTCGCGACCGCCAACACCACCGAATTGCCAAGCAATCCAACGCGCGAAGATTATGAGGGTAATAATACTACGGATAATTAAAGTTATGTTCGTTAATTGCTTACAGTTGTAGGGCTCATGTTCCAGCCAGCATTTTTCGACTTCATCAAACGAGCCTATGCTCCAGTTGTCGTATACGGCGCGCACGTGTTCACCGAGCTCGAAGAGCTCACAAAAGAGGCCGACTCTCTCGACGAGCAAACCGCAATCATAAACGCTTATGTCGTGGTACATTTTTCAATTTTTTCTCGAAAAAATCTAAAATTTCTATTTTTTTCAGAACCAATACGAACTGCTCACAAAAAATTTATTTAATTAAATCATAATCTTGTCCGTTTTCATAAAGTTTCGCCTCGAGACCATGTGCACTTCGTATAATGGGGGGTATAATTGTTCAACGTCTTCGCGATCACCAGAGTCTTCTTCACCTGATTGCAACAGCGCATCGCCGCAATTCTCGACTCGTCGCTAGAGAATTTACCTGAAATTTTCAGAATTTAAAGGCGCACACCACGATATGTTGTGAATTTTGCCAAAAATAATCCTATTGTTTTTGCGGGAAACTGGGCCACAGGTGGGCGGAGCCTAATGTTCTAAGCCGAGTACTGTAGGTATTACGATAATCCAAGTCGAGTTAAAGTTTATGGAAAAAACCGAAGATCTAGCCAATTTTTTTCGAACAAAAATTTGAATGGATTCGCGCTAAAATTAAAAGTGTTAAAAAATTCATTTTAATTTATGAATAATTTTTGGCGATTATTTCTAAAAAACAATAATCAAAAATACCTCTTTTTAAAATAGTTGTAAATTGTTTTAAATAATAGTAAATTGTCTCAAAAGAAATAAAAAATTGGTTTACCAAAATTTCGATCAACGTATTGTTTCCATTCTAGGTTGCCGTTCAATTTCTCTAATCCTCACCCACTCGTCTCGCCTAGCCGCCGCAACCAGACAGCGATTATTTGCCGAAAACTGTAAACAATCGAAAATACACTTTCTATGTTGAAAATTTTCCCGAATTTCCGAAAATTGTTCACCAGCACACATCGCCGATTTAATCACTCGGTGCGCGCATTCTTCAATCTTAATGGAATTTTAATTTCATTCTCAATCTCGTGTGCAATTCACACAAGAGTTCAACAACCTGGCTGGTTGATTGCAAATTCAACAAATTTTTCTCACTAGTATCTCGCCGTTTTATCGCAAATTACTCTCAAATTCTAAATAGCAGAAGATATTTTTTCACCTGCTTAGATTGCGTGATGTTTTTTTTTAATTAGGCTACATATATAATTTATCTCGAAATTCTTGTTAAGAATCTTTGTTTATATACTTATTCTCAAAAAAGAAAATGAAAAAAAATTACAGGTGTTTCAAATCTATGAGACATTTTTTTAATGTAACGGTATTATTTTTATTAAATTTATTATTTTTTCATAAATTTTTATAAAATATATTACACAATTTTTTTAATATTCAATAATTTCCACTAAAATACAATAAAAACTATCGTCGGTATATATTACTGTAGCCATTGTATTTTTAGAATACAAATTTCTACGGGCATTGGGGCATTATAATACTTCTCTATTTCTCTCATCTCTCGCTCGCTAGTATGTATTTGTTCAATTGCCTACTTTAACTCATAATTCTTCATAGCAATTTGAATACGTAAAAATATCATATAGTCGAGAGCAGACAAGTGTCGGATATACTTAAATAATTTTGATCAAATCTAGTACAATTCTTAGCGCGATATTAACAATCTTTAGCGTGCGCCTTAGATGTGCATTGTAGTTTGTATGTTTTATATATAGCTAAAGCATTAATTATTACGAGACCAATTTTTTATTTAAAATTTTTAAGTGCGCCGGAAATTGTCTGTCTTCGACAAAATAATGATAAGACGTGTTCTTTGTCTTCTCTAAACCTTCTTTCCTTCCCTTACAATAAAAGTATTAATTTTTAGTGAACCATGGAACCATCAAGCTCCAATTCGTGCTCAGTTTGTTCGAGACCCTCAAGCGGAAATCATTTCGGCGCTGAAACATGCCGAGCTTGCGCTGCATTTTTCCGGTATATTGGCGGCAGATGGACCAAAGAAAATATTTTATTCTCTTTCTAGGAGATCCGTATATCTAAATATCAGCTATCGGGCTTGCAAATCAGCCAATAAATGCGTGCCACGAGATGGAAGGTATCCGCCTTTAAAAATTGTGTTATTTCGATTATTCTCGATTTTCAGAATTTTTAAAATTTTTGAAAAAATTCGAATAGAAAAAATTGGTTTTTATGAAAATTAAAATAAAAAAATAGAACGAACGTTTTTTTATGTCAAAAAGGACTAACAATAAGCCCTCATTTTTGTAACATTTCATTAGTCACCGCGACGAGTCAAAGAAATAATTCTCTTCAGGTGGATGTGCAGAAAATGTCGTCTGAATCGCTGCTACGATGTCGGAATGCTCGAAAAAAGTATTTTTCCACCAAAAATAAACGTAAAAAATCTCATTTAAAGGGGTCCAATATGACAGAGATCTGCTCTCGACAGCAATCAAAACCGGCAAAATGGAAATCAACAAGATCACTACCGTAAATTACTGTATCATAATTTAAAGGCTCACATCTTTCAGAGTCTTAAGCAATTCGTCGGAAGATCTCCCATTCTACTTCTCTTCGATCCCCAGCTGGCATCACCTAATAAGACCATCATCGATATTAGCCCTATGCTCGACAAACTCCGTAACATCTTGAGCCAGGTAAATAGTCTGTGAACATCCTTCCAGTCTGCCGATTTATTTTCAGAACCTTCCTGTCAATCCCTACCTTCAAAACAAAAATCTACTACAGCGAGTTGTGTACATTTTCGAGAAAAATAATTGCCCTAGCCGGTTACAGGTGTTAATTGCCAAAAATATCGAGAAAATTTATTAGCTTCAGGTGGTCGCAAAAATGACCAAATCCGGTATACTCGAGCGAATGGAGCGCGATATTCTAAAAGCTGCACAATGCGCAATGGAATCTCACGTGCTCGATAGTTTTTCCGTTCCAATTAGGGTGCAATTAAAACCAATTATCGCCCGCCGTAATTAGCTTGTTCGATTTTCAGATTAAATTGATCAATAATTTCTGGCACTTATGGGCCGAGCTCGGCAAAATCTTTCTAACGATGCAAGTGCGCGGCGGCGGCCAGGTGCTCAACGACAAAGTTACCAATTATGCTTAAGCAGCACCCATAATTAGCTACTGCAGATTTTCCTTATCAATGATGCAGAAGCTATCGATCTAAACAACACCGAGTGGGACATCACATGGTCAACTAAATACCCAAACGAGCTCATCGACTTGTAACTAATTAAATTAATTAATTAAAAAACAATCAAATAATTAATTAGGTATTATCGCTATCTGCAAACCGACACCGTTCAAAAGGTATTCGACCTTCTTCAAAAAATCAAGCCAACTTTGGAAGAGTCGCTATTCATTACATGTGTGGCATGCTTATCCTATAGAGGTATCCCTTCCCCCGCTAATCAAGGATAATTAACGGCTACTAAAATGTGAAATTAAGGAAGAAAAGAGTCCTACGAGTTGTCTGAGTACACCGACTCATTAATTGATGCGCTAACCGATTGTCTTCACGATTATTATTCGAATACCCTAAAGCTTACTAATTACTCTCATAGATTATCGCAACTGCTGCAATTTGAAGCAATTATCAAGGTAAAATTCGCGAAAAATCGAATTTCTAACAAATTTAAAGGAGCACACAACATTCCGACGACGCCAGTTTGACCTCTCCGACACATTCGACGTGTTTTCCGTAGAATATTCTCATTCCGATATATTCGATTTAAGATTCTAATGAATTTTTGTAGCAGAAACACGTTCAAAACAAAAAGAAAAACACCTGGAGTGCAAAGAACTACGAATGACGCGTGGCATTCATTCGGAGAAGCCGTGTAAACCAAAAAATCGCCTCCAAATCGGGAACCGTCAGCAAGAAAGTGCCTGAAACTTACGATTTTTCACTTAATGGTCCCCACAAAATTCAGTACCCTTTTCGCCATAAATCCCTTGCGACGAGTCGCCGACACAGAAATTCGCGAGAATTTGGCACTGGTAGCTCCTCGAGACCATAAATCTCGCCGTTTTCGGGTCTTGCGACAAACGCCAATCCAAACTCGACAAGAATCATTACCAGCTCGTCGGCTATCTGGCAAACCTGCGAACAAAATTCCCAGCCATTGTCGTTGCGCGACCGATTCACACAAATGCGGCATTCGTTCTCAAGATATTCCGTGTCTAAACTATGTGGATTTTATTTTGAAATATTTCAATTCCCACCACATTTTTCCACATAAAATCGCCGATTGACCGCCGCGATTCGGATTTTTGGCTTTTCGCCAAGTACAGCTACATATTCCGATGGTCCCTCGCCTTCCATCTCAAAAATAAAAACAATCATAAAATTAAAAAAAAAACACCAAGTATTTCAGTAAAGATTCTAACATCAAAAAATGAATCAATAAAACAATGAAAAAAATATTTATTGATAAATAAAAAAAGAAACCGGTATCATAATATCGCGATCACCGAAAAACTTTAATTATATTCTCTAAAGATTGTAAATGTGCAAAACTTCCAAAAGAAAATTCGGCAATTTATGTAATAAAGTAATCGAAAGTTCAACTGGTAATTGCTATATGTAGTGCCTAAAGATAACTAATACAATAGCGGTCCGAAATTCGGACTCCGAATCCCCCCCCCCCCAATTTCCGCCATCGTTCTCAAAATTCGTTCTATGGTCGAAAATTGATAACAACGTCCAAAAATTAAAATAAACGCACGGGTTCAATGTTTTGCCGTTTGAGTCACCTCAATCGTGGCCTGCTATTCTATTCCTCCATCATTCTCGGTCTCACTATCAATTTCATTATTGGCGTTGCTACGAATGCGCAATTTTAACGAGTCGGTTCGTAGAACATTCACTTATTCATCATCGTTATGACAACGACGCTAATCTTATTCTCTATTTTTCGAGGTTTTCGAACGAGAGAAATATGACGAGAAATCGCCAAATTCGCATGGGAACCGAAACAACTTGCAAAAAACCGTGCTCTGTGTGTCTAAAAGCATCGCACGGCTGCCATTTCGGCGCAGAAACGTGCCGAGCGTGTGCCGCATTCTTCCGGTAAAAATTGTCCGCAACATTAAGATCGTCGTCAAAAAATTGCAGGCGTTCCGTGTTCCTCAAAATCCATTACAACTACTGTCGAAATGCCAAGAACAATTGCTGGCTGGAAAACGGAAAGCATGTCCATTTTTTTTTTGAAAAATAAGTTTTATAAAAAAACGGCAAAAATAGCTAATTTCCTGAAATGAATTTCAGCCATATTCAAAATTTTTCAATAATTTTCACTTTTTTTAGGTGGCTATGCAAAAAATGCCGCCTTCGTCGCTGCTATAATGTCGGAATGCAAGAAAAAAGTAAAATGTTGCACAAATTCGAAAAACAACGTGTTTCAGACGTCCAATACGATCGAGATTTGTTCTCAATCAGAGGCAAGATGGCTCAAAGAATTCCTCGAGTAGGTTCTACCGTAATTTAAAGAAGCATACAAAATATTCGCAGACAATGGAACAATTCGCAGGAAGACCTCACATCCTTCTCCTCTTCGATCCCAAGCTCGCTTCACCAAATAAAACCATAATCGATCTTCAACCATTAATCGACAAGCTGCATTTCATTCTAGGCAAGGTAAGCAACAAATACCCTGCGGACAATCTTCAGATGTGAATTTTAGAAAAATCCAACGCCTCGCTATCTAGAGAACAAGAATCTGTTCGAGCGAATAGTAAGCTCCTTCAATAACCTCTTCTTCTCCGAAAACACGTTTCCCAAGGAAAACAGGACGATTCAAATAATTTCAAGAATTGGGAAGCAGACGATGCTAAAACGAATGTCGACAGATCTCTTAAAAGCCGCCCAATGTGCAATGCAAACCCATATGCTCGATAATGTACCACTGCCAATAAAGGTATAGGTGCGGCCGGACCCTCTAAGATACCAAACAATTTTTGCAGATGAGAATTATTAGTAATTTCTGGGAGGTATGGGACGAATTGAACAAGCTTTTTCTAACATTACACATAAAGGGACCAGAATGGCTCAACGGCAAGGTAATTAAACTATAAATTTAACATTTCCTAGAAATCCTTACCTGTTAATTACAGATATTCCTAGTGAACAGTATCGAGGCAATCGATGTACAAAACACTGATTTCGAGGTCACATGGATCACAAAGTATCCAAAGGATCAAATCGTATCGTAATTTCTTAATTATGATAATTAATTAAGAGTAGCGGTTGATTAAGATACTACCGGTATATGAGAACCGATACGTTCAAAAAGATTTGCGAGCTTCTCAAAAAAATCAATCCAAGTGTAGAAGAATCCATATTTATAATCTTCTTTGTTTGTCTTACCCTAAAAGGTAAGAGTAATTAAACGGTAATTATGACGATTAATTGAGTTAAGGTCGCAACCCATGCCAAGAAATGTCCGAATACACTGAATCAATAATTGATACTCTAACCGACTGTCTCCATGATTACTACTCGAAAACCTTAAAGCTCAATAATTATTCGCACAGATTATCCCAATTATTGGCAATTAAAAAAGTAATAGAAGTAAGTAAATTACTTAATTTTAATACCAAATATTGTTGAAAAAAATTTAAAGGATCATATTAAATTCCGTTGGCAGCAACTCATAATTTCCAAAACATTCGACGTTTTCAGCGCCGAATCTTCGCATACAGACATGTAAGAATCAAACAAATCAAAATCCAAAAACGAAATTTTCAGGTTTGACTTCTAACACTGCGCCAAATATTAACATGTACTTGACTTTCTCATGGTTTTTTCTGTTTTCTGCTGAAACAATAAAAACAAGCCAAATCAGCATCAAAATCGTGGTTTTCAATTTGAAAAAAACTCAAAGACCATATTTTCCGCCAAAGGAACCAACCCTAATCACAATGACTTTCACCCGACGTCAAACCCAAAATTAGTTAAATGTTTTATTTTTTTTTTTTGAGTATTTTTTTCCTAAAAATAAATTAATTTCGCTTTCGCGTTTGGATCAAATTCGAAATAATAAATCCACTCCCACAAATCCGGAAAATAAAAATGGAGAACTAAAACCAAAATATGTCATGAATCTCTGATTTCAAATCTAGTATTGCAAAAAAACAACCAATTATCAACTCGGAAGATCCTGAAAAATATTTCACCGAACCGAATTACAAAATTCTAGCAGTTTCATTCAACAATCACAATCTAATAACGACGAGTGCATTGCCGGGGTGTTTATTCACTCCCCCAGATAATTTCCTCCGACTGTCTGCACCCTGTGTTCTCTCGCCGCTAACCAAAGTTCGGCCATTATTTGCACATGTCAATTCATCTGATAATAAACGTCTTAAACATTAATTTCAATGGCATCAAAAATCGAAATTACCACAATTTCTCTATAACTATTGCAGTCTGTGGGCAAATTTTCAAAAAATATCTCTAAATATGGAACTGGTACCATCCTCATCATCGAAAAACCAATTGATTACATCATGTCTAGTTTGCTCGAAAGAGTCCAACGGCCAACACTTCGGCGTCGAGTCGTGTCGAGCATGCGCCGCATTTTTCCGGTAAAACCAGCAAATGTGTCCGCAGATGGTGAGATTTCAGGCGATGTGTGTTCCTCAAGCTCGAATTCAAGTGCAGGACAAAAACCAACGATTGTGAAGCAGAATATGGGAGGTAGCTGTCCGTTTAATTACCTTCCCTTATAACGATCAACATTCTAGGTGGAGGTGCAAAAGATGTCGTTTAGACCGTTGCTATGCCATTGGGATGCAAGAATCAAGTAATTTTTCAGACATGACAAAATCTAGCAAAGACGAAACTGACAAATATATTAAAAATAGATTTGTTTAATGTTTAATTTCAAAAGCATTTTAACTGGAAAAGAAATAATTTAAAAGTTAGAAATCATTCGGACTAAATTTGAAAATATCCGAAATTTTTTCTTGTTTTTTTCAGAAGTTCAATATGATCGAGATTTACTCTCAACAGGCGGAAAGTTGGCTCAAAAGATCCCCCGAGTAGGTTCTATCGCAATTCAAAAGAGAATTACCAAAATATTCGCAGACAATGGAACAATTCGCCGGAAGACCTCACATCCTTCTCCTTTTCGATCCCGAGCTTGCATCACCTAATAAGACCGTTATCGATGTCAGCCCTATGCTCGACAGGGTCTACAGCATCCTATGCACAGTAATCCGAATTTCCATCTGCCGACATTTCGCTGTTTAGGACGTCGCACTTCCGCCCAACCTTCTACGGATGAATCTTCTTCAGCGAATCGTGCACGTCTTCGAACAACAGAGCACCTCTACATACGACAACTATCAAGTAAAGATATTCAGCTAGCAGAGAAACCCACTGATGAAGAAGAAGCATTCCAGATGATCTCAAATATGGGAAAAGAGCAAATGCTTGCCTATGTCGAACGCGATATTATAGGAACGGCTCTCTGCGCTATGGGGTCTCACATGCTCGAAAATATCCCAATAGAAATTCGAGTAGGTCTGATTAAACCGCAATTAAAAACAATTTAAAAAATACAGATGCGAATGGTTGGCAGCTTCTGGAAGTTATGGTCAAATTTGGGAAAACTCTTTTTGACAATAAACGTGAGAGGCGATCAAGTGCAAAACGACAAGGTGACCAATTTATGGCAACATAGTTTCAATTAGGCTAATTAAGGTATTTTTACTAAATGGGGATGAGGCTGTGGATCTCAACAACACCGACTTTGACATCTCATGGATGACAAGATATTCAAAAGAGCATATCGATTTGTAATAGAAAAATTGTTGTTGAAAATTGTACGTGTCGAAAATTCAAGGTATATGCGCTGTATTCAAGGCAACGCGTTCGAAAGGGTTTTCGATATTCTCAACAAAATCAAACCATCCATGGAAGAAGCAATCTTCATGTCATGTATGATCTGTCTCTACGACACAGGTTCCTCCTGGACATTCCCAATAAAAAAAATTGATGAATTCAGGAAAATGTGAAGGGGGAGAAATCCAGGAAATCGCCGAATCTCTCATCGACTCCTTAACCGACTGTCTACACGATTACTACTCGAACACCCTAAAGCTTGCTAATTATTCTCACAGATTATCATTGTTACTACAATTCAAGGATGTTATCATAGTAAGCGAGTTTTAACGTGCCACCGTAAATCGAATATTTTAAAGGAGCATAACAATTTCCGGAAACAGCAAGGGGAACTCTCAAAGACATTCGACGTGTTTTCAGTAGAATTCTCGCACCCAGAGCTATTTGATCTATAGTTTTTCTCGCCATATTCCCACCGAATAAAATTAATATAATTAAATCAGTGTCTCAAAAATCGTTGTCAATCCATTCTAATGGAATGAATATCTAACTAAAATTCCAGAAAACATAACATTTTTTTGTTAAACATTGAAAAATCTCTAAAATTTTCAGGTTTCAACAATGGAAACAACTTCAACATTATCGAAATGCGCAATTTGCGAAAAACCATCGCATGGCATCCATTTCAGCGTCGAATCATGTCGAGCCTGTTCGGCATTCTTTCGGTAGAAATTATGAGCAGATGGAATTTATTTTTGAAAATGGAGATTTCAGACGTTCGGTCTATCTAAGAATAGAATTTAAGTGTAAAAACAACAACAATTGCAAATGGGAAGACGGACGGTGAGAAAAAAAATCAAAAATTCCTAATAAAGCAAACTTCAAGATGGAAGTGCAAAAAATGCCGTCTAAAACGGTGCTACGAGGCCGGAATGCAGGAAAAAAGTAATTTTCTTCCAGAATTTTCTAAAAACCCCCGATGTTTTTAGACATTCAATACGACAGGGACAAAATCTCAAGAACTGAAAACCTGGGATCATCGGCAATTCAAAAAATTCCTCGGGTAACTACTATTGCCAATAAAGCACGTTTAAACATCCGTAACCGTTACCCCGACATTAAAGGAAAAATGCAGAGAGAATAAAAAAAGGAAATTTGCGAAATTTTCAATACATTGAAAAAGGAAAAAAGTAATTTTTTCTGCATTCAAATGTTCTTTTTTGTAAATTTTCTTTGCATTAATACTATCCTTAAATGCGACTACCCAAAAACTTGCAGACGTTCGAACAATGCGCGGGTCGACCTCATATTCTTCTCCTATTCGACCCCGAGCTCGCTTCTCCCGAGAAAACCTATATCGACGTTAGTCCACTTCTAAACCAAGCTCGTCTGATTCTGAGCCAAGTGAGCATTCGCTAATAATGCCCGTAGCTATGTATCGCTTTAAGGATTCACCGCTACCCTCAAATTTTAAACATAAGAATTTACTTCAAAGGTACGTGTATGTCTTCGAGAAACTCGTCACATCAATAAAGAAGAATCAATTAAAGGTGCATAGCTATACGGAAGTCTTTAATGGAAAAAGATCCTTATTGCAGCTAATTTCCAATATGGGCAAAACTGAGATGATCTCCTGTGTTGAGCACGGATTGCTTGAAGCTGCCCAATGCTCAATGCATTCACATATGTTCGACAATGTTCCAATCAACATAAGGGTAATTAACAGAGTAATTATCCGCTTAGAGCCCATTTTCAGATGAATCTCGTGTGCAATTTCTGGCAGTTATGGTCCGAATTGGAAAAGTTCTTCCTAACATTACGAATTCGCGGCACTCAAATGCTCGAAGATCAGGCTCGCAATATTTTCAGCAAAAATAGAAAAACAAATGAGGAAACTTTCAGATTATCGTGCTCAACAGCAAACAGACTGTGGACTGGAAAAATACCGATTTCGACACCTCATGGCTAACCAATTATTCAAAAGAACAAATGATTATGTAACTAATTAACTAGTAATTAAATAACTCAAATTGGATGGTTTAGGTACTACCGTACCTTGCAAACCGATTCATTTGTCAAAGTGTTCCAACATCTCAAGAAGATCAAGCCAAGTGTTGAAGAAGCTATTTTCATCACCTGCATTGTCTGTCTATCCTACAAAGGTACCCCGCTAATTAAGGGTAGTTAAAAGCGATAATTAAGGTCGAATTTCATCTCCGGAGCTGTCCGAATACAGCGAATCATTAATTGATACTCTCTCCGATTGTCTCCACGATTATTACTCGAAAACTTTAAAGATCACTAATTACTCTCACAGATTATCTCAATTATTGGAAATTAAAAAGATAATGGATGTAAGTTAATTACTACATTAAATTATGTGCAATTATTGCCCAATTTAAAGGAGCATTCAAGTCTTCGCCGCCAACAATTTGATCTTTCCAACAAATTCGACGTTTTCTCTGTCCAATTCTCGCATCCCGAGTTAATTGATCTATGTTTTTAATTAATAAATTAATTTCTGTAATTTTTTCTTTGACAAAAATTTTAATAAGTAAATATTCACTATAGAGGGAGAAATAATTGAAAACTATGAAATGTTTGCAATTTGCGTGATTTGATTTCTCTACTTTTGAAATTAGCTAAACTTCGTTACAGTGGCATTAATGAAACATTAATAAGCATGTTGTCTTAACTATTCAAGGGGTTTATAAACTGCCACCTCACGCAACTTACTCTCGCCCACTCTCTCTACGCCTCTCTAACCCTTTCATCATGTCTATTTACACAGCCAAAATATTTCTATCAAATTCGTCAAATTTAGTCTTCAACTAATTTTAAACGTTATTTCTATGGAAAGTGCCGCGTCATCCTCGCTTGAGCCGAAAAACTACTGCGCAGTGTGTTTGAAATTTTCAAGAGGCTTCAATTTCGGAGCAGAAACATGTCGAGCGTGTGCCGCATTTTTCCGGTAAAAATTATCCGCTACTTCCATATTTCATAGAAATTCCAGGCGATGTGCCTTTCTTAACCTCAATTTCGAAAATTGCCGCTATCTTGACGACAAATGCGATCCACAGAACGGAAAGTAAGATGAAAATCAAAACATTCTTCCATTTTTCTATTCTCCTTAGATGGCTGTGCAAAAAGTGTCGCCTTCGGCGTTGCTACGACGTCGGAATGCAAGAATCTAGTAGCTTCCTACTTTTCTTTTCCAAATTTTATAAAAAAAAACTTCGTTTCAGATATTCAATATCATAGGGATTTGCTCAAGACAACCGACAAAAATTTTAGCAGCGTTATTTCCAAAAAAGATCTCGGTGTGGCCAAAAGAAATCCTAGGATTCGAAATCCAACATACCCTCGAGTAGGTGCTACCGTAATTTAAAGGTGTAGTACAAAAATATTAGCAGACCATGGAACAATTCGCCGGGAGACCTCACATCCTTCTACTTTTCGATCCTGAGCTGGCATCACCTAATAAGACATTAATTGATGTCAACCCAATGCTCGACAAAGTATATGGAATATTGTGTAAGGTAAAAACCAACTTCGGACAATCTTCAATATTCTTTAAAGGAGCAACCTTTATCTCCCATCTTTCAAAACAAGAACCTCCTAGAGAGAATGGTCCAATCGTTCAGAAATTTACGCTCCTCTTCAAAAAACTACAACTATACGGTGAGAGGGTTAACCGCGAGCTCAAGTCATGGTTAATATAATTCAGCAGCTTGACAATGTGGGAAAAACTGAAATGCTTGGATTCCTAGAAAACGGGATGATCGAAGCAGCCCAATATGTAATGGATTCTCATATGCTTGATCAGGTTCCATTAAACATAAAGGTAATTAACAGAGTAATCAATAAGTTACCTATAATTGGTTGAATTTACAGATGAAACTTGTATGCAATTTCTGGCAATTATGGGCTGAGCTCGGCAATACATTTTTGACACTACAGGTGCGCGGCGAGAAGCTGCTAAAAGACAAGGTGGGTAATTAAATTTAATTATCAATAAAATAATTTACTACTTATAGATATTTCTGGTGAATAATAATCAAGCTATCGATTGGTACAATACCAACTATGAAATCTCATGGGTCCCAAATTATTCAAAAGAGCAAATGAATTGGTAAAACTAACAGGGTTATTAAGGACTAATTAAAGTAATTATAGGTACTACCGTTGCCTGCAAACTGACCCAATCGAAAGGAGCTTCAATGTAATAAGTAAGATGAAACCAACGATAGAGGAAGCTATATTTATCATCGGCCTAGTCTGTTTATCATACAAAGGTTTCTAATTAAGTGTAACTAAAGGGTAATTAAAATTTATAATTAAGGTCGCAACTCATCTCCAGAGCTGTCCGAATACGCTGAATCAATAGTTGATACTCTAACCGACTGTCTCCACGATTACTACTCAAATACCTTAAAGCTCACTAATTACTCTCACAGACTATCTCAATTATTGACAATTAAGAAGATAATGGATGTAAGTTAATTTCCCATTAAATTATGTGCAATTATTGCCCAATTTAAAGGACCATTCAAGTCTTCGCCGCCAACAATTTGATCTTTCCAACAAATTCGACGTCTTCTCAATACAATTCTCGCATCCCGAATTATTCGATTTATGCTTTTAATCAATAAATCTACAGGGTGTCATTTAAGTTCCCGCACAACTTTGAAGACGTATATTTCTGAAACTAAAAGTCCAAATCAAACGAGACTCAAAATATTATTTATCTATAGTACAACAAATAATTATCTATTAACTCTTTTCGATTCGGCCTCCTTTCGCAGCTATGACTTCACGGAGACGCTTCGGGTAGGATGTGACTGTGGTACGCAGGTATTCGATGGAAAGATTGTCCCACTCCGCCAGTAATGTCCTCTTCAGAGCCTCTACACTTGAGTGGGGTTTTGCGTTGACCTTCTCCTGCAAGACCCTATCACGGAAAAGTCAAGCGGTTTCAGATCTTTGGAGCAATCAGGCCATTCGGATGACTTGATGAAGTCGGGAAAATGGGTCTGGCACCACTCCTGAGTTGTTTTGGCAGTGTGGGCGGGTGCTCCGTCCCGCTGAAAGACCCATATCTGCCCACCGAAATGCGTTTGGGTCCAGGGCATCACATGCTTCTCCAAAATGTCCCGAACGTAGACTTCTTTGTTCATTTTCACTCCCTGATCCACGAAATCCTGGGAGCACATCCCGGTTGAGCAGATGGCACCGAAAACCATCACACTGGCAGGATGTGAGGCTCGATTAATTGTTTTTCCTTTCTCAGAAGCTTGCTGGGATGTCTGGGCAAGTACTCAATGGTTTTGTGAGTAGAATGCCGTCTCCACAGTGAATAGCTTCTCGTCGGAGAAGACAGTGACGAGATCTTGTCCAGACCGCGTGCGAGCAAGAAGTCGTTTTGCTTTTTCGAAGCGTCTCTGCTTGTTGACGGCCGATAGAATTGCCGCTTTTTGGACACGATATGGGGTCAGTACAAGCTTCGTTTTGACGATTTGTTCCAAAGCGAAGATGCTCATTCCCATGTCTGACGCTATCTTTCTCATGCTCCTGTGGGGGTTTCGGCTGATCCTCGATTTGACGGCGTTGATCTTCTGAGGAGTGGTTACTGAGACGAGTCTTCCTTGTCTGGGACGGTCACTGGTCGTATTTAGCTCCTTGAATCGTTTGATGGTGTCATAAACCGTTCTACAAGGCACACCGACCCGTTGAATGATGTCTCTCGGGCTCACATTTTGCTTATGAAGTTCGATAATGGAAGCGCGATGGATGTTAGCCTTCGCCATTTCTCGGAAACACATCCGAATGAGGTGAAACTTGGAAAGTAAGTAAAATATACCTTGTTCAATAAAAATAAATTGTATTGGTGTACGAAAAGTGCGTTAGCGAAGCTCTACATGGCGTCAAACATTTGTGCGGGAACTTAAATGACACCCTGTATTTTCTTCTGAAATTATCTTTTTTCTATGGACTATACCCATATGAAATTTTTCCGTTCCAAATCGCACTCAGCTGGCCGATAACCTTTTATGTCTCGTCTCTCTCTCTTTTGTCGAAAAAATTGCATCAAAAAATCGATGTTTGATAAGACTAGCCATTTGTTTTCTATTTAACGCACAGGTTTGGAATGGAATTCGAGGTTTCAACCTCAGTAACCCACTGCCAAGTGTGCTTGCGATCATCTCACGGAAATCATTTCGGCGTAGAAACGTGTCGAGCGTGTGCCGCATTCTTCCGGTAAAAATTATCCCTTACTTCCATATTTCATAGAAATTCCAGGCGATGTGTCTTCCTTAAGCTCAACTTCAAAATCTGCCGCAATCTCAACGATAAATGCGATCCACAAAACGGAAGGTATGATGAAAATCGAAAAATTTTATCAATTTTTCAAATGTCCATAGGTGGCTGTGTAAAAAATGCCGCCTTCGGCGTTGCTACAACGTAGGAATGAACGATAAAAGTGAATTTTACATAAAGTTTAATCCAGCAGAGTTTTCCTTTTAAAGACGTGCAATACGATAGAGATACTCACTCAACAGCAGAGAAGCCTTGTAGTAACAATAGAATAATAATCCATAAAGAAGGTGAACTACTCAAAGGTCCGGAAGTAGTTAAAACAATTCGATAGGTGAAAATCTACAAATTGAACGAATCCCGAGGGTAGGTCAAAAATACCGTAATTCAAAGGAGAATTACCAAAACATTCGCAGACAATGGAGCAATTCGCCGGAAGACCTCACGTCCTTCTTCTATTCGATCTCGAGCTTGCATCACCTAATAAGACATTTATCGATATCAGCCCTATGCTCGACAAGGTCTACGGGGTGGTCGTTAAGGTAAATACTATATGGATATAATCTTACGTTTGTCTTACTGTTTAAAGGAGCATCCTCTTCCTCAAAGCTTGAAGAGTCAAAATCTACTTCAACGAATCGTGCATGCGTTTAATGAATTGAGTTCTTCGATGTCGAACTGTAGTTATAAGGTAGAAATTTAATCACGAGTTAAAATAAAATCTTTACTGATTTTATAGCTGCTCCACAGAATTGGAAAACCCGAAATAATGGACTCTTTGAAAAAAGGGATGGTCGAAGCCGCACAGTTTGCAACCGATTCGCATATTTTCGATAATATCCCAATTCAAGCTCGGGTAATTAACAGGCTAAGTAAGCAATTATCTTCAGTTCAGGAAATTCCAGATGAATCTGGTATGCAATTTCTGGCAATTATGGGGGAAACTCGGCAAAATCTTCCTAACAATGAACGTACGCGGTGCGCAAGTTCTTAACGACAAAGTCAATATATTCAGATATTTATGCGCATTATGACTCATTTGATTATAGATATTTCTGTTTAGCCATAAACAGGCTATCGATTGGTACAACACAGACATAGACTTCTCATGGGCTACCAATTATTCAAAAGAGGAAATGAATTGGTAAAACAAAACGGCTAATTAGGTACTCATCAACGTAAAAACCAGGTACTACCGCAATTTACAAAGCAAATACATCGAGAAGATTTTCAATTGTATTGATAAGATAAACCCAAGTATTGAAGAAGCTATTTTCATTACCTGCTTTGTCTGTTTTTCCAATAAAGGTATCTCCAAGTTGTACGCCAATGATGATAATAATAAAGATTATACAGGTCGAAATTCATCCCCAGAGTTATCGGAATACACTGAATCAATAATTGATACTCTAACCGACTGTCTCCACGATTACTACTCGAATACTTTAAAGCTCACTAATTACTCTCACAGATTATCTCAATTATTGGGAATAAAAAATATAATGGATGTAAGTTAATTATTCATTAAATTATGCGCAATTATTGCCCAATTTAAAGGAGCATTCAAGTCTTCGCCGCCAACAATTTGAACTTTCCAACAAATTCGACGTCTTCTCTATACAATTCTCACATCCCGAATATGTTGATTTATGCTTCTGATTAATAAATAAATTAATTGTTTCTCGAATTAACTCCTTTCCAAAAAACAATATACGTATTTTTGAATCTTCTTTTGAATCTTGTTAGGTCGGTATTAAAACCGCTGAGAGTTTCCTCTCAATAGTGCCGCTCTGATTACTTTCTCTAATTCTCTTTGTTCTCGCCAAATATAGTCAAACATCGATTTTTAAATTTTAAAAACCAAAATTCTAGCGAATCGCGTAGTTTGCGCAAACATTCAGCTGAAACATAATAAAAACGGAGAACAGTCTTCAGGGACCATTAAAGCCATCGTCTACAGAGCTTCGCTAGCACAATTTTCAATAGAATATGTTGCATCATAATCAAAATGAAAACCTCTGCCAAGTGTGTTTGCGATCATCTCACGGAAATCATTTTGGAGTAGAAACGTGTCGTGCGTGTGCCGCATTCTTTCGGTAAAAATTGTCCGTTACTTCCATTTTTAACCGAAATTTCAGGCGATGTGTCTTTCTTAAGCTCAATTTCAAAAATTGCCGCAATCTCAACGATAAATGCGATCCGCAAAACGGAAGGTAAGATGAAATTCAAACGACCTTCCTTGATTATTCTTAGCTGGTGGTGCAAATGCCGTCTTAAGCGCTGCAACGATGTCGGAATGCAGAAATCAAGTATTTTTTTTTCTAAAAACTACTCAAAATAAAGAACTTCTGGTTTCTCATTTTCAGAAGTACAATACGATAGGGATGTGCACTCAACCGCTGCCAAACCTACAAGAACTTTAGTAATAATTCCCAATGAAAGTAGTACATTATTTCAAGGCCCGGAAGTAGTTAAAACAATTCCGTTGATTCCTCACAATCTAGAAGTTGAACGAATCCCGAGGGTAATTTTCAGACACTGAAATTAAAAGACTCATAACCAAAAACATTCGCAGACAATGGAACAATTCGCCGGAAGACCTCACGTCATCCTTCTATTCGATCCCGAGCTTGTATCTCCGAAAAAGACATTTATCGATATCAGCCCTATGCTCGACAAGGTCTACGAAATATTGCGCAAGGTAAGAACCATCTGCAAACAATCTTATACTGTTTAAAAGGAACATCCTCTTCCTCCAAACTACAAAAGTCATAATCTACTGCAGCGAATCGTATATACGTTTCAGGAGTTGAGCTCCTCGACAAAAAACTATACCTACAAGGTAAGAAGATTAATTAGGAGGTCATGGTTAGGCTTATTCCAGTTGCTCGACAATGTAGGAAAATCGGATATGCTGAGTTATTTAGAAAAAGGAATGATCGAAGCTGCACAATTTGTAATGAACTCCCATCTACTCGACCACATTCCAGTAGCTGTAAGGGTAAGTTAATGACCAATTAAACAACCTATTCTAACACAATGTTTCCAGATGAACATCTTTTGCAATTTCTGGCAAATATGGGGAACCCTCGGCAAAATCTTTTTAACACTGCACGTGCGCGGCGAACAAGTTCTTAAAGATAAAGTTGTTAATTTTATCTAAGTCTAATTTTCCGTTAATATAGGTATTTCTTATAACTGAGAACAAAGCAATAAAGTGGTGTCACACAAACTTTGAATATTCATGGATCACCAATTATTCACAACAACAAATGGATTGGTAATATAAACCGGGTAGGTAACTAAGGATCAATTAGCGAATTTACAGGTACTATCAATACTTACAAACCATACCCCTAGGAGGTATAATAAACCGCATACGTATGATTAATCCAAGTACAGAAGAAGCCATCTTCATCACCAGTCTAATTTGCCTGTCATACAAAGGTTCCAAGTTAAGGGTAATCAAAGAGTAATTAAAAGCGATAATTAAGGTCGAATTTCATCTCCGGATCTGTCCGAATACACTGAATCAATAATTGATACTCTAACCGACTGTCTCCACGATTACTACTCGAATACCTTAAAGCTCACTAATTACTCTCACAGATTATCACAATTATTGGGAATTAAGAAGATAATAGATGTAGGTTACCTCGGCAATTATTTGCAATTGTCGAAAAAATTTTAAGGATCATTCAAATCTTCGCCGCCAACAATTTGATCTTTCCAACAAATTCGACGTTTTCTCCGTCCAATTTTCGCATCCCGAGTTAATTGATCTATGCTTTTAATTTTCCATTATCATTCGAATTCGATGCGCTTCTTTAATACTTTTCATTCGCTCTCTTTCTCTCCTTCGCCTTATTTACTATTTTCTTCCGAATTCGTATTGTCGACGGCGCACGACTCCGGAAAATTGGCTATAAAATGTTTGATTCTGAATTTAAAAACAATAAATGAATTTTTAAAAAATTCTATTATATCTACTATAATCACCTCCCCTGATAAGGAATGTTGCTGATTATTGAAACTTTAGAACTCTTGTGATAATTTCCATTTTTATTAAACTTTAATAAGTACCATATGAACATGCAAAAACTGTGTATTTCGCATTAAGATCAAAAACGATAACAATCTTTGACAATGACAGGTTATAATCAATAATTTTTCTGATTTGTGATCGCCGATAACACTTGATTTTTTGCTCACAAACCTCACTCTCTGGTTATTTTTATTAATTTCGTTACTAGAAATTAAAAAAAATATATATATATATATATATTCGTTTCATTCTTAAAATGGAATCGGACTCAAAAAAGTTCTGCGCAGTGTGCCTAAAAGAATCCCACGGCTACCATTTCGGAGCAGAGACATGTCGAGCCTGTGCGGCATTCTTTCGGTAAAACAACTCGCTCAATTGTCTACAGATGGGAGATTCCTTCAAAATTTCAGGCGGTCCGTATACTTAAAGCTCGAATTCAAGTGTGGAAATTATAAAGTTTGCAAAATGGAAAGCGGGCGGTGAGAATCTTTTTCTTTAAATTGAATTTATCGAATTCCTCAAATATTATTGAATTTTTACATTTTTAATTTTTAATCAAAATCTACGAGTAATTTTGGCAAAAAATCATCGAAAATAGCCAAAAATTGATTGTTTTCAGATAATATTGGGTTCTTCTGTTTTCTTTTGTCTCTAACGCCAACAAATTAGCATGGTAAATTAAAATTTTGAACCAAATTCCAGATGGAAATGCAAAAAATGCCGTTTAAGACGCTGCTACGAGGTCGGAATGCAAGAAAACAGTATAATTTTCTGCAAAAAATTCTTTAAAAAATTATTTTAGAAATTCAGTACGACCGAGATCTACACTCAACCACCACCACGACAGTCGTAAAGATTCCGAAAGTAAGCTACTACCTTAAAAGAACATTGGCAATTGATAATGGTTTTGTAGACAATGGAACAATTCGCCGGAAGACCTCACATCCTTCTCCTATTCGATCCCGAGCTTGCATCTCCTAATAAGACAATCATTGATGTTAGCCCTATGCTCGAAAAGGTGTTCGAAATTCTAAAGAAGGTGGCATTAGTAAGGATTTCGAGTATAAAAACTTAAACCGCTTAGGAGATACCGGTGTGTCGAAACCTGCAGAATAAAAATCTCCTACAGCGAATTGTGCACACATTCGAGAAATTGCACTCCTCTACCAATGCCAATAACTACAAGGTATTATTCTACATAAATCCTCAGATTTTCTAGCTTCAACCCTTCAGTTGATCACTAATATGAACAAGAAGGCGATACTCGATTACATGGAGCAAGACATGATTATGGCTGCTCAATTCGTCATGGATTCCCATATAATCGACGGCGTTTCAGTGGACGATAAGGTATGATTTTTTAAAATATAATTATGGCAAATTAAATTCTCAGCTAAAATTGGCGAGCAATTTCTGGCAATTATACTCTGAGATCGGAAAATTGTTTTTAACATTGCACTTACGCGGCGAGCGGGTGCAAAAAGAAAAGGTCGGCCGAATTAATTTGGCAATTAACTAGAAACTATTCAGATTTTCTTTCTTAATGGTAATGAGGCTATCGACCTAAACAAAACCGAGTTCGATATCTCGTGGATGACTAAATATTCCGCGGATCAAATCAACAAGTAATTAGGAACAAATTAGGTCTAATTAGCGTTAATTGAAGATACTACGGTTACCTGCAAAATGACACCTTTGAAAAGGTTATCGCACATCTCAAAAAGATTAAACCAAGTGTTGAAGAAACCATATTTATCACCTGCGTAGTCAGTTTAACATATACAGGTATCTTGCAGGCTTCGCTAATTAAGGGTAATTAAAAATAAATTAAGGTCGAAATTCATCTCCAGAGCTCTCCGAATATAGCGAGTCAATAATTGATACTCTCACCGATTGTCTCCACGATTACTACTCGAATACTTTAAAGCTCACTAATTACTCTCACAGATTATCATTATTATTGCAATTTAGAAACATAATCAAGGCGAGTCAATTAACCTAACAAACACACACAACACACAACTTGAAACAAACAAGTTATAGAAATTTTTAAGAATCATAACAATTTTCGACGGCAACAATTGGAATTATCGAATACCTTTGATGTGTTCTCCGTGGAATTCTCGCATCCCGAACTCTTCAATTTATGCTTCTAACATCGAAAATTATGCTGAAATGAAAATAATGAATAAAACTTCAAACGATTAAATAATTTCCAGCAAAAATCAACTGTAAACAAAATTTCCTAATGGAATTTCACAAAAGAAATTTTATTTTGACTAGAAAACTGATAAAATACATTTAATAAAGCCCTAATTTGGAATTGACCGTATTTTTGAGCGAATACAAATAAGTGAGACGTCCAATGGTCCTTCGCGCTTCCGGAATTCGTTTCGCTTCAAAATAATCGCCAAGTTTTTCGATCTCGGCATTGATTTCATCCTAGAAACCGAGAATTTTCGCAATATATTCAAAACGTCAGCACCGAAAGTTGCTCTTTCTCCTTATTTAGCTCCTCGGTGGCCGTCATCGAATCAACAACTTCATTCCGTTCAAGCATTTCCATTAGAAGCTCATTGTCTTGTTGCTCAACTGCAAGAAATTTTAAAATCCAAAAATTAAAATTTTATTTAGAAAAAACTCTAACCTTCTTCTCCGTATTCCTTCATTAAGTATTTAGCCCGTTTAAAGGGGTCCGACAACATCTTATAAGCATCATTGAGCCGTCGTGAATGCTCTTCGCTCATTCGTTTCTCTTCGTCAGTGGCTTGCATGAATCTATCCGGATGCAGTTTTGATTGAAGCTCGTGAAATCTGAAAAAAAATGTATATTTTTCTGAAAATTCGAACATTGTATTAATTGTTAATTTTTACAGAAATAAATGTTGATATTTTCTATTTTTATCAAACAAATCTTTGTGAATGAAAATTATGTCAAAAAATTTCAAATAATCTTCAACTCTTTTCAAAAAGTCCGCCAACCTTCGTTTCAAATCCTTCTGATCAATGTGAAATGAGAAATTCACGCCCATATAATTGAAAAAATCCTGACCGGAGGTTATCGGTTGAATAACATTACCTAAAGTGGGCAAAACATTGATTTTATTTCAAAAACTTCAATGATTTTGCACATTTTTGGCATATTATCGGGTCCGTCACATCTTTATTGCATTTCCAGCACGCCAAATTCCTTGCCGATTTGTCGTTTTTGCAGCGAAATTGAGGTAAAAACCTGAAAATCGAATATTTCGAGATAATTGATGAAAAATGGCGAAAAAAAAATAATATAACACAAAACCAAATCATCAGGGTATTCTGTTGGTTAAAGATATATTCGTCATATTTATTGCCATAGGAAAATTTAAAAAAAAAAAAACCTAAAATTTTCCAAAAATTTCGAGACATTTGTCAGTTTCAAAAACTACCTCAACATTCTCAAATTGCACACCTCAATCGATGAACCCGCTTTAATCATCTGAAACTCAAAAAATCTGATACATTTTTTGAATTTTCAAAGAAAATATACGGTAAAATGTTTACCATCAAGGGTGAAACCGATAAATAATGATACAAAAAATCAATAATTTATTAGCAAAAACAAGAAAATGAACAATTTTGGGATAAATATAACATAATCAATTAAAAATCGAAAGAGATTCTTTATTTATTCGCAAATTTCACCTTCATATGATGGTCCGGAGTGATTCGAAAGTTGTTGAGAGCATGTACAGCCGGTTCGGCATACTCAACCGATTCGAATTCGACGAAGGCGATTCCTTTGTTGTTCGGCATCACACGAACTTCACGTAGGCCAGGAAATCTGAAGAAAATAATTTTTTTGGCAAAATTTGCATTTTCTTTCAAAAAATATATGCTATTTTTTCATAGAAAAAATCGGATAACCATAGCAAAAAAATGCACGGATAGGACATTTTGGAAATTATCATTAGTTTTTCGGCTGAAATCAATCATTCTAATCAAAGAAAAATTTAAAACCCGAACAAATTTTCTCGTCAAACATTAATAAGTTCTATTTTCTGAAGAAAACCAGAAATAAAAGAACATTGGACTCACTGGCTAAATACCGCTTTCAGTTGTTGCTGAACATCAATATTATCTGGCAAATTCGAACAATACAAAATATTGTGCGGGATTCCGAGAGCTTCAGGCTCTTCGGCCTTCGGTGCTGTCTCACTAGTCGAAGCCTGAGCAAAACAAATCGAAATTTCCAGGAAAAAAATGAGTCTGGCGAAGTTTTCACCGATTTGATTCTCACCGATTTCTCATGACTCTTCTTGACATTCGATTTTCCAACAGACGCCGGCTTCCTCTCAACGTACGTTCCTTTCGCTTTCGCAATCAAATCGGAATCCTCGCGAGCGTATTGAATTCTCTGTAAACGAAAATTAGGCAAAATTTCTGAAAAAAAAATCAAACCATCGGTTTTCCGTAGAACGAGAATCCTTGAAGGGCTCTAAGAGCATTCGAAGCAGCCGAGATCTGAAATTGGAGGTATTTAAATTTACATTGATATTTTTCAGCAGAATTTGATTTTTTTAAATATTGTCTTTTAAAATCTGGAGATTTAACATTTCTTTTTTAGAACTCTATTATACTACATAATTACGACCAAACTTCGGCCAAAAATCTGCAATTTTAGCTAAAAATTTCACGCGAAATTAACAATTTCACAAAATTACTTCTTTGAAGACGACATGAGCTTGTCCTCTCATCCGTTCTTTACGGAACGACAAGAGCTGAACAATTTCCCCAAATTGGGTGAAAATCGCATGAAGCGACCGTTTCAATTCTGAAATAATGGCACAATTGAGGTAAAATTCAAATAAAATAGGTAAAATTCAAATACCATCTTTTTTTACTTTCTCATTCAGATTGTTCACATAAATCGTGTGATTCGGCTTGATATCCATCTAAACTAGCAAAATTGTAGGTAAAATCTTAAATCGAAGGTATAAAAAGCAGCAAGAGCTTAAACCCCACTGGAAAAATAGAAAATAAATAACATTTATTAAGGAATTTGTTGAGAAAAGAGACCAAAATGAAAGAAAATCACAAATATGCTTATTTTTTCGCATAATCGACACGCATTATATGCTCCGGTGTGATTTTGAAGTTGTTGAGAGCTGTACGAGCCGGAATAGCCTCGGAATCGGTGTCGAACTCGACGAACGCGATTCCGGGACGATTTGGCACCATTCGAATGTCCTTGAGACCAGAAAATCTGAAAACAAATCCAATTTGTGAGAAAAGTAACTATTTTTCAAAAATTTGCAATATTCGAAATATAAATATCTAAATCTTGGCTAAAATTTCCAAAAAATTAAAAATCGACAAAATACGACACATCTTTCAAAACACCCAGTAAAACTGGCCAATTTATAGAAAAATTTGGCACTTTTCTCACAAAAAGCTCAACATACTGGCTGAAAAGAATGCTGAGCATTTCGGTATTCGCGCTTTCCGGTAAATTTGTGCAGAATAAAATCTTGTTTGGCGGCGTCGGTCCTTCACCATTATCCTTCTTCGATTTTTTCGGTTTCTTGACGCGATCAACAGCAATTTTCGGCTCCCGCTTGACATACGTGCCCTTGATCTTCGCAATAGCGTCCGAATCCTCTTTAGCGAATTGAATTCTCTTAAAATAAAAAAAAATCGAAAGTATAATTTTCAAAAGGGAAAACCATTGGTTTCTCGTAGAACGGGAATCCGCTCAACGCTTCCTTGGCAGCAATGGCACTTTCCAGCTAAAAAAAATCCCAATTGATTTTTTTAAATATTTAATTTCGTATATTAATTACATCTTTAAAGATCACATGAGCTTGTCCGCGCATCCTCAACGTTCGGAAATTCATGACACTCACAATTTCTCCAAATTGTTTAAAAACGGCGATTAGCGAATTTCTGAGCTCATCTTTCTTTACCTAAAAACCGAAATAAACTGAAAATTTCAACTAAAACTAACCTTTTCATTCAAATTATTAATATACAGCGTATTATTCGGCTTGATTTCGGTCATAACTCTGAATATTCGACGAAAAAATGAACGAATAACGCCAAATTCGAAAAATGAAAACGCCGATGCGATGGGGCGCGTTTGCAACGCGGCTTCCTAGTCCAGATTGAAAAAATTAATTATTAGAATTGTGTCTTCAAATTTTCGATTTTTACCATCTTTCTAAAACCAAAGTGGTACCACTGGGGAAGGGGACAACGGTCCGCCATCTATCATCTAGCCCTCTTCACAAGATAGGCTTCAAACGACAGGTTTAACATCACCTGAACCCAACACTGCAGACCACCCACTTAAGGGCTGGATCTGTCTAACCGAGTCGGAGGCGAGAATTCCTAACGAGATCAGCAAATCATGATCCGAAGGTTTCGATAATAGACAACTCGCCATTGTCCCCCATCTGAGCCGCATCCCCTGCTTTTATAGTCGATGTGGGCGGAGTCGAGAGCATCAACCGCCCATTCGAGGGGCGTTTCGCGTTGCAAATCAGTCAATCAGCTTATCCATTGTTTTCGGGTGTTTTGCACACTATCTTTTGAATATCTTCTAAGCCGACTCTCACAATTTCCAGCACTATCTCGCTGGTTGTGATGCAATTATTCACAAAAGAATTGCCGCAAGTTCAGCTATGAGCAAACTACATCAATGCGAATATCACGTGAATGATTAGCAAGTTGAGCTGCGTTGAACGGAAATGGTTGCTTTCATGAAGATCGAGAAGAATTCTTAATCATAGGTTTCTTTTTCCCGCGGAACTTGACACCGGAAAATTTTTAAAGACAAAATGGAGAGAACTTTAATACAGAAAAATTAAAAAAAAAAAAATGAAAAAAAAGAGAAAACGAAAGAAAAGAATTCTCTCAAACGGCTGTTTTCGCTACGAAATATTTTAAAACGTGCTCCATTTTTTTTATTCGAACTATCGTTTCACTTGATGAATTTTCTGATATTATTCATTTTTCACGCCAATAAATAAGCTACATCTTTCAAAAATTCAATTTGCATCCTAGATTCCAAGTCAGCGAGTTGGGAAACAGCGGAAGACGCCGAAAATCCATATCCCTGAAATCCACCGCCTAAAAAACGACCAAAAATTTTAGGACTTCGTTTCTTTTGAAATACCACCCGTCCTTCGTTCACCATAAACCACTTTTCCATCGAATTCATCAACAGGCACTTGGAAATCGCTATCAATCTGGCTGATAGTGCATCCTAAATGCTCTTCAATTTCAGCCAAATACTGAAATTTTCTGATTGTCTTCAGCCGCAAAAAGTGTAAAAATGCCTGTTTTTCTTGATACCAAATCGCGCAACCACCAAATTGAAGCTCTTTTGAGTTTGTACAGATTCTCGATGTACATTTATGGAACCAGACTTTCTCGTCATGTTCGGAAACCAAAGACACCGATAATCCCATTCTAAAATCACATTCAATTAAAATTCTTCAATTATCATGAAAATTTCAATTTCGTTGATTAAAATTCAAAATGTTCTGCGATTTCCAAAAATTTCCAATTTTTTCATCTGAAGAATGACAAAATTTGTTGAATCATTAAAAATTTATATTTTCAGCTTCAAAGGTCCCTCAAAAATGTGTGAAATTTTTCAAAATATTGAGAAATTTTGGTCAGTTTTTTTCTACTTCAAACCAAAAATTAAATAAATACTAAAGATTCTAATTTTCTAAAAATTCGCAATTTATATGACTTTTCAAGATCAAAATCCGTCAAATGCTCTCCGAATATCGATTCACCTATCAGCTCTTCCAACTCGCCCAATCCGATGTACATACAAGGTTTTGTCATCGGGCAAGTTGACATTGATCACAAATGGGACCCCAACAATGTCCAATCCTCTGGCGACGACATCTGTGCACACAAGGAAGGCCATCTTTCCGTCCTTGAACCCCTCTAAAGAAGCTTGCCTTTCAGCGGCTGATCGATCTCCGTGCAAACACGCCGCTGTGTAATCTAAAATTGAAAAAAATTTTAGCGCGAAATTAAAAACCAAACCGTTTTGTCTCAAATATTTTTCCATATGGTCACATTGTTGTTTCGTCCGACAGAAAATTATCGCCTTGTCCATTTTTAAAGCTTTGATCGCCTATAAATTTTCAATTTTTTGAAAATATACAATTTCAACTGATAAATTTCATTTTCATTTCGGGGGAAATTTTGACATTTGTAGACAAAATTTCTAGAAAAAAGTCGTTATTTCAAATTTCGAACTTTTCTGAAAATAAGAATTTTTGCTGGAAATATCAAAAATTACCCTCAAAACATAGATTCCCTTAAGTATTTTCGTTCCAAACGACAACGTATTGCGGTCGTTCGTGCCAAGACGCAGCTGATCCTTGTCATGGATATGATCATCCTAAAAAAGGTTAATTTCAAGCAAAATTTAGAGGGGTTAAAAAAATGAAATTTTTTTGCAAAACCGAAACATTTAAATTAGAATTGTCTTACTTCGAGATGATTCTTCTGATGGACAACCCGAATCCACTGCTTGTCTTCAGCGGCATCCACCCGACATACCACATGGTGAACATTGTTTGAAACACTGTCGATTCCTTTCAAATCGATCCATTGCGGGAACGACATGTAGCGATCCTGAAAAAACCATGTGATTTTCCGCAATTGCAATCCAATTTTGAGCCATTTTCTATTAGAAATGGGGCTTAAACAGATCAATTGGCGCGTAATTAATTGACAAAATTTTTACCGCAAATTTTGCGACTTCGAAATTGTGCATTGTCGCTGAACATGCGATTATCTGCCGCTTCCAGCCGTGCGCCGAAACCAGCGGCAAATGTCTAAAAAGGATGTCGATTTGTCGTCCGCCGCCTCGATTATCACCCAAAAATTGGTCCTGAATTTTCAAAAATTGAAGGATAAGCTTTTAAAAAACCTACAATCTCATCAATAACCACAAATTGAAGTGCATGAACTGCCAATTTGCCAGATTGTATGAGATCAACAATCCTTGATGGAGTTCCGACGACAATATCGGATCCTGCTTCGAGTTTTGACAGAATTGTGCGCATATCAACACCGGCGGCCAGCGAAACACATCTGAAATGGTAATATTGTTCATTTCTCTAATAAAAAATCGGATATTTCATAATATGTTAAAATTTAAAATTTTAAGTAAAATTGCCTAATATTGGTAAATTAAAAAATCTGTGTTTTAACAAAAACATCAAGTTTTTTAATTTTCGATTAAAAAATCGAAAATGAATACCTCAAACTGGGCGATTGAAGAACAGTTGAGAATACTTCAACATTCTTGAATGTTTGTTCGACGAGCTCCCTCGTCGGCTCGAGAATAACACAAACCGGGCTGTTCGAGTCCTGCAAAAATTTGAAATTTTTCAATGCTTAAAATAGAAGTAACATTTTTTCGAATTTCCGATAAAACGGTGAAAACTCCCAAAAAATGCTCAAAATGTTAAATTGAAAACCAAAATTGAACCCACCGCTTCAACAACTTCTTCCGCCGAATACCATTTGATCAACTCTGCATCTTTCACCGCCACAAATCCATGTCTGGGCGCAAATTTGAACGGAGAATTGCCGAAATTCGCCTCAAGAGACGAATTCTGCAAAACCATAGCCGGAAACAAACAATGCTGCTTTTGGCGAAATTTCTCGGCGATTTTGAAGCCCGGATGATATTCCATTCCATTTTTTGACCACCTAAATATTGGGAAAAATTTGACAAAATATGATTCGTCGAGCAAAATTTCGAAATTTGGTCTCAGTGGGCAAAAACATCCTAAATTTTCAAAATTCGTAAAAATTATACGAAAATGCTTATAAGTGGAATTTCTATCGAAATGGCATTTTTGGAATTAAAAATATTAATTTTCGGGTAACTCCCTATTAGAAAAATCCACATTTTTAAGTTAAAATACCAAATTTCGAGATTGTCCAAATCCAAAAAGCAGCCAAGAACATCATTAGTGGTAAAGCAAGTGCCATAATCATCGAATTTCTTGCCGAAACTCTTTTTTCCAGTTCCACCGTATCCGAAACTCTCATAATCGGTTCCAATTTGAAGCGAGCCAGAGATTGTTGCCCAACCGACTCGACAAAGACCATCACGTTTAATTGTCACCTCATAATAATATTTTCCTGTAATGTTCTCGCTAAAACGAAAAAGCCTCCGATTTTGGCAGAACTTCAAAATTTGAAAGAAGAAACGTAAAACTCGATCTAATTTTTAATAACATTTTCAAAAAACCAACGTTTCTTCTTATTTGATTTCAAATTTTCAATATTTTGTTCAATTGAATTCTTCCATTGTTTATAAATTTTCCACAATAACCAACCTTTGGTATGAACTCCGGCCACACAACGCACTCCGTTCCATTGTTTCGGCACCCGACTCTCACATACCAGACCGGTTTGGTCGATTTGAAGGCTTGGACTTCGATCTTTCAAGTTTAACACGAATTCCTTCTGCACATTTTCGCTTTTTGTCGCTTTTTGCTCTGATTCACGCCGGCGCTCCCACACAATTTGGGCCACCGGTACTGAAACCGCACCCGTTTTTCCACTACCCGTTTCGGCGGCCTAAAATTTCAATTTTAGACTAATTTTCTTGTGAGACAAAATTACAATCAACACATCGGAGCCTCCGAGAATTGCTGGAATCGCTTCCGCTTGAACAGGAGTCGGTAAACTAAAATTTTGTCGTTGTTTTTTTAAATTTAATTTTTTATGTCCACCGATTTTTGTTTAAAAATAAATTTTACCTCCATCCAAGTTTCTCAAACGCCGGAAATAGTTCCGGAATAACTCCAAATTCTTCAAAAGCTGTCATTCTTCACCTAAAGATTAACTTTCGAAAAAAAAAAACTGCTGCCCGTAAATCTACACAGTGTGTCCAATAGGGCGCATTTGCCCTCATTAATATTTCGGCGAATAATATTTGAATAATTTTAAAAAAATAAAAATCAATATTTCAACGATTATAAGGTTCACACGAATCTGATTTTCTAAACAAAAAATATACAGATCGCAAAAAAAACGTTAACTCTGTGGTAGATTAACGGTGAGGTGAGTTTGATTCCCAAGGCACAAGGTATAGTACAATCAGGTTTTACCACTCATTTTAATTTTTTACGAATACAGCGTAACTTCAACAAAAATTTCGATATTAACGCATTTATTAACCAGTATCTGTACACAACAACTCGTAGCAACAAAAAAACGTGTTAAACAATTACAAGAAAAATGATTTGAGTAGATCATAATCGTTTGCGAAATTTGGACCGATATGGCGAATCGATTCCAGGCCATTTACATCGAACCGAATCGTCCAATTTTCCGACTTTTTTCACGTATTGAGCAATCATCGGGAATTTCGAAAGGGTTTCGACGGGAATTTTCGAGAGAACCTCATACAAGTCATTGTCAATCTGGAAAATAAAACATCACGATTTTCCGTAGAAGAACAATGGTCCTACCTTACAAGGCTCCTCATCCATTACAAAAACGGGTGGCGGGGTGGACGGAGGGGTTTCAAACGAATCTTCCTCCTCCTCCTCCTCAACTTCATTTTGCCGACGAGGCGGCGACATCACCGACAATCCGGCAAACTTTTCAGCAAGTCCTAACAAAGAATCATCCGCATCTTCGCCTTCAGGAAATGTCAAAGTATCATAGAAAATGTCGTCATCGCCTTCTGAATATGCCGTACCAGATTCTGGAGCATCTTCATCGCCTAAAATCGTTTTTTTTTCGAAAAAATGTTAATTTTTTCTTTTAAATCATCTCAGAAAAAATTCAACATTTTAGAGTAATTTCCCACCTTTGCCATCAAGCTCATCGAAATTGAGAATCCTTGCAATCGGTGCCTGATTTCGCCGAAAATCTCCAATATGATGACGCTCAGTTGCATTATTTATCGTCGAATCCGCCACATCCTGCCGACGTCGTTTTGCCAGAAATTCGTCAATTTTCATTAGATCTCCCTCATTCGTCAAATCAATCAAATTCGGATCATCGAGGAATCGCCAAGATTCCCGCCAGCCGACTTTTGACTCCTCGCTGAGAATTCGTCCAACTCGCTCATACCCCTTAAAGTGATTTTAGATTTTAAAAATACACAAATACGCGCAATTTTTCAGCAAAATTGATATACCTGATCTTAAAAAACATTTTTTATGAACTTAACGATAAACATTCCAAAAAATATCCAACCTTTTCAAAATCGGACCGTTTCAGCTCCTTTCCAACCACCATCCACTTCGTCCGGAATTCCTCAGCCTCCTTCTCTGATGAAAACGGTCCGGCAACCGCACAAACCCGCAAATTTGTTGAAACATTTCTAGTGACGACGATAATTGCACTATCATCCGAGTTTCGGCTCAAAATAACATAAAATCCCTGAAAAAAACCACGAAAAATCAAGAAATTCAGTACATTCGAAAAGTACCGTGATCGCGAGCTCAATTTCCTTCTGAACATCTTTAATATCCGGCTCATTGTATCTCAAACATTTTAAGTCCAGAGCAGTTTTGCCATCACTGTAATCAACAAATTTTTGAAAAAAAAAACCACATTTCTATGCGCCTTTAAAAATTAATCGTACTAGAGAACTATATTAATTATGCTGATGAATTTGAGTTGTGAGGTTTTTCTTCACACGCCTTATCGATTATGGTATTTCGCAATATTCTATTTTAGGTTTTTACTTTTAAAATGAGATCTCAAAATATCCAATATAGCTTCCTTACTTATTCCTCAAATCTCGATTCAGTGCCGCCTCTTTGACCAGCTCTCGGACCACTTCAACTTTGCCAAAATTCGCCGCAAAATGCAGGGGGGTATCTCCTTTTCCCTTATCGGGAGTATTTAAATAAGAGTAGAGCAGATTGGTCTGCCGTAGAAGGACATCTTCGACGCCTGTGCCATACAATCTTGTCAGGAATTCTGTGTCATGAATCAGATCGAGCAATTTTCGCACGATTTTCGCCTGACCCGATTTTGCGGCGATGTGAAGAGCGTTGTAGCGGAATCCTTCCTGAAAATATCCGAATTTCGAGTTAAAATCGAATTTTTAACTCGAAAAAAATCGAATGTTTAACTCGAAAGTACGAAGTTCTCAATTCAGTGGGAAATATTAAGAGCATTTTCAAAATGGCTAAAAGTTGAGAAAATAAAATAATTTCAACGCTTCTTACCATTAAAATCGATGCGACGTCCCCTCCAGTGTTCACCAAATATCTTGGATTCGACTCCACAAGCCTCCTGAAAACCCAACAAAAAATCTGAATGTCAATGCACTCAAATTTTCTACGTACAAAAACCCATCCATATCGCCTTTATCGACGTATTTCTTGAATTCGGTCAATTGATATCGCGTCACACTCGAAAACGGGCTCGTTGGCTCATTGATCGGCGTCGCCGGTGCATTTTCTGATCGTTTTGGTGTCAGTGAGAGTCCGGAATCAAGAAAATTGAGAGCCTCCCTTGGTGTTCCAAATTTCTTGAATCTCGCCCCATAACTTTTGCCTTCTGGTGAGTTAACAAACTTTGAAACCTCCTTAATACTTCTAAAATTTAACAAAAAAAATTCCATTTTCTCAACAATTTTTCTCACTTATAAAGCTCTCGGGGCGATTTTGCAAGATCCGCTTCACAAACTGCAATATACACCGGCTCCTGGTCGTCAATGTGCGGATCTTCTGACATTCTCTGCATAAATAAAATCAATAAAAATCACAAGAAATTCCGCGAAAAACTCACAAAAATCGAAAAAATTACGAAAATTTGAATATACGAATTTCTCATGTGGCCTAGAAATTCCGAAATTGCGGCCAACGGTAACCTAGGTCACGAAGAGCAGCAAATTGCTTATCAACATAATTGGGAGGAATAAATGTTTCGAAACGAGCACATGACTTCACCTCATACGAACCATGCAAGTTTTTCCAATTTTCTTAGCAACCTGTATTTTGTTTCATAAATTTCCGTCTGCACCGATCGAGGATAAAAGAATTCTACCAAATAGTAAGCTTTGCATTCAAAAATCGAAAAAAAAAATCACAAACGACAAACAATAATTTTAAAAATTTGCAATTAAAATAATTATTTCAAAATTCCCTGCAAACACCGCGTCCCATTACTGCGTACCTCACACTCTAATTCACGCAAATTTCAGTCGATGCACTTTTCTGTAACAATAAGGGCATGCGCGATGCTGTTTTCGGCGTTTTGCAGAATGTAACAGATCCGAATTCAGTTGCGATAGATTCTATTCAAGCACAAATTGAGGTAATATAAGTATTTTCCTGGATAAAATTTTTAAAAAATTTAGGAAGCTCTTTATCCGATGTTCGTGGCTTCCGGTGGTGTGTGGCTGGTTTCCGCAAATTTCTATCACCGAGTAACCGGGTAGGCATTGAAAAATTTGTTAGAAACGTATGAAATAAACTTTGCACAGTCAGAACATTCCGACTCACAAAATTGCGAAAACTAAAAAAATATATGAATAATTTTCAATTGTTCCAAAAGCTTATTTTTTCAGGTACGTCGACGATAAAGCCAGTGTTTCAGAAACATTCTGCGCTGTCAACGACATCCACATGAACATTTACGTAGTAATCACAAGGGTCGAATAAATCAAATTGCGAATAATTTATTAATAAAAGTGGCATGATACATTGGTATCTACTAACCGTACCCATACAGATACAACAGAACATTTTGAGGGGAAAATAACATCCTAAAAGGACGAGGAGGCGCTTCACGTGCACAACCCATTGACTGCTTTCTGTCCGGCCGGGCAGTTTTTGACTGAAAACGTTTGACTGTCGATTTTTTTTTCACAAAAATGCGCTTTTTAAATAGCGAGTGCAAATGTTTGTTGAAATCTCATTTCTGTCCACCTACCACATTTTAACTTCGGCTGCCCATCGACCTCCTGCACCATCTTGACCATATAACTAGGGCACTCAATATCAGCATCTTCAGACGGATCTCGAATGGCCGACACCGAACAACATTGGTACCGTTTGCTGACGACATGCGGAAGGCACATGTATCCTTGGGGACAACCGCGCGCCAAAGGATCGCACTGAACCGGCTCTTGTGTGCTCGGATAGAGAAGAGCGCTTCCGCGCTCGCATCCGCCACCCGGAATTCGATTTGACGCGCTCTTTTTCGACGATTTCGAACAACAGAAGTAATCTTTGATTTGGTTTGAAAATTTGCACTGATATCCGTATGGACATGAAGTCGTCGCGCAGGATTTCGCGCGACCGTTGACCAAATACGGCGACATTCCGGAAGGGCAATGATTGTCGCCTGAAATTTTTTACGAAAACGTTTTTTCTTAAAGGATTGATGTAAATGGGCAAAGTTTCTAGAAGAAAAATTTGGAATGTGTTTCATTTTTCTCACGTTTATACGGTCGCCTCTTCGTCGTCGTCGACTTCACCGTCGTCGTGGTTTTGATTGTCGTCGTCGACTCTGTCTGATCCTTTCCACAGCAGACATTCTGCGAAACCATCTCGCTATACTGGCATTTGAATCCAAGCGGGCAATCGTCGTTGGTAAGAATGCAGCTTTTCAGCGTCTGCTTCTCCCCTTCGTAATATGGCTTCTCTGATTTGATGAGGCAGATCTCATCATCGGATATTTTCACCGGGCGGCTTTTCGGCACCGATTTCGACGCGTTTTCTGGAAATCTCGAAGGTTTTAGATTCTAAAAAGATAGAAGATTTCAAAAATTGGTGTTTTAATTGTAAACAGAAATTTAAGTTAACGAACCTTCCTTAACACATGAATTTCCTTCGGGAACCTCTCCTTTGGCACAACCGCACAATCCGGAAATACACCTCGAATTGGAGATGCACTGAAGCGATGATTTGCACGCGTCGCCCATGACGGCGCGCTTCTCGCATTTGCCATCAATCCGAATATAGTCATCGGTGCATTCTTCGTCGACACACTTGCCTTTGTGCTCTTTCTTTTTCGCCTCGCACGCGCACACGTTTTTGAGACATTCGGCGCCGTCGGTGCATTCGTCGTGCGTATGACACGCGCCGCCGACTTTAACGCGGACGACGCATAATCCGCCGACGCGCGCCTCGTTCTCGGCGCAACCGCCCTCGTCGCGACTACAGCAGATATTCTTGTTGCGGTGCGCCACACTCTTCACGCATTCATAGCCGTCGGCGCACATGTCGGCACCCGGTAGGCATTCTTGCGCGTTACCATCCACCGCGATATAGGCCGCCCGTCCTATCGGGCAGCCGCCACTCTGGCCGCAACACTGGAATTGACCTTTTTTGGCGGAAAACTGGCAGAAGAATCCCGTCGGGCAGCTTTTCGCCTCGCCGGCCGTGCAAGCACGCGTCTGATTCGTTCGCTTGTCGATCAGCGCGAATTGTTTAGCGGGACAGCCATCGTCTGAAACTACAACTTTCAAGAAAACTAGCCGCTACAATTCCATGACAATCATGGGGTGGGATTCAGTTTAAAACCCGGAACTTTGTCGGCTAATTGCCTCACCTAAAACAACCGGCTTTATCGCGCGCGTCGGTCGAGTTCCACAACACTGATACTTTTGATTGGTAAGGGACCATTGGCACGTGAAATCCATTGGGCAAGTCGCTTCTGAATCGAACAAAATATTGATGACGAAAATTGGGACTAAATGAACACCTTCAGTAATGAAAGGATCGCATGATTTGACGGTTTCATCATCCTGCACAAAAGCATATTGGCCAGGCGGGCAGCCATCTGTAGACATTTTTTTGGTTTTGAAAAATACGAGGCGAAAATTCAATTTTTTTTAATAGAAATTCTTCTTACTCAAGGAAAATGTGCATGGTATGCCAAAAATTGGTCAGAAATTTTTCAAACATATATGTAACTCTAAAAATTGGGTCAAAAATCTTGATTGAACCAAAAATTTGGATCATTAAATTTCCTACTCACCATTAACGCCGATCTTCTCTTCGCCCTGACAACAATAGAAATTGGTCGTCTCCGGCTGCTGCTGACATGTGTAGCCCTGTGGACAGAATGAGAATCCCTCGTTGGTGCACGTCGTCGGCTGAAGCGTCTTCTCATCGATATGAAATGCGACTTCGCCGGGGCAAATTGCTGGAAAACAAAACAGTGAAATGAGCAGCCAGTTGTCAAAATCGTACGATTCTGGCTACAGCAATATCCCTGGAACGCTCCGGCAACATCGGAAAGGCATGCGAAACCCGTCGGACACGATGAATGAAGCGGCGAGATATGGCATTGAACCGGCAGCTGCGTCGTCGAATATCTGTACAACGCTCGGCCTGACGGACACATTGCTGCAAAATTGGCCGAAATTGTCCGCAGCACAATTTCGTTTAATTCAGTTATTCTTTCTCAATTATTATTACAGATATAGGTTCTTATCGAGCCTAGAAAGATTGAAATCGATGTGCTCCGAGGCTTCTGTGACGAAATTGTCGAATTTTTAACAAAAATTGCAATAGAACATTGATAGTGAGGAGTGATTTTCAAAAAATTAGATAGAAAATCATTGTTAAAGAAAATTTTTAATTAAAGTGACTAAAAATTAAATATATTTAAAAACCGTCAAAATTCGATTTTGAGAAAAAATGAAAATTATTGGTTTAAAAACTGAATCAAATTTTTTTTGTCGACAAATTCAGAAGAAGAGAAAAATCGACACTTTTTGTCGAAAATAAAAAATGCACAATTACCGCCAGTAAGACTTCCACAACAATAGTACTTGTGATTCGTTTTGGAGAATCGACATAAGTAGCCACCCGGACATTTGCCATCAGCGGCCATCGCGCACTGTCTCGGCGTGTTCGTTCGCGGATCCATGAACGCCTTCTCGCCCCTCGGACATACTCCCATACTGTCACTTCCGCAACAAGTGTGCTCCTGCGTCAACGCGTTCAGTGTGCATTCATAATTCACCGGGCAATTGTTCTGAAGCGCCGTGTTACACACGTAAGGCTTGTTCGAGTTCGGATCCTTGTAGACGGTGTCGCCCAGCGAGCATCCGGCGCTCATGCAGAAGTCCTCACATTCTGACATCGAGCTGAACGAGTTAAGCGAAGTGTCGCAGCCATTGGAAGTGTAGGAGGAGCATGTTTGAAGGGCCATATTGAAATAATATCTGAAATTTTCTTAGGCTCAGTTGTGTTCCTATCTCTCAAGCACGGTTTTCCTCAGACGGGTAAACGGCAATAAAGGACATCATCACAGCCAGAGAAACACAACACGTAAGCGCACTCTCCTAGTAGCCTGCCACCGACACTTCGCGGGTCTCGCCGCACTCTATGCAATACACACCGCTGCGCCTCCGCCCACTTACCGAATCTGCCCGCTGCCGCTGCTACACTTCGGCAACATCCCCATTTGTGGCGGTTTCGAGCAAATTGACACTGCAGATTACAAATAGTATTGAAATCGTAAAAAGACCAACCTTTTGAAGGGCAACACCTCCTCTGCATCACCCCATTCGCCTCAACAATGCTACAATCATAGCCACTGGGACATGGCTCTGCATTTGAGCATGATCGAACCTTAGAATTCGTTCTCAATGGTGATCCTCCGTTAGGGCATACTGTAAAGGAAGAGAAATTGAATGTCAAAAAGAAGAAAAAATTAATTCCCACTGGCAATTTCGCAATAATTCTGGCATTTGTCAATCGATGGGAAATTGTTTGAGTTTCCGTCGCAACCAAGGAACAAAAACGATTGACATTCCTACAAAAAATACTGTTATTTTTATGGTAGAAATGAGAAAAATAAATTTTTTTTTGAGGAAAAATGGATAAAATCGCCTGAAATAATCATTATTGTATGTATATGCCGAACCTTTGCCTGATTATTATAGAAATATCGATACGACGATCCAGAACCACATGCGATTCCCTTGTTGACTTGCAACGAGCACGTGTAGGCTTTGCTCGGGCAACAACCATACACCAGACCATCGAACGTGCACTCGTAGTTGGCCGGACACGCAGTTCCGCCGAGTCCCTCGCCGCACTGCATGAATTTGCCGCTGAAGTCGACATAGGCGCGGCCTTGCGGACATTTCGGCTCGGCTGCAACGAAATTTATTCATGATTTTCGCGTACCATTTCCCTCCATATTAACGTACCATTAATATTCTTGCAATAGCTCTGACACTCATTCAGCGAATTGAATCGATTATTATTGCCTTGACATCCGGTGTATAAGAAGCTTTCGCACGTTTTCGTTTCAGCATTATACCTGAAATTATGAAAAATATATTCTCCGAAATTTACCAAAAATATGGTTTGGATGTATTTGGATATAAGCAATTTTTGTTACAAATTTTAATAGAAATTTGTTTTGTTCGAAAGAATAAACGTTTAAATTTGTCAAAAACTTAAAAAAAATCGGTTGAAATTTTTAAAGGTTTTATTAGAATTTATGTTTTAAAATAAGAACTTTTTGTCAATCATTCATCAAACCTTTCGGCATCTTAAAAAAAAAGAAAAAATCGAAATTTTTGGAGAAATTAATTTTTAAATCTCACCAAAACTGTCTAACACTTTGCTTGCAGTCTCCAACTCTCAACGGTTCAGTGCAAAGCGTCTCTAAAACCATATAAACCATCTTGGTCGGAAAGAATCAACGGCTTACGAGGCGTCGGGCAGCAAACTTGATGCTCCATGGCGCATGTATGTGTCGACGGGCAATCGGTATCCCTTCCGCACCGCTGTGGTGACCCATTTCCATTCGTCAGCGGGCTTCCATGAGGGCATTGTACTAAAAATTTGGGGATTAACCTTGAACAAAACTAAATGCTCACATCTCGCGCAGAAAAGTTGGCAATCAGCCTGATTCTGGAAATTGTTGAAATTTCCAATAAATCCGTTATACGTGAACGGGTGGCATTGACCATCCGTCGGGTTGTAGTAATATCTGAAAATTGGCAACGGCGTGTCCCGCAAAATTGTCCGCAGCTATGAAATTTGTTATAGGCAAGGCAAAGCGGTGATTAGAATTTAGAGAAATTTTCGCCGAAACAAATTTTGTATGAAAATATTTACTAGATATTGAGGTTGAAAATGGGAGATTCGCTCAAATTTATAGCAGAATAATTTTAAGCTTTTCACGAAATCTAGCTATATTGCCGCCAACCTTGTGCTAATGCCCAACGCGAAATTCGCCGTCTCGCCGGTGAGCTGATCGAATCGATGTCCGGCGTCGTATGGCGTGCTGCGCTTCGGATCCTTGGCTCGTCCGCCGCCCTCGCTGCATAGAGTCTCTGTAAAAATTCTCAATCCTCTAGAAAAATGAGATGCGCTATACTTCTCGACGCGCAACACATCGATTGGCTGGCGACCTCAGCGCACACGAACGGATCCGAACACGGATTGACCGTCGAGCAACCGGTCTGCGGGATTCGCGATGAGCTCGACGCACCGCGCGTCGACAAATACGCCGGATTGCCTCGCGGACAAGCTGGAAATAATATCCCCCGAAATAATTTCTACCAGATTAGGCCACCTACTATCTTTGCAGAACGATTCGCAATGATCCAACGTCTCGAAATTGTTCGGCGACACTTCGGAACCGGTGGGATCGAACAAGAACTGCTGGCAGGATCCCATGACACTATTGAAATACCATCGTGGAACACTTCCCAGCGCATCGGATTCGCCTTTTTTCGGCTGCATGCAGGTGAACGCTCGATTCATGCAGCAAACGCCGATGGGGTGTGAACTCGTGTCGAGACCCTGTTCCTTCCAAAATTTCGAGTTGTCGATGCAATCGTAGATATCAGACACATCCTGAGGATCAGGCTCGTCTCCGTGCTGCAAAATAAATTTTTGAAACAAGCAGTTGGCAAAAAACTAACAATTCCGCGAACTGTGCATTTGAAGTTCTGTTGGCGCTCGACTAAATCCTCCTCGCGCTTCGGCGTCTCGCTGCTGTGCGGATTGCATGGCGCTATCGTCACCGATGTCTTTCCTAACATTTTCATCAATTATTTTTGGGGCGTATTTCTCAACAAAAAAAAAACAAAAAAGAGACCTGCAGCTGCTGGTAAAACGACGAGAGAAGAAGGCGAGTCTGGAGGTGGTAGTGAGGGAAGCGGACAAGCCGGCTCGGCAGTCGACGACCAGACGCACAGAGTTCCATCCCTTAACGGCCAATTTTCAAAACCAACATTATTTTCGGCTCACTTTGTTTTCACCGCAATCATATCTTCCGAAGGGCACAAACACTGACCGTTCTTACAGTACGAATCCGGCCAAACCGAAGAGCATTGGACATCGTAGAAGCATCCGGAGTCAGATGGCGAGATTTCTGCAAAACAAATAATGAGCGAAGTTGGTTGGAATGAAAAAATGACATCAGGCACGTAAATATCCTCAATAAAACAATTGGCAATTCAAATATTCTTTATATAGTACGTGCATTTAAATATCCTACTTTCATAGCAATATGCGTCCACAGCGACATAGGTCGATAGGCATCGGCACTGTCCGATGGCGCAGTACATTCCGCCAAGGCAGTCGGTGTTAAACGAGCAGATATCGCCAACTCGTCCCGAACCTGCAAAATTTATTTGAAGAAAGGTTGCGGTTTTTTGTTTAGTAAATTCCGTCTGCCGACATCTTTATGAGACTCACCCGATGTTCCCTGCGAATGGAAAATCTGTAGAGCGGGATCTATGCACTGTCTCGTGCTCGTGCTGAAATGCACATGACCATCTTCGGAGCAAATCTCTTGTCGCCATGTGCCATTCGCGCACGCCAAATACGACGAGTGTTCGATGTCGATTTTTCTGAACAAACTTGCCTTTTTTGGAAAAATAATCGTCTTTTTACTTTGTTCTCGGATTACAGAAAAGGAACGGCATTTTCTCGTCGGTTTCGATGCATTTCGTCGACAATTCGGATGTTAAGCTGCATTCAGCGCAAACATCGTTGATTTGACATGGTCTCGCTGCTGAATAGTAATTTCTCGATGAAAGTTTAGCTGATGCGGGCAATTTTGCAGAAAACATTATCTGTTATATAGATTCATGTTACCCGCGTAATTGTCAGCAGCAATGCGAGATGGAGCGTTATAAGTGGAACGGACAAAGATAGAAATTTCGACATAGAAACAACGTTTTAAATTTTAACGTTAAAACGTTCCTTTCACCCTTAAAAATGTTAACTATACATGTACAGTTGGCATCCCGCTACTGCTGTACGCAGGTAGGTCTTGCGCGGGCTAAATGGTTATTTTGCATTTTATGAGTTTGTTCGATAATTTTTAAATCGAATGACCAGGAAATTTCAAAATCCTCAAGCAAATATGAAAACAGAAAACATGTGGAGAGATCATTTCGAAAGACACACGCGCAAACCTACCCGCACACAGAAGCCACCGAACGCCGACTATACACTCGGTAAAAATGAGTGGTCTGCCAAATGCCCCTCTGTCAATGCCGCTTGAGGGCAGCGTGACAAAAATCGCTTTCTATTGGGATTGGTCATAAAAAAATTTGACCAGCGGCGGGTTTCGTTGATTTTTACTGAACAGGATTTTAAGACTAATAATATGAGGTATTAGTATTTTTTAATTGATCAAATATCTGATCTTTTGAAATGTGGACACGATTCTTATTTTAAGGTATTTCAAATTCGAGAGAACTTACCTTGCGCATGATTTGCGTATAATAATAATAGTAGAAAGACGGCTCGACGCATCATTATCATCGGCATCGTTTCCCAATCGCCTAACTGATAAGGTGTGAAAATTGTTGAGAGCACCCGCGCAGCTCAGAAATCCGACACAAACACTTGACGCTTCGTGGGTCAGCCGGCGACACCTGCAATCGAAATTGATAATTTGTGTCGGCTGCTGCGGACACACAAAGAAACGCCAAACAGCTATTCCACATTAGAAGTGTGTTTTGAGATTGAGCAAAACATTCTAACTACACTACCCCGAAGCGTTCCACTAAAATCTCACAAATATTTGACGCTTGTGGAATATGGTAAAACTAATCAATCATATTTGAAAAGCCGCCATGAATCTTAAATTTAAATAAGGGGAATAGTAGTATTGTCGGATTCAAATGACTGAACGATGGCGAAGAATTTGAAATTGGTGTCGAATTAAATTTATCATAAACATGAATATTAAAAGAGCTTACGCTAATAAATTTCACTCACCTATAGTTAGAAGCTTGGATCGTGATATGATGAGCTTAATATCGAAATCGAGGGGGGTTAAATGAAGAGCCAAGATCAAGGGGCTCGAGCCACTTGAACAGATCGTGTGAAGCTTCGCCGCTCGCGCGCGTGGTCACTCGTCCACCGCTTTCCTCAATCGCCTCGTTTTTCAATTCGCACTATTATGTCATTTCGACGAACCGACTCTCATCACAATATTTCGATTACGTGCTCAAACAGTATCGGACATTGAGCCTCCCCCATCAAAACGCGTCGGTCAACAATTTCGAACACTTGAAATAGTGCTCGGATAAGCGGAGTATCGAGACACTAACCTTGTGAATGTGTCAAAATTGCAAAGATTCTCAGCATTGCAAAAAAAAAAACTGCTGACCTTCTTTTCTTCGTGTCGAGGCCGCTAATCGCATTGTTTGATATCTCAAAACTTGCTCATTCGCTGAAATGCATTATTGGCTATTGAACCAACATAAAAATTATCATACAAACCGTAATTATATCAATTTTAATTTTACTTCAAAGTAAGACTACCGAATGCTGCTCATTTTTTTTTAAATTTCGGCCTTCTGTTGTTAGATGGCCAATGTTCATTGACTCATACTTTTTGACTTGACTCATGATTTTTGACTCATAAAAATTGTATCATGATTTTTTATTCTTTGACTCATGATTTTTGACTAGTGATTTTTGACTAATTTTTTTTTGACTAACAATTTTTGACTAACGATTTTTTGAATTTTTTTAGTTGAGATTCCTGCAGTTTTTTTCAGTATTCAATTCTGTTTTTTTTTTTGGCCAATATTGATGGGTAAGAAGCTGGAGGGTGGGAGGAATTGGGAGAAATGTTATTACTGAATGGGGGAAAGATTATTACTGAAAGGAAAAAAAGTTCTTTTAACTTCTGTAAGCATAAAAAATTGTTCTTTTTTGGCATTTCATCGCTTATCGATTTCAATGAGAAGCTTAATCCCAGCTAAACGGATCCACCGAAGGAATCGATTGTAACATGAAACGAATATCCGTAGTAGGCCAAAGGATATGTACGATTTGATATTTTTTAGTAGTCTCCGTTAGTTTAATGAAAATAACTAAACACAGTTTTTATTCGATATCATTGAGCGTGAATAAAGGAGGGAAATGGATGGAATAACGCGATAAGTGATTTTTTATTAATTTGTTTTGCAAATTATTTTAGTTTATACGGTCAGGCCTGTTTTAAAACGGCATAATTTTCGATTTCTAATCAAAATTCAGGAAAAACGGTATATTCAAAAAAATAAGACATTGTTATACTTTGAGAAGTTTTTTGAAGGCTGTTTTGTTAGAAGTATCATTTTGATAAAGGTTTAACGGTATAATGGTCTATCGAAAATTTCAATGATTGATTAATTTTAAAAGTTTTTAATAAATATGATATCGAATAAAAACTGTGTTTAGTTATTTTCATTAAACTAACGGAGACTACTAAAAAATATCAAATCGTACATATCCTTTGGCCTACTACGGATATTCGTTTCATGTTACAATCGATTCCTTCGGTGGATCCGTTTAGCTGGGATTAAGCTTCTCATTGAAATCGATAAGCGATGAAATGCCAAAAAAAGAACAATTTTTTATGCTTACAGAAGTTAAAAACTTTTTTTCCTTTCAGTAATAATCTTTCCCCCATTCAGTAATAACATTTCTCCCAATTCCTCCCACCCTACAGCTTCTTGCCCATCAATATTGGCCAAAAAAAAAACAGAATTGAATACTGAAAAAACTGCAGGAATCTCAACTAAAAAAATTCAGAAAATCATTAGTCAAAAATTGTTAGTCAAAAAAAATTAGTCAAAAATCACTAGTCGAAAATCATGAGTCAAAGAGTAAAAAATCATGATACAATTTTTATGAGTCAAAAACCATGAGTCAAGTCAAAAAGTATGAGTCAATGAACATTGGCCTTGTTAGATCATTATGAAATTTAAAGACGCATGATCTCACTCATAGACCTTGAACCATCTGCAAAAAGGAGAAAACATTATATTGTTGAAATCTAATGACTTGACGAAATTTAAAAAATTAAATTAATGGCTATGTGCCAATTAGTCTCGTGGCAGCGAGATTCCGTGCATTGCATTATATCGGCCACGCGTTAAATATTCTGAAGGCTCCGCCTCCCTTCAGTCGTTTGACGCCGACAATATATGGTCTCGAAGTGAAGGAGCAAAGCTACGTAAATACTCGGTTTCCAAGATATTCCATCATGAACTGTGATTAAAAAAATAATTTCCACGCAACAGAAAATCCGTCATTTTTTATTCAAGAGATGTTTAGAACTGGATTCGAAATAAGTTGTCTACCCGTAAAAAAGAACTTCTCAAATTAAAAAGAAATCCAGGATATCTTCTATTACTATGCAATCAAGCACTACGGGCAGCTGGAATTATCGATTTTTCTAGTTCGTGCAAGGTTTGTGGGATTTCCTCCCCACGGAGCACTCGCATTGCCTTAAAGAAATTGACCGACGAGTGTGATGACGGTGAGCGGCATTGGTGTCAGCAGTTGGCAATATTTTATGAAGCCAAAATGAGAGAGCGAAGCGATGAGACGTTCCACAATTTATCGGTTCTCGTGATGACGGGTCTCGCCGCAATTCTTTCCGTCATCACCGTCTACCTGGTTGTGGTATTCATTTTGACGAAATTGCCGAATCCCTTCCGATTCCGCCGATTTCCCGGATTTGATACGTTTTGTCCTCACGGTATGCACTTTTAAAATCTCACCAAATATTCAACATATTAGTCACAAAAACCTGAATTTTTGTATTATTCTCAATTCAACTTTCTTTTTTTTTGCAGCCGTCGTTCCCAATGTCAGTCGATATAAAGTTCAAAAACTAGACAAAAACGAAATGCGGACCACAATTTGCCCGGGAATGACGTTCGAGGAGGCCGCGATGCTCGCCGATCCCAAAATTCGCGAGAGACATTTGGCTTATATGGCAAATATGAATCAGCAGGCTGTCGAGGATGCACAATCGTCGAAATTCGCCAAAAAAGGCAAAATTCTAATACCGAAGAACATCAACAACGAGCATGTAAGTCAATGAGAAATATTTGTCTGCACATGGTATTTTAACCGAATCCATTAAAAAATTCAGCTCAAACCGAGTGCGCCGACGTCAAATCGCTCACTTCAAATGGTATTCTACGATCCAAATCAAAATGAACAATTCGAAATCGGTTCGAGTGTTGATGATTTGGTGTCGACGAAAACGAAAAAATCGAAGAGAAAGAAAGTCAAAAACGAAAAGGGTGATTTTCGCCACCAAATTTTGAGTCAATTTTTTTTTACAGAATTGGACAAGACCAAAACCAGCTCAACGAAAACATAAAACATTTCGTTTTGCGATTAGATTGATAAGCTCGCCAATCACTGAGGTACTGCAGCGCGCTACAGTAGGTCATATTCAACAATAATTACCTGAAAGCCTATTTTATTCAAATCACTTATAAATACAAATCTAAAGTAATATAATTCGCGTTGGGACCCGTTTAAAATGGGGGCAGTTCACACACATTTTTCGGCGCTCATCATCCGCCTTTGAAAACCGCATAAATCCATGGCGCAGTGACGGCGACTGCAGTATAAATGCACACGACCGTCAATAGAGTGCGCAGTTTCATTTTCGATTCGAGATTCTTCTCGGTCTGATCCAGAAGACGCTCCATATCGCTGCCAACGTACACCTACAACAAATAATTGTTTAAAAATAACACTACCAAAGCTCACCACAGCCGTCGGATCGGCGTCGAGCGCGGCTTCAAGTTTCGCCAACCTCGACAATTCCTTCATCTCCTGAGAAAGTCGCTTATTTTCTTCTTTGATGACTTCGACGAGCTAAAGGCTTCATGAATTAACAAGAATCGTGCAAGAAATGTGTCAATTTTAGGAGAAAATTCTAAGAAAAACCTTGCTGATGTCACTGACTTGACTAACATCGGTAGCGCCGTTTGTTGGTTTCCCATCTGGTTTCAACGTTCTGCGCATTTCTGACAAAAATGTGGTCACCTAAAATAGAATTTAAATAGAGTTTAAAAGCGCAGCGATTTGATGAAAGGACCTTTTGATTCTGCTCGTTGATCACTTTCGCCATTTCGCTCATTTGCGCGCCGCCGACGGGTAGCATTTCCTTCAAACGGCGCATGCGAAGCTCATTGCCTGCAAAACATTGGGATTGATTTTGGTGTTTTTTTTTTAAATCTTAAATACTGACGATTTGTGGAGATCAATAAAAACTTTTTGCAACAATTTTTTGATTACGAGAAAGTCGAAACCCTTACCTATCGATGTTCCGAGGATACCGAGAAGAGCTCCAATTAGGGAAGCGCTAACTCCCCACCATTTCGTTTTTTCGCCACGCTCGCGTTCGCGCTCATGGCTGGCGCGCACGCGATTCGACAGTTGATGAAACGCCTCGCGTTCCGCAGTCTCGACGCCTTGAAACGAACTGAGCAGCTCGCGCTCCCTTTTGATGATCTGGTGCTCTTCGGTGAGCAGCTGCAGGTACTTATCCTCGCCACGACTGGTGCGATCCAAATCGAAATGGATCTCTTTGAGTCGCGATTGTATCTCGTTTATTTCAGCTTGCTTCTCGCGTCGAAGCATTTGAGCTTCGCTCAGTTTCTGCTCCCACTGAAAAATTTTAAATATAAAAAAAAGAGCGTGGTTTAAAGGATCATGTTAGCTTTTTACAAAAAATCAGATTAAAGAAATTTTTCACAATTAATAATTCTGACAATTATTCCAATACCTTCATGACCTCCTCCTGCGCTAATCGAACCGCTTTTATTCCAATAAACTCCTCATAAGCGTCAACCCATTGTTCTAAACGCTGCCTCAAAAAGCCGTTCTGGTTTGCCACTGGATTTGACGAATATCGACGTGCTCGGAACATCCGCCAGCATCGGCATGCATGGCGAACGCTCCCGTTACGGAGCATTTGCTGAAAATCGTTAACATCTGGTGAAAATGAAAGCGAAAATGATGAAACCGTGTGAAAAAATGATTTTAAAAAAACAAAGTCCGCAATGAGCGCGCCAGATTCGGTGTTTGCACACAAGTACTCTTCTCCCACATTCTCAGTGGAGAAATGGATACGGTAATGAGATTTTTCAAGCGCCCTCGGCAAACTCAGCGGGCGAAACAGTGGTTTTCCTCGATTTTGGCGAAACACACAAGTTACATTTTTCGCCGATTTGACGAAAACAATCAATTATTTTAGGCTATTGTTTCTCTCAAACTTTGCCACTGTTTTCGCCCGATTAGTCTTCCTAGCCGTTTTTTTTTTCATCCCTTCTTTTTATCATCAAGGTTATTGGCAAGAATATTCTCTAATATCTTCATTTTGATTGTGATAAAAATAATATTAATGATAATTATTAAGTCTCGGTTCACGAAGGAATCAAACATTGGCCACCGTGTACGTACACATTGTGACTGACGTTATCACTTATCATCAATTCGTCTAGATAAACATATAATTTGCCTCGCTGCTACGATTTTCCGCCATACTTGGCATATAAAATCCTGTTGCTAAACGATTTTTTTTGGTTCCATGGAAAAATCGAGTTTTCTTTGTGTTTCTCATTATTTTTGTTCTTTTGAGCGTGTGACTCATCGTAATTCTTCAAAAAATCAATCTAAAAATGCAGTTCAATTAAAAATTTGGCCAAAAAAAACGATTGTTTGAGAAAATAAAATTATGTTTGTGTTTTCGTGGTGACGCAAAACTACACACATTTGCATACCGTACCAATTTTCATTAAAATTTCCTTGCCACATTTTGATAAGAAAAAATCAATGCCACAATCGCAAATCCCCGTTATCTCGACCGAAACACCCATCCATCGTCTCGACACAGCAATAGTCAGGCAGGCAGGAGAAGCAGTACACACACTCTCAAAACCAAGATCGTCACAGTGTAATGCACTTGGACGGGGGCCCATTGCTCTCTCTCTGTCTCTCTTTTTGAAAAATAGAACTAAAGTTGTGGAGAGCACAAGGTGAAGATGAAGCAGCCCGGGAGGCACATTTATCCCGCGGCGGGCCGGCCGGACAGAATTCCGCGGCCAAAATCTCTCGCCGCTTTTTCTTCTTAACGTTCTTGTTCTTCTCCGCGGCAAGCTTGACCCCATTTTTGCGCGAAAAGATATCTTATCGATTAGACTTTCTTCCATTAACGTCTTCTCTTCGAGCTTCTTCTATCACGCCCATACCAACAGCTACCGTACCCTTAATTTATTCCCTATTGACAATAAACTAACTAACTGGGTGACCTTGGCGAGTGTCCGCGTCTCACCGTCTCGCGCGCTATTTCGCCGCCAAAACAGGTCCCGTTTTACACACTGGCGAGCTCTAACTTTTGCTCCCGCCGATGAGTGAATGAGGGATCTCTCGGGCTCCTCTCTCTCTCCATCTCTCTCACCCTCTCTTCCTCGATGTGTGTAAGCTCCCCCTCAAAAATCCTCATGTCCCATCCCGTCTTGCCCCACGGCCACCAGCTTCTTCTCGCCGCGTTTCGCCCCCTCAAAAAATTGCTTTTCGGCTCGCAAGCCCGCCTGCCTCATGTTGTTTTTGTTTCAAAAATCGCGATCGAGCCCCATCCCCGCCCACCCACCTGCAACTTTTTTTTCGGGATTTCACAAAATCGACAACAAAAATAACAACAACAACAACAACCGTGAGGAAAAAATCGATATCTGAAATTGCCTCAATGAATAGCAAACTGATTTCATTAGATATTGCCATTAGGTCTCAATTGACTGCCAAAAATTCAAGCTTTTCTCTTGAAGAATCTCGAGAAATGTATTACGATAATTTTTGAGCTACAGTATCCGGAACTGTTTCTTCATACTGTCTTTAATATGTTTATTTTGGTGTCCTCAAATCAAACGTTTTTTTGCTGCGGCAATATGTTTAGCTTTTTTAAACTCTAAACAGTCCATCGTTGCTTTTTTTAAGATATTGGCGGATTTGTCGTGGCGTCCGCATATTTCTTGGCGTATTTCCGGCGTAACTGAATTCCAACATATGCGGGGATTCGAAAACAAAGCAGTGCCAAGGTCACACACACACACACACACACACACACATTCATCCTCTCCGCCACACTCGGCCTCTCTCTTTCTTTCACCATCGGCGCGCGCCGGCCGACGAGGCCCGAACACATTGAATTTGATCAAAACGAAATTCGCAAAACACCCACTCAGCGGCCCGCCACCTGGCATCATCTTCATGATATCGACAGAAGAGAAAAAATAATTTGATCTTCGATGCTTCATTCCTTTTTTTTTCAAAAAGAGTTTTTCTTTCATCTCAGACGGCAGCTGTCATCTTCGAAATGCATGGGCTCCCGAAATTGATTTCCATTTTTGGGTTTGTAACATGCGTCATGCTCGAACTTCACACCAAACTTGCGCGCAGTGCAAATAGCGCAAAACGAATGTCAACAACGTCGTTCGGCGCTGTCGGCGACAGTTTAAACCATAAACTGTACGAAATTTGAACTAAAACGCAACAAAAATAAATAACAACAAAAAAATGTCGTCAGCTTCTCCCCCCCCCCCCCGCCCTCCCTAAGCGCGCGCTATTTCCACGTGGAGAGCGCTGACGCATAAACGAAATTTTCTCGAGACTCCTTCGGACCAATACAATTGAAATATTTTTCGTTTTATTCCGATTTTCTTCTTTTTATTGCTTGCCAAGAAAACGATCATTTTTAGATGCGCTAAGGTGCGAACGGGAAGAAAAGGGAACGACGAAGCTTAATTATGCCAGTTTTTCACACGAAAACCATCGAAAGCATTCTCGAGCCGGTGGCTCAACAGGTATGAAGCCGTAGAATGTGTTTTTTGTTGCATGCTTTTCTGTGACATAAAAGGAACATTAGAAAATTGTGTGCAATTTGCCGCGCTAGTGAATACACACATGGGTACCGTAACCTGCAATTCAATTCTTGTTGTTCTTAAAAAAAACATTGATTTTTAATACGATTTTGCCTGCATTTGATTTCTCACCAACAAATTTGCATATGATTTTCAACAGAAGTGTTTACTTTCACATTTTTTTGTGTGCTGTCGGAACTGAAACCCAATACAACAATTCTTGTACGTATCAAATTTCGCCTATAGTTTTTGTCAAACCTATAACTAATCCTTGATACCTAACAATTAATCAGTGTGAATGCATGCATGTTTTTTGTCTTGGACCCACTTCTCCGCCGAATAACTTGGACGATCATTTTCGAACCCGAATGAATGAATGAATGATGATGATGATGATGATGAATACTGAAGATTCCAGCTTCACTATGTACTCGCTCTTGCCGAGAAGAATGCGGCCAGTGTTGACACGATGCACCACGTCGACGCCAGCATGCCGAATTTGTCGCGTTCGCGTAGCGCGTTGGCGTTGTCGCGTGCGTCGAGCCGCCGCTCGATTCCCGAGCTCATCGCGCCGGACACCGTCCGCCACTTTGTCACCGACGATGATTGTCCCGTCTGTCAGCTAATGATGCCAAAAGGTCGCGATGGATGTGTACGTCTGTCCATGTTTTTGTCCTGTCTTCATTGTTGTTTTTTTTCTCGGATTTAATAATATCAACAACTGTTTTAATAACAATGCGAAAAACTTACAGGTTTCTAGACTAGTGATTCTCCATGAAGAAGCGGAAGATGGAAACGCTATGCCAGACCTTACCAGGCCTGTTAGCATGGTCTCAAGAGCCGTTGACAATCTTATTAAGGTAATTTCATTTTGTAAAACGATTCTTGTAATGTCTACACGGCGGCCGGTGCGCAAGGCGCCTAATGCGTTATACCAACAAAAACCTCCGCCGACTTGGCAAACTTTTGCTGGACCCCCGTCGCCGCCGCGCGTCTCGTGTTTCCTTATTGATTAATTTCTTGGCGTGGTATGCATGAATCGTCAAATCTCGTACTCGACGACGTCACTTCAGCGCTATTATTCGAAACGGACCACGAGTCGCCGTTCGTCGTGGTCGCAGCAGGCACTAAATCTCCTTGACTCTCGAAGAGTAAATACAAAATTCTAAAATTCTTTTGCTTGCAGGTTGGATATGACACTTGCGATCATTCCGACGACCGAATTCTTCAGCAGGATATGCCGCCCGCACTTCAGCGAGTTGAAGGCTCCTCGAAATTCCTTGAGGAAGCTTGCATGTCCTTGAAGGTTTGTTTTGTCATCCTCCATTTTTTGAATCCTTAATTTTCAGGGCGATCCATTCTCGGTGCCGGCTCGTAAGAAGCTTATTGATGGGGCTCGCGGAATCCTTCAAGGAACATCGGCTCTTTTACTGTGCTTTGATGAATCGGAAGTGAGGAAGATCATCCGCGGTTGCCGCAAAGTTCTTGACTACCTTGCGGTTGCCGAGGTCATCGAATCCATGGAAGACTTGGCGCAATTTGTGAAGGTTCGGAATCCGAATGGAACTCTTTGAACAATATTGTTTCAGGATATCTCGCCGTGGCTCTCCCGTGTGACATCCGACGTAAATTTGCGCCAGCAGGAGCTCACCCATCAAGTGCACCGCGAGATTCTCATCCGCTGCTTGGACTCGATCAAAACCTTATCGCCGATCCTCATTTGCGCCATGAAGATCTTCATTCAAATCAATAACGATCCCGCGCAGCGAGGATCGGCGGAAGCCGCTGAGAATCGCAACTATCTTGCTCAGAGAATGACTGATGAGATGAATGAGATCATTAGGGTGCTTCAACTCACCACCTATGATGAGGACGAATGGGATGCCGACAATGTGACGGTGATGCGGAAGGCTCTGTCGGCTGCCAAGTCACTTCTGACTGCTGCCCTTGACTGGCTCGCTGATCCACGCGCAAGAGCTGGAGCTATAGGAGAGAAGGCGATCCGCAGGATTTGCGAGTATGCTGACCGAATCGCCGCTCGAGCGCTTCCTGAAGACTCGAACAGCATTAAGCGCATGATTTATGAGATCACCAGCATGACAGATCAGCTCTGCGATTTGCGCAATTCTGGTAGATATGATAGCGAAAATCTTGCTGCGCAGTGCGCTCAACGGCTCAAAGATCTCGTTGGATCGAAACACAGCTCGGGACTGATGGGCGACGCGCTTCAGAACGCACAACGACATGGCGGCGCGAACCCAGCGCATACCGCCGCTGGAAGATTGGAGCAGGCTCTCAGATGGCTTGACAATCCTGGAGTTGATGATGGAGGACTTGGACTTCAAGCGATTCGATTGTTGACTTCTGACGCCAGAAAGCTTGCCGATCGTCTTAATCCACAAGATAGGTAGGTGAAAGCATCGTTCGCCACTCGCACCAGTCCCATCGTCACCTTTGTGTTTTAGAAACCGTTTGCTCGGCATGTGCTCGGATATTGACCGACTCGCCGCACAACTCGCTGACCTTGAGCGCCGCGGACTTGGCAACACGCCTGAAGCGCACCAGATTCGCCAGCAGTTGAAGAACGCGCTCAAGGATTTGGGCGACTTCATGCGGCGTGTCCTCACCGATCGTGTTGTTAGTATTATTTTGGGGGAACTACTCTTGGACCATCTGATTGTTACGGAACGCTAAAAATTGATATTTAGGTTGACGATTTCGCCGACATCACCACACCACTCAAGCAGTTCGTCGAAGCTGTCCACGCCGACGAGTATGATCCACATCGCGAGACCAACTTCACTGATAAGTCGCACAAACTTAATGATCATGCCCACAGCATGACGACGACGGCACGACTTGTTGCTAGTTGCGGGCCATCGAAGAACAAGAAGACAGTCGAAGCGATTCTGGATACCGCCGAGAAGGTTGATCAGATGACGCCGCAGATTGTCAATGCTGGAAAAATCCGATTGCATAATAACAGCGATCATGCCGAACAACACTTTGAGAATATCCATAGGCAATATGCTGATGCGCTTCATCGCTTGAGATCGCATGTCGACGACGCCATCGATACCGGAGAGTTTGTCAGAGCCAGTGAGAATGTGAGTATTTTTTCCCACGTTTTCAGAATATGATGTTTTTGAAATTCAGGCTATGAGAAAGTACACGCATAACTGTGAGAATGCAATTTCGTCAGCGGACGCTCAGGGAATGGTTGATGGCACTTCACAGATCGCCAGATTAGGAAACCGAGTCCTCATGACCGCCAAGAATGAGGCTGACAATTCGGAAGAGCCGTCATTTGTGGATCGCGTGAACAATGCGGCGTCGCAATTGCATTCAGGTTGGAACATTGCCAAAAGATTAGTGTTCGAGTAACCTCTCTCGACGCATTTTTTTCGTTTACCATCCAATTTAAATTGTTTGATGACAGTGGGCTTCTCCGCGTAGGTAGTTGAGCATACAGAATGGTTCTGTGTCGCCTCCATTCCCCAAACGCTGTTTTGAGCTTCTCCTCCTCTCGTGTGTGTGTGTATACGCGCGCAAAAACTCCTTGAGAATAGTTAGTTGGTTGGAAGCGCCATTGAACATCGGCGACCCCCTCGACCGGCATTCAAACTATGTATCGGCGTTATTCGGATCCTTATGATTCGGATGACTACGACAATTACAGCGAATATGAATATGAATGCATTTATCAGAATCGCCTCCTCCCTTTCAATCCGCAAGTTTATATTAGTAAGTGGTTTAGGGGTCAAAGGGCATTGTGTTACTTATAAGAAACTTAGTAAATATATTGTGATTGTTATAGCCATCCCACCAATGGTGAACAACGCCAAACAGGTCGCCATGAACCCGCGCGATCAATATGCTTCAAATCAATGGCGTGGAGCCAACGATCATCTCTTGAATAGCGTTCGCGCTGTCGGTGACGCTATCACCGGTGTTCCACTCAACGGAAGACAATCTAGCTATCAGGAGAGCATCTCGCGAGCTTCACCATATGCTCCACCGGTAGGGAATTGGGTCCAGATAGCATATGATTTTTTTTCTTTTCTTTCAGCCGCCGAGCACTCAAGTGTTGAGAAGTGTCACTGCTTCGCCGCCGACTGGACCGATCATCCATAACAAGATGATCATTCGCGAGGAGATCCCGGCGCCACCGCGGCCACCACCGCCGGTTGAGTTGTCGCCGCCACCAAGACCGCCACCGCCGCCAGAGTATGACGAGGAGGAGGAGACGCGAGCGTTCTGGGAGCGATACCCGTTGCCACAGGCCAGCCATCAACCGATCTTGTCAGCCGCACACAACTTGCATAATGAGCTCAAACAATGGTCGTCACAGGAGAATGATATTGTCGCGGCGGCGAAACGAATGGCGATTCTGATGGCGCGACTCTCACAGCTTGTCCGCGGCGAGGGCGGCACCAAGAAGGATTTGATTGATTGCGCCAAGGCGATCGCAGATTCGTCCGAAGAGGTCACCCGATTGGCGGTGCAGCTTGCTCGAATGTGCACTGATATCAAAATGAGAATGGCGTTGCTGCAAATTTGCGAACGCATTCCGACGATAGCCACTCAGCTTAAGATTCTTTCAACCGTTAAGGCCACAATGCTCGGATCAGCGAGTAAGTTGGCGTCAAAACATTATTTTAAATGTTTCCTGGTAACTGAAAAAATTAATACAATTTCAGCAACCATCGGACCATATGGTCAACCAATTGAGGGTAATTATAGAGTGATTTATTAATTAACCAATTTGGAATGATGCGATATAATGTTATTCCCCTGAATCCAATTAACAGAGTGTGTTCGAAAACCTTGGAGTGCTATTTATCTGTATTTATTCCAAGTATTAATTAATTAATTACAGGCAGCGAAGAAGATGAAGAAGCCATGCAACAACTTGTACTTAATGCTCAAAACCTTATGCAGTCTGTCAAGGTAGTTAATTAATGTAAGTGGATTGTAATAAGTTATTATTATTATTAGGATACCGTCCGAGCTGCTGAAGCGGCGTCGATCAAAATCCGCACAAATTCTGGTCTTCGCCTCCGCTGGTTGAGAAAACCAATGTGGTCCAACTTCTAAGGAAATGATTAATATTCCAAAAACCCAGAAACAAATTTTTGCACATAAAACTCTCCATCCATATTTGAAACTAGTCATAATAATAAAATCGAATTATTATTATTATTATCATTCTTTTTAGACATGAATTTCAGTTTCTCTCTTGCTTCAAACCACTTATATATTTTCTATGATGTCAATATATTTCTTTAAGATTCCGTTATTACAATTGTTAACTTTAAAAAATGAGGAATTCTATACATGTGTTACTTAATGACGTGCCTTTATCTCCTTTTCTCTTGTAATTTGTCGAAACAAATTACGTCACCATACTGCCTTAATTTCCTAATGATCCCCCATTTATTTTCTTTTTATTCTTTAATTTCCATCAAATTTCTTTCGTCGTAGAATTTAAAAAATCATAAAGATTTGTTTTGTTTGGACTAAGATATTTCTGGTATTGCGTGAAATTGCAGCGGGAAAATTGAAATTTTGTATCGTTGAACTGAAAATTGGCTAATGCCAAAAAATTTAGGTAAAAGTATTAGTGCGCAGTGTACGCTTTTAACCTATCCTTATATTTCAGTAAATCTATACTCCAGTTTTGCGCTAAGAACACTGCCATTGTTTTTCCTTAGCAATTAGCCGCAGTCGCGCACCTTCAATAACATAGTAGAAGACTAAAAGGACTGGAAATAACTATTAAGAATTTTTTTTAAGTATTAAAAAATACATTTTTTGTTTTAAAAACATCTCGGCAATACTTGCAAGAGAAACGGCGGTGTTTTAAATAATTATTAAATTATATTAATAAAGAAAATACGAAGTTTTAAATAACATCGATCACATATAACAGTTTCCAATTCAATAAAGAATTTTATTGCATTAACACCCTCACAGATTTCTGATTTCATCTTTAAAAAATAAAAATAAAAACTCCTTGTTCAGTCGAATGTTCAGTCGGTGTTTCGCTGGAGCGCATTTGCTCAAAAAGTTAAAGGCGCACGGATTTATGTGCAAGTGTCTCGCAGCGAACCTACAATATTTTAGGCCCCGACGTTCAATTCTTTTCATTTTTTCCCATGGTTTTCCCACTTCCATTTTTTTGGAAGCCATTTTTGTGTTTTCCTGTCATTATAAATGTTATAATACAGTATACCATTCTGCAAGAAAGGATGCCAATAATAAAAGCTTCAATAATAAAAGTGTATTTTTTGGGATTGTGCCTAGTTGTCGATATTTGTTCCGAATTGTTTTATAAATTGTCTTTATTTCAGCTTGAGGTACACACAAAAACATGAGAGGACCAAAGAAGCATCTTAAACGCCTCGCCGCGCCAAAGCACTGGATGCTCTCCAAGCTTGGAGGAGTTTTCGCTGTGCGCCCGAACCCAGGACCACACAAGCTTCGTGAGTCTCTCCCACTCAGCTTGTTCCTGCGTAACCGTCTGAAGTACGCTCTCAACTACACCGAGGCCAAGAAAATCCTTACCCAGAGAACCGTCAAGGTAGATGGAAAGGTCCGAACTTGCCACAAGTTCCCAACTGGATTTATGGGTTAGTAATTTTTCGGTCTAATTATTTCCAAGTCTGATGTTTTAGATGTCATCAGCATTGAGCGTACCAACGAACACTTCCGCATGCTCTATGACGTCAAGGGACGATACATCGTGCACAGAATCCAGGCCGCCGAAGCTGAGTTTAAGCTCTGCAAGGTCAGAGGAGTCCGCACCGAGCTCAAGGGAGTCCCAGTCCTTAGCACTACTGACGGACGCACCATCCGCTATCCAGACCCACATATTAAGGTATTTTTTTAGTAATATTTAAACGGCTTCTAATAGTTTTTCCTAGAACAACGACACCATCGTTCTTAACATCAACACTGGAAAGATCGTTGATTTTACCAAGTTCGAGCCAGGAAATTTGGCTTACATCACCGGAGGACGTAACGTTGGTCGTATCGGAATCATCGGACATCGTGAGAAGCTCCCAGGAGCCTGCGACATCATCCATGTCAAGGATGCTGCTGGACACTCCTTTGCTACGCGGTAAGTTAACTTTCCTTAAAAAGGAGTATGAGGGTCGGGGACCACGAAGGTCGTAAACGTCCGACTAAGGTTGGTTCATTTTTATATATTATTTTCCTTTCAGTATCACCAACGTCTTCGTCATCGGAAAAGGAAACAAGGCTCTTGTTTCCCTTCCGTCCGGACAAGGAGTTCGTCTTTCGATCGCTGAGGAGCGTGACAAGCGTCTCTCCCAGAAACATTAAATTGTTATTTGTTACAAATAAACATTGTTACTCAAAAATAGTGTATTGATTTTGATTTGTATAAGCAAAAGTGTATCCTTCCCAATCCGTAACGAAGTTTATGGCATGCTCTTCTCCAGTTATGTCATCGAGAGATCTATGGAGAGCATTGTCGGGAGTGCTCTGCGTTTATAAACATTCTGGAATCTCTACGGCCGCTATTAAAAAATTAATCACGAATTCAATAACGGAATCGGTGACCCAGATTGAGTCAACATCGCGCATTCACCTTCCGGCGATCAGTCTTCCAATTGTTGAACCTCATGAGCAAACTGGTGCATTAGTAGTAGTCGGAAAGAGTGAAATTGCGGATTACAGGCAAGAAACGAAGTAAAAATAAAGACTATTCATTTTAAAGGTATCATCCTCTAGTTTGTGGTGCTTCGATCAGAAGTGAGGATATTAGAATAGAAGACACGGTTCCCTTGGATATCATTAGTTCAGGAGTATGCTGTATGAAACGAATTCTCAAAATAGGAGAAACTGAAACGTTTCAGTGTTCGGACTAAACGACGGGTGCGACATGCTCCCTGAGATCTTAGCAATGTCATGGCCGAACGTATATAGAATCGATGGTATCTTGGGAAGATCGTTTGGAAAAAAAAAGAAGGATGATCAAAGTGGAGTCACGGACGCTTTGCGGGTATCGCGAAATCGTATCGAAAAGGTCTTAATGCGAATGGAGTCCGAATTTCGGGCGCTTTCCTTCAAAAACGCCAATGTTGATATGGAGGTTGGGAAATTGTGGAAAACGTTTAAGAAAACAATTCTCAATTTCAGAGTGATGAAGCGTTTGAATTGGCGCGAAAAGGTTTGCCGAGGTCGCAACTGCCCGGTGCCCAAAATGTCTACTCAATTGAACTAAATTGGTTCAAAACTCCAAGATTCACGATTACCGTTCAAACGTGTGGCGAAAATGATGAAATGCTTAAGTAAGTAAACTATTTCTTTCAAATAAACGGAACTTTCAAGTCACTTAGTCACTTTTTTTTTGATTAAAAAAAAATATATATATATATATTTATGGAGTTTCGTTAATTTTTAGTTTACATTCTTCACACTTACTTACTTAGTCACTTAGTCGGTTCGTCCTTCGCCTGTTGAGGCGCGAACCACAGCTTTCCAAGCTTTTCGGTCCTTGGCTTGGGTGGACCAGGGGGTGATAACGGCTCCTTCAGCTGTTCTTGTAATGAGTTTTGTTAATGGAGTTTTGTTAATTTTTAGTTTACATTCTTCGCAACATGGATTTTTGGCGTTTTGAAACAATAAATGGAAAATCAAAATCTTCTTAACAACAGAAAAAAAATTTTCAGAAATCTAGTCAATCATATTGGTGTCAACGTCGGTACTGGAGCGTTGGCAATTCGTGTTCAACGTCAGTTTTTCGGACCATTCTCCGGCTCCGACGCTCTTCTTGAGAAACAGCTTAACCTTCAGAATATTATTCGGAATATTAGCTTGAATAGGTGAGCTTGACCCTAATATATGATTCTTTAAATCTGCCGTTATTTTCAGTGCGATTCTGGAAGCTTCCAAAGCGGAAAATGGGAAAATCGTCAATGTGAAGGATGTGAACACAATGGAAGCTGAGAAGCGAGTTGAGGAAGTATTCGATGGGCTCGGACTCAAAGAGTCGATTTCACTAGATAATTTTGATGCTATGCGACCGGCATGGCCCCGTTATTATGAATAAAAAAGGCAAAAACCGGTGTCGATTTTATTATGTCGTTTTTTTGCGCAATTTTCTAGAATGATTGGACATTTCATTGAGTTATTGTTGTATTGATCGCCAACTCGTGGTATTGGCATTTATGGACCACCGACGGATATGGGTACTTGGAGAGACAATTGATGAACACCTCGTCGCAACGGCACGTAGACTGAAGGCATTTGATCTTATCTGCAGAAATTTTTGAATTTTGACTGTGGGGAAGGCGTGTGAAGCTCACTGTTGCACGCCACCGTTCGATCCTGGCAATTCCAGTTATAGAGACAGTAGAATGGCGCGTTGTGATTGGCGCAGTCACCATTGGTGACCAGCTCATTGTAGCATTTGTTATGTGATTCACAGCATCTGGCGGAAATGAAGCATTAAGATCCGACGGGTTTCATCTTTAAATTTGTGTTCACGGCGAGAACCGACGCAACTTATCTGCGCCTTTAAATTCCTAAGCTACCATTTGAAAAAAATAGTGAAAATTTAAACAAATTTATGAGGTTTTCATCATGTTTTCAAATTTCACAAGTTTGACGTTTTTCTTGGCTACCGAAACTCACTGATCAATTCCGTCGATCGGCTTCGTTGGCATGATTCCGGAGCACGAACAGCCGTAGAATTGGTAGACTTCGAACGAGCGGCCGATTTTGCAATAGGACATGTCGTCGAGCTGGTAGAGCACATTGCACTGGCCGGCGATTCCCACTCCCAGCAGTGAAGCAGCGAAAATGGCAAATATGAGCATATCTGGAAAAAATTCTCCAAAAATATCATCGAATTCCGAAAACTCCTCAAATTATTTTAAAATCAATTTTTTTGGGTTTTTCTTTTCAATTTTCAAATTCAAACTCGAATCTGGCGTATTTGGTTATCTACACATTGAGAGACTTTAGACAATCGAAAGAAATAAAGATAACGAGAGTGAGCGTGCGGTGGAAGGAGACGCAGAGAGCGAAGCACTTTTCACCAGAGCGGGACCGAACCCTCGATCTCCATGGGTTTGAATCCAAAAAGGTTGGAAAATAAAATAATAGATCAAAGGTTCATAATGCGGAAAATTAGTGGGGTCCTGTAGCGACTGATTATGGTTGCCGATTTTTTTTCGGAAACAGTCTTTAAATAAAATGATAGTCTCAGACGCGTTGAAGAATTAAAGGAGGCGCACAGACTATTTGTGCCCGACTTAAAATGTTGTGCAATCACGGCGAATGAATTTTGCGGACTTGCATCTTAATCTACGCCTAAATAAATTTCAAAGTTAACGCAGATGTTGCGAAGTTTTCCCGTCAAAAAATGTTTGGGCGGTTTAGAGCAATTAAAGCACTTTTATGGTGCCTGCAAACCTTCAAACTTGTGGAATTCGGCACGTTTCAAATGCGATACACAACGTGCTCGTGTTGATTGATAACATGAAACCAGTCAAATAAGGTAATAAAAATTTCCGGGCGACTCGTGATTCACTAGTTTTTTATTGCCTAAATTGGCTCCAAATTGACGCTGATTTCTGACACGACGTTGGCTGAAATAAAGTGTTATGGAACTGGTTGCGCTGCAGTGGCGTTATGGTTGTTTTCCAAAAATCAAATTGAAACGAGACATTTTTGAAAGCAGAAAGGCTGTTTCGCTAAGAAACGCGCTTCATTCTCCTATGGCTTATTCTTGTAGCGAACTTAATGGGTCGATTTACGGACTAAATAAACGACAGCGCATCCATCCGAGGAGAAATTTGAAGAGTTCAAGGCGCATAGATTCTGCACTTCTGAAATGCAATAATTAAATAAGCATAGTTTCAAAATTTACACGTGATACTCCTCACGTGTAACAGATTTCCATTTTTTCTTCTTCTTTCCCGCATTTTAGTAACAATGGGTCTAGTTGGTTGGCTTGCGCAGTCGGCGTCGTCTCTATAACATCGATATTCATTTCAGGACCATGGCGCTTGGATGTGGTGATTATGGTGCTCTACCAGCTCACCTTGTTCTTCTCAGTTCAATTGCTTTTCGTCATTTTTCTCGATTTCATGCCGACCACATATTGCAATGAAAGTTAGTAAGAGGGTTTTTTTTTGGAAAAAATGAAAGAGGTCTCCGGTTGAATCTTTTGCGACAAAATCGAAATCTCTAATAAAGCAAAGGTTTTCGCAAAAAAAAACCAAAAATTTCTAATTTCAGAGGATTATTGTTATAAAATGCGCAGCAAATGCCTTACCGATTACGATCCGAGTCAGCCGAATTTGTGCCCAAGGAACCATAGCGCATTTGTAAGTTTGGGTTTCACCACGATGTACCGGATTACCGTGATCGTCTTTTTATTAAGAATCTGGGAATATGAGACTTTCTGACGAATTGCAAACTTACTGCGGAAATGATAATGTCTTTCTGTGTACTTCACACGGAGTGCATAGATTTAAATGTCTTTAAATTCAATTTTTCAGAGAGAATGCGTCATCGAGAAGAAGCGCGTCGACTTCTATTCGGCCCAATGGGATTTCCAGCAGGATTGTACCCAACTCCGCATGCTATCATCGTCGACCGTCACCTTCATTGGCACGCTCTTTGGAAACATCGTGCTCGGATATCTCGCCGACACGATCGGAAGGAAACCAGTTTACGTTGTTTCTGTTGTTGTCGGAGTTCCTTCGATCATATTGTCGGGTGTGTGCAATAATAGTTATTTTTTTGGCATATTTCCTTTTAGAGCAAAAATTTTCATGAGAAAATATTTGTGGTCTTTTCAGCTGCAATCAATGATGTCAAATACTTCTACATTTTTCGTTGTTTGACGGGATTCGCTGTTGCTGGAACACTGACGGTTGGATGGACATATGGATCGGAAATGATCACGCCTAGTCGACGATTCCGACTTCGCACATTTCCGAATTGGGTAGGGCGTGATTTTGAGCCGAAATTGAATTTTTTGAAGAAAAATTGCAAAATTGACTATTTTTTGATAGAATTTGAAAATGTTGAGCTAAAAAAATCGAAGAGGCATTGAATAATTGGAAGTTTTGAGCCGGCAAAAGTTCCTCAATTGTTGTAGGCGAACGCCCGGATGATTCAAGTCGGATTCGCATGGATAGCCGGCGAATGGCGCATCGCCTCGTATATGTGCGCCGGACTGTCGGCCATGATCCTTCCGATGATCTACTATCTACCCGAAAGTCCGGTATTTCTCGAGCAAAAGCACAAATTCGAAAAGGCGCGAGCGGCCCGCATGAAAATCGCCGAGATTTGTCGAACCGATTATGTCGAGACAGACGCGTCGCAAGTGCCGATTCTCAAAAAAATCACACCGGGCAAATTGTGGCGAAGTCCGAGATTGAGGCGCAATTTCTTGGTGCTCTGCTTCATGTGGTTCTATGTTGGAACGACAATCTATGTGACCGATTTGAACGGAAGCGATATGTCAAAAAACTTTTATGTTGGACAGTTCTTCTCCGGAATGTTGTTGACGGTCTCGAAAATTGTAAGACACTTGATTCATTTTCTCAAATTTTGCAAATGCAAATTTTTTGTTTAAGTTTACCCCAACTAAAAAGTTCGGATTTCAGATTTTGCATGAAAATTTAACATTTTTGAACTATTAAATCATTTTTCTTTTTGGAATAAAATTGTCAATCATTTTTTAGTCCATTGGCATCGCTGAGCCGCACTTCTCATGGCTCGGTCGTCGCTTGTTGTTCCTCATAGCGCAAGGAATCTCGTTATTCGCTTATGCGGTCATTCTTTTCGCATTGTACACTGACAACAAAGTGATTCGCTTCGAGGCCCATCTTGTATGCACAATTCACAATTCCAGCAAACCGCGTGGTACACATTGGCTTATATGAGTGCCTACGCCTTTCAGTCAATATGTTTGGAGTCGTGCTATTTGTCACTGGCGGAGCTGATGCCGACGGACGTTCGGACGACGGCCGGAGCAATAACGAACATCTTGATGAAAATTGGAACGATTTTAGCAACGACCACGGTAGATTTTTCCTGTTTTTTGTTTTGCTCATTTTGACCGAAAATGTTCAGAAGCCGCTGAAATTCTTCTACGAGCCCCTCCTATTTTGGTTTAATTTGATTCTGGCGAGCGCTGGATTTTTCGTGGTGTTTAAATACCTGGAAGAATCGAGAAATATTAATTTGCAAACGGTTGGTCAGGATGATATTAGTGACGATGAAACGGAGGCACCGAAAACGGAGAAAACTGAGATTGAAAAGTCGGAAAAGACGGAGAAATCGCAGATGTCGCAAAAATCGGAAAAGTGGGACAGAAAAATTTCATCAATATTTAAATCTCTTCAGAGAAAATCAGTCAGAGAAGGAAAAGAATACGAATGAGAGCACAAAGGAATAGTTTAATTGGTTTTGTTTTATTAATTCCATTGAATAAAAAATGTTCCACCTGCTGTGTGATTTCGCATGAGGTGTGCCGGTCCGCAAACACCGAACTGTGAATTTTTTTTGAGTATTTAACATTTTTACGAATTTCTCGCTGATTTTTCCGGTTTTTAGATTAATGACAACACGATTAATCGTGAAAAATTTGCCTGCACATTGTACGGAGGCGAATCTGCGTAAATTTTTTGACAAGTATGGCAAAATTACCGATGCGTCGTTGAAATACACGAAAGAAGGCAAATTTCGGGGATTTGCGTTTGTTGGATTTGATGATGAAGATTCGGCAAAGAATGCGATTCAGTCGACGAATCAGACTTTCATGGATTCCAAAAAATTACAGGTTTTTTGGAATGTTATAAAGGATAATGCAAACATTGGATTTAGGTTGAAGAATGCCGTCCATTTGGGGATGCGAATAAGCCAAGAGCATGGAGTAAATATGCAAAAGACAGCAGCGCTTATAAACGAGCTCATGGTGAGCCGAATGTGGAAAAGTCCGAGGAAAAGTCAGAGCCTGTGGCGAAAAAATCGAAGACCGACTCGAAATTCGACGAGTTTCTTGAGGCGAAAGGCGTCGACGTTGAAAAAGCGCCGAAATTGCTGAAGAATGAGAGTGAGGAGGAAAAGAAGCTACTCGCCGAGCTCATGGAAGGCATTGAAGGCGACACGTCACTTTCATTGTTATTCACCGGGTTGCCGGCGTCAATCAAAATGAAAAATGTGAAGGAATGGCTCAATCCAATTCGAATCAAGGCGGTGAAGGTGGCGAGGAATGAAGAAGCCGCCGCCGCTTTTGTCTCATTTAACAGACCGCCTGACGTCAGAAGAGCGCTCCAGAAGGATGGGCAATTTCTAGGAGGATTCAAAATCGGGATACGGGTGGTTGAAGCTCCGAAGAGGGATGATGATATGGAAGAATACGGAGCAGAGTTCGTTGATCGACAGAAAGAGGAAGAAACTATTCGGGAAAAGATTCTAGAGACTGGACGACTTTTCGTGAGAAATTTGCCGTTTGTGACCAAAGAAGCCGATTTGCAGTATCTTTTCAAGAAATTTGGAGAGATCTCCGATATTCAGGTGAGCGAATTTTCGGGCATTCAACAACGAGAGGAAAATCGCGAAATTTTAAACGAAAATCGCAAAAATTGACAGCGTCTCAGCACAATCTTCAATGTTTTCAGGTGATTATCAACAAAACTGATGGATTATGCAAAGGATTCGCGATTGTCGAATTCGTGTTTCCCGAGTCCGCGGTGGCAGCCTATTCCGCCCTTGACGGCGTCGTTTTTAAAGTAGACAATCGCCAATTCTTTCACATCAGTCTGTATTATTTTGCCGATTTATAGGGTCGAATGATGCACATTTTACCGGGTGATGAAAAACGCGAAACAAAAGGGGAAGAAAAAGTTGAAAATGGCGGAGATGCGACGAAAACGGCGAAAAAGAGGAGTTTTAAAGAAGAAAAACAGGAAAATCTGAAGGAAAATGCGAATAAGGTGAATTTTCATGCAAATCGCTGTATTTTCGCCTCTTTAAATTTTGGAAAAATTTGAATTTTTATATAAAGAAAGAAAATCTCGGAGTTTTCTATTGAACTTGCATTTTTTAACGAAAATTGTGATTTTTTTTTACTAACAATTTTACCATTTCATCAAAGGTTAAGAAACATTTCAAATTAAAAAATTCCGTCAAATTTCAGGCACATTCATGGAATGCTCTGTTCTTGGGTCCGAACGCTATTGCCGACACATTGGCAGAGAGGTTGAACGTATCGAAAGCAGATTTGTTGACAGCAGAATCTGGTACATTTTTTTTGAATTTTCGTTTTTTTGCGCAACAACTTATTTGAAAAGAATATAGGTTTACCAGAAATACTCAATTTTTATAGGCGAAAGTGCGGGTGTTCGTTTGGCGTTGGCCGAAACACGGCTTGTTCGCGAAACTCGCGATTTTCTCATTGAGAACGGCGTCAGATTGGACGCGTTCTCGAAACCAGCGACGAAACGAAGGTAAATAATCAATTTTGTTGAAATTTGTTTAAAAAAAAACTTTTTCTTCCAGTGATACCGTAATGTTGGCGAAAAATCTGCCGGCTGGTGTTCAAATCGAAGAATTGGAAAGAATGTTCGAGAAGTTTGGCAATGTTAAGAAGATTCTCATGCCGCCAGGTAACAATTGGAAAAATTTGTTGCGTCTTTAAAGTGTTCGCCTCAAGACAATCATGCTTCTTTAAACTGTTTAATTTTTGTTTGTTATGCATGTTGCGAGACCCTTATGAAAAATCAACGTCGGGGGTATTTTTCAGAAGGCGGTGTATCGGCATTGATTATAATGGGAAATCCAGTAGATGCGAAGAAAGCGTTCAAGGCGTTGGCGTATTCCAGGTACATTTTTTGTACGCTAAATTGGTGCAAATTTGTTTTTCCTGCTGCAGATTCCGATCACAACCGTTGTACTTGGAATGGGCGCCGTACGATGCGGTTGAATCGGAAGCCAAACAACCGGAAGTGAAATCGTCGAAAAAAGATGATGAGCCGAAAAAATCGAAACGAGAAATGACGTATGAGGAGAGGAAGCTCGAGAGGAAACGAAGGCAGCAGGGAATTGAGGAGGAACTGGAAGAAGCCGATAACCAGGGCGAGCAGACTGAGGTGCCGATGAGCTCGACAAGTTTGGATGAGAATGAGTCGGAAAAGAAGAATGAGGAGATTGAAAAAGTCATCGAACCGAATAGCGCCCTATTTGTCAAGAATTTGTCGTTTGACACCACCGATTCGGCATTGGATACACTTTTCAGGTATGTGGTGTTCTGTATTACGAAACACTCTGAAAATTGAGAATTTGGAATTAATTCTCATATATCTTGAAAGAAAGTTACAAAAAATTTGAAGTTTCGTTTTTTCATATTCTACTTGGCGTCTTTTTGCTCCTGAAATGTTGATGATTTTTATTCAAAAATTACAGGAAACGTTTTGGCGACAAAATCAAATCGGCTCAAATCTCGAAGAAGCTCAATCCAGCGGATCCGTCAAAGAATTTGTCGATGGGATTTGGATTTGTTCAATTTTATCGAGCTCAGGACGCGAAAGAGGCGCTGAAAAGCATGCAGGGCGAACTATTGGATGGACATTGCCTCGAATTGAAAATATCGCATCGAGAGGTGAATTTTAAGACCTTTCAGAAACAATTTTCAAAACAACAATCCGTTTTCTTTTTTCTCTTTTTTTAGATAATCAAGTCATATTTAAAAAAATTTAAGATTGCTTTTTTTCAGAATGCAAACATTGGTGCCCTTAAACGAAAAGATGTGCAAAACAAAGAGCAGGGAGAGAATACGAAACTTCTCGTCCGCAATATTCCATTTGAAGCGAACATCAAGGAAATCGAATCGTTGTTTGAGACGTTCGGCGAAGTCAAGAATATTCGAATTCCGAGGAAACCGGGAGAAAAAAATCAGCATCGCGGCTTCGGATTCGTCGATTTCATTTCGGTTGATGAGGCTCGACGCGCGTTTGAGGCATTAGTCCATTCTACGCATTTGTGAGTATTTCTTTCAGCGATTTCAGCGTTAAAAAGTGATTGGATAATTGCTTTCTTTAAATCTAAACATTTAAAAGTTATGAGCAAACATTTGAAAATTGCGCAATTTTTAAACGTGAAGCGTATTGAATTTGTTCGCAATTTTTCCATTTCTGTTTTCCTGATAACAAAAATATGCAGATAGAGAAAATACTTGGCCGAATCATAAACATTTGTTATCAACTAACATTTATTGACACTTGTCAAGTATATTGCCTCATTAAAGTTGATAATTCCCATTTTTTTTGAGAAACGCACCCGATTATTGTTATTATCAGCATGCTCCTTTGATTACTGTATTTTATTATCACTCACGGATTTTTTACTGCTATTGAAGCCCTGGAGGCGAGAAAACTGGGGTGTCCAGTTCGGCGTTGATTATGCTATGAGTCATTTGCGATTGTCATAGTAATCACAAAACGCCCGCATTTTCTTTTATAAAAATCTGGTGTAGCTACAGTAAATCTTGTGTAAAATATTTTGCAGATACGGTCGCCGATTGGTGCTTGAATGGGCGAAAGAGGACGATACGGTGGACCAACTTCGCGAGAAAACGGCTGAGAAATTCGCGTATGTCGTGATATTGTCCTATTAAATATTTCTCGTTTTGATCTATCGATATTTTTTCATTTTCAGCGGCGATAAAGGGGCTAAGAAGAAGCTTAAAGCGAAAATTGAGGAGTTCCACAAACAACTTCAAGTTGCCGATGATGAGAAGGATTAGAATATCGAATTTTTTGTTATTAGTTTTATTGTTGCTGTTTATCGTTTTGCTTACTTGTTTTTTTTTATTTAAATTGTTGATTTGTTGTTATACCAAGGTGAATTCTTTGATTTTTTTTTCAAACCCGTGAAACAAGTGAAACTCATATTAAAGGGAAAGCTAATTTTTTAGCTTGAAATTTCAGAAAACTTGAACCTTTTACTTATTTTCGCATGAAAAATGCAAGAAAATGTGTGGGTTTTTGATTGGAAGAAAAAGTCATGACGAGAGAGGAGATTTTTGATTTATAACTCGGCCCGCGCATCCTTCTTGTTCGTCGTCTTGATCTTATTGACGACGTGCAGAGACATACTATCATGATAACACACAGTCACCAATTCAATCCCTACACACATTTTTCGTGTTCGTTGCCTTGTTTAAAGGCGATGCCCTTTCGGATCGTCTCGAAATTTCGACGATGATCGTCGTCACAATGCATTCTTACAAATACACAGAATTTGACGCCTAATTGAAGGCTAGAGCAACTTCTCATCGAAAGTTTCTGAATAATGCCAATTATTCGAATTCGGTTGTACTCAGTTTGACGCGGAATTGCAGATATTTTCAACATTGGAATAAGAATCGCAGATATTACCGCTTATCCTCTTGATCTTTCTCAATTTCGAATTACGTGGAAGTCCGCGATTGCGCGTGAATCTTGATGTTTTACGATTTCTGCATCAACTCCTCCATTCGACTTTACAAGATGAAGAATTAAAATTTTACGAAGAATTATCAAATTTGACTGAATGCTCGTAATATTGCCTACCATTGAAAAATCGAAGTGTGCAAACTATCGTAAAATATAGCGCCTGCGATTTCCTGTCATTTTTAATATTTTTTTAAGGCGTGGCGACAAATTGACTGCGGCGCATATCTCTATTTCATGGTTCACCTTTTCTTCACAGATACGGCTGTTTGCCCCCCCCCCCCACTCAAAATCATTATCAGTTGCGTTTCTCGCTGTCTCTTGATTCTGCGTACTATTTCGCCGAATTACAGTTGGCGTCGATTTCCAGACTGTTTAAGGTTTTCGTTACCATGATATTTTTTAGTTTTCTTCTTTCTCTGCATTTTGTCGTCAAATACACTGCATCAAAAAAGTGTTTTCAGAATGGTAGATGGCGATTCAGATGCTGTCGATGAGGCCACGTTGGTGGAAAAAGGTAACACATATTTATCGTCAATTATAGTGCCTTTGTAGTTAAATAGTTAACCATTCGCTATTTTCTGCATTCTGTCGTCAAATGTGACTTTTTTGTGTACACAATTTGAAAACCTCTGCGTTTTTGAGTCAAATCTCGCGCAAAGTCCATTTTTTACAATATACTGTTTCCTTCCATAATCAGTGTCTCTTATTCTCTCAGATCTAGATCAAATGCACCACCAACGCTAAAATTTTAATGGTCGTTTCAGATGACACGACGATGACAAGCATTGTCGGCTATTCGCGTGACCCACTTCACAAAACCGTACTTGAAGTGGTAAGCATTATTTCCCATTTTTTATCTTAAAAATATTGTCAAAAAATCCCCATCATTTTTCTGCAATTTTGCGTCAGCATTAGCGTATTTTATAGTCTGAGACATAGCGGTTACTGTAGGTATCCAGTTCGAATGTTCAAGTGTATGTTTTCTAGCTGAATGTTCGATTGTAACGACGCTTGCCACTCGCTCATTATCACCGTTTGGGAGGTCTCACGACATCCCATCTGTTTCCAATGACCTTGATTCTTTTGACGATTCGAATCTAAAATGTTGAAAATTATTAATTTGTTAAAAATTACAAAAAAGTTGGGTTTTCGAATCGCGATCGTCTTGATGCTTGAAATTTCAGCTAAATATTCTATCGTTGGAGACAATTAAAGCGTTTCCCGAGAAGCCGCTCGACGATGCTAAGAGAAAACATATTATTCATTTTGCGCGATTATTGGATCGAAAAACTGAACGTAAGGAATTTTTTCGAAGAAAAATGAAAAAATTTTTTCCCTTTTTTTTTTTAATTTGAAGGTGAAGGTAACCACCCTCACCGACGAAGGTCACCATGATACCAAATCTTCATGAGAATTGGCCATTAAAAACCACATTTTTTTTGCAGAACTCGGCGGTGAGGAAAATACCATCGAATTTGAGCACAATTGGAGTCTTCTCACGTGGGCGTTGCTCAACGTGATCGCTCGCGTCAATCATGAGGCAAATCCGGAAATCTCGGCGACGTTGAACCATTTGCTCGTCGCGTTGGTGAATCGCGCCAAACCGATACGCGCGCCAAAATTGCGAGCGGCCGGCGAGACGCTCTGGTTGAGCTTCAATCAACTCTACAACCAGTGCCTGCACATTTTGCACAATTTGTACTCGCAATTGGATCATTCGAGTGCCGACGTCGCGTCGAAATTGGACGAGTTTTGCGATTCGCATTTGGAGCCGTGTTTGGAGTCGTTTAAGCAAATGTGCACCAATAGTGCCGATGTTTTGCACACTGAATTAAGGTTTTTTATAGCTAACATAAAAGCTGAAAGAAATCCAGCATTTGTGATCTTTGGGAAATCCGAATTCATTTTGGAACTAGTCTCCCTTTCGTGCCTCCGATTTTATATTTGTGGTTCCTAGGGGCTCACAAGCATGGTACTTAAAAATGTGGGCGTGTTGGCCCATAAATACAGTTTAAGGTCCCTAAAACATGAAATCGATTTCACTAAGAATTAAATGTCCAGATTTCGATTTTTGTCTAAAAGTGATTCTTATTTTTCATGATCCCCAAGATTTCAATTGATTTTTTTCAAACATTTTCCATAATATTACGCAACTCCCAAATTAGCAAATGAATTTTGCAGAAAAAAACAAGTGGAGTGCATTCGGGATCGCGAGCACCTCGCGGATGATGACGTCACTGACATCGTGCACTATTACACGAGTTGCCTGTACATTCTGGGCCTATTGGCCGCCAGACTGCAGGGATTCCAATATGAATGTTGCTCGTCGATCGGCTACTTCTTCTCGCGAATCGACAGTATGCAGAGAATGATGACGATGGTGGTTGCCACGTATGAGCAGGTCATGTGCGACGCGCTCATGTGCATGGAGCCCCTCACGTCGCCGGTTTTGGTAACCAACAATTTGTTCACGTTCACGTGTACACCTTTAGCCAGAGTAAGTGCAGACTAGAAATGACGGTAGATTGACGACGAGGTTCTTGATTACGGTAGTATTAAACATTCAAGCTAGATTATGGTAGTGTGGGCACACAACATTCACTTTTTTAATGCCAAACAATAATAATTTTCAGTCCCTAATTTTCAAGAATTTTGAAGTTCAAATTGTCAGCGAAGACACGGCACAAACTATTCAGGTAGGTCAACGTCAGATGGAAAATATTGATTCGTTGGACTATCAAATATATGCTGCCGACATTCTACGGGGTTTCAGGAGGAGATCACCAGCGTTCGGTGCGGCCTCAAAAGCCCACTTCATCCGCCTGTCTTTCCGTCGGCTGCTTTGCTGGCAATGAAGCCAACGTCGGGTGTCAAACGGCATAATGCGACAGCAAGCGCCTCAGGAGGTTCGTGCGCCTTCAATTCTAAAGAATTCATTTTCGATGGCGTATGATTCGCTTTGCAGGAAACACCGCCCACAAGAAATCGGATGTGAACAGCGCCGAATCGGTGAGCCTCGTGCCGACGTTCAGCGATATCACCAACTCGTGGACCGCCCAGTACCCGTATTTGTTGTGTACGACGCGCCAGAAGGACGCCGAGCTGCTCGACACGCGCTCGAGTCAAATCGGTAAACGGCCGCTGTTTTACTTCTACATTCGCGCCAGGACTTTTTCACCGAGCGGCGGTCTCACCAATGTTCGGACGCTTTCATTGCCATTCACAATCTCGACGCGTCGCAATCAGGATTGTCAAGTTCAGAGGATGTTCAGCTCCTATACGGCCACATGTTTCTGGTTGTACGGTAGTTGTACGGTAGACGGGCTTTTCCTAAATTGGAATGATGACGCCATCGGATGGAACACTTTCAGGAAGTGAGTTAGGCTCTGTCTCTTTTCGATTACGGTATCGGCAGATTCATTCAAAGAGACTATTCTCGAGGGAAAATCTATAGTATTCATTTTAATTTCCACCTCTTTAGATAAATTTGGAAGAATTTAGAGAGTTGTGAGATATCGAAAATTCGAACGTTGCGTTTATTTTTTAGAAACCACGTCTTTTTAAGACCCACCCATTGTGACTACTGTATTTTTAAATGGTTCTATTTTTTCGCAGACTTTGCTCACAATACTTTACTGTCAACGCGGAAGTATCGCGGCGAATGGAAGAATCGGATTTCGACGTGCTCGAGGAGAAGATGCAATGCGAAGACTGCGACGATCATCGCCGCCATCCGCCGATGCTTCCCAACGGCGAGCGGCGAATATCGTTCAAGAACATGCTGTGTCCGCATTTGCGCTTCGAAACCGACACCACGATGATGCGTTTCTCGGTGTGGCGCGGCATTCTCGAAATGGTGCAGATCTTCCAGGAGACGAAGACAAATGTCAAAATGGCCTGGGACGACTACCTGCTTCATGGTTTCGTCGACACCAGCCGGATCGCTGACCTACTCGGTCCCTATCGCAATTGTCTGATGGTCCGACTCACCTATATAATAGGCGGCAGCCTATGCGTCTCCTATCGTAATGATGGCGACGTTGTTCATCTGGAGCCGATTGATTTGCGCAAACTGCAGACGAAATGCATTCTAGACTATCTTGCCGACATCGCCGAATCGGCCATGATCGATTACATTCTGATGGCCGATATGAGTGTGATCGCGGTTTCCGAGATGATTGTCAAATACAAAATTGGGCAGGATGTCACAAGGGTCCGCGGAGTCACCTGCAACATTTCCTATAGTGGTCCAGTTACGCAAGTCAACCATATAAAGTTCACGCCATTGCGCGTCGCGGTCGTCACTTGCAAGGATGGTCCCGTCGCGATGCCAACAACGCCGACGAGGCGGCAGAGAAGCGGAAGAGAGTACTTCCATTTGACGATTAATCCGGTTAGTTTTGAACGGAAATTCGAGTCTCCCCCCGTAAAAAGCTAATCTGAAATAGTGTTTCAGTTTAATACCGATCCGAACGCCGAGACAATCATCAAACGGTGTCCGCCGCGCTATCGTCGCGCGCCTGCGCGAAAATCGAAATTCAAAGGCAACCTGCTGCTGAATCGACGAACGACGAGGCGTTCGACGAACTCTACGCGAACGACGACGAGTTCGGCGGCTCAGCGAGCTGCAGCAGCTCCTTCAGCTCCGCAAGTCTCATTTGAAGTGCAATTGGCGTCGCTGATGAGAATGTACGGAAAAACGCCGACCGAGGTGAGGAAATGCTTGCGATTCTCTGGATTCTATGGTTCTTGGGCGGCTTACAAGCAATAAATAGTTTTCATGGGTTCCAAGGCTCAAAGGAACTCTACAGCTTATAACTTTAATGATCCTCTAACAGTTAAGGATATTATCGACTAATTAACGGCATCTAATTCACTAATCGCTCTATAATCAACATCCGCAGAATGCTAATTAGCATTTAATTAATAATTTTTAAAGGTGTCGGACCTTTGCACGTACCCAGTTGGCTCCTACAATGATCATTTCGTCGAAGAGCCGTCAAATTATGAATATTGCTGAATTAATTGGCCAATTAGCGGTAAAATAGGCAAATTTTCGAATGATCTCATAAATATTTCGAACAACTGATCCCATAATAGTTTATTTCATGACTAGAACACTAAAAATTGATTATTTGAATATAGAAAAATCTAGCGAATAAAACATATTTACACTATGTGGCAGACGAAATACCAAAAAAATCGGGAAATTTTCAGCCAAACGACGTTTGCAGACATTAGGCGACCGCCATATTTGGAATCGGCGGCAATGTGAACGTGAAATGTTGAATTGGTCCGTCACAAACGATGGTTTTCGGAAAATTTGGGCGCTTCGCGAGCAATTGATGCGAATAATCGGCGATTCCAAGCACTTCCAGATGGTCCAAATGTCTCAGATTCGTCAAAATCGCACATAGACCAGCTTTTCTTATCTGAAATTGGACAAAAATGTTGAAAAATGCTTTTTTTTTTCAAAAAATTAACAAAAAAGTGAGAATGGAAATTGTTTTAATCTTTAGAATAGTTGTAAAAATTGGTACGTCATCTTAAAAACGTATAATTTCAGTCAGAAACCAAAATTTGGATGAAAATTTGCTCTTTTCAAGTCAAAAAATATCATAAAAATGTTCAAGTCTAGACAAATGTATGACAAATTCTAACGAAAATCCTCATAAAATCAATTTTTGGAGTCATACAGTGCGTTGCAGAATTATAAGGCCACCCCCAAATTTGAGCGCCGCGCAATGATTTCGATACTTTGAGATCAACAAGTGTTAAAATCGTGTTTAGCATGAAAAATTACCTATATGTACCAATTTTTATGTTAGTATCTTCAAAAGTAACCGCGCTGTGGTCTATAACCGTTTTTTCAAGCGGTGCAGAATTATAAAGCCACCCCCATACAACGGACTTTTTCGCATTTTTTTGAAACTTTGGCGGGACCAATGTGCATAAAAATTGTTGTGTGGCTTTGAGAACCTACAGTGGTCCTTATTCGTCTCTTTTTAAATCATTTTTAAATGCCACGTTGTCGCTGTCTTAGTGCTTCTGCGCAATCTCAGATTCTCGCATTCAAAACGGCAGGATGGTCGAACCGTTCGGTTGCGAAGAATTTAAATGGTCCGAAAACATTCGTAGACATCTTTGTGAAGGATCTAACTCGTGTCAACATGTCGCAAAAGTCAGGCGGCAGAGGAAAACTGGACTATCGCGCTAAACGAGCATTGATTCGAGCAGCTTCGAGCAGTATGAAGTCTACAAATGACATCAAGAAGAAGCTAAACTTCGACAAAAGCAAGTGGACAGTTTGGGGAACCATCAAGAATAACCCCAACATCGCTAGAGAAAAAATGAAGCCGGCCCCGCGACTCACAGAGGATTATAAAATTCGACGCCATGAGTTCGCATTCAAAAACATGAATACGGATTGGAACAAGGTGCTTATATTCGAGAATATTGTTAATAATAGCCATTCAAATTTCAACAGGTTATTTTTTCCGATGAAAAAACAATTAATTTGGATGGCCCAGACGGCCATAACAGTTGCTGGCCCGAGTTATGAAAGAATCGCCTCCTGCTTTCAAAACGCAATTTTGGAGGAGGAAGCGTGATAGTATTTGGAAGCGTTTTCGGCAGCCTGGTTTCTGCAAATGGCTTTTCTGACGAGTAAGGTGGAGTCTTCGGACTATCAAAATGACCCTGAGAGCCATCTTCTTCCATTCCGACGTCACTATTGTCCTTTTTCAACAGAAAAATGCGGTCATTCATGTGGGTCGGTCTACTTTGGACTGGCTTCAGTCTCACAATGTAGACGTTCTCGACTGGCCATCATGTTCTCCTTTTTGGAGTCCCATGTAGAACGTCTGGGGAGAGTTAGTACGGCGTCTCTATGGCCAAGGAAGGAATTTCGGGGAGTTGGAGAGCTCAAAACCGAAATCGTAGTCGAGTGAAAGACGTTAGAGCAGCAATTCAAATCTAGATCGACCCAATATGTTTCGAACCTTCTCAAATCTATGCCAGACTGTGTTTTCGATGTTATAACCTCGAATGGAGGTGCCATCATACATTAGACTGTTGTTATCTTTGAATTTATAACGTATTTCATGGGGGTGGCTTTATAATTCTGCACCGCTCGAAAAAAACGGTTTTGGACCACAGCGCGGTTACTTTTTGAAATACCAACATGAAATTTGGGACATATAGGTTATTTTTCATGCTGAACACGATTTTAACACTGGTTGGTCTCAAAGTATCGAAATCATTGCGCGGCGCTCAAATTTGGGGGTGGCCTTATAATTCTGCAACGCACTGTAGTTAGTTTCCAAAAGAAGTGCTCACTTTTCTGCAAAAATTCAAGTCGAGCTCCTCCAATTTCGAGCATTTGGCGATTTGATAACAAATCGCGTCGTCCGCATTGCTCACGCCGCTCATTGTGAGCCGTTTGAGGTGTTGAAGCTTGCCGAGTTGCATCAGCGATTCGCGAGTCAAAAGAGAGCATTGGTCGATGGAAAGCGATTCGAGAAGCGGACAGCTGGAGCAAATGCGGCTCAATGCTTCATCATCGATCCCGTCGCGGTTTGAGCTTAAGCTCAATCGCCTGAAATACTCAGTTTAGGTTGATTTTAGGCCAAAAATCGAATTGCTTTTTTAAAAATTTTAATTACAATCTTAATTGCTACAGTTTCTAGTTTTCGTCTCGAAAATTCCAAATTAGGGGACCATTGAATACAAAATATTGAACATTAAACAGCCAAAACCAAACATCAAAATCAGATTTGTCTAGAGACCATTAATTTCCTACTTCAACATGTGCAGCTTCGCGACCAGGGTCGCATCGAGCAAATTTGGTGAATAGCTCAAATCCAAATGGACCAACGTGTCGGCCATCGGAACGAGATCCTGAAGTGACGACGCAGAGATGAACGATCGCTGAAGGACAAGCGAGCGCAGCTTCTTCCTCTTGAGGAATGCTAGATCCTCGATGCGAATAGACGAACCGACGGAGATGGCGAGATTCTCGATCGTGTCGGACAAACGATTCAGAATCTGCGGGTCCAAATTGAAGCGGCAATTGTTGAGACTCCGCCCACTGATTTCAAAGGTCCGCAAGCAGTGACATCGTTCGAGCAGCTTGTCAAAACTCCGACGAATAATGGTGATGACATCCCATTGGGAGCACGACATCAGACAATTCGAAATGCGGAATCGCTCGATGGTCGCGGGAAGCTCGCCGAATTTCTCGATGGCACCCAACGTCAGAATCATTCGGTCCATCTCGATCGAGACGAGACGCTGCGATTTTTGGCAGATGGTCCGAATCACCGATGTGTCGATGTGGCTTGAGCTCGCCATTGCTTCGTATTTTGCGTCAGGAGCGTGTACTCGTAGAGTCACGTGGCGAAGTGAGTTGCCGAAAAAGCCTGTAAAACGTTATTGATTTAAATGGTCCCTTTGACAAAATTGTCATTCGGTGATTTTTCGCTCAAAACGCACTCATAATCGATGAAATCGCGTCGGGATTCGCCACCGCGCGCGGACAATCCCTTTGCAAATCGAAACTCGTCTGCATTCGCAAAAATCGGCAACAGAGACGCGAAAAATGCGGTGAAATGCGTCGTAGACGAATCACTTCTTGAATTCCGAGACGCTCGAGCACGTGAAGCCAAGCTTCATCCATTTTCTGCAATTTTTCCATACAAATTGTGAAATTTTTAAAACAAAATTGCAAAAAAAGCGAGATTTCGGTGGTGTATTGCAATTTTCTTCAAAATCTGATGACAAAACCCAGGAAACAACCATACCGCGGTTTTAGTTTAAAAATAGTTTATATCGTATTTTTGGCGTAGAAAAATGTTGAAAATGGACGAAAAATGATGTTGGCGAATGAGTCATTCGATTGTTTCATTTTTCGGCTTCTTTCGTCGCTTTTTTTTACAAAAAAGATACTAAAAGATTAGTGCTCAAAATTTTAAAATTTTTGCTACACGTAATTTCTCATCTGCGGACATTTCTCAAACCTCTAACATTGTTTGCAGACAAAAAATGAAATTTTGGCATTTTTTAAATGTCGGAAATCCTTCTGAGGAAAGTTGTCAAATGAGTGGTAAATTCTAAGTAAATTTTCACAGCTCGAAGCATTTTGATAAACCCTTGCTAATGTCCGCAGATGTGAAATGATGAATGCAAAAGGGAACAAGGCGGCTCCATGAGGTCATAAAACGTGAAAAATGAGAAGCGCCGAGTCGTCGTTTTGGCTTGTGTTACACATTTTTGCTCGGGACCGAGACCAACCAGCACAAATCTCATGCATTTTGCTCTTCTTCCTTTTTTTTGCTCGTTCTTGTTGCTCCGATGAGGGCGGAATATTAGATGTGAAAAATATGTGCAATGTGTGGTGCGAGACTATGATTTTGAGTTCCCCCGGAAATCTCAAAAGTCCGCAAAAAATCACAACAAATCACAAATAAGCAAAATTTTCAAATTAATAAAAAATTTCAAAATCAAAATTTTCAAAAGTGCTTGAAAGCAAGCAATTTTCAATTTGTGTTAAAAATTTTTCCATAACCGAAATGGTACAAACACAGGATAAAAGAAATGATTTGAAGGGCAAGATGAGAATTTCTGTGAAAGCACCGAACCACACGCAAAATTGCACAGAACAATAGTACAGTACTCAAGATTTGGAAACACACCAAACTCAACGCAAAAATACACAATGTCTCAAAAAATCTTTAAATTTTTTGGACTAAAAATGAGAGGCGAGAATTCAAATGAGGTGGAGTTCATAAAATATATGAGAATTTGCCCTCTCGGCGCCGCCACCAGTCGGCTTGTCATTACTTTTTGACGCAGGCAGAAGCCGCTGCCTGCGCACCTCCATCTCTGCGTCTCGCGCCTCCAACACACTCTCTATTGCTTGCCACAGCTGATTCGATGAGGAAAATAGTGCATTGTTCTTGACTTGACATGACGACGAAACAACCACCTCGACTAACCTGCCCAATTTGATATCGACTAATTAGATAATTAGTTTTATGAAAAAATCTGGAATTTGAAAAAACTTAAAAATTCAGCATTTTGAATCGTGAAATTTCTGGAAAAAACCAAACAATGCAAAATCTTGAACATTTATTTCTGACAAACCCGAAAGAGGAACCAAATTTTAATTGGGAAATATTGCTTGTTTGAACCGGTTTTGGGCAGGCTGAAAATGGTGACCCTTTGGCAATTTTAGAGGTATTTTGCCATAGAATATTAAAGAGCCCATCTGCGGACAATTTTGCGGCACTCAAAAATGTCCGCAGATGCGGCAGCATGTGAATTTCATACTTCTTGGGACTCAGGAACTCGGGGGCAAAACAATATCAGCAGACGCGAGATTAAATAGATTTCAAAAATTCTGTGCACAAGAATTATCAAAAATAGCATCTGCGGACAATTTCGAGGCATCAAATGTGTAACAATCAACAACTGTTGTTGGTTGAGGTGTAACATGTCGCCTCCATTTAAGCCTATACCATATAATTAATATTATATAACATATAATATATAATTAATCGGTGGCAAAGCATTTTTCCACACAAAAAATTCTCATTTTCTGTCTCATTTTACAAACTCGTCTCAAATCAAACAAAAAATGTGGGCGGAGCCGAAAGGTTGAGTGGCACGTGAAACTGGTTAGACAGTGACGAGAGAATGCGTGTGGGCGAGAGACGCCGACAATAATTGAGCAAACAAGACGCCAACCTGGAAATAGATGCTCTCGGCAGCTACCAGTTAGTTTGACAATTCCGAACAATAAAAAAAGAACGATTTTTTGAAACTGACAGTTTTTGTTTGAGAACTCGCCGGGGGATTCGAACTTTGCAAATGAATAATTGAAATAACATGATTATGATTGGATAGAAATCGATCAATTTATACACTTTTGGATTCCGAATTGAGGACAGGGTGCCTTTTTTCAGAAAAAATATAAATAGACGCTAGTTTTGTTATTATTTTTATTTTATTTTTGCGTGACGCCCGCCATCGCCGCTCTCAAAAAATTATTTTGTTTTTTTTTTGCGAATTTCGGCGGAAATTTTGAGAGAATTCGAATATATTGCGTAATGGCAGCGGTAACGAAGAGGCGTCCAAGAAAAAGTTTTGCTCATAAATTAGCTAAATTTCAACCAAAAAATTCCAGCAGCCACAGTTTCCGTTGAAACCGAAGACGGCACCCAGGCGGATCGGCCGAAGAAAAAGGCGGCGGCGCGGAAGAAGGGAGGTGAGCATCTTTAAATTTTTTGGACGGCCGACGGAATTCGTTGCAGGAGTCACTCGCAGATTGGCGGTTCACTCGTATGCCGAATGCAGCGAAGACGCGCTCAAAGACTTTGTGAAAGCCGCGTGCGACATCGGCGTCAAAGGCATCTGCGACGAGTTTATCGCGTTGAAGCTCGAGACGCAGGCGTGCACGAAGCCGAAAACTGCGCACGACAAAAACGCGGACCGAAATCGATATAAAGGTAGTAGTAATTGATTAATGGTCTAGCTGTCCCCAATTGACCTTGTTTGCTTAAAATTGTCAAATTGCAGACGTCTACTGTATCGATGAAACCCGCGTGGTCCTCAAATATCCGGAAGGCGATGCGCAGGACTATATCCACGCGAATTGGGTGAAAACCGGCGATGTGAATAAGTTCATCTGCACTCAAGTGAGTGAGCCACATTTGACGTAAAAATCCACTGGCTTGCATATTGACTTCCAAACGCGGTGAATTAAAAATAACCAACTGCGGACAACTTTGAAAATATCCGCTCATAGCCATTTTGAATTACTATTCTTCAACTCTTAAATCAAATTTCGAGGCCTTCCCACTTTGAAAATGTCGGCAAATGCTAATTCTTAAAGACGGTTGCAGCCGGTCAGAGGCCGCGGAATTTTGTTAGTTGTATCAACGACCCATCTCATTTCACATCTCGCCCATCGGCATCGACCTGACTGGCTAAGTTGCAAAGCGATCGCTACTACGCCGTGAAGGTCGTTATATCGACACCTTGTTGTCGTGACGGGAGGATTTTGCGATTTTTTACACACGTTGTTTTGAAGGGACCCACCGAGAAAACAATCGAAGACTTTTGGCGTCTCATTTGGCAGGAAAAGACGCCGTGCATTGTGATGCTGTGCAATGTGATGGAGATGGGAAAGAAGAAGTGCGAACAGTATTGGCCCGAATCGCCGGAGAAGCCGGTAGGTTCTAGTCTGTTTGGATGGGGTCTGAAGTTTGCTGCAATGAATTCCAGTGGTTCCAAAATTTGCTAGCATTGAGTTTTTGTAGCATTTGTTTCGTTGTCGAATCTCAATTTCCCCACTTCTCAGATGAGTTTGGGTAAACTCACCATCAAACTGGTCGAGGCGAGCCGCGAAGTCGAGCCAAACATTCTTCTCAAACGAATGTCGGTGTCCGATGAGACGGGCACCGTTCATAATCTGGATCATTGGCATTGGAAGGCATGGCCAGATCGTGGTGTTCCCGAGATTCCGATGGCCGCGTTCCGACTCCTACTTCGAGTAAGCCTTCGCCATCATCGTGGTCATCCAATGATTTCAGCTCAAAGCGGTCTCGCCGATTCTCGTACACTGTTCGGCGGGCATCGGCCGAACCGGCACCATCGTCGGCTTGGAAATCGCTTACTCGAAGTTGTGCGCCGGCGAGAAGGTCTCGCTGAATCAGATCGTCCGCGACATTCGCAATCAGCGGCACGGCTCGGTTCAGACCGACGCCCAATATCTGTTCATGCATCGTGTGCTGCTCGCGTTAGCCGAGAACAAGAAGATCACGACGCCCGAGATGGCGACGTTCGCCGCCGATTATGACAAAACGATGGCCACCAAAGCGGGATGATGATGAATGTTGAACGGCATCGAGATTTTACGCAGATTTATGATCCTCTGAATGAACTTTTCGTTTCTTTTTGTTTCTCTTTGAAAAAAGGCACATTTACAACTTGAGGGCAAGCAAGTTTCATTCGACGCTTTTTCGCAGTTACAGTAATCTAAAGGGGTGTGGGTTAGCGGAATTACTGTAATTTAGAAGAGGATGCGATGAATGAGAAGAAAAAAATCGAAAAAAAGTATTCTCGATAAAAATCAATCGTTCAACGTGATTTTCATTCGTGCCGCGTCGATCAGTATTCGCTATTCGGAATGTGCAAAATACTACTGCTCATCCTTGCCTTCTTCCTCCCGGTAAGTTCGTTTGCATGTTTTGAAGTGCTACAGTAGTTCGTAGACGAATGGCTTAGGGAAGAATCATTGCTACCGTAAAGAAAGAATAATGAAATTGTTCATAAGAAAAAAATAATCGTAAATATGTTTTTTTTTTTCACTTTTTTTCTAGAAATTATTCCATTAGCACGGCCAAAATGTTATAGAACATAAGAAATCTTCGAAGGAGGTGGAGCCAAAATTGATTACTGTAGAATTTTAGAATACGATTTGAAAAATACAAAATCCTAATTACCGTAGTTAAAAATATACAGTTGCAGCTGTTGGCATAAAAAACTATTGTAGGTCGTCGAGATTTTACTCGAGACCGATCTTGAGACTACAGCATTCCTGCTACCGAATCCCAACAACAAGGAAAAATTTCAGCCAGCCGCTGTTCTGCTATCAAGAGGCTGCGGCAAGGACCTGTGCATCAACATCCTGCTCACGTTGATTTTCTTCCTACCCGGCATGATCCACGCGTGCGTCGTCGTCATCTTCACTGACGATGGGCACAAAGATTGAGAACAATATTTTGAGCAGAATAAATCGGTCTTTTTAGTTTTATTAGAATTAGAGTTTTATTAGAGTTAAAAGCTTTATTTCTACCAAAGAACTCGAAAGCTTGTGGGTTTTTTTCGCCATTGAAAAAAACTTCGCTCAGTTGTTCTTCGTGAAGCAATTCAGGCTTTTCAGAAACGATTTTTTCTCAGTCTTCGCTTTTTTCGATTTCTTCGACTTCTTCTTCTTCGTTGACGGCTCTTTTACTTCGGCTTCAACGTCACCATTAACCCTGAAATTTCGAGTCATTCATACAGTAATCCACACATTCAAAATTTTCACTTTTGAACAGCCGGCGGCTCTTCAACATATTCTCCTTGAAGATCGGCAAGTTCCCAATGTGCCAGAGGAGTTGTCGATGATTTTTTGATCCACACGCTGGTCCTACAACGAATTTTCGAACTTTTCTAGTGTTGTGTTGTCATAAGGCTTACTGATCCTTGGCCAGGATAAGATCCTTATCCTCAATGAATCCAAGATCCTCGTTGACGAGAACATCCAGCTCATCGTTTCGGCTCACGTCGACAAAGACCTGGAAATGTCATATGGTACTCCTTCAATAATATATTCTTGCTCGAATGCAACCAGCAAGAACAGGTCACTTTGAAAGTCCACGCAAGACCCAGACCCAATAAGTTACCTCAAGCTCGCCGTTACGTTTCCTCGATTTGACTACGGTACATTTTCGGAATGAGACATAATGGTCCGTGTCCGATTCAGGAATCGCCCAAAAAGTCACAGATTTTCCGATAATCTCCGAATTTGGAATGCTGAAATTATTAATTTTTTCAGAAATGTTCTGCAAATCTACACGTACCAATGCTCTTTTAATAATCGAACGTGTGAAAGGCCTTCCACTTCGACTTCATAACTTTCATCATTACTTTCCCTCACCACAAGACCCACAAGTTTCTAAAAAATAGAATGCTTAAGCTAGAGACGCAGAGAAATGCCAACCAAAGGACGTTTGTCGGTCTGGAATTCGCAAATTCGCCATTCTTTCGTTTTGTAATCCAGGAAAATCCAAGCCATTCCTCTACAGAGTTGTTTTATTTCAAAATGTGAAAAAAATGATTGGAAAAATTACGGTAATTTTTCCACATCCAATTGCTGATTTTTGCCTTTAATATAGCCGAACACCGCATTCAAGAAAATCGGCGATTCAGTGAGAATGTCGGTCTTGCAGAACGTCACATCCACTCTAATCTGCAAATTTTTCTCGAAATTTGAAAAAAAAAAATAATTTTTTCAGTACTTCGGCCGAATTCAAGTCGAAACGATGCTGGAAGACGTCGGGAAGAATTCTGACTTCACCGGTGACATTGAGTTGCTCAGTTTGATCTTCTGGCGACGGTAAATCAAAATTTATCCATTTTCCGAGGTAGTTTTGCTCGCTAAAAATTGAACTGTGAAAGCAGTTTTAAAAATTTGAGATTCGAAATAAAAATAATTACAGTAACGCGATTGAAGGCGCATACTGATTATTAGATAAATATTTTCACGCCTAAAAAATCGGATTTTTTTTAATTAATGAACCAACTTCTCAATGCGAATATTCTGCAAATTTTTCAAATCCGCATTCCAAATAAGGTATCTACTATTTCCAAGCCAATATGCAACAAATCCAGTAACTTGTGGGACATTTTCCTCATTCTCAATTCTAAAACAATCCATATATACATACAAAGAAGAGAAAAATGTCAATCAAAAACCTTTTAGTAGCAGATTCTGATAATGAAACACGATTTTCCGCAAGATTCTGATTGCTTGCCGTTCTCCACTTAATCGAGCTCGAATCGTCAAAGTGTTGGATGATCCACGCCGATTTTCTGGAAGAAAACTCCAAAAATGATGGTCAGGATCAAGACAAGGTAAATTGAAGATAGGATAAGTCTCAGACACAGGATCAGGATGAAGTTGAACAGGTTCAGTCATTGGAAGAAGGATAAGCTCTCAGGAATATTTCCAAAGTAAATATTAGAGAAATGCTAAACACTTGGTATTTGAAGTTCAGGATCAATGTGAGACGAAAACTCACTGATCCTTGGCCAACTTCCGATGCGGGTCAATTATTCGTCCAATCTCCGGATTTCGGTAGACATTCGTGTCATTCTCATCAAGTTTCTCAAACTCCAAATCAACAAGAACCTAAAATCCCGATTCTTCACGATCATCAGGTCATTCCCTCTAACCTCAATTTCTTCGTCGTTTTTCCGCGTCTGAATCTCAACACAATCGCCGAATGACACTAGCTCGTCGGATTTTTCGTCGAAAATTGCCAAAAATGCCACCGATTTGCCTATCCAATCCACGTATGGCGCGCTGTAATCCACATGGCATTTCGGTTTAAAGGCGCAATGCATTGACCTACCAATGCGTCTTGAGAAGGCGAACATCCTTCATTCCTTTGACACCGACATAGTAGCTATCCCCATTAGAGAATTTCACCACACCGACGACACTTTTATGGGCCTGAATATCATCAAATGAAAGCAACACTATTTTTATTATCAGTCAATGCAGAAATTCAAACGGCACCGAAATAAATATATAGCAATGATCAAAGTTTCCATTTTCATAGAAATACCGCAATCCCGAGACCTTACCACTGGTAGCAAATCGTCTTGATACGAGGAAATTTTCCAATCCATTGTTCTACGATTCAAATAGATCCAAATCATAGTCCTGCAATGAAAATGATCCATATAAAATTATGATAGTCCATACTCACGGATTCTTAAAAGTGTCGATATGTCGATTGATTCCCTTAATATTTCCAAAAACGTCGTTGAAAAATTGTTGCTGTCCGGTGAGAACATCGGTTTTGCGATAGGTTGCATCGACTTTCAACTGAAATTATTTAAGCTTCTGTATGCACACTAATTTTGGAGCCTACTTCCACCATCTTCTGGTTGATTCGACATTGGAACATGTTCGGAAGAACCTGAATCTCGCCGCTGGAGGTGTACTTGCCTTCCGGTTCCGATTTCACGTTGCATTTAATCCATTTTCCGAGATAGTTTGCGTTGCAGCAAGAGCAACTGAAAATGATAGGTTATGGAATAGTGGAAGAGCACTGCGAAACACGATAGACACGCCGATGCCGCTTATTAACAGTGTTAACACTTTTATCGTAAATTGGATGTTCTCGGCGCCGAATTTTGCTAAATTCGAACTCAATTTTTGTTGCGTCTCACTTTTCCACGATAATTCTGCACAGCTCATTGGCACCAGTTCGTCGAACTCTCCATCCCAAGTACTCAGATCCCTGAGTATGGGAAACCAGAATCCCAATCCATTCCTCAGCATCATCAAGCTCGTTTAAGTTCGTCTTGCTCTCACCCCTGAATATTTCTTTTTTTGCCCAAAATATCGATAAAAAATCGCGTACAAGGTCAATCGAATAACCAATTTGTTGCTTCTTTTCTCATCCGTCGACGATTTGCGCGACGTTGTTCTGCAATTTGAATTTTTGGCGGTTGCTGCGGACAACTCGCGGGTTTGTCTCACCCAGTTTCAGGTATCGTTTTATGGGAAACTCGGTCCGATTGATCACCGGAGGGCCTAGAAATCAAATTTAGCTTCTGCGGACAGTCTCAGCGTGTTTTTGAGACTTACTCGTTTTTTTCAATAACGGTTTCCTGCGAAATCGTTACACTTTGTTCTAAAGTCGGCCTGAAATTTTCATTTTTTAAATTCAAATTTTCAATTTATATTAACGTGGCTTCCTCTTTATTTTCAGCATAATCAATTGCTCTAAAAATTGAATTTTTTTATTAATTTAATTAATTTTTAAAAAAACCTAGGCGGCTTCGGTGGATGACCATCTTTGAGCTGTTCCCTGAAAATGTAATACACAAAAAATTAGTTTTTGTGAGTTCAATGGTCCCTATAATCATAACTCAAAGTTCAACTTACTGGGGTTTCTCATTAAAAAAATTACATTTTTGAATTCAGTAGTTCCTAAAATAGGCCACACCAACAAGTTCATTAAATTGTACTACAAAGTAGGGGTCCAAATTCTTATTTTCTTATACAGATCAATAATTGTTGTCAGAAAAAAGGGTTTGGTGCCGGCCCAGCATAAGAGTGATTTTGACAGATCATAGAAGGGACAATTAAGGCCTTGTCAAGGTCCGATAACTTTTAGATGATCATTTTACGAGGCATACCTGTCCGCCTCATCGGCGCTCTTCTCGTCCGCATTCATTGATTGAGGCAGTTTGAATCACTGAAATATCGCGAAGGTTGTGATAGTTACGAAAATTCAAAAATGCGATGAGAAGAGAGGACACTTACAAACTGATAAGAAGCACCAAAAAGAAAATGTTCAATTGTTTCGAACTTTCATTCATGCCATCAAAATGGGGGGGGGGACTCTTCAACCTGATAGCATTTGTGTTATCTCGACGATTCCGTTGACAGTGGGACGAAATGAGAGAGACAATTCGAAAAATATCGGAAGACGCCATAGGATGAAACAAGTGGATTCGAAAATTATTGGTTTCATGAATCAACACATTTTAAGATTTCGATGCTTAAAGCGAAATTACCCATTTTAGGTTTGAAAGTTGAAGGTTTGCTGTCCGATTTAAAGAATGATTAAAAATATCTCAGAAATTATGTCCGAAAAAAAGTACCTGAACTACACAGCAATGTCTTGCAACGAAAAATTTGGGCAGCCGTTTTTGGGAAGCGCACTATACAAATTCTCCCTATAAAAAATTTCAGATTTCGTTAGACGTCTATGTCATCGCTTGGCGATGGCAAAATTATATGAACAAAATTTATTTAAAGAAAAATAATAACTGAAGCGAAACATCATTTTAACAGTAGCAGGTTCGCAAGTCGAAGGCAAAATCGCCAAGCTTTTACCTGAACAAAAATTGTAATATCAGCTTGCCAACTCTAAAATTGTGTAATCAGCAACTACTTCGTTTGACCTTTTTGAAATGTGCTTAATCAGAGGAAGTTTTACCTGATGATATGCTCTCGCGATAAAATTAGACTAACCGGAACGACATTTTTTCGAATAGACAAAGCATCATGTTAGTATTATAAATCGGTAGCTTTGGGGGAATTTCACAAATGTTCTATTCTATTATTTTCCCAATGCACGTAGGGCTATTCTCAACTGACTATCCAAAAACGGATTTGGTCAGAAAGAAGATGACATTTCTTCTCCTCTAAGTTAAAGGTTTCACGAAAACCTCTTTTTTGTTTGAAATTCAATGAAATCTTGAAAAGTTCATTAATATCATCAAAATATCGCAAATTATATACATTAATATTCAAGATAATGTAGCAGACATGAATAAATATTGCAGATGCAAAAACAACAATAAATCAAATATGATATTCAGGATTGTTGTGCTGAAAATGACGGATAATGTGTTGGAATTTGTCACTAACCACTTCCAAATACGACTCGAACTCGTCGCAATTGTCGCCGGCGGCAACGACCTTCAACCGCTCCAACGTTTTCTTCAGGTCGCAGACCATATCTAACGAGGCCTTCTCAAACTCTTCCAACATGTGACTCTTCTCTTCGCAAGACGGCTTCGCCGAGCCCGGTACATTCAACGCAAACTCGAGCTCCTGACGAAGATGGCTTGTCACCTTATTCGCTTTATGAATAGCAATGTGACGTCTGAAATTTCGTTTTTTTTTTTAGAATTTTCAAATTTTTGCCTTTTTGCCGATTCAGCGGAAAATTAGAATGTACATATATATTTCGAAGATTTTTAAAAAATCTTTTTTTGTAAGTGTTCGGCAGTAAGTTGAATTTTTCAAATCATTAAATTACAAATTGGCAATTCATGCGGAAGAAACGGTGGTTTTTTCTTCCGTTTAATGGTTGAAAAAAACAGTGGTCTCACCCGAATCCGAGAAACACCGTCTTCTCCCGCTTGGATTGCCCAGTTACCCTAAATTAATCAATTTCTTGTTGATTTTATCTACACGTCTTTTAGCGTCATTGCCAAGATTGTTGTCTAAACTGTTGGCAAATTTTGCGGCAGTCGTAAAACCTTTCGTTTGGCACAATGCGTAAATCTCAGCTATCTCAATTCTGAAATATTTCGAAAATCTTCGAAGCTTCAGAAAAGTTACCTAGATTTTTCGAATTCCCTTTCAATCATCGCCAAATCTGTGATAGGTTTCAATGAGTCTTCACAGCTCGTTGTCGGCATATTTTCTGGCTCTTCAGCGAACTAAAATTGGTCAAACATCAAAATCAACAACTGAAATTTCAGCGCACATAGGTATTAAAACATTTGTTTTGTCTTGCACGTAAAACTCTCTGCATATTGGCAAAATTCCATTTTTTCACTTCACGAAGTTTCTCATACTGCTCTCGCTCCATATCTAGCTGAAATTCTTCATTTTAAGGAATATAGTTTAAAAAAAAACCTTAAAAAGAAGCGCGCATCTGTCCGCTTCAATGCTGTGTTGAATCTTCTGGAAAATCTCTTGAAGTTCTCGATTTTCTGCACGACAAGCTTCAATTTCTGTCTGGATAAATTATAATTTAGATTTAAAAAAATCATTCCGAACTACTGCATCTGTCGAAGTTTCCGTCGGTTCCTCCATCACGGTTTCCAATTTTGTTTGCATGTTCTCCATTCCTTGTCGATAAGCGCTCTTATCATTTAATCTTCTCATTAATAAACGCATTTCTCGTTTTTCTGAAAAAGTAAACATTCCGATAGATTTAGCAATTTTTTCCGACTTCCAATCGTTTTCATCCGTCCCTTCTTTTTGGCCAATTGGTTCGCTTCAGATTGGTGAGTCGACGTCGAATTTCTGCTGAGAAGCATGCTTGTGGAAAAATCCTGCGACAATTTATTTATTTTCGCCTTGAAATTCAAAAATTCTGCAAAACGATTAAATTTTGGCGTTTTGAGCGATATAACCATTGTGCGGGAATCCTTGAAAATTCCTTCTCACCGCTTCCTCTTCGTTCATTTCAGAAATCTGTAAAAGTTTGAAGAAATGAGAAAAATGTTCGAAAATTAAACGAAATGACGCCGAATTCAAATCAAGCGGCGAGACGATAACATGTACCGCGAGACCTTAACGGGAAATTGTGAATGCACCTTTAATAAAAAATCGATTACTGTCATCACATATTTTTATATTCAAATTCTCGACAAAATATCACTATATTTCAATGCAGAAAGAAAAAAATTTTTTCCGGTGAAATAAATCACAAATAAATAATTAAATAAATAAATGAAGGAAAATCATTAACAAATTACCGAGTAATTTATTTATAACGAAGAAGCTTCTTGGTTACTTCGATCGATTTGGTCACCGTGTGCGTCTCGGTATTCATCTTTGAATCTCTGTTCTGCAAAACCAGATTGTCCGCAGATGTTTTTTTTTAGCTTACCTCTCTTCTCTCCAAATGTCTTCTGTGCTCCTCGCCGTGTCTTGCCATCGCCGCGTCGACTCCAGCAGAAGCACTAAACATAGTCAATTTTTATTACTGGCTTATTAAGGCACTAACTACCCGACATGGCGCAACAAGAGCGGACCTCTTGTATCCGAGTCTTCAGTATCTTCGTTTGTCTCGCCGGATGCTGATCGGACACGCTGGCGAGATTGGCCAGAAGCCGAAACGACAACTTTGACCGTGCGATCCTGAGTATCGCTTTGGCGAGCGTGACCTTGACGACGCTCGCCTCCAGAATTAGAGAGCCTTAATGAAGGGTGCTTCACGTTTTCTTCTTTCTGAGGAATTGCCGGATTGGACGGGCGAGTTGGTGGTGATGATGGGGGCCGAACACGTTCGGAAGACTTCTGACTCTCGCGAGACTTATTTTGGAGCGGCGATCTTGAAGAATTGCTGGGAGCTGGACCTTTTTCGAGAGCACGAGTTGTCGAAGACTTCTCTTTCTGGGGGCCTGAAGAAGTCGGATGTTGATCTTCGGAAGCTTCAGGAGCTGAAGCTTCGTCTGTGGTTTCTACTGCTAGCTTAAACGTAGATCTCGTCATTCCCTGACTCACTGAAGTAGCTTCTAGAGCTCGCGGTGTCATCTTAATAATCGAAGTTCCTTCTTCGTGTGCTGAAGTTTCTTTCTGAGCTTCTTGACATTCTTCTGTAGCCGGTGCCAACTGAAAGCTTCTTCTGACAGCATCCGCTGAAGCTTCTTCATCTTCTTCTTCAGCTGGGGGAAGGGCTTGCTCAGCGGGCGTCGCGTCTGATCGAGATTCATCGCGATCCGGGGAAACTTGAATCGCGGGACTTTCATGATTGGCGGGAGATGATGGGGACCCATGAGCAGGGCCCAATGTTGCGATCGTCGGCGATCCGACAGAACGTCCGACGGGAAGCGGGCTTCCAGAGGCCATTACGATCGCCGATTCAGCACGTCCACGCGACAACGATGGAAGCGACGGCTGCGGAGTCTTCAGACTAGCATTGACTGCACGCGGAGCGGCTCGACCAGTAACACTCACCGATCCGAAAGCAGACGACGAAGCCGCTTGTGGCACGGGCTGCGTCACAATGATCTGGCTACTATCCCAATGGCTCGGTGGTGACGAGTTATGATTCCATGGAAGCCAGCCATTACACGGTCCACTATTTGGACAGCGTTCGGGATCATTGCAGCAATAGACTCCTCCCTGCGAGATGACGTAGCGATGGGTGATGGTACTATTAGTAGGGGTTTGCATGTAAGCGTCCGCTTGATCAGCGCAACCAGCTGTTCCTTGAGCCTGAGCAACTGCAGCATATCCTATTTGATATGTCGGGTTGTTCTGATGTGTTTCTGCTTGATATGCATGTCCGTTTTGTTGCCCCTGATATGTTGGTGCCACTTGATGTGCAGATTGATATGACAGTGCATTGCGGACCTGATATGATGAGTATGATGGTCCCTGAGTCTGCTGTGCCATTTGGTATGATACTGCATTATAGGGTTCTCCTTGATAGTACTGTCCAGCCTGTCGCACCTGGTACGCGTTCTGCAATGGCGGCGATGATCCGCGGTTTGAGTATCGGTTGCTAAAGGTATTTTGTGGTCCCATTTGGTATGGTTGGTAGATGTTTCCATTCTGCGGAATTCCTCGAAACTGTCCTCCATTTTGCTGTCCGGGTTGAAAAAACTGGTCATTCTGCTTCTGTTGCGCGCATGGATACGAGGGACCAATTTGTCCGGCTTGATAGTATTGTCCGGGTGGATTTTCGTTCCGATGGTTGTTGTTCCCTTGGTTCGGATTACTAGCAGTATTCGCTCTAGCTTGATTGCCCCCAGGAGGTGCCTGCTGGTTCATTGCCCTGTTGTGTGCATGTTGCGATGGTCCGTTTTGAGGTCCCACTTTATATGTTGACCCTCTTGGTGCTTCACATTTATTAGCAGCTTCATTAAGCTGTCCGTTTGGAACTGCATTGCGATAGTAATTAGGAGCCTGACCGAAATTCGCAGCAACATTCTGTTGGGAGTTCGAAGGCTGACCCCTTTCTTGATTCGGTGTAGCCTGATTGACGGCAATCATTGGATTCGACGATCTCACCGAATTTCCAACGTGAGGTTGTTCGGGATTTCTCACGACAGCCGGCTGGTTCGGTTGTCTAGCCAGCTGGTTGGGATTGCCGAGAAGAGCGCGACCGGCAGCCGGTGGTTGAGCAGTCGGTCCACGTGGTGGACTCAGTCGACGCCGTTGAGTTGGTGGAGCGTCATCGTCTCCAGAATCCTACCGAAAAACCCAGATAAATTTGTATTCCTTTTTTGGCAAACCTCATTATCTCGCCGATGTTTTCGTCTCTCCTCCTTGAGCTCCTTCTCAAGCTTTTTCACCTGCAAAACCCAAATTTCCCATGATTATTGTTTAGACGCATACCTTTTTCTTGAGCTCGCGTTTCTCCTTTTCCAACTGCTTGTAGCGCTTCGATAGCGAATGATTGACGGTAAGGAATGAGCTCAACAGGTCCGAAGAGCACGAACCATCATCCTAAATATGGAAAAACGTCAAAAAAGAGGGAAACGCTCACCGAATCCGAATCCGAAAATCGATGGCGCGATGAGCTCTGACGATCTTCTTTGGAAGGCTTCACCATTCTGTAAACAAAACGAGGAAAGTGCGAATGGGTGAAAGGAAAAGCTAAAGTAACACGAAAAAGGAGTGACGTGTCAACCGGCAGTCAATTTTAGGCCATCTTGGAAGCTTCTAGTGTGTCGAGGGTCTCACAGCGAAACGAACATCTATGGACAATGTGCGCTCCATGGGTAATCAGTTTTGAATTTATGTTTTTTGGAGTGGGAGCAACGAAGCGCCATATGGCGCCCATCTGCTACTCGCGCCGAGCAAATCGATATCAATTTTTGCCGCTGGTTGCCCGGGGCTACATCATCTGCTTTTTCGGCATTTACTTTCTGCGTCTCCTCATCGACATTACTATTTTCTTGTTTACCCCTTTGCTTATAAATTAGAAAAAGCTTGAAAATGTTGGTTCGAGATGTGTGAAATCCAATAATACATATTAAAGGGGATTTGGCAAAAAGAAAAGAGAGAGAGAGAGAGAGAGAGAGAGAGAGAGAGAGAGAGAGTAGTTGCGTGTTTTCGACAATACCTATTAGCATTTTTAATTTTAAAAGATTAATTAAGTTTTGACTCTTGATTTTCACTTAATTAGAGAATGCTTTTATTGTATCCTCTGTATATGGCAGATAGCTGCGGAAAACGTAGGTTTCTTAAAGAAAACCTTCTACTATATTCCAACTTTTGAAACACGTATAGTCGGCGTCCGGCGACCGCTGTACGCGGGTAGATTTACATGCATGCGCCTTGAAAAGGTCTCGCCACGCGTGAATGCCTATTTCGCTGTTTTCACGTGAACAGCTTCATTTTTCTTGATGAATTTCACATTTCCTTAAATTTCCAACGATTTTCGAATAAAAAATTATCGAACCGGTTCATAAAATTTGAAATAATCTGTTAGTCCTTGCGAGACCATTTCGAAAGACACATTCCCGTAAATCTACCCGCGTACAGCAGTCGCCGGACGCCGACTATATTTTCCTTTCAAAACTTAAAGACTGAAGTCAGTAGTTAGTAGCTTTTCCAAATCGCAATATCCCAATGGAACTCTCAATACAACTGACAAACGAAAAAATGGAAATCGATAATAGTCGCCACAATACAATACCATTTCTGCTTGAGACCTATAGGTTTTGTATACAAAAATTAAGCTGCAGGGAAATTATTTGCCAAAGTTGTAATAATGACCAATGATAAAATCTCTTTAAAACAGTACCCAACTTTCGCGCACTTCAATCGAAAATTTCATTACACATCCAATATTTATTAATGATGGTAAGTAGCGTATATGAACATGTTATTATTATCATACAAGACTCTAAAACCTCAAGGCGTCAATTTACAACAAAAATTGTACAAAATGCGGGGAACAACATTAACAGATACAAAAAATCAAGAAATATGAATTCAGACGTGAAGTCTAGACTTGCAGAATCCAAGACTTCTTGTATATATAACAAATGTAAATGATTACCACACTGTGGGCTTATTAAAACCAAAACGTTTTAGTTTCTTTTCAACTTCATTGCCGCCGACACAAGAGCAAATCTTTCATTGGCTCTCTTGAGTTCACGGTTGAGCTGAAAATCTCAATTATTATTCAAAATATTTCACATTTTTAAATGATCACATTGTTCTTATCGGCATTTGCCCTCTCTAATTTTCTCTCGGCTTCAATCGCTCTTGCTCGTATCTTCTCGTTTTCGGCTTTGAGCTCTTCAAGTGGATTAGGTGCGTCGACTGGTCCGAGGCTGATCTTTAAAAAAAAACAAGTAGTTATTCATAAAATTCCAGGCAAAATATACGCACATATTTGGTGTACAAATTTCTAATAAAATTTTTAGCGTTTCTCTTATCGCTTAATCCTCCCTTTGCATCACGAAGGAATGACAGTTTCTCATTTAAAACATTAATTTCGCGTTTATTCTCTTCCAAGAGATTCTTAAACTGCAAAATTTTACAAATAGAGCGAGTAAAAAAAGCAAAAATTGCTTACGTCTTCGTGATCCTTGATGTTGCAAAACTCCTCACCGGCAACTTGTCGACGGAATTTCGCCAACTCCGCATTGGTTCTTTCAAATTTCTTCGAAAGCTCGCTAAGACGAAGCTCTATTGCCTTCTTTTCCTTGACACATTTGTCATGGCTCATGGGCGTACTTTTATGTCGCTCGGAATCATCTGAAACTATTATTTTTTTAAATTCTGATTTTCACTGACCGTGAGAAAAGACGGGACGAGATCTGGAGGCTCTGTCAGGAATATTGATCATAGGAGACGGATTTCTTTGTGTAGGTGACGGTAGTACAGGCATCTCTGATGATTGAAAAGAAGTGATAAAAACCTTTGGTAGTGGTGGTGATGGTGGTGGTGATTGGACTGAAATTTCAGTATTTTTTTTTTCACCAATTTCCAATACCTGTAATCAATGGCACAAATATCGGCTTTGAATTCGCCACTTTGGAGCGCTTTTGGAGGACAAATTCATCTTTAATTAATAAATCTGCAAAAGTTGCGGATGGAGTTGAGAAACTGTTCTGCGAGACGTCCAAGTCTCTTGTGTATTGTACAAGAGTGCGCATAATTCTGAAAACGAAGAATTTTTCGAATAAACTGTCTACCTGATTTTTTACAAGTTCTAAGAAATGAAGCAGAAAAACAACTTTTTTTGAGAAACGAGACAAAAAGGAAAAATACGCGCCACTTATTTGAAATGTGTGCAAGCACGTTGCAGACATATTCTTGTAATACATCTACAGTACCAGACCATTTAAACGCAAATGTGTCTAACTCACAATTGTCAGCAAATTTTATGGTAGTTCACCCGATGCCTTTGGACAAGCTGCGAACAGTCTCGACCTCAACCACCGTGCGCACTGCCTAAAAATTTGTTGATAATGATAGGTTAAAGCTAGTTAACACGGTTGTGTTCACGTTTATTAGGAGTATTATGGAAAAAAAAAACAAGATGCGCGTGATAAACGCGAAATAACGAATTATTTCCAATAAAATAGCAGCGATAAAAGTTTTTTTCTTTAACCCTTTCATTGAAAACGATTAGGATCAAGGATAGAAACGTGAGTCTTCAAGTTATGAACCCAAAGCTGTTTTTAATATTTTCAGGGCTTTGGAGCGCTGATTTCATTCCTCAAGATAGACCAATTGTGATTGACTATGAGAAATTAGCAAGAAATTAGTCGTTTAGAAAGGTAATTTCCAGCAGGGTTTATGTCCGGTGCTCTGTTTTGACAGAACGGGCTTCTATTCTATTGAGAATTTGAGGTATATTACAGAAATTAGAGTACAATGAGAAAATAAAAGAAAAAAACTAAACGCAAGAGCAAAGACTGTATTTGGACAAGTCGGCATCTAATTCCTAAGGCTCTAAACACAGACCCATCCCGATTGCCGTATATCTCTGTATTTTACTCAAATCGTATTTTATGCGCTAACTTTGGTCATAAAATCTCGCTTCAAATTTCCACTTAAAATCTCTTCTCATCTACGACCCTTTTCGTCGTGAAAGCCAAAAAAGTGAAATGTCGAATTTCAAGATGCAGGTTAAAAAAAAACAGGCTTGTCGTTTTGATCGGCTAACATATGTCGCGTGCCGGTTAAAGTGTGGCCAAGGCATACAAATTAGATAATTTTTTTTTTCTAAAAGCGTCTTCAGCAGCCTAACCTAAGCCATTAACTTTTTAATAATTCAATTCATCAACTTTTATTCAGTTAGTGGAAGTGTTTCAACAAAATATTCTATATACAATATGTACTCGGGTTACAGTGACGAAAATTTAAGCAAAATCATTATCAATCAGTGCAGTTCGACGACAAAGATGCTCGAGCTGCTCAATCTTCTGGTCTCTCTCAGCAAGCTCTCTAGTGCTCTCAATTTGATCCTTAAAAATTGGAAAATCTAAAAAAAAAAATAGGAATATTGAAACCTCTCGAAGAAGATCCACAATCATCTTCTGATTGTCTATATCCATATTCATACACTTCATTTGAATATCCATAGTGGCAACCTTATCGCGAAGCATCATTATCTCATCCTCAAGCTTCAACGCATATTCAGTCTTGTTCGCCAGCTCACGGGAAATTATGGCGTATGGCGGATCGAAGCAAGAAGCTCCGGTTTGCATTGAAGACACCTGATGTTCGAGCATCTGTCGGAGTTCGAGCTCCTCGTAATACTTGGCCGCCTGCTCGCTGAGCTGTTTCCTAAGAAATAAATAATATTTGTTCCGAATTAGGTGTTTACTTGAGATTCTCATTCTCTTCCATCAGGCTTTCGTGGTTATTGTCGGTCATCTTCTCGAGGTTAGTCTGGTAAATTTCAATGCTTTGACGCGCCGCGGCTAGTTCATCTTTCAATGATTGTACCTCATTGCGACTTGATTCCAGTTCCGCTTCGAATTTCTTTTTTTCAATTTCAAACTGAAGTTTCTTTGCATAAAACAAAAATTAAGTATTATTTTGTTGGAATTACAGTCGCTTGAATATCCGCCCTAGCCTTCTCCAAATTCGCCTCTTCCAGCTTTATCATCTCTTTCCGTATCGCTTCATTCTGCTCCAGCTCGGCGATTTTCGTCGCTTGTGCGTTCAACTGTTTTTTGAGTTGCTCGACATAGATCAATGACATTCGGAGGTCATTTTCAGCAGAATCAATCGCGTCAATTTCAGCTAGCGAGTTTTTATCAGCTGAAATTTTCCAGTATTAAGCTAAAATTTCTATTAACTTACTAGAGCACTCCGATGGTGAGACAATAGACATTTCTGGATTTAAAGAAGCTTTTGGCGTGGATTCTTTGTCTTCTGTAGCCAATGATTCTTTGGGGGTTTCAACTCCGAGAGAATCTACGAGAATTGGTGTCTCATTCTTTAAAGATTCCGCGTGAATAGTTCGAATTGCCGAGAATGGCAAATCATGTGGCATTTGCATGGTTTCAGGATCGATTCGAATGCTCTGCTGCACACTCCAAAGCTCGTCTTCATTCGATTCCCCATCTGAATTCAAAAAATAAGTCGCAATATTATAAAATTGTGAAATTCAAATTTCGCAACAAACAAAAAGAAATTACTGGAAAGTGTAAATATTTACCTTGCTCGTCGAATCCAATAACTTCGAATTCATCGGTAATCAAACTATCCATCGGTTGAGCCATTTCTGAAATAAATAAATAGAAAGCGTCAACTTAAAAAAACACTATAACGAGTAGTATCCAATCAGCTGTTTAATAAAATGGACTTGGGCGAGTAACAAAAAATAAAAAGAGAAGAGAAGAAGAGTGTAATAGCAAGAATCACATGTTGTTTGATTGGACGACAGCCCGCCCGGCCCGGAGAGAACCAAGAGAAACTAGAGAACGCTTAGCAAGTGTTTCTTAATTTAAAAAAAACTTGCGAAATCATTATTATTTGACAGATAAGATGGGAATACTAATTCGTACAACGTGCAATTTGATAGATCAGCTAAAGGAAACTCGGCAAAATTAAACCAGGGGTATATTAGATGAAACAATGCCAATATTTTGAAGAAACAATGGAATAGAAATGGAACACAGTAGTTGGTTTCGTCGAATCGGCAAAACAGAGTAACCTGCGGGTATCGCGGAAACAGAGAATTGCCCGTGTTTCGACTGATGAGTTTGCTGAGTAACTAGTAAACAGCGGAGTGTCGTTATTGCCTTCGTTTTATTTTATTTATTTTTGAGACGCGAGCAACGAATGGTTTTCGGCGAAACGCAGGAAAATTTTTCTATTGATATTAGTAATATTTTTTATTTGAAGGGCAACTAAACGTCTAAAAATTCAATTTTTCTGGGAAATTAACGATCGATTTCCTTTTAATTGATTTCAAACGAAGCTTATGTGAAATTTCCTATGGTGATTTGAGTACACTTATAATTCAATAATTTTTTATTCAATATACATCCGTTAAAAAATCACTTAATTACATATCAATTGTTGAATTGGTGAACTTCAGCGATCTTCGTTTACGTCCGCATCCACAACCACATCGTGGCACCATTTGTGGCATCATACACGGCTGAAACTACAAATTGTTTGAATTGAATAATTCAACGGAACCTGGAAGACGGGTGGAGCGCAGGCGCATGGTGGTGGTGGCGGCGGGCATGGTAGCGGCATTGGACATGGCGGCGGCGGTGGTGGTAAGCAAATTGGCGGCGGTGGGGGCGGCGGTTGACAACAACAACCGGATGAGCAACCTGCAAATTGCGATGGAATAAATCCCTTAATTGTCTTCGTGACCCGGAAATTCGGTGAAAGTGCAGTTGGGGATTAACTTTGAAGCCTTTTATCGGATAAAAACTTGTTATTGAAATTGTAAGCGTTAGAATAATAAGATTTTGAGCACACTGCTCGTATTTTCGGTGAATAGCTTTAATTATCAGTAGTACAGTACTCAAGTCCTCAAATTCGAATTTTAAACATTAGGAGCTTAGATACCCAACAGAACACTGGATATCCTGCGAAGCTAACTTACCGTAAATGACGCAAGGAACTCGTTTGTTTGCGCATGTAGTAATTAATTTAAACAGGGATTCGACTTTTCATTTCATTCCTGATGGATATTAAGCGACATGCAAACCAGTCAAAATTTTGAAGTTTGAAAAATAAATTCTTTTGAGGAACTAAAAAATAAAAAATCGCATATAGGAGATTTATTTAAAATGACGGAAGCTCAAATTAATTTCACATAGAAAATGAAAGTTCAGATGTCAAGCTTTTTAAACAATTTTCTTTAAGGTTAGTGTTTTCTAACCTCAATTTTTAGCAAATTTTCATTTGGAAGAACTTCGCAGTTAAGCATCTTTTTACGCTTTTAATTCGGATTTATATGAAAAACCCACCTAGTCCACCGAAGAAAAACGGTTCCGCAAATTGAGCACCAACAGACAAAAATACGAGAACGCCGAGTAAGTGAAGCATTCTTTGAAGCGCAATTTCGGATCGCTCGGGGCGGTTTAAATACGGAAATTTGCGGTCCGCGCAAGATTACGCCGGATTCAGTCGTCGAAACCAAGGACGTGTTGTAAAAGATGAGGCGGAGGAAAAAACGTAAATCAACATATTGGAAAAACCGCAATTTATTGGAAATTGTTAATTAAAACCATATATTCTAGACGAATTCTTCTTTATTCGTTCGATAATACTCCTGGATGATTTGATTTCTGATGAGATCGTACTCGACGTCGATCGATTCTTTCACCATGGTCCTGCAACGGTTCAGCTACAGCGCATGTTACGGTAGATAGACTCACTTTTTGCGCTCGATTCGCTCGACCGCCACCTGCATGTTATAGTCGCAAATATAAACGAATGAGCGCCATACGATTGTCAGCATGTAAACTTCGAAACAGATGAGGAAAAGCTGCAATGTGCTCCTTTAAAGGGACATAGCTTCAACCTGAGCAACAGAAATCTTTAGAATTTTTCAAAAAAGAAATCTGTAATCGATTTATTGAGTGCTTGTAAAATTGTCGGCTCTGTCGTTTTTACCCAATACAATCACATGAAATTTGTCGAATTTGAGTCTAAAAGTGACTACTTTAACTATTTTACATTGCGCTAGAATAATCATTTCAATCAAATTTCAATTAAAATGTATTGTTAAGTAGAAGAGATCTTCTTGATATGACCCTTTTTTAAATGTCTTGCACACTGTTTAAATGTTTATCCGACGTTTCGATCTTTAGATCATCATCAGGGAAGGTCAATTTACCTCAAACTTGGGTAATTAAACCTTTAATTAAACCATTAATTAAACCTTTAATTAAACCATTAATTATTAATTAAACCTTTAATTAAACCATTAATTACCCAAGCTTGAGGTAAATTGACCTTCCCTGATGATGATCTAAAGATCGAAACGTCGGATAAACATTTAAACAGTGTGCAAGACATTTAAAAAAGGGTCATATTAAGAAGATCGCTTCTACTTAACAATAATCCACACGATGCACTCAAAACAAGTCGCTCCACAACTCACAAAATTGAAATGTATGCAGATCGCTCACCAATATCGAATTATGTACAATTTGCTCCATTTCGATGGTGTTTTTCGAGTTGGCCGTGTCTAGAAAATCGATGAACAAATGGAGGATGAGAGCGAATATGGTGAGCACGCAAACCGTGAAATAGGGAATGAGAAAGATGTAACTGAAATAATAGAACAATTCTCACAAAAATAATAACCAATGGTCCAAAATTGCCATTTTTGCCGAAATTGTTTAGTTATAGAAAATATATATTATTTTTTAATGGGAACCTTTGCAATCTTACCGCTTCAATCGCACACCGGCGGTAATGAGAAGATTTGTGATGCATACTGTAGAGAATATAAAAACGGCGGCTGAAATTGCTGGGTTCAAAGGAGCATTAGTATTTTTGCAACGACTTACACAGTATTCCCAGTGGGGCCACATTGCTTAACACTTTTGCCAGAAGAAAGAAGAAGAGGAAGATTGTCTTGAGGGCTGAGAGGATGATGAGATTGTGAGTCACGTGAATGGTACCGAAACAGGAATAATAGCGGAAACTGTGCTCCTGAAACGGTTTTTTTTTCTATTACTTTTTCATTACTAAAACTGAAATTGATTCTGATCTCAATCAACTCTCGAAACATTACACATCTAGTTTTGAAAAAAAAACAATATTAAATTGACAATAGATTTGGATACGATGAAAAAGAATAAAGATGACTCACATCGAATGTGGCTGGATTGATACGCTTCTGCTCAAACATACAACAACAGCAGAATGTCTTGAGGTATTTGGTCATCGAGAATTCTTTGTCTCGTCGATTCGCCGCTAATTCGAAATTATCAGACTCCATTGGGTGAGGCGGAGGAGGACGCCGCCTTCACTTAAATTGATAAGGTCAAATGATGCTAATTATATTCATTTTAGGTAGATCGAAAACAATTTCGAACAAAAAAAATTTGTGTCAAAGATATGATGGTGATCGTCGAAATGGTGAGTCGTTGCAATTTCGTCGCGCCTCGTCGAGAAAACCTGCAATAATACACGCGTTTTTAAGCCACGCCCTTTTGACACTTTTGTTTTTGTCTGGCGATTTTTGAACTTTTATGGTATCTATGATAATGGTTTTGTACTTGATGAAACTGGATTTTCATGCGGTCGTGCGCTCGCGATATTTTTGTTTTTTTTCAGTTTATTATGATCGATCGAGAAATGCGCCAGAACCGAAAATACGCCAGCAGTTTTGACCAACATCATATGTTAAAATTGTCATGTTAGATAGTTGGCTTGACGCGACTACGGAAAATTGGCTAATTGCCAAAAAATTAGGCAAAGATTGGAGCGTGGTGTGCCCCTTCAATCTATTCTTGCGTCTAGCTCGTAAATCTACACTGTTACAGTAGTTTAGCGCTTGCCATTTTTTTGGCGTTTAGCCAATTTCACACGACTTCAACAATACCATATTTTCATTTTATATTGCGGAAACAGAAATAAATTTTTTACGCTTTTTACGGCGCTCCCATTTCGCACCAGCACCTCAAAAGCGTCAAACATAATGCGACGTGCGTTTCTTCAAAATCCATTGGATTTTCAAAAATTTAAAAACCCGCAATTTCGTGTCTGTTTTTAGTGTTTGTTGGCTAAACAAAACGGTAATGTGTTGGTCGTTGATGCGTTAATAGCGATTGATATCAAATTAGGCGCTCGGCCCCCCTCCCCCCTACCTCGCTTCATTTCGCGTATGACCGAACCCATGAACTTCTCCCAACCGATGACGGCAACGCAGTCGGGATTTGCCTGCAAAGCGTGCTCAAATTTGGGTTTTTTCTGGGTGTCCCACCTCTCTATCGATTATGATTTCGACGGTCACCTTTTTGAATGTCAACCAATTATCGGCGCCGAAGTTCACACCTCTTTAAACCGATATATTTTGAAGAAATTTCCAACATCATTTTTAAACAGCCCACCTGTAGAAATGAATTTGACCTATCCGGTAAGCCATTTGAAGGATGTTGGCGATTGGGTAATAACCAAGGGAGCTTACAGCGGTGTCGAGGAAGTTTTGAATGCGATGTGCCTTTAAAATGGGAAAATCTGGGAGGTTTCTGGATACACGGAATATGCGTCAACAAAAATATGATTTTGGGATTAATAATGGGTTGTGAATATAGATTGCATGTACTAAAACGGTTTAAAGTGTCTAAAGTAAGTAAAGCTGGGTTAAATACTCTTAGCTACTAATTAAACGTTTTAGTCTGCATAAACCTGAAGCATGAACTCTCGGCAACCGTAAACGTCGTCGGTTTTCTCATCAACGTGAATACCGAAGTAATCCTTAAACTGTGGTCGCCGCTCAATGAGCTCGATTAGAATATGCTTGCCGACTTCGCGCTCCTTCGCCCTGTAATACGGTAGCTACAGTAGCTGAACAGACGATGTAAAGGGTTGTAATGATAAGAACCTATCTGCCCTGAACCAATGACGGATTACTGTACCTTTTCCAAATCTCGCGTATTTTGTTCATTTCTTCTTCGCTGAGTTCGATGGAACCGGCTGGAATTTCGCTGGAACAGCAACACGGAAAAATCCTGCGAAACATCGGGGACGTCTTTTTGTTTCCGGGCTGAAATCTCGGGATACCATGTTTGAAAAAACATCTCGGGGACGATTTTTTAGAAGAAACGCGGTAGCGAAAAATAGCTAACAAAAAAAGAACCAAAACGAAATTCTATTAGGGTCATCGCCGAGACTAAACCGGGTACGGAAGGAAGGAAAATGCGTTTAGGAGCAATTTTTGTTCTGCACCGAAAATGCGAAAGCATTGATTTGACAAAGAAATACTGAAAGCAGACAAGTAATGAGGAAATATGCAAAAGACAAGTTAAGCTTCAGTCTGGTCGGAAGTTTTTTCCAGCCTCAAACGCGTCAGTACCGAATTGAGACCATGAAATACTGTAAAACAAACAGCAAAAACTTTGTAATAGTAAAATATATCAAAATTACTTATATAAGCACGCGAAACTTTTCCATTGCACTAGAAATGCGCCCAAAACAGACTTGATAATGAAAAATTCGGATTTCTACGCGACCAGAGAAAATAGTGGGCGTGTCTAATTGAGATATAATTTGAGCCAGACGCAAGCAGGCGACGGAGAAGCCATTAAAACTTATTTGACTCGGAAATAGATATGTGTGTGTTATAAGAAAAATGCGAGAGGCTCGGCTAATTTGTGATGTGATTAGCCGAATGAAAGGCGGGCTCGCTGAGCTTCTGGCCCCTTTCACGTGCATATACATTATCTTCTTCCAAATGCACCCACGCACAACGTTGATATGAATGTGAGAATTCGGTTCGAATTTTTATATGGTGGGTGGATTATTCTGCAACGGACAATTTTATTGGACACAAATCCGGAAGTGAAGAAACATCTCGAGATTTATCAAAGGCGACATGAGGCACTTACACGCAGCCCAGACGAAGAAAACCGTGAAGTGTCCGCAGATGAAGGAAACACGTGAGGTGTCCGCAGATACATGTGAAATTTTAATATCGTCTGAAGATGCACGGAATCATTTCAAAATGTTATCACTTTAAACACATTGAAGGCGTTCTCCAATAATGAATACCATTAATAGCGGTCAAGTGTCATCCAAGTCAATTCAATGTGTTTTTTGAATTTCCAACGCAATTCTACCGTGATGCTCATAAATTTTTGAATTTACCGGTTTTTCGGACGTCATAATCGGCGGTTGAGTTTCTGTGTCATCAGCATCACTGTTCAATTTTCCAGGTCCAAATTTGGTCCCTATTTTTTAAAACAATTTTTCGGTCGTTGAATTTAGGTGCATATAGGATTTCAAATTTTGTTGACCCTTTACAAAAATATTCCCAAGGAAGGCCAATCGGATGACCTCAAACATAAATACCATCATTACCAGTTCCACTGCACTCACCACCGATCACACGCACACTCTCTCTGTCTCTCTCTCTCGCTCGCGCATTGAATACCAAAGGAACGAGGGGTCGCGCGCACTCATTCTAACAATTCGCAAACGCTCATACCGATGTACAAATATATATTTGGCAAAAATTTTGTTTGTGCGTTTTGGCGTCATGGCAACGAACAAAAGCCGCAGTCCGTGTTGTCCGAAAGCGAATTTATCTCATTTCCTCTCTAGATCGCAATCATAAATAATTAAAGAACGCGGCTTTATTAAGCGAGTTTCCTCTGCCCTTTTATGGCAAATTGCTATTTGTGCCCCTGTTTGCGTGTAGTCCACACGGACAACGCTTCCTCCATTTATCAATTTTTATAGAGCATGAAGTGAAAGTTTATTGCTATGCAAAAAATGCAATTTTGTGTTTTATTTGCTCAATTTTGAAATTCAGTGTATGTGTGTACTCCACACGGACAATGTTTGCATTGTTACTCAATTTCACATTTATGTTGTGCAAAGTGCAGAAGTGTCTCGCCACGAAAGGAGCTACTGTATTTTGAACTATGAACTCGAAATGCTGAGGAAAAATTGACTTCATTATTGAAAGGCTGGCTGTCACCTGAAGCCCTGGAATTGTGCGAAAATGAGAATTGAGATACTGCGAATACGCCTAAGCCTAATGCTACCGTACCCCACAGTTTCCATAATTAGACTCAGTGTAGTCCCTTGATGTTTTCCTTGTTCAACTGCGCTGACTCATTATTTTCTCTTGTTACCAATTTTGTTTTTCCACTTTTTAAATAAAATCAATTTTTCAGTGATGGCCAATTTAACATGCATGCCTGGCATTCTCGTTCCCGCTTTAGAGGTCTCTCCGCGAAATGCGTTACTATACCTGGCTGCGTTACTGTATTGCTTTCTGGGCATCGCAATTGCTGCCGACATCTTCATGTGCTCCATTGAGCGGATCACCAGCGCCACGAGGTTAGTTTTCAATTTTTCGTCAATCTGAGTTATGTTTTTCAGGAGGGTGAAAAAGAAAAAAACCGAAAATCGCCTAGTAGCTACTGAAAACGACGAGGAATACGATTATGTACGTATTTGGAATCCAACCGTCGCCAATCTAACCTTGATGGCTCTCGGATCATCCGCGCCAGAAATCCTTCTCTCAATCATCGAGATCGTCGGCAACGGCTTCCTCGCAGGAGACTTGGGTCCTGGTACGATTGTTGGCTCGGCTGCCTTCAACCTCTTCTGCATTTCGGCAATTTGTGTCCTTGCTGTTGGCTCGGAATCGAAACGGATCGCATTGTATCGCGTCTTCATCGTTACCGCGTTTTTCGGCACATTTGCTTATATTTGGATATTTTTGGTGCTAACTGTCATAACGCCGAATGTTGTGGATGTTTTGGAAGCCGTGCTCACCTTGCTATTCTTCTTTATTCTTGTCTTCATTGCCTATGCTGTAGATGCGGAGGTAGATCATCGCTGATTCATCCATAAGAATTGAATACTTTTAGATCTGGAAGCCTTCCAATTCCAAGGCGGATCTCAACGCGGAGCTCGAGCTTGCTGAGCTCGACGCCCCTTGCAAAAGGGTCCCGTTGAACGAGTCGATTCGAACCTGGGCGAGATCTCTGGATCTTGCTGAAGACAGGGATATCGTTGTTGACGCCACACCGTCTGTGGAAACTGTTCGCAAGTGGACAAGGTCCATCTCGCAGACCTACCCATCGCTGGATGAAGAGGATCAGGCGAAGATCCTTGCTTATCGTCTGAGTCGGACCATGTCACACGACCGTCTTTATTATCGGATCAAGGCAATCCGACAGATCTCCTCTTCGTGGAATAAGAGTCAGGAAGAGGAGGTGATCCGATTACAGGGCGATGATGCCACGGATTCCTCTAGACGTCTTAAAGCGATCGTCGAATTCAGCGCCAGAATCTATCGAATTGATCATAACGATCGAACGGCACAGCTGAAAATTATACGCAAGGGAGATATTGGATCCAAGTTCACTGTGACTTATACCACAGTCAACGGCCTCGCCAAGAAAGACCTCAACTATCTGTTCAAACACGAGACGATCGAGTTTGGAGCAGGCGAGACCCAAAAGCCGATCGAGATTCAAATAGTAGAAGCTGCTAATTGGCGGCCCAATGATGTGTTCTATGTCCACCTCAGGATCCAGGTAGATTTTTCAAAATAAAATCATGAATCTGAGTTGCAGGAGGAAAGTGATGATGGGAAAGTTCGACTTGGAGCGTGTAATGTGGCACGCGTCAAGTTACCCGAGGAGTCTTCATTCATGGGCGAGCCGTGTGTTGAGTTCGTCAAACCCAATTACGTAAGCGAAGAGCTCGCATTGAAACACCTTAGCGGATTCAGGTTGTCAAAGAGAATAATGGATATGCTCGGGTGTTCGTATCTCGAAGAGGTGCCAGCAGATCGACAAATTTTTCCGTCATCTATGAGACTCTTGACCTGACAGCGAAACAGAAAGAAGATTATATTCCCATCAAAGATGGACGATTGACCTTTGAGGGGCAGGTCAAAAAAGCTCTTTCAGTCTTGAACGGTCCCGTTTAGTTTTTAGGAATATGAGAAATATATTGATGTGGGCATTATTGATGACAAGGAAGATGAGAAGGATGAAAGCTTTATTGTGGAGTTGGTCAAGGTCGATAGTGAAGGTTTTACTATATCATGCGGCCTTAACAATCTGAATTGCAGAAATTTCCCTGGGCACCAAAAAGAAGGCAACTGTGACGATTATATCCGATGACAATGCCATTAAGAACATCACAAATGTTCGTAAATTGCTGTCCCATTACCTGCGTAAAATGCGACCTGGACAAGCAACGTGGCGAGAACAGATACTGAACGCGGTTTCAGTGAATTCTGGTGACCTGACCAATGCCACCATTTCGGATTGTGTGATTCATGCGCTGGCGTTTCCGTGGAAGGTAAGCAGTGCACCAGAACGACAAGCTATCACAAACTTGGGTTCAGTTCGCGTTCGCTTTTCTCCCCCCGCCCACCCTTCTCTACGGCTATCCGTGCTTCTTCTGCGCTCTTGTTGCAATTGGGCTCGTCACTGCGCTAGTTGGTACCGTAACTCCAACGGAAACGCATAGTAATTTTCGGTTCAGGCGACGTCGCTTCAATATTTGGATGTATGGTGGGAATGAAGGACGCGGTCACCGCGATTACTCTCGTCGCGTTGGGAACCTCACTTCCGGACACGTTTGCCTCGAAAATCGCTGCTGAAAATGTACAATGTCCCTTTAATAAACTTCTGCTACAGTATTCCTTACAGGAGGACAGTGCAGATAATGCCGTGGGAAATGTGACGGGCTCGAACTCGGTCAATGTCTTCCTTGGCCTTGGTCTTCCTTGGCTTGTCGCATCGATCTACTGGGCTTCAAAGGGACAGACATTCCGCGTAGACGCTGGAGATTTAGGATTCAGGTACAGTAACCAGTTTATAGATATCTCGAACATATATTTTTTACAGTGTTTCTGTCTTTATGGTTTGCTCGGTATTATTCCTGGTTCTTCTGATGTTACGAAGAAGGCTAGAATTATTTGGACGCGGCGAACTTGGAGGGCCATTTGCTCCCAAACTGGGATCAGGATTGTTCTTTATTGGACTGTGGCTTGCTTATGTCGCGCTCTCGATTTGGAATATGTACAAATAGGCAATTTTATAATTAATATATGAAATTTCATTGATCTGACCTCATGTGATAAATTGTTCAATTATAAAATATCAGATTTTTTCGTTGGATAATAAATAAGTAAAAATTTTTCATAATGTTATGGTAACTCTTTGTGGTGCAAATTATCGTAAGCTGTATACAGGCATTTTGGTTCAATCGATTTACAAACGTCGGCGGGGGCCTAAATATTGTTTTTTCGGCCTTCTTATTTTATTTCTTTTAGCAATTTTTTTTCAAGAATATTGCTATCGCAAAAAAATCATCCCAAACCCCTACCAGTACGACACTCCATTCACACATCGCCCTCAATTTAGTGTGGTAAACCGCTTTTGTTTCGACAAATTGATTTCTTCCCCTGTTTATATCAATTTGTTCGTTGAATATGTATACAAATCGTTTTTTATGTTTTAGAATGGAAAATTCGATTTGCGGAAACGAGGTGACTTCTTCAACTGACCAAGGTAAATTTGCGTTGTGTAATGTTTTGAATAAATTGCTTCAAGATTCATTATTTAAAATTTACCAGAAAATTTAAATTTTCAATTAAAAGTTGGTTGTTTTTTAGAGCCCAAAGTTTTTGAAATTGAGAGCATCGCGCAGCACGAAACAGTTAGGAAGCTGAAATCTGAAAAAAATAAGAGCAGTTCAAGTAGCGAACTGAAAGAGCAAGCTGAACCATCTTCCTCTGAAAATTGTCAGCTAACTGAAGCCAGTAAGTGCTTTATTTTATTTAATTAAGCAGGCTCATTTCTTATAGGCTCTTCAAGGCCAAAACGCGAAAAATCAATTAAGAGATTTGAGCGGAAAGTTGAACGACAGCGAGAATCATTAAAGCGAAAGCGAGTAAAATTGGAGGAAGCAAATATGGCCTTCCAAAAAGCGGTGAGATCGCGATAGTCATTAAAATTTTAGTTATTAATTGTAGTTGAAGAATATGCATTCCCTTCAAGATAAGGTGGCGAATCATGTAAAAAATGAGAATTCACCCAACGAAGTTTTGCCTGATGCTCCAGAGTATGCCCCACCGGCTGAAAATGTTCCACATCAGAATGTTTTACCAGCTCAGAACGCCTTACCATCTCTGAATCTCATTCCTCCTCAAAACCAACATCGTCCGAATGTATTAGCTTTCGAGAACGTTGTTCCGCGTCATCTATTTCCAGCTCCGAACATAATTCCGGGTCCAAATATCCATCAGGGTCAGGATGTTCCGCGGGAAATCTTTCCACCACTTCCAAATATGATTCCGCTTCAACACGGTTTTCCGGTTCAGAATTTCATGCCGATGGGTGGAATTCCTCGTATGAACATGATTCGGATTCAGCAAATGGTCAGAGAGTGCAGAAAAAATATAGAAATATCTCAAAATTATGAAAAGTATTTCTCGGATAAAATGAAAGAAATGCTGTCGAGGCCAATCGACTTCAATATCCATGGCGATAACGATTTGGTGAGCGTAATTTCTAAAAGAGAAATGCATGAATTATCAAAATTTAGCCTAAAAGGAGAAGGTCTGAGACACCACCAATCATCAATTTGAATTTCAGCGAAGCCGTTAACCGGTACGTCAAGTGCAATTATTCATCGAAGACTCTATCTAATTTCCAGAGAGCCTGAAGATAAAATTTGGAAGATTTCTGAACTACCGGTGGTGTTTAGCGGAAATCAACCGTCTGCTTCAACCGTATGCGATTCTGTCTCATTTCTAAAACGAGTCAGCGTTTGGAGAGGCGATATTTGCAAATTGCAAGCTGACGCGATTGTGAACTTCAACAAAGATGGGATTCTTGGCTCTGGAAATCCATGCATTGAAAAATGTGCAGGACCCGAAGAAATGCAATTGGAGAAGAAGAATAATTTAATGGTTCACGGAGTTATAATCACTTCAGGATGTCTATTGAAGCATGTGAAAAGTATGAATGCGAACTTCTTAATTAAAAACTGAATTTGTTTATTTTTAGAAATTCTTCATGTGGACGATTATGGAACATACGAAAGCTTTACCCAAGCGCTCGAAATTGCTAGGAAGCTCGATATTAAGACAATTGTAAGCGGAATTTCATAGATTTTCAAGAAAGCCTGATTTCTTGCAGGGATTTTACTTCATTCCGCCAATGTACGAATACCATGAGGCATATTTGTCGATTGCCAGAAGCTTGTCGGACTTTTTAGAGAAGGATGATACGGCAATTAAGAAGTTTATTAGTTTCTGAAGATTATTCACATTTTTTAGCTCACGCGAGTCGTTGTTTCGACTTTTTATGATTATGGGCCACTAATGTTGAAATCCGCATTTGAACAAGTCGCTCAAGAAAAATGTACGTGCCGTCGAAAAGTCACACCGTATTCTGGATAATGTCCGTCAACTAATTAATGTGCTAACTTTAATAATTATATTTACATTAAATGTATTGATGCTTCTCTTTTTTTTTTGTGGTTACTATTTGTTTTCTTCTAAGTCTATTTTTGATGAAAAATCCTGGAAACAATTTAAGAAAAGCCTATAATTGGCGAGTTACTTTCAGATACCAATTCACTATGCCGAACCATTGCTTACAGTTTGTTGATCTTAGTTCTCCACAGTTGTACAATCAGTCGCCAGTGATGCCAGTACAATCAATTTGTAAAAATTCTAGGAAAGCGATAATGGTTGTTGATAGAATTTCAGACTGTCCATGTCCCGACGCGAAGTTCGAGATTGATTCGGTTCAAAATATTATTCGAAGCTCACTTACTAATATCGACCTTCTAAGCATTAAATTAAGCGAAAATGCAATGAGAATCAATGAGCTGGAGCAGTTTGTTGCTCAAAATTACCAAACCAAATGTTTGTATTAACATCTAATACATTATCTACCGGGGGATTAGAGTTTAAGTATCGTCCCGCACCTTTTAAAACTTATGGTTGCCATAATTTCAATTAGTTGCCACTTTAGGCCGCATCTAATTGACACGATATTTATGGAAATAATGATAATTTTGTATGGTTTAATTTTTCAGACCCTGGTGATTCTCATGAAGATTTTAAGTTCATCGATCAAATTCAGGATGATCTTCGTACAGCGCTCTTGTATATGGAGAAGATCAATTTGAAAATGAAAGCTAAAATTTTGAGAATTAATGAGCTCGAGCAGGAAAATAAGAAGAGCTCAAATGTAGTTGGAGCACCTATAAACAATGAGTTGCAGCTGGATTTAATTGTGAATGAGATGGGGACTAAATTAAACAATGACAAGGAAGAGGAGAATAAGGTATTGTCGACTTCAAACGACTGAATTGAGTCTGGGCCTTCATATTCGCGAAATCGTGTAGATTTAAATTGTTCGTTGACTGTATATTAAATTCGCGTACACTATAATGCAATGTACGCAGTTTCGCGTACTTCTCGTTGCCTCGAGACTCATTGGCACCTAGCCAATAATTTAGTTTTTTAAATTTTGTCCAGTCGTTTGACTCCGACAATAGAGAAAATGAAGAAATTAATTAATTTGATAATTAAAGGTGGAGCCACAAGAAAAAGGCGATGAGAGGGACAGGTAATTACACTTAAAAATTAAAATTAAAATTTGAAAAAATAATTTTATAAATACGGTGCACGTTTTTATGGTAATAATAGCAAATTTTCACGAAAAATCAAATAAATCATTAAAAAATTTTTATAAACTATTCTATTATAGAGAAGAGAACGACGAAATAACGAAAGTTTCTGATATTCCGCCACTTCTAAACGATGGGGACCATTTCGTTTTCGCCCCAATCGATTATATAACATTCCTTAAGAGGATTTGCATTTGGAAAGGCGACATTTGCAAATTGGAGGTTGATGCCATTGTGAATTTTGAGAAAGGTGGTCCTGACGGCAACGGAATTTTGGAAATAGAACGAGCTGCCGGATCGAGGGAATTGCGCGATGAAAAGAAGAGGAATCTGAGGATCCATGGGGTGGTTGTGACCACCGCTGGAAAAATTAAACATGTTAAGCGTAAGATTTTTGGCATTATTTTGTGCAAAATAAAAATTTTAAAACAATTAAAGATATTATTCATATTGATGATTCTGGAACACTTCGTGGATACTCGAAAGCCGCGGAAATGGCGAAAAGGCTAAATGCTAGAACAATTGTAAGATTTATAAAACTTGAAGTTTAAAAAATTTGAATTGATTCTGCAATTGTGAAATTTCGCGATAACAATTCTGGAGAGAACAAACTGTTCGATCACAATAGTGCGTTCGAATATGTGCTATTACAGTGACGAAAATATCACACTTTTAATTTCGAAAATTATCGATTTAGGCATTTCGAGGCACTTCGAATCTCGCTGCTTGCCAGGAAATAGCTAGATTTTGGGCAGATTACCTGCAAAATGATTTTTTGGTAATTTTGACACTGTTTTACTTTCAAATTTCCAAATTAACTTTTTTAAAATTTCAGTTCACTCGCATTGTTTTTGCCAACTTCACCGATTTCAGCGTTTCCGTACAGAAGATGAGCTTTGAAGATGTCGCTGAGCAAGACGCGAGCTTTGATATTGAAAAATAGCTGATTTTCATGTTTTGGATTTATTGTCCCTATTAAAAACCAATATTTAATGAAATTTTAATGAAGACTAATTACTCGAAAAACTCATCGGGCAATACATTCATTTTCCTTTTCTGCAAAACAAAATAGCAGATTTTCGGAGGAATAGTGCCGAAACAAAAATTTTTTTAAACAAAATGTGCATAAAACAACGATCCATGAAGCAGCAGACGTTTTCGAGTTAGTTAAAAACTACGAAATTGACCTTGTTGTTATTACGACGTATGCAAAATGTGTTTTTTTCTTTCTATTTTTATACATTCGTTTTTTTTAAATATATTATCTACGTCAGTTGGTCTGAAACCTATGATCCAACGAAGCTACCCTCCTCACATTTTCTCGAAGAGCCTTTGGGTAGTGTTTGTTCTATATTTGATAAGCGTTCTGAAAAATAATGGGGGATTAGTAATTGACCGACATAAGTTCATTGAAAATTTCTCGTGCGTTTGTCGTCTAGCCTGATGAAAATGAAGAATTGAAGACGAAGATTTGGAAGGCTTCTGATGACGATGAGAATCAATCCGAGATGCACGGAATAACTATATATCGTCTAATTATTACCGTAATCTTAAAAATGGATTTTTCTTTTTTTTCGCTACGAAACCTAACCGTACACGGTTAACGTGTTTTTTTGAACTTTCACATCAATTTCAGTTGCCTATATTTAGAAAAAAAGAATTCGTCGCAATATAAAATGACAGCTCGCGAGAACACATATCTTTGCTGTTGTTGTTGACATTCGACCTTTAAGAAAATGGGCGGAGCTTGGCGGCATGCTCGTTGTCCAAAATCTGGAAGTTTGCATACTTCGTCAATATTCAGTTTTGAGAACTTCTGAAATTTTTAGTCGATTCTGGGGTAATTTGGAATCAGCTTGCTTTGGAACCGCCACAGAATTTTCCAAATTTTTGCAAGTCTTCTGAAATTGCTGGTTTTCTCGCTTTGTTTTTTGTTTGTGATTAGTGAAAATCGAGAATTACTAGTGATGTGCCAGCCCAAAAACAATACGCCATTGAGAAATCTAAAAGTTTTTTGTGATTTGTTTCATTTGTTTTCCAATCAGGACCTGACCACTGACCTACCGCAGTATCGGCCAGGTGAAAATTGTTTGCTATTCGTGTAAATGCCATTTTTGGAATGTTTGCGATCGGAATATTGAAAATGTCACTGCATCGATGGTCCGCATCTTCAAATGTCTCCAGACCTTGCTCTTTTTATTTCAAGGTCTTTCCCCTCTATTATTCCGTAAAAAAGATTATAGGGGGGTCTCAGGCTGTGAATTTTTTTATTAGATGGACCCTAATCTCGTAACCAGCATATACAGAGAGATACAGAGACATTATTGGTGACATTGCCTATCCCAAACGGCCCCCTCTTTTTATACTTATGTAAGGGTCTGTTACACAATTTTTAGTGGTTGCCTGTGCGACCAAGTTTCAGCCGCTCGGCTATTTTCGGGTCGGCCTTTTGAGTCGCACCTGATTTCTGAGAGCCCCAAAATATTACTATTGATGTCTCGCAACGCTGCCCGCAGATGGAATTCGACTGGTAGGAGATGATTGGCAAACTTTTTACTTCCATCATTTAAAGTTTCCCTTCGACACCTGAAGCCATGCTCATTTTAAACTGTTGTCCTTTCCATCCTATCCTGCCACCACGAATGGTGTTCCTTGTGCAATTATGTTCCTCTCTCTCTCTCTTTCTCACTTTCTAACTCACTGATGATTTTTGAACAATAATCGCGATTTCGAAAATTGTGGAATTCACGCGGTGCGGCTGGCGAGAAAATGCGAAGAATTTGTGAATCGAATGAATGACGCATATCGCGACTTTTTTTCGCTATGGCGGCGGCAACAGCAGACATTCCGCGCGCGCGCACCGGGGAATTCCCTCCACTCGTCTTGTATGCAAATGAGAACAAGCAGCGGCAGGTCGACACAAGCGCGCCCCTGTATATACACATTATACGCGTTCGTCACTGTCCGAATTTCAATTTACTAAGCCTAAGCGAAAAGTCAGCTCAGGTTACTGTAGCTCAGGAACTCGGATCAAATTGTAGGCATGGGATTTTTTGATTAATGCCGATACAACTTCTGATTCGTGGAATAGTGTAGGATTAGAACAATGTCGGAATGTATTGTTGTTATAGAAAAATATAGAAAGGGAAACGCCCTCGTTATCCAGCTTTAACCTTTCATCTACATATTTGGAGATTGGAATTTGTCGAAGTGTTACAATTATGGTGTTTCATCGGTCAGTTGAGAATCAGCTGTCGTCAAGTTCTTGAATTTTTTTCATTTTGAAAATAAGGATTCAAGGTAATCGATGTAGTCCATCCGAATATTATCAGGAGCGAATCTATGAACTCGCAGGCTTTGACGTCAACTCTCCGTCATTTTTGTCCGCGATTTTTCGAATTTCCGCAGGTGATTTCCGTCTTAACTGTTTTGTTCTTCGAAAATCTATACGCTTTGGTTGACGCGAAATTGATCCGTTGCTGAAAGCTGAAAGTTCACACAATTTCATGAGTCTCGATCTAAAATTAATTTAACAGATAACGATTTGAAGATTCACTGCTTGCTCTGTTTACTGTAAGGTGTATGGGTTTCGAAGCAATATAATCAAAGGTGCATGAAAAGTGTGATTTAAAGGAGCTTCACACTCTGTCCGACAGAAAAGTCGTTCTTAAAGGTTCCGTAGCGACTCGAGGGTTTTAACTTTTCTTTCACGGACATGCTTGTGTTTACCTCTGAAATATTAGAGCACGTCATTTCATTTCTGATCAGTTCTTTAAAAAAAACGAAATCATCTGACACAGGCCCGTCCTCCTTTTAAACTTGCGAAAAAATAAGAAGGTCCCTTTTGTTCAAAAATTAAATGTGCCAATAATTGTGTTTATTATTCGTTTCCGGTTTTCAATTTTCTTCGTCAAGGTGTCTCATTTTGAACATTTGCGAATAATAACAAAAATTTGCAGGCGAGAACCACCCAGAGCCACACCGCTCAAAAAATTTAATGAAGTCATAATTCCTGTAATTCTAGTCTGGCTAATCCGGAATCATAGACGACAGCGCTGTGATTTTGAAGGTGCATAATAATAATAGCTGATACTGTAATACAATTAACGAGAAACGACGGAAATTTTTTACGTAATGAAAATATCAGAATCGACGGTAAATCAGCATCCGCGATTGTGCCTAGAAAGGTATTTTTCTGGGAGTCATCGAAACCATTACTAAGCACACTACAATCAACCCATCTGAAAATGACAAACTGGATGATGTAGGATAGCACTTATTTTTCAAAGAAGAAGATTAACAATGCCCGCTTATAGTCCAGTCCATCAGTATGCGGCTGGTTCTTCTAGAAGCATTTAAAGCTCCTTCCAGCTAGCTGCAAATTCTGAAACTATCCTAGATTCCAAGTCGACCAAGGTAATCTGAAAATCTTACCTTACCTGAAGATCTCACATATTCGATGTAATGTGCTTTTCCCTTTTCCTATTTCCATTAAAAAGTAATAATGAAAATGAGGTTTTCCTAGCTGCTTCAGCAAACCTATACATTTCCTGCGCCATGAAACGACCTTTAAAGTCCCTGGAATTTCTATGCTCATTGATCTGAGGAAGAAGTGGGCGTAGCCTACATATTTATGTATATATATATATTATTATTATTAGTAATTGTAAATTTCTGGTGTGCGAACACGATGAAAAAACACGCCAAATATTTCGGGAATTTCGGCTTCTTCCCTCGCCGCCGAAATAGGCGGAGCCTACGCGAGATATCTCGTTCTCGTTCTCATTATTATGGTTATTATTATTATTATATTGCAATATATATAGTATATATATAAATATAGATGTACACCTAAAATCACCTGAAATAATGTGGTGAATCATAGTGAACTTTTGACGAAAAATTTTTGGCATCACGCTAGATTCTCGATTTAAGATTTTAGCCCGTTTTTGTAGCATTGTTTGGCTTTGAAATGGTCACCCCGATATTCTGAATCTATTGTCCATATCTCACTTGAAAAAGTTTTAATTTTTTCAATGAGAGCGTTAAGTCCATTTTCTGTATTATTTGCACTGGAGAATCGCACCCCGAGACTCGTTTTCAGCATTTAAAAAATATTTATTTCCTTTTTTATTGCAGTGATGTACACGGTGAACATCTCATCGCTGGTACTAGTATGTGTGATGGGAATCGCGCACTCGCGGCTCATCATCGAGCAATCCGGCAAGGATATCGAATGCACAGTTCGGCAGGATGAGCCAATAGGCGAGGTCATGGAGAGGATATGTGATATGTGCCATGAGTTTAGCTCACATTCAAGGCCAAATATGAGGGTTGAATGCAGGTAATTTTTTGAAATTTATGGTCCTAAAAATGGGGCGCTATTGTTGAAATTAGCAATTTTGATAAAAAATGACGCATTATAATTTTAATTTGGATAAAATAACATTTAACCTTATTTTTTCCAACTTTTGTTGGTACTCAATCTTTCGTCAATTGTTGTGCATTTATATTCGGCGTCCGGCGACTGCTATACGCGGGTAGATTTACGGGGATGCGTCTTTTTCTTGGTCGAGCACGGACTAACTGGTGATTTCGCATTGTATGGTTCGGTTCGATAATATTGAAATCGAACGATGTTAAAAATTCAAAGAAATGCCAAACTATTAAGAAAAAATTAATCGTTCATGTGAAAACAGCAAAAAAGCGTTCACACGTGACGAGACCTTTTCAAGGGATCTACCCGCGTACAACTATATAGTTTTTTGAAATTTAACTATTCTGAATCGAATTCTGCATTCTATTTTCCATTAATAAAGTAGAACAACCAGCCACTGGCTCATCGAGCCACGCCCATCTCATGAAGTACCCTGAATATCCATCATATTTTCAGATCTCACTGCTTCTCAACCGAAACTTTTCGAGAATGTTTGAAACTCTTCTCTCCACGACGTCATTCTCGCCACCTCCATAGCCGTTATTAATTAGTTAATTTCCCATTAATTATTCTTATTCTTTATTAAGTGTATCCCCACCTCAGAACTCCCAAATCAAGTGCTTTTCCCCCACCTAATTGGCCGAAAAAAATACGAAAGAATCGACAACCGAAAAAAACGGGTACCCTTTTTGTATAATGAGGTGTCCTCCTTGCCTCCTCAATGCGAATTCCTCTACGAGACGCCGGTTCATCAAAAAATCATTGTGTCACCCCTTCCATTGACTATTTATCGAACAATTAACTAATTGATCTCCTAGATATAAATTATTGAAATATTCGTGTTTTTTCTCTGACATCATAACCATACTTGGATACAATGCACCTGCACGCACACCAATCGAAAAGCCTCGTGTCTATTCTTCTTGGAGGCGTATTTTGTTAATTTGGTCATGACGCACGTTTGGCTCACATCAGGTGAGCCGAACATTTGAGATTTTTGCGATCATGAAAATTACCAGCTTCAATGCTGAAATAAGGGTCAAAAATACGAAAGCTTAACTACATATTAGGATGGCCCTCTACATATATAAAAAATCGTTTCCATTATGAACCTATTCATAAAAATATTTTATGATTATTGCAAATGTTCTAGACTTTTTAGAAATGGTTTTACCGATATTTATCGAATACGCCTAGTACCATATAGATTAGAAACAAACAAATTTAAAAATAGGAACGAAAATTCTAATTTGTTCCGGAGAAAAACGATCGCAATGTTCGCATCATGTTTTTCACAGCAAACCAAATGCATAATCGGTTAGGTATTTAAATTCCTGGTCATTTTTGACCCACAGGCCTACAATGAAAGTCTTGTCCATGACCACGGTCGGAAAGTTTTACGTTTAGAAACAATATATATTCCTTCTTGAAGATAGCAACAAAGCTAAAATGGTCGCTAAATTTGAAAATTTCTAGCCTATTAAAGAAGATTGATATTCTCTGTGTGGTTTATTATCTTCAAGTTTCTAAATTTGTAGACAGCGACGTTTTCGTGAACATTGAAAAGCATGAAAAAAAAAACTACAAATTTTTCGCGAGCGCGCCTGGTATCGATAGGCAAACGACGAGGTCCAGCGCGCATTCTGGATGGGTCCGCTTTAAAATATACTGGCAATTATGCTTCGAAATTACTCCGGAAAGTCGTGCAGAGTTTGCGCAGACTTTGAGCAGTTTCTTATAAGAAACTGAGAAACAGACAAACAAAAATTTTGTAATCGAAAGCCGAAAAAAAAACAAAATTTGGTTTTTTCTCTCAAAAAATTTACGCGTTAACACGGTTCCACCATAAAAATAATTGAATGAAAATAATTTTCGTCAATTTTCAGCTAAAAAAGATGACGCGAAATTTCCAAATTTGGTGATTGGCCACAAAAAAAAGAAAATTAGGGATTGAATAATTTATTGTTTTGTTAGCAGTCGTTCAATTTGTGTATTCCAAATAATTGCGAAGCTCAACTTTGAGGGATCTGAAAATATCCAGACTATGCTCAAATTCGACCGAAAATCTAATTTTGACAAAATTAGAATTTATCGAAAAAGAAAATAAAATTTACTAATAAAACTGGCTTGAAATTTTGCAATGTTCCTTTCTCCTAATTCGGATAATTTTTCTTTCAAACTTCAAGAATCTTTTTGAGGGTTTCACGAAAAAATTCTTACGCCGCAATTCTGTATGCACTTTCCAATGAAAGCATACACTTGATCTTTGGTTGGTCGAGATTCGAGAGGCTTGTAGTCGTCACAAGACCCATGGAATGAAGCGAAGACAACTAAAAACCAGCATTTTATTCCAAGAACGCTGAACTTGTGGCAGAAGCAAGAAACGTTCGCTATTTTTCAAATTGCACGATAAAGATCTCACCACATTTTTGACATCGAAACCCCGAATTGGTTTGTCGAGACAAAACCGCACCAATGTCTCATAAATGCAAATAATGCGTTGCAGATCGGCGGTTTTCGGCTCCATGTCCTTCAGTTGGCGCACTTGCTCGGAATGAATCTCTTGCTTCTCAGAACGCTTGTCTCGACCGTGATTCTAAATGAGAACTATATTTTCGATAAATTTTTGCTCACAATAGGCCAAACGCTCAAAAATGCATTATTTAAAAAAGTGCTATTTGTTCAATTTTTCTCAAAAACCTTGACAAAAAACCGGCGATCCGTATTTGGCGCATTATTACTTGCACAATACGCAGCCAGAAGTAAAAAGCGCATCGAAAGCGGCATTGATTCGAAACTATCCGTGGCGTTCTCGATGTCCTCCTTTGGCCGCCCAATTCCCAATTTTGGTTCGGCAGCTTTTTTGAGAAGCTCGTTGACTTTCGTAACATCGATATTCTCCCTCATATCGTATTCCTTATAAGCGTCGGAGATCTGAAACCATTTTTTGAAAAAAAAAAATTGAAAAATCGTTAGAGCAAAATTACAATGGATAGAAGGGTATTGGGTGCTCGACAATGCTGAAACAACGCAGTGACTCCCATTCTGGCAAACGTCGGATTCATTTTCGAATTGGATTTAAGAATGAGCTCGAGCACATTGACCTCATTCGGAGCCCGAATATGGAATTGGATGATCGGCAAATGGCCAAGTGCGATGCTCGTTTGATAGGTTTCCCAACAAGATGGGGCACTTGTGACGAATCGGACAGTCATTTCAGGAATCTGAAAACCAATGTTTTGAAGAAATATCGAAAATTTGCATCCACTTACACATTTATAGGAATTGAAGAAACATCTCATATACACTGGATGGTACTTTACGACCGCATGGGCATTGTCCAAAAACAGTAATAGCTGTTTTTTCTTCGATTCTTTCGGCCAATCGGCAAAATTATAGACGTTATAAAAGAAATCTTCTATTTTATCGCTTTTTGGTCGAATGCCGAGCTCATTTGCAAGATTTTCGAGAAGAAGTTTCGCAGAGCCTTCGGCGTACATTAAATCGCCGAATGCGCAAACCTTTATTATTGTCATTCAATTTTAGATTTTTCTCTTTCAAATTACCCATGAATTTTGATGGTTTTGTCGTATTATTTGCCGCACGATTTCACTTCGGCCATTTGAACTGTCGCCAAATACGTGAACATGTCCAATTGATCTCGACTTGTTGAAGATTGTGAGCTTTAGGCGATGAATTTGATTCTTATCCATCGAAAACTGCAAAAAACTAGAATTTATTTTAAGATTTTCTTATTTTTCTATCATCTTTATAATTTTTTGACAATTTTTCAAACCAACAAATTGCGGTTATCAAAACTCCAGTATTTGCTTTGTTGAAACTTAAGGTCTATATTATCAGGTTTCAAAACATATACCTACAAATATCACTACAAATGAAGCACATCTCTAAAATATCTCGAAAATTTCGCCGAAAATAAAGGCGAAAAATTCAAAATTGCAATTATCGCCGCTTGTGCAGTAGAGCGCATTTGCATCACAAACTTTTTAAAAGATGGAAAACATTCTGTTTGTTGGATAAAAGTCACTTGACAACTCTAATTTAATATTTTCCAATTTTTCGGACCAAAGTTCATATACAAACGCACTTGACAAAAATTGTGGTTTTCACGCCATTAACAATCAGGAGCGAAACTTTCACCTTTTGAACCCAATGACTCATGAAATTATTACAACACGGCCAGTTCGCCAACTTGCGAAGAAATTCTCGAATTGACTGACCAACCGATAAGCTTTAACAAAGAGAAACCTAAAGCGGCAGTTTCTTCAATTTCAGCAGTGTCTCGAGTCAAGGACGTCACACTAATGGTCACTATAAGTAGCCGAATGTTCGAACCAAACGACAGAAATGACCACCTCGCTTGTGCTTCTTGCGTGCCTCATAGCCACTTCTTCGGCTTTCCTGCTCGAGGGCCTCGGACTCGGCGGGCTCGGCCCAAAACAGTGCTGCTGTCAGCCACCGCCACCACCTCCGCCATGTGGTGGTGGTGGTTACGCAAGTGGTGGATATGAAGCGCCGCCACCACCGCCACCACCACCAATGTACCCAACGGGATACAGAAATAAGAGGTTTGTTGCGAAAATTAAAGCAGTACCATATACACTGACGCTGTGGACTTATTAAAAACATATCGAGTTTCATTTTATTTTCAGATCTAACAAGGACCGTTTGTTGGATGCTTCAAGCGGGGATCAATTCTGCAACAGCGTTGCTGTCCGTGACATCATTAAAGCGGTATTTTTCTATTTTTTGCGGTCTCTCTAAGAGCATTATTTTCAGGGAATGAGTGAAGACGAGAAAGAGTCCCGTGAGACGATCATCACCCTTCTCAAGACGCAACTCGATCGTCAATTTGTCGTCGTGTGCTCCAAGAAGCACTTTGACTTCCAAGCGTCAGCCGATTCGGAATTCTGTTCGATCACCAGCAAATCGGGAATGACGTGCTCAACATTCGTCTTCTAATTCGCCGAGAATCCAGTACAAAATCTCAGGGATTTTTGTATATCAAGTGCCTTTGTATGTGTGTATTTTTCAATTGTTCTCCAATAAATATTAGCGCTCAAGTACATCTCCCATGCATGGAAAAATTCACGAGGAGGAGGAGGAGGAGAACTTGAGAATTAGTAAAGGCGGCACACAATTCCAATCCACTCAAATCCGACTTTTTTCTCGTTTCCCTGTTCATTTATCTTGGGAGTGTTGCGCGAAACACGAAGGAGCACGCTTGTCTCGAAAAATTTTAATTTATTTTCTGCCTCTCGACGTCGACGTTCTTGATACTTTAGGAATTCCTTCGGTTTTGAAATTCACGAGTTGTTTGTTGGGCAAATTTGTTTCATCAAAATTTTCATTTTTTTGTTCGACCTTTCGCGATTCGGCGACCTTTTGTCGAATTTTCCTCATCAATCATCAAATAAATATCGAAAATTATAGCGTTAAAACTTTTAATGTCGGTAAATTTGGCATTCGCACAAAAAATCTTCAAAATACCGGATTGTAGCAAAAAAAAAAAACAAATTCCATCTAATTGTCAAATTTTCGGTCTTGGCACATCTTGTGTGCAAAAATCGTGAAAAATCAGGGTGAATGCCAATTTTCAATTTGGCGAATAATTAACCTTGACCATAAAAGATAGAAACATTCAAGTGGCCGATCTCGACAAAAAAAAACATATACCGACCCATCAAGTCGGGTTCGTATTTGCATAGTATCTCCTGCTCCGCCCTATATTCTATTGTTGATGCCGGACACCTTATTGTTTGACAATATCGACGGAATGTGAGTGGCGTATTCGCCTAAAAAGTTACTCATAACACTCGTTCTAGTTGCATTCTTTGGGGAATTCCCACGCGAATCCACTGTTTTGCTGTTTCGACGTCGTTTTTCTTCTGATTTTCTCCCGAACACTCAGTGAACACTCAAATTTTGCCTCTTTTTTCGTCTCATCAATTTGCACTCCGTTGTGCTCGGCGTTCATTAGGGTTTTATAAGGAAACTGATGGTTGTATGAATATTATCAGTGTCCCCTCTGGTGTAGTGGTTGTGTCGCTTGCTTTACCGTGAGCATGTTGTTGGCTCATGTCTGTGTCGCGCCCAATCGGCTCTCGCATGCCCTTTTAAATCATTCTTCTCCTTTCAAAATTTATCGCTTTTGCTCGACTTCACTTTTCAACCAGAAAAATGTCGATTTCTCTTTTTTCAATGCAGCAAGGCAATCAATTATTTCGTGAGAACCTATTCATTAAAACCGGTGAACCCCCTAATTTTCCATGAGCCTGTTTTCTTCATTTTCATATATATATATATATATATATATATATATATATATATATATATATATATATATATATATATATATATATATATGTATAATTATATATATATATATATATAATTATTATATACACATTTTTTATGCGGAGGAGACTTCTTTTCTTCGCCGGTTGCCGAGGCCTTCTCCCCTATTGTTGCGCTCAATTCAAGTGTGCCCAAATTACTATACGAAGGGGCGAAGGGTTGCTGCAAAAATTGTATGATTGCGGGCGGGTTCGGACCGCCGACCTTCTGTGTGTAAGACAGATGTGATAACCACTACACCACGCGACCGGACATTCAAGCTCAATTTACATATATATGTGAGCCGCCACCCAGTTTGTTAACCATAGCGACCGACAGGTATAGATGATGGAGCTGAGGAAAAACACCATCATCATCATCAATTTCCTTTTATGGAAATCCGTCCTATTTGAGGCACGCAAAAATGAGGCTCATAATTCAAAAAAGAAAAGAAGAAATCTTTTATTTTTCTTTGGTTGTTTTTGTGCGTTTTTTTGAATAAAGCTGAAAATATTTATCTATAAGGGTACAATTATGCTGCTATTAATAGGAAATACGGACAATTCTTGAGAATTCTCGAGAATTTTTAACTCTGAAAGTATGCTATTTTCAATTATTTTTTTCGGATATTTACATAAAATTTCATACTTTTCGACTGAAATATGCCAAAAAACCATTATTTTAATTTTTCCAAAATTTTTAAATTACAAAAAATCAATTTAGGCAAAAATTTGAGCACATTTTGCACATAGTTCAAAAAATATTCTCGATTCCCTATTTTTTTTCCTACATTAGGTAGACACCGAATTAGCATCATTCTCTTAGGCGTCTCTTCAAAATCCCGCCCTACTTTTGGAGGCTACGCCCACATTGCTCACAGCTCACCATTTTGTCACCACAATTTGAGGAGCCGTTAAAAAATCCACAAAACCGCTTATTGTTTGATTTTAAGAAAGGAATTTCTGAAGCGTGCAAGCGTTCTCCGCTATTTTTTATATTTGTAGTGCCTCTTTCGCCATGCGAAGCTAAGATTGTTATTATTTTGGCGGGAGAATAAATACATTGTTGGCTCTATGCGAAAAAGGTTTCCGGCGCGGTGGACTCGAACTCACAGCTATCGGCACGACCACTCTGTGTGCCTATAGGCGATAGATTGTCCGAGCTGACGCGGCGAGAATCGACAGTCGGCGCCAAATCGATCTTGCGTGAACGGGGCGCGACCGAAAAAGCGGGCAATTTTCGATCAAAAATTTGAACACCCAAAATTGGTGCCGTCGAACAATTTCCGCCTACACACATTGTCATATTTTCTAGGACGGGGAGGGACCACAATGGAATCTCGCCCCTCTCCAAACCAAAAGAGACGCGAAAAATTATAATTGTGCGATTATTCGCCAACCACAGCCAACTTCAGCTTTTTCCCCTTCTTTTTCTTTTTTTTATTCTGTCAATTGCACTTGGTCGACGCAGTCTTCGCACAATATTACAAATTAGTTTTTATTCTCAATTTTTCTTCTTTCTTCGTCTATTTAATTAGCTCAATCGACTCGCAATTTTAGTCGGCTTCTTCAACATTTTTTCGCACCTTTATGACAGTGTATACATGCTCGATACTGTAGGCAAATTTTAATAAAAATAATTTTTCGATGTTTTTTGTTTGACGACGACTCCAAATTGCACACACCTCTCATTTTCCACTCAAATTCCTTTTAATGAAGTGTTTATTTAGATGTCTCGTTTCTCGGTTGCGTTGTCGATTGCCCTGGCTTTGATGGTCCCCAGAAGCCAAGGCATCCCAAAATTCGAGGTCTCGTCGCTATCGGAAGCGTCTCTTGTCATCCGAATGATCGAGGCGACAAACGTGACGAGCTACGACATCACCGTGCAAATATTCGACTTGTCCCGACAAAAATTGTACAGGAAAACACAATTGGAACGCGTGACGAATGATCAGGTACGGTATGCGCCTTTAAATAAATGATTCACCGAAATGTCGGAAAAATTAGATAAATGAACGAAGAAAATGCGAGATTTTGGTTGAAAAAAACCCAAAGTTCAATTGTTGCTCACAAACTCCATCGAAAATTTCATCCGAAATTCGCCTTGTGCAAGTTTTACTACAAACCAATAAAATGTATTTTTTGCTTCTCTGGCGGCGCATCTCCTCGAAATGATCATTTGAGTGCACTCATGGGAATACGGGACCACGTAAAACAATACAATTGAATTTTGATATTTGCCTTATTTGGTAGCGCGCCACACAATTAGGCAAATGGGGGAAGGCGAATAGGGGGGTATAGAGACCCTCTTAAACAAATAAAAACGTTGTGTGGTCCGGAAATTAGCGACATTTTATTCGATTAGAGATAGCGATGGGGACCCTGATTGATTCCGTATGGGAACATTGCATTCGTTCCCATAAAAAGGATAATTTAATTGAGGGCTTGTTTGATGCTGAATCTGAAAATCGCGTCCGATTTTGGAAATGTTAACTTGGAATATAGACTATTGGATACAACCTTTCACGTGGATTTTTAAGGTTTATAAAAATCCGAACGTTCAAAAAATTACTAATTTCAACAAAACCTTAAACACATATTGTCGGCAAATCAAGGGGGGATTACTTTGGGAGATTACTGTAATGACACGTGTCAATTGGCCACTTGACATAAATGGAGCATATATGGCAAACATATGTTGCAGCTCCTTTCGTTTGACGGCCTCAAATCGAGCACATGGTTCGCAATTCGGATAGAATATCGTCTTAATTTCGACGACGCCGGCGGCGGAGGGGTTGATAAGGCGCTGCGGACAACCAAACAGGTGTGGAAATCATACTTTCAAAGGCGCATACCGTATATTGTAGGAGATGGTAGTCAAGACGAAATCGTCGAGTCGCGAGGATCCGAACAAAATCGATCAGATGGTCGCGTTCATTGATGATCTCTTTGTCACCAAGGATAATATTTATATAGGTGTCGGATCGGTTTTCAAGGAGATCAAAAAGGTTGGCGAGTTACTGTATATGTTGCCAGATTCAGTGTTTGCGAACTGGAAGTCCAAAAATACATCATTAAGAATGTTTGGATCTTCTAACTGCGCAGTTCAGTGTTATTGCCAAGAAAATAATGGATTACTTTAGCAGTCTGCGAGCACTGTAGCAACCTGATTAGGGACTTTAACTTTTGCAAAAAATTGGTTTTATTCGATTACGATAGCTTCTTGGCGACTCGTAAAAGTCCGCAAACACCGACTGTGCTCTATTGGAGAAGAATTCTCTCATAACGCATATCAAATGGATTTGCATAATAAAAGAGGTCGAGACGGCGTAATTAAAAACTCTCACATTCGTTTTTAATTATGACACACACACCCACTCGGACCCACGCCGCCCTATGCTAGTCTTCAATCGCTTGGGGACCACGATAAAGAAATTGCAGATTTCCACCGTAATCGTGCCGGAACTCCGATGTTCCAAAGGTGTTCTCAGCCCCGTCTCACAGCAAGTCATTCAACATGCCAGTTTTCATTTCGATCTCTCGAAATTGCCGAAAGAAGATCGAAAATGTAGCGTGGTAGGTCGAAACAGAATTGCGGCGATCTCGAATTTTCTCAATTCAGATCTGTGTATTCCCCTACCTTCGAATTACCATCGATCAGTCGCGTACCGAGACATTCCGCGCCAAGGAGTGGTGCGGCAGCGTTGATGAAGCACGTCACATGCTCACTACTTCCGCAAGCTTCTCGCCACAACTGCTCAGCGTATTCCTTATATTCTTCATTTTATTATGACGATAATGGAACCAAAACATCGAAACAAAACGGGTTCAAACGATTACGGTAATAAATTGGTTTAAATCACATTCAATTTTTTTCCAACATCGGCAAATGCGGAAATCAATTGATCTATATGATCCCTTGAATGGGCTGCAGAGATCTGAAAACACTCAACATGTCTTGAATCGTCTCTAATTGTCGCCTACTTGAACCCGAATACGAGCTTTTCCCTTTGGCACCACTGGATACGAGAATCCGATGACATAAATGCCCTTTCTGAGAAGCTCGTCCGCCATTTGTGCCGCCAATTTGGCGTCGCCGAGTAGAACGGGACAAATTGGATGGGTCGGATCATTGCCGGTGATTTCGAACCCATTTGACTTCATACTTGTTCTAAAATTAAACGATAATGATGATATATTATTTGCCTCAATTACCTGAAATGCGAGACATTGGCTTGAAGGGATCCGATAATTGAAGGATCGTTCATTAGAAGATCGAAAACCTGAAAAAATTGCCGATGTCAACATTTTTACAAAAGTCGGTTTTCGTCTTTTATTTCAAGCCTTTATAACGCCAAAACTGGGATAATGGTTTTCCTTAAAAATTTCAAATTTTCCTAAAAATGACGCTTCGCAGCAAATAACCCAATCGTTGACAAATTGACAGAATCAGTTATGCCCACCTTGATGCTGCTGCCAACAATACTCGGCGCCAATGAATTTGAGAATAAATATGGCCTCGATCTCTGTCGCAACAGGTCGATGAGCGTCTTGGGACCCGTTGTATAACCTCCCATACTTCCACCGAGCGCTTTCCCGAGCGTTGAATTGATAACATGCGGTTTCCCGCCAACAGCTTCGGCCGTCCCACGACCAGTCTTGCCGAAGAATCCCGTGGCGTGGCATTCGTCGATGAACAGAATAGCGTTGTATCTACAGATTGCGTGAAATTACAACAACAAGAAAAATCAGTCGCCTCCCACTTGTTTGCCAAATTGGTGATATCTGCCAAAGGTGCAACGTCACCATCCATCGAAAACACCCCGTCGGTGGCGATGAGTCGGAATCGCGAATCTTGCGTTTCTTTTAGCTTCTGTTCGAGATCAACGAGATCCAAATGCTTATATCTGAGCCGTTTCGCCTTGCTCAGCCGAATTCCATCGATGATTGAAGCATGATTGAGCTCATCGGATATGATCGCGTCTTGTTCTCCTAAATATGGATTTTTTCGACTTAAAAAATATACCCACAATTTGTATGAAAATTCTAGAAAGCCGCAACTCAGGTAAATGAAAATCAATCCGATTCGAAGAAAAATTAAATATAAATTAACCTGTTTCGATTGAAAAATAATTCAAATTCGATTAAGAAAACGCTTAAATTTGATTCGAAATCTTGGTTTCGATTCAAAAAAAATATTTTTTTTTAATTTTTACACCACAACTTCAAATTACCTGTCATGACTTCAAAAACTCCTCCGTTCGCGTCAAAGCATGCGGCATAGAGAATTGCGTCCTCAGTTCCATGAAACTCCGCAATTTTCGCTTCCAATTCTTTATGAATATCCTGAGTTCCACAGATGAAGCGCACTGAAGAGAGTCCAGCTCCATGCGTTTCAAGTGCTTTTTGACCGGCGGCGATTACCTGCAAAAATGTTTGCTACGAAATTATTAAAATTTGAAAAATTAATAATAATTTGCTACTTTTTAAGGGGCTTCAGTTAATGAAATTCGACAAAAACTGGGCTAAATCATTTTTAGCTAATTTTTTTTTAAATTTCTGGCTACTTCTGGATGGCTGCTCAGTCCCAAATAATTATTTGCGCAGAAATTGATGACTGGCTTCTTCCAGCCGGCGACATTCACGATAACTCCCTGTCTTCCAACAATCACTCGTTCAGTTTTATAAGTTCCGGCCACCTAAATAAGAATTTTTATTTTTTCTTTTTTCAAAATTTATACTCACTTTAATCCCGTCGAGCTCATTTTTGAGGTGCAGATCGAAATAGGCGCGAGCCGAATTTGTGGCGAAAAATCGGCGACAAGTTGTGGTCATTTTCGACAAGAATGAACAAATTTGGGCGAATAGAGAGATATAGTCTTATCATTCGATGAAAACCAAGATGACATTGATTTCGCGATAATGAAAGTGAAAATCGCTGGCAAAACTAAAAATTTCAAAGAAAGTTATTATTTAAAATTTGTAAGGGGGGGGGGAATGCTGCACATATTTTTTCCGCTATGCGGTCGGGCCAAACATTGGACACTTTTTGGTTTTGGTTTTTGAGTTTCTGAGTTTTCCTTTTTTTAATTTTTTTTACTGCAGAAAATTGTTTAAAAAAACAATGGCAGAGGTCTTGGTGCCAAACTAATAGTGTAGATTTACTAGCTTAAGCATTATGATAGGTTAAAGGCGCACCCCGCGGATTAAAATTTTTTTGACTTTTTGGCATTTTAGCAGTTGCGCGACGTAAAAAATAATAAATAAATTGGATTTAGGAAAAAATTTAGTTGAAAATTTAACCATATTCTTAAAAGAAAGAACGTGAAAAATTTTTTATTTTTAAAATAATGATGCATATTCACAGTGAACATCAGTTATTTCACGACGATGAGTTAGATGTATGTTGAATCGAAGAAAAATGCTCAAAACTATGTTTCAGACTTCGCTTCTGGAAAGCGTTTTAGTATACGAGATTGCCACTATCGCAATTTTCACATTTCTCACAACCACATTATCGATTTTATTGTATTTTCACTTTTTTTGCAAACTTTCTGATGGTTGATTTTTTTTCTTTATCGATCTATTGAAAAAATTAATTTCAGGCGAGGAAATGGTGCTCCAGGAGCTGGCGAATCGAAATTCTTCGAAAACTTGGAGCGAAATGAAAATTACCACATTCCATTTTGAAACTTACGAGGACGAGTTCATTGGATCGCTGAATCTGGACATTGATTCTCAGGGTTTAATGACGAATGCTCCAATCGTTGATTCACCAAGTGCAATCACCCCAAATGAAGTTCGTGCTTAGGTTTTTGTGAAAACAAACAATCCAGTACTTTTAACTTAAAAATCGTGATAAATATTTATTTTTTTATTAAAAAATTATTATAATGGTCCGTTGTACTGACAGGTTTGATAGGCCTGTCCCAAAGAGCTTGACAGTGAGCTGGACAAACCGTCGACGAGCTTTAGCTTGTCATCAGCTAATGGGAATGAGGTTGGAGTTCTAAAAAATCAAATTTTTTGAAAAAAGAAATCGGAAAAAATATTTTCACGTTGACACCGGGTTGGTTCCTGGGAAGCGGTTTGGTGACACTGGCAGTGTGGTAGGAAACTGAAAGCTTTGAAAACTTTAGGAATAGTTTAAATTTCACGTAACTTCTAGCGTCCAATTTTCTTACAATTTAGTTGTAATAAATTTGCAGTAATTCGAATACCTGTGTCTTAATATCCCAATTGAACGTCTGTGTTGGCCGCGGTTGATACGGATTAGTCTGCCAGGCGCTTCGATAGCCGTAAAATGACGACGAAGAGACGGATGGGTACTCGATCTGAAAAACTCCTCAAGCTTCGGTAATTTTTAAAGCAGCTAGCAGAAGCTTTCACTGCAAGACCTTGTACCCCAGAAGTGTTGCGGATCACGTTTACATAAAGAATTGCATGGGCACATAATTACGGAAGCCGCTTTTTATGAATTGAGATACAATCTGTTTTCGGAAAAATATGGAATTTGTCACTGTGAGACTTAGTCTAAAACCTGCGCGCGTTTTTCACTACGGTATCCAAAAATATTTCCCAATTTCGAAAAATCCTAAAATGATCATAAACCACTGATTTTTGGTTTTCTCTTTTCAATATGAAAATATTTTTTTAATTTTTAATTTCTTTTTAAACTCGTGGTGACTGATTCTGATAGGCGTATTTTGGAAAAGAACGTATATACTATTTCGACATAAAAATGTCATATTTTTCCCTTCTAACGAAAATGTTTAGAATAATGGGGCAATGTGTATTCATATAAGGATAGAACAAATGGCGAAAATCACATAAACAATTGGCGAACAATGTCTGGCAGCTGGTGTCAAATTACGAGCACACGTACCTGTGACGTCGTGCTGCTAGACTGCAGAATAGTAGGCGTGAAACTATTCTGTAGATGTCCTATACTTCCAGTCGATATTCCCGGCATCTGAAGCATCCCTGTCGTCTTCGGCGTCGTCGAATTATCGATTACATAATTTCGTTCGCGTTTTCGCCATTTTGCCCGGCGATTTTTGAACCAAACCTGCCAAAAATCAACTTTTGAATTGAAATTGAGAGAAATTGTGAGAATTTATCGACATAATTGTGAGAATTTATCGACGTCATACGACTACGGAAAATTGGCTAAATGCCAAAAAATTAGATGATGAACTTAGTGTGCTGTATGCGCCTTTAATCTATTATAATGTTACCCAATTTTCTTTAGTGGTGGGGTTTCGAAAATGAGAAATATTGTCGTCGGAGGCACAAATACGAATTTGGGGTGCAATTGCGTTTTCGTGCGCCTTTAAGCAGAACATTTTAAGAGAAAACCACATCCTAAACAGAGAGCTGTTCTCAAGCAGATGATTTTTAACCAGTCCACTTATCTTAAGTAGACCATTCTTAAATAGTTCATTGTTAAGCAGACCATTATTAAACAGACCATTCTTAAGCAGACCATTTTTAAGCAGACCATTCTTAAGCAGACCATTCTTAAGCAGACCATTCTTAAGCAGACCATTCTTAAGCAGACCATTCTTAAACAGATTATTGTTAAACAGACTATTATTAAGAAGACCATTCTTAAGCAGACCATTTTAAACCATTAAGCAGACCATTCTTAAATAGTTCATTGTTAAGCAGACCATTATTAAACAGACCATTCTTAAGCAGACCATTTTTAAGCAGACCATTCTTAAGCAGACCATTCTTAAGCAGACCATTCTTAAGCAGACCATTCTTAAGCAGACCATTCTTAAACAGATTATTGTTAAACAGACTATTATTAAGAAGACCATTCTTAAGCAGACCATTTTAAACCATTAAGCAGACCATTCTTAAATAGTTCATTGTTAAGCAGACCATTATTAAACAGACCATTCTTAAGCAGACCATTTTTATGCAGTCCATTTTTAAGCAGACCATTTTTAAACAGACTATTGTTAAGCAGACCATTCTTAAGCAGACCATTTTTAAGCAGACCATTCTTAAGCAGACCATTGTTAAGCAGATTATTGTTAAACAGACTATTATTAAGAAGACCATTCTTAAGCAGACCATTTTAAACCATTAAGCAGACCATTCTTAAGCAGACCATTTTTAAGCAGACCATTCTTAAGCAGACCATTCTTAAGCAGACCATTCTTAAGCAGACCATTCTTAAGCAGACCATTCTTAAACAGATTATTGTTAAACAGACTATTATTAAGAAGACCATTCTTAAGCAGACCATTTTAAACCATTAAGCAGACCATTCTTAAATAGTTCATTGTTAAGCAGACCATTATTAAACAGACCATTCTTAAGCAGACCATTTTTAAGCAGACCATTCTTAAGCAGACCATTCTTAAGCAGACCATTCTTAAGCAGACCATTCTTAAGCAGACCATTCTTAAACAGATTATTGTTAAACAGACTATTATTAAGAAGACCATTCTTAAGCAGACCATTTTAAACCATTAAGCAGACCATTCTTAAATAGTTCATTGTTAAGCAGACCATTATTAAACAGACCATTCTTAAGCAGACCATTTTTATGCAGTCCATTTTTAAGCAGACCATTTTTAAACAGACTATTGTTAAGCAGACCATTCTTAAGCAGACCATTTTTAAGCAGACCATTCTTAAGCAGACCATTGTTAAGCAGATTATTGTTAAACAGACTATTATTAAGAAGACCATTCTTAAGCAGACCATTTTAAACCATTAAGCAGACCATTCTTAAGCAGACCATTTTTAAGCAGACCATTCTTAAGCAGACCATTGTTAAGCAGATTATTGTTAAACAGACTATTATTAAGAAGACCATTCTTAAGCAGACCATTCTTGAGCAGACCCATCCAATGGAATTATTCGTGCCATAAGAAAAAAAAACCTATGAAGGTATAGAAATATGCACATTTAATGCATTTTTTTAAACATTAAAAAATATATTCTATGAATTTTTTCTTAAGCAGTTTTTGAATATTATGACCATTTCTCCAAAATTTGTAATTAAATGGTACGAAACATCATCAAAATTTTCCAATTAAGTGAGGGGGGGGGGTTGGTAGCGAGTCTCATTTATTTCTTCTATTGTGCGCTCAGCCAACACATTTTCTCATTATCTCAAGACAAAACCGTGGCGAGAATGTCATTATAGTGTGCATTTTATTACCTAATGGGACCACAACGGATACCGTAACCCTAATTAGCAATTTTTCAATGAAAACTTTCTTTTTTCATTATAAACACATTTTATTGTGAATTGTTACGTTTCAATTCACAATGCATTAAAATAAACGAAAATTGTTATTTTTTTTTTGGGTCGATGGCAAGCATATTGATATGAAGGCAAATTTTTGGAATTGTAAAAAAAAATTAAATTAATTTCAAACCACGAACTCTAACTCTGGGCTCAGTGAGACTTATCCAAATCGCAATTTCTTCTCTAGTTGCCATATCAGGATATCGATTGCGCGAAAACCAATTCTCAAGTTCGGTGAGCTGAAAAATACAAATATTTTTTGTGGGTCAATAACAAAGAATTTAAAGACCCACCTGATGGCTCGTAAAATGCGTTCGCTGCCTTCTTGGCTTTTGCGATTTCGTGCCGGACGTCGCCGGACTCGTTGAATCGCCCTGATCATCGTCCTTCTCTGATTCCAGCGAGTTCAATTCCACTGCAATTTTTTCCGGTTCGACACAATCGTCAATAGGGATTCAGGCCTTACAGCCAACTCACATTTGGGCAATTTGAGCGTATCCGTCGGAGGTAGCGGAATCGAATAATTGAATGCATATGGATTGTGATTTAATGCCGATAAAGAGGAGGTGATCGGCTGATCATGAAGAAGCGCCTGATGATCCAAACTGCTCACCGAGCACAGAAATCTGCATTTAGTTAATTCTTGCTGCAGGCAATTTTTGATGAATGATAGCACAGGATTTATCCATTAAAGCGCAAATTTTAAACCAGCAGCAGGCAAAAAAATTTAAGGTGAATTGAATCAATAAATTGGGACCACATGAGCTATAAGTTAGTGCGACATGAGATCACGATTTAAACGCGCATGATTGAATAAGATTTAGAAAAACGTGAATCGAGCACGGTACCTGTCAATTTTAAACACTATTTGAAAGATACTGTACATAAACAAAAACTTATTTATTGTGGTATTCACTTTAAAGGCTTAAGCTTTAAAGGCGCTTAAGGAAATGACGGTGTGAGCCTTTAAGAACAAAAAGTCCAAAAAGAAAAAAAACGAACCGATTAGTTGTTGGCGGTGCCGCCTGTTGCTGCTGCGTCTGTTCCAAACTATTTGTCTCCATGTGCTCAACAAATCCCGGGGATTATTAGGCTCCGTGGATCGGATTAATTGTCGGTCGGACACACAAATTGATCCAAACAGCAACGAAGAGAAGCACGTCTTCTAAGACCAGGGGGGGGGTTGAGGCTTTACACGGCCTTCTCCAGTTACCGTAGTCGGACCACTGCAGCAATCTCCGCCCATTTTCACCCGCCATATGCTTTATGATGATGGAGACGTTTCTTCTTCTTCTTCTTGCTCTTTGCCGCCGGACGGCGTGGATTAACTTGGATTACGGTAGTTTGATGAATTTTGCGATGCTTTTCTCGAAAAACAACATCAACCAATTCCTTTTATGGGAAACACACGAGAATGAGGGAACAAAAAAACCATTTATTTTTTAAGCATTTCGAACACGTTCAGCTTTGATACTTTCGCCACGTTACGAATTGTGATTGAAATTCTGCAAAGTTTTGAATTTTTTAATGTTCAAAATGAACATTTTATATTTAATTTTTTTGTGTTTTATTCTCAAAATTTTGCTACACCATCTTCTTCGAGAAAATTTTGAGAAAAATTTGTTTTTCAATCAATTTTTCGAAAAAAAAAAACTTTTTCGATCTAGCAAGAAAAAGACAGACAAGGTTGAAAATTTAAACAAAAATAATGAAGCTTTCATATTTTAAAATGAAGGAAACAATTTTAAAATACTACCTAGTGCCCCTCTGAATCGTTTTATTCTCTAATTCAGGCCTACAATTGAACACCTTCGCCGGATCGATATAATCTGAATCGCGTTCAGCAATCCCATGAAGCATTGTCTCATAAGCTCGATCGGTCATGATGAACAAGCTTCTCGGTTCCAGAATCATCGAGCCAACGTACCTGTCAGCTTCACATCTCGGTGGTTTCTGCAAAACGAGAAAATCAATCAAATAATGATGATATCTTGGAAGCGGCAATGGCGGCGACATATGGCGGCATTGGTGGATTATGCAATTGCACCCAAAAAAGACAATCCCGATTGTCAAACAAATCATTCATTTATGCGCCAAAACGCCGCGCGCACACGCGCACAAACATTATGCCCTCGTTATACGAAATAATATGAGGATTAGACTACCCAAAAATTTTTAATTGTCAGTTGCGGTTTTTAAGTAAATATTGGTGGGTAGGAGAAGGTTATAATGGTTCATAAGGGAAAATTTATGAAAATGCCCAAACAAAAACATATTATGGGAATGGTCGTATTCAAACGACTTTCGCAAAATCTGAATGGATCAACGAAATTGGAAATTTTGGAAATCGGCCTAAATATTATCTGCGCGTTAAAATGCAGAGTGCGCAGACACGCATTTCTGCTTCGATACACCGAGAAAATAGCCAATGTTTTTTTTTTATTTGGTTCGGTCGTTTGACACCAACAGGATATAATATTGAAAAATGAGGGAATTTTGTAATACTTTTGTGATCCGATTTTTTTTCAAATTTCACCATATCTAAAATATTTCGAAATATCTGAAAAATGTGGCCAAATATCGCTAATTGCAAAAAACTCAAATATTTACCCAAAAACGGTGAAAACTTGCTCTTAGATTTTTTGATCTTTGGATTTGTGTATATAGGTAAGTGTACTAACTACATACAACTATATATATATATGAATAGTTAAAACGAGGCCGGCGAATCAATATCAATTAATTGATTCACTTTACACTAGACGTCATATCATTTTCATTTTTCCTTCCTTATTTGAACATTATACGCCAAAAATTGCCAATTTCACATTATTGTCCACTTTTGATCATCTTTGAGATGACTCGTTAAAAATTCGGATGAAAACATTTCCAATTTAAAATTCTTAAGAAAATATTACAAGAGTGGGTCAAACCCGTAAATATACAATTTTAGTTTTGCGCCAAGACCACTACCTTTCCTTTTTTTTGGCAATTTGCCAAGTTTCCGAAGCCGCGCGACGTCATTTATTCTGTATTTGCATTTATCTATTGACTTTTATCGAAAAAAAAATTTCTTCAGCAAAATTGCCCTATATTCTGTTCAAAAGAAATAAAATCAATAAAATACGAACACAAAACCAGTGGCAGAAATTAAAAAAAATGACCTTGACCACCAAAATAGAACATTTCGGGTGAAAATGTTTTTTTCTCACTCCGTGAGACCAATTTTTTCCCAGCTCCTTGAGAAAAGCCTCGTATTGCTCACGAAGTTGAAATTCTGAATATAAGAATTCCTTTGAGCACGAGCGTTTTGTAAATACCGAAATAATATTTCGCCTGCTCCCTGAGAGCATCAACTGTTTTTTCATTCTCTCTGCACAACCTTCACTCAATCTAGTCTAGCTCTTCAAAAATTTTCAGATTTTCTGATATGACGGTAAACTACAATCGGGAGATCATGACCTCCCACCCGTGGACATTTCTCAAGCTTCTGTTCAAATGGAAAGGCTCCATCTGGAAAGCGATCTACTTCGAGCTGTTTGTCTTTCTCGTCTGCTACGGCATCATCTCGATCATATATCGAGCCGCAATGGGTGAACACAGCCAAAAGTTGGTCTCAGCGAGAAAATTCCATATAAAATGAATTGCAGCCGATTCGAGGCAGTCGTACGCTACTTCGACAAACGATTGAATTATATTCCATTGGAGTTTGTGCTCGGCTTCTTCGTGACGACTATGGTCAACCGATGGACCAAGTTGTATCAATCAATCGGATTTATTGACAAGTGAGATCCTGCGATAGTAGCTAGCAAGATTCAAACTGAGCCGAAGTAGCTAGATACAATTCTGATCTGACATGGCTAGACGACAGTCTGTCTTCAGCGACTAGATCTAATCTGATCGTATCCTCCAAATTATTTGTTTAGATATGTCTCGACAATTTAGCCTGATTCCTAGACTCGCTCTAAGCCTAATCTGATCCAATCCAGCCCTCCATCTTCCAGCGTCGGCCTCATTTCGAACTGTTACATCCGTGGCAACACAGAAAAAGCGCGAATCTACCGTCGCAACATCATGCGCTACGCCGAACTCATTCAGGTGCTTGTCTTCCGCGACATCAGCATGCGAACGCGCCGCCGATTCCCAACCCTGGAAACAGTCGTCGCTGCCGGATTTATGACGAAAGATGAGCTCGAGCTCTACAACAGCTATGAATCAAAGTACAACTCACGTCTCGGCACTAAATACTGGATACCGGCGAACTGGGCGTTAAGCATGAGCTACATGGCATGGAAGGATGGCTACATCGAGAGCGAGTATTTTAAAGCGCAAGTCGAGAAAGAGATCCGAACATGGCGAACCAACATCGAATGGCTTGTCAATTACGATTGGGTCCCGCTTCCTCTGATCTATCCACAGGTCGTCTGCCTCGCCGTACACTTCTACTTTCTTGTCGCCATCATTTCCCGTCAGCTAATCGTTGAGCATCACAAGATTATCGACGAGGTTGACGTTTACTTCCCAGTCATGACGTTCCTCCAGTTCATCTTCTACATGGGATGGCTCAAGGTCATAGAGGTGATGCTTAATCCTTTCGGTGAAGATGACGATGATTTTGAGACCAATGCTTTAATCGACCGTAATATTACAGTAATCCTTCAGATACCGTATTCCCAATTTAATATATATATTTTTTTAGATGGGTCTTATGATTGCTGATAATCCGATGAAGACACCAGACCTCCGAAAAGATCCATTCTTCGATGATGAGGAGGTGCCATTGCTTTATTCCGAGGAATCCTCCAATATTCCAAATAATCACTATCATGGTTCAGTCAGTATGGTCAAGTAAGTAAATCGGGATACAGACATTTTTAATAGATCGAATAGGTTAGCTTAGGACATGAGACTCTACGAATGTTCTAAAATAATTTAATTAGGCTCAACCTTCTTCAAATCCACCACAATTCCAATTTTTAGGCTGGACAACAAGGGGGCCAAGGTGAACATGATTCCCCATTCTCAATCGGAAGTCAACATACGCCGCCTCGGATCAGTCCTTTCTCGAAGCGATCCCGAGCCGATGTTTTCGATGTCGCACGACGACTCTCGACTCAAGAGCACGAGAGAACTAAATGTCGATCGGTTAGACCCGAGGAATTGGAATATTGCCGCCACCACCAAAGATATCACCAAACTTTGATTATATGTGATAGCCTAATTATAGAGAAATTATGGAATTGCACAAATCATGAATTGGTTGATAAAAAACTGCAAGGTTTTCAACCAAAGTTTTAAATTAAAGTATTTTCTAGGTATTTCAAACAATAACTGAGTCATTCCAATTTTTCGATTTCCGCGACAAAAATGTCATTTTAATAGCAAATCGCGGAATTTTATTGTGAAAAATTGATTTTCGAGACAAATTTTCGTATATTTCCAATCAAAAATATATTTTTAGCTCAATTACCTCCTTATCAACCGGCTCATACATATCCAACAGACAATGCGAACCGAGTGTTACTGTTGTCACAATCCGATAGAAAGCGGGACCGTCGGTATGAGGCATTATACCTTGTCCCGGCAAATACTGCAAATAATCCTATCAGTGTATCCAATACACATTTTACGGACCTCGTTAACCAGAATATGATTGACGGGGTTTTCGAAAATCGCAAGACCATCGATTTTCTTCATCAAATACTTCAGCTCCTACAAAAATTTTGAATTTTTACTGAGTAAAAATAGGGTAAATATTACCAGTGGAAAATCATCAGACGAGATGAGAGCTTTGTTGCCGACGACACCACCGTAATTCTGAAGGCGACGATTCGCGAGGACTCGCCATTTCGGCTGAGGAGCATTTTCGATGCACGTTTTGTATAAGCTAAAATTCAAATTCCGTAGGAAATTACACATTTTCAGCAAAAAAAAAGTTCACGGGAAAATTTCGGACATGTTAAGTTTCAAATATTGATTTCCATGTTTTTATTCTGAAATATTTACGCATTTTTCAAAACAAAAATTTGAAAAAAGATTCTCTCAAAAATTCGCAATAATGTGTTGCTTACAATAAGCGTTTTCACCGTCCGTCTGGGATTTTTCACTTTTCTTGATAGTAGCTTACTTCTCCTCTTCTTCATCAATCCAATTTGGAATGTAGACCATAGTGGGCGGCGCGGTACCGACAATGAACTTTTTCACATTTTCCGGAAATTTTTCTGTTCTCGACATCTAAAAATCAGATAATTTTTCATAATGTTCGCAATTTTCTTAGCAAAAACTGTCAAATTTTCATGAATTTTTCAACATTATTGGCAAAAATAAAAAAAAAACACACATTTCTCATTACTAAAAGTCTTTGCGAGATCAAGGTGATTATTAGTAATAATGCCTGGAATCTCGAACGGATTTTGAATTCGCGAATGCACTCCTGAAAACCCCAAAATAAGATGCGCATTTTCAAGAAAAAACTACTCAAATTTAAAGAAAAAACTCTACAAATTTCAATCATAAGATAGGAAATCTCCGTGACACAAACAAAATCAACTTCAGGTGCGTTAGCACAGCTTTTCCTTCTCTTTTATCCATCATTCCATAAAAAGCAAAACAACAAAATGTAGTACAAAAAATCTTGCGAAAAAAATATCCATCGATCCACTACTCCAGGAAAAAATGTCGTCGTCGTTGATTCAGATTAAGAGCTCAGGTTTGGCTCGTTTAAAGCAAAAGCTTCGGGTTAATACAATACAATTAAATGTGTACAATTGAGTTCAATAAATTAATATTAAAAATTTAGGGGTTTATATAAAGTATTATAAATGAGATCATTTCATTTTCTTTTTTTCAGGAATGATTTGAAAGTGTTAATGTGAGTTTTCATAAAACAATTCGGGATAAAAATGTACAATTTCATTTCCTAGATGAAAGACAATTCATTTTTTTTGGATTATTTATATTTAACAAAAATTTACACGGATAGGGCGGTTTAGCGAATATTGGGAAATGTGACGGGTCCCTTATAAGGACTTTCTTCCAACGCGGCACTCATAAGCGAGTTGTCATTGAGAGCGTCTCTCGCTAAATCGAAAGAGCTGAAGTAGATGCTGCACCTGAAATTAATCACTATCAGTTAGAGAGTTCACGATATTGCGAGTGCCAGTCATGCGCGCGCTTATCTGTAGCGTACGTTCCGCCCACGGCAACGGTTCCATGGTGTAGCGGTTAGCACTCAGGACTTTGAATCTTGCGACCCGTGTTCAAATCTCGGTGGAACCTACTAAACTTTTACTTACCGGAAAGGAGAGAGAGTTCCGTCGTCACGCTGCTGCGGAGCATTACTGCTGCGAGTGGGTGTACCGAAAGAGGTGTTGAGGACATCAGTGAGTTTTGCAGGACTTTCAAGAACCTCGCTGAGTGGGCGCTTCACAGGCCCGGTCGATGGTGGCGGAAGAAGTGTGAAGAAGTCGGGATCATTCTCGAAGGCCATCAAGTCATCCAAGAATGGTGCCGGAGTAGTGATGCGAGAGGAAGAAGCTCCTGGATCATAGAATGGAGCCGTATCACAAATGTTGCCGTCATCCGATCTCGGGGTCGATGATGAGCTGGACGAGGACGAAGCAGTAGAGGACATCTCAGACGACACGCTGTACGAAATCATCGACGTCGCACTAGAGATGGTTGAGCTCGGCGAGCAACCAGCAGGCTCAGCCACACTATTCGTCGCATTCTTCTTTCTTCTCGTTTTTCGCACCTTGCGAACTTGTGGAATACGGTGGCGCGAGTTGATAATCTCCGTTGGAGCCTGGATTCCAGCATGCGCCAAAATCCGAGTTGCCGCCTGCGTCGAGCTGACGTGCTGAGTTCCGGACGTCGACGGGCGATTCTCATGGTAAACCGTTCTCAGCACGTTCTTTGTGTAGCACTGCATATCGGGCATACCTTTTGTGCCGCTCTCAATCGCTTCAAGATCCTCTGAAAAATGGGATTGAGAAAGTGAAAAAAAATGTAAAATACCTGGTCTAGCAAGTCCCTCAACGCTACCGCGCTCGCGCCACTTGCGAATATCGTTCTCCAACTTCTCGAGCTTATGCGGGCAGATCTGCCAGAGGCACGATTTGCGATTCATTGCGGCAAGGTCGATATTAACCTTCATAAAGCATTTGTTCAGCGACAGATTGTGACGAACGGAGTTCTTCCAGCCGGGCGGCGCTGTTCGGAAGTACGGGAAATTTTCACTAAAAATAAACAATATTCAAAAATGTTTTCCCCAAAAAGTGAAACTTACAGCATAAACGCGTAGATCTCCGAGACGGTTAGATGCCCGTGTTGACTGTTTTTTAAAGCCAGTGCGATCAGGCTGCTATACGACCACGACGGTTTCGCGAATTCGCCGGGAAGCAAAGGCTGCGCATTCCGATACTTTGTCTTATTCGGTGCCGGTGGCGATGGCGATTTCGATTTACATTTTCTTTGAACATAAGCTGGTGGCGGAGGGGCGGGTCCCGGAAGAGATGGGTCCCGTTCAAGATCTTGGCTGATGCCGGCAAATTCGGTGACATCTACCGACTTGATCCAGGAATCATCGTCGTCGTAAGAAAAGTCTGTCGGCTCGAGATAATCCGCCAAGCTAGAGGCGTGCAGATTCCAATCATCAACAGAGTTTCTGTTCTGGAACGGCGGTTGCTGAATGAAGGAAAACTCTTGATTGTTCTGCTGTTGAATCGCCGGATTGCCATGAATCATTGGGCTTTCTGTTTCAGCAATAGTCGGAGAAGCCTTAGCCGGCGACAAGTACCAAGTAGCTGCTGTAATTATTACAAATTATAACCCTTGCGAAGACCATCCGGAAACTCACTCTCGCCATCAAACTCGCGTCTTGCCGATGTTCCAGAATTGCTGGGAACTGGCATGGCCATTGCTACCGGCTGTGCCGCATAAGACACACTATCAGTTGTGGGCGTCGTCGGCGCCAAACTGATCAAATTTGGATCGTGGAGAAGTGGCACTTGCTGCTCGATCTTGATCGTCACACCGCTAAGTTTTTTTTGTTCGTGAACGATGAGCGTAGTCCGCGGTTTCGGCGGATTCTGTGTCTTCTGAAGAATGCGCGGCCGCTTTGCCTGATGCGGCTCAACTGATTGACTTTGGGAAGGCTGCTGTGGCGGTGACAGAGGCATCTGCTGCTGGACTGACTGCGGCTGAACATAGCGGATTTCTGTCTGCTGCTGCGGTTGAACTGGCTGCTGGTGCTGCACGACATGGTACTGCTGGTTCTGGTTGCTGCTGAACTGGCTTACGGCTCTTGATGTGACCATTGGAGCGGCGCGCGGCGGTGGTGCGGAAACTTTCACATAGTGATATTTGACGCCGGCAGCGAGATCCTGCAAAGACAGAAATTTTGTTTTAAAAATAAGAAATTAGAGTTTTGAGAAATGAAAATGTACAAATGTTTTGATATGTGAAATTTCGTAGAGAATATTCCTTGAGCCAAACATATTCCAAAAATTGGACTTTCCAAATGACTGAAAAAGGGAGAAAAAGCTCACCCGTCTCGGTCCCTGTCTTCCATTGTTATTCCTCACAATCGCCTGATACTGAACCCGCTGTGGCAGCGCTGCTTGCTGTAGTTGTTGTGGTTGGGATCCCCGCATACTAGTACTCTGATTATCCGTACAACTCGCACCGGGCTCCAGTGGTCCAGACCGCTGATGTACGTAGTTAAAGTTCATCTGAAAATTCAAAATTTGCGGTTTAGCGGCGAAAAAGAAAAAATTCAAATAACTCGATGACGGCCGAGGTTCGAATTCGGCGGTCATGGCGAATGGCGCGCATTTGCCTTCACCATTTGTGCTAGGCATTGTGCCAATCGGAGAGAGTGTCAGGCGGTTCAAGCCAATGAGCGAGGGAGGGGTCAGAGACTGGTGAAGTGGACAACTGGTCAACAGACAGATGTTCTCCCCTCTCTTCTGCTTAATTGGTGTCTCCTCAGCCGGCAACGGCTCACAGAGCTGCGCCAGGCCCGTTCCACCACCTCCCCACTATAAAAGCGAAAAACAATAGAAACAATTCGAGAGTAATGATACAAATTTTCGGTTTTATTAAATGTCGCTTTTGAAAATTTGCATTAAATTTCTACTTAAAAGCTGAAATTTTCGACGGTAATTTCCTTTAAAAAAACTTGAAATTAATAAGAAAATGCAGATTTTTCGTAAAACTGGAATCTCAAGAAGAAAATGAGAGAACATTGAGCTAACCGCGCACAGAGTTCAAAAAAGGCCTAACAGAGCTGATGCCTGAGGGCCTTGCACCAACTCCGCGAAAATCAGTAGAATAAGAATGGTGTAGCTAGCGCAGGGAGCAGCTGCAACACCCACAATCACCATAGTGACGTAATCGCCGATTCGGGTATGGGCGTTACCGCGAGAGGGTTGAGAGAGTGAGCAACTGATGGCGAATGGTGTCGTCGCAATCTGTATGGGTCCGCAAAAACTAGGTGGGGTCTAAAGGGGCGGAGAGAGAGAGACGGCAGACATGATGATGACGTCTTCACCCTTCACCATTGCCAACGCACCCTGCACCCTGTATATAGTACAATGCAGTGTGGAGGGTGCGAAAAAAAAATCATCACCAATCAATGAAATATCTGAAGGTGCGAGATCGACACCCTACGCAACAAAAACAAGTCAGGAAAGATAAGATAATAATCAAATTTATTTGGATCAAAGGAAGGACCATTAAACTTCCAATTAAACAGTTTTCCATAAAATATAAGTTGATAAACAATTTCCGAAAATAAACTCCTAAAATTGGCAATATCCAACAAAGCAAAAAATAAATAATTATTTTTATGAGCAACAGACCAGAATCAGGCAATATCTCAATCTTAAAAATAAACCCTGATAACACGTTGAACGCGTTTGCCGCAAGCATCGAATGGGCAATATGATAAGCCATCGATGGTGTCGTAACATGTTGTTGTATCGCCGTCTTTTCCCAGAATTTGATGGTCCCCATACTTTCTTTTTACTCGCGCGACAAGTGCGTCGCACGACAGATAACATCTGCAACATACATGTACATATTCAATCAGTTAACAGTATCTCGATCACCAATTATGCGATTACCGTCAGCTGGGTCTTAACGCGAAAATAGTTGTCTAGGTCAAAATCAACGATTTCATGGATTTCAAAACAAAAATTAATTAGAATTTTATGTTTCTTGGAAACATTTGAAAATGTATTGTTTAAGTAAGTGACTAAGTGACTTAAGAAGTTAAGAAGTTAAAAATGCAAACAACAGAATAGAACATTTCGATACTAAATTTCGAGCAACACAACTAAAAATTAAATTTAGAAATATTGAAAAAATTAATAATTGACACTTTATTCTTTAAAAGTTTATAAAAAATCTCAACTTGACAAAAATTAGGAAAGACTAAATTTTCGAAAACCGAAGAAAACGGAAAAAAAAATCAAAAATGTTATTCAGTGGTCATTTCTATGTTCTCAGATTTCTCAGGCCTCCATTCCCCGTCATCAATCACTATTCGAGAATTCGAGCCGCCAACAACGGACCGTGATTATCTTGACTGGTCACCTGTCACTTTCTGCTGGTGCGCGAGCGGACCACAATGCACATTGTGCAAACAGGCAGACCCCGCATTCAAATCGATTGCGCAATGAACAACTTGACACGGGGAGAAATATTCTAACAAAGACAAACGGACCATAGCACCCATAAAATGTCATAAAAAGAACCGCTAAAGGTAACTAATAGCTTGCCAAAGGATATGATATCGTTATAGTAAAGTAGTGTTGTAAATGGAGAAGAGATAAAAAAAAAAACATTAAAACACCATAGAAACTTGATATTAAACGAAAAAAAAACGAAAACGAATGGTAATATTTTCACAATAAAACTGATTGTTGCGGTTACCTTCCACCTTTCCTTTAAAGAACTAATTCTTCACCCATATTCCCCCCCTCTACAAGACAACAATTTCTGCAAAAATTACCCGCACGGCACCAAAGCCACTGCCTTTCTCTGATCGCCATCCTCATCACAAATATCAAGCGGACAATGACCATTCCGAACCTTGAGACGCCTTTCTTCGACAATTTCTGAAAAAAACTGACAGACAATTGTATCACCACTTTTTCCACCAATCCCAGGTATCGTCCCTTTTTTCCCCAATCAACACAATTTCCTCGCCGACAAAGAACCATCTAGACCCCCTATACCGAAGTATTATGTCACATCTTGCCCAAGATCACTAGAGGTGCTAACATCACATCTACAGCAGTAATCCATGAGAATGAGTGGAGAGCGGGTGATAACTAGCACCTAGTCTAACTGCCAAGATTACGGTGCGCGACCAATAGGCCAATAATTTACAACTCATTCATGTCATAGAGAACCTGTCAAAACTTTTCCTACATTTTTTTGCGATTTTTTAAATTTTTTTTGCAAAACTTAATGAAAAAGAGTTTTTTTTCCGAAAATCCGATAATTTCGCGCCAACATCAAACAATAGCTTCTCGCGCAGTGGCACCTGCTCTGTCCACTGGGTCATTAACTAATTAGCGGTTCTTGTTCTTGTCACTCCCAAAACCTACCTTTAGAACATAAATGACATTTATCGATCTGCGACCGACACTTTGCGCAGATCCAATGACCGCAGTCGAACACGATCGCCCCAATGCCGGTCTCACAGCACACGTTGCATTCAACCCAGGCGGCAGTCTTAGGAAACCCGGCAATATTGTAATTGGCGAAAGCGTCCTCACTGAGCACAATTACCGTATCCTGAAATAGCAAAAAAAAAAACAATTTTAGTTCTCATAAACAGGAATATTTTTAAAACCGCTACTAATTTCATAAAAATATTGCAACTGCACGTCATTATGAAATATTGTTGGTCGCCCTACTGCGGGAAATTGGCTGAAGGGCTACAAAATTTAGGCCAATAATTATTAACTAAATATTTTTTAACTAAATATTATTATTAACTAAATAAATACTTTTTAACTAAATTCATATTTTTTCAACTAAATAAAATATTTTTTTTAACTTAATATAATTTTTAACTAAATAAATCAAATTTTTCACTAAATATAATTATTTTTAACTAAGTCCGTTTTTTGCAGTCCGTCTATATGTAGACGGACTGCAAAAGGAATTTATATATGTATAAATTTTATGCTAGTATCTTAAAAAAATAACCGCGCAGTGGTTAAATAACCTTTTTTCAAGCGGAGCAGAATTATAAAGCGACCCACATGAAAAGGACTATTTCGCATTTTTTCACTGTCACGTGACCAATGTGCTTTTTGAATTTTTGAATCATGGAAGACGTTGGAGCAGCAATTAAAATCTAAATCGGCCCAATAAGTTTCAAACCTTCTCAAATCTATGCCAGACCGTGTTTTGGATGTTCTTACCTCGAATGGAGGTGCCACCAAAACCAAACATTAAACTATTGTTATCGTTGAGTTTATAAATTGTTTCATGGGGGTCGCTTTATAATTCTTCTTGAAAAAATGTTATTTAACCACTGCGCGGTTACTTTTTAAGATGCTAACATAAAAATTGGTACATATAGGTAATTTTTCATGCTGAACACGATTTTCACACTGGTTGGTCGCAAAATATCGAAATCATTGTTCAAATTTGGGGGTGGCCTTATAATTCTGCGGCGCACTGAATAAAACCTTGGTAAATTTTTGAAGTTAATTGCTCACCTAATATATATATATATTGAGAGAAGGATAGGCTACTATGTATACACACGCTGTTATACTCATCTACAGTACCGCAGAAAAAGATACGAAATAATTATTTTCCTTCATAACTATTGAACAAGTGGTCCAATCGAAATAAAATTTTTACTGGGAGTCAAAAACACAATTTAAAACTCTAGTTCGAAATAATACGTGCTAGAAAACTTTTTTTTGAAATCGGCAAAACGGAAAAATCGATAAATTTGAGTTATCTTATTTTTAAAATATATTTTTTAGTTTTCGATTCTTTGTGATATATTCATTACTTTTAAGGATGGGTCGACCAAAAGGGTCTAAAAATTATCTAAAGCTGATCGCAAATGGTGTAGCGACTAAGTATTGGGTCTATTAATAGTTGTAAAAAATTATTTGGTGCTTGATGATCTAATTTTATTTCTACAGCATTTTTTTGAGATAAATGAACACCCCTTGCAAAAAATTTCAGCTCGATTGAACAACTCATTTAAAAGTTATGAAGAAAATTAATTATTTCGTATCTTTTAACTGTAGGTTTATTTAGTTAAAAAGTATTTATTTAGTTAATAATGATATTTAGTTAATAATCATATTTAGTTAATTTAGTTAAAAAATATTTAGTTAATGAGTTTAGTTAATTATTGCCCAAAATTTAAGGAGGTCTTGATACACTATGTGCGCCTTTAACATTTCCTTATTCTTAGTCAGTAAATCTACATCTTTACATTTTACACTTATTTACGCAGCGGGGTCAACGGGAGAGAATGAAACAACAAAATGAAACAAACAATGAATAGTAATACCACAAGATGAAACGAAGAGAAGAAGGAGATCCGATAATGAAGAAAGTAGGAGTTAATCATATGCTATATATTTAATTTAAAAACTTAAATTTCTAAAGACGAGATGAGCCGCAGCCGAATAAAAAATGGTTAATAAAATAATTTTCTTGTAACTAATTTTATTGAATAGGGTGAATATGGATATCTTTTAATATTTGACTAAACTTGATACTTTCGGATTACAAAAATCGAATATGTGAGAAACATCTTGACCGGGCAACACAAAAATCGTTCATTCTTAAATACTAAATACTGTCGCTTTTTTGCGATGACAATATAATTAATTTTCTAGAAAACATTACTTCCTGTCTATCACTAAAATTTCTTTCTGCTATTTAATAATAGCATCATAAAAATGTGCCAATTTCTTCAAGATACGTCTGTTTGATTACACGGCGGGAGGTGCGTTAGATATGCATAACATTTTTGCGCAATTCGATTATAAATTACCTTGGGTTGTTGAATAACTAAGAACCTATGAATATCCAAATTATCAATGAAAACGGCTTTCGAGAATTTCGGCTTTATATTCGAACCATCAACATCGGGAATCAAGTCGGACCACCTGAAACAGAAATCATTAGTTTCCATACTCTTTTTTAAAACAAATTTCGGGCATCCCAATACATAAAAATAAAACTCACACATATCCTATTCGTCCATCATTCTCCTTCGTGAATCGAATCTCAATCACATCACCAGGAAATCTCTCACTGTGTGGCCCTTTTCGATAATTCCTTCAATAAATTCGATAAATAACGAACAAAATAAACAAATGCTACCTACCACATTGGTATACTATTATTGGCAGCATCTAGGGCATTAGTCTTTACTAAATTCGATTTTTCTTCTGTTTCGAAGAGCGCAAACGGGATACTCAAGATTGCGTGTTTCTAAAAGATTTCGTGGTCCCGTATAGAAAATTGGCAAATCTGTATTTTCGGTCAAAATCGAATATTTCGCACTGTCACCACAGACATCTCAATCTTCGGCGTTTTCTTGATTCCGCGGATTAACATGATCGTGAATTCACGATACGGTTGATTCGAGAATATCAGAAAAATCGACGACAACAATCCATGACTCGTTATCAAAAATACCACCAGATTATTGAGAGATTGATTGAGAATTTCGAAAAAAACTGTGGCAACGATATAAACGGATGGCACGGCGAAAACAAATATCGATAATCCACCCTAGAGAAATATCACTATACATTTTAAAAATTCAAACTTTTAGGTGTTCTCGATTAAACAGTCATCTAAATGTAACTAATAGCGGTCAGATCAATCAGTGTAGCCGAAAAATTAACCAAAAATTCAACGGAACTTAAAATGAAGCCCAGACAAGAAATCAGGCACCCTACCGTGATAAGCAAACCGCGAAATATCTTTCTCTGCATTCGCTGCGTCGCCAACGAGATTTTCGTGCCGCCAATCGTGAACAACAAATAAAACGAAGTGCCGAAGAGGTAGACGAACCCTTGAATTAGCAAAAATCCGACATAGGATCCGAGGAGAAGGGCGCAAAATTGGTAGTCATCGGTGAACACGTAAAATTCGGGGCTATAAAACAATCGTGGCGGGCACGGATTAATCTGTAACCATGCTACTCCTTATAATTTTTAAAGGTGCATGCCTCAACCATAAGCAATTGCAGCTTCGCTCTCTCAACGTCCTTTTCACGAAATATTAATGGCACAAATAAGACACACGAGTAAATATAGCAGGATGAAATATAGGCGATTCGCTTATAAGGGTTGATTATTTTAAATTTGGTATCAACAATAGCCGTATATCGATTCTCAAATATAAGTAAGATTGATAAGGCGAGATCTAGATGCAAAACTACAGTAACCCGTGAGTGATGTGGAGACTACTGCAACCCGTGGGTCTCGTTTGGAAATTACCGAAGCCCACTGGTCACGTCTACATTAACTATCGTACTTGTGATATTAATCTGCCCCGAGAAAATTTGATAAATCGTCGGCACTCCAATCTTACTGAGCACACCCAATCCCATACCACACGGGCACGGCAGCACCCAATACGGGGTGACAAGAAATCCCCAATTGATGTCGGCACATAGATTCCTTAAAATCATCATCGTTGTTGAAAGAAAAGCTGAAGGTTAAAAAAAATAAACCAAATCTGAAGTTGCAATAGCGGCCAAATCAAATTCTTCATTCGCTTCGGCGTTTTCTTACAGACCAAGAAGATCGTGTACAATTCGGCGGGTATGCTGATTATGGTTAGAACGTGGCACGAGAGCGTGACAAATTGCCACGTTTCGAGAAAGTATTCGTCGCGTTCGCACGTCGTCGTCATTCGAAGTGATAAATAATTAGACGGGTGTTTTCAGATGATGATGATAATGAGAATAATGATAACGCGGAAGAAAACGCAGCAAAAAATGAGCATTTTCACGCCTCATTACAAATTAGCAGATCAAGCATACATTATTTGCAAATGCGACGGTTGATTCAATACTTTCTTCTTCATCTAATTCGAAATCGAACAGCAATGGATAGAAAGATCTACTGACTTACGTCTATCTATATATTTTTCTACGAAAGTGGCGAGGCCTTCGTTTTGAAAGACCGCCCACGCGCAAATGTATAAAAAGAGCAAGTAAGTAACCTATTAATAAAATATGGACCTATTCATGATGTGTATTTTTTAAATTACAATTAATGCTCATTTTTTTACAATCTCGCATTGAAAAAGTGTAATTCTTACATTTTTATTGTATGAATAGGTCCATTAGTAAGAAGCAAGAAGTGCGACGGTATTGTAAGCGTCAAATTATTGATCTGTGCATTCAAGTTCGCAAAATCAAAGTAGATCTGCGAATGCCGACAACAATTTCCAATGATAGGTCAAATTGAAAACGATTACAAGTTCATGGCGATAAATTTTCAATCATAAACGACACTAAATTTGTCCGCCCTTGCCTATGGTTTCTGAAAAATTTATAATTCTTTTTAACATTATTTATTGCACTAGTATGCCTATTAGCTTTTGATCATCATGAGTCGGGGATTAAAATTTCGATTTGAACAGTGGGAGTTCGTGTACCTTTTTAGGAACAAACTACGAATCGAATATATCGTAAATCGGCTCAGGATGCTTGTTTTTTAAGATTAATGTAAGCGTAAATAAAGCAAAATTTCAATTCCAAATTTTAATATCAATTTCAAAATTTTAAGCCAAACACGCAGACTAAGAAATTCCGTATATATGGTAAATAATAACAATTTCAAACTCAAAATTAACATTTCGAGTGAAACACCTTACCTCCCAAATAACATAAATTCGGAAAAGTCGACTTTTTCTCAACAATTTGTTGATTTCGTCCGCGACGATAAACACACAATTCTCCAAATTATCGTTCAAATCATTCTCGTATCTCGTGATAAGTCGTAAAACATCCATGCCTGAATAAGAAAGAAGGTGAGGTTAATAAGCAGAAAGTACGATACAATGTTAGTATAGTAATGAAAATTCGTCAAACAACGTGGGAAAAAGGAAATTTTCACAAAAAAATAATTTCAAAAATCTATTTTATTCTCTAAAAATCTTATATTGACAATCAACGACCTAGAAGAAGTACTTATAATTTTCCATGAATTTTCTCCCGCAATAAATTGAGTTTTTCAAGATCATTGGCACAAAAATCGAATTCCGATTTGAAAACGACTATCGGATCATATCCTTGAGCTCGTAGGAGCCGCAATCCAAGTTGATCTGGTCCGAGAAGCGCCGACTCTCCATTAGATTCGATTTCCTGCAAAAAGACCATGAGATTTTCTAATTTTTTAGGGATTTTCGCTAAATTCTCAAAATATGTCTCGAACGCGTCATTCGTACATTGCATTTTAGTTAATATTTCGTCAGCTTTTTTTGTAAATTTACATTTTCGAACTTCTATTTTGCGAAATTGAATTTCGCACCACCGATCAGTTATTTGACGCCGACAATATTTTATTTTTATAAAAAAGAGCACAAGACTCAAATATCAATTAGATTTTTTTTTCAGAATATCAGATAAAGCACCTGTTTAGTATGCATCCATCCAAAGAACAAAATCGGGCGCGGCTTTCGGTCACCCCACTGATTGACGCTAACTAGTCGATCAATTTTCTGTAAAATCCACAAATAAAGAGAAAACGAGGAAATTCGAAAACTTTGGAAATGAACAGCATTTCTTCATACGACTCAGGACTAAAAATAGTTTTTTTCAAATGCTATAGTTGTTTTAAAAATAAACTAAAAGTGTGCTTACATTTGGATCTGGGAGCACATAACCATCAACAAGTACTCCACATTTCTCAATATCGGCATGTCGGCAATGGGTATCTTGCGGCGCGATTTTGAACAAATTCTTCAGGAACAATTCTGTATGTTCCGTGTTTTTATGGGTATACTTCAGCTGAATCGCATGTTTTATCTGAAACGGGAAAAATCAAATGGTGGATTTTAGAAAAATTACAGATTCTGGACCAAATTGAATTCCAAATTGCTCAAAAAACTCCCGAGAGACGGTGGGACCATCATAAGACGGTAGATCAACTCTAGCGCATTTGTTTATCATCAAAAGTGTCATCGCCTTGCGCAATCGATCAATTTTCTCGCTGCAAATTGCAATTTTAAAAAAAAATTAGTGAAAAAAAAACGCACTGCGAGTTCTCCATGATCTGCTGAACAAAACTTTTATTGAGCACCGAATCCACGATAACCGCATCCAATTCTTGGAAATACGCCAATGAATAGACCGCATTGAGCCAAGTGGCAGGGAGTCGGACTTTGTACCGATTCAGCTTCTTCTTCATAATTCGGGCAAGCGGTTTACCGTCCGAAACGCCAATTCTTGCCAACACCGTTACAAATCGTCCAAGCTCGTCAATGCTCGCCTCCGATTCATTCTGCGTCGCCCATCGGATCAGTGTGCTCCACGTTTTTTCCTTTCCATATCGCATTCTGTATTTTTCGTGTTTGTTTTTGAAACAAAGCACTTTTAGCAGAGAAAACTAACCTGACAAAAGAATCCGTAATTTGAATAACATCAGACCATTTTCGAATAACATTCGAGTTCATCGCAATATCATTTGACACCTTTCTCAATAATTTCTCTGAATAAAATGATAAAGTCGAACACGCAGTGACAACTGTAACAATTTGCGAGACCGATAAGCAATTGGGGGATCTAAATATGTCCCTTGATTGGAAAATCTCTCAAAAAAGCTCACTCGGATATAAAATTTGCCAAAATTCGCATCAAAAGCTTATTTCTCTGTTTCCTCACCGCCAAATGCTTGAGCAAAGCGCATTGTTCTCCCTAAAATCAACAAAAAGCCATTGAAAAATCAAAATTCCGAACCAAGTTCATATAAGGCGCCAATTGCTCGCATTTCTGCACCACGTGACTCTTATCAAACCAAACTTCTTTTGGTGTATGATTCAAAAGCGTCAGAAGCTCCGAAGGCTTGTCGAGTTCACTGGAATCTCAAAAATTGGAAGAATAAAATAATAATTCTTACTTTTTTACTCGTTTTTCAATATGTTCGATAATTCTTTCCATTAATATCGGCTCAAGCTTGTCGGAATGTGTCAGAAGCATCATCAAATTCTCAAAAGGCACCGAGTTTAATTCCTCGATCGCAAATTCTGCAAAAAGAATGTGCTTTTTTGAAGGTTGACAGAACCTATACTAGCATACGGCGTCAAAAGACTATACAAAATCAAAATTTAAAAACTTTGCTACGTATCATAGTATATCGAGGATAGGTCTACCTACTCTGAATTTTATTGTACGCGCATTAAATAATTGGCAATGCGGTTGGACATAGTGAAGTGAAAGAAATTTCGCAAAGCTTTTGTATTAAAGACTTGAATATTCACGTGAAGATCCATTTAAAACAGCACCACCAATTTCTGTTATGGACATAAAAACACGAAAAAAAAATAACCCAACCTTTTTTTATTAAAACCTCTTGAATTCTCCGAATAAGAGGCGACGAGGAATTGAGAAAAACGACATATCGCAAAACATTGACTGCTTCAGAAACTGTTATACTCTTGAGCATTTTTGGTACAACCTTCTGTGACATTCTTAAAAAATGATTTTCTACAAAAAAAAACAAGGTATTGCCATGGACGGACTAACTCAAGGTGCAATTGCATTATCATTTTAACTTTCAAATTCGTTAGTCCACGACAATATGTATCATTATTACTCATTCATATCGGCAAACGCTTTCTTCTGCTCATTCTTTCCAAGACCCATCGCCAAATTTGCCGCCTCGATGTATTTAGATACCGATTTTACATCGTTCTGTTTAAGCCACTAAAAGATATAACAATCCATAAACTAAAAATATTATGACTAATAATAACTTGATGAAACTGTTCCGAAGAATTTAGAGCGTCTTTATACTTCCCTTCGTATGGTGTAGCAGAGGAAACAATGGAATTTAGAAAATCTGCAAGATTTTTTAGCTTTCTTCATTTTTGCGAAAATTTGCAAAGCTTGTCAATTCGAACATGTGCATTATTCTAATTATTGATTATTCGTTCCAAAAATCTCCAACTAATTTATTCTACCTTCAATTCCAAGATTCTTCTTGGCGACAACCGCTGCCATTCCCCTAAACTGACAAATTGCAGTATGCTGAACCGTCAAACTGTGGTTCAACATCTGAAAAGAATAAAATAATCCGACAAAAACCAGTATTGAAAAATATATTTTGGTAATAAACCGGTTCAAATAACTCAAAATTAAAAAAAAACCTCATATATTTCAACAAAACAACTAAAAAAAACGAAAACAATAGAAAAATAGCTTGAAAATCATGCAGCTATCGGCTGGCAAGCTTTGAGGTGCTGTTGAGCAACGACAGCCAAACAATCGTAAACATCTGAACAGGTCGACTTGGCGGTTTCCATTACAATCGGAAGATAATCAATGTGAAGGCGATTCTGGAGCTCCACGAGGATGACTTCGTCACGGCCGCAAATAGTAGCTAGCTGCAAATAGGATTTTTTCAAAATTCCAAAATGTAGTTAATGTAATTTTAGCTGAAATAGCAGCAATGAAGATTTTAATTATCGAAAATTTAAGTTTTTGCGGAAAAGAACCCAGCCGATATTTTGAAATCTTGCAAAAAATTTATTTGCGTTTGATACTTTTACTTTTGAAAATTTCTTTGTAAAACTGTCCTACCGTAACCCTGGGCAAAAGGTCAGTTTCCTCTCTGGACGTTAAATCCACAATCGGTTTGCTATCGACAATACCGCAAGTGGCCGCCGAGGCGATGCCTTTCATCGGGATCCCAGCATCTGCCAAAGCGAGCGAAGTGGCATTCACACAAGCAGCTAAATTCGAGCCGTCACCCTAAAAGTGAGCAAATTTCGGAATGAATACTGAGCAAATCTTGCCTGAAGTACTTCGCAGAAAATGTCGATTTGAGATCTCGGGAACTGTTCAACAAGAATCACTGATTCGAACGCTTTTTCGAGTAATCGACTCATTTCGGTAGACTTTCGGTCGCCCCTTGGTCGATTTTTGCGTTCCAAACCCGAAAATGTCGTGGTACTGTATTGACAAACAACCACACAACGATCTTCTAAGCGCTTCGACGTTTTTCCTTCATATGGACCATAAACTGCACAAAGAACCTGTAAAATTGTATTTACAAAGAAAATGAAGAAATAACAAAAACAAAAACCTGTGAAGTAATTATCTTTTAAAATTATTTTCGGCAATAAACTCCCTGTTTCAGATATTTTCGCTTCAAAATCTTAGTGTTACATAATTAAAAGAACAAAAAATTGAAAATAGGGAGACTAACATTGGAGATAAAATAATAAGTATTGAAATAGCTTGAAAGAGGTCACCGTCCACTAAAACGTTTATATTAATTTATTGAAATCTTATCAATTTTACTCGTCGATAATACAATTCCAGTAATTTTTTTTTGAAGAAATCGTCCTTTGAATCAAAAATTAAAAAAAAACCTTGGTATTCCCGTGCTCGATGTAACAACTACCCTCTGCATTGCGATTCAGACCTAGACGAGTATTAATATTGCGAATTTGCAGCGGACGGCGTCCGTCTAAACGGTAGCCGTGTTCAGAAATAATATTCATTGCAGATTATCAGCTACAGGAGTTTGCGGTTGTAAAACTGCCTCGGTTGGTGATGGTTCTCCTTGTTTGAAAAGAACTTTTGGAGCTTGATCGCCAAAAACTAGCATAAAACGACGGTTCACCAATAATTGCTTAGTAATGCCTGCAATTAACTCGTTAATTATAAACTAACCGATAAAACTACATTGATTCACGCACGAATCCTCTTCGTTTGTTAATTTTGGATTCGTGTAGTCCCGAATGCAAAAGTTAAAGCAACGTTCGGTAAGAGTGTTGTAAACTGACAGAAACTCTTTGAGCTGAAAGTATTGAAAAATAATGATTAAAACATTAAAGATATCAACCTGTTGAACGTTTTGAATGATATTCATAAAGCAGAAACGAGGAAGTAGCTCTCTGGTGAGTTTCCTATAATTTGTTATGTTCTCGAAATTATTTATCAAAATTCAAAAAATTCAGAAAAAAAAATATTACATTCACATAAAACGAGCATCTTGTGCCAATTTACAGTGATTCGCAGGTTATCCGCTCAGCAACTCATGGCGTTGAAACTCCCGGAAATAAAGATTTCGGTGAAACGCCGGTGAAAAAAATTGTTTCAGTCTCCCAAAATCACAGGATCTCTTCAATATCACGTTTCACCGAAATTTATATTCCCAGTCGTTTCTACGGCACGATCTCCTAATTCCCAGTTTAAAATCAAATCTTGAAAAGTGCGATCGTCCAAAATTATGCAACGCGCTCATTTTTTGGGATGGTAAATACTAGATTAACATACAATTAAGTAGTTGTTTAAATAAATTATAAATTTGCTCAAAATAATTTTCAATATCAATTATAAAATTTGATGCGGAAGAATACAGAAAATAAAAGTCAACTGCGAACTCAGAAATTTTTTCCGCAGAAACGGCGGTGAAAACAAATGTCTCCGTCTTTCAAAACCATACACTTTCTAAAAAAGTGTTTTATCGGCAATTTACAGAAAACTAAACCATTTCTACAGAACGATTTGCAGAGAAAATAAAAAAGTGAGCAAGTCAAACGTTCTGCAAAGCTAATGCATCGGTGTTTGCGTATTTCAAGGCGCGTGATCGTTTTCGGGCAAAATATCTCTTAGCGATAGGAAACAACGTGTAAAAGTGAGAGATACAGACATCGTATTTAATTTATTCAGAGTGAACATCGTTTCCCAGTTCTTTCGCAATAAAATTTCTGTTTTTTTCAGAATTAAATAATGGTCGCTGCCAGTGTGGACGTTGATGATTCGGCCAACACAATCCTACCAGTATCGGTGTCGTCTGGCGATGATGAGACCGGAATCTGGCGCGAAGTGCTCGCCTCGAAGAAAGTCAACTGGAATCAAGGCAGCACGGTTATTCTGATGGGCGAAAACCGCGCTGGTAAATCGTCATTGTTAGGACGTCTAAATAAAAACGAAAAGGAGCAAAAGCATGAATCCCTCCTTGAATATCAAGTAATCCATATTCAAAACGACGCCAGGGATTCCAGCTACGCTTACCAATTGGGAACAGCGGGGGCAAACTTAAATCCTTCTGAAATGCTTCACATTCCGGTATATTTTTCTTTAAATTTCTAGTATCTTCCAATTTTTAGGTCTGGACCCTTGACGGAAGCGAGAAATGCGCTTCATTGCTTCAACATGCGCTCCCTTCAAATCCATCAAAAGCCATATTTGTGTTAGCAGCAAGCATTGATAATCCGAGTAATTAGCACCTAAACTATCATTTAACTACTTATCAAAAGTTACAGACCTGATCCATTCCTTAAAGCGCTGGGCGAATGTTTGCACCGAGCAGGCTCAAAAGAATTTCGACAAAAAGGATTTGAAGGAGGGAAGAGAGCAGCGTAACACCAACATTTTATCGAATCAACGGATCAATTATAGTTTTTAAGAAGAGCGTTGGTGGCAGGAATACGTCGATCCCGTAGAATCACAAATGAGTTCCTCCGTCGTAGGAAACTTTGCTGACGTCACGAATCTGCTGCCGCTCGACCAGGGAACTTTAAGTGAAAACTGTGGGATGACATTCATTGTGGTCATCACCAAAGCGGATCTCGCTAAAGATCTCACCGATCAACAGTTTGGAAGAATCATGATTCATCTGAGAAAGTTCTGCTTGGCGCTTGGAGCAACGTTGATCTTCACAAGTGCCAACACTGGCAAGAATGTGCTACTGCTTCAGAAGTATCTACTTCATCGATCCTTCGGAATTGCTTTCACAAATGCCGCGCAAGTCATTGAACGCGATGGTATCTTCATTCCAGCTGGATGGGATGGCGATAAGAGAATTGAAATGATCAAGGTGACAATTTTTTATAATTTAAAAATAATTCCAAAGAATTCTGAGGAATTGTTTATATTAAAAAAAAAAAAAGAACAATATATTATAACCGCAAAGAAAACGAGCACTCTGAACTAGGTCCTACCTGCGCAAACTTCTAGTTGTCGAGATATGGACCTTCAAAGTTTTAGCCCCTCCCACGTGAATTCCAATGTAACTGACAACGTAACCTACACACCACTGAATCACAACTGCTTGCCAAACTAGGATATAAGCAAAATCCTTCGTCCACAAACTATGTACACATTTTGACAAGATTTTCAAGTCCAAACAATACCAGGAAAACGCAATATTTCAATTTCAGGAAACCATTCCCGAGCTCGATATGGCTCTTGAGCCAACCCGCGAGAAGCCTCGTCCTCAGACCAAGGAACATCTGATCGAGGCCGAAAACGACCAAGAATTTCTCAAGAAGCTCAGTGAGGTGCTTCTGTTAACTGCACCCGCTCCAGCGCCGACGAGAAAAGTGGCGCCTGATGAGCCAGCTGATAGTCCGTTGGCCAACTTCTTTTCAAATCTTCTAAAAGACAAGCCGGCAAGAACTTCCTCACCGATCGCCTCTCAACCCATCGAAGCTACCGCGGCTCAGTTGGATCGAATCCTAAGGAGCACATCGAGCACAAGACCTCAGCAGCAAAATTCGGATTTGGATGCCTAAATAATTGTAAATATTTAAAAACAAAGCAAAATAAATTTTTCGAAGTGTCTTTAGTCAACGTTAATTTTACTCTTATCGATTGTTTTATACTTCCAAAAATTATTCGAACATTTTAAATTCTGGAATACAATTTACCTATTCATGCAATAAAAAATCAATAAAAAGATGTGAAAATTTACATTTTTTCCAATACTCATTTAATAGTCACATATTCATTTGACTTTTCCGTCTTCGTCGCGCGTGTCGCTGGGCAATTCGAGTCGTCTCTTCATTGACCACAGGCCGAAGAGGTTTTTTTTTCAGCGATGTTGGAATCTACGATCGGACACGTCTCATCATTGTTGACGACGACGTGTGCATTTCATTGTTGATTGACGACGTGTGCATTTGCAAATTCGTCTTACCTCAAATAAAAACGAGCGCCCTGAATAATTGTGGACCATCGCGCGAATTTAAACAGTGGGAATTCGGGTATCGTAATACGAATAAGTCATCACAAAATCCAACTCATTTTCCCCACTATGATCTTTTAATCGATTATTTCATTTAATTTCGCGATTGAATTGAGAGGCACATTTTTAATGAAAATTTCTTGATGCTTTTCTAGAAGAAAATCAACCCAGTATATAAGGGCGCGTATTTTGTGTTGATTGTTCTTCTCTTTCTCCGAGTTCAAATAAACTCTAATTACTCAACTACGTGTTCTCACGGACCACGCCACCAGCCGCAATCCTCAACGATCACAACAATTGTATGTTTTGGTAATTAAAAGAAAAAACCTAAAACCATTGGTTTTAAGAATATTTGAGTTTAAAATTTCGACAATTTTTGGATACGGTAATGAATGACTAAAATCCTGGTAACTTTTCCATTTTGCTAATGTATATATATATATATATATACACTAATGACATGCATAACAACTTAAATGAACCTTAAATTTCTGCAAAACATTGCCCGTAGATAGAAAGAAGAAAAAAATCAAAACGTCCGTCAAATTGTCGGCCAAACCGCCAAATTCAATAAAATCGATTCGACCACAAAGAGATCAAAATGGTTCATTCCAAACGGTTAAATAATTTAGTATACAAGGTAAGATGCGCTGTTAAAGCTGGTCCCAAAATCACTTGGGCTTCGACAAATGTGTTAAATAAATATCCATAAATGCGACAACAAAAGCCTCAAGATGGAATATTGCCTTCGAGTGCTGGCCTAGAACGAGTCTGTGCTCGAATTTCGCCGCTTCTGCCACGACTTCGCCGACGATCGAGTCGGCGCAATTCGGCAGAAGGAAATCAAGCAATTTCTGTAAAATTTTTGCTCATTTTTCGAATGAAAAAAACATTGAACATTTAGAAATTTGCCAAAAGAAAAAATTTAATTTGATACAAAAATTAAAAAAAATCATTTAATGTGAAATACTTACAACCATGCATTAGAAAAATGTGATTTTTTTAATTGAATGAATAGGTCTATTAAGGATCTATTCAATGCTTGCAAAAATTTCGAATTTGTCATTTTTAAAAATTCAAATTTACATTAAAAATCAAATTCGGCGGCATACATCTCGACAATATCTCATAAATGCGTTCTCTAACCTAAAAAAAAATGGGAAAAAAAGTTGAAAAAAATTCGAATTCGCACTTTCAAAATCATATCATTCGACTGTTTCTGCAGAATCATTTTCGCTGTTTCTTGAAGATATTGCTCCCATTCCGGCATCACCACCTTCGAATCCGACGTGATCGCACCATTGTCATTCTGCATTCGAGTACATTCAACCATCAAAAGAGCTCGTCGTAGGTTCCCTTCTGATTTTTCGACAACCTGGCAACAAAATCTCACGTTATCGAATGCGCAGCGATCATAAAAGCATAATTTCCCGAAATTCAATTACTCTATACCTGTTGAACAATATTCTCAGGAATCTCAACCTTCTCCTGCGAGCACACCCCTCTAACAATTCCGGCGATCTCCTCGTCACTCGGTGCCGGCACGTTGATCACAATGCATCGCGATTGAAGAGGATCAATAATACGCGACAGCGATTCACAGCACAGAATGATTCGGCAGTTGCTAGCGTACTTCTCCATCGTTCTTCGCAGACCGTGCTGGGCATCTCGCGTCAGCGAGTCCGCCTCACACAGTATCACCACTTTGAACGATTTCTGTGAGGTCGAGTCGATTTGGGCAGTCTGGGCCATCTCTTTGACGATGTCTTGAACCACGACCCGATCGTAGATTCCAACATCGCTGAAAGAAACCGCAAATCTTTAATTCTCGGAAACTTCCGATAATACAAAAATTTTGTATTAACATGTAATATTCTCTTCACAAAACATGTTGAACATTTTGACAGTTTGGTTCTGGAACCTCAAAAAGCTCAGTTTTCCACAAAATCTTACGAGGGTGTCAATTCAATGTGATAATTGCTCGATACTGTCTGAATTTCTAATTTTCGATTAGTTGGTGACGTGAATTGCTTCATAAGGAGTTGTGTACGATCGGCTCCAGAGCCATAAAGTTCTCTGAAATGAAGAAAAAATTTTTACGCTCAAAGGAAAATGCTACAGTCAAGAAAAAACCCCAGTAAGAAATATATTATGGGCCTATTCCTTAAAATGAATTTAATGGTTGTTTTTTCTTAGAGGAGTAAAACTCGTCGTATTGCTGATTGATATTTTTAATTAAATTTCAAAAGTTCATGCGAAAAAATAATGTAGATCGTGGCGAAAAATTGTCATTTATAGCTCGTTAACAGAAAAAAACTGCTACCAGACTCGGCCGCTCATTCCGATTTTCGACCTACATTCGAAAATAGACCAATTTAAATTATTTTAGGTAAGCCTCCTAACTTTTATTATTAAAAATACTTATGATTATTATGATTGACACACAACTGAAGTGAATAAGAAACAACTAACAAGTAACATTATTTTTCAAGCCACAGAACAGGAACATCAAAGAAATCCGTTAAAAATTATATGTATTTCGTAAAACTGCTATTTGCTGCAATTCCTATGTTAAAAATTCTTAAAATCGCGATTCTTTTCAACAATTTCGATTATTAAATTAGAACATTGCTATAAATTGAAATTTTCAAAACCAAAATTCAACCTCAAGAGACACTTAATTCTCGTCTTTTTTCCAGCTCCACTAGGTCCGCAGAAAAGCAAATGTGGCATACTGTTACCGGCAACCAAATATTTCAAGTGGGATGCCTGAAAAAGACAAAATTATCAAAAAAACGGGTCAAAACCGACTTGTTCGTGATGAAAATCAACTCCATCCTTTCCCAGAAGCTGTTTCGGTCGGTATTTATCAACCCAAAGCGCCATTTCTAAATATATTTCATTAAAAATGTTTTTGGAATAAATAAGTTTCCAACAATATTCGAAGGATATAAGGTAATTTAGTAAGAAAAACACATAAAAAAGTATAATTTATAGTAAAACTATACAAAAAAAAACAATTGAAAGAGACAATTAATTATTCACAGCTTATTTTATCTGTAATTTGCGTTTGATCGCAATTAGATCTGCTCGACGCTTCTTATTTTGCACTTGATGAAGCTCCAGATTGGTTCTGAAATTATCTATTATTTAAATTATTGTTATTAGAATGCATTTCATCAAATCTTCCTTTTATATTTGTTTCATATAAAAAAAACGAGAAAAAATCAGATCAACTCACTTCTTTTCCTTCGCCAATTTTCCAGGAATAAGTCCATCCTCAAGCGCAAGTTGGAACTCACGATCGGAAAGCTTCGTCGTATCGACGAACACAAATTTTCCGGTGTGCGGTGTAAATTGTTGGCGGCATGGAACTGAGAAAACAAAAATATTATGAGGAGATCTTTCGTAGCGCGACTGTGAAAAATTATTGAGTGAAAAGAAGTACAGGGTGGTCCATAATTATGGAAACACATTCGAAGTAATGTAACATTAAAAAAAAATGGTCGAATCAACTTGAAAATTCACAAATAGTTTATTTAATCAATTATAAACAAAAACACATTAACATTACTCGATTTGATTTCCTTTGTTCTTCATTACTTCCTTGAGTCTCTCCGGGAATTTCTCGACTGTGGCACGGAGGTATTCTGAAGATAGTTTGGCCCATTCCTTAACCAAACATTTCTTTAATGACTCCATATTGGTAAAGGGATGTGCCTGGACTTTCGACTGAAGTACTTCCCAAACAGAATAGTCGAGTGGGTTCAAATCCGGGGACGACGGTGATCATTCTGAACAAGAAATAAACCGGCAAAACTTGCGGCAGACCAGAATTTGACGACTTTTGCTTTGTGAGCCGGTGCAGACTCAGGGCTGTGCGGCAATGGAATTGCCGATTTTTCAAATTGCCGAATTGCCGAAGAGAACGTTCGATCGGCAAATTGCCGAATTGCCGGAATGCCTAAATTTTGATTTTCGGCAATTTGCCGAAATATTGATTTTCGGCAATTTGATATTTTAAAAAAATCGGCGAAACAAAAATCAATGTCCATTGAATAATTTGCGATACCGTGAAAATTCGGTATTTATATTTCGAATTATCATTGAAAACATTTAATAGCCGAAATTTTGATTTTCGGCAATTTGCCGAAATTTCCGATTGCCGCACAGCCCTGGTGCAGAGTCCTGTGGGAATGTCCAAACCTGGTTTCGAAAGTGTTTTTAGGTCCGTGGAAGAACGTGTTTCTTAAGAATTTCTTCTAAGTAGTATTCCCAGTTGATTTTGACTCAGGGATCCACAAAAACAAGCGGCATATTACCATCAGACGTGATCGCCCCAAAAAACCATGATTTGTTGAGGATGAGACATTCTGCCGATTGTTCTTCCGTGCTTATTGGCTTTGTCTGCGTCCCTTGCAAGCACCTGATGATTTTGCGAATTGAATTCAGCCTCCACGGTAAAGAGCTCTCATTCCGATCTCCAAGCTCATTTTTCCCATGCTCCGGTGCGGATTTCGACGAGTTAGTTCTCTGGCGACCTTGATCCTCTCCGGAGTGATAGAACTGCGAGGTCTTCCACTTCTCGGACGGTTTTCAAGTGTGTTGAGCTGCTTGTATCGTTTTACGGTTTTACAAACTGTTGATCGAGAGATTCCGTGAGCTTTTGCAATGCAACTTTCGCTCTTTTATTACGTCGTCACCATATCGATAATGGTACCTAGGTGCACTGAATTGGCTACCATTTCAGTAAAAATGAAGCTAGGAACTAGAAAGTTTGGAAAAATGGTAATTAAAACATGCTGAAAAATAAAAAAATAAAATTGGGGCACGAAAAATGCGCCAGCATCTGCCAGAAGGCTTCAAACTTGTGTTTCCATAATTACGGGGCCCCCTGTAGATATACGGATATGTTTTGGCTGATAATTTCTGAGATTTTTATTTCGAAATGTCAGAAAACCTTTAAGCAAACAAAATCTCGAACTGTTGATTGAAAATAAATTCAAGTTTGATGAAATTGGAAATTATCCAGCAATATTGCAATTTTCGCGAAAAAATGAATGTAAATATAATGAAATGACGCAAGCTCGTTTTATACCATATAGAAATTCGTCTAAAAATTTGCGACTTCCATAAAATCGTTTATTTCGATAATTTGGATTTCATATTTATTGTGTTAAAAAAAAGCAAAAAGGCCTACCTCTACTCGGCGTAGAATTCTTCGGCGTCGCCAAATAATTCACAAAAGTGGTCTCATCGGGTACAGTTGTTGGAATCACTTTCATAGTGGCGTTTCGCGGAATCCTCGACTTAGTAATCGTTTTAACGTCTGTCTGCGGCTGAAGAAATTGAAAATTCAAAAAATACCATCAAACTACTTACTCGCCGTCGCAATTTTCTCGGAGATGCGTTTTTAATTGCCACAGGCGTCGTTTTCTTGCTGGCGACTAGCAAAAACTCGCTGGTGTCGACATCTCCAAATTTGAAATCCATCTTCGCCGGATCTTCAACTTTCCACGGCGTGCGTTTCGAAGTTTTTACACTTTTCGGCGTCGCCAAACGCTGTAAAATAACTAAATTTGGCAAACATTTGCAGGATTATTCAACAAACTTTAATGGAATTTGGCACATTCCCAGTGAGTTCATTGTGACGTTTCTTCAAACGGTCCTTATATTCGCGAAGTGTTTCCATTTTATTAATTTGTCCGTTATGAATGGCGGCAAACCGCTCGGTAACTGCAAGAAAGCGAAGTTTTTTTTTTAATCAAAAAAGCTAAGACAAATATCGTAAACTGGCTAAATTCAATAGGGATCCGACAGGGTACATGTAAACCCACTTTTTGACGGTGTTTTCGGCACCGAAATCTGCCTCGACGGCGTTTCGCCTCGATTTTCCTTTTCTTCCATTTCTTTAATCGGCTCTTTTCCTTTTTTCGCGCTCGTTCGTAAAGATTGCCGCTTAGTAGAGCGGTGGGAACGATTTGGGACCTCTGAAAGGAACTTTTAAAAATTCAATGCTTCATTTTAGAAACCAAAATCGTGAACGTTAATATCATATTCGTTCAAAATTTTATTCTTTTTTTCCTCGTCAAGAACAATATTCACAGCGATGGTCGGTGTACTTTCATCTGGAAAATTGCACAATTTCATTTAAAACAGACTGAATTTTAAGATTACGAATTGATTTGCCAGTTTCTGGTCCATTTATAGGAACAGTTGTATTCTGTAATGCCTCATCTTCAGGCATTTCCTCAACAATTGGCTCATTCAAAACATCTTTCTGCGATTCAATAAACTAAAACAGCTTTCATAAAAGATCTCCCCCACAAATACTACCTACCTCAGCCAATCTTTCTTGAAGAATCGATTTCTTGCCAACAGTTGACAATCGATTTTTCTTTAAATGTTTTCGAAGCTCTTCAACCTTCATTATTGAAATTTTTTCAATTTTTGAAATCGATTTTTCCATTTCTAGCTGAAAATAGAAGTTAAAAATAGGAAAAAAAAATGCTAAAACGGAAAATCACGAGTGCGTCATTTCGAAAACGCCAACATTCCCGCTGTTATCAATGGAGCGCACTGGTTGCGCATTTCGTGTACTCCTCGTGAATAACTGGTCCATTTTCATTTTTCGTTTTAGTTCAGTCAATATTTCAGAAGAGTTTTATTTATTTAATTACGGATTAAGATTGAAATATTATTTAATTTAAATTATTTAAATACTTTTTTAATGATATTCTTTGAATTATTCAAAAAAAAACTTGATGCAAATTGTTGGGCTTTAAAAACCGTATATTTCAGAAATTATGGCTCTCGTAGACTACGCTGGTAGCGATTCTGACAGTGAAGATGAGTTGACGACGAAAGCCATGCCGGCAACATTAGAAAAAAATGCAGAAGATGAGGATTTCTTCCGATCGGAATCTCGAGATAGTTTTAACAATTATTCTTTATGGATATAGTAATGTTTGAGTTATTTTCAGCCGAAGAAAGTACATTACAATCTGAAAAAGTAGCAAATGATGATGTTCTTGAAGATATTGTGAAACCAAAAAACTGGGAGTTAAAATTGGCAGAAAAACAAAAGAAAAAATTGGAAAAAAAAGTAATGCGAAATTTTAATAATTTTTTCACTTAAAAACGTTTAATTTTAGGCAAAAAAGGCAGCAAAAAAAGAGAAAAAGAAATCCAAAAATAATAAAGAAGCCGGAATCGTTCCAAAAATCAGCTCAGGTGTCAAAAAACCGAAGCCAAAGGTTCAAATCTCTGCTTTCGGGGCCCTAGCGAGCATCGCAGGCAGCATTTCCAGCGATAGTGATGATGATGAATTAATATCCAAGGAGTCAGTAAAAGGAATCGGTTTCTTGTCAAGTTTGCCTGCACCGAAGGGAAAAAACAATGTGACTGGCGATCAGACCATAAGCTCCTTTGTGCCATTCTCAGTGGCTAAGGCTAGTAAAAAAAATCAAATTGAACTATATAAAATTATGAATATTCAGAAAGCAACTCCGGATGTCCCTTCAACATCATTAGCATCGAAGCTGGTGGACAGTGAAGATGACGATTATGACCCATTGGACTTTTTCGGATTCTCATTGGCCTCAAAAAAAGTTGATAAAATTCCAGATGTAAGTTATCAAAAAGATTTACTGAGATTATTTAAACAAATTAATCCGTTTTAGCGAAATTTTGAACGACTTTTGTTCTATGTTAGGAGTTTCTGAAAAAAAAGTTTAAGACTTTTAGGAGCCGCAAGTCCCACAATTCACCGAAGACATGGAGATGGTGGGGCCATCAAAACCATCCCAGCAATTCATATACCCCAGTCAATTGTATAATATGGCTGAGGTCCCAGAAGAGCCGGCGAAGCCTAAAGGCAAAATTCTCACTGATGAAATGGCCCAGAAGCTCATTATGCGATTCTCACAAGACATAGGTCCCGGGGAACTCAAATCTTTCAATGAAATTACTAGTAATTTGATTGACGTGAATGTCGATGACGCAATTGGTCCGAATGTAAAATCAAATATTCTCAAGAATCTTGGGCATCGGCAATTTTCTGAAGCCACAAAAGCGCCGCTTCCTCAGGCTCCGGTGGCCGGACAGATGTCAAGAAAGAAGCACCAAATCACTTATCTCGCAAATTTGGTTTCAATTTTATCAATTATTTTTAACTTGATATTTTTTTTTAGGCTGTTTCTCGAGAAGAGGCTCTCAAAGATAAATGGGCGGAGCAGAAGCAAACGAAGAGGATGGCACGTCAAAAATATGGTTTTTAATTGACTATAACAAGTTATGGTGTTTTGAGTAAACGACTAAATTTGGCTTAATTGTTTTTTTTTGCGGGTGTTCTTGCATTAATTCCAAACAATTCATTACACATCGTGCAGTATAAAAAAAATATTGACCATTAATTAATTTAACCGTGGAGACCCCTGAGAGAGCTTTCAACTGAGCACTTTTGGTTGAGTACGGCATTAACTGCAAATGCAGCGGAAGAAATGAGCAAAACACGCGATAGCTGTCTTTAAAACAATTACGAAGAGAAGAATTCTGAAAGAACATTCTTTTGATTCTTGAAGATTGAGAAAACCCTACATTACCCAAATTCTGAGATGCCAGCAGCACGCGTTTGTCGTGTTTCGACAGCACTTATAGTAGAGGAACATCGTATCTTCACCGCATCTGAAAATTTCTCGCAATGCAATTCGAAAAATAAAGTTCCGGAGAACAATAAACTTTTAAACCCCACCAGTACGACATCGTGTCAGGCTAACTCGTGGGCGACTTTTGTTTTAATTAAATTTTTTCCCAATTTATATCAAAATGTTTCGCCGGTTATCTCAAACCAAAACGGGCCCCCGGGTTTGTTCCGATCGAATCGATGAGAATTATATGTGCGTTTTTTTTACCCAAAATTGCAAAAAAAAAAAACAAAATTCAGCCCTGAAAACAGAATTTACGCAAAATAGAAAATCTTTGAATGAAAATTCTTGAGAGATTGCAACTTACGGGTTATTTTGTTGACAAAGAGTGGTAGCATGCTGCCGATACTTGTGGTTGAAAGCAAATCGCTCGGGAAGCGCATTAACTGTTTCGCCTAAGAGAAACGGCAATGAATTTGATTTAAAAATGTGCCAAATTTCCAAGAATATTGCAATATCCCACTCCACTCAAATTTCCGGCATCAAAAAGAAAAAATTATTTTCTCAATTTCGTTCTTTGAATCGCCGCAGAAAAAATCTTACTAATTTTATCGATTTGCTCGCTAATCGGCTGCAACTCCTCGAGAAATCCGCCAACCATCGCTATTCCAATAATGGAGAGAAGCAATTTTGACAACATTTGTTGAACGTCTTGAATGATTTCTCATTATTTTTGAGGTTAAAAGAAAAACCAACAAAAAAGTTTTTGGGCTTGTTCAAACAAAACGCAATATTGAAAAGAAGAAAAGGGAGGCTCACGGAGGAAGTCAATAATAGTTCCGCGCATCTACGGAAGTCGAAACAATGGCAATTGGTGAAGTGTGGGCTCGAGTTCGTCACCATTTCCTCAGACACACAGTGTGGCAGAAATGTGGTTAACAAAAAATTTTGGTGCAACATCTGTTGAAGGAGCCTAACGAAAACCGCGTACCGCCCCTAATTTGAAGTCTATTTGAATAATTGCGCTTTATATTGAATGTTATGACTATTAACGCACACCGGATTAATAAAAAATGTCTAGAGAAGGAAGCACACACAGACATCGAGAAATTTTGCTCCTCGCCTGTCCCAAATTTCATAGGAATAATTTTAACGCTGCTAGAATCAATCATTTTCTATCAATTTTTTTCACTTATTAAGTTCTGATTTTTGAACTGAGCGACTTGTTCTCACAATGATTTATATTATTTATAGTACTATGCAGAATTTGCAAAAAAAGGTTTTAAAAACTATTAGAAAACTATGACAACACGCTTAGCGAATTCTTACAGCGGTAGACAGAAGCACTACCGAACAAGCAAATCAATCAATTCAATATCATCAATAGATGATGTTTCTGATCGACGAGCTTTATTAAAACAGAAAATGATGATGATGATCATATTAGGTGGAAATCATACATACTAATAATAAATGTTGTTTAGTTTGCCAGCAGGAATTGGCTGAGAGGATCCCATCAAATCGGCGCAGGCAGTCCGATTTGATAACGATGCGAAAACGCATAAAATCCAAATTAGGCAAACGTCTACATAAAGCGGGTGCCGTTTCGAAGAATTCATCACATCATGGCTTCTTCAACGTCTTGTACAATTCGATTCGCCATCACAGCTGCCGCCGTGCTCGCCGTTATTTATGTCTCAACGATTCTCATTATTTTCAATGATTTTCGCCTTTTTTACAACGAAGCTCTTGAAGATGTCGCCGAGTTCAACGTGAGTTGCTATAAGCTTCTAACTTGAATTTCTTTGAGAATTACACTATTACTTTAATCGGCCTCTGTCTACTCTTAAATTAATGAAAAAATCGCTTGAAAAATTCCGAAATATTTTTTTGGGTTACTGTAACAGGCCAATTAAATTGCCGATTTTTCCGTTATTATAAAATTTCTCTAAAATAATTGAAACGTTCAAATATTTGGCATTAAGTATTATTTGCGCTTTACAAAGAACCGACAACTAGCGCAGTTAATTTTTTCTCCAGAAATTCGCCACCGAGGCGTGGGACGAAATGATTGCGATGAATTCGTTGGCAACATCGCCTCGCGAGAAACGATCCGAGTCCAAGTGCGGCTGCATGAATCGCGTTAATAACTGTCCGTCCGGCCCTCCAGGTCCGCCAGGAATTCCTGGTAACCCTGGCGAGAATGGGGAAGACGGTGACGTCGGACAACCAGGCCCTGACTTTCCCCCATTCGATGTCAAGACCTTTTATACTCATGAATGTATTCGCTGTCCAGCTGGAGAGCCAGGATCACCAGGCCCTGACGGTGAAGAGGGGCTTCCGGGGCCGGACGGCCAACCAGGAGCGGACAACTTCAACGAAGGAAGACCAGGAGAACCTGGAGTGCCGGGAGAGCCGGGAGATGCTGGAGAGCCAGGAACTGATGGCGAGCCAGGGTCTGATGGCGCTCCAGGAGCCAATGGATCTCGAGGCCAAGGAATGCCAGGTGCTCCAGGAGTCCCAGGACCTATTGGAGAAGAAGGTGAGCCCGGCAAGGACGGAGAACCTGGAATCCCAGGCCCTGAAGGACCTGAAGGACCAACAGGGCCGCCAGGAAATGACGGTGCGACTGGAGAAGACGGCCCAGACGGTAGGAAGGATTTTGACAAAAATTGTACGCTATTCATTCTTTGTTACAGGAATGTCTGGAATCCCTGGAGTGCCAGGAGCTGATGCCGCTTACTGCAGCTGTCCAGCGAGAAGTGCTCAATTATACTACTAATTATGCTAATTAAGTATTTATTGCAATTATTTATGGAACCCGTATAAACATGGTTGTTTCCCTTATATGCCATTAAAGCTTCGATGTCATCTCTTCATCGATTCCGATCCTCTCCAAACTATCCGTCGAAATCTTCATTGGCCTTCCTTCAAGACCCATTTCTTCACGGAATCGCTGCCGATCTTTGAGTAGTGTCATCGATGAGATGAAATACAGAACCCCTGACAGAGACAGAAGTCCAACGCAACAATAAGTGGCCGTCACCAGGGAGTGGTACTGGTCCTTAGGAAGCCTTGATCCGCCTCGGATCCAGTCGGAAATCTGAAATTATGTTAAGGATAATCTGAAAATCGTTTCTTACCACTCCAATAATGTACGGTCCTGAGGCGTCGCCGAACAAGTGAGAGGTTAAGACAAAGTAGGAGAACGCGGTGCTTCTCCGATTAGGATGAATCACGGTCTAGAATCCATGAATCGAGTCTTAGGAATATATTAACTTACAGTGAGCATGTCAATATTTAATCCCCAGTTGAAGCAAAGGCAAGTGAGAGCAATGAAGAGCATGATCTGTAAAGATAGTTTTAGATCCAAGGACCTTAATGTCAAAAACTTACATATAAAAGAACCAAACTCTTTTCACCTAAAAGCATGGCGATCAGAAGTGGTGGTGCTCCCATAAAAGCACCAGCTCCGGAAACTAGGGGCTGCGCGCGGTCCGTTTGAATTCTTTGGAATGGCCCGACTCCGGCTGACCACCACTTTGAGATCATTGATCCCATAATGACACCAAGCAATCCTCCTGCTGTTGTGATGGCTCCGAAGTACAAGGAGACTCGATCCTTGTCAGCGCTCGGCAGCATCTTGGTGTCTGTTAAGTTCTGATGCCATGCCGTCAGATGCTCGACAACGGTTGGCTCCCACCAGGATAGAGTTCCTGAAACAAATACCAAAGCCGTGTAGCCCCACGTGCATGCGACAAATGTTGTGTTCTTCAAAAGGCTTCGCAAATCTTCCACGTAGGAACCTGACGATTCAACATGTACATCTTTCCCGCCTTCAACTTTATCTGCAGCTCCTCTCTCTGGCTCATAGCAAAGAAAAATGGAGGCTACTAAAACGAGTAGTCCTGCGATGGCGGTCACCCTGATGCCCCATTGCCAATGTCCGGTGAGAGTAGCCACATTCGATCCGACGATGAATCCAAGTCCTGAACCGACGGGAATAGCAAAGTAGAATATCATGAAGACCGTGCTACGCTTTTGACCCGAGAACATGTCGGAGATTAATGACGGTGCTACATTCGAGTACGACGCTTCACCGATTCCAACGCAACCGCGAAGAACCAAAAACAACCAGAAGAGATTCGACGGTATGAAGGTGGACGCGATTACGGCCATCAGCCAGATTCCGACGCCAATGATCATTATCCATTTGCGATTAAAGCGATCACCAAGGTAGCCGCAAACAGGCGAGAATATCATGAACGATATTAGAAAGACTGTTTGAATCAATCCTGCCAGACTGTCTGATATATCATAATAGGTTTGAACCTGCGTGAGGACACCTGCAATAGGATATTTCGAATGAAGTTAGGGACATCAGCCTTTTTCAATTACTCTAATTTCTAAAAAAAAAACTCTATAAACGAAAAGACGCTTCTGTCTTTGATTGTTACAGTAATCACGAAATAATCTCAGACTAGATTTCATTTTAAAAAAGTCAATGCAGCGTTAAAAATATTATTACTGTACATAATTGTAGAATGGCAATTTGTGTTAAAGCAATTTGAAATCACGGTAAATTTTCAAAAACAACTTGAGATATTACAGATATGTACATCAGGGGATTTTAAAAGGTTGTCAGGGACTCACCTGCTACAGTATACCGATCGACATAATTGAGCAAATTGACAATAAACAGCACCGTCACACTGACATAATCCTTGTGCCCGTTGACCATTTGTGCCTGCAAAAATGAGGAACTCTCATTCGCTGGGAACATATCAAAAAGATTTGACAGAAAAGCCGCTTCACATCAAGTGTTTGTTTTAATCGAAATACAAATACTTATTGCTAAAACGCGCTGCCTCTCTTTTCTCTGTTTCTTGGGTCCTGACGCGCAATTACAGTACACTTTGCGACATTCCGAACGCTGGTGTTTGCGTGGTAAACATCAGCGTTCTCAAGCACAATCAATTTACATACAAGTTGAGTCGTCTTCTGACATTCATCGAGGTTCTGAAGAATTCTATTGGCTACGCTTTGCCAACCGTAATCATCAAGAGTTTCGAGCTCGCGCCGATAAGAAGAAAGAAGTTTATTAAACAGAAAATGACTCTTAATCAACTAGTGCTACCAGTATGACGTGTGCCAACATTGTGTTAAAGGGCGTCTCAAGACGAATCAAAATGAGTCATCTGAGAGTTTTGAGATGGAAAAAAACTTTTTTTTGCAGGGCTTCAAAGCGGTTTAAAAATGAAAAAATTAAATTATCTTTTCTGATGCACGTTTAATGTAATAATTTTTTGGAAAAAAAAAAGCATTTAATAAACTGGTTCATTTAACATAACCAAAAAATAATTGAGTCTCATCAAAAGAAAAGAAATATTTAATGTTCGAAAATTTTCTCTTTTATCAGCCACCAAGAAAGCACATTTGTGATTTGTATGCCTTGGTTTCTGACGGAAAATAAGAGGACACAACACGCCAGCTTCGCTTTTTGGGTCGGCATTTTTCAAAAGAACTTCTTCCTATTCCTTCTTTATAATGACACTTTTGCTTTCGGAATGATTTTTGTATTGTGTTTTGTGCTCCAGATAGTTTTTTGCCGGTCCGATATGAATAGAAAAAACAGCATATCAATCGGATTATAGTTGTTACCTCGGGATCATCAATCATTAAAGCTCAGTTTTGATTGGTTTTTGGAACCATTAAAAAGCGCAAAAAAACTAGTTTTTTTTTTAAATAATTGTTCTGATTTCTGCCCAAAATCTGCAACACATTATTTGATTGTCACCGAAGACATTTTATAATAACATTGTGTATGAAGCATTTGTATGAATCATAAGAAGGAACAAAGGGATTCACATCAGGGCTTTCGGATTTTTTTTCAAAGTTTTTCGATTCTTTTCGGGGAAAAGTTTCCAATCACTTTTTCGTGAAAGAAAGAAAAAAGGAATTTTTTCAGAAGAAAAATCGAAAAAAGACATTCGAAAATTGTTATGATATGAATTTATTAGTGTAGATTTACGAAGGCCACATTCTTATCAGAGTTGGAAGAAGTTGAAGTAATCATTAAGGCTCTTGAAGTGGATTAGTGTCAAAGCGAAAATTTAACCGTAACTGGTAAATGTGAGGGAAAAGCCGGTTGATATTTGGGCGAAAGTCAACAAGGATGGGGTGCGGTCGCGGGTGCACAAATCAAATAGCTCTATTAATAATCATAAAAGATTAACACAAATCGATTATTTTACGGCTGACCCGCATATTTGTGCACATGTAGATGAGCATTTGCATTCCATATAATAAAGCGTGGCAAAAATACACAGGATGTCGGCAAACATAAAAAGAAGGCGTAACTCCGGAAATTCATATCAATGAAATTTTCGAAACATCGCCTGGGTTTTTATGGCTGCTCAAATACACGCAGTGAAATTCGATAGAAATTTATGGCAACTGCGGACAATTTGTATCATGAAATTTTCTCCACAAAAATATTATATTTTCAAAAAAAAGAACCGATTTAAGGTGAGTTAGTTTCGCAGACTATCCAGAGTACGGTATTCGATTTCTCACTCTTTAAATTTAAATTTAAATTACCGCCTCGAAAAAGTGCGATGGTCCACAATTATGCAAGGCGCTCGTTTTTTTTTTGCAATGTTTCAATCAACCCTCCAGAATTAGAACTTAGATTACACAAAAAGAGGTATAAGGTATAAGTAAGAAAACGTTATCACACCATAAGGTCTAATTTATTTTTACTCTATTTATAGTGAACAATACCTAAGGTCAACAAGCCATTTTTATTGAAAAAAATCACTAAAAATTATTTTTCAAAGTTGATAACGTTGTTTGGAATGTCAATAATAGTTGCAAATTGTTTAAAGACATGCTTGTTGTTTCGGTCTCTCGGCTGCGGCCAAAACCTTCCTCTGCCCGATTGCGGTCGGGCTTAGGTAGCCGTGATTGGTTTCGAAACAACAAGCCTGCTAAAGCCGCATCTTCAAAGTGAAGAAACCTGGAATATTGATTTTTCGATTCCTGAGAATTTTTTAATCGGTACTTTCGCATCTCTGATACCTCAAACCACCAAAAGTTAAGTATTCAAAATTAATCATTGCTGCTCGTTTGCAAACCAGTGTATCCGTTCCCTTACAAAAATTGAGGATACATTACATACTTTTCCCATGATCACGATAATGCGTGAAAACTGGCAAACACCATAAAAGGCCCGGACACAATACGGAAACAATTCAAAAGCTGTTCAAATACGGTGTCGTTGCGCCTCAACTTGAATGCCAAACACATTCTCAACAAACGCTTTTTCTAGAAAAATGTTCATCTATTTCCTTCTAATGCTCCCACTTACCGAATCTTCAGCGGAAATTACGATTCGCCAAAAAAGGCAATATTATATATGTGGTACTTATCCCAATCAGTTCCTTTCACTTCAGCGTAATCCGATTTTTTTCGCAATTCTTAATCAAATTATCGGGTTTCAGCATGCCAAATTTGGATGCAGACAACTCGGCGCTCCTACGATCCAACCGCGTGCAGCAACGGCGGCACCAAAATCGGAGTCAGTTGCTATTTCGATTATCAGGTTTTATCGTTCCACTGGTTCCTTAACCTTCAGTAATTAATTTTTTTTAGTGCACACCGTATTCTCTCTGGCAGCCCACAGTATGTTTGAGTAATTGCTGTTGCACAATTCCTGATGTTCCACCAGCCACTATACAACCACCATCGCCAGTCACGACACCATCAGTAGCGAACTTGGGTAAGTCTTGTTGGAAGTCAATGATAATATACAGCGTCCTATGTAGATAGAGGTTGCAGTATATTTGTAAAATAATTTCAGAACATTTCTTTGCAATATTTGAGGCCGTCCAAAAAGAAAATTTTTACCCCCCCAGCAACTTGCCCCAAAATTCGCTGAATTTTGTTTCAAGATTTAGAAAAAATAATAAAATGTCAAGAAAATAATTAAAAAATTCTGCGTAACTTCGTTGCGGAGCAAAACGATCCCGAAAAAAAACAAAATAAAAAAACAAGCTCATCTTTTTTGCGAATATAATATTTTTCGCAAAAAAATAATTTATTGTTCGTAATAATTTTAAACTTTAAAAAAAAATATTTCAAGATAGTACAAGCGCAGCGGCGAGTCGAGACATGTTATTATGCAGCAACATATACGCAACACATAAGAAACGCCCGCGCATCGCAATTGACACGCCGCGACTGGCATACGTGCGCGAACTTTAATGCTCGGCACGGTTTCGAATCAATAAACCTTCCAAAAATAAAATTAATGCAAAACTATTGCTACTACTGTAATAATAAAAATAATGCATAATCGCGACGGGCGGGGAGTATGAAAACACATATGTACAATTAAAAAGTACAACTGGAAAGATTTATTACGCGAAAAGTGGTATACTCTGTAAATTTATAATGTTGATTCTGTTCGACTCCGCATTTTAGCAAGTATACATAGCTGAAATCATTTCTTCCGTGGCCTTATTCCTTCCAGCTTATTGCTACAATGGCCAGCGTTCCCAGGTGCGCTGCACAACATCTACCGACTGCTCCGCTGCTCAAACGTGCGTCAACAACATCTGCTGCACAACTACCGGCAACGAGTACAGTGGCGCCTGCGGAGGCTTGGCGGCGCTGTCCGCCTGCACCAATCAACAGTGCGGTTCGTTTAGCTGTACGAGTTCCAACTACTGCTGCGAGTGTCCGTTCGGACGAACCAGTGGGCAATGTGCCGTTGGGACACGTGCGTGCCCAACTGGCTATACCTGCAGCTCATCAGGTTACTGTTGTGCTCAATGCGCGTCGGGTCGCCCTCCATACGGCTCATGCTTTAACGGTCTCTGCGCAGCCGGCTACACATGCCAAGGAGGCAACATTTGCTGCTAGTAATACGCATAACCAGTTCCCGATCATCCTAATTGCCTTCTTTCGCATTGTCTTGTGTTGTCCGTACATATCTCTCCATTTCTCTTATTTTTGTCGCCTACATTATTCGTAATGAATCGGTTTCTTTTTATGATTGTTATTCCTCAACGAAAACCCTTCTGCTTTTTCATTTTAGGAATAATTGTAAAATGCGCTATTTACGTCCCGACGACGAAATCGCCAATAATCATTTCCACTTGGAACTTTCAAAACACACGTATTATTTCTTCGTATTTTGGACGATCTGGATCCTAGGCATCATTATTACTGGCTGGTTCAACACCTTCTCAAGCCCTATTGTCCCATGGGTAAGTATTTTCTAGGTTCACGCTTAACCACATCTTCCGATCCAGGACAATTGCGATAGGGCGCTCGACCGTCCTTCGATACGTTTTATCAACGAGAAGCAGTTCGAAAACGAGGTGCGCAAATTGAACCGATTCCGCGAGATTATTCGAATGCATTTGAATGATAACATGACCCGAATTGATTATGGATTGTCACAGCTCACATTTTGCAAGGTTCGACATATGCTTTGAAAGTTAGATTGTCGTCGCGGGTCAATCCAAAAAAATTATTGCACGCAAATCAAAACGCTTCTGACGACATACGTTTTTCCTAATGGGATAAAAAAGAATGCAATGTAAACACGGAATTTTGTGTAAGAAAAATAAAAACACGGTTTGAACGACACTTGAAACTCAATTGTTACCAATTGCTCTGAGAATTTTTTGTACCACAAGTTGCCGGAAGATGACTAATAGTGAGATTTTTAAAAACTTGGAAGTAACTATGTCTTTTAAAAAACTGAAAATGATTATGTTCCATCGCAAAAAAACGAGCGTATTGCATAATTGTGAACTATTGCACTTTTTCGAGGGGGTAATTCAAATTTGAATTTAAATATTGGGAATTATATACCGTATTCTGAACAAGCTGCGAAGCTAACTCACTGTAAATTGGCGTAGAACGCTCGTTTTTTATATGTATTTCAAATTTAGGAGCCTCTGCCGATCAAATGTGATTTTGATTCAAAAACTGCGGTCGTAGATATCGATACAACTCGAATGGTAAAGCCTGAAAATAGTCAGCAGCGCAATTTTTATTAAAAAAGCATATTTTCCAGGTGCGCAGCATAGTCCGAACTAATGAGCTTGACCCATACGTATCAGCCGGCCTGCGGTTCGTTATCCTTCAAACAATGGTTTTTCGAATGGTAGACACTACAAATAAAGGAACCATAATAATTTTTGTTTAGGTTATAGCCATTATTCACACTTCCGATCTTCTTCTCAGCCGGTCACCACTTCCCAAAGTGATCCAGTGGATTTTATCGTTAAGTCCATATATACAGTGTTTGCAATCGGCTTCCGCTTTCTGGGTGGTATCGTTCCACTCAGAGTTTGATCGTCTAAGTTAAAATTTCTTCAATTTCTCAATAAAAATAATTCGAAATTTTGCAGTAGGAAAATGGCATCCGTATGCGTTTTTGAGTCTCGGTTTCTTCACATTACTTGATATGTTCATCGATTTGATACATGACGCTGTTGACACTCGCATGAAACTGGTAAGTGCCCTGAAAAATATCACTGAGGAGGTGTCTAACCTGCAAACTGAAATCTTAAATTTTAGCTAAAATCGCCAAAATTCTGGCTGAAATGCGCATTTTTCGCTGGTTTCATCTTCGCTTACCCGCATATTGTCATGCATTGGCTCGAATTTTTCCGAGACAAACGATGCCATTCATATGTGTCGTGGCAGAACGCATTCCTCGAGTATTTATGTGTAACTAGCATTCTTATCTTTCAGTTTTGTCAGTCAGTTATGCCATTGAAGGTAAAATTGAAGGTAAATTTTTTAAAAATGTTCATTCAGATGTGGATTGCTCCAACTTTGGACGATTGCCAAAACGTCTCAAGTTTTCCAGTTCACATTTATTCTCCAGTTTACCATATGAAAGTCAAAGAATACGAGTACATATCGAGCGCGATCTAATTATATATATATATATATGTATACCCAATTAATAATTCTAGTAAAGTATTAGAAATAGTCGAGTACCCAAAGTAGATTTTGTTCTTAATACGGTGCACGAATTTTCACTAATTTTGAATTATTGATAAAACATGGTAGTGCACAAATACTTATACACACTTATCGGGGCACTCTTACGCTTCTGTACAAAGTCTTTTTTTTGGTTTTTAAAAAACCTTAATTATCATAATATGAAAGATCATATTTTTTAAAAACGAATTTTAAGTACATTTTTTATAGAATCGTGTCGATTGGCGGAGCATAAACCGATTTTGTTTTGCGAGACATGGCTTTTAAAAGTTGAAGAACCCCATTAAACTAGGGCGAATGCCATAAGATGACTTTCGTCCGCCTGCGGGGTCCACTGTTTTTTTTCGCATCATTTCCCTTCTGCACTAGCCGATTCAACGGTAAGTGAGTACACATAGATGCTTGTGGGGAGCGGGGGTTTCGAATTCGCCGCCACTTGTGTGATACAGACGGCGCACGTAGCTACACACTACACCATGGGTCTCTAGCGGGGCAGCGAGATGGCGGTGAAATCATGGCTCGCTACATTGTAGGCGAAACTATTGATCGAGGCTGTATCAGCCGGATATTAAGTCAGCGTGTCTCTGCAAGCGCGTTGTAGCATTCTACTATAGTAACTCGAGCGATCTCGAGCCATATTTGCGCAACTATTAGCGACGAAGTCGGACATTGTTTTCGCCCGTAAATTACTGTAAGTCGAATGATGCATTGCGTACTAAACGCACGATCCTACGAAATGTGAATAATTTCATCATTTTTCAACAAGTTTGTTTAAATTAATCGTTTCGAATAATTCTAAAATAGATTTATCTACAGTGATATTTGTTGGAAAGGTGCCTGAAAGCAGAATTCGCAAGGAATGGAAATTGTGCACAGGAAAAAGTGCTGTGAGTGTTGACTCATACATAAAATATATTGAATGGAAAATATGAAGTATATATATATATATATATATAAATTGTAGTTTGCCGTTTGTTATAATAATACATGAAAGAAAATACATAAATTGGTTGGACTGTGTGTTGTCCTGCTTGCTTATCATCGAAAATTGAGAATATGTTAGTATTTGTATTAGAGTAATTTGTGATAATTAACTTTTACTTGGTATTATTTGTTATCAAATTTGAATTTAGGAAAGGATTGAATTCGGTAAACCGAAGCCCGCGTGATCTCTTTATTTGAAATCTTGTGAACGGAATAGAAGAAATCGATGGACTCGTGACGCGTAATTCAGGTCTGGATAAACTTTAAACTTTTGGTTGTTCTTATTTCAAATTTATGTATAATATTTATATAGGTGAATTTCAAACTATTTCCTTGATAAAAGTTTGTGTTTAATGTGTGGGCACCGAGATTATTCGATTCGCTCTGGTGCGGTAGATGATGTATACTACATATTTTGTTCTTATTCAGTAAACAATGAATTTTAGACCAATCGATTCGAAGTATATTCTTGAGGAGACTGAGAAACCAAGTTCGTGCGGCTTGAACACTTTGCAATATGGCGCTTCTAACAACGGAGGTGTTTTTACTTAGTGGTTTGGAATTTTTTCTAATTTTGCACACAAACAGATCGGGAAATTCCCTATCGAGTGTGCTATGTCGTTTTCTGCAAAAGTTCCAAAAAGTCCCAAAACTTGTAAGTATTTTTTAATATTATTTTATGCGGAGTTCATATTACTCATTTTCTAAGACTATCCAGCGAGCGAAGCGTGTGCTCAACAGACGTGGAAAACTCAGCGACAACCTCTTAGCAATTGTTCAGCAAAATCTCGCAACTATTGCGCAGATTTTAATGAACTATTAGACACCGAGTTTAAAAGTTGCACAGAGTCAGTTTAAAATTGCGCGAAGATTTTTCAATAATTGCAAGTTGTTAATCATTGAAATATACAAATTTAAATTTCTTACTGAATTAAAAAAAAAAACAATTTTAGATGAAACAAACTGTTTTATTTAAACAACAAAAGAAAACAATCGATTAACAAAGAAAGAGTATAAGAATATAAGAAGCAAAACAAAAATACACATTAATAATTAGTTTTTCTTCAAATTTTTGAAAACAAAAGTCTAAAAAAGTATATAAAAATTCTTTATGGACTCCTAGTGTTTCTCCATTTTTAACTCAAAATACTAGTTTTTTAGGTTACATGAATAGTGTTTTTTGATAGCCCATTTTACATAATTTTTAAGCTTTTCCTCAATCTTCAAACAAATAATTGAGCGACCATCGACGAGGAGTTTTAATTAAATTGTTGAAAATCAAAACTGAAATTGGAAACCTTTTACTTGAAATTTGGAATTATGAAGCTGCTATATGAGATTGTGAAAAATGGGAACAATAGAAAATTTGTCTATTTCAAGTTGAATAATGTCGGAGATTTATAGAAATAAAAATCGACAGAGTGTAATTATCATGGAAAAACTAAACAAAAACTATCAAGGAAAATTGTCACGAAAATTTAGAAAAACCCAAAGACTATAAATGTAAAATTTACGAGACTCCCCGCAGAACGTTGACATCGATATAGCAATTTTCTACCTAATACACCACAGCCTCGTCTCATTCGTGTCGATTAACATCATCGTGTTGTTTCGTTGACGCAGAGTCAGAAAAATAAAATTTTCGTTTCTTTTTCTTGTTTCTCTTCAAGTTATTTAATTAATTTTTTTTTAAAGTTTTTAAACAGCAGATATATAGATCATTCGGAATGCTCCCTTCTAAGAGCACAAACAAGTCAATGCAGTTCAGCGATCTTCCTGCGGACATATTTCAGCTAATCCTGCCAAAACTTGACGCTAAATCGCGAACTAATCTTTCTTGTTGCTCAAAGGGCCTTCATAATTTTGATTCGTCGATCGAATACAAATTGCACCGATTGAGATTGGAGAAGGTTTGAGTTTCATGCCCGCCCAATATATCCTATTATGGAACTTTTGTAGGACGCGCTAGGAATCGAATTCGAAAGAGGCTTCCATTTGGACGAGGATGAGCATTTTTACACCAATTTGGTTAGCAGAGATATTGGTGAAAATCGCATTCACGTTTTCGGGTTTTTAATAATCGAATTGAAACGTAAACGTTTTCAATAACAGACTTTCGGCGGGCAGGACCCCACTTGAACAAAGAGGATATATCGTGGAAAATTCGACAGTGACCGCTGAGATCATGAAGCAAGCTGATGGTATTCTTCAAAAGGCAAACTACGAGGTCGACCATTTCATTTTGCCGGTAATCTTGACTTGACGTCAAATACGCTGTAAATCATAATTTTAGAGCGATCCGATGGAGCTAAATTTTAAGAAGAAAATAAAGGCCAAATATGTGAAAATGCCTAATTTCGATAAGATGTATCTTGCAGCATTCTTGAGCATCGAAGAACTGGAAATATGCGACAGAAAATTGCATGATTATCCGTTTGATTTCCGCAGGTTGAAGGGTTGGGAGGTATATGAATTTTCAGAAATGATATCCCATAAATAATGTGGCGGGTTTCAGTGGAAACATGTCAAACGTATCAAGGGTTCAATGCTTGGGGAGATTTGGCCGCAATTTCTCTGTAATTGTCACCATCTCAAAATTGATTTTTCTCAAAATGCGTCGATTAGTAAGTATGAGGTTAATTCGTTTATTAAGGTTTGATGTTTTATCAGAACCTGATTTGGAATTAGAGATTGCAGCAATGGATTAACAGTTCAATCAATTTTCCTTTCGAGCTTATTACCGCAAAATTCAAAATGGGAGATATGCTTGAGGCTCTGACAGGCATTCAGTTTTTCACGTGGAATGAGAAGTTCACAGAGGCCAATAAATCGTGAGAAGATTTTAATGAAAAACTGAATGTTTCGGTGGTTTTTTTTAGAAAAATGTCCTCAAATTTCGTCGACTTTTTGCGCTACTCGGTCGACGTCCAAATTTATCACTCGAGTGGAAAAATGTCGGCGACACTACACGTGTCTCATCAATCAGTTGGACGAATGAAGTTCGTGGTGACTGGCCGTCAGAATAGCGATGGTGTCGAAATGTTCGACGTCGATCCGACGCTCATCGAATTTCCTTTTCCGAGCTCGAAGTTTGAAACAATCAGGCCGCTGGATTTCGCGATGTTAAACGTCGCTCGACCTGATTTTTCGCGTATGCCCATCATGGATGTACTCATCAACAATCGGCCTCGTGTTCGCAAGGAGAACGATTTTGCCGAGCTCGCGGCGCCGAATCCCAGTCTCAGCAATCCCGTGTTGATGATTGAGGCGCTTCGCCATCCGCCAGCTCGTCGAGAGTTCATTCCTAAAACAAATCGTCCTGATCGCGGGATTCCGCCACTGCCGATAATGTTAGATTTGAGCCGTACGACGCCGGATTATCGGTTATTCATTCCGCCGCGCTTCGTTCCGCTTGGATCGTACGTACCAAGCGCTGCGGTCCGTCGATTCGGTAACAAAAAATATGAGCAGCCGCTAAAAAATAATAAAGGGCATCAAATGGATTGGATTTCGTAAAAATGTGGACCGAACGAGCAAGTTTGCACATTTCAAAACGGTACAACAAAATATGTACAATCTTCATTATTTTTCTCAAAGCTCTGTTTTTTATTGAAAATGTACCAAGGTGTTTATTTTCCAATGCCAAAAATGCGGTTAATTAGAAAATTTTCAAGAATTGATTGTTACAGGTGCTTAAAACTACATGTAAAACACATTTAAATATTAAGCTAGGAGAAATAGGATTCAAAATTTACGATATTATTTCACTTATTTTTGCGGTGTTTTTCATAAACATCGGTTTAATGGTTTTTTTGTGATATGTATTGCAAACAATTAATACAAACTTCTCAGAAACAACCGAAAAAATTCCCGAAATATTTATCAAGGGTCTTTCACGCACATTTCTGATTCACATATATGTATGTACAGTTTTGCGACAAAATACCATTTTTTTGTATTGAGCGAAGTTTCTATTTTCGCTACGCCGGCAATATGTCTATTTGTTTTTTAAGTGTTCAATGCATATTTTTTTTGTAAAATCTTGAATAAATATGAAAACCTTACGTTTTCGCAGTAAAAAAGTGATTTGTGAGAAAAGACAGTAACAACGGTTACACTAGCAGCTAAACATGAAATAAAACATTGCTTCTAAAAACTACACCATTTCGCCAAATGGAACCTGTGAATTAAATATGGATCTACCAATTGTTCCGAAGGAATTTTTTATAAAAAAAATAACAAATTAGAGTTCTAAAAAATGCACACCTTATTTACAATAAGTTAAAAATGTTCTCAAAATACCGATTATACGCTCCTCTTTTTAACAACCGACTTCTGTTATATCATTCCTTTGTTGTAAAAATTGCGAAAGCATGAACAAATAAACACATACATATTTCCGACTTATGTTTTAATTCGTATCCGAGCAATTCAATCCGGAGAAACCGCGTACACCGGTTATGGATAAAACCTGCGGATATATGTATTTTGGAGGGAAACATCAAAGAAAAAACATTTATTGCAACTAGATTTAATTGAAATGCTGATATTGGCGATGGACGTCGGAGACTTCAAATCTCTCGATGCCGTTGGCGTCTCTTCTTCCCGTGACTGTGAATGTCAAATAATAGCACCCTGGACCGTGCTCCAATCGTAGAGTCGCCGACATCTGACCGCTCGAATGCCAGATTTGGAACAGCTCGCCTTGATCGAGAAGTCGCTTGAACCTCTCACCCATATTCAATCTATAATGGCCCAATAATATTAATATATTGTCGGAGTTAAACGACCTGACGAAATTTAAAAAATTGGCTATGTGCTAATGCGTCTCGCGGCAGTGAAAATACGCGAAATTTGCGTACATTGTGTTATACATAGTGTAAGCGCATTTAATATTCAGTCAACGAAAAATTTAAATCTATGTACACTAATTTCGCAAATTTGATCGGCCCCGCCTTTTTTAGTCGTTTGACGCCGACAATAGAAATTCCTTACTTTTCTCTATCTACCATTTTCTCATCCCATTTAACATGTTTGACACCAAGCAGTATCACTGGCTTTAGTGAGAGTCGGCATCGGCTTTCAAAATGCTCAAAATTATTGTCGACCGAGGAGTTGACCCATTGCTGCAATTATGATATAATAACTATTATTGCCATAATTAGCGGGTGCAACCTTAATATACTGGTTAATTACAATACTGGTACATATACAGGCTTTTGGTAAGAATAAATATCTCGCACCGAACATGTCGAGAAGAGCTGTCGAGAGGATTCCGCTGTATCCGAGGTAGAGGGCATGTGCGGTTCTGATCTTTAGGGTCTCTTACAATTGATGCTTAAGAATAAAAGAAACCAACCGATTCAGTGTCCGGGATAAGGAAACACTCTTCATCGTGCTCATTGATGATGCAGATATTTTTGACAAATTTGCCGAATTGGCGAAGACGGAATGCTTGGGATTGTGAGAGGATCACCTTGTTGGCAGTGATCATCTTTTCAAACTTATAGCGCTTCACAGTTTCGATCTGAATCTTTTAATTTCAATGTGGAAAACTATAAAAAGTTACATATATTTCGAATTTTTCCACCTCATATTTGGCCCTTCTCAAGAAATGTTCGATAAACATGAACATCACGTCGATGATGGTCTCTCCCTCTTCGCTGTACAACGCCAAACCCGTGTAATCTTCATTCCTTTAAAATGTTAGTTGATTGAGTAATCAGATACTTGTCTTACTCGCCATTCTCACGTTTTCGTCTGTTTTTCTCCATATGCTCGTATTCCATGACCTCCCAATTGTAAGAGCTTTTCCTGAAAATACAAGACGAGATGATACTTCAGAAGAATTTCGAAACTAACGGTGAGAATCTAACGCGTCCGCCTTGCTTCTTGAAAAAGACGCTTCCTGACACGTTATTGGAGAATTTAAGATCTATGACCTTCTAAAAAATTGAGTTTAATTAAATGGAAAAAATTTTCAACACCTCTCTGCAAGATCTTGGGGAATTTTCATCATTCAATCTTCTGCCAATACGAACCTCCTTCAGAACTAGTGGAATTTTAGCATCGATTTTGTATAAATATTTCGAGCATCTCGACAAATTTACTCTAGAAATTTAGAGATTAGATACTGAGTAAAATCTGTAAAAAAAACTACCTGGATTTAGGGTCGAGGTATTCAATAATAGAGGAAATCATTTCCGCTGGCAAGTCGTTCCATGTTGTTACCGACCGTGGTGTAATCGTTTTTACCAAAACTCGCTGTGTTATGGGACCCCCGGTTTGATATTGGGTTACGGTATCTGGGGTTGGGTATAATTTATACCTAAAAACAAAGTTTAGTTTTAATTTTTGATGATATTTAGGGTTATTGGACATGAAGAAACACATTCTGATAGTTTTAGATTGGCCAGACCAAAACTCGCTGTGTTATGGGACCCCCGGTTTGATATTGGGTTACGGTATCTGGGGTTGGGTATAATTTATACCTAAAAACTAAGTCGTCAATTATTAATTTTTGATGATATTTAGGGTTATTGGACATGAAGAAACACATTCTGATAGTTTTAGATTGGCCAGACCAAAACTCGCTGTGTTATGGGACCCCCGGTTTGATATTGGGTTACGGTATCTGGGGTTGGGTATAATTTTTATACCTAAAAACTAAGTTCGTCAATTATTTAATTTTTGATGATATTTAGGGTTATTGGAACATGATAGAAACAAAACATTCTGATAGTTTTACGATTGGCCAGACCAAAACTCAATTATTTATTTTTTATGATATTTAGGGTTATTGGACATGAAGAAAACTTCTGATAGTTTTTATTGGGACCCCCGGTTTGATATTGGGTTACGGTATCTGGGGTTGGGTATAATTTATACCTAAAAACTAAGTTCTCAATTATTTATTTTTTTATGATATTTAGGGTTATTGGACATGAAGAAACACATTCTGATAGTTTTAGATTGGCCAGACCAAAACTCGCTGTGTTATGGGACCCCCGGTTTGATATTGGGTTACGGTATCTGGGGTTGGGTATAATTTATACCTAAAAACTAAGTCGTCAATTATTAATTTTTGATGATATTTAGGGTTATTGGACATGAAGAAAAACATTCTGATAGTTTTTCATTGGCCAGACCAAAACTCGCTGGGTTATGGGACCCCCGGTTTGATATTGGGTTACGGTATCTGGGGTTGGGTATAATTTATACCTAAAAACTAAGTCGTCAATTATTTATTTTTTTATGATATTTAGGGTTATTGAACATGAAGAAACACATTCTGATAGTTTTAGATTGGCCAGACCAAAACTCGCTGTGTTATGGGACCCCCGGTTTGATATTGGGTTACGGTTATTTATAATTTATACCTAAAAACTAAGTTCTCAATTATTTATTTTTTTATGATATTTAGGGTTATTGGACATGAAGAAAAACATTCTGATAGTTTTTCATTGGCCAGACCAAAACTCGCTGGGTTATGGGACCCCCGGTTTGATATTGGGTTACGGTATCTGGGGTTGGGTATAATTTATACCTAAAAACTAAGTTCTCAATTATTTATTTTTGATGATATTTAGGGTTATTGAACATGAAGAAAAACATTCTGATAGTTTTTCATTGGCCAGACCAAAACTCGCTGGGTTATGGGACCCCCGGTTTGATATTGGGTTACGGTATCTGGGGTTGGGTATAATTTATACCTAAAGACTAAGTTTCAATCAATTATTATTTTTGATGATATTTAGGGTTATTGGACATGAAGAAACACATTCTGATAGTTTTAGATTGGCCAGACCAAAACTCGCTGTGTTATGGGACCCCCGGTTTGATATTGGGTTACGGTATCTGGGGTTGGGTATAATTTTTTTATACCTAAAAACTAAGTCGTCAATTATTAATTTTTGATGATATTTAGGGTTATTGAACATGAAGAAACACATTCTGATAGTTTTAGATTGGCCAGACCAAAACTCGCTGTGTTATGGGACCCCCGGTTTGATATTGGGTTACGGTATCTGGGGTTGGGTATAATTTATACCTAAAAACTAAGTTCTCAATTATTTATTTTTTTATGATATTTAGGGTTATTGGACATGAAGAAAAACATTCTGATAGTTTTTCATTGGCCAGACCAAAACTCGCTGGGTTATGGGACCCCCGGTTTGATATTGGGTTACGGTATCTGGGGTTGGGTATAATTTATACCTAAAAACTAAGTCGTCAATTATTAATTTTTGATGATATTTAGGGTTATTGAACATGAAGAAACACATTCTGATAGTTTTAGATTGGCCAGACCAAAACTCGCTGTGTTATGTGACCCCCGGTTTGATATTGTGTTACGGTATATGGGGTTGGATATAATTGATACCTAAAAACTAAGTACTCAATTCTTAATTTTTGATGATATTTAGGGTTATTGGACATGTCGAAACACATTCTGATAGTTTTAGATTGGCCAGACCAAAACTCGCTGTGTTATGGGACCCCCGGTTTAATGTTGGGTTACGGTATCTGGGGTTGGGTATAATTTATACCTAAAAACTAAGTCGTCAATTTATTAATTTTTGATGATATTTAGGGTTATTGAACATGAAGAAACACATTCTGATAGTTTTAGATTGGCCAGACCAAAACTCGCTGTGTTATGGGACCCCCGGTTTGATATTGGGTTACGGTATCTGGGGTTGGGTATAATTTATACCTAAAAACTAAGTTCTCAATTATTTATTTTTTATGATATTTAGGGTTATTGGACATGAAGAAAAACATTCTGATGATTTTAGATTGGCCAGACCAAAACTCGCTGTGTTATGGGACCCCCGGTTTGATATTGGGTTACGGTATCTGGGGTTGGGTATAATTTATACCTAAAAACTAAGTCGTCAATTATTAATTTTTGATGATATTTAGGGTTATTGAACATGAAGAAACACATTCTGATAGTTTTAGATTGGCCAGACCAAAACTCGCTGTGTTATGGGACCCCCGGTTTGATATTGGGTTACGGTATCTGGGGTTGGGTATAATTTATACCTAAAAACTAAGTTCTCAATTATTTATTTTTTTATGATATTTAGGGTTATTGGACATGAAGAAAAACATTCTGATAGTTTTTCATTGGCCAGACCAAAACTCGCTGGGTTATGGGACCCCCGGTTTGATATTGGGTTACGGTATCTGGGGTTGGGTATAATTTATACCTAAAAACTAAGTCGTCAATTATTTATTTTTTTATGATATTTAGGGTTATTGAACATGAAGAAACACATTCTGATAGTTTTAGATTGAACATTCTGATAGTTTTGATTGGCCAGACCAAAACTCGCTGTGTTATGGGACACCGGGTTTGATATTGGGTTACGGCTGGGGTTGGGTATAATTTATACCTAAAGACTAATTCCTCAATTATTAATTTTTGATGATATTTAGGGTTATTGAACATGAAGAAACACATTCTGATAGTTTTTCATTGGCCAGACCAAAACTCGCTGTGTTATGGGACCCCCGGTTTGATATTGGGTTACGGTATCTGGGGTTGGGTATAATTTATACCTAAAAACTAAATTCTCAATTATTTATTTTTGATGATATTTAGGGTTATTGGACATGAAGAAAAACATTCTGATAGTTTTTATTGGCGACCAAAACTCCTGGGTTATGGGACCCCCTTTTTTTTTTTTGTTTATTTTTTTTGGGGTTTAAAAAAATTTAAAAAAAAAAAAAAAAATTTTATTTTTTTTTTTATGATATTTAGGGTTATTGGACATGAAGAAAAACATTCTGATAGTTTTTCATTGGCCAGACCAAAACTCGCTGTGTTATGGGACCCCCGGTTTGATATTGGGTTACGGTATCTGGGGTTGGGTATAATTTATACCTAAAAACTAAGTCGTCAATTATTAATTTTTGATGATATTTAGGGTTATTGAACATGAAGAAACACATTCTGATAGTTTTAGATTGGCCAGACCAAAACTCGCTGTGTTATGGGACCCCCGGTTTGATATTGGGTTACGGTATCTGGGGTTGGGTATAATTTATACCTAAAAACTAAGTTCTCAATTATTTATTTTTTTATGATATTTAGGGTTATTGGACATGAAGAAACACATTCTGATAGTTTTAGATTGGCCAGACCAAAACTCGCTGGTGTTATGGGACCCCCGGTTTGATATTGGGTTACGGTATCTGGGGTTGGGTATAATTTATACCTAAAAACTAAGTTCTCAATTATTTAATTTTTGATGATATTTAGGGTTATTGGAACATGAAGAAACACATTCTGATAGTTTTAGATTGGCCAGACCAAAACTCGCTGTGTTATGGGACCCCCGGTTTGATATTGGGTTACGGTATCTGGGGTTGGGTATAATTTATACCTAAAAACTAAGTCGTCAATTATTAATTTTTGATGATATTTAGGGTTATTGAACATGAAGAAACACATTCTGATAGTTTTAGATTGGCCAGACCAAAACTCGCTGTGTTATGGGACCCCCGGTTTGATATTGGGTTACGGTATCTGGGGTTGGGTATAATTTATACCTAAAAACTAAGTCGTCAATTATTAATTTTTGATGATATTTAGGGTTATTGAACATGAAGAAACACATTCTGATAGTTTTAGATTGGCCAGACCAAAACTCGCTGTGTTATGGGACCCCCGGTTTGATATTGGGTTACGGTATCTGGGGTTGGGTATAATTTATACCTAAAAACTAAGTTCAATTCAATTATTTTTTTATGATATTTAGGGTTATTGGACATGAAGAAACACATTCTGATAGTTTTAGATTGGCCAGACCAGACCAAAACTTTGTTATATGGGACCCCCGGTTTGATATTGGGTTAACGGTATCTGGGGTTGGGTATAATTTATACCTAAAAACTAAGTCGTCAATTATTTATTTTTTTATGATATTTAGGGTTATTGAACATGAAGAAACACATTCTGATAGTTTTAGATTGGCCAGACCAAAACTCGCTGTGTTATGGGACCCCCGGTTTGATATTGGGTTACGGTATCTGGGGTTGGGTATAATTTATACCTAAAAACTAAGTCGTCAATTATTTATTTTTTTTATGATATTTAGGGTTATTGGACATGAAGAAACACATTCTGATAGTTTTAGATTGGCCAGACCAAAACTCGCTGTGTTATGGGACCCCCGGTTTGATATTGGGTT